ATAACGGTTATTTCTATTTAAAAGACATTATCTCCTGTAATTTAGTATATAAATGCTTTATTAGCCAGGAAATTAATATTTATATAATAAATCTCCTTATTAAGTCCTACCTTTATAATATAAATATTGCCATTATAACCATTATCTTAATCTTATTTATCTTTATATTTATAAAATTCATCTTTATTATTTATCTTATATTTCTTAAATTTACTTAAAAAAATATTAAAATTATTATTATAACCTTTATATTTATATTATATTAAATAGCTTCTTTTTGCTAAATATTGCTTATTAGCTAAATATTTAGTTAATTAGCATCCCTCCTTTTTATAAATATAATATCTTTTCTTTTAAAATCATCTTCCTTCTCCTCCTTTGCAAGCATTATTACTTTAAGTTTCACGGCTAATATTATAAGATCTTAGCTACCTAAAGCTTAAATGGCTTAGGTTTAATTAACTAAACCTTTAATTTCCTTAAAACACCTAAAACTATAATCATTATCCTTCTCTTAGCTTTTAGCCATTATATCTACAGTTAACGTAATATTAATTTAAAACTTTATTTATAATATAAATTATAATTATATAGCTAAGCTATATTTTCATTATAAATCTTAAGTTTAAAAATAATTCTTTATATAATTAAGCTGGCTTAAAAAAAGCCATTTTTAGTTTAAGAACTTCTTTGCAAGCTTTAATTACCATTATTCTTAAGTTATCCTCTTTAACATAATCTTAGCTTAATGCCCATTAGTAAAATTACAGCTTATTAAATATTAAATATAAAACCTTATATAGGTTTTTATTTAAATTTTATATTTTTATCTTTATAAATATTATTATTATTTAATTTATATAATAATATTAATAATTAAGGTTTATATTAAAATATATCTTAATTTTAAGATATATTATTATAAATATATTAATTTAATTTATAAAAAAGATAATAAGCCTTAGCTTAATCTTTAAGCATTTAAGGAAAAACTATATAGAATTAACTTAGCTAAATTTTAGCATAATAGTAAATATAAAAAACATCTTTATTTTATTATTTAGCAAATTATATAAGTCCTTAATATACTTATGAAAGTTATTAAAGATTTTTATAAATTATGCTAATTTTATTAAATTTAAGCACTTATTAAAAATATATTATAAAGGAAAAGTTTTATATAAGTTATACTTCTTATTTAATAAAGGCATTCCTAGGGCAGCCTAAGGTTATGCTAAATATAATATATATTTTTAATATAAGCTTTATCTTTATCTTTTCGCTAATAATAATAGGCTTTATTAGCTATATTAATTTTTAATAAATTGCATTACTAAGTTTAGGTTTTATAATTGCATGCTTAAAGCTAGCGGTAGCAATAAAAGTTATCTTAGGGATTATTCTTTTAGCAATTATTATTATTTAAAGCCTACTTATAATGCTTATAAAGGCTATGCTTATAATTATTATCTTTAAAGTTAGGTATAATATTTATTTATGCTTAATTTTAAGGCTAATAAGGCATTATAAAGCTTATTATTAATTTATTTTAATCTTTCCTTAGCTTAAGCTATAGCAATTAATTATAATATTATAGGTTGGTTGTTGCATTTTATATAAATGCCTTGCATTTAAAGAAAGACTTTTAAATATTATTAGCAAAGATTTAGCAATACTTTAAACATTGCCTATATTTACATTATGTAATCCTTGCGATAAATAATAAAAAGGTTGTTATTATAAAGGTTTTATTGCATATAGCTTGTTAAAGTATTTGCTAAGTAGGTAATTAAGTGTTTTATTAGTGCTTCCTATATAGGAGCTATAAACTATAGTTTTAAGTTAATGTATTTATAATAAGCTAAGTTAATTAAAGTTTAAGCAAGCATTTTATTAACTATATACCCTTTAATAAAAGCTAGTGGCTCTTTAGCATTATTAACTATTCTTATAAGTTTTTATAGTAAATATTATAAGAAGTAAGATTAATAAAATAAAGAGATATTAATAAAATAGGTAATATTTTAAAAGTAAGTTAATAATGGTAGTTTAATGATAAGTAAGTTATAATTATTAAGAGGAAAAAGTTATTAGTTCCTTTAGGCCTTAAAAGCTAGGGCTTTTTCTTATTATTAGGTTCTTTTATATTAGCCAAAAGCATAGTGTATAACTTATACTTGCTTATAACGTAGCATTGCATTAGCTCTAGCAGTTGCAATAGTTGTAAGCTTTATTTGTTTAGTAATTGCGATAATTGCAAGCTTTATCCGTTTAGCAAAATAAAGCTTTATTAAGTTCTGTTAGGTTTTAAAGAGAAGTTAAAGATAGGTTTGTAATAAGTTTATTTTTAATAAAGTCTTATATATAATAAACGCATATCTCTTAAATATTAATGAATATATATATAGATATTGCAGGGAATGCTACTTAATTTATTTAATCTTTGCAATGTTTGCTTAGGGAGTTTAATGATGCAGAAAGGCCTAAAGAAGTAATCATTGCTATGTAATGCTTGCTAATAAGAAGGATATAATTTTTAAGTTAGGGAAATCCTTATAGGGTTGCCTTTTCTACCTTATTAATTTATAATACTTATAACTACTAATTAGTATTAATAGGTCTCTTGTATGTATGATAATCATATAGGAAGCAATTATGTATTGGTATTGTTCTATCTAAGTTCTGAAAGGCTACGTGCCCCGGAGGGGATAACTAAAGTAGCCTTCCAAGTGACGAGGGTCGTACTTGCCAACAGGATCACCATCGGAATCTTATCCTTGTCTGCCTTGGCCACCCCAGTTTGGATGATCGAGAGGGGAACCCTCCGGCTTTGCCCTCGAGGGACAGCTCTATGTAGGCCCAGTTCTTGTGGCTTTTGTATGCCCAACCGAGGGAGTCTTTCTTCACAGGCATTGTAAGATTAGGTGGCTCTCGCTCGGCCGAAGGGTCCCAGTCAGCTTTGATGATGCATGCCACCGGCTTGCCACCACCGGAAGCGGTGGTCGATGCTTCCTGAGACATCGATAATGATTTGGATATGCAACAGTGTAGTTTTGAGGTGAGGAGGAAGGAGGGGCTTGACGCCTGTCGGAAGTGGGTATGGTATCAAGGGGATCGTGTCGATGATGTTCGGATGTATTCTTCCTGTACGGTCAGTCTGTGTTTGAGCAGATGCCTGGTGCTGGGACAGGCTACCGTGGTTATTACTCACGGTGTTGAGGTCGATACTCGAAATGGACGGCGTCCAAGTTAAAGACACGTCGTGGTTGCGCGTGTTCTTGTGCATGTGTACAAGAGGAAGAGGGTCGATGTGTAGAAGAAGAAGGGGAGGGTCGATGTGTAGAAGTAGAAGGAAGGGAGTCTATGTGTAGAAGAGGAAGGGAGGGAGTCGATGTGTGTAAGAAGGAAGATGCTCGAAGTGTAAAAGAAGGAAAGGGATCAGAGTGTAGAAGAAGGAAAGGAATTGATGGGAACTGGTCGCCAGGAATTATTTTATATTCTTCAGCGATGGCTCGCAGTGACCGAGGTGTCTGCGAGTCACCAGATGATTCGGACGAGACACTGTGAATAACGGAACTCACGAGCAATGCCCTCTGACCTACTTGTCTCCAGTGACTCACGCCCTCACCCGGAAGGTTCAGATTTGGCTTGGACACATAAGACGATAACAAATACAAGACCGATGTGACAAGTCCCACATGTTGGTCACTTCTCGTAGAAGAAAAGTACAAGTTATTCATGCTCATGCCGCCCTGTCACAGACAGCCCATATACCTAGGTACACAGGTAAATTAGCCTTGGATTCAGCAGGAGAGCGTGAGGCAAGCTGCAAGTTGTTTCCTCATTCCAGGTCGAGTAATAACTGTGTAATAACCATAATCATATCCTGGGCAGAGAAGAGAGTACCCTTGGAGTACGACAAGTGGAAGAAAACGGACATCGTAATGGGTTCTGGTCTACAATGTCTGGTGAGACGCCGAGTCAGTTACACCGGTCATCTTGGTCAATATGGACTCTGTTTTGCTATGAGGCAGACTCGGATCTTGCTGGAGGGGGAAAAGAGCAGCACATATGTAGTTAAGGTGTTTGTTCAAGTCGAGGTCCTCCAGGCATGGAAACGTAAAGAATTAATGATGTACAACGACCACTCGGCAGGACATATTAGACTTCCTTGCCGTTATTCAAAGTCAATATTCTACGTACCGCTACAGTTGAGACATTTTAGACATCAATTTGAGCCACAATCGAGGATGATCACCTTTACCGTCCAGACGTAAATATAGATTTCGTGTCGCAAGTAATGCGAGAGTTTCCCATTTTGAAGCAATGCATTCAGCAGGAGCAAAACAGAATACAGGCCGAGTGGCTGGTATTACCTATTTCCCATGGGTTGTCTTCTGCTTATTCCAGCATCAGAGATGTACCAACAAGAGACTGGTACTGATATCTCGAGTGAGTCTATAATTATGTGTACACTTCGAATTGTGTTCAGAACTGAGTCGTCTGCCTAAGTACTTTACTCTCGGCTGCTCTACCTAGCCTCTCAAGACAGCAACTGGTGGCATTGGACGTCGTCCAATTGTGTGGTGCATTTGGCCCAGGCCAACGTAGCAATGCCCCCAGGGCCGCCATCAAGCGTTCTGGAGATCACTTACTCAACATCACTCAATGAATTCTCTTGGGCACTCATGTACCTGCAGGTAGATAGATATCCATGACAGTGGGAATAATTTATTTCTCAGCCAAGCTGGGCATGTAGGCTCGTTCTCAGCAAGATTGCCAGGCTCCTTCATTCAGCAACCAGAGTAGGAGAGAGCGCAAAGGGAGGGTACGTACCGTGACTGCCCGAATAGGAAAGAAGCCAGAAGGTACGTACCATGGCAGCATCGAAGGAAGGAGCGTACTGCCTTGCCGGTGAGATCAAGTCGTCGAGACGCTCCTTCCCAGAATCTGAGTTTTCCGTCTTCCGTACCTGCCTCGTTTTTATCATTAATCACATCATGGTTGCCCACCCCAAACAACTCGTCGGCCTTTTGGCCAAGTACAAGGCCGAGTTCGAGCCTTCCTGCCCCGGTGTCCCCGGGGGTAACCTGTGAGACGCCCTCGCCTGTCTTTTTGCGCGCCGACAGTCACGATTCTTTACTGCTTGACCCTCAGCCTTTTCAGTTTCTCAATCCCTTAGTTTCACTTGATTTCCCCTGTCTCTCGAGCACCCCTTCCTCGGTATACTTCGTCGAGCTTCTTTTGTTCCTTGAAAGCAACCTGGGGGTTCCTCGCGAGCAACTGGAGGGCTTCCTTGGGCGCTGATGCGACGAGACCTCAGCGCGTGGTTCCGCGGGCTTGACGACTTTTCCAGCTCGATAGCCCCATGGCTTCCAATGCGGTGGGACTTCGGGCTTCGGAGGTCTGACGTGGGACAGACACTCTTGGCTTTGATTTTATATTCGTCGTCGTGTTTGAAATCGAATCAATTGCTTGACCATCGTCGCTCGCATCTTGCATATCTCGTGCTCTTCCCCTTCATGTCCAGTTTCTTCTCTCTCGATGTTCTCAAGTGCTTGTCGTTGCTTTGAAGTCCCTTTGCTGTTATTCTTATCTTCCCAAGTGTTCTCTGACCATGTGCTCGGGGGTTGTGGTAGCTGTGGGCTGTACTAACTATATATATATAGCGACGTCGACGACATCGAAGGCCTCGCCTTCGACTCGGTCCCCCCTGCCCCGGCCGGGTCGGTCCTGCCCCCTGCCGTCGCCGCCGCCGTCGCCGCAGGCCCTGCCCTCCCCGCCGAGGAGGAGAAGAAGGAGGAAAAGGAGAAGGCGAAGGAGAAGAAGGAGGAGCCTGCGCCCGCGCCCGCGCCCGCGCCCACGCCCACGCCCAAGCCCACGCCCACGCCCGCCTCCGCCTGGCCCGCCCCCCGCCAGGCCCTGAAGCCCACCCAGGGCAAGGGCAAGAAGCGCCCGGCTTCTTCGCCAAGAAGTAATTTTTTTTTTTCGTTCATAAAAAAAAAAGATCAATTTGCCTGGCCGAACGCACTTGCTTGGCTGTTCAATGGGACAGCCTTGCTCTGCTTTTGGACCACCAGCGACCAGCACTTGCTTGGCTGTTCAACCCGGCCTGCTTCGACCTCTCTTCAACGAACAGGCCGACACTTGCTTGGCTGTTCACCCGGCCTGGCCTTGCGTACGCTCCACGACGTGCAGGTCTCCCCACGACGTGCAGGTCTCCCCACGACGAGCAGGCCTCCCCACGACGAGCAGGTCTTCTCACGACGAGCAGGTCTCCTCACGACGAGCAGGCCTCCCCACGACGAGCAGGCCTCCCCACGACGAGCAGGCCTCCCCACGATGAGCAGGCCTCCCCACGACGAGCAGGTCTCCCCACGACGAGCAGGTCTTCTCACGACGAGCAGGTCTCCTCACGAAAGCAGGCCTTCCCACGATGAACCAGGCTTTGCGAAGCCGGCCAGCACTTGCTTGGCTGTTCAACCCTACCTGCCCCTACCTGCATCCCACGGCGAGCCAGTCTTTCCACGACGAGACAACCTTTGCGCGACAAGGCAGGCTTCCCACGACGACGCAGACTAGCACAACGAGCAAGCCTTCCCACGATGAAGCGAGATTTGTACGTTTACGACGGGCCAGACTCGCACGGCGGGCCAGCACTTGCTTGGCTGTTCAATGCGGTCTGCGTTTGTTTGCGGTCACTCACGACTCAGCCGCTCGCCCGGAACCAAGAAACACGGCCTAACGCTAGTCGGCGCTTACTCAGCCCCCCAGCAGCACCACACCTAAAAAGACCATGACAAAGTCTCAAAGGTCTGCAAATCTCCATTATAATCATTAAGAAGAGTGTATTGAAAAGCTAACATTATCTCTTCTGCCTGCTAGACTTTCTATCCTTTTCTCAAACGTTTATTCATCAATGCTTCCAACATGCGCCGAAGCCGAGCTTGCACTCTGCATCAAGTGCCTCAGAGGTTAACGAGACATGGGATCGACGCCAAGGAGACAGGAGCTCTGGCTTGGTTCCAGTGTGCTCCGTATCTTTGTAATGTTGAACACGGTAGAGCACGAGTGATTGGATTTTGGGTATTATGTGGTCTCGTTTTTAATCTGTACACATATGCTTCTTAAGCAATATTTTTTGGGTATTATTTTAGACATTTTGGATGCTTTCTCAGCTTGTTTTAGAGTTTGATTTGGGATATTCTTTGGATACTATTTTGGATTTTGTTTTTGGTATTATTTTCATTATTTTGGATTATTCTGGAGCTCTGGAGGGACTTGGGCATTGGCATTTAAATTGGACATTTGGAATGGATAACAGTCTGTGTCAGGAGCTTTTGAGAGCGACAGTGTTGTCTGGAATAGAGCGAGTACAACAGGTATAGACGAAATCATCACTGTTCAACGCCTCACATCTATCATTTGTATGCTGGAGTCTCAAAAGGGCTGTTTAAGATGTGCCATTTGCTAGCATCAGGTAGAGTTCCAAAGTACACATGCTGAAATGAGCTTGGTGAGCCCTGCATTGGCGCATGGCCTAGAGGCTTGCTCCATCACAGGCGAGACATGGTGCACCTGTATAGACTTATGACCTATGTCCTGGAAATTAATCACAACGGCGGCACCGTAACGGAGACCGGCAGAGGTGGTCGGCGGCCAAAACCGCTTGAACTGGCAGGACATGATCAACATCCAGCAAGTCGCTGAGGCAATGCTGGCGTAAGACAAGAAGTGATATCCTGAAGTTTCACTCAGCATCTGAAGAACTATAAATAGAACCTCATCTGGCAGAGAGAGAGGGTGGGGGAAAGGAAAGGCTACTCAGCACAAGTATCATTTATATCATGCCAACCACCAGCAAGAAACATTTCACAGAGGTAATTTTTATAAAATCTAATTCACATAAATCTTAGGGTGTTGTTAAGAATGAAAAAAAAAAAAAAAAAGGAATACCACGAGGATATCTCGACCTAGGTGGATGTTAGAGTACGGTGTGTAACTCCACAAGCTGTCAGAAACACTTACCACGATGTGAGTCGAACACACAATCTTCAGAGAAGTTGATTTCAACCGAAATCTGACGCCTTAGCCATTAGGCCACGCGGCCGTTGTTGATGACAGGGATTTTTTGAAATTCTCATATCACCAGCTTCGCAGTGAGACTGACTAGTGGAGAGGTCAAGTGGACCGTGCAGAGCGGCTTGCCCGGCACTTGTGGGCAGTCGTCACTTGTGGGCAGTCGTCACTTGTGGGCAGTCGTCACTTGTGGGCAGTCGTCACTTGTGGGCAGTCGTCACTTGTGGGCAGTCATCACTCGTGGGCAACCGTCACTTGTGGCCAGCAGTCACTTGTCCGCCATGCTCCACACCAGGTGTGATAGGGGAGCAGGTAAAATACACTATCAGCACAGTGGCTGCCGGTGGGCGGAGTTCCCGGGGTGCGGGTGTCCCTTCCGGATGACGGGCCGGGCTGACACGTACGCTGGGGACCGCTACGACATGGCCCTGAACACAGCGTAGCAGCAAGTATTTCCTGCGCGGATCAATTGGCAGGATTCCGGCACAGATGAGGTGCTTTGGTCGGTATCTGATCATATACGCAGTCGCCTCCAACAGCATTGCCAACGGAGGTATTGTGATTGGTGGCACTCTCCCACATCGACCTGCCTTTTTTCCCCTTTCGGCGCGGCACGGAATCACAATCGCCCACCACTTCGAGACATTCAGCCACAGGCCACCCACCACTTCGTCACCGAGCATACTGCAGCGCCACGTGCGAGCGTCTGTTACCAGACAACTTCGTGGCTACGAGTGTAGCAGCGTGGCAACGCGCAAACGGTCGGCTAGCATGCCGCTCGTTTGGGCGTTTCTCAACGTTGTGGCCATCCGCCCAAGTGCCGAGATTTGTCCTCCTTGGGCCATCCAGGAATGATCGACCCGGCTGTCCGTCCTACTTGGCCCTCCGAGCTGGCGTCCTCAACCCAGCTCCCCACGAACGCGGCCCAGCGGCAAGCGACTTTCTCTCCTGGACCCTGGGCGATGCGAAATGGGCATCAAGTGATTTGACCAGAAGCGCGCTCAGGCACATGACATGTTCCTGAATCATCAAACTACAACGCTGAAGCTTGGAACGCCGGCGGGCCCCTTTACCGGGTTTGGCAATGTCGCGGACCCTATGTCCGCGACAAAAGAAGGTGATGAAGGGGGGCCACTGGCGGTCTCGGCGGCCGACGACTTCAGCCGGTTCGCCAAGCATGCATCCCCTGCCATGCCCACCGGCCTATCAGCCTCTCTGCCATTGTCTGGTACGAGTACTGTATCTGTCTGTATTCCATCTGTCTCTCGCTGCACGCATGGTAGAGTAGATACAGTACCTGCGTCTGGACCTCACATTGTCAACGACGCCACACGCGTATCCCTGAACTGACCTCGTCCACGTCCACGTCCACGAACCAGCGGCTCGGGATATCCATACCTGGTCGGTGCACCACTCATCACAACGTCCTCCGCACAGGTACAACTACTGTGCATGCATACAACGGATTCAGGACCGTTTCCTACTACCAACATTTGGGGTTGCCACGGCCCCAACGCGCTTGATCTGCCACTCACACCAGGTCTCGCCTGCTCTCGGCCGTGGCGACAACGGGAGCCCAGAGCGACGCAACCACGGAACGAGGGAACTCAAGCCTCGGCAGGCGGCTGTGTGGCTTGCCGCCTCCGTGAGATTTAATATATTTCGTGGTCCTTTTTCTCCTAGCGCCTTGTGCGTACTTGTCATGCGTTGCATCTCAAATTGATTGTGCGCACAAATTGAGATGCGGACGGGGGCGTCCGTCGTACCAGCCTACCGCGCAAATTCCCATCTCGTGGCCAGACCCCAGTCGGTTCATCCGTACGCACCGGATGGGGCCTAGGGATGCATCTTCTGGGTGGCAGCCATGGTCGACATGCTTCTTGGGCTGGTCAGGGGCCAGACACCCGGAGGGGGGCTTATCAGGACAGGGCATTTCATATTAAATCCCCCATGCCGGCAGCAAGCGACCACAACATGTCGTAGAAGTGCTCTCTTCAGCTCGTGGCGATCTTGTCGAAGAGGACCTGGCGTCCGACTATTGCATTCACAGGCACCATGGGGATCTTCACTCGCCTTTCCCTGTTGGCCCTGGCCGCAGCGCCGTGTAAGTGATTATCATCCTGCACCTGATGGATCAGATCAGCCTCGAGCATCAGGCTGACTGCAGACAGTCCTCGAGACAGCATGGGCACAGTCATCTACGGCGGTTGTGTACAAGGACCCGGCAACGGGAATCATATTCGATACGTGGACCGTCCCGCAGGCGTCTACGAACGGCACATGGACCTTCGGTGCCGCCCTCCCCTCGGATGCCCTCACAAAGGATGCTGCAGAGTTCATCGGTTACATAGTATGTGAACTCAACGCGAGAGACACCAAGAGACACTGAGCTTCGTTGACTAACAAACCCCGCCCACAGCAATGTGCCTCCCCAAACCCAGCCACCCAAGGGTGGTGTGGCACGTCCTTCGGAGGCTCAATGACGAACTCGCTGCTCCTCACGGTGTGGCCGAACAACGGCCAGATCTTGACCTCGTTCCGTTATGCGACAGGCTACGTGATGCCTGATGTCTACACTGGCAACGCAACACTGACACAGATTTCGTCCACTATCAACTCTACGCACTACAGCCTGATCTTCCGTTGCCAGGGCTGTCTGGCGTGGGAGCAAGGCGGTGCAACTGGCAGTGTCTCTACAAGCTCCAAGTTCTGGCTTCTCGGATGGGCGCAGGCCAACCCGGCTCCCGGCAACCCGACCTGCCCCAGTCAGATCACCCTCGCGCAGCACGACAACGGGCAGAGTCTCTTCCCTGCCACCCTGGACACCAACGCTGCCAACCCATCATACGCTTCGTGGGCTGCTCTTGCCACCAAGACCGTGACTGGCAGCTGTGGGGGCGCCACTACCACAACCACATCCGTGCCGACGGCGACGTCCGTCCCTGGCGTTCCAGTCCCAACCGCAACGTATGACTACATCGTCGTCGGGGCCGGAGCAGGCGGCATCCCCATCGCGGACAAGCTCAGCGAGTCCGGCAAGAGTGTCCTCCTCATCGAGAAGGGGCCACCGTCTTCAGGCCGGTGGGGTGGCCAGGTGAAGCCGACTTGGCTAAGCAGCACCAACCTGACGCGATTTGACGTCCCCGGTCTTTGCAACGAGATCTGGGTCGACTCGGCGGGCATCGCCTGCTCTGACACGGACCAGATGGCTGGCTGCGTCCTCGGTGGCGGCACTGCTATCAACGCTGGTCTCTGGTGGAAGCCCAACGCCATTGACTGGGACTACAACTTCCCCAGTGGCTGGAAGTCAGCAGACATGACCGCCGCGACCGGCCGGGTCTTCTCGAGGATCCCAGGCACAGACCACCCCTCAATGGATGGGCAGCTATACCTTCAACAGGGCTTCGATGTGATATCAAGCGGATTGAAGACTGCCGGGTGGACTTCCGTGACGGCGAACAACGTGCCAAACCAGAAGAACCGCACATATGCACACACGCCTTACATGTTCAGCAATGGCGAGCGAGGTGGCCCCATGGCGACATATCTGGTGACCGCCAACGCCAGGAAGAACTTCAAGCTCTGGACGGGAACGTCCGTCAAGCGAGTGATCCGCTCAGGCGGCCACATCACCGGCATCGAGGTCGAGCCCTTCCTCAGCGGCGGCTATGCGGGTGTCGTCAACGTCACGGGCATCACTGGCCGGGTCGTCCTCTCCGCAGGCACGTTCGGCTCCGCGAAGCTGCTCATGCGCAGCGGCATCGGCCCGGCCGACCAGCTCGCCGTGGTGGCCAAGTCTGTCGACGGCCCGACCATGGTCGGCAACCAGTCGTGGATCAACCTCCCCGTCGGCTACAACCTAGAGGACCACACCAACACCGACACCGTCGTCGAGCACCCCAACGTGACATTCTACGACTTCTACGAGGCCTTCGACACGCCCGTCGCGGCCGACAAGGACATGTACCTCAACAAGCGCTCCGGCATCCTCGCGCAGGCTGCGCCCAACATCGGCCCCATGTTCTGGGACCAGATCGTCGGCGCGGACGGCATCACGCGGCAGCTGCAGTGGACGGCGCGCGTCGAGGGCAGCGACGGGACGCCCAACGGCAAGGCCATGACCATGTCGCAGTACCTCGGCCGGGGCGCGGTGTCGCGGGGCCGGACGACCATCACCTCCGGGCTGAGCATGGTGGTGTCCACGCTGCCCTACCTGCAGGACAAGAACGACGTCGCCGCCGTGATCCAGGGCATCAAGAACCTGCAGGCGTCGCTCAAGTCCGTCGCCAACCTGACCTGGACGTACCCGGACCCGTCGACCAGCGTCGAGGACTTCGTCAACAACATGGTGGTCTCGTACGGCAACCGCCGGTCCAACCACTGGATCGGCAGCGCCAAGCTGGGCACCGACGACGGCCGCAACGGCGGGACCGCCGTCGTCGACCTCAACACCAAGGTCTACGGCACCGACAACCTGTTCGTCGTGGACGCGAGCATCTTCCCCGGCCACGTCACCACCAACCCGTCCTCGTACATCGTCACCGCCGCCGAGAAGGCGTCCGAGAAGATCACCGCCCTCGCCGCCAACAAGGCCAACGCCAGGTACGCCCAGTGCGGCGGCCAGCAGTGGACCGGCAGCTTCACCTGCGCCGCGCCGTACACGTGCCAGTGGCAGAATGCTTATTACTCCCAGGTATGTGTCCTTGTCATGCTTATCCTCCTCCCAGATCGTACTTGCTCTTCTAACAATTGGAATTATAGTGCCTTTGAGACCACGCTGGGGTAAAGCAAGATGTTGCGGTCTTTTGCTGTGTTCTATTTGTATATACTTACCACGAGAGTACATAACTTCAATTACATACTTTCTAGACACATGTCCATTTCTATTCATCCCACTATGTCCTTATTGATGGGGAGCTTATTCGTGACACTATGCCGGCTTTGGACAGCTGATGATGTTCCCGTCGGACCGCCCGTTTTTCAATCAAACGCACCCAAATTGCCTGTGCCGTCGTCAGGCTTGCGTGCGGCATCTTTTCTACTTCTTTTGATTATAGGGCTGTCTATACAGTACTCTGTCAGTGCAAGATCGCCGCCACTGCCCATATGTCGAATATCCTAAAGTGTCATGGTACCGTTCCCTTGTTTAAAAAAAAATCATCGATACCTCGTAGCTAGCCATGGCAATGCTGCCTGCACTGGTTCTCGTGTTGCAAGGCCCCTTGACAGCTATTATACTCCATGGCATCCACGTAGAGATCTTCACGTCGGCCGTACAATACTCTGAATTTTCGTCGGGACGTGTAGAGCTCATCCCGGTTGGTTGATACTTGTCTCACACCAATCACCCCTCTTGGAGACTCAAGCAGATGGTTTCATTTACTCGGGAGCCTACCGTCACGGATGTCAACTCCCTCGCACGGAGACTAGACCAAAGTAGGGCCGAAGGCCTTAGCTCAGGGTAGTGTAAAACTTGTGCTGTTGGATACTACCGCAGTCCATCCAGAAGAACCTACGACGTAATCGTTTACTCGAAGGTTTTGAGAAGGCGCAGGTGACTCAGAAATCTCGCATCGGGATATACTGGGCTCTGGGGCGGATGCCAGCGAACGCATGGGTCGAGGTCAAATACTGCATTGTCCAACGCACACACAAAGTGAGAAGACATGACCATGACTGTACAGTCCGGTCTCGAATACACCAAGCGTATATACACCGGGTTTCTCCCGGTACTAGACTACTACTAAGCAGTAATATCAATCGCCGAACCCTCAAACGCCGTGTGCAAAACCGTCCCTGTTCGAGAACCCGACAGACCCTGATGTCTTCTCTCGCGCTGCAGTGACCAGTGAAAGGGATATACATTTCAGCTACCTAGGGTGGTCTGCCTGGGCAGAGAACTGAGGGGCACAATGTCTCAATGCTGGACGGATGCGAGTACCCTTTTGTGTTTTAAGTCTCTAATGCCACAGCTCACTTCTCATCCTCTGGCTCTGTATCTGTATTAGTCGCACTTGTGTCTTCCTCTTCCTCCTCAGTACCGCTCTCCTCGTCGGACTCGTCCTCGGCAGGCTTCTTCTTCTTTGGTGGCGGTGGTGCACCGCCCTTGGCTGCATTCATTATGCCAGCGATGGAATCTGTCCGGTCTGTTAGATGCCGTACTTTCAAATTTTGAGAGTGAATTGGTCCCGGTGGGAAACACTTACCCTCATCTGGTTCACTAATCTCGTCCTCGGCCGCCATCGCCGCAGCCTTGCTCGCTTCCTCCACCACAAGAGTCACCTCCATCTTGGTATCGAAGCCCACGTAGCTGTCACAAGCCACGTGCATGACAAAGGTGTAGTGACCGGCCTGTGGTGGTGCTGCAAACTGTGCCTTGAGCGTGACCATGTTGAACGTGGGCGTCTTTCCGTCTTCCTCGAATATTGGGGCGTCGAACTGGGTGAATGTGAAAGGGGGCACGGCCATCTTGCCTTGCTTCGAGTCTGACAGGAATACGTGCCACCGAGGAGAGTGCTCACGACCAAAGTACGGCGAGAAAGCCAGAGATGGCAGGATTGGCTTGTCGTCACCTGCAACAGGCACTGGCTTTCCGTCGGCACCTTTGACAGTCTTCTTCTTCTTGCCGAGAATCGCATCCAAGTCATCTTCCGCTGGGTCCACGTCGATAAGGTCAAGCTCGTTAACCTCAGGGACATTCTCAGAGCCGGGAGGGATGATACGACCCTTCACAACAAGAGTAACAAGGGAGGATGGGATGATGAAGCGCTCGCCGGTGACCTTGAAGAAAGCCTTTGCGACCCGCAGGTATGGTAGTTGCTTGGCGACGCTGACTGCGGTCTTGTACTGCTCCTCAGTGAGAAGACCCTTGCCAACGGCAAGTTCTCGTCGCTTGGAGTCAGGTTGGTCCATGAACTTTTGCAAGGTAGTAGGCACCTTCGAGTCACCATCCACAGCCTTGGCGATAGCAGGTGTGAAGAAGGGCAATTGCAGGAGAGGAGAGGCCACAGGCGACAGGGCTTGGATAAGCCGTTGGCTGGCGTGGAAGGAGGCAAGAATCGGGGCGGTGAATCCGAACGCGATCGCGATGGCCGTGAAAGACTTGACCAGCGACTCGGCGATGGGCGCAACCTCGAACTTTTGTTTCTCCAGAGTCGGATCATCCAGTTCGATGCGGCCTAGGTAAGCCCACAGCAGTGCCAGGGTCTTCCTCCTGACTCCGTTCTCGAGGTCTTCCAGCGTCTCCTTCTCCTTGGTCGAGAGGCCTGCTGCAGTGGACTGCCCTTCGCCTGAAGCCAGGATGCGCGATTCGATCTTCGACAGTCCGGCGTCCGCCTTGTCCCCCTTAAGAACAGCAGCAAATTCCTTTCCGGTGCTCAGCGCGGTGATGACGCCACCAACGTCGACATCGTTCTTGTACTCCTTGAACAGGCTGTTGGCGCTCTCCATGAGGATGCCCTCCTTGGACCGCCGTTGAGTACCGTACCACCAGGAACCGACGTAGTAAGGAAGCATGACGCCAAACAGCAGGAAGTAGACCAGTACCACATACTTGCCGTTGCCTTCCGAAACCATCAGCTTAGGCAGGGCGATACCGATGCTCATGCTCTGCCTTCCGTCCGGGTGGCCATACTGGATATAGTTGTTCCGCACCTCCTCGTCGGTCAGCGCCTGGTATGCCTTGGAGATCTCGACGTAGCGATCGTTCAGCGACTCGATTGTCTCATTCTTGGCCGGGTCGGGCTTGATCTTGTCGGGGTGGAACCTCAGAGACAGCTTCTTGTAGGTAGACTTGATGGCTTTCTCGGTAGCGGACTGTAGTCGTTGTTAGTCGTCATGAAGGACTGAAGGTGGGACGTATGAAGGTGGAGTGAAGGCTCACCTCGGAAATGCCCAGGATATCATACGGATTCCACACTCTCTGCACTGCAGGCGTCTCGACATAGTGGATGAGATACAGGGTGTAGGCCATGACGGCCCAGCCTAGGACAACAAATATCGTCAGGCCCACCCGCCTGTTTTGTTTCCTGTCCTTGGCCCGTTGTGAGGCGACGAGGTCGGCATGTTTGGGCTTGTAGTCGGTCTGAACCCGGGGGAACAGCTTCGAGGGGTTGTTTATAGAACCCTTGAGCAGGAAGTATGTGGCTGGGACCGTCGTGATCGCTGTGACCGTGAACGCGAAGAACGGCCACATGGACGAGTCTGTGTCATAGTCGTAGCTAGACATGGTCGCCGATTTGTGGAGCGATGGCGATCAAGCTGTTTCTTGCGCCGGTTAGGCGAGGGCGAGGCGAGAGCTCGCAAAGGAAGTCGGGAACGGCCAGCAGGCAGAGGCTGGGGTGATGAAAGGAACGGAGTTGTGGGCGGCACAAGAAAAGACACCATGAACAGGTGGAAGGAACAGAAGCGCCCGTAGGTAAGGGGTTGAAAAAGGAAAGCGACGCAGCGTCTGCAGCCTGGTGTGTTGTCGCCGGTGAATGTGGGTGGGCAGCGAGAGGAAGCTTGCGGTTAGGAAATGTGTCCTACAAAAACGAGCAGGGATTGTGGTAGTGACGGCTTGGAGGCCACGCTAAAATGCTTGAGGCCACTTGTGCAGTACCACCAGTACAGACGCTTACTGAAATGCGACAATCAGGGCCCCGGAAAGCGGACCGCACCTCAGCCCTGGGACAAAGAAACCAGCCCCACCGTCTCGAGGGACCTGGAGGGTTATAATTTGGCTGATAATGTGATGCTCGAGTCGAGCACTGACAGCGCAAGGCCGAACTACAATGAATTGAATGGAGGCGATCTCGTCGCAACAAGTTCGACGCCTGCCCATCTACAATTAACGTCATACTGTCACCCACAGTTCAGACCGAAGCGTTTTGAACATGGTCTGGCATTGCGCCCAGCTAGAAGCACCTTGTCTATCTTGTATATAGTCATCCGTACACACATAGTAAAACAGGTTCATGATTAGATGGGGGTTATGGCACAAGGCATGACCTCGCCTTCATCCATCAGTCCCTCCTCCTTTTCCAACGCCCGAGCACCGTGAACGATGCACAAGTAGAATTAGCAAAGCCATCTATCCCAGATTGCGACCCACGATGCTCAGTTTGCCCGGCAACATGTCCTGGTCTCCGTCTCTCTATCGTCATGTGAGAACCCCTGCCGCCACAATGCACATGTAAGCTATGCCCGCGACTACCACCAGCAACCCCACAACCTGCAGAGGAAGAAGAACGATGGCCGCAAGGAATACGACACCAATCTGGCGCATCCGCTCCAGTCGCTTGTCATGTGCAGCGGCCGAGGCCTCAGCTTCGGCCTGCCACCATGATGCCTTTCCATACCCACTCCCTCCTGCCTGCGTGTCGTCCTCGGAGCAGTCCCCGGTACTCAGGCTCGTCGTTGTCGTCGTCTTCCTCGTCCGATTGTCAGGAGAATTGGAACCCTCCCGGGAACCCACGCGCCCGGCCGCCACTGCCGTTAGCAAAGTGGAAGCCGCCGCCTCCGGGGGAATCCACCACCACCGAACCCTCCACCGCCGCCACCGAAGCCACCTTGCTGGCCCATCATGCTGAAGAGGATATCAGGGTCGATGCCCATGCCGCCACCGCCACCGCCGCCGAACATGTCGGACATGTCCAGGTCGTCACCAGCGTCGTACCGAGCTCGCTTTCTATACTTTTGTTAGCTTCAATCACCTGCCATCAAGTGTTTTCTGTCATCAACTTACTGAGGATCGCTCAAGGTCTCGTATGCTTCGCTGATGTCCTTGAACTTCGCCTCGGCCTCTTCGTTGCCAGGGTTTTTGTCGGGGTGGTACTGGATGGCCAATTTTCGGTAGGCCTTCTTAATTTGGTTGTCGTCAGCATCCTTAGACACGCCCAGGATCTTGTAGTGATCCTTGCGTTGGCTCTTCTTGAGCTCGATTTCAGCCTTTCGTGCCTCCTTTTGAATGGAAGCGTCTGATGGATCAGCCTCCGCAAGAGCCTTCCACTCTCGCACCGCGTCTTCCCATTTCTCGGCGCCACCAAGGGCATTCGCCTTGGTCTTACGGGCCTTGGTGTAGCTGGGGTCCAGACTCAGAGCCTTGTCGCAGTCTGCGATTGCCTCATCGTACTGCTTGAGCTGTTGGTAGCAGAGGGCGCGGTTCTGCAGGATCTTGGCGTTCGTGGCCTTGTTTGCAGGGTCCACGTCAAGAGCCACTGTGTACTTGTCGATGGCAGCCTGCCATTGACGGGACTTGTACGCGGCATTTCCTTCCTCTTTCGTCTTGTGCAGATTCCTGACGATCTTGAGCCATTTGATGGCGTCCCGGAAGTCAGGGTCACAGCTGATGGCCATTTGGAGGACTTTGATGGCCTTGTCGTTCTCGCCTTGCCCATAGAGCCCACGAGCTCGCAGGACCAGGGCCTCGGGATCCTGGCTGTTGTTCCTCAACAAATTAGTGGCAACATTCTGGGCTTCCCCGAGAGAGTTGACACCACCCATTTTAAGGTAAGCCTCTCCCCGCATCAGCTGCCACTTGCGCGGCTTCCGAGCCCCAGGTCCAAGTAGCCTCTCGGCCATATCGAGAGCGTGCAGCACCAGGGACGGTCCCCTGCCCTCTTCTAACCCTTGCTGAGCGGATTGTATATATTGCAACATCTCCTTTGCCTGTGCCATGTCTTTGGCGGAAGGAGGGGGCCTGATGCGCTGGAAGGTAACCATTGCTTCGTCTGGTTGTCCCAAGTTGGTGTAGATCCGGGCCAGACGGAGCAAGATCTTAGGGTTGGTGGAGTCCAGGTCGACCGCCCGCTTGCAGTCCTCAAGGGCAGATTCAAATCTACCATCGGCCATGTACGCGGCAGCCCGATTGCCCAGGTACGTGGCTGAGTCCGGTTGCAGGTCGACGGCTGGGGTTTGATTCGTTAGTAAACCAAAACTTGTCGGAATATCCGGCGAAGACGCAACAAACCTTTGGAGTACTCCTCAATGGCCCGCCTGTAGTTTCTTTCCTTGAAGAACTTGTTGCCCAGATTCTTGAAGACCTCAGCCTCGTCGGCGGGGGTCGGCGGGGGGCTGTTGGGATCGCTCGTGTGCGGGGGAGGAGCAGGTGCGTCCTCTTTCTTGGGAGAAGACGACCCATTGGTGGCAGGAGGGGTCTGCTCGCCGGTCTGCTCTGCTGCAGGCGGCGACTCCTGCCGTGGAGGAGACGACGGGGTCGCTGCGCTGCTGGGCGGATCGACGTCCATCCTGTCGACCGACTCGCGTGCACTCATGGCTGACAGCCTCGAGAGCCTCTTGATCTCGTCTGGTGGGAGATTGAGAGGATGTGTGTTGGTGTCGGCCTTCTTCTTTCGAGAAGAAGAAGATTTGCCGAGGTCGGACGAGGCTCTAGAAAAGTGCCGGGAGCTGCTGGAGCGGTGCTTTGCCTCGCCTCCCGAGGGACTGGTTGGCGTCGCCGGCGAAGCGGGTCGGGCTGACCTTTTGCTGGGCGACGACGAGGCGGACTTGGACGGTGACTTTGTGGGCGAGGATGACTCGGAATGAAAGTAGTCTGCGTCCAAGACGTAGTCGTCGTGGTCGTTGGGGTGGGGTTTCTTGGTAGACTTCTTCCCGAAGAACTTCATTTGAAATAAAGCAGGCAGGTGAGATAAGCCGAGCTCTATGACTTTTTTCCTCCCTGGCTGACGGAAAGCCCCCTAGTTCCTGGTCCTGCGTACTGGGACAGTACTAGTGCAGGTCACAGCGGCGAGGGAAAAAAAGTTCTGGATTGGGGTCTCCTGTCCTGTCCTGTCTGCCTGTCCTGCCGCGGCCGCACAAGACTATGCACACAATGCGATTTGCAAGGTCAAGCTGGGTAACCTAGACTTCCGACTGTTGCATAAACAAATAACGGGTGCGGGATGGGAACAAACGTGGGGCTTCCCTTTTTTTTTTTGCTGGTCCCCTTGTCGGCCGCTTCAGATGGTGGTGGATTTGCAGTGGAGTAGGAGCTCCAGTCGTTCTTTGGATACAGTCGCTCAGGTATGTAACGTTCAGGCGTGGGCGAACAAAGCAGCCGTTTGCAACGCGCTGTATTTCTTTGGATGTATGCGCGTATGAGTGTGATTTGGGCAGTGGGAGATTGCAGATTCCGGATTGCACGGCGCCGAACTCTATCGAGGACAAGCAAGACGCAATCAACTCCGAACCTCTTTCTGTCCTCTTCTCTCCTCTCTCTCTTTCGCTGGGCGGGAACTTGCAACACCAGCTGGACGGTTATGCAGGTACCTGAGGACTTGATCGAGGAGCAGGAGGCGGAGGAGTCGAGATATTTCTGGTGGTAGGCAGAGACGAGGCTGGAAGGCGAGACTCGAGAAGATGAGGGCGGGGCCGGGGACAAGAGCAGCAATTATCAAGCAGAGCAAGAATATGGGAGGGTTCTAGGTTTGCGTGAGAGGTTTTGACAGGGCTCCGGGGAGATTTATCAGCTTTCAAGCATATCGACGAACCGTATCCAGCTGGCCTTGTACACCGTAGCGGAGGAGGGCCAGACGAGGGAAGAAGGTCTAGGGCCTCGGGATTAAACCAGCCCAGCCCAGCCCAGCACACAGCACGGCAGAGCCACAGCAGAGCTCAGTCTCGACACGCGCCTCTCTGCCTGACAGCAAGAGCAGTTACGGCAAGGCGCTCCGGCCCCTGGCAAGAGACAGGCAGCATCCATTGGCCTCTCGACCGCACTCTGCATTCTGTGGTTCATATGCCACCCAATTGCACCGAGTGTGCCCCCGTCTGCAGGGCCTGCACAACCACTCAGCGCCAGGTCAACACACGTCAATCGCCGTCCGTTCAACCACCTGGATTTCCAGCCGCGCCCAATCGCCGCACAAGTAAACAGACATGGACCCGCTATTTGGGGGGGAACTTGCCGCTGCTGTGTACCTACTGTATGTAGGTACGTTAGACCGTCTGCCCAGAGGGCGTATTCAGTCCTGATGCAAGCCAGGGCCCAGCGACGGGCAGGAGATCCATCTGTGCCCCCCTCCTTCTCTGCGCCTCGGGTCACATCTCCCCAACACCCTTGCAAACGGTCGACCAATATCACTACCCGCGGGCTGGGGAGGCGGGAGCAGCCCGTCCGGCACAGGCTCCCGGCGCGCAGGGTGTGGGGGGAAGGCCCTGGAGGACCCTGGGACAGAAAGTGACAGCTGCCTATCCGCATCGACCCAAGGGTCAATCGGTCTAACCGATGTATCGCCATAAGCGTAAATTGCCTCATGTCACTGACCCGATGGAATTCTCGAACCTTCCACGCTGCCCTCCCACACGGAAAACCAGTGGCTGGCTCTACCCGGCTGCGAGCGATATGGACCACCCACTGGCTGCATCTCTTTGGCCGCCAGCCTAGTCAGCAAGGACTAGGCTGGCAGGTTGGCTCCTGGATGCGAACACTCCAGGCACGCCGTTCTCTTCAAACCGTCTAGACCAATTCGCTTGACTAGGAAGCGGCTACAGTGCGATGACGCGATGCAAGCACGTCCGGTCCAAAGTTCACCGCCAAGAGTAGGTGACCTTCTGTACGTACGATACCCACAAACACACACAAATCATATGCACGCATACACACATAGTTCGCAGCACTCGCAAACACACATGCACGGCGTGGTCGACGTGATTGGGCCGATGTTACTACTGGAAATATTGGAGGCTGATACTTTCACCGGGTTGATGAGATATCATGCCCCAGCTCACCATTTCTTATCAGCAAAAAGAGCACCAGGCCGTGTATGCGATTACCGTTTGGTGCCCCTGATATATTAACCGTGGTGACAAGCGAAACTTGCCCCAGCCCCCATGAACCATGCATCATCAATCATCACACATCATTACTCCTGCGCCTCATCCTCCTCAGCCGCCCCTCCGTTTCCGTGGCCTCCAGCAATGGAATTTACAAAGTCATGGTAGCGGAACACTTCCCCCCTCTTTCCGAAGCCTGCTGCTCCTCCGCCCTTCACCTTGCCACCGAACGCCCTCTTTCCACAGAACCCGCTCATGACCTGATCGATTTCCGCGGCTGTCAGTGCCCTCTCCCCCGGCTCCGGTGCCGTATGTAAAAGGGCGTCCCGGAGCTCCGCCAGGTCTATCTGGCCGCTGTCGTCGTCGTCAAACGCGGAAAATGCTGAGGCCAGCTCAGCGCTGGGAGAAAGAGGGGCCAAGCTGCTGGCAACGTTGTTCAGGAAAGCTGCGAGCGTGATGGTCTGCGGACCGGAAGAAGGGAAGAAGCGGGATACTTCTGTCGCATTAGACGGGAGGCCTGTACCGCCGTGGGTCCACTCGTTAGCATATCGCAGTCTTGGGTAGGCTTATTTCGAGCCGCGTGGGTGTTGCCGGTGGACCTACCAAGCTGATTCAGCATGTCGGCGACATCTTCCCTGTTCACGGTGCCGTCGCTGTCTCGGTCCAGAATCTGGAAGCCTTCACGTAAGGTGCGCACCTGCGCAGGTTGTAATTGGGACAACGCGCTGTTATGGCCTGTGATAGATGTGGAGGATGCAGTCGTCACCGGTGCGGGGCGCTGCGCACGTGGTGAACTGAACATCTCTGGTGACGGCTGCTGTGTGGTTGTCTGCCCTCTTGGCGTCAGGCTTTCAGTGGTACCTGTCGGGGTCGACGCGGCGAATCTCGAAGAGTTGCTTGTCTGGCCTGATTTGGACGGCGATGCTGAGGGTGTTGAATGTCGGAGTGGCGATGGCGATGCAGGAGACTCGGGTCGTCGAAAGGGAGAGCTGCGAGGCGAACCGAATCCTCCTGCCTGGGAGGACGACTTCAGGTGCCCAGCCGGTAGTGCCTAGCCATGTTGTGAGTATACCATCAATAGACACCAAGTGGGGAAGATTCCGTCATGGTTTGCACCCACCATTGATGCGGAGCACTGCGCGTAGTGCCGTTGCTGGATCTGTTGTTTGGTATCGATAACAATCAACACGTCGACATGCGACTTGCTTGGCAGGGCCAGGGGATCAATTGGCGGCGGCTATTCGGAGGTGGAGACCTGTTTTCGTTTTTTGACGTCTCGGAATCGAAAAGGCTCGATACAATCTCTTTTGTCCGCTGTGCTGTCCGAAATGCAGTGTAAATGAATGCAAATCAAAGTTCACGGTTGGGCAGGAAGCCTAGATGATGAAATCGCTCAAGGCGGCTGGACGCGAAAAAGGTCAACAAGCTCACCCAGCAACGGCCGGGGCTAGCAAGCGCCACAGGTGCAGGGCATCCCTGTTTGCTGATGGAGATCTCAGGGCAGGGCCTGCAGCGCATGCAGCGCCCCCTTCCACACCTCGCAGCAGGATTGGCCGCCCAGCTGCCTCTTTCTTCCAGGGCTGTCTCAAAGAGCAGCCGCACAGATCATTTCCCGGACAATGCACCGACCGAACAGGGGCGACAGGCGTGGAGGTGCTGCCAGGAAGGGAAAGGCTTGTTTTGGGGGCCGCTAGATATAACACCGGAAAAGGCAGCTCTTGCAAGATTTACCTGACAGTTCTCCCACAAACCCCTGTCAGGGGAGCACGCCTCGATAGGGGTCCACCAAGCCATCAACGTTCCATCTCTCTCTGTGATGAGCGAGTAGGGGGAGGGGGCCGGAAAGAGGGAAAGCAGGAAAGAACGGGCCTTGAAACACAAGGGAAGGCTTACCCAGAGGACCCCAAAGTGTGCATGGATGGATGCTGAGTGGTATCCATCCGTTACATCCATTACGTATGGCTGGATACCATGGAAGAGTGGGTGGGTGAGCGTTAAGCTACATGCTATAGATACATGCGTGCCTATTTGCCTAGCAGTGGGTGTGGTCTATACCAAGGTACCATGTGTGAGAGCAGCAGCAGGAGGAGGTGTGTGGGAATCAGAATCCTCCAAAACCATCTTTTCTTCCCTCTCTCCCATCCCACCTAGTTCCTGTCTTCTGTTTCCTCTCTTCCGTTATCCGGTTCCTCCAGTAGTCAACTATGCTCCTGCTGTAGCAGATCATGTCTCAGTCCGTCCATTCCCTACGCATTGACTCGGCTTGACTAAAAGGCGAGGCCAGTGCTGCCATGCTACGCCGTGCCATACAGTGGTAGTCCACCGACCGACCTGCACCACCCTCCTTGCCCACCCTATCAACACCCCTTTCACCAGTCCAGTCCGGACCCTGGCCCAGCGAATTTGGACGTTCAACGTCCGCGCTCCATCTTAACTCTAACCAGCGCTCACGGGCCCCGTTGCCCAATTGCGTCGACTTCGCAATCCTGAGCGACTCAACTGATCGGAGATCATCTGAACCCCTCCAGTCCAGAGGGAGCCATCATCCCGACCACACGACCCCCTCCTTTTCCCGACTCTCCTTCCTCGACACCGAATCGCATTCCGCGACACATCCGGCAAGGCCCAATTGCTTAAGCAGAGCCAAAGCACTGCACCTTGGGCCGAAACCCGGTGTCTGTGCCGTCCATCTGAAGGACACAACGGCGGTGCACACCAGGCCTCTTTCATCCCCCGAAACACTCTCGGCTGCTTTCCGCCAGCCTTGTTGCGCAAACCTGCTGCTGTGCGACTCCAGCCATATAGACTTTCTTGTCACGCCAGCAACACCTCGGGATGCGCCTCGCTGGCCCGGGAATCCAATATCCAGTGGCGCTGTCATTCCGAATACATCAGAGTACTAGTCAAGCCAGCCTGCTGGTTTCGACGCTTCACTGATTCATAAGACGAAACGAAACGACGCCGGCAGTGCAAACTGTCGTGCCAACCGAACTCCACGGCTACACCGTCACATCCTGAATTACTCACAGCCGCTGACAACAACTCCCTGATTCAAGGGTCCGATCTCGATACATTCAGGCTACGCCCATGACCGAACGTCCATACACCGACCTCGACGGTACCCCTGATACGCGCAACGCCGATTGACCAGGCGCGAACCACTATCACCAAGTCAAAGATCATGGCATCGGCGCAAACGGCGCTGCCCTACCACACGCAGAAGTCAGGCCTCAATAATGGAAGCTCCTCGACGGCTGTGCACACGCGAAGGACATCACTGTCGTCATTCCCGCCGTCATCACGCTCCGGTTCGCAAATGTCACATCACTCAAGGCCGTCACGGTCGCCAATCCCTCCGGGCCCTGGCGCCGGAGGCGTGGTCTCGGAAACGGACCGCACCTCGAACCCCAGTTCCAAGTCCAAGACACCATCATCAGGCACCGGTGTGTCGTCTCAACATTCATCGCTGTCCGGAAGCAGCGTGATTCCCATGCCGCGCTACAACTCTGATGCGCACCCTCAGCGGAAAATGAAGTCCCAATACCCGCGGAGCTCCAGCGAGAACCATGTGGAATATATCTTGGTCGCTTCTTTCGATATTGACAGGGGACCCATCATGGAACACCAATACCCTATGGCCATCACTGGCGATGAAAACATGCTGGCGGAGCTAATGCTGCCTGATGGTGCACATATGCGGAACCAGGACTGGACGATATTCTTCCTGCACAAGGACACAAGCCAAGAGGAGGAAGACGAAGAGAGGGAGGCGCGGAGAAGGAGGAGACGAAGAAGGAGAAACAAAGCTGCGGGCATCATCGACGAGGAAACAGAAGAGGATGATGGCGCAGAAGAAGAGCAGGACGATGACGACGACGAATTTGACGATGACGAGTCGACCGACAGTGAGCCAGAAGGCGGCGAGGGGCCCCCTCTGGTCTATGTGCTGAATTTGGTGAACACAAAACAAGATAAATCCGTGAAGAGAGGCGCGATAGTGAAGGCGATGGCCGTCTGCACACGGCATCCTTTCCTGCATATATACAAGGTTTGTGGGACTCTGGCCCTGGAAGGAAACAAGAGAGACTGACCCATCATCATATCAGCCGCTATTACTGTTAGCTTTGGAGGAATACTTCAAATCTCCAGTGCCGGAGACCTTGGCCATGCTTTATGACTCTGTCAACGCAATGGATTTGTCTCTGATGCCCAAATTGAGCTTTCTCGAAAGGCAACTGCTGCAGTCCAGTGAGAACAAGGACCTCTTCGTCGAGAAATTCGAGCGCATGGTCCAGCAGCGGATCGAGCAAGACCAGGAGGAAAACAGCTCAGACCAACCTACGGAAACCAGTCGCGAGCCGGCGAAGAGGCCAGAGATACAACGAGCCGGGACCAAAGCTTTCCTCGAGGGCAAGGCGATGTACTCTGTCCCCAGGGATACTCACGAGTTTGAAAGCAAGGTCATGTACAAAGGCATACCCATTCCGATCAAGGTGCCGGTGGCCGTCATGCCCGAGTCCGTGGGCGACTTCTCCCTGATCAAGTTGATCCAAAACTTCTCTGAACCCCATGGGAAATCGCCGCAACCATTCCTGCCACATGCGCACCTCACCACGAATGGCCCTACCACACATCCGATTATCGTCCTTGCCAACGCCCTTCTGACACAGAAGAGAATTATCTTCCTCGGTCACAACATGCCGTCAGGCGAAGTTGCAGAGGCCGTTCTGGCCGCATGTGCCCTTGCCTCTGGCGGTATGCTGAGGGGTTTCACACGCCATGCGTTTCCCTATACGGATTTGACAAAGATCGACGACCTTCTCAAGGTTCCTGGGTTCATCGCGGGTGTCACAAATCCGACCTTTGAACATCATCCGGAGTGGTGGGATCTATTGTGCGATTTGCCCAAGGGCCGCATGACTATCAGCAGCAAGATCGAGCCTGCGGCGGCAACGGAGGGTCTGGTATATTTCCAGCAGCAAAATCCTTCCTATGCAGGTCTTGTCAATATCTCCACTTCTAGTTCCACGTCTAGCGCGGACTTGACTGGAGATCAGGCGTTCATGACCGATGTTCTTAAGAGCATCGCAGCCCGTCATGGCGAGAGGGTTGTCAGGGCTAAGTGGAGAGATTGGGTGGTCAAGTTCACCCGCGTGGCTGCTGCATTTGAGGAGAGCGTGTACGGAGCAAGTGCCTTGTACATTGGAGGTGACGAGGGTGCAGATGGCGGCGCTGTGATCACACCCAGTTCTGGCGCAAATGGCATCCTTAGTGGACATGGATACGTCTGGCCAGACGAGCCATCGAAGCACAAAGAGCTGGCGGGAAATGTCACGAGGATTGAGGGATGGAGGAACACTAGGAGTTATTACAGTTATATTCAGGTGAGTTGTGAGGCTTGAACGAGGAGCAGGTCCTGGCTGGTGGACAAGAATGCTGACGTATCGTAGGACATGGCCAAGATGTACACCATCAAACCGCTCAAGGGCCTGGACTTACACCACCTTCACGACCGGCTGCGGATGCAGCGCATGACACAATCGCAGACTCGCGAGATCTACCTCGGCTTCGCAAAGTACGTTCGCAGCTACGAAGAAATCTGCCTGCTGCTTTCCGTGGCGCCGGAGTCGCATGCGGGACTGTTCTACCTTGCTCTGGGCCTGTTCCACAAGGAGAGGGATGTCCGAGTCAAGGTGGCAGAGTTGCTGGACCGAGTCGGCGAGCACGGAGCGGGCCAGCACTGGTGGAAGGGGATGAGCCGATTCGAAAAGCTGGCCTACCTACGGATCAAGAGGGAATTGGAGGCCGAATTAAGGGCCAAGACTGGCAGCGCCAGTCCGGTGGAGCAACGGTTGAGTTAAAATGCTTGCTTGCGGATGTTGCCATGATACCCACTGTCGCTTGCGTGGCTGTCGTCATTTGCTTTTGTCGCCAACATCATCACATCACCATCAACCACATCATGGGATGGACGGGGTCTGAGGGGGAGAAAAAAAAAACCGTCAGGTTCGTGCAAAGGACCTCGCGGATTGCATCTACTTGTGGAGCTGGGGGCTTTTTGAGGTTCTGCGACTATCGTACCTAGACCATCTCGATGTCTTTCGGACCTGTTCATATTCTGGATTGTATATGTATATACCACGCTCGTTCCCGGCGTTGCACCTCACATAACCTGATTTTCTTGCCGCAAGGCAACCAAACATCGTGCATTCTTTTGACCAGGCTCAATCCCGTGGTCCGCCTGCTGCAACACTCCCAAACCACACACGCAACCCCAAAAAGTTACCTACACCTCTACGCGCCCAGGAACTTGGCCGCGTGCGCGACGTGCTCGTCACTGAAGCTCGCCATGAAGAAGTACGAGTGGTCGTAGCCGTCCTGGTAGCGCAGGGTCAGGCCGCCGAGGCCGGCGTCCTTGACAGCCTGCTCGAGGTTCTCGGGCAGCAGCTGCTTCTGCTTGTAGAAGTTGTCCCCCGTGCCGACGTCGACGAGCATGTTGAGCGGGGCCTTGGCGTCCCACGCCTTGACCAGCTCCGTGGCGTCGTGCTTTGCCCACTCGGCCTTGTTGTCGGCCCCCAGGTAGCCCGAGAAGGCCTTCTGGCCCCAGGGGCACTCGGAGGGGTTGGCGATGGGCGCGAAGGCCGAGACGGAGCGGTACTTGCCCGGGTTCCGCAGGTACAGCGTCAGGGCGCCGTGGCCGCCCATGGAGTGGCCCGCCAGGGAGACGCGGCTGCCGTCGAGCTTGTCCTTGAACTCGTCGCTGCCGAAGAGGGCGGTGGGCAGCTCCTCGGTCAGGTACGTCTCCATGCGGTAGTTCTTGTCGAAGGGGGCCTGGGTGGCGTCGACGTAGAAGGAGGCGGCCTCGCCAAAGTCCCACGAGTCCTTCTCGCCGGGGAGGTTGAGCCCGCGGGGCGAGGTGTCCGGGTACAGCACCGCGATGCCGTGCTGGCTGGCGCCGTGCTGGAAGAAGCCCTTCTCGGTGCAGTTGTCCGGGGTGCAGGTCAGCCCGGACAGCCAGATCAGCACGGGCACCTTCTTGTTCTGCTTGACGGCCGGCGGCAGGTAGAGGTTGAGGTTCATGGGCGTGCCGGTGGTGGAGGACTGGTGCGAGAGCTTGAGCAGGGTGCCCCCGAAGGAGGCGATGGTGGCTTTTGTCTCGAAGGCCATCTTGGTGGTGGCGGCGCTGGCGCTGGTGGCTGTTGGTGAGGACGGGGCTGATGTTGTGAAGTGCCGTGCGAGCTGTGCGAGTCTGGAGGCGAAGGTTGGTGTTGTTGGGGAGTGCTGGACGTTTAGATATCTCATTAGATTCGGGAGGGATGGGTTGCTATTACGAGATGAGGATGGCTCGATGATATCGGTATCAATGGACGGCTCAGTGCCCCGAAATTTATTTGGCGGACCTTATTAGTGGCTACCCATTGGGTTTTATTTAGTCCTCTCCTCTTTGCTCTCCTCAGGCCAAGCCAAACGAGCCTCCCGTTCGCCGAAGATTACCATTTGGCTCCAAAAATGCGCCTCCACGATGCCGAGTAAACTCCATGGTGCGGCCCCCCCCCCCCCCCCCCTCCACCTCCGACCCGGCAACGTTGGGCCCCCAAAAGACAGCTCCTCTACCCCGCCATCATGACAGGACATTGCACCCGCCCCACCTTGCTCAGACGTCATGCATGACAAGGGGTCGGTAGCTGTTTGAGTATCCCTGCACGCTCTCACATGCAGTGACCAGACCATCTTACCCCTGCGCAAGGTAGGGTAGACCAACAGTCCAGGTACCGTGCCGCTACACCACCACCAAGTCAAGCCCATCCAAGCACCACTGGGCTTCGTCAAGAAAGGTTCTTATGAGGGGTGCGCGCCGGCGTGGCACTCGAACGACGTGATGAGACGGTCCCAGCCGGGGGCCAGGGCCGTCAGGTTGAACTTCTCGGGCGAGTCGTACGTGACGAGGCCCGGCGGGCAGCCCGTGGGCGACCTGCACTCGCCGCCGCACACCGTGAGGTAGAGGAGGCAGTAGAAGCTGTCGTCCTCGGGCGCGAACGTCCCCGCGTTGCCCGAGAACTCGCTGGTCACGTTGTGGCACGCCTCGAGCTCGTACGAGTCGGCGGAGCAGTTGCCGGTTGCCGCGGGGCCGGTACAGATCTCGACCTGGGCGGCGGCGGACAAGGTTAGTCGAGCCCCGGATGCGATGTCTATAGCAGTCTGCCGCCAGGGGGTTGGCTCAACACTTACACTACCCGCGGTCCGCTTCTCGACCGGGTCGGCTATCGAGATGGCTGCGGCAATGAGGACCGTGAGACAGACGAGGAGCTTCATCTTTCCTGGTGGCTGAGATCCGGCCTTGGACAAGTGGCCTGGTCGCTATAGCGATATCAAAGGAAGTATTGGTTTCTGTGCGTGCTGTTTGGGAGACTGTGGGTTGATGCTCAGGTTTGTGTTCAGTGGCAGAAACCGAGGAGAGAATTTCTTTAACAGTAGACAAGTCCCGACTACAACTGCAACTGTCTTCACTCGGGGGGAATGAGTGGTTCAGTGATTGATAGCAGTGACTGACTGACTGTCTGTCTGTCTGACGATCACAACTTAGGACGAAAGACCAGACTGTGGCCTCCGCAGTCACCATACAAGGTGAGAGAAGAGCGCCGAATCGGAATGGACGGGCCATTGCCCAAACCTTAAAACAAGACATACCACACAGCTGACGTTCTGACCCCTCTCCCAACATCTATTTGAGGAGCGTTTCTCGCGGCGAGCATCCTGTCGTAAACTGTATCAATATGATATAGAGGGTTTGGGGACAGGCCATGTGTGTACATGTTCATATATACTGCGGCTCCTCGGCGGCTGTGAAGAACTCGGCAAGGCGGGAAGCCAGCATATCGCCCAGCACTTGCAGTAGGACATGCATGTTTGTATCGCTCGTATAACGCAGCACACAAGGGTACGGTCAGCACTATAATCACATGCAGACGCAGCCAGCCACGGCAGGAGAAAATCCGTGTGGAGGGCCGGGGATGTGGCACATGTCTTGAAGCAGTGGTCATGCATGCGCGCCAGATCTGCTGCTGCTCTGGAAGGCCACCCACTGGTTCTGTTCAAGACTGGCAGCATGTAGTACGATAAAGAAGTCCACAAGCCCAAACTTCCTGCTGCTCAACTATCGTGCGACGATCCGTGACTGGCGCTCAAATCCTTATGTACATTTCTGGGGTTTCGGGGTGTGTTCAGGACTGGAGCAGGCGGAATTAGTGTCATGCACCGCAGCTGGGTAGTCATCCTTCCTTCAATGTCTGCGCATACCACGGCTGTGGCCTGGCTCACAGGGCGGGCTGCTCTCAATATCGCACCCAAATCAGAGCTGTTTATGAATCACGGCGCGCCAAGATGGCGAGTTGATTTTTCACGGGACTTGCCGTCAGCAGGTCAGTAACACGAGAGGTAGCGAATTTTCTTTCAAGGATATCTGGTATACAAACAGGTCTTTCCGGATCTAGTCATCAGCAAACCAGTAGTATAAGGCCTGAGGCCATTCCTGTGTCAACGCGCCGTTCTAGGATGCGTCTATCGCGGGTATCAAATGCTTCTGGCCTGTGTCTCATCCTCATCTTCTTCAGCACGTATGCCTCCTGCGACAGCGCAAGTCTGGGATGTCGAGGGGTGACTCCCGCGCAACTAGACTGTTGCCATCGCTTATCCGTCCTCGAAGAACCCTTCTTCTTCTTCATCCTGGCCGCACGATTCTCCAGCTGCGCGACACCCAACACTAGCAGCAGCACCGTGGCACTGTCTGGGCTGGGGCGGTTCTCCTCATGGACTCCTCATGGAGATTGATCTGCCGCTCATTGCTTCAGGTCAACCCCGCTCGCTTTGATAGTTGAAGCTGCGATGGGAGCCTCCTGGCCACGGGTCGTATACGTGAGGTTGATGATCTCCTTGAGCATGAGCTCCCGGGTCTTGTTGCACAGCTCATCCACGTCTGCCGGGGTCAGGCCCGTCGTTGGGATCGGATCGAGCACTGCCGATATTCTCAGTCCTGCCCATGCGCACAACTACGGAGGAAACTAAACTCACCTTTGCAGGGGATCTTGCCCGACTTGAAGACCATGCCCTTGATGTACAGCGTATCGCTGTAGTTGGCCGCAACGACAGGCACGATGGGCACCTGGGCCTGGACAGCAAGGTGGAAAGCGCCCTTCTTGAAGGGCAGCAGCATGGGCTCCTTTGCGTAGCTCCTGGTGCCCTCGGGGAACATGTATACGCTCTGCTTCAGAGTCTTTATCTGATCCGCAGCGCCGCTCATGGCCGCGCGCGCATCCTTGCTGTTCTTCCGGTCAATGAAGACGGAGCCGCTCAGGGTCATGAACCACCCTAGGAAGGGCAGCTTCTTGAGGCTGGACTTGGCCGTCACGCTGCAGTACTTGGGGAACATGCAGCCCAGCATGAGCACGTCGAGCTCTGTCTGGTGGTTGCCGACAAAGACGGCGGGCCTAACCTTGTTGAGGTAACCCTTGGGGTCGATGACTTCGAAGGTGACGCCTGTGGTGGCGGCCATGGTGTACTTGAACACGCGTCCGGTGGTCCATTGTGCGATCTGCCGGTGGCCGACACAGCTGAGGGCGACGGAGACGACAGCACCGTAGGCGGCGCTTATGACCAGGCAGATGTAGGAGGCGAGGCAACGCGCCACAAAGCCGGACTTGGACGACATGGGAGACAGTAGGTAGAAGAAGACTGTCAGGGCGGTATAGCCTCCCAAGAAATACCCTAGGTAGGTCGAGAAGGACATGGTCGAGGGTCGGTTGGGAGGTGGAAGCGGAGGTTGAGGTGTCGGTGCTGTGTCGAAGGGTGGTCAGCGAGCAGAAAACACCGAGGTCCGGAAGTTCCTTGTTTTGTTCTTGCGCACATGCTCCAAGTCGGCAAGCAGGCGGGCAGCAGAGACATACATGACTTGATCTTTGGCTACCTATGGCTGTCGGTTCCAGGTCAGAGGTATGCGATGCAGTGTACGAGTTCCCGAGTTGCGACCATCAGCGAAGGAAAGGGCTTTGAAGTTGGCGCAACCCAAGAGCAGACACTCGAGAGGAGTATCTTTGGCGGCACGAGGGATGGCGCTGTCGTAGCAAGCGATCGGGAGGTGGCTTGCAGTGTCCGGTCTTCAAGCGAGGGCGTGCACAGTCCTGGGGGGGAGAAGCTGGAATTGCATTCTCACCAGCAAGCAATAAGTGAGCCTGGGCCTAGAGGGCCCGCGGGTGGGCGAGAAAGGCGGTGGGTGGGCAGCGTGACCCCACCAAAATTTGTCCGGCAGCGCGCTGATCCAAGATGACAGGTTGCCGAGGTGCGCGTGCCTTGCTAAAAGTACCAGCTAGTGCTGCCGGTTTGTTGGGCGAGTCCCGTGTAGCTTTCCCGCGTGGCCACTAAACCTTGCCCAGCCAGGCTGCTTCGCTGCTAGCGCAGGCCCAACTTCAGGCCAACTGCTGAGGTTCTAGGCTTTGTCGGAACATCATCATACTATGCATGCACTTGTTGCACGTGCTTGCTGCTCGCCAAAACCCAGCCGGGACAGAGAGAAGCTAGGACAGTGATACGACATGGAAGTAAATAAATATGTTGTCACTTTCGCAGAATCATAGAGGAAGATAAACACCCTCGGAGCTTGCAGGCGTCGAGGGAGTTGGGGAGTTGGGACGTATCGGGGCCGGGTCGGCCGCCTCTATAACACGTGATAGGCCAATGCCAGCAGCTGTCTGAACCTTATCTGAACGTCGAGTCGAGTCCCTCCGGGTGCCTGCTACCTAGCCGTGTATTGTGAGACCACCAACTTGCAGCAGCAGGTGGCGCGACGGCACATCAGCATCCAAACGTATCGAGCACGGCGCCCTTGCTAGACTTGATGGCTGTTGACATCACCGCGCAACCCCCAAACATGATCCAGTCGACGTAAAGGCCGCTCACCCTTCCAAGCCTGCGATGCCAACATGGCCAACATGGCCAACCGACGGGGTATGCCGTCGCTCTCTGCCGCGCCCTCATCCAGAGTCGGCCCCGGCACGCTGCTGCCAGAGCTGCCACCCATCTCCGCCCTGTTCCTCATCGACTTCGACGTCAAGGCCGGATACACGATAATATGGAAAGAGGCCGTCCCGGGCCTGGAGCTGGAGGGCGTCGTCGAGTACAAGAGCCTCCCCTCAGGCCTGCACACTGTGCCCGACGACCTGATATACTTTGTCCACGAAGATGGCTACGCAGGGCTCAGCGCATTCATCAATGCCCCCACCGATGAGGAGGAGTCCCGCCACGCGCGCATGATCGCCGTCGGGGTGCTGGTGCCCCTGAGCTATGGCCGGCTCGGCAGGGCGTGGAGGCACGCCCAGGGGCTCAAGGACATGGCCGTCAAGCTCGCCGCCGACCGCAAGCAGACGCAGATGCTGGTCGAGTACTGGGAGAAGTGCGGGACGAAGGACACCAGCGGGCAGGCACCGGCTCCCATCACAGACTCGCCCCTGAACTCGCCCGCCCTCAGCTTTGTGAAGCGCCAAAGCCCCAAAGCTGATGGCCACGCTAGGAACAGGTCGGCATCGGAGGGGGCTGCGCTGCTACCTCCAGGGCACAGGCTCTCGCCGTTCCACCCGGCCTGGAGCCTGAACAGGTTGCTGGATACCTTCGGGCCCCTGATCTTCCCCATCCAACGCGCGGCATTGCTGCGCAAGCGCATCCTGATATCGACTCACGCCCCAGTACATGAGGCCTGTAATTTTGGTACGTGTGGACTTCAAATCCAAGAAACCCAGACCACCAGGGCGCTGATAATTGTGAAGTATATGACATTTCCATCCTTGCAAACATACCCCATTCTGTATCTGATATTCTCGACCCATCCGCCCCAACGCAGAGGTTGCGCCCCTTGTTCACCATTGGCGTGCACGATATACCCTTCCTCCTGGCAGACGGCGCAATGAAGCGGCCCGGCCCAGCCCCTGAGCAGCAGCCCGGTATTCTAGGAGCCGACTCCGGCTCCGGCTGGATCGCATGCACGACCGACAGTATCCTGGCGATGAAGGAGGACCTCTGGGATGTGCTGATCACAATGCCCCCATCGCATGCAGTGAATGCCCAGGAGAAAGTCTGGCCGACGGTCGAGTCGCGCAAAGGCGCTGCGTCAAAGGCCACCCAGCGTGACCTGAGACGCTTCCGGACTCTAAAGGTTGGGCTCAGACGCCTAGCTGCGACCTCAACCGCCATTGAGGAAGATGACCAGGGTCCATCCAACAACACCGAACCACGGCGGCCGTCTACTCTGTCTAACCGGCGGTCCCGCATGTCTATGTCTAGTATCAAGACGACGAACTTCCTCCCCGACGGCGAAGACGCCCACGTACTTGCCGACGCATCTGACAAGATTGTCGAGCCGATGACGTGGGCTGCTCTTGCCTACAGTGGCTTCATGTGGTGGGCCAGCGCCGGCGAGCAGCGCCGCTCCGACGAGGCCGAGGAGCAGGCCTACGACAACTCCCTCATTTCCGACCTCCTGCCGGCGCCGTCGATGCACCCACCGCGGGAATCACCAGGCCAGCGGAGGCCGAGCGGCAGCTTCAACGTCACCGCGGTCCAAGAAGGCGGGGGCCTGGGCGATTCGGTCACGTCACTGACCGCGCGGAGGGCGACAGGTACAGATGGGCTATCGTCCTTTGGGACCGCCGATTCCGCCGACGATGAGGAAGAGAGGGCCAGGACGGAGCTGGCCATCATCACCTACTTCCACCGGTTGACGAGCGGGATCCTCTCGACGCTGGCGGAGGTGGTCGAGGCCACGGAGGACTTCGACGACACGGACGAATCACGGCCGCAAACCGGCGAGGGCGGGCAAGGAGGCGGCGAGAGACAGTCAGACCCGCTGCTGCGCGGGGATGTCAGGGGCGACAGCGAGGAGGTCTCCAGGCCACAGGTCCGGGTGGACAGCGACGCGCTGGCCGCCATGGGCCTGGACGTCTGGAGCAGCGCGGATGCCGAGTTTGTCAGCCAGGTGGTCGATAGGTATTTCGGCCGGGAGGCCAGGGTGGAGGGCAAGGGCGTTGAGCTGTGCGGTCTGAGGGTCTGCTGATGCATTGGTGGTTGATGGTGTGCTTTCATTATTGTTCTATAACCTCGCCACTGTAAATTACGGGTGATCATGCAATGCATTCCATGCTGGGGACATCCACGGCTGGGTTGCTTCCAGCTGTGGAGGTCTGTGCCACCTGTCACTTCTAATACGTGAGAGAGCAGTAATTGGTGGCTAGGAGAAATGGGAATCATGCAGGGAAACATATGCAGCCCAATCGTGAGCCAAGATAATAGCTTCGCCTTTAACAAGGCCGGCCGGTACAGATATTTTGTGGACGGAGAAGGCAATTTTCCTGATCAACTTTGAAGCCATCTACTCCTGATCGTTAGCCGAAAATCAAAAGAGTGGGCTACCACCATCATTATCTGAGATACAAGTGGTACTCCGGGCGGACATGCCCTCTACTCTCCTTTTATTGTACAAAGTCAAAAACTTTTGTGCGTCTTGTTTCATGCCACGCTATCCGTCAGTGGCACAAGTAGAACAGTGAGGAGCACCCCCCCCCCCAGACCAAGACAACAAAGTCCACAGGCTGAGATGCCACTGGCCAGCTGACAGAAATGAACACTGGAGCTGGAACGAAACAAGGCTCAAGGCAATTCGTAGTGGTAGCCTTTCCGATTTCCTTTCGGCCAGCTCCGTTCGACCCACCACAAGAAATACGACATTGAGTCCTCCAACATGTCCCTCTTTCCTTGTCATGTTCCGCTCCATGCTCTACTCGCTGCTCTCCGTGGGCCCTCGCATTATCCGTAGTGCATTCGTTCATTAACATTGAGACACGTCGAGATCCACAGGTCGGCGATGGTTTGATTGCAAAAGTCAGCCGTCGCAGCAGAGAAACTCAGGGTCCAGCTCAATGTACCAGGAAATGTAATCAGCAACATGGGCGGACGTCTATGACAGAGTGGTCCTTGCCGGAGATTCCTCATATGCTGGCGATGGACGGTGCCGGATCCCAGCGGACGGGTCTCTCTCAGGGGCTTCATCAATTGGACTCGTGGATATCGCCAGGTCCACCACAGTCATGCTGCCAGACAGTGTTGTCGAACCATCCTCCATTCGCATCATGAATGACCTTACGAGTCAGGTCTGTTGTGTTCACATAGAGAAATTTCATTTCCTCAAGGAGCTTCTTACGCCAACTGAAGTCTGGATCGCCTTTGAAAGAGGCCACCTCCGCGAAGACACGCGCATAATTGCGCATGTTGTAGCCAGGCTCAGCACAGGCCTTAGAGTCGTATGGGTCATACCATCTGTACCAGTCTGCGTTGAGCAATTGTTTCGAGCAGCAGCGTAGCAGCCTGTGCAGGATGCAGCGGCCAACACCCAGGCGGCGGCTCCGGGGCTCGACATAGAAGTGGACTTTTCCGTTGAAACGGCCGACGCTGGTATGTGCGTTTCCTGCCAAGCCCGCCGACGGGAGTGTGATCAAGCCAAATCCCAGAATCTTGTCAGAAGACGAAGTGGTCGGCATAGCCTGGCTGTCCCCGTAAGGGCCTGATTGTCTCGGCTGTTGGTAGGGGCCGCGGAAACGCACAAGCGCAGACTCTCCTCCACGGGAAGTGGATGACAGCGGCGGTGTCCCCTTCACGGCGACAATGAATGGTGTCCCTGCTGCATCGCTTTCTGCGAACAGACGATGGATGTCTCCGAGGACCAAAGGCTTGGCGTCCAACGCCTGGCGGCCATGCTCCACTTCCCAATTGTATATGTCGAGAATTTGGTGCAGATCATCTCGCTCGACAGGTCGGAGGTAGCAGAGAATGCGTGGCTCTCGTCGGTCTGCTCGCCGAGACTCAACAGGCGCTGTGTTATTTTGGTCAGGTGGCTGCTCGTATCCATGAGACAAGTGCCCCAGCGCGTTGGGAGGGCCCATCGGCATGGGTGAGGCGCTCACGCGCTTCCACCTGGGACCAAGATAACGCTGGCTCCGTTCTTCTTCTTTCTTCTCCCGATGCTTCATGCGCTTTCGCAGCTTTTCGGCCTCCATGGTCACTCTGATTTCAGCAGTGCCCGACAAGCGGCGAACCAGCTCCTCTCGAGTACTAGGGTCCTGAGGATTGACTGTAGATTGCGGATAGTCGACAGGTGACATCGGCCTACCGTCAATTGGGTTGATATCGCGCTCCCAATGTGTCTCAGCATCGTCGTGTAGGAGAGTAGCTAGAGGCGGAGGAGTGTCCGGCAGGCTTGCAACCCAATCACTGCAGTACTGAGGCAACCAGCCTTTGTCGAAGGTGCCATTCGAGCCGTCCTTATCGCTTCCCGGGGGGCTGTGGTAATCTTTCCAGGCGTGCTTGTTAACCCATCCTGTGCCATCACTTTTGGGCACGATGTCAAGCTCGTCAGCGATGCTGCCACGAATGTCTTTGAAGGGAGTACCTCCGTTGGACTGATCAGATTCAAAGGAAATGTTGGCCTCATTACTGTCGAAGTTGGAAGACAAATCCGAAGATGGCAGGGACTGAGACTCCCAACACGAACTGTGCTTGGGCCGCCACTTGTTTTTGTGGATCTTGGGAGTATGATGGCCTGACTGCTCTACCTGCTGGGCCGAGTCCGCTGGCTGAGCTGCACGGTTGTCCTGGCCAGGGTGGCGGATGGCGAGCCGAGCGTCACCAGGAGATGCGACCACAGGCCTGCTCAGTGCACGAAGACGCGCCTGCTCATTTAGGGCCCTCCGCAAGGCAGGATGCATGGCGTCGTTCGACCGGCGGACTGGATGAGAGGACGCTGTGTCTTGATCCGTTGGAGTCAGAGGCAACGCTCGCTCCGGAACCACCATCTGTCGGTCGCGTAAATTGTCCTCCCAGGGTGGTGGGTGGACAGAAGCGGCAGGAGTAAGTTCGGAAGCCGCGACTGCCTGCGATGACCAGGAAGACGTGCCGTGCAGGCGATCAGAAGCATGTGCATAAGATGGACTGCCAGGCACCTGCAGCAAGTTAGTATCTTCATGCAAGCTGATAAAAGCAAGAAGAGTCAGGATCAAGGCACTTACGGTTGCTCTGGGAGTATCAGGAGGCGTACGCTCGTGCCCATCCTCCCGCACCTTCAAGAGATGGGGTGGCAGACCACCTTGGACACGTGGGTACGAGTTCTTCTTGTTCATTTTCTCAGGCGCAGGCGCAGTGTCCCGCAGGTATTTCTGAAAAAGCTTGGTATTCTCGTCGATGCTGTTCATGGCTGCAGCACCATGCTGCGCATTGGGAGCGCCCCAACCGCGATTGCCAGGAGCCACCATGTTGCGTGTCCAAGAAGTCAACAGTTCTGTGACTCATCAAAGGTCAGTTGCTGGTGCGTTGAGAAGACAGCTTCAGCTACGACGGAAGCAACGATCGAACCTACCTTGATTTATTTTGTTGTGCCTGAATGGGAAACCGCAAGGCGCAGGCCGTTGTGTGACAGACAGAAATGAGAAAGACAGTCTTTGGTGACAAGTGCTCGCAGGGCAAAGAAGTAAACGGGGGCCAGTAAAACTTGCGACGAGGACGTTATGATAACGTCGCGTAGAGCGCAGATTGTAGGTATGAGGTTGAATTCAGCTGCACACTTCGCAGGGCAATGAAGGGGGCAGAGAGGGGTTAACCATGAGAAGTTGCCTGGATGAATACAAATTGTGGTGAGGGACGGTGGCTGCTGCTGACGCTGCGTAAGCAACAAGACGCGTTTTGGAGGGACGGGACACGTTTTGAAAGGAGCAGATTGAAGAGAACAGTTCAATCTTGAGGTCCAAGGAAGATGAGAAGGTACTTGGACCTCGCAAGCTGCGAAAAGATCCTCAGAAGGCAGAGTGGGAGCGGTTGGTAGGCGAGGAAGTAAGAGTGCTCATGGGCAGCTCCTTCCCGAAAGGTTCGTAAGTGGGTGACAGGTGGGAAAGTCGTCGCCAGGTGGAGGGAAAGTGCAAGTTTTGTGAGGGTTCAGGTGCACTCCAGAGTGAGGACAGTCAGGCATTGGAAACTGAAAGCCGTTGGAAGCTCCAATTGCCAGCATGCAGTGATCTCAACTTCTGACATGGTCTGGGGGAGACTCCGTCCAAGCCGAAGTGTCAGGTGCTGTTGCTTGAGCTCCCTGAAATGCATACTCACAGGAACATTCACACAAACACATTCAGGCCACAGAGCTCCCCTCCGACCGGTTTTAGAACAGTAACTTACATCTTGATTTCCATGCGTGCCCAAGTTGTGCAACTCCTCCCTACTGCTTCCGTCCTCGATCCCATAAGACCTACCTACCTTAGCTACTAACAGTCTGTCCTTCGCAGAACAACCTCTACCCATCGACCCTTACTCGCCGGGTAGCCTCGAACATTACCCTTGGCCACTTGGCTATGGGCACGCGTAGATCCAACAACCATTTCCTGGCTGCAGACACAGTACTGGCCGGTGAACACGTGTAAGCCGGTTCGGAAGTATGAGAGCAGGAGGATTCCTTGCTCGAAAGTGAAGCCATACATCCATTATAACAGACTCGATCCATGCTGATGCGTGTAGCTGTCCACTGCTATCCACTGCTCGCGCGTGGTGTTGTTCTGCTTCCATTAAAGCGGCTGGAGGTCAGAAAAAGGGGGCGGTGATTAGGTAATCGACTACCCTTGCTGAACGAACTCGTCTCCTAGAGAGCTGCGAGTCCCGAAGCTGTGAGGGACGAATCTCTGATGCTGGAAACCTCCTCGAATCGCGCAACGTGAGAAGAAGAAAGAAATGCTTTCCATATTGAGAAAAGCAAGGTTGAAGGACAAGGAACTGAGAGTCTTGATGCTGTGAGTCCTCACTCGCGGGAATGACGTCCAGAGAGAGATGCTGACATTCTGGGCAGCGGACTGGACAATGCGGGCAAGACGACCATAGTCAAGAGGATCATGGGGGAGGATGTGAACACGGTCAGCCCAACTCTGGGCTTCATCATCAAGACCATCGACTATGAGGGGTACAAGTTGAACATATGGGACGTCGGAGGCCAGAAGACGCTCAGGTCTTACTGGAGAAACTACTTCGAGAAGACAGATGCCCTCATCTGGGTGGTTGATGCCACAGACAGGCTGAGAATCGAAGACTGCAGGACAGAACTGCATGGATTGTTACAGGAGGAGGTGCGTTGCCTGTCCCCCACGGTAAAGAAAACGGAGCCATACTGACTCGAGGGGCGCAGAGATTATCTGGAGCAACTCTTCTTGTGTTCGCCAACAAGACAGACGTTCAGGGGTGCATGACGGGAGAGGAGATGGAGGAGGCCCTGAGGCTTAGGCACATCCAGACACACCAGTGGAGGATATTGCGGTGTAGCGCCATGACGGGGGAGAATCTAAAGGAGGGCTTAGCGTGGGTCGTCGAGGACGCAAAGGCGAGGTTATTTCTCTATTGACAGTGTGTGGATATGCCGAAGGAAGACTGCCGACGATCACCGCTCCCAAGGACAAGGGACGCGATGACCATGTGCCACGGGCTGAGGGCCTGACAGCACATTTTAGTCGGGTCGGCGCTGGCCGTGGCCCATCCTCCGGGAGCAGCACACTAGACTATATCTGCAACGTGGCCACAGCGCCAGAAGCGTTTGCTGTGGCACAGAGAGAAACTGTTTCATCCTACCGCACTATTTTGTGCAGGTTGCTATATCTGAGATCGAAACATTCCGACAGGGACTGCTTCTTCCTGGCTGGCAAAGAGGCTGGCTGGGCGAACGAAACAGCCGGCCCAAGCTGTTTGGAGCCGGTTGCAGGGCTGTTTTAGCGCGTCATTGGGCGGGCCCCTGGTTGCTGTCTGGTGGGGGGTTGCTGTGGGAAATAGTGGGAATATGCCCACTTGCATGCTGCCCGACCTGCCGGCCTGTCCTGCCTGCCCAGCCGATGCTCACAAGGTTGGTGGTGGTTGTAGTGGTGGTGTTGTTGTTGTTGTTGTTGGGCCCGCGGTCGTAGAAGCTTGATGCATGTCCTGGCATGGTGCACTGCAGTGCCGCAATCCGTCACCTCCAGCATCCTTGGAGCTGCGCCCAGTTGACGCCGATTTGGTCCCTGGTTGGGCAGCCCGCCAGAAGGAACAGCACGCCACCTCGGCCTCGGTCTGGCACGCTAATGTAGGTCCCGGACCATTCTCTTCTTGCACATAAGACATTGTATGACTTGGACTGAACCTTGAAAGCCTCCCCTACTTTGGTACACATGCCCACCACTGCCATGTACATGTGCTAGTCGTCAAGGATACACAACGGTCAACTCCCTTGTTTACAGTTTGTCTGAGCGCACCCAACGGCTCTCAGCCCACATCGCGTTCTCGTGTCTGCCCGTGTCGTGCCAATGTCGCCGGCAGCCAATCGAACATTAGCCCTCCAACGAACCCTACGATCCCGTCCCAACAATGTCAGACGAGGTCTCGAACTTCTTGCGATCAGTAGAGCAATTGAACCACGGACGTCACGAGGAGGAAGAGGCGCGCTCCAAGGAGCTTGAAGAGAAGCTGCTGCAGCAGAGAAAGGAGCGCCAGGCCCGCCGCGAAGGTAAGCCGTGTTGAGCTGACTTGAGTGAGCCTCGAGTCGCCAGCCTTGGACTGGGCTGGGCTGGGCCGAGCTGAGGTGCTGATGGGACGTGGTTGACGTTTGTTCTCTGATGTCTAGAGCGTGCCCGATCTATCTCCCCGCAGAAGTCGTCGCCGGCCAACACCCCGCCGCCATCTGCGCGCCACAGGGACTCGACCCCTCAGCCGACAGAGGCATCGTCTCCCATCCCAGACCTCTCTGCCAGACTACAAAACCAGGTTGGCGCTGCTCCGCCATTGTCTGCCGACGCGATGGACCTGCCGTCACCCCGCTCCGTCTCTCCTACGAAGGAGACTGTTCTCGACTTCGAGCCCAACCGATCTAGTGCCTCGTACAATTCACCGCCTTCCAGCGGCGTGCCAGCGAGGACACCTACTCTATCGTGGCAGCGAAGACCGCCATCCCAAGGACCAGATCGCCCCAGGTCTCGGCCCTTGTCTATGGTTGCGGCTGAAAATGCCGCCGCACGATCAAACACTCCCCCTGCAGAGGCCGCTTCTCCCTCCCAGACCCCTTCTCGTGACCAGATCTCACAAGCATTGGCGTCCAAAGACCCTGCTTGGTTCCGTCAGACCGCTGACCGAGGTGCGACTTCTGCTGCGTATCGAAAGAATCAGGTCGAGGACGAAGACACCGTTGATGTCGCGACTTCTCGCTCCCAACTGCCTGGCACGTCGCAAACCACCTCAACCGAGCCCGACAAGGAGCCAGCCCGAGAGCGTCCGACTTCACAGATTAGCTTGGGCAGGCTCGGCTCGCCATTGCTGACAACAGATGCGGTGAAGCTGGGCCCTCCTGCGGATATTCAGGCATCCAAGGACGGAACTTCGTCAGGCCAGACCTCGCCAACGCGACCAGCGTCTCCAACGAAGGGAATGGGGGGCTTTGTTCAAAGTGCTATGATGAAGCGCACGGACAGCGTCAAGAGATGGAGCGTCACAACTCCGGGTCTGCAGCGTGGGAACGGTTCGAATCGCAATAGTCTTGACGGTAAGAACATTGCTACGAGCCCAGGTCCAGAGCCTCTCTCGCGGCCTGTCAGTAGATCCAGGGACAGCACTTCACGGCCGGTCTCAAGTCATGCAAAGGACTTGGCCTCAACGACGTCTGGCGCAACATCCCCCGAGGATGGTGTGCCCGAGCCATCCAAGCTCGAGCCTCCTGTGGACAATACGCCCCCAACGAGCCCTTCGAAGACTATGGACCCGAGACGTTGGAGTCCAACAAAGGGCTCCTGGCTCGATGCCGCCTTGAACAAGCCCGAGTCACCTAAGCCTAAGCCTGCAGCACCCCCGAGCAATCAGCCCGCGTGGATGGTGGAATTGAACAGGGCGAAAGCGGAGAAAGCCAAGAATTCTAGTGTTGATCTTGGCCGAGCTGGTTCTACCGTTAAAAAGCATGAGGTGAAGACTGGCGGTCTCGTACGGCCGGCACCGCCTGGCACAGCTGTGAAGCCTCCCAGCCTCGCTGGTCTACCTTCTCCAAGCCTGGGGGCTGATAAACCGTTGACGCCGGGTCTTCGCACTAGTATGACGAGGAGTGATAGTAACACGAGGATCAGTCCCGCCAGCGAAAAGCCTGGAGCTGGTGCAGAAGATTTGGGTCGACGAGGCTCCGTCATCAGCCCTGTTGCCAAAGACAAACCGGAGGCACCACCACAGATGGACTTTCGGGCTGGTTTACGGCCTAGGGGTCTCACAGTGGGCAAAGACAGCGACAAGGAACCGGAAAAGGCTGGTTTACGGGCTAGGGGTGCCACAGTCGGCAGAGACAGCAGTAAGGAACCCGTCAATGAGCTGGCGAATGTGTTCGGTCAGCTGCGGAAGACGAAGACACAGAATTACGTCGCCCCAGACGTGTTGAAAGACAACATCACGAGGGGCAAGTCCGCATTGAATGTGACTGGTGGGCCGCGACCTTACGAAAAGAAGGACGAGTTCAAGGATGCGATTTTGAAGAAGAAAGCAGACTTCAAACAGGCGAAAGAGCAAGGTCGTGGTGTTGCAACCAACGAAAAGCCACCAGAGGAGAAAGCGATCCCCGAGGGGCTGGCAAGACGAGCTACCATAACTCGTTCCGGCTCCATTCCGCACGTATCCCACTCACGCGACACTTCAACTGCAAAATCTCCATCGGAGACATCTGCAAAACCTTTTGAGTCGTCAAGATCCAGCATGGTCTCAGTGACTTCGCCTCGGGACATCAAGGTAGACACAGCCCCAGTCAAGGTCGAGAACAAGGAAGAAATGCCGTCACCAAGCAAGCCGGAGGTAAGCACACCTGGTCGACTCCAGAACAAATTCGGTGACAGTGGCAATACCCTAGCGAATCGATTCAACCCTGCCTTAGCCGGATTGCTAGCTCGCGGTCCTCCCGGGATGGGTGGTGCGGCAACAAAACCTCCAGGCACTTCTTCAGGAGCGGGTGGCTCTACTGGGTCCGAACCAGGACCCGGGCCCAAGCTGGAGCACATGACCAAGGGCCGGGCCCGTGGACCACGCAGAAAAGCACCAACGTCGGCGAGCAAGCCAGTGGGAGCTGCTGGATCGGAAGCAGCGAGTGCTCCGGAACCTGCAGCTACAAAGGAGACAGCTACCATCCCAGAGACTGCACCCATCCAAGAGGCCCCAGAGACGACTACCATTCCGGAGATATCTCCCCAGAGCAAGGAGCTTCCGGAAAAAGAGGCTAAAGTTGCGAGTCCGTCGCGTCCATCGCCGATCCAGGAACCGCAAATGGAGGCAACCACATCGCCAAAAGCTTCCATAAAATCCCCCGTTGTTTCGCCAATCGAACGTCGCAGTGGTGTGGCAGCGAATGATAACGCACGGAATAGCGGTGTAATATCCTTGGTGGATTCATCGAAGAGAAAATTGGCCGAGCAAAGACCTGTGTCTGCAGGAAAGAGAATTGCATTGGTAGACTCATCGCAGCCACGGAACACCGGCCCTGTCTCTCCCAAGAAAGTCCACGAGCAGGTCTCTACGTTCCCTTTGAAACAACAAGTAAACGAGGACAAGAAGGACGATGTCCAACCCCCATCTCCGCGGAAGCTGGACGTGAAGAGAATGTCTAGATTCTTGGACGAGTCGGGACCGCAGTCACCCAAGGGTGAGCCGGAACCGGTCAGGTCGCCTTCGCCACTGAAGAAAACCTTCGGAAGCCCAACATCGCCGCGAAAGCTACCTTTGGAGTCTGAGAAGGGCGAAACGCAGCCAGCTGTCTCTGCGAGCAATGGAGCAAATGTGTTTGGTGGATCCGTCACACCCAAGAAGCCGCAACCCCAAACCGATAAGCCCTTACCAGAACCCTTAGATCTGCGTCCCAGGTCACCTACCAAGACTCACGCAACGCGAGACCCACCCTCACCTTCAAGAACATCGGCTTATGCCTCTCCCTCGCGGACACCGACAAGGTCTCCATCGAAGAGCGCGGGGGATGTGTCTGCCATGATCAACGGGTTCTTTGGTAATCAGCGACCGAAACGGAACTACCATGTCGATGCCGCCGAGCTCCTGATGAATCGCCCCAAAGGCGGTTCCAGAGTCCAAACACACAAAGCACAGCTCTTCCAAGTCACGGAGCAGGGCAAAAAGATTCCTGTCCCAGCCCATTATGAACGTGTGCTATTTGAGCGTGAGATGTATATTTGCTCGCACACCTTTACAGATGAGGCACGGAAGAGGGTATCTGAAGTGTACTTCTGGTCTGGTGACGAGGTTGCACCATCGGCCGTCGAGGATGCCCAGGTATTTGTGAACAAGGAAGTAAAGTCTATCGGCGGCACCTTGATCAAGATGCGTCAGGGTAAGGAGACGGCCGAATTTATACAAGCCCTCGGCGGCATTGTCATTATACGGCGCGGCTCAAGCAACAAGTACGACTCGCTTGCGTCCAACATACTCTGTGGGCGGCAGTTCCTGGGTCAGATCGTCTTCGACGAGGTGGACTTCTCTTCCTCGAGCCTTTGCTCTGGCTTCCCCTATCTCATCACCCAGCAAGGAAAGTGCTATCTGTGGAAAGGCAAGGGTGCTGGAGTCGACGAGCTGAGCTGCGCAAGGCTGATAGGGATGGACCTCGCGCTGATGGGCGAGTTGGTTGAGATGGATGAGGGACAAGAGCCAGAAAACTTTTGGGACTTTTTTGGTGGCGACAGAAGAGCGAGCTTGAGCTCCGCAGATCACTGGAGGCTGAAGCCGAGTTACGAGAAGTACTGTGGGAGACTCTTCTGCTCGGATTCAGCCGCTCAAAATCAGGTATGTTACTGCGATCTAGCTGCTGCTACGCACCTTGTGCTAACAATTATAGGTCACCGAGCTCAACCCTTTCAGCCAAATGGACCTGTCCCCGGACAGGATCTACGTCCTCGACGCCTTCTTCGAGATGTATGTCATAGTTGGACGCTATACACAGGCTCAGTATGGCTCCTTCCGCAATGCCCTCGACTTTGCTCAGGAATATGCCATACTCGCTGCCGGTATGGAAGATCGGCCATTCGTGCCAGTCTCCACAGTCGTTATGGAGGGAATCCCACGGGATCTGAGAAGCTGCTTCCGGAAGTGGAGGGATGATCTGAGCCCGACCAAGATGCTGCCACCGTCATCTGGCGGAGGAGGCTCGGCCGGGCGAACATCGCCTCTGAAGAGGGCCAGAAGCCTGAGGGTCATGCCGCTGGTGCAAGCGTTGCAGGTGTTGGGGAACTCGGAATAGGAGTCCGATAATAATGGCGCGAATGAGAGAGGGAACACGAAGGTTAGAGTCGGTACTATGATTATGACGCGTCGGCAATCGGCTCGCTCTGTAAGTTTCTGTACATTTTTTGGCCAGGCCAGAGTTCGCATAGACGGCTGCCCAGGCTCGTCGCTGTCGGGTTTACACATCCCTGGGTGGAGGCAGCTTTTTCGTTGTGGATTTTGAGAGTGCTGCGTATATACCTACTTCATTGTGGACCGTGTACGAGAAGGGAAGTCAAATGAATATCCAATGCGCTTGCCGGACACTGCTCTTTTCGTTCTGCTGTGACGTCTGAGGTGGGTGCCATGGTCTACGATCAGCCCATCAGGTGGTTCGGTAGGCATATCTTGCAAGGTCGTTTTAGTCTGCGAAATGTCTCCGGTTTTTGGAGGATCCGAGTATTGCCTTTGCTATCTATGGCAGAAGGGAAGTATCAAGTGTCGACGCGCTGTTCTAGGGGTTGATGCACATCATCTCGAAGCGGAAAGAAACTTGGGTATCATTTCCCGGTCAATTGACCGAAGCCACTATAAAACGCCGTAAATGCCTCCACACCTTCCCATTCTATCTCTCGTCCAGGCCCACGCCCGGTGCACATCCATAGTCCCGAGCAAGATCCGGTGCCAAACGCGGTTCAGCAACCCGACCGATCCACCGAGGCCCTCACCTCCAAGCCATCCCCCAACCAGGAAGCCCCTCACTGCCCGGCCTCCTCCCTAAGCGGCCACTCCCCGCCCGTGCCCCTGACGACCTGCGCGACGTCGTCCCTCAGCTCGGGCAGGGCCTCGCCCATCTCGCGGGCGAGGACATCGCGGAAGGAGGAGAAGGCGTGCATCTTGCCGCGCATGAGCTGGTTCTGCCGGCGGACGAGCTCGACGAACTCGCGCGTGTAGATGTCCGGGTTGCGGCCGCCCTCGACGTACTGGATCAGCTCGATGGGGAGCGACGGCAGGTTCTCGCCCGCCGCCGGGTGAGCCGACACCCTGTGGACGGCCTGCAGGGCCGAGGAGAGCTGCGTCAGCTGGCTGGCGAGCACGTCGCGCGTGGGCGGGGCGTTGCTGGCGCGGAGGGGCGTGCCGTTGCCGTTGGGGCCGCCGCCGCCGCCTGCGGCTGGGGCGGTGTGGGAGTCGTAGTTGGGGACTTGGATCATGATCTCGTAGAGGATCTGGATCACGTCCTTGAGCTGGCCTGGAGGGGAGGGTCAGCAATGTGTCTGGGATTTCTGGTGCGGAGTCTGGGTGGTTTGCTCACGCTCGACGGTGTTGTGGTCTGGGTATTCCAACGGCGCCATGGTTTCGGCTTGTCGCTGCGACGAATTGATGATTCTGCAGAAGACGGAGATGGAAGCCTTTCAACCAAGCGTCCACGACGGCCCGAAAATTGGAGAGGGCTTGACGGGCGATGCCAAACGGTTTGGGGCTCACGAGAACTACGAGAAAGGCTGCGACTGCGGCTTGGAAGCCAGGTTGAACTTGATTGACGTTGAAGTCAGAGGCGGCTGAACGCCAGGATCCGGGGTTGCACGGCAGGAGTGGGTCATGCAGGGAGCTTGGGCCCCTTTGTTCTTTGCAAATGGACAAGGGTAGTGCACAGTATTACTTGACTTGCAAGTCTGTGAGCGCAGATGAGATTGACTTACTTGAAAATACGCTTTATTCGCATCCAACAGACCATTGTTATCTGGCATCTCATGATTGTCAAGTATGGGGTAAACGCGACATCCCTGTGATGCTGCCTTTACGGTGGGTCCTGTCAGGAACTTTATGTGTGCGCGTACCTGAGAAAGTGCAGGGGCACATTGTACCGATAACATGCTTCATTCGACGCGTCGAACCTTACTCACACTCGACGCGTCTTGACTCTCCTCGCCCCTGTTCCTGATTCAGCGGGGGCTTCGCGTAGTTCAGTCGTGTTCGGCAAGTCATACGGTGGGACAGTCTTCAGACAGGGCTCCACGATGGAGGAGGAGCTGAGCCAGGCCTGTGTTGCTTGGAAGAAAGAGCTCCAACAAGACATCGAATCCATCCAGGCAGTCGGCGACTTTGCTGTCAAGAGAAATTTTAAGCAATTCGTCAATCCCGCACTTGAAATCGATGGGAGCCTTATCCCCTTGCCTCTAATCCCGTTACTCGCCGACCGAATCAAAGCTGTCGCGAAACCGGCCACTTTCAGCAAACATGGGGCTAATATGGTGGACTACTCCGCCAGCCTCATTTGGGAGCTTCACCATGACCAATTCCGGATCATCAACCCTTCATGGCCAGAATTCTTGGAATCCATCAAGCAGGACGTGGCACATGGTCTCGGCATGGCTCCGTCCGACATCGACGTCGAGCCAGACAAGCTTCTCCTGTACGAGAAGGGCTCTTTCATCGGGCGCCACAAGGACTCAGAGCTGACTCCAGGGTTTACGGGACGCCTCCTCATTTGTCTTCCTTCCGAGCATAGAGGAGGCGAGGTCCGCCTGGAGCACTCTGGAAGGGATCATGCTTATGCATCTGCCCCTGACTCAACATTCGACCTCTCAGCTCTTGCTTGGTACTCTGGTGTCACGCACGAAGTCGCGGAGATTGGTTCAGGGCACCGCCTGGAGCTGACCTACATAATGACGCAAAGATCAGGTACTGCTAAGTCGGCCGACTTCTTCATCAAGCAGCAGGCCCGCCTCAAGGAGAGGATTGTCAGGTGGCCAGGGGGGTTACCCAGACTTGCATATTTCCTTGACCATAAGTACTCGCAGGCAGATCTGTGTCCATCCACTTTGAAAGCACGCGACCGGGCAGTTGTCGAAGGTTTATCATCTGGATGCTCTGAGGCTGGCATCTACCTCTTCCTCAGCAACGTCACCAAGAAAGAGTATGACCGAGCTTGTGACCCAGGTATTCACAGTGACGACGATGATGAAATCGGGATTTACACGGATTGCCTACGAACTACAGAAGGGAAGAAGATTGCGTCAGGCCTCTGGTTGTCTGAGCAACACCTTATGGCAGTCGATCCTTACAGCAACCGATCGGCTGATGGTGAAGAGGAGGGCGACGGCGAAGGCTATCTCGATGACGATTCCATACGAAGCAAGCTCATATACCATGATTCGGTGAGTCAGTTTCAGCGAAGCCCTGTGGGCGCTGTTCTTTTTCAACGGAGTATAGAGTGGTTGCTGATGAGCAGTCTCCACAGGCCGTCATTCTCATCCCGAGGAACAAGCTACAACATCTTCTGGGCTCCAGAGCCGATGTTGAGGCCATGATGGCTCTTGTTATCAACGATCAAAAGAATCATCCCAGCGACGTCATCGTTCAAGTTGATATGCTAGAGTTCATGAATGAGGTCCTTTACTTCAGCCCACCGAGGCACATTGGCTATTTAATCCTGGAAAGCGCGTGGAACCTCAAATACATGCCACTCTACCACGAAGCTCTACGATATTGCACCTCGGGCGGCTATATTCCGAAAGAGCTCCCGAAGCTTCTTGCCGCATTTGTGACCCAGTCGCCATGCCTACAAGAAATGAACTGGAGCGAATGGTCCGAGACAACCTGTTTCCTTCATGTCTCAGCTTGTCCTTACCGTGGGTAATTTGCTGACATTAATATACCCTCCACAGGCTCGATGACCTCCTAGGTTGTTCTTCTATCGACGTTGGCCGCATCTTCGTCGCGCTCAACGATTTTGAGCAAGCACTCGATAATAAACATCTCCTAAACAGCTTCCGGGCTTGGCTAGCAACGATGAAGCGTGACCGGTTTATTTCGAGCAAATATTTGACAGTTGGGAACCATCAATCTATCCAAGAGATAGCAAACCTCTTTTGGCACGACCAGGACTGGGTTGAGCAACGGCAAGTCTACATGTAGGAACGACTCAAAACTTGGTACTAATTTCTTGGTTTAGGTTCATACATGCTCTTGAACATTGCGAGGACAGAGCACTCGTGGGCAAGATTATCAAGAATCTAGCTGCCAAGGACAGTGACAACACATTGCCTGGCGCTCGAGAAGCCGCAAAGAAGATCTTGAACATGCAGCTACCGCGGCTGTGTCTTGAACCTGTCAATATGTTGTCTGCCACTGATCAACAGGCCGCCAATGAAGTGGACAGGTTCATCGACACCGTCGGGGTTTGCCTGACATCCGGCTTCATGGAAGAGGCACTCAGGCTCATCGAAAACATCAATCTTAACGTGCAGCCACAGCAGCACTACCCTGAGCCGCGCCCTGTAGGCACTCGCACTGGCACTGCGTATGTGCCAAATCTGGCACACAGATTCGTGTGCATGCTGGGTGATCTGTTAGCAGCGCACATGGCACCATTCATGGAGTCCCTCCGAGACTTGTTCGAGAACCTGCTCCGCCACTACGCCCTGCCACCATTCCCAATCTTCCCGGCTCGACTGGCGGGCTGGGCACACCGGCCGAGGGGGTGCAGCGCGTTTTGCAAGCCCTGCAAAGAGCTCGACCTGTTCCTCACCGACCCGAACCGGAAGGTTGCCGACTTCAGCCACCTCAAGAGAGCCCACATCCATGACCATGTCATACGGCGTCTGCCATCGGAAATCTTTAATTGCATCATACATCCCAAGGGAAACAACTTCTATGTCGACAAGATCTCACCAGATGGCGATTTCCGCAAGGCTTTGTCAGCGTATGAGGACAAGGCCAGAGCCCTACGAGACTGCACAAAGGACTTTCATGGGGAGCACTTTCGGAAAATATTGGGCGAAGATCTTTACTGTGAGCTGGTTTTACTGGAAGCCCCCGGGGGCTCGAGGGCTCCTGACCATCCCAGTCAGATCGCTGCTGGGGTGAAGCGAGAAGCCGAAGAAGAATTGTGGCATCCCCGCAGAACCGTGGTGCGGCAGTGAATTGCGTGAGATGAGTTTTCCTCGGGAAATTGCAGAAACTGGATGTTAGGTGACTACACTGAAACGACGAGCTCAGGAGCGCTTGTCTGTTGGCAAAGTCTGACCCTTTCACTTCATCAAGGTTTGACAATTTTGGGGTGGTTTCGCCGCAATGATCATTTTATCTTCTCCTCTATCTCCCTGTCTCGGACTTCGGATATGTAAAATGTGTCGAAGCGTCTTCTTCATCTTTTTTACGATCCAGCATGGTGTTGCCGCTCCTGTAGCAAGCCGATAATTTCCAATGATTGACTAAGTGTAACACTTGGTTGTCTACTTCGCACTGCTATGGCTAAGTCTGGCGGCCTTGCATCAGGTCTTGTTCACTAGTACTGTTAAGACTCCCATAGCATTAAGAGCCGCAGAGATATACTAACTAAGGATTCATTCAAGGTTACAAGAAGCCATTAGGAGAAACCAAACACCCTCTTCAGTTGGTCTTGGAAGGTGATCACACGCCCGGGGCGTCTTTCCGCTCCAGAGTCGACCGCTCCGTCTCCTCCACAATGGAACTTGCCCTGTACCGCACTTTCATGATGCTTTGTATGCATCTTCCTGAGCCCTAACCCTTCAATATCTGCAGAGCCACGAGAAAGGTCTGTGGAGCAAGACTGGTCTCCAAGAGATCTTAGGGCGGTCCTGGCTGATGGTCCTGCTGCTTCACCAGCATATCGCTTGACAAAGGGGGTGGCCACTGACAAATTCGTATCCAGGAGGCTCGAGGGAAGCAAAACGGAAGGCTTTCCTTGGCTCGCCTGAGGCACGTGGCGGTCCAGATACTCTGAAGACTCCGAAGGAAACTTAGTGCGACTAACCGATCCAGATGGGAACGTGGGGCTGGAAGTAGTTTTGGGAGGGCTGATGAAACGGACATGTCTGCTAGGTGAGAGGCGGCCAGGCTGAAACCTCGAAGACGGGCGCTGGCCTGGTTTCTCGTCGACAAAGGTAAAGGGACGCGACATGTGGACAGTTTTGAATGAATGCTCAGATCGAGCAGGCTCAGACACAAAGGCTGAGCTCGACCGCGGAGGGCTAATGCTGCGCTTTGAAAGCGCGAGTTCTTCAGTACTTTTGGACTGCTCATCGTTTGTTTGCGGTATTGCTGATCTCACAGGAATGATGTGCGCCGGGACTGGAGGAGGCGAAGGTGACCGTCTGATGCTGGGCTCGGAGTCTGATTCTGCGACGCTGGAGTCAGGTGGTGAAAAGTAGACGTCGAGAACAGAGCTGGGACGCTCGACGCAGTCCAATTCATCTGACCTCTTTCCGGGGAGATACTGCATCCATTTCGGAATTGGCTTTGTCTCGCTCCGTCGAAAGGCTGGCTCCCCAACAGGGTCATGCATAGAAACATAAATTGGTGAGGGTGTCCGGGAAACATGCTTCTCTTTCGACCTGGCCGAGGTAGCGAGGATTCCGGCTTGCTGCTCAAGCTCAGGGTGTGAACTCAGAGAGCTTGGTGTCTCATGACCATGGTCTTCATGAGTGCTCTTGCCCGTGGCTTCCTCCCATCGTCTCCTCGATAAGCCTCCATCATATCGATCGATCCTGCGCAGGGCCATCGGAATGAGATGGTCGTCCTTCGTCGTCTCCCTCGAGACTTCTTCGACACATGGCCCGCACAGGGGTATCTCGTCAATCTCTCTGCCCTTGCCTCTGCCCAACTCGGTCGAGCGATCTGGTACTCGAGACCCGGCATCTTCAAGTAGCTCCTCCACGCTTACACCCTCGACGACCCTCCTGTTCCCGCAGAACAAGCAGCCGTAGCAGCCCCTGTGCCAGAAGCACCAACCCAGGCTCACGCACTCGTCCCCGCGGAACACGACCTCGCCGCACACCTAGCAGACCGCGAGGTCGAGCAGGGCATTGTAGCACGGCTCGCAGGCCAGGCGGGCGCGGCTCCCGACCACTTTCGGGGCGCCGGATGGGTTGACGGGGTCAGATCGCTGAGGGCGCCAGCAGAACGTACAGAGGAATGTCTCCGGCCTCGTTGGCGAGCAGGTACTTCGTGGTGGATGAGCTAGGGCGTGGTTGTGAGTATTGCCTCCTTCGGGCTGGTTGGAGTGTCCATCACGAGTAGAGGGTCCACGGTGCGGTGGCACGTCGGCCATGTTCAAGGTCGGCGGTCGGAATTAGTAGGTTATTTACAGATGATAAACGAGTGCAAATAGTTGTTTCAGCGACTGGACGAGTTCGAAATAATCAACCCGCGATGTTGAAGTAGTTCCTGGTTGGACTTTGCTGGGCTGTGGGAGACTCGGGACAGGGATGGTGATTGACCAAAACAGAAATCAGAAGATCTTCAAGGAGCTTCCGGATGGCTCCTTCCCACAGACTCATCAAGCATCAGAGCAGGGTCATGCGGTACAGGCAAGGAAGGCAGAGACGGTGTATCTGAGGGCGAACCTCGACCCGGAGGACAATTGATCCACCCAATACATGTTAAATGACAGCTCTGGCAGCAGCGATTTGATTCAGAATTTGATCTATGCATTCATGCAATCTGGTCCTGTCTGTCCACATTGCTACACTTCCTAAAAGCGAGGACTAAAAACAATTATAACGCCACACGTCCTTAGTATGCTCCTCAAGACAGCCCCTTTTCCTGGTTAGCTCAAAACTCCGTCATAAAGCATTCCGAAAAACAGACAATGGCTGTACTGTACAGGGCGACCCCATTTCAGCATCAGCAACTGGACGCAACGCCGCCAGCCGGACAGCATAGCCCAGAAGCCATGGCTTTGAGCAAGTATGGATCTTGAGACACACTGGAAAGTATGAGCATCCAAGTTTCCGGCCCGCAATCCAGCCAGCCCTGCCGAGAGGATCCACCAGCTTTCGATGCTTCGGACCCTCCAGCCGCCCTCCTCATGAACAAGGTATGACCCGATGACTTATGTCCAGAAGTCGAAAATCCAATCTTGAACAAACGCAGCCGGCATACCTTATATGCAGAAATGTACAACTCCCAGCACAATCATGCAGCTGGGGATGCGTTCGTTGCAGAATTACCCAGCAAATTCACTGTTCATCCCGCGCCTCACTTGCGCTGCTTGGGAGTCGCCAGGTAGCTTAGCCGGCTCATGCTGATTCCTGCGACTTTGCGACCGCCGGGGGTCGTGGCTGGGGCCGTCGGCTTGATTGCAGACCTGGCAGGCGTCTTCAACAAAGTTCTGCTTGGACCCCTAACGCGTGGCTTCTGGGCCGACGCAAGTCTGGGCGCAACAAGGGCCTCGCCCTCCGGAACACGAGCGGCCTTCATCTTCTTCACCGCGCGTTCAGCTGCCTCCCTGTCTGCCTCCTCCTCATCATCCTCAACGCGAAGGCGCTTCCTATTACCTACACCGTGTGGGAAAGCCTTAATGTCGAAGGGACTCTGCGGAAGGTAGGGTGGCATGTTCTCCTTGCCCTTCGGGGCAGCCGTCGCGGGCATGTCGGAGGATGGAAACGCGCCGGGAATGGCTGGCATCATAGAAGGACGGACCTGGCGCACACTGGACTGTCCGGAGCTGCCACCAAACCCCTTAGGGGAGGAACCGCCAAACCGGATGGTGTGATCACTCCGAAAGGTGAAGGTACCGGGAACCGACACCGGAGCTCGTTCCAAATCCTCAGACATCTCGTCGTCCACCGAGTCGGACTTGTTCTCCGTTGGGGGCTCGGGCAGTGGTCGGAAGCCCGACAGATCGGGGTATGAGACATGATCAGCGGTGGCGTTGCTCATCACAGAATCGAGAGATGGATAGTTGACTAGATTGCTGGCCGTCTTCGAGCGAGGTATGCCGGACTTGACAGGAGACGGAGAGTTCTGCGCCAGAGCAGCATGCTTGGGTGCAGGAGTGAATTGACCAAGCCTGGTGCTGTTCTTGCCTGGGGTAGTCTGAGGAGCGGGAGGGAGTTCGTTCTGTGCGCGTACAGGAGCTGGCGTCTTGGAAATTCCCACGGTCGGCTTGGGAATACCGGGCGTGTGTGCAGAGCCATTGCCCTTGTGCTTAGCAAACATGGATTTGACCTTATCAAATCGACTGGGGGTTCGCAGCTTGGCTGATGGTCCCTCTTTTGTATCGCTAATGGAGCCCAGATCGCCAACGGTCGCAGACTTCTTCAGGCCTGTCAAGGTGATCTTTGATGGCGACCTGAGCATGGACCGAGCTGTCGTTGGGGTTTTGATAGAAGCTGCACGTGCAAGGGACGCCTGGGTGGGGGACATCATGTTCGTGATGGCGGACTTGGAAAGAAGTATGCCATGGGGGCCTTTGCCAGGTGTCCTCGGGCGAGGGATGTTGCTGCTGTCTCTGGAGATCGGCCGGTTCGTAGAAGCATCATCATTGGCACCCTGCTTGGTTCGCTTCGCGGGAGAATCTGGGTCACATGCAGGCGTGTGGACCTTCCTGGACGACTTGGATGATGTGAGCTTGGCGGGAGTGTTGACGCGTGCAGTTTCGCTGTCGTCGATGTTCGCTTTCGACTGGGAGCGCTTGATGCCCGTCTTGGGGGCAGCGACAGAGGCGTGTTTGCTGGCTCGGAAAGCAGAGGGATGGTTCTCGATGGAATCCATCTTCTTGAACTCGGCCATGTGAATGGCAGAGTAGCGGCCAGCCTTGCCCTTGGGCTGGGCGATCCTGCGCGCGTTGACCTGGTCTTCCTCCACGCGCTGCTGCTCACGCTTGGCCGCGAGCCCAGCCTTGATCTTGGCAGCCTCCTCACGGATCTCATCCATCATACGCTTGGCCTCGGGGCCAAGGGTGGAGTCCGTTGCGCTCGGGCGTGTTGCAAAGTGAAGTGCGAGGAGGTGGCGGGTGTCTTGGAGGGCGTGGACTGTGGGATTCCAGAGCCAGGCTTGCCGGCGGTGGTGGGCTTGATGTCAGTAAAGCCAAGGCGTAAGGCAGATGACGGGGCTGCCATGGTGGGGTGGGCTTTGCTGGGGTGCATCTCGGACATTGGCGGCTTCACGACCGACCTGGTCGAGGGGGTTCGGGGGTTAGTGGCCGGGGACGACATGATGGCGTTGAGACTCTGAGTAGGCTCATTGACAGGACTCTCCTCGCGTTCGACGACGGACTCGAGAGTTGTGGGCGGCGTCGCGACGGGCTCGGGCTGCAAGGCGCGTGGCTGGTATGAGCAGTGGCGAGACTTGTTGCGGGCGAGCCATGTTTGTTTACTTACCTTGCCGGTACTGGCCAGGCGTGCAGATCGGCGACGGGCCATGGTGATGGAAATCCTGGAGGTTGACACCAGGCGGGGCCAGACAAGCTTGGTAGTCTCGGGAGCAATGGGCGCTGTCTCAGAAGGAGCGGTTGCAAGGTTGCAGGCTTGGAAAGGGGAGATTTGTGTGTGGGATGAAATTGAGGGTGATGTAGTCTGGATTACTACGCACTGCGTGAACGCGGTTTTGGCGGTTGCTGGGGCCCCACACCTCTCCAAAGTCAACAAAGGTGGTCCAAGCTCCCCGCCCGTCCACTCCTTCGACTGAGCCAGTCATTTTTAGCTCCCTCTCTTCACTTGCACCTTCCGCTTACATGCAGTTAGTTACTGTACAGCGTTCAGGGGTCCTTGGCCGGCTGCTACCGGTTGGATCCCCTCGGCGATCGACGACCTGACAGATGCAGATTTCCCTATGATCGCCGTCCATCATTTCCATCAATTCCTCATTGCGCCTGGTCTGACTCCCAAGGCACGCTTGTGTGTCTTGGAAGCTCAGCTCACGTACCATGGCATGCTCCCTCATGCTTTAGCGACAGCATCACCGTCGCCGGAAGAGACTTCGCTCGGCAGGGTCTCACGTCTGAACGAAGGTTTTAGACCACTGGCACCAACCATCTGGCATGGCACAACAAAGACCCGTCCTCAGCAAGAGTCGGCAAAGCCGGCACCGTAACGCTGAACTGTAGGATCGTGATTCCGCAGGGAGGCCACGACTTTATGAGCTTCGGGCAATTCTGCCAGCCTTGGGAGCAGCACGGGCGAAACTAGCTATGTCCCCGGCCACGTCCCAGACGGTGATGACAAGAGATGCCAGATATGCTCACGCCATTTATGCAAACAAAGTGGACACCGACGAGGATGCGGCTCAAGGGCTGAGACGGCTTGGTAAGCAAGGCACAGCGCTACGGCACATAAATCCGAGTGTGCTGGCCGTGTCCGTCGACGACAGCCGTCTTGGGAATGACGCAGCAGCGCGTCCAATCGAACCTCGTGTTGCGCATCCGATACGAAGAATCCTGCATCTTTTGTGTGTGTTCGGATAACCCGCGTTGTTTGGACCAATCCCACATGACAGGGACGCCGTCATCCACCTGTTTGAGATGCCACCACCTTGTTTCGGCCAAGGTGAACATCCAAAACGCCAGGAGCCCGACATAGCCCCGGCCCCCCGTTACGGCGCCGACCCACCGGGGGCTGACGGGACCTCAGCGCCTCAAAGCGAGTTTTTATGCTTGTGCCAATCGGCAATGGGACGAAATGATCGGACGGCAGGCCAGCCACTGAAGTTCGGCTCGGTGGGTAAGACTCTGTAAGGCTCTGCTCTTGGCGTCTGGTGTTTGTCGGGAAATGGGGGGCCTGCCAAGCGCCTCGCCCGTCAGGAATGGGAATAACTTCAAACTGTACGCGAAAGCCCCTCCAAGCAACTGCCCCTTTGAGCGAATGGGCGTCCTGGAAGGGGGTGTCCTCGGCGCCGAGTTTGTCATGATGCACAAGCGACGGCATGACTATGGCAGAACCATGGGACATCACATCACACCCCACTGACGTGGGCAATATTGACCACTACCCTGGGAGGTTTGTCAGCGCGGCTCGAGGCTCATGGGCCGCCCTAATCAAATATCAGGCGAGGAACCGCGCTACTTCAAGTGTAGGTTCGGATGTGTCCCATCTCTGTCATCTGTCCCTACTTTTCGTCCTAATTGTGTCGGTCATTTTCAAAGACGGTGTTGCTGTGGAACGGCATATTCCCTTCCCTCACTACTCGCCCCATATCTCGTCGTTGAACGACTATTAAGAGTTTAATACTTGCCCGGCCCCAAGTTTCAATTTCACCTATTTACACACTCTCGTGCAATCGAAGATGCTTCTCATCGGGATCGTTGGTCTGCTGGGGATTGCTGTGAGCGCCTATCCTCAGACTGAAGTCATTCACACGGATGCTGTCTCTAGGTCTGGAAGGAGGTTCATCAGTAAGTTCTTGGAAAACTCCAGTCACAGGTCAGGCTTTGGCATTTCACTAACAACTCACCTTTACAAGTCCGCCGCAATGTCATCCCGAAAGTCAAGAGGGCCAACCAGGTTATACCGGTGGTAGTTGGAGGACCGCAAGACACCTATGTCCCGAACGTTGTTACTGCCGCAGTCGGCGACGTTGTTCAATTCCAATTCAGCAATGGCAACCATACTGTCACACAGAGCGCAGCGGATCAGGGGTGCACCCCCCTTCAGGCCACGGTACCTACAGGTATGTATGAGCTTAGTTCTTCTTCGACGCATTATCCCGTCCTTTCGAAGGCATCCCAGTATAGATCACTTGGATCTCCATAACAGACAATTAACGCAATTCTAGCCGTCCATTCAGGACACATTCCATTCCAAGATGGGGCTCAGGAGGTTGGCACATTCAACCTCGTCGTTTCCAGCACCGATCCTATGTTCTTGTATTGTGCAACCGGGCCACACTGCCAAGAAGGCCAGGTCATGGTTATCAACCCGTAAGTAGTCTTTTGTCTTCTTTTTGTGTTTAGCAACTATGTCAAGCTGCCCAAGCAAGTGGACAGGCATGGCTAACACCCTACGCAGACAGAATGTGAACCAGGTCGTGGATTATGCCAAAGTGAGCCAGGCCACCACACAGAGTACAGATGGCACCACCGTGGTGGGAGGGGCTGTCGGCAAAATCGCCTTGGGCAACGCAGCCTTCGTGCCTGCGCCTGCCGAGCAAGCAGGAGCAGCGCCTCCTGGAGCGCCCCCCGCAGGGGCAGCTCCCCCGGCCGAAGCAGCGCCTCCGGCTGAAGCGTCAGCTCCCCCGGCCGAAGCAGCGCCTCCGGCTGAAGCGTCAGCTCCCCCGGCCGAAGCAGCGCCTCCGGCCGAAGCAGCGCCTCCGGCCGAAGCAGCGCCTCCGGCTGAAGCGTCAGCTCCCCCGGCCGAAGCAGCGCCGCCGGCCGAAGCAGCGCCTCCGGCTGAAGCGTCAGCTCCCCCGGCTGAAGCGGCGCCTCCAGCTGAGGCATCAGCACCTCCTGCTGAGGCCGCACCTCCTGCTGAAGCAGCTCTACCGGGGGCAGCTCCCGCAGAGGCAGCTCCAGCCACGCCGGCCTAACTTGCAACTTGGCAAAGTCTAAGGAAGACTGGCTTGTCGTCTCGGTGGTACCTGTATACCTTCACTGCTTGAATACTCTCAGTTAATCGTGGACAACCATACTCGAGCTCTTTGCCATATGTTGTTGTGGCGAGACGATTTGTTGTCCCGGTGGTCTACGAAACTCGGAGTGCATGTCGTGTCTTGCAGGTATATTGTGTGTGTGTGTGTTATTCATTTGTAAACACATATGGTGTCACATCTATGTCCTCGAGGCCTATTGCCGCGTTTTGCACAGGCTGGCCCTGACTCGGCATGCCGCCGCACAGTCGGTGGATCGCTGCTGAACTAGATAGTACATAATTTGAGATTCTGTTCTTCGAGATTGCTGTATTGAGGTTCAGCTGGGTCACGAATGGTCCTGGGAAGCAGCCGAAATGGCATATCGCAGTGTTAACCCTGAACCTCCCGTGCACATGTCTTGAGCCAGAAAGACTCCTACTGTAGCCAGCCGGTTGATTCAGCAATATTGTTTTGGGCCTCTTTGTTTCTCACTCTTCCTTCCTAGAGTAGTAGATACTCTGAAACTGTATGGGGTTGAGCTCTGTGGTCATGGTGATCTATAATCCTACCCAGCATTGCAGGCCGCTCCAGAAGATGGCGCCGCTAGAAGCGTTCTAGAAGGTGGCACTCCGACCTAGCCTCATCTTGGGTAGGCGCAACTGCTCAGACGACCCCAACACGCATTTCGCCACACCCTATACTACACAGCAGTGGGTGACAATGCCGGTATCAGGTTCGCCTCGTTGGCGAGATCAAGCCACAGACGCTGTGAGGCTAGACACGGCACATGAACACCAAGACTGGCTAGGATGCGGGCTAGGACATTTCGCGATGAAACGGGTTTGCGTCTGCACGATGATAGCATCTTGCTGCTCGAGAGCGACCTGGTATAATGCCACGGCGCAGCGCCAATCACATCACAGCGCAAGACACCAACACACAGTAGCCTCTGGTTGCTGCGATGCTCCTTCTCCGGCTGCAGAGAGTACATATCTACAGGAGATGCCCGCCTCGTCTGCATGCACGCAGGCCCGACCGGCTACTGCAGCAGATGGCGACACTGCAGGACGGCTTGCATCAGATGCGACACGTGGGATCCCGGGCGAGCCTTGTCGAGGCTTACAGCAACTACAGTCCCTTCCGTCGGTGACATTCACCGGTTGTACGCGGTGCTGTACTTGCTATATGTCCACGCGACGGCAGTGAGGAGTGGTCGGGTCCCTGAGGAGGTCCAAGAGAAGCTCGAGGCCCAGAAACGTGGGCCGTCGGGTGCCAATTGGCTGCGGGTGGAGATGCCATGTCGAGGCAATCAGGCGAGAGCCTAGCCTCGATTTTCCCCACACACCCAGAACGCTCCTGCGCATTCCTGGCAGGGCCAGCACCTCGAGGTCCTCCGAGGAGATGCAGACTTCGACCGACTGCACGTCCTGCTACAACCGTGTCAACGGGCTTTGCTTTGGCCAGCCAGCATCCAGCCCCCCTTGCACCAATCCGGTCACCGAGCACTGCGGGCATTGACCACGACGGGAATCACCTGCACTACCTCTTCCTCTAGTCAGACAGGATTGCATGCCTTTCGCCGCGCGCCAAAGGGCTTGGGCAGGTGTGCAGCCTGATCCCCCTCGTGCCCTCGCCAGGCCACAACAACGTCCTCGTAGTTGTACGCCAGATCTCCTCCTGACCGGTCGGCCTATCTAGCTCTTATTGCCTGCCTTCCCTCTCTCACTCAGCTGCTATTCCCTGGAGTGGTGGAGCGGAGGCGGGCGGGCACCAGCGGCATCCCCAGGAGACAGCTGCCTTCGTAGCTGAAACGCGGTCCAGCAAGACGGTAGTCCAAGACCTTAGTCGGCAAGAGCTAGACTTTTCGATCCATCCATCGTGACGTTGGGGATCGGCGCCCAACGCACTCCTGTCGTCCCTCCGTGTTCCCTGTGGCTGGCCGACATGAAGGAGGAGGAGGAGGTGATGGTGGTGGGTGACGATGAGCAGCATTTGACATGGGCTTGGGCTGGACGAGACGGCATCCTCCCAAGAAGCTGATTGCCCGATTGATTGATTGATCGATCTTGGAGGAGCCCTCGGAGCAAATCTAAAGCGATCAACACCCACCAGAGCTCAGAATTTTCCGCGACGCAGTGCCAAATAGCCGCAGGGATGGTTGTTGGATCTTGGTCGCAATTGGGAGTGTCAACCAGCCGAGGCCAGAGATACTTGGACGACAAGTATCCCGCCCTATTGGTTCAGACCCCGCATGTGCCGCCTGGCCGCCTGGGCAAGGAAGGGGCCGTGAGATCTGAAATGCAGATCACACTGGACTGGGTCTCTCCCTCGCAAACCAGCCCAGGACGGATTGCATTCCCAGCCTCGTCTGTCTCGAAGCAGCGCGATGATCTTGGGGGAATGCATCGCAGCACAAAGGGAAGGGCTGGCCGTGGTCTTCTGTCCTCACAATTGCAGTCTGTGTGGTCCTGTAGCAAACACATGGCGTCTTCTCTGTATCCACAGCGGAGAACGAAGCTTGGAACGCCCCGGTAAGGCAGGATTGTCCGCTCGAGCGTGCCGATATCGCTTACTGGCACAGACCCACCCTAGAATCTGGAACACACCAGCACAGCCTGAGGTTGACGACACTCGACCTCGGAAGGCGAACAGCAGAACTCTAACAAAATCGTGACCATGACGAGTCAAGCACGGGATCATTCTTGCTTTGCTTTAGAAGATGAGATGACGGCGTCAGGAAAGGCACGCGGCGGCTAAGAGGAGCGGCATGCCTTCAGTTTTCTCTCCAGTGCCAGAGACTGACCCTGCGAAGGCGGCCCTCTGATCACTTCCTGCCGGGGATCTCCGACTTACACCGTGTTCTCTCTCACACATGTAACCTGCCATTCATTCCAAGTCTCCAATCAAGCTAGCACCATCATCATCACTGCGCAATCCGCTGCAGCGAGCAGGACACGAGCCATATACAGTACTGGAGACGGACTTAAGCACTAACTTAGGGAGATGCAGTTGGTGGCTCACACAGGTGGTCTGGAGACCAAGCAAAGTCGGTTCTTGGCCCTCCTCGGGCCGAGTGACTTCCCAGACCTGGGCGAGACACGACTCGCGCAAATCATCATCACCAAAAGTCGAGAACCGCGAGCGGGGATACGAATGAGATGACAGATCTTGGCAACTGCAGTCCACGGGGAGATCCATCAGTGGAACGTGGCCTCATTTTGTGGTCCGACACCTCTCTCATCAGAGAGACTGGTGATGATTCCGCTGCTCCGCTGGCTTGCCATGATCTTGTTCCCACGAGCGGGCCAAGACTGTCAGAAGCTGCAAAGCTGCAGCACAGTACAGTCATACTGCAAAGAATCCACAGCCCCATCTCTCAGCACGAGCGCGGTACTTGGCATCATTGTCACCGTAGCGTCTCGACCCTTTGGCCGAGGGGCAGTGGCAGGGCGGGGAGGAGCAAGCTGAGTCTCCAGATGGATCCTCAGCTCAGGGGTGCAGCAAAGCCCCGACCTGGAGCCTTGTTCCTGCCGGTCGACACTAATGGCCTGCGTGCAGTGTGTGGGTAGTCTTATTGGGAAGCTCTATTTGCTTAGAAAGACGCGCCGACAGAGCTTAAATATCCGAAGACACAGAGCAGATGCACACATGTTTGAGACATAGGGCATGTGAACACATGTCAGGGACAGCGTTTCTCACCGGGGAGCATCTGCACAGAAAGACTTTTGGGTTCCGTGACACCCAACTTGAGATGGAGATTGTCCGCCGTAGGCATACCCAGGCATTCGAGGCCACGATGATGGAAAGGAGGTGCGAGGTTGAATCGACGTCGGCCGGCTCTCGGTCGACTTCCGCACCTCTTCTGTCCACGGCAGACCCCTGACTGCCTGCTATAGCAGCATGGCCGTATTGGTTGGTGTGTCGGAGCTGTGCGCTCTGGCCAGGTGCGGGCAGCCAGGTGATGTCAACCTTGCAGGTCTGCAGGAATAGGGAGAGGGCAGGCTTTCTAGGGAGCAGGCGACTTGTGGTCCAGGTACCGCCCTTCTCATGACTAAAATACCCGCTCACCCCAAAATTTGCGACGGCTCCGCTCGACTTCCTCGTCCTGGAAGCCTTCTGTCCGCCTGCTTGGGTGTTTCGTTCTGTCTCGACAAATTTTTCCACTGCGCTGTGGTCATCTGGATATCTCGTCATCGTGGCATCTCAGTCGCCCAAGCCGCCGGAAATCCATGGGAACCGTCACATTCAGACCTCAGAGTGTTGCAACCTTTGGGTGAACTCAACAACCAGCCTCGAGACCCGACCCCAAAGTCTAACGCGACCTCCTGCAGCTGCTGGGTCCGGTCGAGCCAACGGTTCATTGACTGCCAAGTCAGGATCCAGGTCAGCTGTTCCGGAGGCGGGACTGATCAACCACCGCCTTTCGTGCCCAGTCCAGTCCTTCCAGGGCCCTGTCCTGTGCTGCTGCTAGACCGATCATCATTCATCACGACGGTCGAGGCTGGTCTTTTCAGGGCTGCTTGGTGGGATCCAATTCGAGGGGCAAGTTTCCAGAGTTGAAGGGGCGGCAAAGGGCCATTGATCCTGCGACCACTCGAAAGCAGCATCTAGCGAGCGTGCGGCCAGCGACCAGCTCCCGAAGAGGTCGAGGGCACATCGGCAACCGGGTATCGAACTGACCCCTCCTGGAATTCCCGGAAGAGGGTGCTCAACGCGACTTTTATATCTGCCACACCCTTTCTCGACTCAGGGCGTGTGGACCATTGCACCATTGCAAACACGATTCGCGTTACCTAAAGACAGGCCCACAGCGGACCAGTCGACGTAGGCAAGGCTCATCACGCGCAGTGAGGGGCCCTCGTCGCACGCTAGAGGTCGGCTGCCAGGACGAGCAAGGTCAAGGTCAACGACCGCCGCCGTGAGCCAGACCGGGGCAGGGCACAGCAGGGCAGAGCTTGGTCGGCCCAGGCGCCACGGCACGGGTCCGTGGTTGATTTCCCCCACTACAAGTGTTGCGACGTTCCATTTCAATTACGTATAAACCCTCGCCCTTCTGCCTTTTCTTTACACACACAAACTCTACGACCTGTCACCGTCATTTCCCTTATCTCTGGGCTGCCCAAAGTTGAGCTCGACAATCTGTCAAACGCTGCCCCGCGACCACGCTTTGATCCTGCAGCCGTCTGATCTCCCTGTATCCCCGGTAAGGACCAGCCTATCCTGGATGTCAATCAGGCACGAGTGCCACCAAAAAGGTCCCAGACTGCCGGATCTGCAGCTGCCCTACGACGAGCCCCGATGCCCTGATTGGCGCCACCCCAGATTGCTCTGAAACTTCCCCGGACATATCGCTGATCGGGACTTTTTTTTTTACCCCAGCTTTTGGACATCTGCCTACGGTTACGGTACTCCGTACACTACACCGCCAGCCCTATCTCTGCCGGCACCCTCCAAGGTCCTGGAGATAGATAACGGCCTGCCGTGTTAGGTTGGCCCCAGTGGACTGTCACCTGCCAGCCCACCACCTTGTTCCAGCCTGTCGGTAGACCGGCCTCGAGGCTCGTCTCGCCCCGGCTCGGCCAGAACCTTAGCAGTTGTAATTACAAACTGCTATCATCGGTTCGCTTACCGGGCCCAGTCACGCCCATCGTTGGACTTTATCTCCTTCGTGAGGACTTGAGGCGTTTGCCGCCCCTTCGCGGCAATCGTCTCCACTACCGGTCAGGGGTATGGCAACAGACAAGCCTTCGGATGATAACAAGAAAGAACCTATCAAACAGGACAGTGAGGAGTCCCCATTGGGCTCGAGCCCTGATGGAGAGGGAGACGGAGAGCCAGCAGATTCGGGCGAGCAGGGCCAGGCCCTCCCCACCCCGGAGGGCCAGGCGCCCAAGCGGAAGGGAGGCCGCAAGCCGGTACGTTGAGAACACTCTCTTGCTTTCCGGGTTCTTTTAGAACGGTCTTCGCAGGCCCAGTCGCGAGGGATCTCTACTGAACCGGCCCTGTGTGACGCTGGGTTGGAGACGGAGTACTAACGGGGCTCTAGATCTATGCGACCACAGAGGAGCGGAAGCAACGAAACCGCCAGGCTCAGGCAGCTTTTCGAGAGCGGCGAACCGAGTACATTAAGCAGCTTGAGCAAACTATCAGTGTCCAGGAGCAGACCCTGGCTAATCTGAATGCTGCTCATCGTACCGCCGCGGACGAGTGTCTGATGCTGAGATATAAAAACTCGCTGCTCGAACGCATACTCCTCGAGAAGGGCATCGATGTGCAAGCTGAGCTTCAGGCCAAGCATGGTAGTCCTAATTTTGGTCCGACCCACATGCCACAGAACATTATCCAGCCGCCGCCAATATCGAGGACGCTGCTTAACAGACATCACTCTCGGAGGTCGACCTCCAGCATCGCACCGAAGCTGGAGCCTGGCTATAGTACACTGCCTCCAATACATGGGGCGAACCCTCCGGCAGGATCTCCCAAATCTCGGCCCACGCCCTCATCGCATGCGGCATCTCCTACAACAACCGAGGGTTTTGGAGCTTCGCCGGCGTCGTCTGAGAACGTGGGCCCAGGAGGCATGCGGCCTGGGATGCCGTCCGCTGGGATGAAGCAGCCAATGGGCCAGATGCCTGGCCCGTCACGAATGATGCCGCCCATGCAAGGAGGTCTTGGTCAACACTCGGGACAAGGGGCACATGCTGGTAGGATGGGGGCGCCGAGTGTCAGCAATGCACCATTCTACCAGACACCGGCATATCAGAATCATATTGAGCAACTCGGTAAGTTGGTAACATCTCTGAATTTTCGACCTCATCCTGTGGTCTTTGTGCATCAAAGTTCGTGTTTGTGCAAGTGCTGACAGAATCTTAGAACAAGAATATGATGCTGCAGCTGATATGATGGACGAGGGCGGCGACGCACCAGAAACACCTTCTGGACCAGGTCCATATCCTGGTGCTGGTTACGCTGCTGCCGCCGCCGCCGCTCAACAGCACCAGGCCATGAGCCCAACAACGACAGGACCAATGGAGGCGAACGCCGCAACAGGGCATCCACAGGGGCATCAACATGGCCTCTCTATGACGCAACTGCTGGACCCTTCGATCGATTGGGATCCTTTCGGCTTAAGTGCTAGCATGGCCTTTCCGTCATCGTTCTCCTTCGACACGAGCAACATGAGATGAGTCGAAATCCCGTGTCTGCGGGAACAACTCATCACGCCAATTTTCAACATGCCTGACGCGTCAGGACCAAGTTTGTCTAGTACACCCACCTCTGGAGCAGAGGTCTGGTGACCACGGAGTCAATGAGGCGAAAGAGGCTGAACTATACCAAGTTTTATTTCGGAATTTGACAACAAGACATGGCCGGCGTAACAAGACACCGCGAAGTGCCTTGATGGCGTCGACGAGCCTCATGACATTCTAAAAAAAAAAGATCATTGGGCGGACAAAAAGTTTTTGTTTTTTCTTCGATACCCCCGGGAAACGCGCTGCATATAACGGTGGGACGGTTCATCTTCACAACATCAAATCACGACCGCAAGGAACCTGCGAAATTTTCAATTCAGATTTCTGAGTCCACGACCCGGCGCGCGCGCGCGTCTGTGGAGCTCAAGACGGCGCCGGAACAGACGGCGAATTCGTCCACAGCTGTGACAGCCCTGTTGAAACGGCGTCACCTTGTGTATATTGTATATACTAAACTTTACTTTACCCGCATTGGAAGGCGTGAGCCGAGAATGGAAGGCTTTTTTTGGGATCGAGGTGGGTTCAACTGTCCTGCCACAAGAAATTGCAGAGATCTGGGGGCTAGGGTGCATGAAAAGTATCTGTTCAAAGCGAAAGTTTCGTTTCAGTCACTCAACAGAGATCTCTTCGAGTTCTAGACGATTTGTGCGCGTTTTCGTGCTAGATTGTAGCGGCTTCAGGACCATTCAATTGGCTCGAAGGGGAGCGGGTTACTTTCACACTGGGCGAGAGCCGTTGGCTGCGTTGTCATAACCTGGAAGTCATCGTCAACCATGCATCCCCGGGTGTGCTGGGAGCTTCGACAAAGCTATTATTCCCATGAGGCTTGCCTTGGCAACAATAGAGTAATACCAGCCACCGATCACTTGCGCTCACAACTCCAACACTTGATCTGATACAATCCAGGTTGCAACTGTGCCTTCTGGGAAAGAATGTTCGTGTGACACGTAGTCAAGAGGCCAAGTTAATATTGACGCTTCGCAAAGTTCATGCGGGACTATCAAAACAAATAGCTGCTGCCGTACCCTACAGAACAGTATTAACAGGCTGAACATAACGACCAAATCTTTCCTTGGGTGACTGGGCAAGGCCTTTCACTCCTTTCTGGAAAGGGGGTCCGCTATAAGACATCGACGAGGTCTAAACCTGAAGTCTGGGTTTCGTCAGTATCCCTCTCAATGAAAAGAGAAAAGGGCAGTTGAGTACAAACGCCAAGGGCCACTCTAGGGGCGATCTACAACGGTTAAACCTCGTGCCTCGGAGTCATTCTAATCATAATTACTTTTGCCGCCCAGAGCGTTGCGGGCGTCTTGCAGGAAGTCTTCAGACACATTACTAGTCTTCAGACTGGTGCTACTTCGGACCTGCGTTGTGCAGGAAAGGAAGCCGATCAAGACAGATATTAATGAAACGCAGGTATCGCTGGCGCTCCTGGGAGAGGTGAGTCCCGCGTGCATGAACCGAGGCCCTCTGCGGCATACAGGTCTAAGTCCCTAAACCGATACCGCGGCGGATCCAACTTTTATCGTTACGGGTATCATTTCCGGGGGACATAACTCGTCTGCCCTGCGAATATTCATCGTTCTTCCTTGCCAAACATGTGCATGTAAACATCCTGGGCGGGGCCGTTGGATGAATGAACTGGTTGGGAGTAATTAACTGCGAAAAACCTGGTGTCAACCGAGAGTAGTACGTCAGGGTCTACGATCTCCAGGTCTGATCGGGACCTCTGGCCAACACATGTCCACGGGAACTGGTGAACCCAGATACTCCGGCTTTTCGTACGCTTTGTTGAACGAGACACCTTCGGTTGGAAAGCTAGGGTTTGTCCCGGAGTCCAGCATGACACTAACTTTTGCACTTTAGCAGCTACGCTGTAGCAGTAGCGTCGCCTACTTGATTTGCAGGCCTGTGGGTCAGCTCCAGTCTCTTTGTCTTGCAGCTGCTGATAATCCTAGATCCGGGGTGAAGCACAAGACGTGTTAAAATCTTGTGTCCGTCCAGCCAGACCAAAAAGCGAGGGGTTGCGAAGCACTTTCCAGCAAAGGTTGATGTCGTCTTCCTCTTCTCTGGAAAGGGAATAGCTCCCCATTTTTTCCTCTCGTCCGCATCTTGCCAACCTCATGTGAATAGATTGGTATATTGTGATGCTCTCGCATTACTCGATATCAATTGCGTTAACTCGCAATTGCAATCGCTGTTGAAGTAGCATAATCAGTACGCGTGTAAGCGTAGGGATCCTAGTTGCAATAGGCTCAGCTTGAGTTAAGTTAAAACTAACACAGGATTACGAAGATTTCAAATTTGAGAACACACTTGAGATTCCTCAAGGCCATGTCGATTACCAGTCCACGAGAGATGATGTAAATCGTTGTTCTTGAAGAGCCTTCAACGATTCTATGAAATGAGATCAACGTACTTCGTTGGTTTCTCTTAGAACTGTACAGCGACAATATGTCATTTTAAATTGTCACCGATATCCTCATTACTATACAGAGCCTGCACCCACCGACATGACACTCCTAGATATTTTCAACACGGCTGTACATGGCCGGGCCCTGAGAGTTAGGAGCATGTGAGTCACTAAAAGATGCTCGACAAGTCGATAAGTTTTCACAGCGAATTGTACGTCGAAAAGTATGACGAAACCGTCCCCAGTTCACGATCAGCTCTAAAGGTATCAACATACTATGAGCATATCCAGCGTTGCGGGCGACTCAGTCGATAACGGACTACACCGAAAAGCCCAGATGCAAGTCTTTCATGTTCTGAATCACTAAGACATCAAGTGATCGTCGTAACTGCGTGGCCAAAAGGAAAGCAAGAAGGCCTGGACTCCCTCCAACCCGCCGCCACGGATGCTGTGGAGCCACGACACGCTGCTATGGGACAGTCGATGCTGGATCTGGCCCAGACCCATCTTCCCGAACCTCCTCTGGGTGTGCAACTGCAGGCCCCAGACACGGGTCGTCCCACGAGGGCGAAAAGTGCTCCCCGGGCTCATGTTTGAGAAGGCGCGATGTGGCGATGCCTCGAGACTCGAGACACGCAGCAGATTACCGGAGAAGGTCTGGCGGGGTCGCCGAGGACTGGGGAGTCGTGAACCTTGGGACTCCGGCGGAGAACACAGCGTGCGACAAGAGGTTTCGTGGCATGTAAGTCATTGTGTTGAAGTAGCGAGTGTGCGGACAAGGTGGAGGATACATTAGCCAAGGTGTCAAGAATTGAAACAGGCCTTCAAGGTGATAATGTGAAGGCCCAATTCACGCCCCTCAGACACATTACTGTGCCTGAATGTGCCCATCTCCTGGAGGAAACAGTACAATAGTTGAGACACACCCTCTCCCCCCGTATTGAGTGGTTTATCTGGAGGCTACGCAGATCCCAGAAGACAAGGGCTTGTTTTCACCTCTCCCCAGAAATTAAACGCACAAGCCGCGGGCATACCGAGACCTTTGTGGCATGTATTTCATGTGAGACATCAAAAACAGCAGAGCGCATCTTGGTGGTTTTCCACATGACACTGCCTGCCTCGGCCGTGGGCTGCCGTCTCCTCACGCCTCGCCTCGCCTCGTTGCAGTATCACGAAACGTGGGGTGATCGATGGGCGTGGATGACTTGCCCGCTGCACGCGCACACAAAACTCAAAATACCGGAGCGACGAGAGAATTAACAGGATATTGTGGGCATTCCCCTCAATCTGTGATGGAACCGCACAATCAAGGAAGTCTGGGGGGACACGATGGAGGAGGTGGGAGGTACGAGGTGGGTACTTGAGAATCGGGGCGACGGGCCCCATGTTGGGCTTGTGGGCGAGGCCAATCAGAGGCGGCGCCGGGTCCAACGTGATAAGAAGATGGTGTGGGAGAGGCCTGGTGGGTGTGTGAGTGCGTGTGCGAGTGGTGGGCTCGAAAAAGTCGGGGTTAGCTGGACACTTTCTTGGAGGAGACTCGGCCAAGACAGGCCACACGATGTCAGTTGATGCTGTGCACGCGCGCAATCGTTTGGCTGGCGACGGACAAAGTAGCCACTCCGTCGGCTCTGGATGGACGGGGTCGCGGTGCGTCCCGGGTCGACGGTGAAACAGACCTGGAAATGAGGTAGATCTGCAACTGCTGTGGGCAGCACAGCACGGGACGAGCACCCGATTTCGAGTCGAGTTGAATTGAGTCGACCCGAGTCGCGTCCCGCCGGAAGCGTACACAGTGAGGATGGACTCGCTGTGTGTTGTCCTTGCGCTCGCTCATGGCAGCTATAGCATGCAGTTTCTTATCTCCCCCTAGTCCAAACGACATGAGCCATTGACCATGCACCAGCAGCCATGGCGGGCTCGCGAAGGTCGCCGTGTTTCGGCGAGGCCTCGCAACCCGGAAGCCTGGCGCCGATCCAAGCGAGACTAACAGCGGGCAGAGGGCAGCAAGGTAAGGAACCTAGGTAAGATAATACCAAGCAGGGTAGCTGAGGAGGAGACGAGACGAGGCGAGGATAGACACACTCCAGCCGCGCGATCCGATGGGGGGTGACGTGGATGGAGCGAGCTGGGAGGGCGCTGGGCCAAGACGCCTCGGGTCTTGACGCAGGCTGCATCGAGCACGCGGGGATGACCCCAGGCCTTGCCTCTCACTGCTGGTGCTGCACGATGACAAGACAGCCCAGAACGGACGACCAGAGACTCCTGCTGCAGTGCGCTGTAGGAGGGCACATCTCCCGGTGATAGACCAAGGTTGGACATGGGAAAAGCAAACCGTTGGACACTTGTCACCCATCCATCCACCTCCACATGCCAGATCCCCTCCCCCCTCTCAATGTCACCACGCGAGAGACAGGGAATGTAGAGACGACGGGCTGGCCGATCATGACGGAAGCGGAAACGGAAATGCCGTTCAGCGTGGTCGGGTCATCTTCATCAATAATGACCATCAGGCACGCATCAGCCCTGACGCGCTACCGAGATCAACCAGCAGCCATTGCTACAGCACACCGTACAAACGCAAGCCTTGACGAGCGATGCTCTTTCTTCGGCGGCCATTGTGTTCCACTTGTCAACGCAATGCCAGCTCGCTCGCATTACATCATGGACAATGGGTTTCACTTTGTGAAGTACCGACCGACCTCGAAACTCCCGAGGTCTTTTGGTTCCCAGACCCGAAGCTCACACACGGCCACAGGCAGGAATCATCGTCAAACACGCGACTTACCACGGCTTAGATATAGGCTGATGCTATCTGTCATCAGACACGCCCGCTCCCGCTCCTATTCCGGAATTCCCATTCCTACTAGTCCAAAGTCCCCACCGCAACCGGGGACAAGCCGGGGAAGGGGGCAAGTGGATTCCAAACTGCTCCTTTGCCTTTGTGTTTGCTCCTCCGGTCTCCATCAGCGACCCGGGCAGTAGGCGTCAGAGAAGTCGGTGACCGGGCAAGATTGTCTGATTGTGTGGGCGCTGCTTGCCTGCTGTGGAGCATCGCGGCCCCCATCATCGGGAACCTTCAGTCCACCAGGGCAGCAAACCCTAGACAGCGAGCACAAACAAGTCATTTGGTTTCGGTTTTGATTTTGATTTTGATTTTGACATTGGAACCCAATGCGATTCGGCCAAGTTGTACCATCGCGTCTCGCAAATAGTTCAGTCCCGCGGCTTTTCTTGATGACCGAAGTGCCAGAATGTTCGGTCTCTCTGACAACAGGAAGGAGGGAGGGGGCAGGCTCAGAAGGAGGGAAAGAGTTGGAAGATTGCTAGAGGCACGCCCTTTGTCCCTGCCTCTCTCACTCCGAAATAGCACGGGAACACTCAGCAAATGCATGGTCGCAGCTTCGCTGGCCGTGTGCGACCGTTTGGCCTGCCTCTAAAAGAGGATGCGTTCAGACTGCGGCCTGCCTTATTGTCGCAGTATTACGTGCAGCACCTATCTCGATGCACCCCCGGTCGGATGGAATGTATCGGCAGGGATGGCAGGTACATCCAGGATACATGTGGCATCTTTGTTCCCTGCCATTACCGGCCCTGCCTGGCCTGGCCTGAACGTGTGAGAGTGATGAGAGCCCAGCGCCCGGGAAGCCCAGCAAGCCCAGCGCCAGCGCCAGAGCCAGAGCCGGAGAGCCAGAGCGCCATGGCCATCCGAAGAGAACACCACTCGCCTTTGACGCACACAGCACGGCAGTAGCAACCACCCACCCATTTCCCGCCCTACCGCAAAGGGGGTAGTGAGGCCCGGGGGCCTGGGTATTATTATCATCTATCTATCCGGCCACGGCCAGGATCCGCGCCCTCCCTCCTCCTCTCCTCCCCATCAACAACCACAACACGGAATCAACAAAGCAATTTTGCACAAGAGAGTGTCATTTCCTGTCACAGTGAAATAGTCGCGTCAGCCTTGCCAGCTTGCCTACACAGCCAGCCCCTTTTGATCCCATCGTTCTTTGTCTGAACCTGGGTCAACCACACATCATCTGCCAACCCGAAGTCGCATTTGCTCGCTGACACCAGGCAAGTGACTCACCCAACAGCCCATTGTCTACTTAGACTACTGCCTTGTCGTCTTCGCCCTCGCCCTCGCCCTACCTCTTACCTTCCATATCACTTCCTTCTACACTTATGTACAAGTAACATCGCCGACCACGCCCGCCTTGCCAACTCCTTTACTGACCATCACGTCATTGTCGCGTAGGCATCTAGCCCCAGAAAGCAAATACACCCCCCGAAATGGCAACCATGGCATCTGCTGCTCGCGATATTCAAGCGACCTCTGGCCGAGACAACTTAACTGCTGTAGCGGCCCAGAGCGTCCCTGTGACACGATCTCACCCTCTTCCCCTCCCCACCCCTCCAAACTCCATATCCCCCGGATTGCGTCCCCACGGGCTGCGCGCCCAGTTCCTCAAGGCGAAACTCGAGTCCGACGTCCCCGACCTGGACCTACACGCCGGCCAGGGCGACAACAGCGCCCAGTTTGATACTGGCGCTCACGGCGTCCCCGGCCCGGCCCAGCACGACCCCTTCGGCGCCATCACGCCCGCCCTGCTGGCCAAGCATCACCTGCCCGACATCCTGCTGAACCACGGCCCGCTTGCGATACGGCACATCACCGGTTACCTGACCACGTCGGTCCCTGGCTTCGCAGGCATTCCACCAGCAAAGGCGCGACGGCTCGTTGTGGGGGCATTGGAGGGACGAGGAAGTGGCCGCGAGGGCGGCGGTTTGGACGGCGACGTGGTATTCGAAAAGGTGGGCTGGGGTCGGTGGGACGCCCGGCGCAGGGGTCAAGCCCGGCGCGACTCGCAGGCCATGCAGGACGCGTCTTCGCCGTTCATGTCTTCGCCATCCCTGTCGGGCATCCCCATAGCAGGGGGAGCGGCGTGGAGCAACGAGCGGACGCGTCCGGCCGCGTCGAGCCCGGAGGAATCCCTAGCCTTCTCCCACGACGATCGTGGGTTCTACACGCACGACAACGACGCGGACAACATGTCGATGGATGGCCCCGCCTCTGCGTCATGCTCCGAGGCCCCGGACGACGAAGACGATGACGTCGTGATGAACGACGATGACCCCGACGACGTGACCGACGAGGAGGACTGGGCTGCCATCGGGGCGGCAGGCCTCCGCGCTCAGTCCTATTCAAGGTCGGCCCAAGCCCAGCCGGGGACTTTCCCCTCTCGTTTCCACACAACATCCTCCGGCATGGCTCGGGCACCTCAGTTGAACAACATCGACTTCGCTGCACTGGCGGCAACCTCTGACGCGCAGGAGCGGGAGGCCATCGAGGCCTTGATCCGCCTCGGTTCTGTATAAAGTCTTTTATTGCATGGCAGCGGCGTTTCATTTCGGTTTGGCATTTTCGAGGCTGGGCGAACGGGTCGGCTTCGTATCGGATTTGGGTGGGCGCGGCATGAGGTGTCGCTATACTCTGATCGGGGCGGCGACCTCTGGATCATCAATACTCTTTTGGCGTTTTGTTTTTTCCCCAGGGAAAGGAATGCACACATCACCACTTCATCGGATATGAAACCTTTCCTAGGTACGGACGGACGTATCTTTTCATGGTCTCGGCCTGGCAACTTTCCTCAAGCCACCGAGATCTATTATACCCAACGGAAAATGAGGCATTTTCTTCGACATATTACAGCCCGGAGCCTCCAGCCGGAACTCCTTCACATCGGATTTACTCTGGATGCACCACTGCACTGGTCGGCATCCTCCAATGCACGCTGGGTGAGCTTCGGTAGCCTCGACCACAATTGAGCTGATGGCCCTTTTGTTATCGCTCTTGATTTTTGCTGTTCTCTGGAAGACTTCAACATATCCACCAAACACTTCGCTGTCATCACAGCGTTCTCATAAGCTTTACTGGATCGATGGACGCCGAGCGTGTAACGAGTAGCATGCGGCAAGCCGGAGAGGGAAGGTGCCAATTGGTAGGAGAGGCATCACTCTAATTGATGGAGCTGAGAGACAGAGAGGTTGAGACATCATCACCGCTTCGTTTGAGTGCGTGTGTTACCATGCAAGTGGTATTTGAGAGGCGAAGGACGATAGGAGGGGAAAAACAGCAAAAACAAACTTTTTTTTTTTTTGGCGACGGGTGGATTGGTAGTTTCGGGGAAGTCTACGGAGATTTTTTCTCTCTCACTAGGCTGAAAATGGAACTCTTGATCGCTGCCTCCATGTGACGTCCTACTGCATCTTCGGTTGTGGATTCCCTCGTGTCATGCGGGTCCCTTTTTGCGCCTTCAGATCTTGCATGCGATCGTGCGACGTGCTTGCCATTACAGTACATAACCGCCAGCCCCAGGGATCCCCAAACTTCAACCTCTGGGTCACTTACATATGCACGTGTAGAGGACGCAAAAAGGCGGGATGAGGTCTCCACACATGAGGTAGTTAAGTTCGTGGCATCTTTGGTGGGTGTCCTGCAAGACATTGGAGTTTAACTCAATGTCATTGTTCCCACCGCTGCCTCCCCAATGCACGTCATCCTTCTGGGTGACAACCTATGTGAGAAATGGCTTGAAATGATCAGACAGCGCTCAGTCAACGATCTTGGACCTTTGGAATTACTCCACAAGACATTCGTGGTGATTCAACCGTAGTGGAAGAGGTAGGCACACGCTAACGCCATGGGCAAGTGAGCAAACACATTTGAATGCCGTAGCATCAGCTCTGGACAAAGAAAGGTCATGACGGTTTGCTGATGCCCAGTGTGTTCGGTCGCCGACTGTGATGGCCCACCACCTCCTCCGGTGGCATACAGGGGCATCTAAACCCAAATACGTAGTGCTGCAGACTTTTCCTTCCGCTGCATTCCTCTGACCTGAACAGAGCTCGAAGGAACAACCGAACACCTTTCTGGGCGTATGCTAATTCACGCTCCTGCAGCAGCGTGCGTGCCGCGAAGAAAGTCCTTGGCCTTGGGTAAGGGGAACAAAAGACGGTGGATCGACAGACGAGGTGGTAGTGTAGAGAGAAGAAGGGTCAGAGGTTTTTCTTTCGTAAGACTTTCCCGCCGGTGTGTAGAAAAGCCAAGACCTGTCAGCCCAGGTCTTGTACCACGCTTGGCCACTCTTTGCACACACCTCTTGGGTCCAAAGACAAAGGTAATGTCGTCGGCTCGTCCCGCGAGATTCCGCCCCGGCCTCGTCGAGGAGCGCCAAGGGTGGGACGAGAGTTTTTTTTTTTTTTTTTTTTTTTTTTTTCTTTCTGATCAAGAGGCCGTTGGAACTACCGAGTGAGTGAATACTCGGCGCCATGGACTGTGGCTGCTAGTACATGTTTGTGTCGAAAGCGAGTGCATCTCTTCTTTGCAAAGTGAGGGCGCATGCACAGGATTTCTGTCGATGCAGTGTGCCAGGGGAGGCTCAGTCTGCGAAGAGGACTGCAGCTGGACAACATTGGGCTGCGCGAGATATCGTGCCCACTTGTCCTAGACTACACAATGTGGCCGTGATGGACGCGATTTCGGATCCTCACTGTTCAAGCACCACTCTTGCTATTTCGAGGGCATTGCAAGTCTAGTCTATCGCACTGCAGCGATTCAAGGCGCGCGTGTGATTGTGGTTGTGTCCAACCCGGGAGCGAAAAGGGATTTCGCCAATGCGCGTCTCACCACTCGGAAACAGACGCATGCTTCTCAAAATAGATCCACGATTCTACTTTCTCCAGCTTGAAACGTCCCTCATAAAGTCGGTCACCACAGTGTCGCTGAAACGCATCATCCGGAATGTCGAAGATTCGAGGCATTTGCCTACCAGGAATCATGGCCTACACCGCATTTAGAACTCACTTAGACTTTCTCGTAGACTCCACGCTACGCAGAGTTGGCAGCACTATGAGTTACTGCCAGCCACACATCAACTTGGTCCAAGGAACGAAGATACCACAGCCTCGCTGTGGCGAATCGATTGCGGGCGATACGGCAAGCTGAGCGGATGCTGCGCACACTGCCCCTTCGCTGCCAAAGGAACGTCGACGTCATGCGGTGTTCTAAGCCATCTGGACGCGTTGCGGCAAATCCTCTTTCTAGCCGAGGGAGTCGTGCCTCCCTCTGCTCGGGCGTGCTCGACGGGCTTGCTAACCATCCGGCATTCCGTCAAATTTCCAGAGCGACTCGTGGGCGACAAAGAAGCGCAGGCGGGCAATTAGCTGCATCGGAGTATAGTTCCTGGGCAACTGCTTCACGCAACACCGGTCCCGTTTCTGCCGGATATTGCAAAACGGCGTGCAGCGTTCTCTCCCGCAACCCCTTGGGCGGCAAAGGTGGTGGTGGTAGCGGCGACTGGCTTTTTTGTCGCTTGCCCCAGCTTGGGTCCTGAGATGAACAATGGACCCGTCGTCGCCAGAGACCCATTTCTGCGATTTCTGGGCATCGCATCCCCGCTCTCGTTTCCGCTGGGAGGCCAAGAGCCTCGACACAAGCGTTCCGCCAGCAGCCAAGAAGGAACGCAGCCCGTGTTAGGTCGAATGGGAAAGGAGGAAGGGGGCGCGAAGAGTTGCGTGACCGCCGAGAAACCGATTGCAGCGTAAGGGCCAGATGCTCGGGTCTCCCTCCATCCCCTCCAATACCCCTGGTTCGCCCCTGTGAAGTACTTCAGTATTTTTCTGGGCAACAGGCTAGCATTGCAATGCCCAGCATCCTCGGACGTGAGGCAGTGCCAAATCAGCAGACACACGCTTCGCTTGGCGATTCCGCTCCGGCCAATTCTTGGCTGATTGCCAATGTTCTGGGCAAGCTTGGCTGCTATCATCAAATCATGGCGGGCGTCTAATGGAGATGTCTCTCTCCCACCCCCAAGCATGCCTCGCATAGATCAAAGGAAGGGTATTGGGCAGGAAACGGTGCATGAATGTCGATGATCGAACTATTATTACGAAAGAAACCATGACCGGTCGGGGACAATGAGGTTGGGAGCGTTGAGACACGAGAGCGTTGAGACACGAGAGCGAGTAATGTGACTTTACCATGCCACTGATTCTCCCGGCGGCACCCGTCTGGCCGTTGCCGAAGGTGCCTTGCCCGGCCTTGACTCTGTCCCTGTTCCTGAGCATGCACCTGCCTTCTGCTAGCCGACGGTTTTTTCTTTATTTTTTTCTGGTCTGCCCCGACTATTGCACCATTGATGTCCAACGAAACCTTCGCTTGCTTGGTCGGGCTCGAGTGTGGACGCCAGGCGAGTTTGTTAAACGGTCGGACCCAGAGCATTGGAACTTGGAACAAGATGGGAGAGCATCTCACTGTCCCACGGCGACAAAGGGGGCCACAAAACAGCGCAAGTGTGCTCTGTCGCTTGGAGGACTCTTGGCAGCCGGCTAGCGTCTCTGCGAAGTCTTGGCAGGCCGTGGCATTCTGCTAAGGGGTACATTGTGTCACCGGACATGAGGCAGTGCTTTTGCGGCAGGACTGGGGCAGGTCGGCCGCTGGGCCCTCGAGGCAGCAAGGTCACACTCAATCTCATAGACAAGATCCCCGGGCGGGCAGCCAATAGGCAAGGGGCAGCGGCGAGCCCCTCTGACTTTGGAACTGGCGGAATGTCTTGGCAAACCTTTTCATCCAGCGAAGAGAATAAGAAAGAGATGATGGGCGCCCCTCTCCCTTTCTTGTCCCGGGCGGATCTCCTCCTCTTCAATTCTTCGAAAAGGTCAAGAGGTCAAGAGAAATCGCGAGTCCAGAAAAGATATCTTGGACGCACCTGCCTGACTCCCAAGTCTTATCGATTGACTCGGCTGTCACTTCTACCCCACGTTCTTAGTGCGGAGAAAACAGTCCTCTTGGCAACCAATCAGTGCCAAGACTAGCACCCGACCCTGTTGAGCTTCGAGCTTGCTCCTTGCCTTGACCTCACCTGTCGCCCTGTCAGTCGGCACACGGCACACACCAGCAAACATGTCCTCCACCCAAGACAACGCAAGCGAACAGTCGCAGAGCCCCAACGCGGGTTCCGGCTCTGACGGCAACACCCCAGCATCCACCACTGCTGCATCCACCTCTTCAGCCTCCAACGCGTCCAATGTGAACGCGGATGAGAGCCTGGTCTGCAGGTGGAACGCGTGCAACCAGAGGTTCAACACTGCCGAAACACTCTACGTAAGTTAGTAATCAATCATTCTACTGTGGTATCATCTCTGGGGAACAGTGAACCCAACCAAGAGTCTCGTACGGGGTTGTCTTTGCCTGCCCTGTAATGTTGCACTCTGGGGTGGGCTCTACCCGATGAACCCCTGTAACACACACGCAGTCTGATTCTTAGCTAACACGCGAACCAGGATCACATCTGTGAGAGGCACGTTGGAAGGAAGAGCACCAACAACCTCAACTTGACTTGCCAATGGAACTCGTGCCGCACCACAACGGTGAAGCGCGATCACATCACCTCTCACATTCGTGTGCACGTCCCCCTGAAGCCACACAAGTGCGACTTCTGCGGAAAGTCCTTCAAGCGTCCTCAGGATCTCAAGAAGCACGTCAAGACCCACGCCGACGACAGCGTCTTGATCAGGTCTCCCCAGGATCAGCATGGCGGCATGAACCCATCCTACGGTCGTCCGGGAAAAGGTACAGTTATCCCATCTCTGTTTTCCCCTCGGGATATGCGCGAGGCTAATCCGCCTCTATAGCTCCGTCCAGCTTCTATGATCACAACGGCCATCAGATGCGTACTAACTCCGCCGCGTTTGGTCAGCCACCCCCGCATAGCTACTATGCTCACGGGGCTCCCCAGGCCTACGGCCCTCTTGGATACTACGGGCAGCCCATCCCCAACCACCGCGCCGAGCCCTTGGGCTACAGCGCTGCGTACGACCGCAGGCGCGGCTATGATGATCTGAATGATTTCTTTGGACACGCCAAGCGGAGGAGCCTTGACCCCGCCAACTACGCCCACGTTGGAAGGTCGCTGATGCCTCTCCACGGAGCCCTGTCTGTCCACACCGGTGGGCTTGGCACCCAGTACATGACTGCCGCTCCCGCTCTCCCAGCCATCGGTGGCGGCCACTCTGCACACAGCGCCATGGACCAGCACTACTACCTGCCACCCATGCCAAATCTGCGAACCAAGGGCGACCTCGAGCAGATTGACCAGATCCTGGAGCAGATGCAGAGCACCGTGTACGAGAACAGCGGCTCTCCCCCCAGCAGCCACTACCCATCCTCCTTTGACCTGCGCCACCAGTCCCCTGTTGCTAGGCCCAACCCCGCGAGCGAGCACTACGCCGTCTCTGCCGCGCAGCAGATGCCCTCGCCCCTGAGCGCCGTGTCCTCCACGACTGGAAACACACCAGCACACACGCCTCCGTCGAGCTCGCTCTCGTACACGTCAGGCCACTCCCCAGTGTCTTCCTCTGGCATGTCTCCCGGTGCGCGTCACGGCTCTTCTGCTTCTGTTGCATACCCATCATTACCCGCCACCACCTCCTTCGGTTCTTCAACCATCAGCACCCTCGGCTCAACTTTCGGCGGCAACGACCAGCGCAGGCTGTCTGGTGGCATGCTCCAGCGCGCCAGCGGTGCCCGCCGTGCCTCGGATGACTCGGAGAGGGCCACCACGCCCAAGGCTGAGGCCATGTCTCCTGCCTCGCAGTCAGACGACAGCGACATCAACGGCGAGCCCGAGCCATACGAGAACTGGCTGCAGAACGTCCGCGTGATTGAGTTCCTCCGCGAGGCCATCCGTGACCGGCTCAAGAGCGGCCAGTACTCCGACAGCGAAGGTGAGGACGAGATGATTGATCCTTCCCTGCAGGAGGCCGACAAGGGCCCCGAGAAGCCCCTGTACCCTGCTCTGCCTATGGACGTTGACGAGTAAACTGGGTTTATTTTACTTATTTCCTTTACTCTTTCGGTTTGGGCTTGGCTTGGCTTGGCTTGGGGCTGCATCTTCGTCTTTGGTGGTTAGCTACGATATAATCTGCTGCTATGACCCACTGTTTTGTGCGTTCAGTCAGTACATACCTGAGTATATATGAATATGAAAAGTCGATCTGCACCACATGAACTATCGTGTCCCAGACTATGTGACTTTTTGATGAATGAGCCCATCGTTCACATGGCTCCTACAACCCTGTGACCCTTGCAGAGATAATCACCGGAACCTGAGCGCAAATGCACACCGTTACCCTGATTTCTCTAGATTTAATGGGACTCAGATAGTCTCTACGAGCAGTACGGTTGGTTGTGCAGATACTTCACCTGGACAGCTAGTATGATCATGAACACGTCGTACGCACCTGGCTGGACTGCCATCGATGAGGCCTCGCGGAGGTGTGTTGCTACAGAGCTGCACCGTCGAGACATGATGATGCCATTATGCAGGCTACACCCAGTCAGACAGACGCCGAGGTCAATTGTTTTCTGTATATACCACCATCTCCCTCCCCGCAGTGGCAAACCACCCTTTTCAAAGCAACGGGAAAGGCTTGCACAGTCCACAATGCAAAGAACCGGCCATCAAGGCCACAGCGTGATGCATGGACGCCTTCTGTGGAATGATTTGAACCGAATCTGCGCACGATGTCAGCAGTCTGATGTGCCAGCGAGGGGCTTCAATTATCGCATTTCTGCTTAACGTACCTCACAGGGCCGAACCATATCACAGCGTGCTTGGGATGATGTCGAGGACATTTTTTTTTTGTAAGGGTGGATCCGGCATCAATAAAACCTCATTCATCATCATAGGACTGTAGATTCACCCAGCGGCGCCCTGGAACATGTACTGTCTGCAAGCCTGCGGAAATATCGAGTCAGCATCAAGACTATGCGATTGTATATCAAGCCACTCACTGCTTTGAGCACATCCAGCTGCTCCGTCGACTGGTCAAAGACCGCGCGGTACTGCTGCAGGTTGTCCCGCAGGAAGTCCTCCTTGGAGGTTCTGCCCTCGCAGATCGCCTTCATCTTGATCTCCATCTCCTTGCGCAGGAACGGCTTCGCGAGGCTCGTCTGGAAGTTCATCCTGTCGAACCCCTCGATGAGAGCGACGCCAAGCTGTGTCGGTACGAAAACCTTCACGGATCTGCCGCCGCCTCCGCCCCTCGCGGCTCCGCCTCGACCTCCCCTGCCACCACGGCTGCCTCGACCGCCTCGGCTCCCACGACCCCCACGTCCGCCTCTGGTGGCCGGTGCATCTGCTTCTTCATCTTCTCCACCGCCCGCCGCCGGCTGTGCTCGATCTACGGCCTGGACGTACTCCCGCGTCTGGATCTTCTCGATGTGCTCTGCCATCGTGGCATCCGTGCCAATGCCGTTCGCATCCATCAAAGCCAAGAGATCCGCCTCCGTTAGGTATCCTGGCGGCGTCGTCTTACCCTCGGTCATCATCGCCTCCGTAGGCTCGAACACCTCTCCCACTGTGAACTTGGGCAGCTCGGCCGTGTTTGTCCAGTTTTCGTAAGGATACACGTCGAGGTAATTGCGCTCCAAGACAATGACTCCGTGAGCATGGAAGCCCTCGTCCCCGTACAAGATGTCCACATCCGTAGCGGTGCCTTTGGCATCTTCGGAGCAGCATGCAAGGAACCGACGGGTTACAAATTCGTACAGAGACTTTTCTTGGTCGTTTAGCACGGAAGGAGCTGCGTAACTGATAGGGTGGATCGGAGGATGGGCTTTGTCGTTGTGGCGGCCATTTCTCGGCTGTTGAAAAGAGTTATCCACCAGGTCCTGGGCAAATTGTCCCCAGCGGTTGTCCTGTGTTTGCTTTCGGACAAGTTCCCGGAGGTTCATGCCCTTGTCGAACTGGTCCGTCTCCGTTCTCGGGTAGCTGATGAAGCCACGGTTGTATAGGCTCTCGGCCACAGTGAGAGCCTGCTGACCCGTCATCCGCAGGAATCTGGTTGCCATTTTCTGAAGCTCGACAGTCGTCAGGGGCAGGGGCTTCCACTTCTTGGTGGGCTTCTCCTGGACCTTGACAACCTTTGCTTGCTTTGCGCTTAGGCATCTCTCGTAAAGAATAATGACTGTGGGCCTGTCAAAGAGACGGTGTCGCTCCCAGTTGAAAGTGACGCTGAGGCCGTCTTTCTTGTGTGTCACCTTGATACCCCAGAAGTCTTCTGACACAAAGTTCTGTACCTTGAAGTACCGATCTACAACGAAGCCCAGGGTGGGAAATTGACAAGACCCTGCGAGGTTTAGTGATCGATTTGTATTCGCATGGGCAAAAATAACAAACTAGGTCAAACATACCATAGCTGATCATGGCGTTTTGAATGGGTCCACCGAGCGAGCGTAAACTGTTGGTGAGGAACCGAGTAAAGGCGTATCCAGTCCGCAGATCCGATTCGATTCTGGCCTGGACAGCATCCACTTGCCTCTGATCGAGGTCTCTCAAGTGGCGAGCCGCATTGAGAATATGACTTGGGGGCGTCAGTGCGCACCTCCCATGAAGGGTATGTCCGAATCGACTTACGCCCTTTCGATGTTGCTGAATTGAGCCCGTTTGACCTCGATTTGAGGGTTGCCTTTCTTGGCCGCATCCCGGATCTCACCTCCAATGTGCTCCCCTTCACGGTCACAATCTGTCCAAATGAACAGGGCTCTGCAGTACCTTGCCTGCTCCTCGATGTTCTTGGCAACGTTTCCCTTGTCCTAGTGACATTCAGTGACATGCTCCATGAACACACCGGTATCGGTCTTACTTACATTCGAAACAAATGTGGTAATGGGGGCACCAAATAATGTGACGGGGGGTGGGTAGCTCCAGTTTTTGTAGCCAGAATTGAAGTCTGTGCTGGTGAGATGCCCGGTGACAGCGGTCATGGTCACGCTGCAATTGCCCCATGGCGGACCAAAATCGAATTCGAAACAGTAATTTTTGATGTATTTGTTCTGAGTGTTGCGCTAAGCAAGAACTGTCAGTGTGGCAGTCCTCACGAGCATTGCTAAAATAACCCACCGTCTGAAGCTGCCCTCCCGACAGATGGCCGGCGACGGCTTTGGATATGGATGGCTTCTCCGCCACACACAGTATTCTGGGCATTTTTGACCTGGAGGTGCTGATGCAGCGGTGTCGATGCAGCGAATTTACACAAACGAGGACGGTTGTGAAGCGTTTTGACCAGTCGCTATAAGACAACATGCTGCGTGGGCCTGGGTCTTTCAAAACGCGTCCGCATTTGAGCAATCTTGGCTTTCCCGGCGCAAGAAGCTGCCAACATGACCGCAAGCCCTGAATGCGCGTCAATCTGGTCGAATTTGTCACGTATGATGATGGGCCGCCGAATTGGTCGTCCAAAGTCTGGGGAAACAGGCACGAGGCAAGCCTTCACGATTTCGTGGGTGCTGCATATACCCGCTGCTCTACACCTTGGCATGCGATTACCGAGGCTCTACTACGACAGGGGGTAGCAGGTGCGGTGCCTGCACGGTCTGTGCATTGTGGCCCGGCTTGGACGGTACACTGATCCCTCATGACGCGCATACCCCGAAACGTCTCTCTGAGCAGTTCCCACCTGCTGCTGATACTTGACAAGGGACAAGACTTCTTCAACAGCCTTTGAGCTTCGAACACATCTCGGCGTTTCTACAGGAATTGCGTTGTGCTTTCTATAAAACGAATCAGTTCAGATCCGACTCTTTCGCTCAATTGGCTCAGGATGGCGGTGCCGGCTCTGCTCAGTTTCCCAGACACGGTCGACTGGTCAAAGACGGTCGAGCCGTACATCCCTCAACTCTACGAGCTCCCGTCTAAGCTCGTGGATGTCTTGCAATCTCGGCAGAATATAGTCGACCTCTATCTGCACACCAACCCACTCATTTCTGGCCTCGGAATTTCCATCCTGCTCGGGGCAGTCTTCCTGGTGGTCGCAGAAATCAACAAGAACTACTCACAGGTAGACCGGTGTTGGAGCATCCTCCCAACTTTATACATCGCCCATTTTGATCTTTGGGCTCGGCTATCCGGGATCAGCAGCCAGAGAATAGATGCCCTTCTCTTATTTAGCACATTATGGAGTGTAAGGTGTTTCCCTCCCTCCACCTTGGGCGAATCGCGACGCTGACCGTGCTGCAGATCCGTCTGACTTTCAACTACTGGCGCAAAGGTGGCTATCAGATCGGTTCGGAAGACTATAGATGGTATGTGAAACTAGGCCTCAGGTCCCTATCCATACTCACACTCGTTTAGGGAGATCATCCAGAGCAAGGTTCCATGGTGGGCCTTCACGCTATTAAACATAACATTTATTTCCTTCACACAAAGCGTACTGCTGTTCTCACTGGCAGCGCCTGCCTACCCGATCCTACTGAGCATACAATTCCAGCCCGATCTAACTTGGTTGGATATTGTCTTTACCATCTTCCAAGTCGGACTCATTACGACGGAATGGTTTGCTGATCAGCAACAATGGGGTAAGCCAACGACGAGCACGCAAGGCATCTATTTGGCAAAAACTAGCCACTGACATAAAGCAGATTTCCAGAATGCCAAAAAGGAATACCAGGCAACCGGCAAGGCACCACAGGGCTTCGCAGAAGATGACTTGAAGCGAGGCTTCATAACCTCCGGCCTGTGGGCGTGGAGCAGGCACCCCAACTTTGCAGTCGAGCAGAGCATCTGGCTCACGCTGGGGGTGTGGAGCATCGTCACGGCAGAGGTCCCCTATGCTTGGACCTTGATACCTGGTTTCAGCCTTGTCTCCCTCTTCCAAGGGTCGACCTGGCTCACGGAGCTCATCACTGCTGGGAAATATCCCGAGTACAAGGACTACCAACGGCAAGTTGGCATGTTCGCGCCCAATGTTCTCGGGTTTGGCCCTTACAGACCGCCTCAACCCCAGACTAAGGCCTTGAAGGAAAAGAAACAGAAATAAATGGACACTAATGGTGACGAGACGCGGAGGGGCCACCACGGTATAAGTTGATGCAGATGGGGTTTGGTAATGTTGGAACCGACAGGATAGGTGGTGATAGTTTTATGGGGATTTTGGTGGAGCGGATCCCTTTTGCTTCCTCAACCCATGGTATGTGCCTGTCTCAAAGACTTGAAGCATCGTACTGGCTTTCATGGTCAGACAACCGAGCTGGGAGCACGGCTTGTTCGGCTGTGATCCGCGAGTTCAGTTGTTACGGGCAGTCCCGAACCGCTGTGGATCCCAGTTTGGTCTGAAGAAGGGATACAGTCTAGTTGCTCCAGAAAGCCACGTTTGGCATGTCGACTTTCCACGGCAGGCAATCCATTCCATCGATTTGAAGGCGTTCCGGTGTCACAATCTTTATCTACAGCTAATAGGTGCTAGTTGCAAGCCTCCATGACCACAGCTTGCAAGGACTTCGGCGTTATGCGCTGTACGCTGTTTCCTGCGGTTGTACAGACCCACACAAACCTGTACAGCACGCCCTCTCATGCCATTGTGTTCCAGACAATCGCCCAGCAGCGGTGGTGTTTTGGGGGGACACGGCAGGCACGGCGGACACGCCGATGGGCTTCCTTTGCAGCTGGGGCGCATACGAGGTAACCTGGATTTCCTAATTTTCGGGTTCGCTGCCGTCCATTCTCCCATTCCTCAAAAGTCAATAAGTCATTTCGCCTGCCCTCTCAGTGCCGGTGTTTGGTGGTCCCCACCCGCGGCAGGATCCGCCCTGGGCTGCCACACCTGGCATTAATCGAGCCCAGGTCCGTGACCCGTTTGACCACACCTCCTTTCTAGAAGCTCGCGACTCACGAACTGCCGTTACAGACTGACTCTTCTGGTTACAGTAGCACTGCTCTAGCCCCGGGCATGAAACTAGACACTCGACGTCATTGCATTACCCCAACGGGCACACGGCATCACGCTTGTGATGTTGTACCCGTCAGCGTTCGTAGTTGCCGGGCTCATTCTTGTGTCGATCAAATGGCCCCTCCCCACCTAGATCTTGGTTCCACATGTATTATCCAAGGGTCCTCGTGGCACCTGGATCGCGGAAATTGTCGTGCAGGGGGTGCGGCGAGGACCCTGAGATCTTGAGGGCATCGCCGGAGATGCTGACTGACTATTAATAACAGATTCATGCCCCCCTTCAAGATCTCGAAGAAAATCCTCAGCTGTAATCATCTTACCCTCACCTTTCTATCATTTGAAGCGTTGCATCTGAATTTCTTCTCTCCCTTCGAGAGTCTCACTAGAAATTACACCTCAAAAACCATAACAAGATGGGCAACTACGTTTCCGCTGTTGAGGCCACACAACCCTCATCTCCAGGAAACACGGACACCACAAGAGCGCCGAGGTCCCGCAGGAGCTCCGTAGCTTCAGGGACATCATCTGTCGACAGCTCCAGCAGCGCTGAACAAGCCATGCGGTCATTTGCGGCAGCAACACCTTCATCGCCGTCGTCTTCGTCCTCACAGTGCTCTGTTGAGCAGACCGGTGATGTTGACCCACTCTCCCGGACTTTCCCCAAGCCAACCGAGGATGTCGACCTCGACGAGATGCTCGCCAGGAAGCCCCTGAAGTGGACCCTCGGCCACTACGTCAAGGAGGCGGCTACACGCGAATCGTCCAAGCCTGCCGAGGACAAGGACCGGCTCGCGCAGGACATGGAAGCTAAGAAGAAGGAGATGCTCGCCGCCAAGGAGGAGATCCGGAGGCTTTCTGCTGGCAACTAGAGCGGAGTGCCTACTGCTCGATCGCATAAGCCCTTCGCATAGTAAACAGCGGGGTCACGAGGTCTGTCTGAGATGTTCAGTGGAATGCCTGCTCAGATACTGGGATTCGGTCGAGCTGCAACACCATTTCGGTTTTATGTATTGGGCTGGAGGAGCGGGGGAAACTATATGAGGTTACACTGCGAGGCGTTGGGCGTTTGAGCGACACCGTTGGAGGAATACACAAGCTGTGAAGTCGATTTTGCCCCATAAGGATCGGTGGTCATCCTGTTGGAAATTTGCTGCCGAGATGTCCTGAGTCAATTCAATCTTTATATTGATACACAAACTTGATTCCTGTGATGTGCGCCTTTCCTTTACCCATGAGCAGCTGGTACTGGACTCGTCACTGTCTCCCGTGCTGATGCTCTGTTGATGAAACGCAAGTAGAGCAGTGTCGTCTCAGTGAATCCTCTCCGCAAGAGTAAACCCGTAAACCACTGAGGCCGCAAAATTGACCACATTGAGCAGCGAGGAGATGCCGTGAAGCATGCCGAACTTCTTGTTCAGCGCAGTCATCTCTTGGCTGTGTGGCTTTGGGTCCCAGCTTCTCTTGCCATCTTTCTCTTCCTGCTTCCTCCTCTCCGCGATGCAAGCCACTGACGCTGGCAAGAGGACAACCCAATTGGCGAGCCCGGTGATGAAGACGGTGGCGAGGGGGAGGAGAGTCCCCCACCTATTGGCTGGGTCGAACAGTCCCTGCACGCCGCCGGCGGGTCCAAAAGGTCTCCCAGGTAAAGTCGCGGCAAGGACGACGGGTAGCGTAGTCTGCAAGCCAAAGTACCACGGGAAGGTGTTTGTTTGTAGATCTGAGAACTGAAGGACAGGGAGTGTCTTGAATTGGATGATTGTCCCTACACAAGTCTGTACCGTCGTTTGTCAGGACAAATCAGTGTCACGAGAACAAGTTCAACTGCTTACATTGACTGAATTATTTGATTAGCACACGCAGATAGGCATACTTAGGACGAGAATATCTTGTACTCACAGACCGTTGTCCCAAATAGAGACCCATATCTAGTTGCTCACTCAGCCATCTGTCTGCGGATCAGGTGAAGGACCAGGAACGGCAGAGGACTTACGCCAGGATATGGTACGGTGCACCGGTGAATATAATCGATCCTTGCGACATCTTGACAGCCTTGTGGATAACGGTGATGAAGGCGAAGTATGGGCTGACGAAGGAGGCAGGTTGTCTGAGGCTTCTGAGGAGGGGGCCAGCCAATTGTTTGAAGTGGTTTGTCAATGACGCCTCGGTAAGCCGAAGAGCAGACAGGGGTTGTACAGCTTCCCAAGCCCATGCCTGCTTATCGATAAGAGCTCTTACAAGGCGGGAGCGCAGGGCGGGAGCTCAGGAGCTCACATGCCTGCGCGTTGGCAGGGGTCCTAAGTGACAGTGGGCCCGACGCGCTCTCGCTGCCTGGAATTGACGTGACCTGGTACAAAGGGGACGTTGACAAACCCAAGAGCTTCCGTCGTCTTTGAGGGCGGTCGGAGGCATCTTTCTGTCTCTCGAGCAAGTTGGGTTTTTTCACAAATATCTAGTCTCCTCACATTCATCACCATGGCCGACAAGGAGGCGTTCGTCTACATTGTCGACGTCGGGTCGACCACGTCAAATTGCAACAATGGCAGGACCGAGTCTGACTTGGACTTCAGCATGCGCTACGTCTGGGACAGGATCGCCACCACCGCACAGGCATCACGAAAGACCTGGAATGTCGGCGTCGTTGGCTTGCGAACGGATGAGACCCAGAACGATTACCAAGATGGCGACGGCTACAACAACATCTCAGTCCTGAAGAAGCTCGGGCCTGTCGTGCTGTCCCAGATGAAGGAGCTCACACACCTCATCAAGCCAAGCAACACAGAATTTGGCGATGCCATGTCTGCTATCATTGTCGCCGCCGAGATGATCGGAGAGTTGACCAAAAAGCTCAAGTACACCCGACGGATATACCTCGTCACCGATGGTCAAGGGCCGATTGATGGAGACGATGTGGAACAGATCTCCAATCGCCTCAATGAGCTCGACATAGAGCTTATTGTGCTAGGTGTTGACTTTGACGACGCCGAGTACGGCTTCAAAGAGGAAGACAAGCCCCAGTTAAAGGCTACCAACGAGGCTATCCTCAAGTCATTAGTGGACAAGTGCAACAATGGAACATTCGGCACCGTCGCCGAGGCTGTAGAAGAACTTGACACCCCAAGGGTCAAGCCTGTCAGGCTGGTCAAGAGCTACGACGGGCCCCTTACCCTGGGGAACCCCGAACAGTTCGCGAGTGCCACAAGCATCAATGTCGAGCGATGGCCAGTGACCAAGGTCAACAGACCCGCTGCAGCTACGACGGTGACACTGAAGTCAGAGTCTGCTGCAACACAATCAACGCACACTCTGGACGATGAGATGGACGGAGTCGAGTACGATGACCCGCAATTCAATTCAGTGAAGCAGCACCGGACCTACAAAATCAACGATCCAAGCGCTCCCGGTGGGAAGAGAGATGTTGAATTTGAGGAACTCAACAGGGGGTGGGCTTATGGAAGCACGGCCGTGTTCATCCCTGACTACGACAAGGAACTTACCAGCCTCGAAGCCGTCAAGGGTTTCTCTATCATGGGCTTCGTCAACATGAACAAGGTGCGTCGGGTTGGATGGCCATCTTGGCTCCATTCTCTAACATGCCACAGGTCGAGCCATTCCTCACCTTGGGCGAGACCTCCGTCACCGTTGCCCGGTCTTATGATGAGGAATCGAAACTCGCTCTCTCAGCACTCGTTCGTGCTCTTTACGAATCGGAGACATATGCCATTGCAAGGCTCGTTTCCAAAGACAACAAGGACCCGGTCATACTTTTGATGCGGCCAAGCATTGAGCTCGACTTTGAGTGCCTGTACGACGCACCTCTACCCTTTGCGGAAGATGTACGGTCTTATCGTTTCCCGCCGTTGGACAAGGTCGTCACGATCACTGGAAAGGTCCTCACTGAGCATCCCCGTCTACTTCCAGATGACAAGCTCAAACAGGCGATGAGTGATTATGTTGACACCATGGACATCTCGGAATTTGGTCACGACGAAGAAGGGTGGGTATCCTGGCCTTCAATCTCTCATCTGGAAACTGACGAAAGCTTGCAGGAACCCAGCCGAATATGCTCCTCTTGAAGATCTGTACTCTCCGATTATACATCGGGTCAACCAGGCCGTTCGAGCTCGTGCTGTGGTGCCAGAAGGCAACATCGCTGCGGTCCCTGACATTCTCAAGAAATACTCTGAGCCTCCTGAGATTTTGATCAAACAGGCCAGGCCACAAATAGATGCGTTGAAAAAGGTGGCAGATTTGAAGAAAGGTATGATCTTGATCTGCAATGATGAAAAACACGCATACTGACACTTCTACAGTGCCCCCCAAAGCACAGGGCAAATACAAGAGAGGCGCGGCGAAACCTGAAAGTGGTCGTGTTGTGGAAGCTGCTATTGACCCACTGGAAATGCTCAGAGCCGGGGAAGAGGAAGTGGCCAGGTTGAAGCAAGGGAAACCAAAGATCGACAAGGACAACTCTATCCCAAAATTCAAGCAGTTGATCCAGCGATTAGACGAGGTCGACGACGACAAGGGTATTGAAGAAGCGACCAGAGACATGGGTGACGTCGTGCGATCCTTGATCAAGGAAAGCATGGGAGACAAGAACTATGACCGAGCGATTGAGAACATCGGGGTCCTGAGAGATACTTGCATCGGTCTCGAAGTGCCTGACCTTTACAACAATTTCTTGAGGGATCTGAAGAAGAAGATCTTCTCGGATGCGCTCGGCACAGGGCGCAAAGAGATGTGGGGAAAACTCAGGCTGACTGGCAAACTTGGACTTATCACCAAGAGCGAATCCGAAGTATCAAACATCACGGAGGACGAGGCAAAGCAGGTGAGGACTCCTTAGTTTCCCAACTCTCGCCTATGCCAGAAAGCTGACTTATCGTGCTTCCCAGCTTTGGTCAACGCACAAGTAATCCCTCAGCAGATGATCAGCTGAGCAGAGAGCAAGGCAATGTGAGGGCTTGTTGTCGGATGTGAGCAAGAGTTCCTTGCAGCTGGACTCAACCACCGAAGTGGGAAATTTCGCACAGTATATGGCGACACTCTCTGGTAGTGTAACAGCGGTCATCTTGTACGAAACCTTGATATAGTTGAGCAAGTCAAGGAAGACGATAAGACGGTCTCCAAACGATCTCACACGGCGTGTTTGTATCGTCGGGCTTGTGTGACTGCCCGCTTGATAGGGGCGAGCATTCTAGAAAAAAGGACAGCGGAGTGGCCACTCATTCTACTTGGCTCAAACATGTTGAATCCTGCAGTCTTTCCCTTCGGCATTGGACTTCCTCAGCTCTCATTGCCATACTTGAACCTGTGCTGTTCGCACGAAGCCTTCTCTTTATCTCAAGCGGGTAGATCCCAGACGACAGCTACTTTTCTACAAACCAAGACTCTCAGCCGTGGTGAGCCCTTAAAGAGCATGCCCTGTTCATCCGGCCACACAGTCTGCCGCGCCGAAATTTGAGATTCCCATTTCATGCTACCATTCTTATTTGAGCAATCAACGAATTTCCCCGGGACTGTCTGGAGGCAAACAGCAAGCCAGCCTCCCAGGTTTCAAAACGCCTATGCATCAGGAAGGCAGACCGCTCACACGGATCGTTTAAGAAGGTAACGTGGAAGTCCCTGCCGTCTGGGTAAAGTGATCCAAACCCCCCAAGCATCGCATCCAATTGCACTTCGAATAACAATCGACTGAAAGCCCCAACCCGCCCCACCGCTGCTCATACGCCGTCTGCTGAGAGATGCTTTCCACTCGCTCAATCAATGATTGGTAACCCATTTCATCTTTCTGATCAGATCCGTGTGCATCGTCAGCCACGACCAAGCAGTCAGTAACCCCGTTCCTGCCCAACTCGACCCAATTTGACAGCCGATGCGTACCACGGTCATTGTTCCATCAACATGAAATCGACGGCAATGGAGAATCTATCCAGGATGTTTGGTGACCAGAACATCTGGGAGACACCTGCGCCACCTCCGAAGAAACCTGAGCCTCCACGCCCACCACATCGTAGCAGTCGTCCCCATGGCAGGCAAAACACCCAGAAGCCCAAGGCGATGGATTATCCAGGTTCGAGCTCCGATGACGAGTACTCAGAAATGAAGACAAGGAACTGCGCGAACAAAGTTTTGCCGCGTACGAGTGGAAAACCTGTCGAACGAAGCGGCAAGGGCGCCAGCAGCAGTGGACCTGCCGCTTTCTCCGAGTTCGAGCAGAATACAACCGCCCTACAGGACCTTGGCCTCAGCGAGGGGGACAAATCCCCAAAAGGGGAGGCCTTTATTGCGTGGAGGTTCCTTGTACGCTACCCTGAGATGTACGTGGGCAAGAGCAACAAACCCAAAGTCATCCCGTACTTTGAGGAGAAGGCCCTGTTTGAGAACCAACAGTGGGATTTCTTCTATCTCTTCGAGCCCGATGAGAGGATCGAAGATCCAATCCTCCTCGTCCCTACCCGCCAGTTGTGCGCGCTGCTACGCAGAATCAACAGACAGCTCAAGATCAACCTGACCATTCCAGGTGGTGGAAATGAGAAGAAATTCTATACGCATTTCGGCATCTTGGATACACCTGTTCCTCGCTACCTTGGTCGCACAGATGATTTCGCCTCGTACAACAAGCTTCTACGCGTCGTGCCACAGCCCGAGGCAGAGGACGATCTCACGGGCCTGACTCAGATCCAGCGCGACGAGTTTGCAGAGATTGTGAAGAAGACCAAAGAGAGTTGGCAGGGAAGTAGTAAGGGCAAGGGCAAGTCGAAGAAGCGAGCTGTGCAGCGTTATGATGATCGGAAAGAATGGGGCCGCACCACCAAGCGTGTTCAGCGGTATCTGGGCCTGCGCGAGAAGGCTAATACCTTCGCGAACTATCGTGGTAAGATGGCATGTGTTGTCTTTTTCCTGTTTGCAGGCTGACTTGCTGTTGACAGCGTTTACTGGGCAGGAGCCAGAGCCTGCCGAGGATCTCACGCTTGATGTCGAAGCTCCAGCTCCTTTCGAGCAAGACGGACATGTCGTCTTTGTTTGCTTCGATATCGAGACCTATGAGAAGAACCCTGGTCTTGTCACTGAATTGGGGTTTGCCATTCTTGACACCCAGAAGCTCGTCGGCGTTCCACCTGGTGCTGGTGCTCGAGATTGGTTCGACTTGATCCAGAGCCGCCACGTTCGCATCAAGGAGTATTCTTACATGAAGAACACGGAATACGTTGAAGGATGCCCAGATAGCTTCATGTTTGGGTAAGTATAGCCCTTTCTTGTCGCTTGACCATGACCACAGCTAAGAGCACATCAGAACTTCCGAGTTCATCCCGTTGACCGAGGTCCTCGGGGTCGTCGAGGGGATCATGTCTCCCAATTCGGAATCAGGGCAGCTGAGAAAGGTGGTTGTCGTTGGACACGACGTCAAGCAAGATGTCCAGTACCTGCACTCTCTTGATTTCGACGTGTGTGAAATGGAGAACCTCTTGGAAATTGTCGACAACCAGAAACTGCACCAACACCGGAGCAAGTTTTACAACGGACAGTCTCTCTGCACCGTATTGGCAGGTCTCAAAATACCGTACCGGTTCCTGCACAATGCGGGAAATGATGCGGTGTATACATTACAGTCACTTCTCCGCCTCGCTGTCCTCAAGCGACAGGAGAGCCTGGTCAGGGCGTGGGAGAAACAAGCCTCGTACGCGTCCATGGTTACTGTCCCGTGTAACGCACCAACTGACAGAGTGTCCCAGATCCGGAACTACGAGGCGGGGAATTGCGCCTGACGCAGAAGCAGGATGGAGCACTGGCGGCGAGGATACTGATGGTGGTCAACCTACTGTCCAATATCTCGGTACAAAGAAGAAGAGTGAGCAACACTGATCCTGGCGCTAGGCCGTTTCGGCTGACAATTTGGCTTCAGATTTTGAGGACATCCAAGTCGAGGAGCAGGAGACCTCCGGAGGTAACAACGACTTGTGATGGTGAATTGGCGCCTGACAAAGCGTTGGAAGAGATAGCAGGCTTCGACGCGCACGTTACAGAAACTGGAAACTCATCGAAGCCCGTCCTCAAAGGACTTTCTAGATGGCCGAGAGTTCCAGGCCGTGGCAGCATGCACACGCAGGTGTGATGTGAAAGTTTGACAAGTATTGAGCAGAGAACATACGATTCTCCCCATGCCTGCTTTTGAAGGCACGAGATAGACATAGCGATGAGCTAGGTTTTGACCACACCAAGGCCCCCGTCTCATTTCCCCGTGAGATCAATCCGTGAACGCCGTTGCTATGTGTCGCCGTAGTTTATACACCATCCGAAATATACAAGAGAAGGCCAGAAGAAACCCTCCTCATCCCTGGCGCCTGAAAGAGTCTACACCCGTCATGACGAAGTCTTTTCCAAGAACTCCTTCGCCTCATTCACTTTCGTCGCCAGGTACGGACTGCCGCCTCGATCGGGGTGGTTAAGCAGCATCAGCGTTCGGTGGGCCTTTCGGACCTTTTCTTTGGTGACGGCGCGCTCGCTGTGGGAGCCGGTCAGCCAATCTTGGCGCATGTGGAGGTGTCTGTTTCCTGGAGCGAATGGAGGGAACTCACTTCAGGGAGAGGATCAGGCTCGCCTCTTTCCTGTTCATGCGCGGCTCGAATCCGCCCTTGTAGAAGGCCTGGCCCATCGCGCCGACGCCACCACGAGACCTGCGCCATGCGATCGTTGCTGCGCGGCCCTGTGAATACCGCTCGTCAGTGAATGCGCAGAAGCTAGGAGAGGAGGGAGACGTACGAAGAATGCCGCGGCGGCGATGCCGGTTCCCCACGCAAGTACTGATGCCATTTCTGTTGTGGAGGTCGGGAGTGATCTGTCTGGGGAGAAGATGTCATGGGTGAAAATGGAATCCCGCCTGCAGGCACTTTTTCAACGAGCCGGCCGACGGGCTTGGCTGGTCTGCCACAGTGGCAACCCCTGCAGCGGCGACCCGCCCGGCCGCCTTATCGGATGCTTATCAGATTTCGCCCGTCAAAATTTCGAGAAACTTTTGGGGGATCGATTTCTGTAGAGGCTACTCTGAATCTTGAAGCATATCACACACAACAGGAGGCTGCATGTTTGGTCGTCCAAGATGCGGTATGCTACCCCGCTGCACCATAATATCCTCTTTGAATGTATACTGACATCCTCTGACCTACAGTATCGAAACCTGTTATTTCTGCAGGTTAGTATTTTGATCCCCATCCTGCTGAGGCGTGATGCCTGCGATAGCCTCAGCTAACATGTCCCTCCCAGCCGGCCGGCGTACCCTTCCAAGGGTATCACCTTTGTCAGGAACGATGCCAAAGTCTTCCGATTCTGCGTACGTCCCCCCCCCCCAAGTCTCCTACAAGGAAGCAGCAACACCCGGACTGACATGTCGCCCAACGACAGCGGTCGAAATGCCACAAGAATTTCAAGATGAAGCGTAACCCCCGCAAGCTGAAGTGGACCAAGGCCTTCCGCAAGGCCGCCGGCAAGGAGATGACGGTCGACTCGACGCTGGTGTTCGGCGCGCGGCGCAACGTCCCCGTCAAGTACGACCGCGACTTGGTGCAGAAGACGCTTAAGGCGATGGACCGCATCGGCGAGATCCGCAGGCGGCGCGAGCGCGTCTTCTACAAGCAGCGCATGGCCGGGAGGAGGGCGCAGCAGCTGCGCGAGGCGCGCAAGCTGGTGGCGTCGCACGAGCACCTGCTGCCCGTCATGCGCGCGAGCGAACGCAAGCGGCTCGAGGAGGAGGGCGTCGTCGTCGACGAGGCCCAGGTCACGGCGCAGCACAAGAAGAAGCGCGCGGCCAAGGCGTTCGGCGGGGAGGTCAGGCGGAGGAGGGTCACGGTCGATGGCGATGTCGTGGAGGACGAGGAGACGGAGCGGGTGCTCGTCGACGAGGACGCCGGGGACGACGACGGGTTCAGCGAGGACGACGGCGAGGACGATGGCGACGAGGACGACGATATGGATATGGACTGAGTGTCTCGTCGGGGGACGCGCGATTGGCATCGTGCTTGCGGCATGGCGGAGTTCTGGGCGTTCATGGGAAAAGCAAATGGTTTCACTGTCAGGCTTCACTCAAAGATTCCCCAGAAGTATTGGGACAAGAAACAAAAGGGGACAGTATATTATCCCGATTAGAGCTTGGTACATCAAAGTCACAGGCGGTCAAGAGTAGAGGCAGCAAGTGAGTGTTTTACAAGGCCAACTGGTCACCTCAATGGTCTAAACAGATCTTCGGGAACAGTAAATCCCTGTGAGCCCAGCCAATATCAAACTGTACATCGAGAACCGTCCCTGCGGATGCCTTGCAAGTTCCTGATCCGCAGCGAGCCCCCAGGACCTCAATTTGTTCCTGTACTTGCATTTCGACAATTATGCGGGCGCAAGTCGGCTCCAGGTGGAGTTCATTGATAACTTCCCTCTATTATTGTAGTGCTCCAGCAACCAGCCCGTCCATCAGGGCTAAGCTCAGAGATTGTAGAATGATGCCGAGAGGGAGGCACTCAAACAAAGGGCACGACTGAAGTATCCTGCTCAGCGCTTGACTTCCCAACCGCTTATCCTATGAATCGTGAGATCCTCCGAGGTCTAAATCGAGCTCGCACTGATGGCGAGTTCTGACAAATGTGTTCTCACCAGCGAAGCCAAAAAAACCCTCATTACAGAACATCCACAATGGCCCCCGAGCGTAACATCAATTGCAGTAGAGGTTCACAGCGTCAAGGCACTTGCTGTTCACCTAGCAGACACACGACGGCCCGGTAATCGTCATGGGCCATGGCAATCAGGCGCGAGACTGCCTGGAGTGAAGTGACGAGCTTCTGTGTCTGTCTCAAATAAAACATCGCTCACCGCGAGCCTGACAGCTCCTAGAGCAAGAGGGCTGTCGGCGCAACTTGGCGCAAGACCCGTGACGCTCACTCCATGTCCCTGTCATGCTGGTGATACGTCTTCGGCGGGGGCGGCAGACTGGAGTTGAGCTCCTGCTTCACCTTGTCCGCGATCTCCTGACGCTTCGTGCTCTCCTCAGAGTCGTCGGCGGGGGGAGCATCGTCAGTCCAGTTCCCTGCGCCGCCCCGGGAGCTGAAGCCGGCCCTGGGCTTGCCGGCCTGGGACGCGCTGACGGCGGCCTTGGTCCTCTCCACGACGTCCTGCCTGTCCTGCGACTCCGCGATGGTCGGCGGCTCGGTGTAGTTGCCGGAGCCGCCCCTGCCGACCCTCACGTACTGGGGCGCGTGCGAGGCAGCAGCCGACGCTGGTGGTGCTGCTGCTGGCTCCGCCGCGGCCTCATGCTTCTGCGACTCTGGGTCCTATTGTGGTGGGGGATGTTATCAGGACGGGCTGCGGGGAGAAAATAATGCAATCGCGCACACACACAATGAAGGCGCACGGAGATGACTGACTTGAGCTTGTTGCGCCCGTGCTGCCTCTTGAATTTCCTTCTCAGAGATGAAATTACCCGCGCCGCCGCGCCCAATGCGCCTGAATACGTCGGACATGCTGTGGGGTTCTTTTTTTTTTCTTTTTCTTTTCCTTTTACAGCTGTAGCTATGACAATGAGGGAAATGACAGTGGACCACTCGGCAAGTTCGATGCGGACACGCTGGGACTGTAGAAAGAGACCGGTTTCTGTGCAGTACCAGTCACCACAGTAAAAAGGGCTCCCGGATCGCATTGATGCCTGGATAGGCACCGCTCGACGCCGGCGCCCGTTCGATACTCCAAGTGCAAGAAGCCCCGCTAACCCCTGATGATCTGTGCCTTGTGTGCCTCGTGCCTCGTGCCTGCTGCTGCTGGAGGCCGCCTGGCGGCCCCTGCCCCCTGATGCACGGCTCAGCGGGCCTGCAAATAGATGGGTGTGATGGCGGTCTTGGATGGTAGATGAGAAATATTTGACTGCCTCTATGTCCCCAATCTCACTCTCTGAACTTTGTGCTGTATGCTCTCCTATGTGTGGGCCGCAACTCATATGCACGCACAGCACGCACAAGCGCCGCGGCTTTCACAAGACCGACATCGGCTTCCAGCGAAGGAGGGGACCGGCTTCACCTTTACGCCAGGGACGGGAGTGCCCTATCCCGCCATGACGGGAGCCCATGGCGCGAATGCCTATCCTATGTCAACTGGAAAAAAAAGGCCAACCGCAGAACGGGGCGCCGTGGCCCTGACTACAGCCCGGCTACAGGCGAGCCGTTGCTCAGCTCTGTGTCTGTTGGCACTCCTAATTAATGCTCTTCGCGGGTGCGCACCTGGCCTGAGCCACAGGCCTCTAACAGTCTGCGCCCCGCGCTTTGGGGCATGGGGTCTGGAGAGATCAGGACAATGTACCCGTGTGGTCCTTCGGTACTCGCCTGTTGGGCGGGTAAGGCTGTGCTGATCCTCATCCTTCACCCCCTCTATTTTTGGGCCCGTCGGGAATGTCCACACATTGCTGCGCTATGCCCAAGTGGTATGCTGTGGTAAAGCCCTCGTCGCTGAGAACGGCAATGGAAGTTACTGCTGTGCCGTTCGTTTCCCCGGGGGGGGGCCCCTTTGGGGGCCGGGCGCAACTCCTTTCTTCATCCGGTCGATACGTATTCGCGTGGTGGTTATTACGAGCTTCCCCATCAGTATTATTAGCAGCTCTCCAGCGCCAATCCGGCTGTCTCGGTCACGGCATTTGGGGAGGACTGCTGATCATGAAACGTCGACGGATAACAGCGGGCACCCACTCCCCCCTCCCCCTCGCAACTGCCAATGGAGAACACATGCTCCGTGCCGCCTGGTGGCTGTTTGGATCCCGGCCAGCTGGGCAGAGCTGAGAGCCACGCAATCCCGCCCTACGGTGGCGTACTACATGCCTGGGCGGGCTACTGCGCGTCGTGTGGCAGCACCACAGTGCTGGCAGCAGTAGAAACGTTGGCTGCACTTCAGTAGGATTGTTGTGTATTACCTGGCCTCTTACTGCACTTGCAAGGGTTGAGCACCGCTACCGTCGCAGAAGGATTCGAAAACAGCACTGGACAGCAGCAGCAGCAGCAAGCCCCCCGCCGTCCGGAGTTGTGGGCTGGGCGGGTCAGCTGCCTCCATCATTGAGACGTCATCTGCTGGGCCAACCTCTGGAGGCGCACCTCACAGGACCTGGCGGCGAACCCACTTGGTGCCAGAGTCCATCGTGAAAGAGTCCAGGCGTCCGCATTTCTCCAGAAGGGACCGGCTCCACGCCGGCCAGGTGCCACGAGGGACTCGTCTATGTGTTACCCCAGGTGTGGCGACGCGGGTATCGTGAACCTTCCGAGAGGCACGTCATCGTGCGAGCAGAGGGGCACACAGCGTCCCGGCTAGCTGCATTACGCTGTAGAGACCGGTCCTTGGCCCAAGAAGCAAAAAAACGAAACTGACATATCGGGTGTTTCCAAGCCTCGGCCGGGGGCAAGCAGGGCAAGGACGCAAGTCAGCGAAACAACATGCCTTCACCATCCGGGACAACGGTGGCCACGCTGGCGCCATATTTTTCTTTGACTGTACGGTGTGTTAGCGTTGGCCTGCCTCCTTTTCCACTTCCCCACCAGACTGCAACGCGTCCGCACGGTGAGCGAGACGCCCGCCGCCAGGGCTGACAATTGTCTGATGGTGTGGCGGAAACGCCTGCTCCTCACATGGTCTCTCGCCAGTATTTGGCGACTCGAATTAAAAAATTGGTGGTCATGCTGCCCTGCCCTTCTACAATCACCCCCAGATGCCCGTCCAAGCTGTCTTTTCCCAATGAGGCCCGAAGTGCTGGCGATCCTTTGGCCGGTCGATATCCAGGCCACCCTTCTATATACCTGGTCCTTGAATCGGCAAGTCCAGACCTCGACTTTATTTGTGTACCTACGTGGGCGGGCGCTGTTATTCTCCGGATGGTGTGACAAAGGAGGGGTGCGTTGAGGCAGTTGGGGGACCTGATCTCGAGGGATCAGCATTGAGCCTACACCACAATGGTACTGGATAGGACGAGCGCCTGTACACGCCCTGTTGGGTATTGCCTCAAATCCTTTGTTATTAGGCCGTCCAGACGCCGTAGCACGCATGGCCACGGGTCAGCCTTTCGTATACGGACAGCATGCCCCCGCCGGGCGACTCCTCACTTGACCTGGAGCGCTAGGGGCCAGAACCGGCAGGTGTGCTGGGAAGGAAGCTGTCATTGGCTGTGGTGAAGATTGAAGTAGTAGAATTCGGCCTCCAGTTCAATTGAAACGAGCCCTCGAGCGCGAGGCCTATTGGTCGAGCTGCCGTGGCAGGGCGGATCGGAGAGCAGTTAATTCATTTGGCAGGTTTGTTTGATTGTCAGGCACAGAACTCAATGCAGAGGAGGGGAAACCGGCTGTCGGGGCCGTTTCATACCAACTTGACACAAGTGGACCTAGTCACTGATCACCAATGCCGTCTTCTGTGCCCCTTTGCGGAGAACCGGTCTGACCGCGGAGGGAGCTCGACGGAGGATGCCAAGGGCTTCTTGTTCGAGACCAGAGAGACCATGCGGTGCTGCATCGAGACTCGCTCCCAGTTATATTACGTATTCAAACTGATTCTCCGTGACTTCGGCTTCGAGGCATGGACACTTCCAGCTGGCTGGGCAAGCCGTCTTTGACGCCGTCGCAACCGATAGAGACCCGGCATAACACTTTCCCGTCCGATGGAAGAGCCTGGGGGTTATGCGTTGACCTGCCCTGTACTGTGTGCAACCGCAGCTCTCGGATGGAGCTGGGGACACAGCAGCAGCGGGCGTTGTCATTCGACACGCGAGGTAGGGAACAGAGACCAGATATTGTGCTCTCATTTGTCAAGGCACAAAGTGCTCCTGGGTAGCTCTTCATGCATGACTTCGCTAAGAGGGGGACTGACAGACTGAACTGCCAACTGATGGCCGAGTACGGCGAGAGATTGTCCTAGTGTCGTGATGTGGCCAGAACTTGGCCGCTCACAGAAAGTTGCCCTCAATGTATTCGACTCTGATTCAGAGCAGTCCTCAGGATCACAACCAACTTTTCGCGTTCCTACTTTGTCTACACGAGACTGGGCATGGGTTCGACAGCAGCATTGCTGAATCCCACCTCATGAGCTTCTCTCAAGCACCCCGGCACCCCTCCCCCGCTCCTCTTCCTGTCGATCCACCCCACTCACGATACACCATCGGCCCACTAGACCTGCAGGTGACTGCTGTGTACAGCACTATGTACGTACCATTTAGGATAGAGCTGTCACCCTTGTACCCATTTCTGGGGAGGGGGCAGAGAGCCCTGCCATGACTGTCCGGAGGCACAGACAACCTGCTGTGAACTACAGTAGGTGTATTATGTATCGTCAGGACGGTGCACGGTATATGGCGGTCTATCGTTAGAACCAAGCGCGCCCAGCTACCGCCTAGAGAGTTTGTTGGCACGGTCAACTCGACCTCGCAGTGCAGCAGACGGGGCTCGAGACTGCTCGAGACTGGAGCTCTCCCTGGCCGCAGCAGCAGCAGCTCCCTCCCCTGCCAAACCCATGCTGCCATGGTGGTATCGAGATGGTGGTACTGGGCATGGTATCTCGCTGCAGCAGGCTAGGCGCAGGAGATGGTGTGGTCGACCAGAGCACAGCGCACAGGTGACCACCAAGCAGATTGCCTGGAATGAGTTGGCAGGACCACCAACATGATTCAGTGTGTCGGAATCTCTGAATGCCCAATGAGTCCTGCTGGAGAAACAGCGCGAAGGAGGCAGGTCCGTCGGGGCATCCCCCTGACCGTTTCTGTCCTGCTAGTAAGAGCTGGCTGGCTGGCCGGCGGTAGCAGCAAATTGTCGAATGTCACACGTTCCTCGTTCGTCGCCCGGGCCTGATCCGCCAGGTCATCCAACTTGTCAATGACCGCCGGGCCTGCCCAGGTACAAGGTACTCCGTCGCGCGCGGGCAAGTGCGTGGGCCAGGTGGGTATCGCGGTACGAAGTGTGTGGTTGTCCATCAGGAGTTGCGAGCTCCAGACCCTCGCTCCAGGGTTACCCCCTTTTACGGAAACACCCCACCCACCCTCGTTGATCTGCTGGGCGTCTCATGAGCTCGCAGGCGTCGGGATGATTGGAAGGTGCGTGGCTGCACAGCCAGCTTGCGCCTACGATGTACCATAGTACCCAGCAGGCCAGGCAGGTACGCATCGTGTTCCCGCTGCTGGCACTGCGCGGGCTGGCTGGCAATGCAGTGCGTCGTCTCTCTTGTTCTCCTTGCATCCAGAATCCAGGATCCAGATTCGCAAGGTCCCAAATTATTTTTTTGCTCCCTCGCCGTTGCTGTAGGATCGACAACTTTTTTTTCTTCTTCTCTTTCCTCAGTCTCCCCCAATCCTCGAACAATTCAGTACATTCCTTCCCGACTTGTTGCCGCTGGTACCACTTCGCTACTCCATACTGGCTCTACGGCCTATCTGCTTCTGCTTTCTGCTCGCTCCAGAATCAACGCGCTCCCTCGTCCGGTCGTGACCAAAACAACCCTGCTATCTCGGCTGCATCAAGCGTTACCTAAACCCGCAGGGAAACGAAAGTTTACCTGTACCTCCCAACTGTACATTCCAAGGTTCTCCAGGTAGCAGCCGCTTGGGACCCCCCAACTCCTCTCAAACGGTGTCCGTCTCGAGCCCACAAAGCCGTTCTAGCTCCTCAGCTTCTCCAGCTCTCTCTCTTAGTCTCAGCCTATCTATCTGTCTACCTACCCAGGTTACTCCCTCTCTCTCCCCCATCAGGATCCGGCTCCGCTTCTGGTGCCTTCTGTTCCTCCTAAGCTGCGTGTCGATAGCCTGGCGGTAGCGCTTATTCGCGAGCCCACACCCCCTCGACCCGTCTCTTTCCAAGTTCCAGGCATCCGATCCCTCACTTACCTTTGTTCCTTGAGCCGGGTTTTGGAGAGAAGCAAGCTCGGCGGACCAGGAGGTACCCTTTCTTGGAAGCACTGTATTCTTGTCACCTGGACACTTTTTGGACCAAGCCACACGTTCCGAAGCAGCACCGACCAAGCAGGGGCAAAAAAAGGGATCGCCAAAAACAAAAATTCACAGCACCGCACCTTCTGAACTGCCTCGACTTTTTCCCGATCCGCGATCGATTTGTTACCCACCACGCTGAGCTGTCTTCAACTCCCCAAAAAATATTCGCGCAGCCACGCCACCAGCCAACACAACACGACACGACACGACGGCTCAATTGGCCACCTACTGTTTCTGACCGCGAAACCAAGAGGTTGCCTTGGACTCTGACAAAGGAATCACGACTTTTTATGTGGCATTCTCGGGACTGAGATCGGCAACATCGGCAATGGCCTCCTCCAAGGTAGATCAACATCAATTGCAGATGATAATGCCTGCTAGCTCCGAAAGCTGCCCCATGTTCACGACCGCTGATCTCCGTGTTCATCAAAATCTAGGACATCGTACAAACCTCGAGACCATTGACTCACCGACCGTCGCTCTCCTCCAATTCTTTGACGGGAATGAACTCTACACGACAATCACACTCTCGCACGAACTCGCACACGGTCATCACGGGGCCGCTTAATACCGCTCATCGCGTAGCACGCCGCAAGAGTGTCACAAATAGCAACGCAAACATTGTCGCTGCTGCGGCTGCTGCTGCCGCAATCGGAGACATGAACACCAAGGTTCCGTCCCTGCCCATCAACATCGGCGCCCGGCGGATGTCAAAGTCCGGAGCTGGCGGCATGGTCTCTCCACCCGCCAGCATGCCCGCCCACAAGTTTCTGAACGCGGAGGTCAAGCCGGAACACCAGGACAGCGCCATTGATGACCAGGAGAATGCGTCGCCCGAAGAAGGGGACGCCTTGCAGAAAGATCGCGTTCGGAGGGCTAGCGACGGCCAGCCCCAGGCGAAGGAAGGTCGGAGGTTCAACCGACCTGAACTTCGCTGCGAACACTGCGGGAAGGGATACAAGCATAGCAGTTGCCTGACCAAGCATTTGTTTGTGCCCCTGTCTTCTCCCTCTCCCACTCCTGCAACGATCCTCCCCCTGACCGTACACGGCGGGCCAATTGCCGGGACCACCCTCTGCCGTTGAGATGCAAGGAGGACAATGTTTGTTGACTCGTTCTTTGCTCAGGTGGGAACACACGCCGGAATGGTCTTACACTTCCAAGCTCCTCATATCCAAGCACCAGCAGGTGCAGCTCCTGGAAGCTGCCTCTGTTCTAGTTGCTATGAATGACCAGCCGCCCAGCCCTCCGGACTCTGCGCGTGAGACATCGCCGTCCGTTTCTGGTGGGTCGTCCGAGCAGGTGGACGGCCGCAGCTCTGTAAATACCACGCCGCCGCCCCATATGGAGGGGTTCCACTCCTCCACGGAAGCTGTCAAGTATCAGTTCTCCCCCACCTCGCCGTTCGGTGGCGACAACTTCCGAAGCGGGATCTCTCGGTCGCTATACGCCGCCCCCTCGGAAAGCTCATATGCAACGAGTGTGCCATTCGGCGCAGGGTTCGGCCATCAGTACCTGGAACCAAGCCCTCCACCTTCTGGTCTGAGCGTCTCCGGCGACGCGAACAACCTGGCCAGCAGGGTCGCCATGTTGAGCTGCAGCTACAACAGCAACAGTGGCTCCCAAGCCGGCCAGATGCACGACGGCGTGCCTGCGGTCCCTCCGATCCCGGCGCATTTCCTCGGGCAGGATTCCCTCGGGCAATCGCCGTTCCTCAGTAGCTTCCCCAATCAGGCGCCAGAAAGTTTCACCCGCGGTGACAGGCGCCGGGGCAGCGAAGATGTCAAGATGGAGTACGGCGACAATGACGACGATGCTCGGTCCCGGGCCCGCAGCGACGAATATGATGTTAACGACGGCTTCTTCGGGCGCATGGAGGAGTAACCTTCAGCCAGAATTACCGAGTCCTCTTCGTTTGCATTTGATTTACCACGGCCTGCAGTTCGGGAACCAGCTGGGAAAGGAGTAAGGCAGGTGTGGAGTTCTGGCGGGTATCGTTGTCGTTCTCCTTTGTGTATTCACCTATATAAGCAATATTCGTGGACGCTTCGCTCCGCCGCGGTGGTCCTCAGCACCGAAGAGTTGGGAGACCTCATAGACGACTTGGACGAGTCGTAACGGGGCAGAACCCAACGAGGTTAAAGTGAGGGCCAGCCTGTGGGAGCGTCGAGCGGAGGTCCCCTGTCAGTAACAAACAAATGGAACAGTCCATTGCCAAGCAAACCGGACGTCAACATCATAATGGTGTGCCATCATTGACATGCGAGGATGTGCTGCCGAGTCGTGGAAGGAGTGAAGAGCAACAAGCTGCGACGTAAAGAGACTGTAAAACAATGCTCTCATAGCCTCTTGTTCAGGCTTGCGTGCTGTGGGCAAAAGTAGGCAAACGCTATATAGTGAAAGGAAGGAGAGGAAGAAAAGGGAACGGAGCAGAAAGCCTAGGTATAGAGGAAGAATTCAGGGTCCTTTTGCAGAATCTTCGCCCAGAAATTCTCCGCGCAATGGAACCTTTCCGTTTTGATGAGCTGTGGATACTTCGTGAGCTCAAGTCATGCGCACTCGCGACAAACAGCGAATGCCTGCCGTCATGACGACCAGAGAACAAGACAAAGACTGAGCATCAATCAATCGCCGACTCCTTGAGAAAGAGAGGCTGATGAAATGATAATGACGTGAAGAAGGCAATGGCGCCCTGATTTGCTGGATTCGTTGGAGATTCGGAGGCGCAACGTGCACTGGGAGAAGGCAGAGTTCGCCAGTCCACCTACCTAGGTAGCTACAGCGGCTAGCAGACGGGCTGTGGAAGCTTCCGCAGAGCTGCAGCTTGTGTGCCTTAACTGAGATCATAGTGGGGCAGGAGTTGGTTTCCCCTCGCAACGTGCGGCCCCCTGCCAAATTGCTCCAGGCTTTTTGAGCCGCAGAGCTTGGAGAAGCTCTCGAGACTCTGCGACCTGGCTTTTTTCTTTCCCTCCATGCACAACGCCACTTCAGCCCTGGCCACCAAGACTTGACGACTCATATCTCAAGCTCCGGCTTAGCGGCAGCTTCAGTTTTCTTTTTCCTCTTCTCCCCACAGTGCTACGCGAACTCGCCGCTCTGCGGTACCCACAACATCCGTCTGCCCGCGGAGCGCAAGCGCAATGTCTTCAGCCAAGCAGGTCGATGCAGTCAACACGGATGCAGGCGAGGGGCCCAGCTCCTCCTCCGCGCAGGCCGTCGCCGTGACCAAGCCCGAGAGCGCCGCTGCGCCTGCTGAGCGAAGGTCCACGCTGCCACGGGTGCTGCAGTTCCCGCTCGTGGCTATCCTGAGCTTCTCCATCTCGTCGCTGGGCTACTCCTTCATCAACGAGTTCACCAAGGGCGAGCTGGCCACTGTGATGCGCACGCTGGAGACGCCGCGCGAACTAGGCATCATGACGGCGTGGAGGCTGACGGAGCTGGCACTGGGATGGTTCGCGAACTTCGACTCGATCGACCTCGCGGCGCTGAATCTGCTCTCGCACAGCCCCACTGTAAGTTTGCGCGCATCGGCACCCGGTGTTTTGAGAGCCAAGACTAACCGGCGCGATAGTTCTACCTCATGGCTGCATTCTACAAAGTGAGCCCAAAGACAGCGATCGCGGGCCTCGCCGTCGATGTGATTGCCAGCTTCGTGCCCTTCCTGCTCCTGCGCCCGCTCTCGGCCGCGCACAAGTCCTCGTCCTCGACTCCCAACCGCGAGATCATCGCCGATAAGCCGATCCAGGTCCTGAGCACGCTCCTCGCCAGCTTCATATACAGCGTTGTGCTCTTCATCTCCTACAAGACCTTCCTGCCCGGCACCCTGGTCCTGTACTTCATCGGCATCCCCACTGTCGAGCCACTCCACAGCGCCACTGCCATCTACGTATCACCGCTCGCTACGGCCTTGGCTGTGGCTTCCGGCATGGCTGCGCGCAGCTTCATCTTCACTCCACTTGCTGCGACTGGCCGGACTGAGGCGGACGAGAAGGCAGCGCAGTTTGACCCAGTCACCGCCAGCTTGGGTGAGACGATTTGGTGGAATATCTGGGGATACACGACGCAGACAAAGGTCTGCGTTGCCAGAACAATTGCGCTCATGCTTGTGACTGGCATTAATACGACCCTCCAAGGCGCCCTCACCATTAGTGGAGTGGAGGCCACTGGAGCAGCAATCTATGCATCTATCTGGGTCGCTGCAGCCTTCTTCACAGGCGTTGGCTTGGGCGCTGTTGGAGACGTGTAAGACGTAGTCAAATATGCATAGGGTCTCCAGTGGGGAAAGGCACTGGGAAGGCATTGATGCAAGCAAGACCTGTGAAGAGAGAGGACAGGACTGGGCCAGCTTTCATTTTGAGCCATGTAAATCACCAAGTTCGGCTGACATAGATCAAACAGGGGCATAGCACAGGAGGTTTTTACAGTTGTACAGATCACTGTCTCCTTTCTAAACCAAATTTGAAAGCGGGTGTCTCCCTCTGGCCCTGCAATTGGATTCTAAAACAGTCTTATTTCTACAGTTGAATGGGTGAGGAAGGGAGCCTAAAGCTCGATAGCTGCATCTGTACCTGCATCTGCCGTGTTAGTGCATATATCTGCGTTGGTGCATGGCTGGGCACGCTAACGAATCTGGTCCAAGCGCCTTCCACTTCACATGTCGGAAGCTCCCAATCTCGTAATAGGCGTTACTTCCAAACGAAACCAGGAGAAGCTGCAGCTGTTTGTTACCTTGGCTCCTCAACGCGCAAACGCGATGCGCCATCACCATTTTGAGCTCATCGTCAGCTCAGCGTAACCCAAATGAATGCCAGAAACGCACACGAGGTTCAGACCCCACAAGACAACCGCGCCGAAGTTTTAGACCACCAAGATGAGCGCCGTCGAAGGTGGTGTTGCAGACATCGAAGAGGAGGAGCAGCTCTCCCCTCGACAAAAGGCGTCCCCCATGCACGAAGCAATTGAGTCGCTCGACTCGATCAACAATGGCAGCCTTAGAGCCCTCGATGAGCGCGCCGACCCCGATGCGCAAGCGACCGTCACCGACTTCCTGGAGTTTACGGAACACCTGCCTGCGGACGTAATGCGGTCGCTCACCCTGATCGGCACGCTCGACCAACACCACTCACGCGCCTCCCTCAAGCTGCACGAGCTTGCAAGACAATGGGGCCAGCTCCCAGGCCTGGCACCAGAGGAGAAGCCTCAGCCCGTGCAGCTGAGGGCCGACATATCTGAGGAGCTCAACCGCGTGCTAACGTCGCGCGTCTACTCGCACGCCGAGGCCGTACGGATGGCGGAGAACGTGAACAGGCACGTCAACAGGCTGACCTTGATACACGCAAAGCTGCGCAATATGCTGGAGAAATATCCTGCCGACGACATGCAGAGGAGCCCCGTCGCGACGACGAGATCGCCCCTCATCACCCGCGGGGCGAAACGCCAGCCCGCTGGCGCCGACAAGGGGCGCCGACCCCGTGGCCCCAGGATTACTGTCCCTGGCGATGTCCTTGCGCCTTACGATGTCGGCTACGATACAAACAGCGATGAGAGTGAGAGTAGCGAGGACGAGGACGAAGAGGAGGAGCTTGCTGTCTCTCGGCGGACCCCAGCGGCGCGTGGCGGTAGCCAGAAGCCGCGCGGCGGCAGGAAGGTGATCGAAAAGACGTCCAAGACCCCGAAGCCGAGGACCCAGAAGGCCTCGCAAGCGCAGAACGCCGGCACGGCAAATACACCTGCTGGGCTGCCCAGCCGCTCGGCACCTTTGGTTCCGCCACCGGAGAATGCGGTCGTTGGCAGCGAGGACGCGCCATGGTTACAGCTTACGCAATGGGAGCTTTCGAAATTGAGGAAGAGGATGAAGAAGAATTCTTCGTGGGTGCCTAGTGAGACGATGATCCACAAGGAGCTGAAGACCCTCGGACGTGGTTATGACGGCTGGGCGACTGCTAAGAAGCAGGCGGAGGACGAGGGCCGGCCGTTCGAGACGACACTCCCTCAGCCCATCGTCGACGATGCCACGGGCTCCGAGCACCTTCCAATGGGAGCCGTCACTCTGGATTCCGCGATTGCTGCCGAGGATAGGAACCTCACCAACCGCGGTCATGAACTGAACAAGGCCAAGAAAATCAAGAAGGATCGCATGTCTGATATTGCGGCCAAGGAGGCCGAGGAGTCGGCGAGAAGGTTTGCTCTGATGGCTAGGAACTTTCAGGTCTCTTTCCAGCAACCGCAGTCCTCTTCTGAGCAAACTCCAGCCAAGGCTGCTAGTAGCAAAAGACAACAACAGAAGAAACGCAAGAGGGATTCTGTCACAGAGGCCGATGCTGAGAAGCCAGACACAGCAAGCTTGAAGCGGTCAAAGACCGAGACACCAGTCCCCATCCCACCGCATATCAACCTGCCTCGCTCCCAACAGACTTCTGTGCCGCCTCCACAGTTGACACCTGGCGGCTCGCAGATTCCACAGTCGACGACTCCCGTGCCCATCCCGATGCCACCCGGCCAGGAGCAGTCCATCATCACGGTGGGAACGAAGTCTACTGCTGTGTCACCCGCTCCCAGTGCTGATGCTAGTACGACGACGACTATTGTGCCGACTAAAGCTCCGGCAGATGACGGTCCTCAGTCTCCCATCAAGTCCACGACCCCAATCGTGCCGCCCGGAAGGGAGACTCGAGCGAGAGAAGCTAAGAACCAAGCCAAAGAGAAGGCGGCTGCCCTACCTCCCATCAAGACGTCAGGTTCCCGTGGAAATACACCGTCGGTAACGACCCCTGGCCCGGAGTCATCATCGCGCCGGCCCTCTTCACGTGGTCAACAAGGTCAGGATGCTGGCCAGCCGGCGGGGCTGGCGGCGGATAGGCCCCGTCGCGCCAGCACGGCGCGGAACACCCCCGCCCCCGAGCCGATGTCATCGGTGAGACAGCCCAGCAAGAGGACTAAGAGACCCGCGCCGGGCATCATCAGCCGGACGAACTCGGGCGGCAACAGCGCTATAACGAAGCGCAAGGCAGCGCCGAAGAAGTCGAAGCGTGGTGCTGCGCGGAAGAAGGACGACCGCGGCGCAGGTCAGGCGTCTGCTGAGGCGGAGGCGGAAGTAGAAGTGGACGAGGATGGGAACGTCATCGACCCCCAGGAGCAGAGGTATTGTGTTTGCAACCGCGTCAGCTTCGGGACCATGGTGCTCTGTGAGAACGTCGATGTAAGTCAAGTCCCTTCTCTGAATATCACTTGTCTGGGACAAGAGACAAGAGCATGAGCTGACGATGGCCGACAGTGTCCTTACGAGTGGTTCCATCTCGAGTGTCTCGGCCTCAAGACGGAGAAGAACCTACCTAAGTTGTGGTACTGCCCAGAGTGTCGGGTTTCGCTTGGGATGGACGGGGAGGGACGCGAGGGAGGTAAGAGAGCGTCGAAGCGCTAGAAGCGTGGCAAGCTGAAGCTCCCGGACGTCCATCTTGGCTCCCCCATTCATTGAAGAAGGATGCACATTGGTCTCGTTGGTTTGGTGCAAGGTTGGCGTCCAGGGATCATGGAGACAGAGACTTGAAGACCGCGATCATACGGAATGATGAAGGGGTTTCATTCTCCTGGCTGACTCTGGACGAGTCTCGAATTTTGGAGGCTTCGAGTGTTTTGGTAGCCGACGAGAGTGATGCAGCGTGTTGCATAGCCCAACAGGAAAAGGAGAAGAAAAAAAAAAATTCCAAACTGTAGTAATACAATGACCACCTGAAGATTGCATAAGGGTCATATAGTAGTATGCAATCGTGAAGTTTCTTGGATTCACAGTGACTTCATTGCGGATCCAAACTCGTCGGGTACTGCCCTCACCTGCGAGCGCATCGGCCCGTGCCCTCGCTACATTTACAACGGTAGATAGACCGTGACACTCAAACTACAAAACACCTCGTAGGTAGGTATAGTACCATTCTGGAGTCCCAGAGAAATCAAGTAAAATTTCACTCGGTATCAACATTTCCAGGCGATCCGCACACACCCACCGACAAAATGTCGAACTACAGCCCCGCGTACCCGACCAACGTGCAGGTCGACGCCGGCGTCAAGGAGTTCATCACCAAGTTCTACGGGGTGTCGGACACGCCGGGCAAGAACCAGGAGTGGCTCGACTTCTTCCGCGACGACGCGACGCTCGTGATGGCGCTGCAGGAGGCGTCGGGGAAGACGGGTGAGTTTGGCCTGACCCTGACCGTTACGAGCCGAACAGGCAGCTAATAACAGAAAAAGACATCCTCAAGGTGCGCGAGGGCATGTGGGAGAAGGTGCAGGCCCGCAGGCACACGGTGTACCAGGTTTTCCCGGCGGAATTCGGCGGGGCCAACGAGGAGGGAAGCGGCGGCGGCGAGGAGGAGGTTGAGCTCATGCTGTACGGGGATGTCGTCTACAGGCTTAAGGGCAGCGCGGATGGGGAGGAGACCAAGGTGGACTGGGCCGGGCGCGCAAGGCTGAGGCGGGCGGCTGGGAATGGCGAGTGGAAGTTTGCATACTATCGTGTCTACCTCCAGAGGTGATTGATCCATTGGTCAGTCAACCAATCGATTGAGTGAAAGGGGGCGAACTCTGGACCACCAAGGTGCCCAATGTGTGCGGCTGGTGCATCGCTGGATGGCGCATATGCCGGCCAGGTTCTCATGGGCAATTTTTGCCATCAATGGACTTGTAGGCCAGCTCCAGGATCAATACCAGGTGGTAGGCATTACGTAGTGTGGGCATGACTAGCAACTGGTTATCCTCGCGCTGCTGTCCATGGTGTTGAGTGGCTCTCTTATCGACCTTGATTGTTACATGTCTACACCTTGCCGGATCTGATCACCCCCAACAGCAGGGGGGAAACGCGTCAGGCGGGGGTCCGGAAGCAGTGTGACCACGGCAGGCGCCGGAAGCGCCTGGCATTGCCCCTCCAAGCATGTAGGTACGATGACCATTCAGCCATGTTACCAAGAGGGGGCCTTGGGATGGCATCATATTGTACCAGAGCGGACAACTAGACGGTGATTAGCGAGCACCCTGCGCACGGTCCTGTTGGGGTCTCCCTCTCTCTGCCTCTCTCGCTCACACCGTCGGTATGCGTTACGACAGGACACTAGTATACGTGGATAGACGCAGAGGAGGCTCATCGATGATCAGCAGCCGGTCACACAAAGGCGGTCACTTCGCCCAGGTGCCCAATTCATCCCCGTCGCTAACCCCAGGGTTCGGCCCCCGAGCTACCGAGTCCAGGTCTTGGGACGACGGTCAGCTGAGCAGCTGGACCACCTGCAACGAGGCAAGTAGACGTCTGGAAGCCAGGCCAAACCTCGCCCTTCCCTCCCCCTCACCCCGGGCTGAGGACGAGGGAGGGATGGATGGATGGATGGATGGGGGAGCTGGGTGAGATTTGAGCTTCAGCCATGGCGGCATGACCTCGGCTGGCTGAGGGCAGCTACCACAGCACATGCTCCTGTCCCCAGAGGAACATGCCTTGTCCAGAAGGAGAAACGGTTTCCTACCGTCCAGGGCACTATCGTGTACCACGGGCAAAGAGCCAGCCTGTTTCCGTCCAGCTGGGTGCCGTGCAGCCAGATAACAGATAAAGGGCTACATGCACATCTACCATCCCGGGCGATGGGCATCTGAGATGACGCCGTGGGGCTTCTGGCTCCACGAGATACCCCTGCCGTGCCTGCCTGATCCCTGCCCCTGGATGCCCACCCCGCCTGCTGCCCGCCAGCCCGCCCTCGTCGGTGTTGCAGCAGCCCCTCCAAGACAATGCCCATGCCAGTGCCCATGCCCATGACCCCTGGAGGCCCGTCATGGCTCACTGGCCTGGGGTAGCCGGCAACGGGAGTCTGCTAGACGAAGGAGGCCTTGGAGTCACCGCACCCTATCTGGAGACTACAACTCCAGCCTGCCCCTCCGGACCTTGCTCGTCTGTCTTGTCTGCCCACCACCCGTCTGTATTCAACCAAACCCGGTCTGTTATTCTTCATATCCTACGAGATCGCGTTCTGCTGTTATTCACGATACCTATATTTGCCCGTCTGCGAGTCACCCAGAGCTCCTGACGCACTCCGTCCGTTTCCTGCTGCTGGTGTTACTATTTCCGTGTTGATAACCTGCTTGTTGTACCTACTTATCGTCCTTCCTTCCTTGGTCTTTCAGACTGCTTGCTGCCCCCTTTGCCTTACCTAGGCGTTTTAGACCTTGACGACGACCGCAACGGCCATCCTCCACACAACTAATACAACACGTCAGCTGGCTGTCTCTGCCGCTGACTTTCACTCCTTTGTTTGCCACATCTTGCTGCGGACTCGCGACTCTGGACGCTTAACAGGCCATTGTTCTAAATCAGTCATTCCTGTCCGCCTGTCTGTCCGTCCCTGGCGATCAGATATCACCCCTCGTACGCTCTCGTCATCGCGCCCCGTGACCCCCTATCCAGCCCTGCCACGCGCCCATCTTTGTTGCTGGTCACCAGAAGCTTCCGCCCACGTCGTGGTTGACCTGCGAAGGTTCCGGGCCCGTGTCCAGAGCAGGAAACTGCTCTAGGTCTTGAAGCCTATTCGGATGCCTGGTTCGTCTCCCCTCGGGCCCTCCTCACCCGTCATCCACCAACTCTTCGTCCACTCTGCAGCCTTCCGAGCACCGTGGGCGGAGCTGATACCATGAAAGGCGCAAAGAAGGACAAGAAAAATGGAAAGGATAGCGGCGGGGGAGTCGTTGCCGCGGTCACCAAGCACGCCGCAGGCAAGTTCACGTTAGTGTAGCCCCTCCACTCGCGGGCCCATCTCTGGAACGCGCCCTGTCGAACGTCTCCCTGTGCTTCCTGCTAACGTATTGCAAGTGGTGACAGTGCCAACAAGGACAAGGAGCCTACTTCAGACTCCTCCTCATCCCCGGTCCAGTCCCCAGACCTGAAACCTGCCAGCATACCTTCGAGTGGGAACACTGCACCTTCGCCGCTTCTGGATGCCGTCTCCGCCACGTCGTACGCGACAAACACCACAAGGAGCACGAACGAATGGACAAAAGGGGTGTCGGGCCTGGCAGGCTCACCGGGGAACCTGATAAACCTCATGGGAGAATCACCGCCCACTGCGCCGTCTTCCTACGAAGATACACGTGGATGGGCTTCACCCCGTCCGATTTACAACGGCCAGCCCGTATCTGCCTCGCCTCCAGTTCAAGGTAGGCGGCCGCTCAGTTTTCAAATGGATCAGCATTATGCGCCATCAGAGGCGTACGCCCCATCGGTTGCCTCATACAGACGAAGCTCGATGCACTCTCAGACCGCCTACGCGCGGGGCGCTAACAACCCGCCGCTTCCACACCAGCATCAAGCCCACTTCTACGGTACCCCGGATATTGACCTGGAGTTCGGGCAAGCAGCTGGCATGAAGGCTGGTGAAAGGGGCTATGCCTTCAGTTTCGATACATTACCGAGACTTCAGGGCACCACTGCTCGGGGCAAAGACACAGTCGTGCTAACAGGCTATGAAGGGGGCCTCGAAGTACATTCGGCCACGAAGAATAGCGTCGACCCTGTTGCCAGCCTGAAAGGGCTGCGAGGAGGTGTGTTCTTCGCCAAAATCCTGCCCTGGACTCTGGCCGGCGAGGCATCTGATCCGAGCCCTCTCGTTGCTGTCGTTGTCCATGGGCCTGTGTTACCGTACACCACCCCCGAAGTCAAAGTTGATGGCAACTATGCCAGTGGACAAGAACGGTCCGGGGCAGCGTCGCCTGCAGGGACCGACTTGGGCCAAAAAGAAGGCTTGGGCATGAGGACGCCTTCCGTCGACTTCTATCAAACCAGCGTGGACGTCTACTCTTTAAAGGATAGCAGACGTGTAGCGACTCTGCTCGAGGGCCCTAGGATCCCTCTCAAAGTGCCCATCACGAGTCCCATTTTCCAGGCACCACTTCCCAGCGGATCACTTCGGATTCTTGCTGATAGTGGGAACATCGTGATCGCTTCAGGGCAGACTGGTGAAAGCTGGATCTACCGTCAAGCGAGCATTCCTCACGAACCAGGCATTGAGTTCAGATGCGTGGGCAAATTGTGGACCACAATACAACAACCTCTGGTAGACCCGACACAAGAGACTGAGCGATTGCGGGCGAACGTCCAACGTCAAGCGCCGAGGGCTCCCATCATTGCCCTGAAGGGAAGATGGATCGCCTACTGCCCAGCTGCTCCGTCGTCGCAGGTGTCGCTACGAGCAACTGTACCAGTGCCAGTGCAAGGAAAGGCACCAGGGCTTCTGTCGTTGACACCACCTCAGCTGCCCAGTGTCGTTTCGGATGTCGACCTGCCAGCTGGAGACAGCATCATGAATAAACTGATGCGTGAGACCACGCAGGAGGTGATACAGGGTGCGAAGTGGATTGGCGAGCGAGGACTGCAAGCTTTCAGCAACTACTGGAGTAAATCCGCAACGCCGTCCCAGCAGCCCCGCTCGCCACCTGGGGGGCAGACTTGGAATCCGCCGTACGCTCGAGCAGATCCACCCCAGTTCCCGCCGACTCACGGCTCTACAGCTCCAGCAGTCACAAAAGAGCCTGGCCTCGTGTCTATTGTAGTTGAGACATCGCTGGTCTCGTCTTCAATACACCCAGCCACAACATTCGCCACATCAGGCTGCAGTTACTTGTCATTTGCTCCCAATGGGCTCTCGCTATTCACGGCGAGCCCAAAGGGTGATGTCCAGATTGTATGGGATTTGCTACGCATCCAGCACACGAAATCTTCCCCGCTGCATACCGCGGCTGGACAAAGCTTCTCGAGTGGGCCTCGAGTTCGACAAATTGCTCGATTCTCGAGAATGACTGTGGCTCGCATCGTTGACGTGTCATGGATGAAACCTTGCGGCGACTGCATAGCCATGGTCACAGAAAGGGGCACAGTTCATATTCTGGAAATGCCAGAAAGTGCCTTTGTTTGGCCCCCTCCACGCCGGAGGATCCCCTTGCAGGAGACAACTGCGAACGTCTCTGAGGGTGGCAGTTCTGCCGTGTCTATTGCTACCGGAGCGTTCAACTCCGCTTGGGACGCTGCTCGCCCGCTCATCGACCGATCTCGCCGCAGCAGCTCGAACGCGCCTCAAACGACCGGCTCAAAAATCGTTGGGCATGCCAACTACGGCGGGAAGATAATCGCTGCCGGTATCAGCCACTCGCTTGGAAAGACCGGAAGCGCTATCAATCAATTCCGCCACAGTGGTGACAACCGCATATCACTTCCGCTGGGCTCAAACGCACCGGGCCCTTCATGTGTCATACTAGTTGCGAATGGTAAGGACCACTCGCTGTTCGTTCTTGGGGACGGGTTGGTGCGGACTTTCCCACAGCGGCCGCGTAAGGTGCGGACTGCCGATGGAAGGCAGAATGCTACTCGCTTCAGACGATACAAAGACTTCAAGCTCCCGACGCTCCCTGACGATCTTATCTGTCCTATTGTGAAGCGCTTGATCGATCCTGACGAGTATCTGGACCTGATGGACAGGGACGTTGATGCTGTTAACAACACGATGGTACTCAATGCTCGTCCCAAGGTACCGCGACGGAATGCCAGCGCAGAATCATCGATACCACAGGCAGAGATTGAGTCCTCTGCACCCTACCAGCCCTTCCACACCGACAAGCGTGTGGCACTTTACGAGTACACCGCCGAGCAGGGAGCGAGCGCGGTCTCGTCGCAACTACCCACGGCTTCGGTTCTACTCGCTGACACTAACCAGGACAGCAAAACAGGCCGTACTCCACCCCGCCGCAAGCAGAAGTCCACCGTTGCGAAGGAGTCTGCGACCAACCCAGGAGGGGCGTGGGCCTTTGGACAGGCTATTACTGCGAATAGGATCGATAGTGGCCGCCGCCACAGTGGAGATGAGGGAGCGTTCACCATGTCGACAGACGATGTGCGTGCGTTGCCCCAGTCGGCTATGGAACGGTCTGTGATGCGCCAGCAACGTGTCGACGATGAGGAACAGATCGTGATAACCACCAGGCGCCGAAGAGGCGGGGGCCGCCACGGAGACCTCGAAGACGAGGACGGATTCTTCGAGGATGACTGCGAGGTTCTTGACTTTGCAGACCAGAGGGTCTGAAAACGGCCCCGGCCCTTGTCTGATGCGACTCGCCCGAGGTTGGCCAACTCTAAGCCCCAATACATATGTGAAGGGGTTTTTGTTTGTTCATTAGGAGCCTGGGAGCAATGAGACGTTGCCCCTGTCGCTCTGTGAATCCGAAGCTTACTTTTGAGCTTATTGTTTCTTCTGCTTGATCGCGGTAGTTCTGGGTTAGGTTGGGCTCTTCGGGACACGGCACATATCAGGTAGATAGAGAGACATCGCCACTTGGCAGATCACCCAAATCAGTAAAATCAAAAAAAGACCTTTGCGCAATTTCATGCGTTTAGATCATTACATTTGCAAGGCTTCCTGATATTATATGTATGTGCTGTTCACTATGGTAGTGGTCGAGGCAGGCTTTCTTGGTTGCATGCCTCAGACTGCAAGACGACATTCACCGTCGAAATCCTGCGGTGACACGAGTCCGTAGTTCTTGGTCCGCGCCGTTGCGGAGTCCATTCAAATTCTTGAAACTCTCGCGTCGGATGTCCCGACAAGGCAGATAGATCCTCCTCTGGCAGATGCTCTCCAATAGACGGCGCCCCGCTCCTCTCCAGTCCACTGTCCGCTCGGCGCGCAGGCAGTCCAGGTAGCCGCCGCCGGGTGGGGTGTGTGTCCAGCCAGACAGACCCGGGGTTCTTCTCTTTCTCTTACGTCTTCTTCTTCGCGGCGGCGGCCTTGGCCTTGGCGGCCTTCTTCTTGTTGCTCCGGATCATGACGACGCCGAGGAAGGAGCCGACGACGGCGGAGGCGAGGAGGATGAGGATGACGGGGGATACGGACGGCCCAGACGCGAGGGGGAAAGAAGTTCTGGAGGGGGTGGTCCGAGTCGACGAAGGGCTGGCGGGTGGCCGTGTTAGTGACGCGCTGCTGCTCGAGACTTTCAGAGTCCCGGGGGTGCAATTGTTTGATTTACCATGAACAAGGTCCAGAAGGTGTAGTAGAGGAAGACGACCGTGGCGGCCACGAGCATGGCGATGCCCACGAGTTTGTCAAGCTGCGCACGTGGGAGAGAGGGCGACGGGTTAGCACATGCCAGCGGACCTGGGGAGCGCATATCTGATGGGACCAACCATTGTAGAAGACCTAAAGAGCCCGTAGGGTTGGAATAGAATACTGGATTGGTGAAGGAGCGTGAAGAAAGGGAATGTCGACGCTTGAAAGCACGGCCTTCCTCACGGTGGGTGGGAAGCAAGTAGGCCTAAATAGGGAGGTGAGCTGCTCCGGGTTGGGTTGCTCCAAGTAAGTTGCATGCAGGAGCTCTAGCCCCCTGTCCAGCCTGGCCATGTCTGTCCGTCCAGCGCCTCGAGGTGTGCAGCTCCGCGCGCACGGACCAGTCCGTTGCCCCCAGAAATTTGTTACTGCTCCCAAAGTTTACTGTTTGTTAGACAGACAGACCAGCCGCCTCCAGAACTTCACACAAGCACCACTATTTTCACCGCAGCCCATCTCCTCCCTGTTGTCGCCTCGCCAGCACCACGCAGCGTCCATTCCCGAACGCTTGCAGCGCGAATCGTCATTTGGTGGTTTTCGATTGCGAAGTCTACAGAAGGGCGTCTGCAAAAGGTCCAGCTCTCATCGAGAGAGCAGAGGACGGCTCGTTGCTGCCTTGCCATGGCAACCGAAACAGCATCGGTCGTGAGCGACCGCCACCTCGACGAGCGCTCTCCCAACCGCGTACCTCGATCGCCGCCGCGAAGGCGCTACGAAGACGACGGAAACGACGACAGGGACGACGACAGAGAACGAGGCCGGGATCGCGACCATGACCAGCCGCGGCGCAAGGGCGGCGACAGCTACCGGCCGGACCGGCCCAACAGGGGGCGGGAGCTCCCCAGGCGCGAGCGCACGCCGCCGCCCGTCCCGACCGAGGAGCAGAAGCAGGCCGCCGCGAAGGCCGAGTACGACCGCCTGATCAACGCGCGCTCGGGGGGAACCTACATCCCGCCCGCGAGGCTGCGCGCCCTCCAGGCCCAGATCACGGACAAGACGACCAAGGAGTGGCAGCGCATGGCGTGGGAGGCGCTCAAGAAGTCCATCAACGGCCTGATCAACAAGGCCAACAGCCCAAATCTGAAGCTCATCGTGCCGGAGCTGTTCAACGAGAACCTGGTCCGCGGCAGGGGCCTGTTCTGCCAGAGCATCATGAAGGCCCAGGCGGCGTCCCTCCCCTTCACGCCCATCTACGCGGCCATGGTCGCCATCGTGAACACAAAGCTGCCCGCGGTGGGCGAGCTCCTGGTCAAGAGGCTGGTGCTGCGGTTCCGCAAGGCGTTTCGCAGGAACGACAAGGCGGTTTGCCTGTCGACCACGGCGTTTCTGGCACACCTCACCAACTTCCAGGTCGTGTCCGAAAACTTGGTTGCGCAGATCCTCATTCTTTTGCTGCATAAGCCGTCCGATGACAGTGTGGAGATTGCGGTCAACCTGACGAGGGAGGTCGGCCAGTTCCTGGAGGAGATGAATGCCTCCATTGCCAGGGTTCTCTTTGATCAGTTCCGCAACATCCTGCACGATAGTGCCATTGAGAAGCGGGTGCAATACCAGATCGAGGTTCTGTTCCAACAGAGGAAGGACAAGTTCAAGGACAATCCGTCTGTCAAGGAGGAACTCGACTTGGTTGAAGAAGAGGACCAGATCACTCACAATATCGAACTGCACGGAGAGCTCGACGGTCAGGACAGTCTCAACATTTTCAAATACGACCCTGAATATGAGCAGAACGAGGAGGAATACAAGAAGCTCAAGGCTGAGATTCTGGGCGAAGGTAGCGATGACGAGGATGACAGTGATGATGAGGACGAGTCGTCAGAAAGCGAAGACGAGGAGCAGAAGGCTGTCGAGATCAATGACCAGAGCAATGCGGACCTGGTCAACTTGCGAAGGACGATCTACTTGACCCTGATGTCCTCTGCAGACTACGAGGAGTCGGTTCACAAACTCCTCCGGATCCAGATACCCATGGGCTTGGAGAAGGAAATCCCGGAGATGGTGGTCGAATGCTGCAGTCAGGAGAAAACGTACACGAAGTTCTACGGTGGCATCGGGGAACGACTGGCCAAGATCAACAGGATGTGGAATGATCTGTTCGAGGCGGCTTTTGCCGACTACTACGAGAAGATCCACCGATACGACAGCAACAAGCTCCGGAATATTGCCAGGCTCTTTGGGCACATGTTCGGCTCGGATGCTATCGGCTGGCATTGCTTGTCAATCATCCACCTGAACGAGGAGGAGACGACCTCAGCATCTCGTATCTTCATCAAGATTCTGTTTCAGGAGATTTCGGAGGAGATCGGCCTGAAGAAGTTGCAAGCTCGTTGCAGAGACCCGCTCCTCCAGCCCAGCCTCGAAGGCATCTTCCCACGGGGCGACGAACGGCGAAATATCCGTTTCTCCATCAACTACTTCACTTCGATTGGAATGGGTGCCCTCACGGAGGGCATGCGAGAGTATCTCCAGAGCCTGCCGCCGCCTGCCCTTCCCGCGCCGGCCAAAGCAGACGAGTCGGACTCGGACTCAGCTTCCAGCTACTCTTCTTACACTGGCTCCTCTTACTCTCGCTCTCGCTCCCGCTCGCGCGCGCCTCCCCGGCGGGCCATCGACCGTCGCCGCTCGTACTCTCGAAGTGTGACCCCACCTCGTCGCAATCCCAGAGAGAGGTCGTACAGCCGAGACCGCAGCCTGACCCGGTCCATCTCAACCAGCCGCTCCCGGTCACCGCCTCCTCGCCGAGATGCTCGGGACGGAGGCCGTGGCCGCTCCGTCACCCGCTCCCCGCCACCAAGACGTGCACCTGCTAGGGGCCGCTCGCCCAGCCGTTCCTCGAGGTCCTTCTCATCAGGGAGCTCGCGCTCCCCGCCGCCACGTCGGGCCGCCCGGCGGTCCATGTCTGACTCTCGCTCTCCTCCGCGTCGAGCGGCACAGCGCTCGCTGTCCAGGTCGGCATCGCCACCACCAGCGCGGCGGCCGGCAAACCGCTCGCTGCCGAGATCACGGTCCCCGCCACCGCCGAGCCGTGCGCCCGCACGGTCCATCTCCCGGTCACCCACGCCACCTCCGAGACGCCGCCCAGCACCCAGGTCAGCCTCGCTGTCGCGGTCGCGGTCCCCGCCTCACGCACGACGCGGCGCAGACAGCTACCGCGGTCGGTCTTACAGCAGAAGCCTGTCCCGGACTCGGTCTCCGCCACGGAGGGAAGGAGGAAGAGGAGGAGCTGCAGCGCGCCAGGCCCGGTCGCCGTCGAGATCGGCATCACCACCACGCCGCCGGGCCCGGAGGAACAGCTCGTCCGACGTGAGCGCTGCCGCGCCGAGGGGCGAGCGGAGGAGGCGGAACAGCAGCTCGAGCGTGGAGAGCGGGCCAAGGAAGAAGTACCGCAGGAGTGGCTAAGGGACAGTATGCGCAACAGAAAGCATGGGGCGAGATTCTAATCAGGACTCTGGGCTGGCGAACCAAACGCCAGGGATGCAGTCGATGGGTTGTACGGAGGGAACTAGGGACCACAGCGAACCCTATCGGCCATCAGAAAGGCCGGGTGGTGTCAAAGGGTGGGGGCAATAGACTGAAACTACAGTGAACAGGTTGGTAGGCAAGCCTTAATTGCTTGGAATCTATATTCTGGCTCTCCGCCCCCCCCCCCTTACTGTGCTGTGCGTGCATTTCGTTCCTGCGGAACTCTTGACGAGTGCCAATCAGGGACTTTGCCTCTTTGCCTCTTTGCCCACGTATGGACTATATGGACTATAGACTATTTTAAAAGTGTATTGCGTAAACGTCAGTCTACTAAGCTGGATGACAATCTTGGTGCGCATTGAGGGATTTCTTTGCCTACGTATATGATCATTCTAAAGATTTGCGTGTGCAACCATCATTATCAGTAATCCTGATGTCATGGCTTTGAGGGAAGGGTAGGATGGAGGCAAGGGGGCCGGCCAGCAAGGTGGTGTGTGTCGCTGGGAGCTCGGGCAGAGTCTTCCAAGGCTGCTATATCGTCGGCAACGGTCATACACCAGGAGACAAGAGACGTCTCCGTCCAGATCAAGTTGCTCTCTTTCTAGAATCGATTGAGCCAGAGTGAACTAGATAGATAGATAGATACACATCAACGAGGTTAGGGGCTTTGCTGCCCCGTCAAAGCTCTTTAGCGGTGCGCTTGTTGCACGCAACGCGGAAAAATGGCGATTGACTTGTCAGGGACTACCATAGACCTCAGGAGTAGTGTGTATTTTGTTTTCTGTTTCTTTTTGGAACAGGTGGTGGTTTTGAACCGGCATCGACTTCGTCTCCGGAGGCCGGACGAGGCATTGTCTCACAGACCTCCGCGTTCGATGTCGCCCTGTAATACCGATTTGCACCCGATTTAGGAAATTTTTATTTCATGGTTTCCAAGATACTCCGAGTCCTTCCCACAACATGGTCAGGCCCTCATGTTTCTGCTGGACCATATAGTAATTTCTGCTTTTTTTCTTTTCTTTTCAACTTGATGCTGAGCCTCCGGCCTTAATTCCCCTCAAGCGCCTTTGTTCCATTAGGTGTTGTTGCATACCAGATATCTAGCCCCTTCCTCACTGAAATGTGTCTGTGGTATCATGTCCGGTTCCTCGTATATCACTCCAAAGAAGATGCCGCTGTAAATCAGTTGTAGATGCGAAGGCCAGTAAATAGGCATATTTACTCGCGCAAAGGCCCATCGGAGCCTGCCATTATGACGTCGTTTGGTTTTGAAGAGGCCGTCCAGTCCATTGAATCCGCGGTAGAACTGCCGTCCACTCCATTTGGTGCGGCACCGTCCACTCCATTTGGTGCGGCACCGTCGACTCCAGATGTTGCGGCACCGTCCGGTCCACTCAGCGCAATTTCGTCCCTACATCTCTTGCACATGCACCAGCCCCCAAGACTCCCCTCGGCCCACTCCCGTCTCTTCTGGACGGGCAAGTCGACATCGCAGTAGTGGTTGAGAATCTCTTCGCCGGCCTTGATGCCTCCCGGTTGGTTGCCTACAACCTTGCGTTCCCGTGCCCAGAGCTTCATCCTGCCACCCCATTCCCATGTCACATTCGGGTTGCAGTCGTGGTTCGCCAAGCACCAGAAGGGGTGTACGGCTGCGACTTCGGGCCGTCCGTCGCGGGTGTTGTGTCTTGCCGACGCTGTACCTCGGAATTTTGCGAAGCAGGTGTTCAGAACCCACAGGTCGTGCTGGGGAAGAGTTTGGTAGATGTCAATGTCCATCTTCTCGAGAATGTGCAGTGGCGTTTCGACGTTGTATCTGAAAGAGAAAGGCAGGGTCCAGTCCGGCGGGGGTCCGGCGTTGGGCGAGATGGAGATTGCGTTGGTGCGAGGCGGGATGAAGTCGCCCCATATATATCTGATGTTCTTTAGCTCTAGCGGGTGAACTTCCTGTTGTACTGACATGGCGAGAAGCCGGGCCAGAAGCAGCAGGTGCAGTGCAGAGTCGGATTCTGCAGCATCAGGGTCCTTGGCGATGGCATCGACGTCCTTCTCGCAGACAGCCGGGTGGTAGAGTTCCTGGGCCTGGTCGTGGCAGAATTGGTCGCAGAAGACTGTATCGTAGCACTCGGAGCAGCTGACAGGCCCGACTTCAGCGCCCAAGGGAGGAAGCTCAGTGCCACAAGCGTCACACAGCTGATCCTTCAGCCTGTTGTTGGCCGTCAAGAGCGAGTACTCGTTGAGTACTGTTTCTCCGGGAGCGATGTCCTCCTTTGCAAACACGCCCAGTTGGTTGCATGTGGGGATGATCTCATAGTCGTCTGTATTGCTTGCGGCGTCAAGCAGCACGGGGAGCTCAGAGACCCGAACCTCGCATCTTGGTGCCATGGTTGAGAGCTCCCGGTTCAGGAACGACAGAGACTTCTCAGAGAAGCGGTCTGGCTCGTAGGTGTTCCAGGGGTAGACCTCCCTCCGCACGTGGCCCCATTCGGGTAGTTTGGCCACGTCGACGTCTTGAGTCTGAAGTCTGCGGCGGGCGACAGTCAAGATGTAGTTTTGGTGTTGAGTAGTTCCTGGTTGTTCGGCGATGCTGCGAGACCGCGCTCACAGTAAGTGTGGGCACTGCTCAGACAGCCACAGAGCAGCAGGCTGAGGGAGATGATCTGATAGCATCGGACGGATGCTACGGCGGCAATTTCCTGGTGGAACTCTGGGCCTTGGGGGCCATAGCCGTTGACCATGTCGCCGGATCCCTGGCGGAGGGCGCCATGGTGGAGGACCTCGGGCAGGGATTTGGAAGAGGATGAGTACGACTCGAGAGCTTGGACAGCCTGGTCATGGTACTCGAAGCCCTCGTTGCGGGCCTCGTCGGTCAGGAGCAGGGCGCGATAGGCATCGCCAGCGGCAAGGTCGGGATAGCCAAGGTTTGAGTAGACGACGGCGCGTTGAAGATAGCGGATCAGGTCATAGGGCGACTCGGCCAGGAGGTCGGTGAGCTGCTCGCGGCGGTCCAGGAGAACGGAATACTCGGCGTCGTCCTCGGAAGTGTACGAGTTTGTGGTGTCGTCAGATTCCATGGTGGGGGGAGTTCGCTGGGGTGTTGGAAGGGCCAGAGCTTGTCCAGACAGCTCGCATCGCGTCCTCAGCAGGCGGGCGGGAGCAACATGAGCCGGGACTGTCGAGGTCCGGAGGCGGTGTTCAGTCCAGCAGGCGAGAGGACTATGTTTGGGTTTTAGATGTTATGGTGGGTGGCGAGTGAGCTGAGTTGAGTTGGCGTGGGCCGGTTACGCCTTCCTGAACAGGGGCAGAGGTTGAGTGCAGGGTGTGGGCACACAGGTACTCCAAGTCTGGAAATAGACGTCAGTGCGAGCGAGGCTGGCGAGGTGCAAAACAAGGCCGCAATGAGGTTGTATTGTACCCTCCGACTGACTGGATGGGTGGTGAAGGAGTGGGTGGGTAGGTAGGCAGGTAGGTTCTTGACCAAGTGCAGGGCCTGGCAGGGCCTGGCAGGGCCTGGCAGGGCCTGGCAGGGCAGGGCAGGGTAGGGTGGGGCGGGGTGGGATGGGTGGGGATGGGTTGGACGTGCTTGGGTTGGTGTGGCGGGATGTGGATATGGGTGTGGATTGTGGGTTGTGGGATGCGTGGTAGGGGCCCCAGGTGGGAGGGATATGGGAAAGAAAATTCGGGCTGGCGGCACCCACGAGGCGAGCGAGCAGTGCTACGGTTGCGTTGGCCAGCGCGGCACCTGAGTAAGTTTATAGTAAATCAACAAGTGTTCGTGACGGTGGCAAAAAAGAAAAGTCAAGTCAAGTCAAGTCAAGTCAAGTCAAGTCAAGTCAAGCCAAGTCAAGTCAAGTCTGGGGAGGAGACGGGGGCCAGGAGCACTCGGCATCGGGGTCGAGGCGACCAAGCGGCGCTGCTGATTTAATACTGTTCAACAGGTCCCTGCCGGATTTAGATTTTCGAGTGGGTTGCAGGACCGCCAGCTGGGAAGGAGGGAGCCCCTGGCAGCCCTGGCTGGCCTACGAGACCAGACGACACGACGAGACGGTTTGACTCCTCGTCAGCAGGCACAATGTACTATGTAACTGATGTTGGGCGCTCGTGCTCGTAACTGGTGCCGGGTGCTGCCCGCCCAGGCACACACAGTCTGGTCACGTACTGTATTGTTCCCATGTGTGGGCCGAGTGTCCTACCCGGGAAGTCTACCTAGGTACCTGTGCAGGCAGGTAGCATCTAGGCAGGTTAGGTAGGTGGTTCTGGCTCGTACATATGTTGTGAGACGGGACGGGCGCAGGGCCACCCCCACTAATTGCTAATCCTCAATGGGCCCGTAAAAGGCACGAGGGCACTCTGGCGATGAGGCTACCCGGTGCAGAGAGTCGCCATCGGGGGATTCCAAAGGGACTGGCGCGAAAAAAGATGAGACAGATTGATTGCTGAGCACACTACACTACACTACACCACACGTGCGCGCGCATATAGAGAGAGGGAGAGGGAGAACAGGCGACAGGGAGAGGAGCACTCAATTCCAAGGTTGTTGTCTCGACGGGGGAATCAGTCCCTGCAACTCGATGATATTGGTCGGGCACGGCATGGGGGAAGCGTCAACCAGGCGTCACCCTGCATGGTGCCGACGTCTTGCTCGCAGCTCCCATCCTTGGCCCCCGTCTCTCCGCCGCTCCTTCTCTCTGCTAACTACTATGTCTTTGTCGTCTCGTCATCCGATTTCCCCATCCTCCTCCCGCCTGTCATCTCGCATATCCCATCTCCCGTTTCCCATCTCTTGGGCCACAACACCATGCGGCCTGCAGTCTTCTCGTGCACCCCGATGTAGACTACATCATACATAGACGCACACATATGCACCCCGTTCCCGTCCCATGCCACCTTGGCCGTTGTGCATGAACGTGGTAGCATGGTGTCCTTGTGTTTGAGGTGGCCGGCCTCTCTAGCCTGGCTGATCAGCACTGTCACTTTTCCACCCGCACCTGCCCGCTCCAACGAGGCTCGTGGGATCGCGAGGTGGTCTCAGCCGCTAGTCCCTGGGCCAGAACGATCTGGCCCCCCCCCCGCGTTTACCAGGCCGGAGGAAACGACGTTCCATTCCAACCCCCCCTGGCAACTGGCAACTCGCCTGCGCGCCAGAGCAAGAAGCCATACCCGGCATCGCGACTGCCCGGACTGCCTGGCTGGAATATTAGCCGCATGTTGACCGGGGGGTTGCAGTCCACGAGGCGCGCTCCGTCTGTCCGTGTGCGGTGTGGCATGATCAGCTTTCCCTGCTCACGCATCCGCGCCGGCACCGACCTCATGCGCCGGCTGGATTGGCTGGTTTGGGCTGGCTGGTCACCCAAATACTCAATCACTCACATCACACTCAGACAGCCAGTGCGACAATTAGTCAGACAACCAGTCTGTCACTCTCACAGGCTGGCGCCAAGTCACAACCCCGCCAGTTTCGCATGGACCCTGGGACAAGGAAACTTCCAATTGGGGGACCCTGGATTCGGGACAAAGTTTAGGGGTCCTCTTTCCAAGGTTCTGTTGATCCCAGCGTGCAACCAACACACCTTGGTTGCCGACCCGGTCGCTCAGGGCTCCTCAACGCGATGCCCAGCTGTTGTAGCGATGGCTGCTGCTGCTGCTGCTGCTGCTGCTGCTGCTGCTGCTGTTGTCGTTGTCGTTGCTGTGTGACCGACTGTCCGTCCATCTTGCTGCGGGCGCCTGCTTCAGGCTGCACCAGATCACGATCCACGGAGCCAGACTCACCCAGCATCGTTGTTTGTCGGGCTCATCGGGCATCGCTATTGTTTCGCGACGCCGGGGCATGCAGCCAGTTCGGTCACATGTCATGTCATATCATGGGTATGGCGTGGTATCGCAAGGCGGAGACGTTGCCAGTCGACAGTGCCGCCAGAATGTACGGGACTGTACGGAACTGTACAGGACTGTATCGACTGTACAGGATATGATATGCAGCTTCCTGTCTCCTGTCGCTGTCTCTGTCCTGCTTGGCGAGACCAGGAGCCCCTGCATCTGCAAACTCCACACTTCATCATCGGCACCCAGCGAACCCCTCGGGCGCACGCCTTGGAAAACTTTATCACTCAGGGTCCAGCTATGACGTCGTTGTGGAATGCCCACCGGCCAGGACCACATGCCGACCTTGTGCTACACACATTGCTTTTTTGTATGTACGCATCACACGCACCGATCACCGCCAGCGTCATTCGCGCTCGGGACTTGGATGTTCGGATGAGTCAATGCAATGCGATGCATTGCAGGTCAGGGCAGGGCATGGCGACGATGGGAACAAATCATGAATATGAACGAAACAAGGACGAAGAGAAACTGTGAAGCGAAGGTTACCGTGGCCGGCCTGTCTGCACCGGAATCTCGAGAATATCTCGCCACGGCGGTCCTCAGTGCCGACTTCTCGGGGGCGGACGCACAAACCTATGCGCGCCTACGGATCCGCTCCATGCCTTGATGCCCGACAATGTGGGGTGCCTGCCATGCAGAGGCGCACAACTCAAAATTGGGTGATGCAGTGATGGCTGATATCTCTCTCTTTCTCTCCCTGTGTGTAAGCTCTGAACCCTTCCAGGCTCGGGAATCCCGCCCTGCAATGTGCACCTGACTCTCAAGGGTCACCCCGTCTCAGGCGATGCGAACAGCTCAGGAATCTCCAAGGTTTGGTGATTGACAGGGCAGTTGCAGGTGGCGTCCACGGGAACCGGATACCGTATTGCCACTGCTCTGGGGTTACCAACGTGCCCGTCGCGGCGTCGCGGGAGTCGCGGAGGCCCCTCCCCCTGCTCCTAGAGGCCTCCCTGGGCCAGATCACTCAGCTTGTCCACGTAGTAGGCCGGCACGGCCACCGCGCCCTCTGCCTCCCAGTCCGCCTTCTTGCTCACGCCCGTGAGCACCGCCAGCGTCCCGCCGAGTTTTCCCTCGATGCCGAACCTGATGTCCGTGTCCAGCCGGTCCCCGATCATGCACGTCCTGGCCCGGTCCAAGTGGAATTTGCCCTCCACCGCGTCCATCATCGCCTGGCTCGGCTTGCCCAACGCCAGCGGCTGCTGCTTGGTCATGTTGCTCAGGGGCACGAGCACGGAGCCGGCGCCGGGGAAGAAGCTGTGGTTCATGGGCAGAGTGCTGTCCGTGTTGGTGGCCAGGAACCGCGCCCCGCGCGCGATGTACTGGTACGCCGTGGCCAGCTTGAGGTAGTTGACGTGGAAGTCCAGCCCGGCCAGCACGACGCCCACATACGGGTCCAGCAGTGACCCGTCGGCCAGCCCCGCGAAGTCGGCCTCGGTGATGTCGCGCCGGAACGCCGGGTCCGTGCCGCCCACGAAGGCGACGCCCTCGGACCGCAGCTCCGTCTCGATGCCCGCCTCGCCCAGCACGAACACCTTGTTCCGCGGCGCCGGCAGTGCCAGGATGCGGCTGACGTAGATGGCGGCCGAGTAGGCCGAGCCGAAGACGTCGTCCACGGACCCCGGGATGCCCTTGGACTCGAATTTCTTCAGGTACTCGGCGCGCGACTTTGTCGAGTTGTTCGTCACGAAGACGGTCCGCTTGCCTGTGCGGGGCGTCAGTCTCATGAGGGCCCAGGTGGTAGTGAGGGGCCTGTGAGTCATGATTCAGGTTTGTCAGACCTTTGGATCGCAGCAGCTCTATTGTCTCAGCGATTCCATCGAAGAGGTGATCACCAGACCAGAGGACTCCTGTTCGCGCCCTGTCAGCAACCTCGCCGGTCGAAACACTGGACAATATAGATGCCCACCATCGCAGTCTAGCAGGAAAGTCTGGAGCCATGGTAAGCATGCATGTAAGCCCAGAAATCACGGTCTCCCTCAAGGACTGGAAATGACGCACATCAAATCTGTCGAGAAACTCGCCGATGGCGTTCCCGTTGCCGGTGAGGTACTTGGGTGCTTGAGAGGGAGCCATGTCTAAATGAAGAAATCTAGGTCTACTGTCTAGAAGGAGCGTCGTGTTTTCGGCCGTCTATGAGTTGAGATGTTCTGCGTTGGAACGAGTCGCGGCCGGGCTCACGAATTTCGCCTGTTTGAGGAAGCCGCTAACAATATTGAGTGGTCGTTCGATGGGCTGACAAAAATTGTCCCACGACCAGTGACCAACTTCTGCTCCCCTTCCTCCTTCTCTCATGCGATACGATAACCCACAAAGGAGCAAATATGGTCTCATCGACCGCCTGCACTAACTCATGGGACCAACCAGTCGAGCGACTGTAGCACTTGTAATTTGAAACGCCCTTTGAGGAATCGGCTGCGTACCATCGCAGACCCAAGCAAGTGGTAAACAAGCACGTAGTCTCCCTAGGTAGACAGTCTAATGCACCCTTGGACCCCCACGCCACGCGCAGCCACGGCAAGTACCAACGGCGGTGCTGCTCCCGCGACTTGCAAATGCAACTTCGGCGCAGAGGCCTCGTTGGGTCAGCCACAGCAGGCGTACAGGCACACGAAACTCAAATCAGCCCCCAAGCCTACAGTACTCAAGTTCGAGCCGGACCGGCCCACCGGGAACCGGGGCGAGTTGTGCGACACCGATCCCACTGCCGCGTCGTCAAAGAGCTCGGGCACTATCCGGCGGCCCAAAGAGGGTCGACGGGGCCACCCTGGGGCGCATGATGACGACATTGGCGCCCCGCTGGTGGGCAGAAAAGTTGAGGGCCACGATGGGCCACGGTCACGATACTGCCTGGACTTTTATTCCGCCAGCCTGCGCGGAACTCCGAGGAGATTGATTACTACGTCGCGGAGAGTTGGGATCGGGACTGTCTGGGCCAGGCTCAATGTTTTGTCGGGTCTCCCGCCTGTCCCCGGGTGGCGTTAGCTGGCAACTCGCTGCTCCAGCCTTGTTGCCAGAACCAGTGCACATTTTCGACATCTGACCGGTGTCCCAAGGCCTAGGCCAAAGGAGCAACGCATAGCTCACAAGGTCGGACGAATCAGCCTAGATGGTCAAACACCCTCCTTGTCGTTGGGCTACGGCTTGTATGGATGATCCCCATACCGGCTTACTCATGGTCCATGCCGTCGAGCTTGCGAGCTTGCGAGCCAGCCAGCCAGCCTCCAGGATCGACCACACCACGCCGCCCCGCGGACCCTTGGGGAGACAGGGAGCTCTGAGCTTGTCGACATTGCATGTGAAGAAGACTCCCGATCAAGCATCCACTATCGAGGCCCAGTCCGGCCAGCACAAGCTGGTGGAGATGCCACGGCTGCTTGTCTCATCGAGATTGCAATCCGTACCTTACATGCCAGCAGCCAGAGAAAATAAACTTTCGAGATCTGCCATAATTTTTGCACCGTACCACACACTTACATCAGACTGCCCCTCCGGTGCGCGGCGGGCATTGATCTCGAACCCACCCGCATTCAAAAGTACTACTGCACACGGAGACAGTTGCTGGAAAGGCCTCGAACAGTCATCCTGGGAGACAAGCCCTTCAAAAGGGAGCCAAGAGCGCTTGTGGTGGGTCAATGCAGCACGCCCAACGGTGCCCGTGTCTCAATAGGGCGACGATGGACAGCGAGCCCCTGGGAGTCTCGAGGAGAGGGATCACGCCCGATTTGTGCAAACTTGGGTGCTTGTCTGTGACAGTTTCGGCCTGTGTCCTGCGTCTCGACCATAGCTGCTCTGTATGTACTGTTTGTGGTCTGGTCTGTGACCAGTGGCGAGGCAGACGTTGAGACAAATCTGTCAAAGGCGGAGTAGCCACTTTCGGCCTGCTTGTCAGGGACAGCAATTACCACATTGAAGTGAACTTCTCACCTTCACCTTGACCTTGACCTCAACGGCGGACCAACCAGGAACCAGGATTTGATGTTTGCATAGCGCCCTGGCGGTAACCCGAGCCGAAGTCCTTCTGACCTGTCGACTTTAGAACTGGCGGCGAACATTTGAAGTCGACTCCCGGCCATTGTGGCTTGCAGGAGAGCTGTCATTTTCCTTTTGGTTGTCTTATCATTTTACCCGCGTTGACTCTTCCTCCTCACTGGAGAAGATCAACACGGAGCAGAGTAGAAATATCGTGGCTGCCTTCCAACTCACGACCGCCTTTCTGCTGCTGTCGTGATCTGGGAGTGCATGCCTGTGTAGATAGAAGCACGGCAGAAGCACAGCAGAAGCAAGCAGAATACCATCGAAAGCTCTTGCTGGCATATCTCGACCCCTACCCACAAGCCTGCCTCCCCCTGCCCCCTGCTCCCCTGCAGCCGCAGCTCTCGCGCGGGTTGCGTTGGCGCCTTATCGATAGCGCAACAGGCTGGAAATTTAGTAGGACGGGTCTTCCCTACCCCTCTGGCCCTCTCTGCCCCTCCACCGACTGGACTTTGACGGAACTCAACTGAACTTGTGCAGCAGCCCAGGTGGAATCAAACGGACGCTCCGCCGTCTGTCGTCACCGTCTTCCCACCGAGGGAAACCTTTCCCCAGTCCACTGTTTGCTCTATCGTGATCCACAACCACAGCCCAAGGAAACGACACATCCTCACAGCCGAGCTCCCCACAGCTTGTCTTCTCGTGCACACTCGCACAACGTCTCATCTTCGCACGGCCAAATCGCGCAACGGGCCCCCCCACGGCCAAATCCATCATCGCGCAACCCTTCGGTCTGATACAGCACACCCAGCCTCCAGCCCCCCAAGACGGTTCACCGGACAGCTTGACATCTTTCTTCTCAAGGCCAGATTCACGCCCAAGGAACGCATCAGTCACAATGGGTAACCACGGACAAGCCAACCTCTACCCTTTCCCCGACGTCCCTGCACTCGCCACAGCCCTGCGCACATATGTGATCCAGTGCCAGGCCGCAGGACTCACCCGCCACAACTCCTTCAAGGTTGCCGTATCAGGCGGCTCGCTCCCCAAGACCCTGGCCCAGGCCCTCTTGAGCCCCTCCAGCGGACCCGAGGACACCGTCAAGTGGGACAAGTGGGAGATATTCTTCGCCGACGAGCGCATCGTGCCCCTGGACCATGAGGACTCCAACTACGGCCTGCTGAAGAAGGAGCTGCTGGATAAGATCCCCGCGGACCAGGGCAAGCCCACCGTCCACCCCATCAACACGGATCTGCTGTCCAAGGAGAGCCTCGAGGTCGCCGACGACTACGAGCAGGTCCTCGTCGGCTCCTTCGCCAGCCGCGACAGCGTGCGCCTGCCCATCTTCGACCTGCTGCTGCTCGGCTGCGGGCCCGACGGCCACACCTGCTCGCTGTTCCCCGGCCACGAGCTCCTGCGCGAGACCACCGCCTGGGTCGCCCCCATCGAGGACAGCCCCAAGCCCCCGCCAAAGCGCATCACCCTGACCCTGCCCGTCGTCACCCACGCCGTCCGCGTCGCCTTCGTGGCCACCGGCGGCGGCAAGAAGGGCATCATGAAGCAGATCTTCGAGGACGGCGGCGCCTCCGGCCTGCCCTGCGCCCTGGTCAACGAGCAGACCGGCGACCGGTGCAGCTGGTTTGTCGACGAGCCCGCCGTGGAGGGCGTGTCGTATCCGAAGCGCGGCTTCAACCTCTAGGCGAGGGAGGAGAAGGCATGGGACCGCGCCGTTGCGTTTAATGGCCACGAGAAGAGCCCCCACCCGGCGCGTGCGAGATTCAGGAGCCTGAGTTACGGCTCGGACGGTCTTTGATCCCACGTCTTGGTATGCGGATGAGCCAGAGACCTGGGCGACGTGAGAGTCTTGGGGCTGATTGACACATCTCGCCCTCATTGCTTGGTTGGAAAAAACTTACAAAAGAAAGATCATAGACGGGGGGCAAACGGCTGTTGACGGCGGACTTGTTCGATTCTTCAGGGGGCGCCTTGGCTTATGACGATTTTGCGTGTACGCGCGCGCACGCACTCTCACACTCTCACACTCACACACACACGTCCTTTCCTCCATGCGAACTTACTTTTGCTGGTTTCCTCATTTGTCCTTGCCCAGCCTTTGATATCCCAGATATCCCTCCGCACGCCAGCACACACTCATGAATGAAGGTCATCACGAAGATTACGGATTTTAGATAACGAAGAAGTCGCCCGCGACGGAGAAAAAATACAGACACATGTCCTTCGGTGGGGAAAGCAGCAGTGACGGGGACGGAACATGTCCGCTGACTTTTGCAGCCTTTGGTCCCAATGGGGTGTTGTAGATACAAAAAATGACAGCCATGTGGAATGCGACCTGACATTTGATTCATCGCTCATGTCGTGGTCTGGTCTTCTGATCCACGCGAAGGCGTTGAAATGCAGAAGTGACAGTATGGCGGGTTCGGGGTCCTATATTCATATACCGCACGCGGTATTTGCAGGACGTGTGCTCGCCAGGCCAATATCATCCACATTGTGATCGTCAATCTCGTCTAAAGCAATTACGGATCGGTTATCGCGAGACTCTGCCGCCTAGAGATCAGTGCCTTGCCAATCCTCTGCAATTGTTTCCGGCTTCTCTGACTCACTCAGCCGCCCAGAATACCTGTATAGACAAGCCGGCTTCCCGTCACCCGTCACCAGAGTACAGAATGTCGACCGACGGCTTGCACCCTCGAGTATCGAAATGCTGGACTTCATCTTTGGTCTTCAAATTGAGATCTAAAAAGGACCGTAAATATTCACTTCCAAGGCGATGTCCGGACTCAAGATCCGTCTGCCATGCCCGGATATCAGGCAAACGACGGCACTGAATGAGGACAGCCTCCTCGCCTCCACTGGCCTGTCCACGTGGACCTTTCCAGCGCAGCGCACCATCATGGCTCATTCGCTGTCCAAGTCTGGGTCTGGCCGTTTTATTAGATTTGCGCTGGCGCGGGAACACAAGCTACTTCTCTTGCGCTCCAGTACCTGACAGCCAACGGTCTCCGCTCTGATGGTCGAACGGACTCGGGCGAGAGGAAGGTGGCACAGTCCCGAGTGGGGAATTCAATGGTCATTAATGACGATGCTGCAGCAATCGCAGCTGGTTGGTGAACGTGTCGTTTCATGTTGATATTCTTCTTCCAGCAAGGGTGAATGCAGGTGCCTAGGCCCGAATCCTGCATATATGCCAGGGGCAACATACCGCCCGTCATCCAACCCCCCCCCCCCTCCTGCCCCTCCCAACGGGGTTTATTGAAAGTGAGGGAGGTGCGAGAAAATGTGGTGGAAGCAGTCTCCAGTCTTGATACTTTCAGAAGAGCCAAGACCGCCTCCTATGATGATAAAATATAAAGTTGTTCAGTCCATTTCTATGTTAGCTTTAAAATAAGTTCTATGGTAAATTCGTGCGCCAAATTTCGTCCCCCCAATGTATTGACACGCCTACCGCATATCATGACCTTTTCATACCCCATAAACCTTTCTACTAACCCAATTTCTTCTCCTTGATGAAGAAGGAAGAAACAAACGCAAGGGCCATCGGCAGAGCCTGGAACCCAAACACGGTCATGGTGGCCGTCTGGTAGCAGCGGCGCACAACCTCAGCCGTGCCGGGCGGCAGCTGGGAGATGTAGTCCAGGCTCTCGCGGACGCGGCCCTCGATCTCGCGCGCTTCCTGGCCGCTGCCGAGCTGCGCCGCGAGCTGGGACCTCAGGACCTGCTGCAGGATGGCCGAGGCGACGCTGACGCCGATGGCGGACCCGAGGGACCGGAACAGGTAGCTGCACGCGATGACGACTGCTGCGTCCTCCTTGGCGGCGTTGGAGATGAGTGCCACCAGGCTTGTGGTGATTCCTGCATGGTGAGATTTGATTAGTTACGATGTGCGTATAGATAGGGGGGCCGTAAGTAGATGTAGCAAAAGAGTCACGATGGAAGATGCCATTCATCCAGGGGAGTAGTTACCTGTCCCAGCACCCAGGGCCAGCATCGCCAGCGCGATCGAAGTCCCAGCCTCCGACTTCACCCAGGGCCCGGAGAAGAACACCATGGGCACGATGCTGAGCAGGAGAACGCCCCAGCCCGCGACGTTCATCCAGAAGAAGCGGCCGGTGCGCCGCATCACAAACCCGGAGCCCAGCGACGCGCCGACGCCGAATATGGAGCCCGGCATCAGCAGCAGGCCCGCCTGGACGGCCGAGACCCCGTCGACGGCCTGGTACAGCAGGGGCAGGAAGAACAGGACGGGCATCTGGCCGAGCACACCGAAGAAGTTGCACAGGTAGGCGGCGAAGAGGGAGCGCTCGAAGATGATGTGGCCCGGGGCGAAGGGGTGCGAGGCCACGCGGACCTCGACGGATAGAAAGGCGGCGAAGAGGGCCGGGGAGACGGCGAGCGGCACGATGGTCTGCGTCTTGGACCAGCCCTCGTTGCTGCCGTTGTCGAGGCCCAGGAGGAGGCACAGCACGGCCGAGACGAGGAAGAAGGCGCCGAGGAAGTCGACCCGGGCGAGCTTCTCCCTCCAGTGGGAGTCGTCCCTCTTGGGAAGGTGGAGCACGAGGTAGACTGTGATGAATGCTATCATGACCACGGGCACCTGCCCAACAAAAGACCTGTGGCGGGCCGTGTCAGCTAGTTCTTTCCACTTTACCTTCTCGACTCCCTGCTACCCAGCCAATCTGTCGTCTTCCCCGCTCCATCTGTATCCTTTCCACATCAACAGGCTCCAAGGAATGAATGTGCACTTACCACCGCCACCCCAACGAGTCCGCAAGCAGGCCGCCCAGAGGCGCACCGGTGGCCGTTCCCGCCCCGAATATGATATTCATATACCCCTGCCAGACCCCGCGCTCACGCAGGGGCACGATGTCAGTCAGCAGGATGGAGACAACGGCGTTCATACCGCCGCCACCGATGCCAGCCACGGCCCGCGAGACGATCAGTTGGGTGATGTCCTGGGCCAGGCCGCAGCCCAAGCAGCCCAGGCCAAAGACGACGTAGGAGAAGAGCAGGCATTCCTTTCTGCCGAAGATGTCGGAGAGCTTGCCGTACAGGGGCTGGCAGCTCGTTAATGTCAGGAAGTATCTTGATCATGCGGTCAGTTCAGGTCTGACCTTTGGGGCTGAGGCGCATGGCATGTCGACAGGTGTCATGCTGCAGGGTCAGGACTCACGCCGTGGCTATCCAGCTGGTCGAGTTGAGTGCCTTCAGGTCGCTCCCGATCTTGGCATACTGCAATTCCTCTGGCGTTAGTCTCGTAACGAGGGACCCCAAGACAAAGGAGAAATCAGAGGCCAGACTCGACACCATCCATCAATACCTATGGCTCTTGACACCCAAGGCTCACTGGATGCCCTTTCAACAAGCCACGCACAGTACCCCTCGGGAGGATTCGAGAGAGGCCAAAGAACGGTGCGAAATCGAAGGCTTACTGTCGCCACGGCGAGGAGCTGGTCGAGGGCACACAGGAAGATTCCAATGCCTACAGCGGGCAACAAGATGTGCAGCCTCTTGGCCATCTCCGGGATGCCTTGCCGCGTGGCCTCGCCGCCATCATTTGGCTCACGGCCGCCCTCACCGGCCCCAACGGCCGTGTCCGATGATCCCGGTGTCGGGTGGCCAGCAAGTGTGCCGTTACCTCCTCCAACGGCATGGGCGGTGCCGTCAGCTTCATTGGAACGATCTGGGCGCAGGAGCGGACTCGCTTCCGTCGCCTCACGGTCTTGCCGTCCCTTGTCTACAGCCATTTTCAACGCAGATGAAAATCACGAGTCCAAGCAACTACCTGGCAGTAACGAGGAGCGTGGAGGAACGGCAGCTTCAACAGCTAGTTCGAGCCCAGCGATTTCGTCATCCGGGCTTTGTGCGCGGGAACTTGCCGTGGCCGGCCGATTGCGGGGACGCCTATGGTAGTCTCCGGTCCGGATCGTCCACCCGCTCCTCACACTGCCGGCACCACTGCCGTGCCCATACCTGCCGGTAAACTCGCTCTGCGTCAAAGCTCTGCGGCTCTTGACGAGGCTGCTACTGGTGAGAAGCAGCGGGCTTGACGAGTCCAAGAGAGCCTGCCACTCGCCACATCTGATGTCGGCCGAGATGGGTGGCAGCGTGCATAGATTCGGTTGCGAAAGACGAGGAGCAACTAGTCAGTCGAAGTCATGCTATACAGCACTGAACTGCACTGTGCTTCAACGCGGTCTCATACGCACGCAGGCGATGGTTTCCGCGGGATCTGAGCGTCGGCATACGGAATGTGCAAACACTGCGGCGCTTGGACGGAGATTGTTGCACGCCATGAGGGTTGGGCTGACCATCCATTCCTCTTGCTTGCTGAGAGACGAGCAATACAGCACTGCACGCACTCCTCGGGTGCTGATCTCCTTCTACGCCTGCGGCGGGGTCTCGCGCGCGTCAACACGTCAGCCGACACGAGCGTGCGTCTGACCATGTGGCCTCTGGTCACACATCATATATTCGCTGCAGGCTACCGATCCCTCATCAAAATAGGCACCGCGCGATATCACCGCCCGGTATTTACGTCCTCGGCTGGACGCAGGTACACATCACGTTGCAACGGCCTCCGTCGGGAGGATCTAGATGCTCGCAAGTAATAAGCATGTAATCAACCCACCGGCTTGCCCCCGTAAGTCTCCGCACGGCCAATGAAGCCGTTGGCATTCGTCTCAAATCTCTCTGTGTCTCCTTCTCAGCCCCCCCCCCTTGCATTCCTGCTGCTGCCATCCCACCTTGCTGCAGCTAGCCGACAACACCAGACGAACCCATCCTTGGGAGAATCTTGGCCCTTCCCGCTGGATCACGACAAACTTGAAAAGGTTTGTCTTCGGAAATAGAAAGAGGGGACGAACGGGTCTGCAATTTTATGCCGCTTTATAACAACAAGCTTCATGGAGTTGACCTATTAAACCTGAATTCGGAGCATCTTACTCGGATCACGCATCCGCGGTCCGTCATGGCAGTGTCATTTGCACATGCAACCATGATGGACAGACCTCAGTACTTCTGTGTGCGCCCGCAGGAACCGCAGCAAACACAGAGTCCGAGGGCGAGCACCCCAGGGCCGAGATCCTGCTGTGGGCTGCCTCAGAACCTGGCAGTCCTGAAAAGCTCGCTTCTCGAGGGATGTTCCCGGGCCGTCGACACGGAACGCACCTGAGCTGGGCATGCTTCGGGCAGGCTGGCAGACTGCTGTGCGCAGCGCCACCGGCGTTGGACGCAGACGGACAACGAGGATCTCTCCGACGGGCAGACAGACAGACAGTGCAGGCAAACACACAGACAGGCGCGCTGATGGTGGGCGCCAGGTGTCAATAGACCCAGAATGGTCAGCGCCGTTGACGCCCCGAGAAGGAGCTGCCTTACTTTATTTTCTTCTGACAGGCCCCTGTCGATCTGTTGTGGCTGAGAAGCTGTTTTTCCTTCTTTCCCCCCCCCCTGGATCAGGCACGTTTCTCATCGTGTGACACCAACCTTGTCCTGGAGATTCGATGTCATGCCAGTCGGCAGCCGAGACACACAAACTTGCCAATGTCCTGTGGCACAGCGTCTGCAATAATCCCCGGCTCATCCGCGCAGGCCCTGTGGGAGAAGGATGCTCTGTCCAACCTCCAACCCCCTGGGCAGCCAGTCCAGCCTGCTGTCATCATTTGCAGCCTTTTATCGATAACTCGGCGGGTTACTGGCTGCAGGACAGACGAAGGTCTGTTGCAAGGCGGCCGTGCCGGGATCCCCAAGCTCCTTAGCTCCACAAGAACTAGCGGCTGTTTCAGATATTCAGGGACCATCTCCTCATAGACTTCAGCCCTCGAGGGCACCACTGGGCACCCAGGCACCGAGCTGCACCGGGTTCGCGGTTCGCGAGGCCACAGAGGGCACAGCTGGGACGGGGGGATCGCCAGGGCCCTCTGAAGCGTCACCAGCCCTCCGGCGTCAATGACAGGAGTCCCAAGTCCGGCTCTGGCTGTCTGTCCGCGGCATTCTTCGTCCAAAAATATACTTGCAACACCAGCAGGCGGGTCCTGCTTGCAGTCGTCCGCCCGTCACCAAGGCTACAACGGCAGAAACCTTGTTATCCCCTCGGCATCGCATGCTTGCTCGCTCGCTGGTCGAGACCTGTCGTGCACCACTGGGCAGTTCCGGTCGCCCACACACCCCCCTCCCCTGGCCCTACGCCTCTTTCTCTGTTACGCCGGCTTGAATCACGGGCAATATCTGCGCCCCAGCAAGCATAACGCTGCGTAATAGACAGACCCTGTGCGACGACTTGCCGCGGCCACTGAAAAGCCTTCTCATCCTAAATTGGGTTTCCAACGTCTGCGGGAAAAGGGGCCATTGCGCAGCATATATGATGGAGACCTCATCCCTCACGCCCTCCAAGGCTTGGGCCACCTCGCGTTATACAAAAGCTCTTCCGGACCCCCCACCACCGTCAGCCAGCAATACCAGGCCCGTTGTTGTGTTGCCCGTAAGAAAGGACTCCCTGGCCTCCTCTCGCCCACCACCGCCTCCCAAGGACACCGCCGCGAAAACATCGTCAGCCATGGCCGCGGCAAAGCTGTCGGAGTCGCCACTTCCTCCACTTCCGGGCCTGACAAGGATGAATGGCCCGCCCGTTGTTATAAGGAGGAAGCCGGTGGGTAACGGAACTGGCGGGAACAATGCCCAGAGCCCACCGCATCCACAACCAGCCGTGACAGCCCAAGGTGGCAATGTGTCTCCCGTCGAGTCCCTGTCAAGCATATTTTCAGCCTACGGCACGGAGGACTCTTCGGCCACCCGATACTCAGAGGACACAACAGCCACAGGATATTCCTTGACGGAGCCGTCACCTCCAAACCCAAAGGTCCTGCCCAAGGACACTCTTGGGGGAGGAAACACAAAACTGGACCTGGTGTCGCCCTTATACTTGCCAAATCCAGTTTCTTCGGAGATGAAATCAGGTGCCCCACATGCTCAGCACGGTGCTGGTCTAGATGCGCACACAGACAGTCGTCCTCCTACGCCACCTACAAAGGAAATTCAAAGGCCCATGACTCCCAAAAGCTCCAAGGCCCTTCCCTCTGCCCCATCCGAGCAGGCAAACAAGTCCTCCTCGTCGATGGCTGACCAATCACCCTCACAGCCACAGCTTTGGCGCAGGAGATCTCTAAAATCAGACAAGCCCTTGACTGTCCCCCAGCTCAAACTCACTTCTTCACACGGCTCGACAGCAGCTTCAGCACAAGAAGCCGGGGTCTTACAGCAAGACACTTCTTCTCTTCCAAGGCCTAGGCCCCCCTTTGCCGGATCCGCTTTGGACTTACCCATCTTGAAGGGCTTTCAGTCTTTCCCCGGCCGCAACATCCGACCATCACCCTCAAACAAGACTCTGCCCAGAAATCCACGACCAGAGATCATGGACCACATAAGGCCTCGAGAGGACCAAGACGGCTTTTCTCAATATGCACAGGAGGTTGAAGAGGGCTACAAGGCATCTTCAACCGAGGCTGGCCCAGCCGTGTCGCCACGCATTCAGCGCCCGCCAACCCCGGAGTATGACCACGATGAGTCCCCTGTTGATGGCAACTTCCCAAGTATGAGATCACCGACGTCGCCCGCGTCACCCGTCACCCCTCCGACCGAGGGCAGGCCCCTCAGCATTATCCCAGAAGACATTATTCGTGCTGCGGTCGCACCGGCCCCGGCAGCTCCGCCTCCGTCAGGTCCACTGCCCTCACTGCCGCCAAGAAGCTCGTCGCGAGGCCCACCACCTCCGGGGAGTGCTTCCGGCCGCCTGGGCCTGCCGAGGTCTCCCGCACCCCCAGGCCGGTCTTCGCCAGGCGCTGCCTCTCCTGCTTCTCACCCTCCGGCCGCTGCCTCCCCAGCCGTCGCCTCTTCAACTGTTACCTCTTCAGAAGCGCCTGCTTCCGTCGCGAAAATGGCAGCCTCGCTGTCCCCGAGCCACGTCAAGTCCACCAGCTCCACCTCCATCCCCTCCATCGCCATTAGCGACGACGGCGACGCCTCGACCATCAAGGCATCCAGCTCGCCCCAGCCCGCACCACGGGACGACGAGACCAAGCAGCTTGCCCCGGCCGGCGCCGAGGAAGCCGGCCCCGTCGTGCCTGCTTCGCCCGGCGAGGCCAACTACTTCCCCGCGGCCGAGTACTCGAAGCTCTTCTTCCCGGGGGACGTCATCCCTGCGCCGCCGATCAAGGCGAGCCAACTCGACTGTTTCACGGGCCACGCGCGGTTTGTCGCCAGCAAGAACGAGCAACACCCCGTCGCCTGCATGGCGTGCAAGGTCGAGGACGCCGGCGCGCGGTTCTGCTGCTCGCACTGCACAGTGCGCATCTGCGGCGGCTGCCGGGAGGCGTTGGCTACCAACGGGCGGGACCTGGCGAAGATTATCGCCTGAGAGGACGAATATTCTGACCCTGTCCACGCACCTCATTCTTCTTGTTCGCGCTCGGAAGGCGCGGATACCTCTTCGATGATTTTTTCACGCGGGACGCTGACTCAGTGCCGCCGCGAATTTCTTCAGTTCGAAACTAGACCTTGAAGGTATAAGGGGGCTGCTTTTGTGCGCCAGACGTACAGAACCAGGAGGACGGGAAAGAAAAAGACATTGCATGAGGACGGGTGGCGTTTCTCGATTTCCCCAAGGATACCAAAGACAAGTACTCTTTCTTCTTTTACATCGCTTCTCAGTACCTGCAGGTGCCCACAGACCTGCAGGGCGATGTGAAGTGATCTCTTTTGTAACGCAGGAAATGATTTGGGATAAAGAGGTGTACTACGGAAAGAAACGCCATGGGAAGGGTTCCTGACTAGATTTGATAGCAAGTGAATTGCTAAGGAACGATAGACGGTTCTTGACATCTTTTGGGGTCCTTTTCGAGGCACTCTGTTCTACTGAATGTGATTTGGGGCGAAGAGTCGACATCCCGTCTGTGGGAAAAAAGGTTGCGTGAACAAAGACGATCAAATTGAAGAATTTTTGACCTGTCCTCAAGGCTAGTTTACTTCTCCCTGCTTTTACCACACCGTTCATTCTTATTTCCAATGGCCTTGGAATAGATGTCAATATCTAGCCATCCTGGGCCAGTCGCATGGATGGTTTACCTGCCCAGGTCGCGAAGTTCGCGGTCTCTTGTTTGAAGACCGCATTTCACTAATGCAACACGAATCCACTTTTCTCGCGTTGAATCAATGTCAATACTGAAGCTGTAGGTCAAGGGTATCACTATTTCAGGTAGGCACGTTTGCTGTTCAACTCTGACCAAGCCGCAGCAGCTGTAAAGTAGGCCTGACCTAAAGGGAGGAAGTGTGCCCTGCCGTGGGTTGACATCACCAAGCAGCTTCATGTGCCCCCGGGACAACACGGCATCGCGCTCTAGATGAGGGAGGGCCTGTGTATGCATTCCCTATTTCCCCCAACAGAACATGCCTGTTTCCTGCAGGCCCGTCTCGTGGGAACAGGTTTCTTATACCCGTGTGTCAGCACTGACGCATAGGAAGATAGCTAAAGGTATTTATCGAAGCGAAGAGCGAACACTAATGGGTATCGTAACTTGTTTTCTTTTTTGATTTCTTTCATTTTTTTTCCCCCCACCAAAGGCTGCCGTTCCATCAGATCTTTTCCAATTTAGCTGGTGAAGCCGGCAGCTCAAATATCCTCGACGGCACCCCGAGCTCGCCGGGACCCTTGCTCGAGGTCAGGTTGATGGTCCTCGGCCGTTTCCTGTCCCCTCCGCCGCCGCCGCCGCCCTTCTTCTCGTCGATGCTGTCAAAGGTCCCGGCCCTCTGCACGGCCATCTTCAGCTCCTCGAGTGACTGTTGCATGGCCGCCTTCTCTCGCTCGAGCGAGTCCCAGTGCGCCTGGTCCATCTTGCGGCGGCGGACCACGGTGAAGAAGTATAGCAGGATCCCGCCGGTGAGCCCGACCGCGCCGCCGCTGACCACGATCCCCGTAATCGCCGCCGCGTTGAGCGTCTGGCCCTGCCCCTGGCCGCTGCCGGCCGCCATCATGCCATTGTCGGGCACGACCTGCACGGCGGGGGACGACTGCGTGGGCACCGCGGCGATCACCTCCCCGGACGCGGTGGCGGTGTTGACCCGGCGGGCCGTGCTCGTGGGCGCCGAAGGTGTGCCCGATGATGATGACAGGGACACGGACGGCGACGGCGATGCTGTCACCGTGGCTGCGTCGGTCGACTGTGTGTTCGCTGCCGTCGGCGCCGCCGAAGTGGCCGCCGCCGTGGCGCAGGCCGCCGTCCGCGCTGAAGAGAGGGCGGACAGGTCGTTGAAGCTGCATTGAGCGAGGAAACATGGCCCGCCGGCGAGACCGATCCCAGCAAAGTTCGGGGACCGGCACTGGCATGCCAGGTCATGTGGACTGCAGCCGCTGAGCTGGACTGCGTCCGCGTAGCAGCCCTCCTGAATACATCCATCAGTCACATGGCCACAGCATGGCTTGGGGTACGATGACGTTGCTCACAGCACATGTTGGCTCGTTGGCGAAGAGCTTCGAGGATAGTCAGCCCTGGTGTCTGTAAAGTGGATCTCGGGCTTGGAGGGCTCACCTGCTGAGCGAGGATCACATGCACCAGGCCCGCAGCAAACAGCAGACCTCTGACAAGGCCAAACATGATTCAACCTGGCCAGGGAGGATTAGGTTCTGTCACGCAATTATGTGATGTCTAGATGAGGCTGACCAGCCAGCCTTGTCACACACACCGACATTGGAAAGAGGAAAAGACACCCACGGTGGCTGACGCTGCAGGCGCCCCCTCCTCTCTTTAAGAGAACAGTCGCCCTGCCCGGAGGCTCATAGTACATAGGCACAGAACCTCAAACACACAAAGCTCAGATGACGTTGGCGCGGCGCTGCCACGGTGCGGACGACAATTCGACGATGGGCTGCAGTAGACCGTAGCCCATCGTCGGATTCAATATGCACCACCGATTCAAGGTTAAGTCTGTGGGCATCAAGTAACTTTCGGCGGCATGTTTCAAAACATATGGGCTCAATCCCACACAAGCTCATGATCTGCCTCAGACTAGCCTCCCGGCCTCTCGACACACTATAGTCCGTATTCGTACTTCCGAAACAGGAAATGCATTCGGCGCAGTGCAATGGATAAAACGCATGGTGCGTCGTAGGGTTGCTGCTCTGTGGGCGCTTCTGCGATGGTAGGTCGATGGCATCCAACTGCCGCGACCCAAGCCCGCGACTCCAGGCATCGTCCGATCTCGTCGAATGCAATCAAGCCCTTGGCGCCACCCACCACCACCAACCCATACCTGGGTGTGCGCCGCGGGGACCGTCCCGCGCCATTGTTTATCGTTCCCGCATCGCTTCCCTAGGTCCCCGGCGTCGTTTCAAGGACGGCCTTGACCATCGCGTTGCCGATCTTGGTAGCCTCAGTGAACCGCGGCTCGAAGAACCGCTGCGTCACCTTGAACCGCTCCATCCACGTCTCGAAGTGGCCGAGCGAGACGCACTCGGCCCACCCCCGCGCGGCAAATGTGAACTCGAGGTCGTCGGACCGGAACGTGTTGTCCTCGACGGCGGTGCGCAGGGCGTCGTCCAGGCGCTCCGGGTGGCGGAACAGGTTCTCGGTGACGCCCAGCCACAGGCGGAACAGCGGCGTCGAGCAGATCATGTGGTCGTAGGGCACGATGCCCAGGGCGCTCCAGCAGTCGACCATGGCGAGCAGGCTCAGGTGGTTGTTGGGCAGCGCCTTGCCCTCCTCGGGCTTCTTGCCCAGGCTGAAGCGGTCGAGCAGGCTGTCCTGCAGCAGCGGCGCCGTCGGCCACTTGGCCTCCTCGTCCTCCTTGCCGAACACCTTCTCCTTGGCCGCGTACACCCGCCGCCGCAGCTCGTCGTGCTGGCCCTCGAGCATCAGCTTGTACAGCTCCGTCGTGCTGCGCGCGTACTGCGTGATCTGCTTGCGCGCCTCCGGGTTCAGGATCGCCAGCCCCGCGTACACGTGCCAGTTCTGCGAGTAGATGCGCAGCGTCAGGTTGATCTTTGCGTTCTCGATGCCCCCCACGTACCGCGCGCCCTCCCAGGGAAACTGCTGCATCGCGTGCCACGCCTTGCCCATCGACAGGAACGCCACGTGCGTCACCGCCTGCGTGTCCGCCGTGATGCGGTCGTGCTCGCGCGCGGACAGGTACACGTGCTTGGAGTTGAGGCACCGGAGGACCGCCTCGACCCTGGCGAACGCCCCGTCCGACGCGCGGTGCTTGATGAGGACCTGCGGGCTCGTTGGTAAGTGGTTGCTGCCCTGGCGAGGTTGCGTTTCCCGGGCAGACTTACCAGAGGCTGGCCTCGAGGGTCAACATTGGGTCCGTGTAGGGAGTGGCATGAGACAATGTCGACATCGGGAGGTAGGTGGGCCTCGAATGCCTCGATCTCGGGCGCCTTGCAGGATGTCTGGCCGCCGACGATGGCGTTCAACTTGGTAGCTGTGACATAATTAGGTGAGTGACTCTTGGTGCCATAGTCTGGACGGATGCGATCGCACAAGGGCCATATTCTTTCACGACATTGCCAAGCACAGCGGCTTCTACGCTGTAGAGGATGTAGTCACTCGTTCTCGAGACAAGATGTCCATTTTGGAGGATTTGTATGTTATTCTAAAACGGCCAGGTCTCAGCATGCTGCCTGTACTAGGTTATGCTGAGGTACATGGGACGTGATGGCAAGACCGTACATTGTCGGCGAACTCCTCTCGCAAGCCCTCAAACTTGTCCATCCGGTCACAAGCCTTGATTCTGCCCCACACGAAGACCGTTAGCATGACCACTCACGGTGCTATGGCAAGCGTAGAGCTGGCAAAGGCCTAAATCTTGAGCGAGGTCAGCTGTGTTCCCGACCATTGAACGAACAGACAGAAGGTGTATGCTTGTGCTTCAGACAAAGTTTAAAGGTAGCTGAGATTTTTCATCATGGAAAGCCCATCAACCGAGATGGTCAATGGGCGATACTCTAGCCAAATGCACTCAAGTCATCATTGAGGAGGAGGGGTGTTGGTTGTGTGGTGGAAGGTAGTTGCTGGGGAAGTCACTTACCAGATCAACAGCAGGCCACCATCCTCTGCCTGGGACCGAATGAGATGAGAAAAGAACAGGCGATTACCTCCAGCCAGCTGCAGCGAGTCGCCGAGCATACATCTTGCCCATATCGCCCATGCCAATGATGCCGACAGTGAAGCCCTCCATGCCCTCAGGCACCTGGGAGGTTTGCGATGAGGCAGCCATCTTTGCAGATCAACCAGCAACTGAGAGTGGCACAGAGCTCGCAAGAAACGGATCACATTCTAACAGCTCTGATGCTCTCGTGCACAGCTCTTTGCTTCCCGATGCGAGGAAGGTGTGAGCTGCTGCTGTGTGATGTTGACAATGACAAACGTGGCGCAAGACAAAGCTTGAGTTGGTGAGATCGTCGAGTTTTCATATCAAAATTTACGGCCCGGAGGAAAGCTTCAGCGAGCTCCGTGGCTTTGGGCGCTAGGCCGTTCTTGGCTGGGACCCACCCTCGTCGACCCAGGCACCCATGCTCATCAAGTTCCCCACCACCTTGGCCGCTCCTCACAAGCACCAGGGTACCTCGTCAAATAGCCTGCAAAAACATGTCCATTCAGCATTGTCTGGTATGAACTGCAATGGCGGGTTATCCGAAGGCATTGTACAAGTATCCCATGTGCGTTAGGCAACGTTCAGACCTGGGCAATGCTGCGACGGCGAGTGTCCAAAACAACACCCGGTCTATTCACTCAGGCCCTTCTCCCTCGCCCTCTTCACATCTTTCCAGCACCTTTGCGCTGTAGCCTCTCTCACCCTCCTCCCCCACCTGACCATCCCGAACAGGCTTGCATTCCACACAAAACCGACCACCGCGACGGTCACGTACGTGTTCAGGTATCCCGTGGCCTCCAGCCATGGCGTGATGGCGTAGTTGATGGCGAAGCTGAGCGTATTGCGGATGAGCACGCACGTTACCACCATCCCGCCCGAAAGCTCGCGGTACGACGAGATCGCGTAGGTGAGGGCGGCAGAGACGCACAGCGCGTTGCTGTTGGCGAGCAGGAACTGGCTGAACACCAGGCCGAACCAGTGGATGTGGGAGACGACGCCGACTCCGTAGAGGACCAGGGAAAAGGGTACGAGCACCATGGACGCCACGAAGAGGTACAAGATGTGCTCTGGCTCAGAGGTCCCGTTGTTGCGCCGCGCGAGACGCACAGTCAGCATGCGCCCGACCTTGCCTGAGTAGTATCCGCTGCAAGCAGGAGGGTGTGAGTCTTGTGTGGACAGAATGTAAAAGAATACTAGGAGACTGTTATGATGGGGAAGCTGAGGTCTTACCCGGTAATGGTACCAACCACACCTGCAGCATATGCGCCCGACACATCTGTGGTAGACCATCCATACGTGGTCGTGTATACGGTCCCGGCGGTGGCATTCTGAACACCGGACCAGACGAGACTGTTGGCACCGTACATGAGACCTGCATACACCACAGGAGGATACAAAAAGCCTTTGAAGGGCGCGAGAGCGATGTCCAGGACGCGGTTCGGGCGAGGCTTATCCCTCAGGGTCAGCTTTTGCCAGTAAGTCTTTCGGGGCTTGATAACTTGGGCTTCCTCGATATCACTGCTGGGTGATGTTGGCAGCCTTTCTTTGGAACCGAGGCCCTTGTCAGCCGATGCCGCGTCTGCAGTGCTGCTCATGTTGGTGTTTTCGAGAACCGGGCTGGGGGCCTTCTCCTCGGCGTCAGGTACGGGGCTGTCCGCATGTTTGCGGTCGTAATTCGTCTCCTCCATGAAAAGGAAGCAATATATGAATGCGATGCCGTTGAAAATGGCGCACCACCACTGTGGCGATTCTGGGTCAACATTCAACAACCGTACACGGAAAGACAAGAGGCTGCACCAACCAAAGTCCACTCCCATCCCATGCCGGTATTGATAAACCCAGAGATCATCGGAGCCAGCTTCCCGGTTAAAGCAAGCGACCAACCGTACCAGGCCATATAGTTGTGTCTTTCGTGTATGAACCACTGTGGCCTTTCTGTTAGCACCGACGACAGAAAACTCGAGTTGATGTTTTTGAGACGGAATTACAATATCAGCGATGGAGATCTCGCAGAGCGACTCAACAGGAGCGCCGAACAGGCCAAGAAGGATACGGCTGGCCTCGTAGGTCCGAGAAGTCGTGCACAATGGTGCTGTGGCCATGATTATGATATTGGCAATGAGAGATAGCAGGTACGCAGGGCGCTTGCCGTACTGCAGAGCCAGCGGCTGCCATATAATGCAGCCCCATCCAAAGAACAGGAACTGTCACAGTAAGTTAGATCTCGTCAAATCTTTTTGTCGGCCAGAGTCTATAAAAAGTACCATGATACCAGTACCATTGTTCAGGTCTGTAAGCGTCAAGCCTGTCGCTTGTCTTATTGGAGTGACAACCGAGTACACTGCGCTGGAGGGTAGAGCTAGCAGAACAGTGTAAACAACGACGCATGAGGTGGAGAGGAGCTTCCGTCGGAACGACCAGTTGAGAGGGTCTTCCGGGTCATCACTTGGTCTTGGAATGAGCACAATGTCCCTCACACCCTTGCCATCTGCGTGTTTCGTTGCCATCGTCCCGTCCAGGTCGACCAATTGTGCTGTGCCCGGAGGTAGGGAGCTTGTCGATGCATCCTCGGCTGGGGTGGGATGCTGCGACATTTTGAAATATGTGAAGGCCCTTTTGCGAACTGTCGAACTAGATCGAGAATAGTGCACGGAGGAAGTGAGAGGCGTGATATCATTCCCTCAAATTCCACGTATTTATACGTTCAGGTCATGAGAGTAATCAAGAACGGCCGCATGGCACCGCACTTGTCCCCTCACGATAATATAGGCCAAGCCTCTCCATCACAGATTCAACCGGGTTCGTGCCTATCTTGATAAGCAGTATGCACGATGGCCCAGGATTGTTCAATCCACGGCTTACTCCAAACAGCTTGCTGCAGCTGATCGGCAAGATAAAGGATAAAAGCTGTGTTGCTATCGTTATAGTATATGAACACTTGGTTCCATGAAAGCGGTATGCACAGATAAAAAGATGCTCGCAAGCAGTGGTGACGAATGTTCCGTCAAGCACGGGTTCAACCAGTGATGTTTAATCCCAGACACCTACCCAGCCAGCACAGTCGCGTACTTGGCCGGATACCTTATAACCTAGCTGGTGTGCCCTTGGTCTCTGGGGAGAATACGTTTGGCATGAATTCTCAGGGTGAGTCCCGCAGGAGTGGGAAGATGGTACTAGGCTCCAGAAAGAATGGCTGCTCAGGAGGTTCACTGGGCCTGGCCAACAAGAATTCTATCTACCTATCCAAGATATTGAGTTCTAGTGCCGGAGAATGGCCCCTGAGCAGGGGCAGATGAGCTGTAGACGTCGGTGTGCACATCCATCTCAGACTGAGAATATCTGCACAGACGGCTCAAGTCCACTTTTTGAAGTGGATCTATGAGATAAAGTGTGCCTGGTCCATAAGAGTGCAGGCTTATGGCAATGCTGAGAGTTCTCTACACGACAGTGAACTCTGATGACCTCAACTATTGCGTGATAATGAAGAGACGGGAGGGGAAAGGCGCATGTTTATTTATTTTGTAGGAATCCGCGTCCATTTTGACCGCATCCCAAATGCTTGCTGATACCCGCAATCATGGAGATATACTAGTCCCGACTTTGTCTTCCTCATCAGGCCTGCGGACTACTCGGACACGCAACCGTTGAGCTGTAATTGGATGCGGCCGTCGCCCGTACCCACGTTCCGGTCCGACTGGACTGCATTTCCAGATCACTGCCGAGTTTCCGAAATTTCATCCTGTTGTACAAATACCAAACGATTATGGTCACACACGTAAACCCAGTAGTGACAACGAAATATAACCAGATGTAAGGAGAAACCATGGTCTGCCCCTGTTCAGGTTTCCAGTCGAAAAATCCCATCGAGAATAGAGTCTTTAGTCAAAAGTTAGCTTTGCTGTCCACTGTTCGTGTTCGATCAGGGGCCGTGAATGAACGGCACCATTAATGGAAGAAGTAAGGGCAAAGAAACAGCGATTCCGGATAGGACTTACTGCGACGAAAGTAGCGGGTAGAAAGATCATTGTCAACATGGCTATGGAGCGCATCTGCTTGCTGTCGCTGTGTGTTGCCTGGGCTATTCCGAGGTTGTATCTTGAAATGTCAACATTGGTTCGAGCATCAGCTTGGCCGATATTGTTCCATTCCTGCGCGGGACTATTAGGTTCTGCTTCACAACTCAAGATTATACTGGTTATAGGGTTCATCTTACCAGCTGGGTCGCTAGAACCATACCATCAGTGACCGTCACGCAGTCTCCTATTTTCTCGTCGAACTCCCCAATCAACTCCACCAGTCTCTGCTCGATTCGCTCTCCCGTTTCCGCAAGTTCTCGAAGTTCGTCAATTTGACGTTGTGTATGATTCCCTGGTGATGGCTCTTCAAATTTCATAGTTCGGCAGTGGGACTGCATCTTCAGCAGCTGGGCCTTCCATGCCTCGAGACCTCGCCTCAGCGCACTGACACCGAGCCACATCTTCATCAGCTCCTCCGGTGACTCTTCTCTGGCTGGGTTGCCACCTGCCGCGCTGCTTTGAAACGTCTTCTGCATAGATTCCGTGAATGCGGAGGGCTTGCTGATGCTCAAGGCCCTTTCGACGAGTTTGGTGACCAGTGGATCTACCTTTCCGAAGAGCCGGTCTCGCTCATGTTCTGCGAAAATTAGGGGCAGAGTAAGGGGGTGATGTACCGCGCATGCACTCCGCGACAAGCGCTGGTGTATCTTGTCTCGCGTGTCGTCGTCACAGCCGTACAGCACTGCTTGGGTCGCTTTGTGTTCGGGAGAGTAGGTCACGGAGAGCGCAAGGTCATTCTCCCAATTATCCGAAGACCTGCAGTTGTAGACTTTTGATAATCAGTGCCATGTTTTGAGTGCTTTCATCCAATTGGCCATACTGAGAAGGACTCACGGAGCACTGGGGAGGACTTGTGGGATTGTGTTGTGCGCTGGGCCACGAAGGTTGCCCTGGCACTGCGGTTGATGACCCGTGAGATAGACCCATAGATCTGCAGGACGCTGGCAACCCTTTTGCAGATGTCTTTGGAAAAGGGGAGGTAGGCGACCTCCATTCCCGGGAACCTTGGTTTTGCTCGTCCACAGAACCTGCGTCGTATCAGCCGTCGAACTATTTGATCTGGGCAGACGAGCATACGTTGATAATATGAATATGCTTACAGTAAGGTGATTCCATCTGGAGACTTTTTGCTGCGCATTTCCTCCTCCTGATGGTACGCCGTCAGCTGCTTGAGACCAGATCTGAGATGGGAAACCTTGTTCTGTCCTTCCATTTTGCAATTGAAACTCACGTTCTCAAGCCATTGTTCCCATTCTTCGTCGGACTCGAGACTCTGGGCTGTGACACAAGCATTGGTCTAACGCAGAGGTAAAAGTGAGTTCGGTGTCCAACTATTCTACACCGACGCGAATACACGCGGACGTACGTTACATTTTAATACCAGGCTCCTCATTCTTGAGAACTTGAGGGTCCGAAGGTCCTGGTCTCGCAATATTCGATCCGATGTGAGCCACTCCATCTTTTGTTTGCCAGACTTCACTTGAAGGTATTAAGAGGATAAGTAAACAAAGATTACTGATGTCGCAGTAGGTGGCGTTCAAGACGTTGGGTGCCACTTGAAACAGCTGTGGTGGGAGGTTTATGAATCCCAGGTCATTAATCGACTTCGCCGTCTTTTTCCTCAGAATTGCTACACTTGACTATTGCATTGTGATACAAGGTGATACAAGGCTCTGGTCCATAATCTGACCGCTTTTCTGCTCGTCCGCCAAGGACAATAAGCACTTCTTACACACCACCCCCACTAGAAAGCTCACTTCCCCATCGCCCGGCCTCGAAGCCAATACCGTGTGCAGTAGCTGCCGGGCAGTGGAGAGGCGCTGCACAAAACTTGCACTTTGGGGTAGGGCCAGATGCACACCTCGTCTAGCCCGTAAGAAAATCCAGGCTGTGGCGCTGACTAAATAAGTCTGCCTGGTCAGGTCAGCCTCTATAGATTGCAGGCCGACCGAAGACGATGTTTCCCCCTCGCGGGGTTGTAACCCCTCGTTCTTTTTCTACTTGGGCAAATAAGCAGAATGAGGCTCTGCTGAGTATGGAGCATTTAAATATCCATCATTCTCATCCGGCCAAATATTACTGTCCCAACCTCTTATTACTCTGCATTTGTCCATTTCGTGTTATTCAGTTGGCTCTACAGGATCCAACTCATGTTCAAATTGCTGTATACCAGACTCCGGTCCGTCTGGGAGCCACAAAAATCTCCTTCGATCATGGACTACCCTTTCAAATGTGTGCTTAGCAAGCAGTATAAGGATCCAGACAAGATTTCCCAGAAGCTTACTGAGTTTCTTGGAGAGAATGGCTGGAGTGAGATAGAGGTAAGCTTGTTTCGAAGTCTGGGGAGGCTTTTCGATGCTGATTGAATTAGGTAGTAGGAACCGAATATGTTATAAAAACCAAGACAGAACTCACTGAGGTACTGTGACTACAACTTATCCCGTGGTCTCCATGTCCAAACATCAGGACTGACACATCCGAATCAGGAGCAAAAGAAGGAGATAGAGAAGTTCTCCAAGAACCACTATTGATACGCTGGCGGTGCACATGCCGCACCTCAGCGTTATTAGCATTCCACTGTTTTAATCTAGTCTTACTCGCCAATAATTTTTCAATACCCTGTCCAAGACCTCAGAAAATGCGACACCCTAGACACCCCGAGAGACAAGATGTCCCAGGGATACATCCATCGTTTCAAACGCGACATTACAGTTTCCTTCTTGTTTTGATTTGCCAAAATTTTTATGCTGTGTAGGTTAGAAGATGCTCCCGCGTCTGAGCTTCCAGAGACTGGCACAAAGGGTGCCGGATTGGGTTTTACTGCGTAATCACTCATGGTTTCGCAGTCCTGGAGGAGTTTCTGTAGACGCTTCTTAACAATCTGGCTCCTGTCGCGCTTGGACTTATCCGCAACAATCATGCTGTCTGCAATGTAGTCGAGGAAGTCAGACATATATTGACTACGGGCACGTTCTGCGTGTCCCTTCAGATCTGTGATCCACTGGACAACAAATACGTGAGCTTCTTTATTTCTCAAGTGGGATTCCCAGGTGAATGACCTACCGCTTTTACACAGTCTTTGACTATGGAGTCACGATTTTCTCCAGACCCCGTGAGGGCATAGAAAGTATCAAACTTCATTTTCGGCCTGTCACCTCGCTCACTGAGCCGTTGATTTCTGAAGCTTTCAATGCCGGAGGGACCACGGAGAGCCCACGTGATGAATTCGAGGTACACGCAGCCGAGAGACCAGATGTCGAACGGTCTGGAGATGTCTTCTTTGAGGTCATATTCTGGCGGCGCATACGTCCACGTGCAGCCATTTTGATCCCTGGGTGATGCCTGCGTTGTCATGGCTGTGTGGAACGTGGTGAGGCCAAAGTCCGATATTTTCAAGACCCCCATGCCGTAATCATTCTCGTCCTGTTTGAACCAGAGGATATTCGGTGGCTTGATGTCCCCGTGTCTCCCGCAGTCTTTTTTGTTGGTTTTGAGTGCTGAGATCCACGACTTCCCTTTCGTCGGTGATGGCGGCCCTGTCGAAGGCTGCTGGACCTGGTCGACCTCTTGGATGGACAGCTTTGCGTTGTGTATCCCGTCCAGACCGTCCGCGAGGCCCCAGCATTGCTGTGCGATCCAGCATACCGTGTTTCGCGACAAGTTCTCATGGGCTTCCTCCCAGAGGCTGGAAAGATTGCCGCCGCAGGCCCATCTGAATAACAAATGGTACTTGTTGTCGTACTTGAAAGTTGTGAGGACATCGACCAAATGCGGCTTTTGTTTCGCTCTGATCTTCGTTAATGCTGTGACTTCCAGGCGGAAATGGGTCTCGTTCTCGGAGTTCCCTGCTTCAAGTGTCTTTAAGGCGAAATACTCGTTTTGCTGATTTTGTTCAAAAGAGTCCATGTCAGCATGCGATATGTGTCTTGGGGACCCTAGTTTAAGTGAATCTCAGCTTGGATGTATGAGTCGACTTACATGCTTATTAAAGTCGTGGTGTGCAGTATGAATCTGCACACGGACGACATTCGAGCTGCCCGAGGTGATTTGATTTTCTCTGTCAAAATGTGTGAAAGGCAGTACTGATCTGTCGTCCAGCTCCATTGCCACGTACTTCTCTGGAAGGAAACATGGTTTGTGCTGGCCCAACTGTCTGAAGATCGGCACGTGCACCTGGTACTGAATGACATCAAATGACATCCTGTCAGACATTCCCCACTGACTGAAGCATTCGAGCGCGCGCGGGCTCTTGGACTTCCTCGCCAGTTGAAAATCTGCGCCCGTTCCGGAACATTGAGCCAGGGGTAAGTCATGGTCGCGGATGTTCTCAGCGACAACCCCCGGGATCAAGCTCGGTCGATCAATAAGGACGAGTATTGCAAAGACTTGACGGGCGGGGCCACGATGGTTGCCTTCGGATCCAAACACGTACTCAACGATCTTGCTCGTTTCATCTTTGAGTGTGGTGGCAGCGTACGTTGAACAGTATTGCTTGACACTCTGGGCGCTTATTATTCTTTCGAGATCATCACTCGGTAAAAATGATCGCTTCCCAGTGTAAAAGGATTTTTGAAACGCGTTGTTCAGCTGGGATCGGAGGCTGTTTGTGTCTGGAGGCATCCTGCTGACAGGCGACGAATCGACGGGGGAGTTCCCAGCTGAAGAATAGACTGCAAATGAATCCCCTGTGGGTGAGTCGGTTAAGTTGGAAACGTCCGTGAAAGGACTGGTAGCGCTTTCTTCTTGGTGGCTTTCGAGCGCTCTTCCTGTGGTCTGTCGGTTCTGCTCTTCATCTTCGAGTTCTTTTGGCCAAGAGACTCTCTTCCGTACACTACCCCCTGAGTCTACTTTTCTGAGCTTCTGGATGCCCTGATGAGATGAATTAAGAAATTTTCACTGCCAACTTGTGCATCTTGTGAAGTACAAACCTCAAGGCCCTCGGCACTTGGAGAAAGCGGCGACATGGCACCTGGTGTATGGCGGGCCAAGGTGTAGTTATCGGTGGCCTGATCGGCAGATAGGGAGGGTTTTCAGTATATTCTAGGGCTTTTGAGACCGTCAGTTTAACTTGGGCGCAACCTCGTCTACAAGAAAGCAGAACGACAAGTTTTATGTGCCCGCTTCCACTCGTCCCATGGCTGTGCTGTCCTTCCAATACAACACTGAGGCTGAAAGCATGGTCCTGAGGATTTTCTTGTGGCATCAATGTTACTGAGCGCGAACTGCAGTTTACTCTTTGGATCATGGTGTGGTGTGCACACCTAGTCTAGTCCTATCTCATGGCCGATTCTCAAGCGAGATCCATGGCTCCGGATGTGCTGACATGATGGGGCAACACTCTTTCAGCTTCATTTCGTGTGGCTGTCAGAATACTGTCAAATTTACCCCAAAAAATTCAATTGTATCACTAGTTGTGCCACATAACCTCATGTAATGTGTGGCCGTGAAGAAGTTTGGCAAAATCCTTCTAGAATGTGGACCCCAAACCACAAGATTTGCGGCAAAAGGAATCGAATGCTCCTTGAGAGGGAGCCTTAGCCATTCGGGACTGGAAGAAGGTGGTTGCAAGAGGTGCGGAATGACCAGCATTAGATCGCGAGACAGCCATGTGTAGTCAGCTCCCGGCAGCCTGGAAATGCAGAATTCCTTTCGGGCAAAGCGACATAAGATTGCGCCACCGCCCAGCTAGAGCCTTATTGTATCGAGAGGACAGCCTCGTGAGTGGCCCATCAGGTATGTCGTGTAACCCTCCATGGGGGCTCGAGGAGACAAAATAGATCCTCCATGCCCCGACACTTTTTCGCGCCAGACACTGCCCCCTGCGTCAGCTGAAGGCCTTTGAAGCCACTCAAATAGTTGCATGTGCCCTCTGGAGCCATGGCTGTCTGGAACGAGCCTGCATTCGGCACACTTATTGGAATGGGATTCGCTCGATCTTCAAGCATGGCCTGCTTGCGCAGCCTTTGGCGGCCACGGTGCGCTTGCCCAACGGGCCTGAGGCACCCAGGTTGAATTTAGCCCCCGATTATATCGTTTAAATATAAGTTCAGGCGCATTCAGTCTGCTGACCATTGTCCCCGGGTGTGGCAAGACTGTGGCATGCCATCATCCTCCACCGTCCCATCCACATATTGACTCATCGAAACTCTGTCCTTGACCGTGTTTGAGGCCCACGGCCGTTGACGTTTTTACACCTCCGATAATGCCGTCCCAGTGAGTAGTCCTGAACCCACGCGGCTGTCGGGTCTGCTAACAGTTTGGTCACACAGGTCAAGTCAGAGCCCGAGAGTGTCCTCTGCAGGCAGCGCGGAATTAGGAGCGCCGGGGGCGCAGCGTCGAACCGTCATATCGCGACGACGGATCAATCCGTCGAAACTCGAGCAGCTTCTCGACACAAGATTTGAAGACTACAGTGTAGAGTTACAACAAGACCGACTTGTTGTTATTGCGACGAGGCGACTTTCGGACATAGAGATCAACAAGTGTGCTTGACTCGGTGGGCGTCGCAGTCAGGGACTATAGTGTAGTGAGAACATTGTAGGGATGGCATTGTTGGGATTGGACCAAGGCAAGGCTCACTTGTTATTGTATATTGACTCAAGGATATACACCGATGCATTAACCAATGCCTCCCTTGATCATGTCGTCTTAGTTGCCGACCGGTATTTGCGTAGGTCTTGTTTCCGTCTTTCAAAGGGCCTCCTATTCCTCTGGCTGTTATATAAAGGCAGAGGTGAGGTCCAATGGCCACCGCGTCAGTGTCCCAGCAGCCTCTCTACACGCCAGGCTGCCTATTCTGGGGCAGTGCATACCTCAGATCAGTAGCGGACAAGTCAAATTACTTGCAAGCCTCATCTGGAGCATCTTCCAACGCCAAATTTGATCGTCCTCCCGGCCGTCTTCATATTACCATTGTCTCATCTCAGTACACACTCAGCTCCAGATCTTGGGACTGAAGGCCGCGAGATCTTATTGTTGAGGATTAGTCCAGATCAAAAGATATATGACCACAGATTGGGGAAGAACTGTGAGGGATACATGTCACGAAGAATGAGTAGGCGAGGATGGGTGGAGGGTTGTGTTAATGTTGGCAAGTACGACCCTCGTCACTTGGAAGGCTACTTTAGTTATCCCCTCCGGGGCACGTAGCCTTTCAGAACTTAGACAGAACAATACCAATATATAATTGCTTCCCATATAATTATTATATGTATAAGAAATCTACTAATACTAATTAATGATTATAGGTATTATAAATTAATAAGGTAAAAGAAGCAACCCTATAAGGATTTCTCTAACCTGAAAATCATATCCTTCTTATTGGCAAGCATTACATAGCAATAACTACTTCTTTAAGCCTTCCTATATTATTAAACTTCCTAAGTAAATATTACAAAGATTAAATAAATTAAATGGCATTCCCTATGATATTTATATGTATATTTATTAATATTTAAGAAATACGCATTTATTATATATAAGACTTTATTAAAAATAAACTTATTATAAACCTATCTTTAACTCCTTTTTAAAACCCAGCAAAACTTAATAAAGCTTTATTTTACTAAATAAATAAAGCTTGTAATTATTATAACTATTAAATAAATAAAGCTTGTAATTATTATAATTATTAAAGTTAATGCAACGTTACGTTATAAGCAAGCGCAAGTTATGCACTACGTTTTTAGCTAATATGGAAGGACTTAATAATAGGAAAAAGCCTTAGCTTTTAAGGCCTAAAGGAATTAATAACTTTTTCCTTTTAATAATTATAACTTGCTTACCATTAAACTATTATTATTAACTTGCTTTTAAAATATTACCTATTTTATTAATATCTTTTTATTTTATTAATTTCACTCCTTATAATATTTACCATAAAAACTTATAAGAATAGCTAATAACGCTAAGGAGCTACTAGCTTTTATTAAAGGGTATATAGTTAATAAAATGCTTACTTAAACTCTAATTAACTTAGCTTATTATGGATATATTAACTTAAAATTATGGTTTATAGCTCCTATATAGGAAGCATTAATGAAATATCTAGTTACCTACTTAGCAAATACTTTAGCAAGCTATACACAATAAAATCTTTATAATAATAACCTTTTCATTACTTATTGCAAAAATTATATAGCATGGATATAAGTAATATTTAAAGCATTACCAAATTCTTGCTAATAATATTTAAAAGTCTTCCTTTAAATATAAGGCATTTATATAAGACGTAATAATTAACTTATAGCATTATAATTAATTATCATGGCCTAAGCTAAGGAAAGATTAAAATAAATTAATAATAAGCTTTATAATGCCTTATTAACCTTAAAATTAAGCATAAATAAATATCGCACTTAACTTTAAAAATAATAACTATAAGCATAGCCTCTATAAGCATTATAAATAGGCTTTAAATAATAATAATTGCTAAGAAGATAGTTTTTAAGATAACTTTTATTATTGCCACTAGCTTTGGGTATGTAATTATAAAACTTAAATTTAATAATGCAATTTATTAAAAATTAATATAGCTAGCAAGGCTTATTATTATTAGCGGAGAAATAAAGATAAAGCTTGTATTAGAAATATATACCATACCTAGTATAACCTTAAGTTACCTTAAAAATGCCTTTGCTAAATAAGAAGTATAACCTATATAAAACTCTTTCTTTATAATATATTTCTAATAAGCATTTAGATTTAATAAAGTTAGCATAATTTATAAAAACTTTTAATAACTTTTATAAGTATATTAAGGACTTATATAATTTGCTAAATAATAAGATAAAGATGTTTTTTAATATTTATTATTATGCTGAAATTTAGCTAAGTTAATTTTATATAGTTTTTCCTTAAATGCTTAAAGATTAAGTTAAGGCTTATTACTTTTATTTTATAAATTAAATTGATATGTTTATAATAGCATACTTTAAAATTAAGATGCATTTTAATATAAACCTTAATTATTAGCATTATTATATAAATTAAATGATAATAATGTTTATAAAGATAAGAGTATAAAACTTAAATAAAGATTTACATAAGGTTTTATATTTAATGCTTAATAAGCTATAATTTTACTAATAAGCATTAGGCTAAAACTATGCTAAGGAGGATAACTTAAGAATAACGGTAATTAAAGCTTATAAAGGAGTTCCTAAGTTAAAAATGGCTCTTTTTAAGCTAGCTTAATTATATAAAGAGTTATTTTTAAACCTAAAATTTATAGTAAAAACATAGCTTAGCTGCATAATTATAATTTATATTATAAATAAAGTCTTAAATTAATATTATATTAATTATAAATATAATAGCTGAAAGTTAAGAGGAGGATAATAGTTATAGTTTTAAGCGTTTTAAGGAAATTAAAGGTTTAGCTAATTAAACTTAAGCCGTTTAAGCTTTAGGCAGTTAAGATTTTATAATATTAGCTATAAAACTTAAAGTAATGATACTTATAAAGGAGGAGGAGGAGAATAATTTTAAAAGAAAAGATATTATATTTATAAGAAGGAGGAATGTTAGTTAATTAAATATTTAATTAATAAGTAATGTTTAGTAAGAAGAAGCTACTTGATATAATATAAATATAAAGGTTATAATAATAACTTTAATACTTTTTTAAGTGAATTTAAGGAATGTAAAATAGATAATAAAGATGAATTTTATAAATGTAAAGATAAATAGGATTAAAATAATAATTATAATAGCAATACCTATATTATAAAGGTAGGACTTAATAAGGAAGTTTATTATATAAATGTTAATTTCCTAGCTAATAAAGCATTTATATATTAAATTACAAGAAATAATATCTTTTAAATGGAGATAATCATTGCAGCTAGTTAATTTATCTTAAAGAATAAATATAATTAAACTTATTTTCAAGGAATCCTATTAAATATAAAAGCATTATTAGTGTTTATGGCTGGATATAAGCAATTTCTTGCATTATAATGAGAAGACTTAAAGTATTAAATTAATATAATTGCCATAGGAAAAGCTAAAGTTAAATTTAATGATGGAATAACCATTAATTTGCTTGGCATAGTGGAAATTTCCATTTTAATTGGTTGTATTAACTTTTATATTATTTAAGCATAAACCCTATTCTTGCTTTACCTAGTAAATATAAATAGGCTTTAAGTATATTATAATAATATTATAAATGAAATGGTTTTCTTTAATGGTGTAATTATTATATTAATACTTAGAAAATAAGGCTACTTATGGTTTTTCTTAAATTAAATTATTAATGCTATATATTTTCTCTTAAAGATAGAAATGAAGAAACTTTATTATTGCTTTAGATATTTATTAATAAATTAATTATGCTAAATGCTTAAAAAAGCTAGCAATTTAAATATTAATAAATAAGCAATAGTAGAGATTAAAAAGATATATTATTATTATTAAATAAATAGATTTATATTTAGGCGTTTTAAGTTTATATTATGTAATGATTATGAATTTAATTATAAAATCTTAGTTAATATAATGTATTTAAGCGAATGTTTAGTCCTTTATATTATAAATTAGGCTATTGCTTTTTAAAGAGCGAAATTCTTAAAATCTATATTTGCAAAGATTGCATAGCAGATATTATAAATACTTTGAATTAATATATATTAAGAATTATTAAATATTATTAAATATAATATAGGAATAAACTTTGCATCCTTGGAATTCCGTTTAAAGGCATAGATAATGGGAATTAAATATAAATAGGTCCTTATAAAGGTATATTAATTTATTAGGAAAGTTAAGAGATATTATTAAGCCTTTAAATAAGTATATAAAATTTTATATATTAAACTATATAATAGCATAAATAATGATGCTATCTTGCAAATGGCTGTAAAAGCTATTAATAATATTGCTAGATTAAATGAACTGGTTCCTATGCTTTTAATCTTTAGCGTCTACCTATAAGTATTACATAAGTTACTATTATTATTATTAATATAAAAGCAAGCAAAAGCTATTTTAAAGGCTATAAAGATGCTATAAAAAACCATAGCTAAATAATAAGTATGAAATGCATTAAATACTAAGGTTAAATCTATCTTTAATACGGAATATTTACTGCAATGCAAAGTTTGCATGTAGAGAAAGAGAGAGGAATGGAAGGGTTTATATAAGGTTATTGCCGTGAATAGCCATGATATAACCTTAGATATATTAAATGGAGCCGCGATATTTAAGTTAACGGTTATTTAATTATATTATTAAGATAATAATAAGGAAATGCAACCTTTATAAATAAAAGATTTAGCTATGAAATCTTAAATGCAACTTATTATATAATTATTATTATTAAAAATAAAAAACTGCATTATTATGTTATATATTTTAAAGAAAGAAAATAAAAACTATAACCTAGTAATTAAATTAAAATAAGATAAAGTTATTATAATACTAAGCTTACTATTTAAAGAGTTTAATAAAATGGAAATTAATAACCTTATTATTAAAGGTATCTTTTAAATTAAGAAATGATTAGTAAAGCAATATAATAAATATTATTTCTTTAAGTTCCGCATAATATAGGAGGTAAAAGGCAAAACTATAAAACCTTATAAGAAATCCCAATTTATTATTTAAGGTTATAATAATAATAAAAAGGAATTAATCTTAATATAAAGCCTAATTATTTAAAGAATAAGCTAATAAACAATCCTTGCATTTATTCCTTTATTAATTTAAGAAAAAGGCATAGTTTTTATACTTTAAGATATTACTTAAGCTTACCTTTAAGCAAAGTTAGAATTATATAGAATAATTTTTATAAAGTTATTAAAGAAACTAAAGAATAAATACTTTTTAAGCATAATTATTTATATTATCCAACCTTTATATGGCATAACAGAATTCAGCGTTTATTAATTTAATATATATTAAAAACATTATTAATAAAAGCTTAAGATAAATTGCTTTATATATAATTCTTACTTAATGATTATAAAGCCTGCATAACCCTTTGGGATGGTAAGTATATAGATGGATAATATATTAATTTTATTTATGCTAGAATTCCAGGATAAGAAGGAAATTAAAATAAAAGCTGCGAAATTGCAAGGAAAATTAAAATAAGAATTAACGCTTAAAAACCTAATGGATTATAATAGGGCTTATATAATTATAGATATTACCGGCTTAATTACTACTTAATAAAAGGGATAGGCTAATAAACTTGCCCTTATTAATGCAATAATTAAAGATGCTTTCTAGAGATACCTTAAATAAAGAGCTTGCAAAGTATATATAGCTTTAATTTACCAACCAAAAGCTTTATATAATCTTTTAATAACTATATAGGTATAAAACCCAAAGGCAGGAGATTATAAGAGCTTAAATATGCAATTATTGTGATAAATAGATAATGCTATATAAGGAATTAAATATATACCCCTTAATCTTAAAATAGCAAAACTTTTTATATTTATAGATAAATTATTTGCAAATAATTAGGATTTAATATTTTAATTTAAATATATTATTATTTTTATAAATAAGATTTATAAGGAAATTAAGGGATTTATAATAATAGGTAATATTCTTTATTAGTTATTAATAAAGTATAAATATATTATTTAAAGCATATTAATAAGTAAAATTTATAGCATGATAAATAAAGTAAATATTGAAATTTCCTTAGTTATAATAATTAAAATAGCTATAAGATAACTTTTATTATTAAATATACCTTTAATTATTTATATAAACTTATATAGCCTATATAAATGCCTTATGAAGCTAAAAATAACAAAGGAAAAGCGCCTTATAATTAATATTATATTATTGTAAAAATTATATAAGATGAAAGAGATTGCTAAAGTAAGGTAGATAAATAGGAAAGATAACCTTATTAATGCAATGATAAAATTAACTTTAAATATTGCATTATAAAAGCTTATTAATAATAATAAGCTTTATATATAGGTAGATAGGTTGGTTAAGAGATTTAAAGTAACTTCTTTTTGCTAAGGAAGGAGCAATTTACTATTAGCACCCTTTTTCTTTTAATTTTACTGCTACTAGCTGTAAAACCTTATACTTTTTAAACTTAAACCCTTAATATAAATTTTAACCTTTTATATTTTAATTAAAACCTTTTTAATACCTTATTTTATATAAGGATAACCTTATAATTATTAATATTATTAATAATTATTATTTTAAAGTTAATCTTATTATTATTATTATTTTTTGCTATTATTTATTAATAAGATATTGAAACTAATTTTTATTAAATTTATTTATAATTTATTAACTTTTCTTATAATTAAAGAATAAATTAATAATTATTATATAATAATTATAAAGTTTTGCATTATAAATATTTATTTTAATTATTAAATTCTTATAAAATCTTTTTTCTTTTTATTATAATAAAGAATATTAATAATGATTTGCAAAAGTTATTTAATACTTTTATTAATATGCTTTATAAGGATAATAATGGTAAGTAAAATTATTTAGTGAATATTGCATTTACTTCTTATATTAAGGATATACTTAATATAATCATTGCTATAGCTGCTATTAATATAGCTAGCACTAAAGGTAGCCCTATCGTAACCCTTAATTAAAATTAAGATTCCCCTGTAAATATTATAACTATAACCTTAATTAATAAAATGAATATTATAACTATATTCCTATTAAGTAATAAGATAAAGATTGAAATTATTATTAAGGCTATAAGAAGGGCTAGAATTGCTTTAATTAATAAGGATAAAGATAAGCTTATTAATTTTGCTAATTCTTATAGCAAGGTTATTATTAATAATGCTTATTTAATAAATATTAATAAGGATATTAATAATAATAACTTTTATTTGCTTGCTTATTTAATGGATATTAATAAAGATATTAATAATAATAACTTTTATTCGCTTAATATTAATAGCAATTTAATTATTGCTAATAATAAAGATAATTAAAACTAGGCTAATGAAATATTAATAAAGATTATAAAGATTACCTTTAATTTTACTTTTATGCTAAGCATTAAAAAGAGTAAGCTGCTTATTAAAATTAACTCTTATAGAATTATTAAAATTAATAAGCTAAAGGCTATAGCTATAACTTAAGCTAAGATATTTTTCCTAAATAATGTTATTATAATAGCTATTATTTAAATTATTAATAACTTTTAGTATTAAGATAAGCAAATATCTTTTAACAATATAGTTAAAAAGCTATGCATTTATATTAAGAGCATTAAAACTCTTAATATAAAACTATATAGCATCTTTAATAATAAGAATTATTAAAGTAATTATTATCTTAAATGCTAAATTATTATAATCTTTGCAATAAATAACTTAATAAAAGTTTTAATCCTAAGTATTTTTTATATATATTAAATTAAAAAGATTTAGCTATTAAAGGATTAAATTACTATGTTAACCTAGCTTTAAAACTTTTTACATTAAATTATTAATAAACATATGCAAGGCTTATATATAAAGAAACTTATTAAAAAATATACATTATTACTTAAGCAATTTAAGCAAAAGATAATTATTAAAGAAATTAAAAAGAATAATAAAAAGTAAGAAAAGGAGATAATAAATAAATAAGCTGCTTGCAATGCTTAGTTTTAAAAAAATAAAAAGTAGCTAAAGGAAATTAATTTAAAGTAATATTAAGTGCATTTTAATAATAAAAATAAGGATAAAAATAATAATGTTTGCATTATAAAAATATATAATAAAAATGAATGTAAGCTAAAGGGTTTGGTATTAGCTTTATAAGCATTAACTTTCCCTATAAAGAAAAAATTTAAAATTAAGGCCTCTGCATAAAAGTTAATAATTTCCATAAAAAAGCAACCTTAAAAGCTAAGTATTAAGAATAATAAGTATAATATTTAAGAAATAATATAATAATAAAGATCGCAAGTTTAAAGGGTAATATAATAGCAAGGATTATTAGGATTTGCTTTAAAACTTATAAGTTATGATTTTAGGCTTTTTTAATAATATTTTCTTATAATAAAGGTTATATATACTTAATATGCAATAAATTATAATTTTAAGGCTAATTATAACAAGGATTATATATATTTATTAAAAGAAAAGAAAAACTATAAGTATTGGCAAGTACAACCCTCATTATTTAAAAGGCTACTTTAGTTATCCCCTCTAAGGCACGTAGCCTCTTAGAACTTAAATAGAACAATACCAATACATAATTGCTTCCCATATGATTATTATACGTACGAGAGACCTACCAATAGTTAATGTTATCCGGACAATGGACTTGAAACTTTGCTCGAAGCTGTTCCTCCTGGTACATGAAGGAATGTCTGTATACATGGGCTGTCTAATTCCACGTGAAGAAATAATTTGCAAAGACATGCAGAGCTTCTGAGCTTTCTGGGAGTCCGGATTCCCATCTAGTACTGCAAAAGTCTGCAGTCTCTACCCATTCTCGTTCTCAAGTAGAACCAGTGTTCCTTTGGCAAATAGTATTTCTTGCCCCACTCACCAACGACCAACACGTTGCATTGGCAAATTGGACTCTCCTGTGGGCCGGGAGGTACTCGAATCTCTTTGGCGACTACGTACCAGATGAGCTGCGACGGTGGGGGTATGTCATGTGGGACGCGCATCGGGTCGATGTCGAAGGCACGAAGGAATATTTCAAAATACTATAGGCGTCCTCACCTGCCCTGATGCTCGTTTGCCACCACTAGGCATGGTTGCGCGACGTGCCAGAAGCGTTCGTCCGATCCGCCACAACAGCCGCAAGCTTCTAAGTTAGGGCTTTTCGGTTCCTTCAAGCGTAAATTGGTCGTCATTGTCAACTTCTTGTCTCAGACGAAGTTATGCATGCGCAGGAGTAGGCAAACAAGTGATTCCTGCATTGTTGAAACAACCCCGTACTGCCTTCCATCCTGGCGAGAGCAACCGAACTAGAGTGGCTGGGTCGTTTACGGGTGAGGGGCGTCAAGGCGAAAAACCGTTTGGGAATTATGATAGTTGTCGCCGTGACCTGTTCTCTTACTATGAGACTGTTCCAAAAGTTTGACAATGGTTTCATGAAAATCGTTATGGGCCCTGCGGTCTATGTATCGAGCTTCCTTAAAATCGTACAGTGAATGACCGTCATGTGCGTAATCATGTGAATTATAAAACCCAACGACCTGTTTGGCTGTGAGCCCTACACCTAGATGGCCGAGGTAGTAGAGACATGCGGGCTCTCCATGACGATGACGATGAAGGAGGTGAAATATGCAAAGGACGGGGACGTGAACCGGCTGTACATGTTGAGCGTCACATTGATCGGGCCCGGGGTCCAGTCGGCCGGAACCACGCCGGTGATGCAGCACGGCCTGGATAAGTTGGGCTGAGAGAGAATTATCCAGTCCGTGGGCGGATTTGACGACACCCCGTTGAGGATGTCCCCCTCGTTCAACTCGTACGCTTCCTTGCCGATGGTAAAGGGCTGGCCCTGGTAGATAGTTGGGGTGGGGACGGCAGTCGGTCTCGTCCGCGTTGTTGACGGTGCGGTGGTCGTGGTCGATGACAGGTCGGTTGCCGTCGTCAATGTGGTCGACGTCGGAGGGGTGAAGGTCGAAGTCACCCAAGGAATAGTCGACGGTGGGAGGTGTGCTGAAGTGATGATGGGAGGAAGCGACCTTGATGGCGACTCCCGGGGAACTGTGGTGAGCGGCGTAGGAGTTGCAACCGAGCCTGGTGCCATGGGACTGACCGGAAGGAAGACATTGAGGACGATCACAAACCGGGTTTCGAAATCCCTCCTGTCGACATTCCTTCCGGCAATGTTATATTGTGCTGTGACTGTCACCGTGACAGGCCCTGCTGGGTAGTCGATGGGGACTTGCCCACTAATCGATTTCCCTCCACGATCCAGCCGGATCCAGTTCACATTGGGGTTGGTGTTTATTGCAGTGACAAGACCACTGGGAGACTCGAGGAAGCTCACGAGACTGAAGAAGAACGGCTGTCCTGCTGTCACAGCCAAAATAGCCTTGGCCGGTGTTGGGCTGGGGCTTGGTGTCGCGGGTCTGGAGACGGTGGTCTGATACCCAGGAGGCCCAGGAGGTCCAGGAGGTCCCGGAGGCCCTGGAAGTCCTGGAGGTCCAGGAAGACCGGATGAGCCAGCTGGGCCAGGCCAAACTGTCTGACTGCCTCCTGAAAGTTCAAGCCAGGTAGACACAAACGTGTTGCAGACAATTTTGGGCTGATCAGCAATGACTCGACAGGTTGAATAGGAGATGAATGTAAATGTGGTGCACAGGGCGAGCCGCACGTAAGAAACCAACACCATGATGTGTTTGGCAGGAGAACGAGATTGCACACTCTTGGATTCAAACCTATCAGACTGAAAGGATGAAAATGAAGCCATAGAGACAGATGTCACTAGGCCTGCATCATGGACGTTTGATATATGAAAGGGCGTCGACCTGTGTAGCGTGGATGGGAGTCAGGAAGCGCGAAGGACCCGTGAAGCTATGCGGTTGTCTCACATCGACGGCGGCTGGAGTCTCATAACCATAGATCGCCATTCGCAGCCCCAGACTGCACTTATTTAGCGGGTACACATCCATCAGCCAATCCCAGGAGACAAAAGTGGCCATAATTCGTGTCGATGCCGGTATTATTGTTACACGGCTTCATGGACCAGCCATGGCGTGATATGCGTTGGCTCATACTTGATGTCATTGAATCCTATTTGAAGATAATCTGGCCTCTATTGTTTCATGCTGGGGCAAATCACAATCGAATATGACAAGTGAACAGCGATTTGATGCGGCAAGACTCATGTGGTCCCCTCGCTTTCAAATGTTGTTCAAGACACACACTTCCTTCCTACTGCAAGTGGAAATTAATGAGCTGAGCCCACAGGCTTTCGTAATCCCGAAATGATCACTTGCGTAGGCAGTTCGTCATTTCTCGAAACTGTTCTTCCACGTGGGCAAACTTTCAATGTTACAATGTTGAAGGAAAGCCGGACCTCTACCAACCTCTTGGATTCCTTCAGCCCACCATCCAGAAAAGGTTCTTACAATGAGTTTTGGAGTAGTTCCAACATTCTTGCAATTTTCAGCGGAATTCTCGTGTATTTATTGCTTCGAGTCCAACTGTTGCTGTGTCGATAGTCCAAAACTTTTCATGAACAAACAAGCGAGCACTTGTATTCAATAAATATATCTACAATTGTCGATGTCCTTGACTTGAGAAGCACGACAGCGAGTGAGATCATGTTGTCTGTAGTTACTACTGTGAAAAGATTGGTAGCTCCTTGTAGACATGGCTCAGCACCTAGATATTTATAAAACCAATTCACTATCGGCCGGACTGGAGCAGAGCCCGGTTGAATTACTCGAAACATTCATACATCTACCTTGTTGGCCTCTTGATTATATTGGCTGTAGAAGAACCACTGTCACTTCTATCCTGCTTTACAGGCAGCTGTGGTAACGTAAGGGGAGTGCGCACGGACCATATGCACACATAAGAGAAAGCCCTCTCTGGACACCCCAAGCACTTCATCTCAACTCCGTTGTCAGGCTTCCCAGGGAGGTTTCGAGCACCATGTCTGCACCCGACTCAACCCCCGTCGTCTACGCCCTGGGCTCCAACGGATCCGGCCAGCTGGGCATCGGCCACGACCAAGACGTCTCCATACCGCGCCAGGTCGTCTTCAGCCCGGGTTCCGAACCCACCACGCCCATCGTCCGGGTCGCGGCCGGCGGCAACCACACCCTGCTGCTCACCTCGGACGGGCAGCTCTTCTGGGCCGGCGACTCCTCCACCGGCGCCTGCGGGCCTGCACCCACGGGGCAGGGTGCGCAGCAGCAGCAGCACGTTGCGCACGGCGTCGACCTGCCCCGGGGCGCGGACGGGACGGCTGCCGCCGCGCCCGTGAGGCTCATCGCCGCGACCTGGGAGGCCTCGGTCATCGTGCAGGCGGACGAGCAGGGCAGGAACACGGCGGTCTCGGCCTTCGGCGTCGGCATGAAGGGCGAGCTGGGCCAGGGCCAGTTCATCGTGCGCACGCCGTCTATTTCACGCATCAAGGACTTCCCGCCCCAGGGCGCCGAGGTCGTCGACCTGGCGGCCTGCATGGGCCACGCCGTGGCCGTGCTCAGCAACGGCGACGCCTACGGGTGGGGAAACGGCCGCAAGGGCCAGCTGGGCACTGCTGTGGACGGTGTCGCGGACGAGCCGCGCAGGGTTGAGGGCGTCGACTTCAAAATCTCGCGGGCGGTCTGCGGTCGGGAGTTTACGTGCCTTTTTGGTCCTTCCGAGAGCGGCGAGATGCTTGTGCTGGGCGCGGACAAGGCTGGTGTCAAATCTGCGGCGCCCGCCACAGCTCTGGGCTGGAAAGACGTTGGTGCCAGCTGGGGCGGTATCTACGTCCTCAAACAAGATGGCGAGCTGGTGAGCTGGGGACGAAATGACCACGGTCAATTAGCGCCGCCACAATTGCCACGACTGGATCGCATCGGCATCGGCAGTGAGCACGCGGTTGTCATCACGGAGGACGGCGACGTGCTGGCATGGGGCTGGGGCGAGCACGGAAACTGCGGCCCCAAGACGGAGAATGGCGATGTCAAGGGACGGTGGAACACAATTGCTTCCAAAAAGTACATTCCAACTGGTTCTGAAATCGTGGGTATCGGTGCGGGGTGCGCAACAAGCTGGATAAGCATCGAGATTCCAAGCCAACCCTGAGTGTTCACTATATACGGAAAGTGTCCCACCTGGTGCCAGTTCCCACACGACCAATACTCCCACACTCGAAGCAAATCTCCACATCGGCGAGCATGTCCAAGCCAGATATGCGTCACCAGTCCCCAAAGAGGCCAAACTTGCGGACGTCGGACACCCTTTGTGTCGGCTCCACGAATGGTGGCAAAGGCCCTCCAGAATCGTCGGGCGGGTTGCTCTGGGTGTTGCCGGAGTGGTCGCTGATTCGCATGGCCGATGGGTTCTGCGAGACCATTAATAACCACAGCCCCTATATATGCGGGCACACTTACCGGCTCGTTGCTGGCATCCCACTCCAGTCGGGGGTGTTCGCCTTCTTCATCATCGTCCGGATTGACAGGTGCCCACATTTCATCGTCGTCTGGCTGCGGGAGGAACAGCGACTCGGACTTGAGCGTGGACTGAGGCTGGACTAGTGGTGCTCGGATGTCGAACTGCGACGAACGAGGAGCAGTTGACCTCCTTGCTGGTGGCGGCATTCTGGCTTGCTGTTCTTGCTGCTCCCTCGGTGGCGCAGGAGTTGGTTGCCGCGAGTCGTTGTTGGCTCCCGCAGCTGGTGTGTTGGGTGCAGCATTCAGACTCGGTCTGGAAGCCTTTGTGGCGGCTTTGCTCTGACCCTTCTTCTGTACTGTTGTGCTCTTCTCATCCACCGTCATCAGAACAAACTCGCACACGATGCCATCACGGCCGTAGGAAATCTTCATTGGCCGGCCGGGTCTCGAGTATGTAGCATTGAGGTCGCCGCTTGTCCAATTGGCGTGCTGAAGAATGGCACGAAAGTCTCGCACACTGATAATGATGTGAAGCTTGTCGGCCACTTCGATGTCGTCGAATTCGTCCATCTCCACCGCAATTGATGTGTGGAGTGGTTTCTTCAACACAGCTGAAGCCTTGTCAGGGCCTGATCTGATCGGGATATCAACATAGAAGGCAAACTTACCCTCGTTATTTACACTGACTTGCTTTTCCGTGAAACATGTAAAGTTGACGACGTTCTCGCCGTCAGTGTTGATATCGAGAAGATCGATGCCAGGTCCGAAATGCTCCATCAGAGAGCGCAAGGTCCGCGAGTTGATGGTCCAGTGATTTATGGCCTCAGTCTTGTCGAACTTGGCATGGACAGGAGCCTTGGCTTCAAATGACAGTCGATGAGTCGCAGTGATCCCTATCCAAGGCTTCAGAAATGTGAACTACACCAAAGGAAGTCAGAAACTATACGCACCATTTCGGCAAAAGATCTTGGCGATGAAGCGGCTCTTCTTTCCTGGGCCATCATCAATGGCTACATCACACCTTTCAATAGTGGTGACATTGTCCCGATCTCTGGTAGGATCACCGCCTGTGCGGGTGCGGAAGACTGAGAGAAGGGCCTTTGAAGTAGATTAGTATACCTGGGAGCTTGGTAGCGGCGGGTATGGACGTGCCTTGATGTATATTGAGCAGAAGAATCTCTCGCGATACTGTGTGTTTCCCTCAAAATGGAATCGTGAGAAGAATCTGTTGGCGGCGAAGGTGAAGGATACGTAGGCGGATTTGGTGAGGTTCAGCGCAGTAAGGACCAACTACTCGGTTGGGGTTTCTGCGTCAGTGGGTCGGCGATATTTGGAGCATAGGCATAACTCGCATGAGATTGCCAAAGAGAGGCTCTCACCTTGTCCTTCTTGATCTCAAGCGACACGTCGTCACTGAATTTTTGGATGCAGACCAGCGCGTCATTGAAGGCGCCCACGCCGTCCTCGCTCAGGGTGAAATTGACGAGAGCCATGCCGGCTGTGGTTGGCTGCGTTGTCAACACGTCTGAGTGTCCCAGCCAGCAAGCATCGCCTCTTGTACTTGCTCTAAAGTCAGGGTGAATTGGCGCCGGGACGCATGTGAGTGCTGGTGTCAAAGTCGGTGCTGCCCGTTGGGCACTTCTGAAGCTGTGTTCCAGGGCAGGAAGTGAGCAGGAAGGACTGAACCGTGGATGTCGCGCCTGCCCAGGTCTGTAGTGTTATGGTACGGTACACTCGGTTGGGGCAACGGATCCTTTTTCAGGCCTACTAAGCCCTGAAGGCCTAGCAGAGGGTCCTTAATTCGAGAGGAATACCTTCAGGCGTGTTTCTTTTAACGAATGAAATTTTATATGGCAACATGTGTATTAATTTTCGCGATTCCTTGAAGCCGTAGACAAGGACGTCTGCATTGGGAGACGGTTCATTGGACTCGATTCCCTGACGCCCTAAAAGCCTTCTAAAGCTTGCAGGGATCGCCCGGGACAGAGGTTAACCAGCACATCTAGGCATACTTCCAATGGAGCAGTCTTCTCTGCATCAGCACAACAAACTGAAGAATTACAGTGGAAGGGATAGCCTATGTACCTTGACCTAGGTGCTCAGCTTAGCATTTTGGGTCTCAATAATCAAGTGCCATCACGACGGGTTAGGATCCCAGCTCGGCCTTGATGGCTGTCGAACCGCTGAAGCTCCCAGCAGTGGTGCTTGGCCCAAGTTCCCGGTCCCCTGCGCAGTGACATCAGTACTTGCTAAATTGGTAGGGCGCGCATTTGGAGTCAGCATTCCACCCTAACTTTGGTCCTCACTCTGCTGTCGCATCTTCCCTCATTCTCGACGCGTTTTATCAAGCACCGAACACATACCCTCATTTTTGAAAGCAAACTTTTATAAGACCGCCCTGGTCGAACGTCTCGAGGTGCTGTGAACGGAAGTGCTTGGCGTCAATACGCGTTCACTCCCTCACCCGTGAGAGCTCGTTAATTTCACGTTACAGTACTACACTTGTGGACCTCCACGCGCGTGCAGTACCACGACACATTCACACGTCCAAAATGGCCCGCGAAGTCCCACAAGAGATCTGGTGGCTCGTCTGCCAGGACTTGAAACTGCAGCAAGACTTCAGGAGTCTCTTTCGTTGTGCTCTTGTAAACAGAAGCTGGGCCGGTCTTGCCCTGCCACTCTTGTATAGGTGAGGCCCCACCCGGTCTCTCTAATATGTGCGCTCGACCGTCCCCAGTACTGACATGGCACACAGCATCCACGACTCTTCGAGTGTGGCCTCAGACGATGTAGGCACAACGGATCCCGGCAGGTGGGCGGGTATGTGGCGCTCGATCATCGTGTCCAGTCTCGGCGTAACCGCGTATCCGTACTGCCTCTGGATCAGGTCGCTGGGACTCAGTGATCTTGAGCAGCTCCTGCAGGGAATCGCCCGTGACAGGAAATGGAGAACCCTCTTCTTTAAGGGCCCCATGAAGACGTTTGAGATAATCAGCGGATCGACGAAAACCCGTCAAGGCAAACCGATTGTTGAGTGGCAGAAGATCATCGAGCGTGTTGGTAACACCATCACCCAGTTTGCACAGGAAGCCGCAGAGAAGCAGAACAAGTCCGTCCAGCTAGTTAGTCTTGAGGGTGCGAATCTGCCGACCGACCTCCTTTCAGTTTGGGTATCGAGATTGTCAACTCTGACCACGCTTTCCATCCGAGATGGCTCGGTCCTAACAGCAGAGGTCGCTGATTCTATCCATCGAAACTGTCCCTTCTTCAGAGACCTAACTTGTTTCAATATCAAGGGACCGACTGTTGACCAAAACATGTCTGAATTCTTCCGCGGTCTCCGAGAGAATTCGCTGGAGAGTTTCAAGGTTCACAGCTCCAACGAGCTCGGGTACGAAGCTCTGGATGGGCTCATGCAACACTCGCGCTCACTTCGGTTGCTCAATCTTTCGAGTCTTCAAAACACCTGTCTGGCGGCTCTCGATACCTTGAGTCGATGCCAATACTTGGAAAACCTCAGCATTGAAGCCAGCACGCCTTCGCTGCCGACCACTTGGGCAGTGAGTGGCGAGGATCCTCTTCCCAAGGTTTCTGCTTGGTTGAAAGAGTGCAAATCCTTGAAACGACTTGACATCTCGAATCTCGCAGGTGCGAGCAAGCTTCTCTCCGAAATCTTGGAGTCGCCTGATCTGCGTCTCACCGACTTAAGTTTGGGCCTGATTGATGACGAGGAAGCGTTTTACACCACTCTGGGCAATCAGACAGCACTTGAGAGCCTGTCTCTACGTTCCAGTGCAGAAATCGTCGATCCAAACAGGGCGCGGCACGACAAGTTTATTGATTCTATCTGCTTGTGCACAAGGCTCAAAGACCTCGACATAATGCAAAAGGTTGGAGGTATTGATCAGGTCCAACTTACCATGGAAGACCTCGTGCTCATCAAGACCTCGCTTCCCCAACTGGAAGACCTCAGCTTTGACGGCGAGTATCTTACCGATGCCCTTTTCGAGCCTCTCGCGCAAATGGAACGTCTGAAATCGGTCTCTATCAATGGCTCATCGATCTTTACTTTCGCCGGCATCAAGTCTTTCATCGAAGCGCTCAGGACGAGCGGCACACACAAGGGCTTCCGACTCTACGTCATGAACCAATATGGTGAGGCTGAGATTTCAGAACGGCAGCAAGAGCAGCTTGCCCAACTGATGGCTGTTGGGCTCAACGGTGTCTTCGAACTGGCGTACTGGCGAAATCCTTCCGAGGACGACATGTCGGATTTATCCGACTAAAATACTAGTTCGTTCTGACGGTCGACTATGGTTAGTCACCAAATTGTTGATGGGTTTGAGAAGCTTGAAATGACGACTTCATTCAGATGTCTCGCGTCGGACCTCAGCAGTGTACCAGTGCCAGGACCAAAGGCGCTTGCGTCAGGAAAGAGTGAATCAAGAATCCCTGCAAGTATCAGGGGTCTCAAAGGTGAGGCCATGTGGGATGAGGACGCTCAAGCAATTTGACCGCTCAAGTCGCTGGCTTGTCTTGCCTTCCCCTTGTTCATATACTTCGCCAGCCAATGCCCGGCCTCTCACTGCCAGGTCCGTATTTCGCATCAGGCATTCCTATCACCATTAACCTGCGGTCTCCGCCATGCCCGCCGCTCACAAATTGGCGCCTCTCGTCCCCCGGGAAACAAGCGGGCAGAAAACCCCCAACTTCCCCACCAAAGTCCCGGAGCCCAGCAGCAACCTGGTACGCGTTGTTCCGACACTCCCACCCGCAGTAGTCGTCCGAGTACAGGACGTAGATGTTGTCCGGGCCTGGGTCACAGTCGTCCGGCATGTCGAAGGGGATCTTGCCCACATTCTCCGGCTCCCATGCCTCGGGCTCGGTGATGCGCATCAGCTGCGCGAGGACGTTGTTGCAGGAGGCGTAGGAGAGGAGCGTTGGTGGTGGGTGGCCACATAGGGGAATGGTTTGGATGTAGATGCACATCGGGAAAGGGAGGTCTTCGTCGGTGGCTATGCTAGGGTATGAGCCTCGCTGGGAAAACCGGGCAAACCACTGGCCTTGTTGAGAATCGACGCAGGCTCGTGAAGGTGGGCGATGGCCCTATCCTTGGATATGGGCAGTGAATCGCTAGTGAGAGTGAGTTGGCTGGATGCCAAGGGTGCTGGGAGAGGAACTATTACTAGATGACTGGATCGCTTGGGTACTCTCTGTTCTCCTTGACACAATTATTCACCAAGCGACTGAATTGTCGACCGAATGCGACACCACATGAAAACCTCGAACATGACAGAAGCCTCCCAATTAAATCATCCGCGCGGCTTCTTCTTTGGGTGGTTCTCCGTGGGAAACCTGTCGTGGGTGCTTTCCGAAGAAGGCTCAGCGTTTGGGGCCGCGCTCAGCGTGTTTCCGCAAACCTCAAACCACAACGGTAGCAACTCTTCCCAATCGTCGGGGTTTTCTCACGGCTTTGGTGCTAATCTGACGATGCTGGAGGACGAGAAACAGTCGCGTGCTGGGCTGTCTCAGGACGGAGGGAGCAAGCTACCTCGGGGGACACCGCAACATCTCCTATAATGAGACGGCCTCCTGAGGGAGTGGACTCGGTTTTGCAGCGGTGGGGAGCAAGGGGAGAGAAAGGGAAGCCAAATCTCCCACAAGCAATCAGAGATGGGCGGGCCATGGTAGCAGGTGCTCACGGCACAGGAGGGAGGTGGCAACAAGGCAGGTGAGTAAACTTCGGACGGCAAACTTTCGACAGACAAACTATTTGCAGGATCGTGGCTTGAAGGATGACGCTTGCTTGCTATGTCCCCGCGTCAGGTTGAGGAAGAGAGACTGGGGGGTTAGGAAAGGGTTTGAAGCAAACGCGACACCCTGACGGGGCAGGCTTTTGAAGCCATGGTGAAGCACCGCGGGAGGTTCCAGCGCTCCGTCTCTGTGCTACCAAGTGGAACCGCGTTCAGCCTCATCTTCCCAGGCGCTGGGGCCAAAATGCGGATGTTGGACAAAGTTTGAGAGCGCTGCCCATTGATTCAGAACATAGAGGGGTATCTGGTTGTTCGGTGTAGACTGAAGATCACAATATGAAATGAATACAATAGAGTCCCCATCCGTCATCCGATACAATGCAACAAGACCTGCCCCTGTGCCACACACACATGCTGACTCCACAATGCGTTCATGCACAACAGAAGGAGAGAACAAACCCAGAGGACCAAGAGGAAAACAAGAACGAAGAAGACAAAGTGTCCGCCGAGATTAATTAATCCAATCCATCTGTAGCTCCTCAGCCTCAAAACCCATGCGGATCATCGCGTCGGCCGGCTCAGCCAAAGACTGGTTCCACTGCATCTTCTCCCGAAGTTCATCCGTGATTTTGTCGGTATCGACATCGAGGTATTTCCTCAGGAACTGGCCGACTTGCGTGTTCTCCACGTTGCCATGAATGTCCTCGGCTAGGCGCCCGCCGGAACTATAGATATTCACATCGACGGCGGAATGGCCATGAGTCGACCAACCGATTCTTGCGCGCTGGCTGATCATTCTCGACAAAGTGTAGATCGCGTGTTCCGGATCCGACGCCAGCTTCTTGAGCTCAAAGTCGCGGGCATCAGCAATTCCTAGGCCTGGGATTACGAGCTTGGTGTTGATCCAGTTCTCCAGATCTTCAAGAGCGGCGGGCTCAGACTTGATGGAGGCGATGTGTTCGTGCAGTTTGTGTGCTAGGTACTGTGCAGAGGCGTTGGCCTTTGCTAAAACAGTTGGATACCAGTTATACACCGGCAGTTCCGCAGTCGGTGACTCTGTGAATTGTTAGACAGATACGCGATACATATTGGTAAGTTGGGACTTACGCCAGGCTGTCGCCAGGCCACCAGTCTCGTGATCACTGGTGGCCACAAGTAGACCCTCGGTCTTGCTATTCTCGAGATAATCCAGAACAAGCTTAAAAGTCTTGTCATACTCAAGAACCTCCCTGACGTGTGACGCCGGGTCATTGATGTGTGCTGCATGGTCAATCCGACTACCCTCGATCATGAGGAAGAAGCCCTTGTCGCTATTCTCGGTGGCCTTCGTGAGCGCTTTCAATGCAGTTGTTGCCATCTCGCTCAGGCTTGGATAGACGTCGGCCATATTCATGCGGTCGATTTCAAAGGGCAAGTCGGTACTGGCGAACAGACCGAGAACAGGCAAAGACGCATTATCGCCGCCCTGGAGACTGTCGAAGCCCGCGCGGTCATCAAAATACGTCCATCCGTGTTTCTTCTGGGCGATGCCCGCAACATTCACATCGTCAAGTCGACAACTTCCGTCGGTCGAGTTCGGGAGGAAGTGGCAACGTCCTCCGCCAAGCATCAGGTCAACAACTCTCCCGAGCGCACCCTCGCCGATTTCCTGCAGGGCAATCTCGTTCTCCTTTTCTCGGATGTCGACGTGGCTGGCGAAGCAAGCCGGCGTGGCGTCCTGTAAATTGTCAGTCACCATTCGCCCACTCAATGAACGAGGGACAAGATATCAGATAAGAACACTTACAGTGATATCGGTTGTAACCACCAATCCCGTATGGTATCCGTCCTTCTTCGCGGCCTCTAAGACAGAACCACAAGGGGAAGAGTCCGGCAGTATCGAGATGGCTCCATTGTAGCTCTTTTTTCCGCAAGAAAATGCCGTTGCTCCCGCTGCCGAATCCGTGACCAATTTGTTGCTCGACCGCGTCCGACTCGTGCCCCAAAAGTGCTTGTCCAGCGTCAGGGTGTCGTCGTACTCGAGGCCCTCCACCAACTGCCTATAAGATCTCGTCAGGGACAGAGATGCGGGTCCCATGCCATCCGACACCATGAAGATCAGGTTCCGCTTGCCGGGGGGCTTCGAGAACTGCCCGGTCTGCTGGTTGTGCTGGAACCATACTGCCAGGACGATGATTATCGCGGTGGCTAGAAGCGCCCAGACGAAGAGGACGACCTCGCGTAGCCGGTACGCCCACGGCTGGCGGTCCGGCGAGGAGCCGCGGACCAGATTGTCTTCCTCCTCAGCGAGGCGGTCGGACCGCGCTGAGTCTACTGACCGGCGCGGGTCGGCGAGAAGGGGAGTCCGATCGGAAGGCTGGTGGCCGTAATACATTGTTTAGCTTATCCTCAAGACATTGCCGCAGAACAGTGCCGGCCGGGGCAAGTCACTCACCATGGCGCCGTTCTTTTCGATAACACGAGATATGAGGACAACTCCCCCGTCCTTGGGAAGCAGAAGGGATTGCGCTTCCACGTCCGCCGTCGGCGGTGGGCGGGCGACCCTTAAAGCTCCTGAGACAGCTTTGGGGGTGATAAGCACAGTGGGGCTGTCACTGCGACGTCATGTGGGCCCTTTTAGTCACCCAATCACTGCAGCAAGGTCCCCAAGCGTTCAACGACAGCCGTCCCACACCTCGTTGCATTGCTGTAGCAACTTACACACTTCATAGTCTACATGAACCCCAACTCCTGCTTGTCATGGTCGCAGAAAGGTCGTGGGGAAAGCGTCACACTACCCTTCCTCCTGACTTCTCAGCTGTTATGCTTAGAATGCAGGCTTTCAATGAAGCGCAAGAATCTGCGCTACCACTCGGGGTGAGGTACACGCGAAGGCCTCTCCAACTCTAACTCTCCCAGTCAAGACACCTTGTCATGAGCTCCCTTGTGTTACCTAGCCAAGGCATCCAACGGGCTGTGAAGCACCTGCGACTATTCTTCTCCTCTGCCGCTTCATACATTTCGTAACTCCGCGCAAAACAATAGGTTGATGAGTCTGACCCCTCTCCTTTTCTCTTCAAGATGAGTCCTAGTGGACTCACTGCCATTGCAGCCATTTGGTGAGCATGGTGATACCGTCTATCGCTCTCCAGGGGCCGCTTTGTGATCATTCTCTCCAGGGCCTGTTTCCTGAGTCTTCGTGTTGTCCTGAGAACCCTCCACGGAAGATCCATCCGTGTAGAGATCCAAGAGATCCTCACTGCTGTCAGCCATGTGAAGGAAAGTGTTGGAAGGGGTCAGGGGTGCATCGGTCAAGGTGGTCAAGCCGGTCTCGTCCTCATCTTTGACGTCTGACTCAATACACTTCTCGACCTTGTTGCCCTCGCTATGGGCAGTCTGGGCAGTCTGCACAGCCTGAACAGCCTGGTTCTTCTTCTCAGGAGCCTTGCGCAGGCCGATGTTGCGCACGACATTGGCATCAGCGATCGGGCGGCCAGACTTGCGGAAGCCGTAGCCCAGCGCGACCGTTGGTGGGATGTCGCCCTTGAGGATGCCGTCTAGGTCAAGGAAAGACACTTCATCACCCATCATTCCCTTGCCACACGCCGGGCACAAGGTCTGCTTGCACTCCTGAGTCTCGTTCTTCAGGAAGGGCCTCTCATAGCCAGCCAGGCCAAGTAAGCCAAACCGGTCGGTGATCGCCTGTTCGTTCGCGTGGCCTCGCTGTTTCAGGAGCTGGGCGAGCTGGGGCGCCGAAAGCGACTCGATTTGCTCGGGCGTCAGCTCTTCGAGAAGGCTCAGCTTGTCTGACCGTGCGGCGGGGCCTCTGCCCGGCCGCTTCAACTGGTGGCTGAACATCTCTCCGATGTCGTCGAAATGCTCCTGCTTTGCAGTCAGCAATTGCCCTCAAAATACAAACTGAAATTGTGTCCAGTGCTAACAGTGTGTCCATCTCGAATGGACTCGTAGAGTCGAGTCTCGGTATCGTGGCAGCAGCGGTAGAACCAACCAAAGTCTGAGCCACCACCGCATTTGTCGCACCGCAGAGTGTCATCATACTGTTGTTTGGTCAGCAATGTATATGTCTAGAGAGGGCTGAGCTGACGAGGACGCCTGAAGGTCCACTTACCACACGGGTCTTGCTGAGCGAATGGCAGTTCTCGAGGTGGGTACCGCCAGGACGACGAGCTGGAGGCGAGTGCTGCGAACCAAACACCGCTCCTCGAGGAGGAAGAGGACCGAAACCTGGAGGAGGACGTAATCCTAGGGGATGAGGTAGGCCTGGCGGAGGAGGCAAGCCAGGAGGGGGCGCAAAACCAGGAGGAAGAGGCGCTTGCAAGTGGCCGTAATCAGGCTCAACAGTGGGTGCTGCATTGCCTGTCGCTGGACTGGGCGACCCAGGAGGAGTGAATGGCACACTGGAAGACATCTTGCGGACGAATCGAGCGGCGTGACTGAGCTTGCGCATGCGCGACAAGTTGTGGTTGGGTTCTGGCTCAGTTTGTGTAGGCTGAGGAGCTTCCCCGGAGACGTGGGAGCGCTCCATGTTTACTGAGCACTGAAGATAGAGCGTGTGGGCAGTGAATGAGGAAATGTCACCTTGGTGGTTTGGAGGAGGCGCCAGGGAAATAATCCACAGCCTTGGAGGTCTGATGTCTCCAGGTAACGTTTAAATGACACTGGGGAGCACTCCTGTTTCTTTTCTGTCGTCGTCGAGGCAGTTCTCGGCTAGATTCTCCAATCCAGCAAGGCCCTCGGAAGGCAGTCCATGTGGAAGGCAAGACAATCAGCCCCGGTTCTTGAGCTGCTGACCTTGCAAGCCAAGACACTACACTTATCTTTTCTAAAACTCGCTCACAGGCAGGCAATATCTGCCCTTTCCACATAATTCTGATGAAAGGCTCGGGCAAGCTCTTGAAAAAGCCAGTGACAAGCCATGGACCGCTGAATCACAAACGCTTCCTCCATCAACTATGCTATGACATCTTCCTTGATGTTCCTTTCTCCTTCAAAGATACATTTTTGTCTGCAATCGTCTTAGGTTGAGTCTATCACAGATTGTCACAGTTTCAACTGAATTCCTAGACCGCTTGCAATTTGCAAAGCTCCTCGCCCTGTCCCTGTGTTTTCCCAGAGGATATGCCAGCCAGCCCTCAGGACCATTACGATAGAGCCGCGCGGGATGTGGCATTCTGTCTTTGCTTGCAAGTTCACTTGAACAGGTGGGCACTTCTTTTAATATTCAAATGCGTAAAGTTCAGAACTTAGCGATAGAGAATTTGGTCACCCATCCTTTCACTCAGATACAGCACGAAGCTGGAATACAAGTAAGTATGGCATTCAAACATTAGACCGGTAGATCTGGAGTGAAAACTCCCGGGCTGAAGACTCAATGCAATCACTTAGAAAACGGGAGGCAAGGTCTTGACTATCAAGGCCTCATGTCGAGAAGAATACTGTCAGAGCTCTACCCAGCTCAGCCTGTACGTCGCCGCCTGGGAGCAGTATTGGAGAGGCACGATCATTTCCGATTTGAAGTATGTACTCTGTGGCCTCGACACTTTCCCCGACTCCTGACCGGCCTGACCTGCAGCTCTGACCTGTGCAGTAGATTCAAAACGCCTTAGTAATCCAAGCATGGTTCGTCTTTCAGCGATGACTATTCAGTCCCCGAGCATTCCGTGATGATACTGGCTGATTTGCATGTCCTCCAAGGCAGGCGATACTTGTAAAAGAGAATATTAGGAAATCGATTCGTCTGATCGATGGTTCACCTCATTCCTGCCCGTAAAAGCAGGGTTGGACAACACATAGCCTGCGAGTATCTCGGAGAGGTAGAAGGAATGACCTTTCTAATAAAGGCCCGAGGTTGGAAAACGATGACCTCGGGCAGAGTCGAGCCGGTTCAAATGACTGGATGGGCGTGTATGATAAGGGGTACTTGCAAATTTGGATGCGTCCTTGGTAACGCTGGGGAAATCAATGTCCTGCACTAACAGTTGTGCAGAGCTCCATCCTGTAGCAAGTTTGTTGATGCGAGCAGGACCGGAAAGGCTAGACTGCCGAGCGGTCCCCAGCGCGTTGCGAGCTGCACCCATGCACGAAGCCCCAATTGTGCCTGGGCGTGGGGTAAAAGACCAACCTCCCCGATTCTGTCTCTTCCAATTGATCTCCCGCTTTCCCTCTCTCAGGCTTGAAGACTGTACGACGGTGCTTCACTTCTTGGTTTGGAAAAGAATCAGGACTTGCTGCAGACCGTCTTTGCTCGTAAGTAAAACAAATTTCTCTTATGCTGAGACCCTCAAGTGCGACAGAAGCGCCCGTTGCCCCGGTCAGAGCCAATGGAGATGCCGAGACATGCATGTAAACAATGAACTCGGTTCCCACTTTATCGTGCAACGACCAGCCTCCTCCCGACTTCGCGGCCGGCCACCATCTGCACAATTTCGCACTCCACAGAGCTAACCACACCTGTTCCTCCCAGGTTTCGTCCTTCCACAGTCCGGCGACGGTTCAGCATAACCTACCGCGACCATGTCAGTCAAGTTCGAGCGAGAGACGTACAAGCAGGCCGAGGGCGCCGCCGGCCCCGCCGTCTCTGCTGCAGCGGAGCTTCTCGGGAGGGATGGTCCCATTCCCGGGACAAGCGGCAAGCACCCTATATCCGAGGCGGTCGGCACGGCCCTTACTGGTGGCAAGCAGATGGCGGGCACCAAGGGCTATCTGATGGTACGTCACTGTCATGGGCTTATGAACAGCATCTCGCTGTGCTATCAAGCAGCTATTGCGGGGGAACGAGCCATGGCGACCACTCGGGGCTAACACAACGCACCCTGCGCAGGCATACATCAAGCAGCTTGAGGAGAACCCAATGCGGACCAAGATGCTGACCGCCGGCACGCTCGCCGGCGCTCAGGAGGTGATTGCCTCGTGGCTGGCGAAGGACCGCAACAAGAACGGCCACTACTTCACGTCGCGCGTGCCGAAGATGGCCGCATACGGCGCCCTCGTCAGTGCGCCGCTCGGCTCACTGCTGATCTGGGTTCTGCAGAAGGTCTTCAAGGGGCGCACGAGCCTGCGAGCCAAGATCTTGCAGATTCTCTTCAGCAACCTCATCGTACGTTTCTGATTGCGCCATTATCGTTGTACAACTGGTGCTGTTGACGGCTGACAACCATCTTTAGATCGCCCCCATCCAGAACGCCGTTTACTTGAGCGCCATGGCCATCATCGCCGGCGCCAGGACGTACCACCAGGTGCGGGCCACTGTCCGCGTCGGTTTCTGGAAGGTCATGCGTGTCAGCTGGATCACATCGCCCGTGTGCCTGGCCTTTGCGCAGAAGTTCCTGCCCGAGAACACCTGGGTGCCCTTCTTCAACCTGGTCTCGTTCATCATCGGCACCTACATCAACACCGTGACCAAGAAGAAGAGGCTGGCCGCCTTGCGCAAGAAGCACTTCGGTGACGACCGCAGGGGACCGGGTTCGGTGGCCGGGCCTCCACCATCGGACTACAAGGGAGACTACTCGATTGGGCCGAACCCTCCATACTAAGTCAAGCATGGTACGTACGACTGAAATGCGTACAAAGTCTCGAGGGCTGTGGGCGTGATCGCCTCAGTTGGCCGGAACATTCGCAGTCGTCTTGCCTGAAAGTGGGCGCGTTGGGGTAGAAGGACAGATGGGCCGCTCAGGACAGTGGTACACGGTTTTTATCTGGATGAGACAGATCGTTTGGATACAGGGGTAGCAGCTGGGGAACGAGGTGACCGGAAAATATTACGACGAAATGAGCAAAGTCGGCTTGGGTTGCGAAAAGGGCTGGCTGGGATTGTATAATTCAGGATCTTCATATGATGTCTCGCAGTATATGTATCTTGTTGAACGGGTAGATTACGGTCATGACTGCTTTATTATAATGAGTATGACTTGCCTACTGTACACCACCATCTTGACCCCGGGCAGTGATGACTGCACGTGGGGAGGAGCCAGACAGCCATCGAAGCCCGATTCGAAGCCCGATTCACTAGTGCGACTGCGCCGCTGTTGGTTAGAAGCTGCCTAGTGCTTTGGAGCTCATTCACTTCCTCAGCTCCTCTGCCGTCCGTACCTGACTCCGTTTGCGTGCTTACCTAACTAGTGCGACCCACTTGCGCCTGACCGCCCAGATCGCCCCAGGACCCTTCCCTTGTTCTGGGCGATGGGTTTTGCTGTTCCCGTTATCAGGCAAAACCCAAATTTTTTTACGTCGCAAATCTTCGCCTAGACCTCTTCCCTCTCTCAACAACCACCCATCTCTCCCTCTTCACACCACGTCTCCTTCATCACCAAGACCAGGTCATTCCCATCTGGCTCTCATTCTCTGTGCTATCCTATCGCAGAGACCCTTTGTGCAACTGTATTGATTGATTACCAATCTCGCAAACAGTCCCCCATCCCACGAACCCCAGAACCTTTTCAGAGACGAAGTCAAGTCCACAACAACACCCGACAGCACGATGTCTTACGGTGGAGGCTACGGATCCCGCGGCGGCGGCGGCGGAGGCTACTCAAACGGCTACGACCGGAGTGACCGTGGCGGCGGCTACGGTGGAGGTGGAGGTGGTTACGGCGGTGGTGGCTACGGAGGGTAAGTTTTCACTCTTTCCGACTTTTCATCCATCAAGCATCCGTGCGCCGCGTCAATATGCCGCAGCGAGCAGAAGCACCAAGGATATCTCTTTGCATGAACGTGTTCCTACAGAAAACATACTGACTTGATCGCAGTGGCGGCTACGGTGGCGGCGGTGGTGGTTACGGCGGTGGCGGCGGTTTCGGAGGCGGAGCCGGTGGTGACCGCATGTCTAACCTCGGAGCAGGCTTGCAGAAGCAGACTTGGGGTAAGTTTGGCTGCCAAGCAGCACAATCCCCTACATTTTCTCATTGTCATACTAACTGGACCGACACAGACCCCAGCACCATGCCCAAGTTCGAGAAGTCCTTCTACAAAGAGCACCCCGATGTCGCTTCCAGGTCGGATGCCGAGGTCGAGAAGTTCCGACGCGACCACTCTATCGCCGTATTCGGTACCGAGGTCCCCAGACCCGTCGAGACCTTCGACGAGGCTGGTTTCCCTCGCTATGTCATGGACGAGGTCAAGGCTCAGGGTTTCCCCGCCCCAACCGCTATCCAGTCGCAAGGCTGGCCCATGGCCCTGTCCGGTCGCGACGTTGTCGGTATTGCAGAGACAGGATCCGGAAAGACACTTACTTACTGTCTTCCTTCCATCGTCCACATCAATGCTCAACCTCTCCTGGCACCCGGCGACGGCCCCATTGTGCTTGTCCTCGCCCCCACCCGAGAACTGGCTGTCCAGATTCAGCAGGAGATCACCAAGTTTGGCAAGTCCTCGCGCATCCGCAACACCTGTGTCTACGGTGGTGTGCCCAAGGGCCCTCAGATCCGTGATCTTTCCCGCGGTGTGGAGGTCTGCATTGCTACCCCCGGTCGTCTGATTGATATGCTTGAGGCTGGCAAGACAAACCTTCGCCGCGTTACCTACCTCGTGCTCGACGAGGCAGACCGCATGTTGGACATGGGTTTCGAGCCTCAGATTCGCAAGATTATTGGCCAGATCCGCCCCGACCGTCAGACTCTCATGTGGTCTGCTACATGGCCCAAGGAGGTTCGCAACCTTGCCAAGGACTTCCTCCACGACTTCATCCAGGTCAACATTGGCTCCATGGACCTGGCTGCCAACCACCGCATCACCCAGATCGTCGAGGTTTGCAACGAGTCAGAGAAGCGTGACAAGATGATCAGGCATATGGAGAAGATTATGGACGACAAGAACAACAAAATCCTCATTTTTACTGGTACCAAGCGTGTTGCCGACGAGATCACCCGTTTCCTCCGTCAAGATGGCTGGCCTGCGCTGTCCATCCACGGTGACAAGCAACAGAACGAGCGTGACTGGGTCCTGGACCAGTTCAAGACAGGAAAGAGCCCCATCATGGTGGCCACCGATGTGGCTTCCCGTGGTATCGGTATGTATAATCGCCGCCCCCACCCCTCGCCCCCTCCCCTTCCTCTCACCCCCAAGCAGCTTCCAGCATCGCTACTTGACGTGCTTTACTCTGGTGTACAGGGGCTCTCTTGATTGCGCAAATTGCCAGACCTTGCAAGTGTCTTTTTGGTCTCTTTGAGAGGAGTCTTGGGTTCACGATTGTAGCAGACCTCGGACTGAATGTGCTACACTCGTGCTTCTTCTCTTGTACCTGTCCGTGCTCTGGTACAAGCGTAGAGCTGGCATTTCTTGACCTTGATCAAGCTGTCTCCAAGATTCCCAAGGCCCGAGGACCTGGAGCAATGACTTTCCAGCCGGCAATGATGTTCGCAAGGGATAGCCCTCCTGCCAAGGAGAAAGACCACTGAGAAAAGCATGAACATACTTAGATGTCACATGCCATCTGTCCATGCTGGGACGTTGCTATACCACTCAACTGCCGCCTGCTAACCATACTTATTCAAGATGTTCGCAACATTACTCACGTGTTGAACTATGACTACCCCAACAACTCGGAGGATTACATCCACCGTATTGGCCGTACTGGCCGTGCTGGCCAGATGGGTACCGCCATCACCTTCTTCACCACTGACAGTGAGTAACTAACACATCCTCTCCGCTGCGCAGACTTTGCTAACCCGACTCTAGACTCCAAGCAGGCTCGTGATCTCGTGAATGTCCTCCAGGAGGCCAAGCAGCAGATTGACCCCCGTCTGGCCGAGATGACCAGGTACGGTGGTGGTGGTGGTGGCCGCTTCGGTGGGTACCGGGGCCGTGGCGGATACCGCTCAGGCGGCGGCGACCGAGGTAAGCATCTTTCACATGAGGCTTGATGATCATAGCAGAGCTCTGACACGTCAAACAGGAGGCGCCAACGCCATGCCACTCAACAACCGTCGTTGGTAAATTGCCAAACTGGGAAAGGACCACTCTGGGACCATTATACCCAGACGTGACCGTCTCTATCGAGTTGTGATGTGATTCACTTTTTTTACAAGGAGGCACCTCGGCTTCGGCACATTATGGCGTTTTTTCGTAGATTGGCTTTTGGGGGTTTTTTAGAGGCTGGCATTATTTCCCTTTGCTGACATGGTATTTGTCCCAGTCGCGGCTTCATGTTAGAGTATCTGCCACAGTGCCTCAAGACATCAGATGTGATGGCGAGGCATTTTCTAGTGAAGGAGAGGTCATCCACGGACGGTAAAAAAGGGTTCGTCCGAACGCATGGCAGAAAAAAGTTCTTAAATTTTGGTTTGAAACGTAGCGACTACTGGCTAAGCTTGGGGCCGCTACCGCTCTTTGTCCAATAAGTTATTGCATGTGCTACTTCACCACGCAAGAAGTTGTATGAGGAGTGCCATGGGATCCGGGTTCTGTATCTATCTAGTTTCTAGTTAGGCCCTAAGGTAGCTGAAGGTAGCATGTGGCTGGTCTCCAGTTACGATCTTCAACTCGCGGGGCTTTGCCTATGCATGCATGTGACAATGTCAGGCAGGACCGAGACCTATCCATCCATCATGGCATGCAGAAGACACTGGGATGTCGCGGTGTTTCTGTACCGGGTAGTGACAGTCTCGCATCCCATAAGCTGGGAGCGACTGGTCAATGACTGGTGAGGACAACAAGTCTGACGTGGCAATTTGACAGCGCTGTGTCTTCGAGCGGGCATGCTTCCTTGCCTTGCAACCAGTGATTTTCGGTGGCGGTGAGCTGGTCGGACCTCCCGTCTGTCTGCCTCTCTGGCTGTTTTCACCACGCAGAGACGGGAACTGGGGAGCCTGGTGGCCACGGTTCTGTTTTGCCGCGCGTGAGACGTGCTCGGCGGCAGCAAGCTGTGGGTGACACGACTTCAGCCCACATCATTCGGGGGAGAAGATCTCCTGCGCCTCGATCATGAAGCCAGGGCTCCAGTACTCCCACTCGTCGGCCTGCTTGTCGATCCACAGCATGCCCTCGCCGAGGAGGTCATCCAGCGCAGTCCCGGCCCGGGCCCTCGTCCAGTGGAGGTTGGCCATCAGCATGGAGACGCTGATGTACCCGAGTACCTGGACCGCCTCGAGGACCGCGCTCTGGTCCGTGTTCAGCTCCTTTGGAACCGAGCGGATGTAGGGCTTGCTGCCGACCTTTATGACGGAGAATGATGAGCCCAGTGGTTTTAAGGTACCAACAGCGCGTAGGATATCATCCCTGTTTGACCGTATCAGCATTTACTTCATTGTAGGAAGAGAAGCAGGGCCTCGACAGCAGGACTTACTCGGTGACCTCCTGTGAGCCCTCCATGCGGCCCCTCATGATCCGCTCCTTGACCTTGCGCACCTCGATGAGCCCGCCGTTCTCGCTCCTCGTCTCGCCGCAGACCTCGACCACGCGGACGGCGAGCTCGAAGTAGAAGTCGTTGACGGAGCGGCCCAGTAGCTGCGCCCAGATGGAGCCCCCCGACGACGCGCCGCCGCCGCTGTTGCTGCTGGCCAGAGGGTCCACGCCGATGGCGGCGCACATGCGGGCGAACTGGGCGCGGAAGCTGGGGCTCGACCGGATGTCCTTGGCGTGGGTCTGCGCGAACTGCTGCAGCAGCGACCGGAAGACGGACAGCTGCGTCTCGAGGGCCTGCGCGTTGGTCGACCGGAGGATGTTGCCGTGGCTGGCGTACTGGGCGGACGTTAGCCGGCTGCGGTCGAAGGCCGCCAGGCCGACCCCTTTCCGTGACATATTCCTTTCCTTGACCGAGATAAGGTTCTTTTGTAGTCTTTGACAGGCGGGTGAGTATCTTGAGTGAGATAGCCTCAGCTTGGCGTTGGCAGGTACCTATGTAATCGCTCTACCCGGGCTCTTCAGAACTCAAGTATGCAAATTTACAAAAGCCGTCTCTGCCAGCTCAACTAATGTGTAAATTTGTCTACAAAGCAAATCCAGATACAAGGGCGATTATGACCTAAGTTTCTCTGGTAATATTTCAGTTTGTCCAAGTCGACATCGACGTCGTTGTCGCTGGCTGCATGGGGTCTCCGGGGACCCGGCCGATAAGATAAGGTCACGTGTGGATGCTTGCGCTAGTCCAGACTAGGAAAGGTCAATTTTCTGCAGTTTGCCCACAATCGCCCAGGGCCCAGCAGCGAAAAATCATCTTCCGCCCATTCAACCCATCGCACCGAAACGAACGCCGTCGACGACTTCCCTTCTCAACCACTGACAACCCCAGCCAACACCGTAACAATGGCTTCGACCCAGTCAGTTCAGTGCTTCGGCAAGAAGCGAAATGCGACGGTTCGTCTCCAACGGCCCCGGCCCACCGACTGCGAGTGCGACAAAGTCAACAGAAGGGATTAACAGAAGTGCTGACTTTTGCTGGGAATGCATAGGCTGTCGCCCACGCCAAGACCGGAAAGGGTCTGATCAAGGTCAACGGCCGCCCTCTCCAGCTCGTTGAGCCTGCCATTCTCCGAACCAAGGTACGAACTTGATCGACACGAAGGCCCCTTTGAAATACGGCCCCACTGTTGTGGAGGAGGAAGGCGAAGACAAATGCTTCTGTGAAGGGAAAGGCGACACATGGGCAACAAGAGGAGGACGAACCTACAGCCACGATGAGACTCGATTACAGAATGGGACGGCTGACAGTCTATCTATCAAGGTCTACGAGCCCCTGCTGGTTGTCGGCCTCGACAAGTTCGCCGGCCTTGACATCCGTGTCCGTGTCTCCGGTGGTGGTCACACTTCCCAGATCTAGTACGTTGCCTCACCCTGTGGTTACGACGATTTCAAGTCTCCACTGGTCCCCCGGCCCCGGATACTCCTCGTCGTCGCAGCCCCGAATCTGCTGAGGGTCCTCAGGGGTGCTGACATGTGAACAGCGCCATCCGACAAGCAATCTCCAAGGCTCTGATTGCCTACAACCAGAAGTTCGTCGATGAGCACACCAAGAACCTGCTCAAGCAGGCCCTGACCCAGTTCGACCGTACCCTCCTCGTTGCCGACAACCGCCGTTGCGAGCCCAAGAAGTTCGGTGGTCCAGGTGCCCGTGCCAGATTCCAGAAGTCCTACCGTTAAAGTGTCGGAAACTTGGGATGGCGTCGAGGATCAGCGCTGCTGCTACTCTGGTGGTGCTGGTCTGGGGAGGTTGATGATAGAGAGGCGGCAACAGGAAATCCTCGCGGCGTTGACGAAGACAATGCCTACCGGCTCGGAGGGATTGCCGTTGGTCTTTTCAGTTTTCGTGCGGATCAGGAGTCTATTTCGAGGATCAACACGGGAATCAAAAGGGGAATTTTTTTTCCCTAGGTTTGCATTTGCATGGCAAAACCCCACCGGGCTCAGTTAAGGGATACGGCAAATGAACGAACAATCAACAATTCCAGCGTGTGGCTTTGACTACAACGGTCGTGTGGATGTGTTCTGGTTTCCACGAACGGGATAGCATGCGTGCCTCGGCAAATCTCCAGTTGCGTTCCTTTTCCGGTTTCACGGATGTCGAATGAGTTCACGTTATTGATCGCCGTTTGAGGAGGTTCCTGAGTTGTTTGCCGCGTTCCAGTCAACTTGACACTGCTCGTCTGGGATCATGAGAGTGTGATTGTCCCAGCCCTGGAAACCGTTCCACAGCGAGATGTCTGTTCAAGGACGCTCTCCATAGAGAAAGGCCGAGATGCTCTCGGAGTCTCAAAGCCCATAGATTGTGTCCTCCCATATGAGTCGACTCGATCCCATCCGGACCTAGCAGCGAACTGAATATGTATACCTACGTAAGTGTAAGTCTGATACCGACAGGTTCCCCACAAACCACGTAGCCAGTGACTGCCTCGCCAGTGACTACCTCGCCGAGATTCAAGACCTACCAAATGTTGGCAGGACTGGAACACGTCTATGCCACGCCATCCCCCTCGATGTATATTTCTGCCTTGGCTGGTGGCACAGGTCGCTATGGCCTTGCCTCTTGGATACCCGTGTCTACATAAATCCCGAGTACACACCTCTTGTCTCCTTGACATACTGTGTCCGGAAACACTCGTCGGCCGCACATTGTTGTCAATATGATTACGGTGTCATAACACCCTTGATTAATGTATGATATCTTCCACCGATCGTGCCATGCGCCATCCACTCCCTGCCCAACGAGTCACCAGCCTGTGAATTAAGGCTTGTGACAACCTCACGCTGCTGTACGATATGACGCGTCAAAAATTTCGCTCCCATGTGCCCTGAGAACGAAGGAAACAGTTGCTGAATGCTCGCAACTCACAAGCGGCGGCCTCAGCTGAACGAGATCAGCCCAACCTCTCGCCCATCAGCGTCCAAATCAACAATAACAGGCTTGTAATCATCATCGTCGTGATCATCATCATCGTCATGTCGGCCGACATTGCCTCCTTGCCCACCAGCCCCATTACTCTCCTCCTCCCCACCACCGCCCGTCCTCAGGTCCCACCCAAACTTCCAGAACCAGGCCTCCAACTCCCCAAACGCCTTGCCCACCGCCCCCTGCTCGGCCGTGGCCCTGTCCCGCGGCAGGTCCAGCAGCAGCTCGTCCAGCCTGCGCCGGTAGAGCGCCAGCGCGCGGCGGAGCTTGCGCTTGTTGCCCGGGACGATATCCAGGATGGTCGTGCCCTCGTCCTTGGGGTCGTCGGCGCCAGCGATGTACCTCTCGTCGTAGACCATCTGCGCGTGGAGGGTGCGGACAAGCGCGGCGGCGAGGCGCGGGCGCAGCAGGGCGAGGCGGTGCGCGCGCAGAACCACCTTGAGCACGAGGTGCCACCACTGGTCGACGCACGAGAGGTTCGACAGGTGCAAGCCCGTCAGGAAGGTCAGCTGCAGCTCGCCGGTGACGTCCGAGTCCGAGACGCCGGTGCCGGGCGTGTCGACGAGGCGGAGGATCTCGGCCGACGTGTCTGGCGGGCCCGCATTCGTGTCCGCGTCCGCATCTGTGGCCGTGCTCGCCTGGTGGTCGTGGTGGTGGCTCCCCGCCGCCGCCGTGAGGTCGACGTCGCCCTCCGGGAAGAGGAACTCGAGCTCCCTCGGCCCGACGACCGCCTTGTACAGCTGCGTCGTAGTCTGTGGGAAGCCGGCCTCGCCCTGCGCGGTGTCTGAGGTGGCCACCAGCCACTCACCGGCGGCCCTCCTCCCCGTGACCCTTTCGAGGAGCCCCTCGCTGATGCCGGAAGTCAACTGATGCCACAGCTGCGCCGTCTCGTCGTCGCTGCCTGCCCCAGCCGCCGGCGCCGCCGCCGGGTCACCCCCGTGTCTGAAGGAGACGAGCTGCGGGTACAGGCTGGCCACGTTGTCCCTGTGGTCGCGGAGCTCGAACTTGCTCGCGGGCTCGGCGAGCACCTCGTTGTACTTGTCCCACTGCTTCACGCGCACCCGGCCCCCGTCCTGCGCGACGAACCAGTATCCGCAGCGGGACAGGACGCTCGGCTCCGAGACCCAGACGAAGTGAGGGCCCGGGGGGATGTCGCGGATGCCCTTGAAGCCGGAGGCGCCGGTGTTGATGGCCCTGGCGTCGCAGCCCACGGTTGAGTTCGGGGGCAGGTCGAGGATCACGAATATGTCCCCGTCGAGTGGTGCTGTATCCCCTCCACTGGGGGCGTCCTCCAACGGGGGCATATCAGACAAGTCGGCCTGCGGCCGGGCTTCTGGCTGCCGCAGCCTGGGGGAGTCCATGACCTGGTGGACCCTGAGGGTACCGAGGGGAAAGGTGCCGGTGACGGGCACTGACTGGTGTGATAGCAGGGAGGCCTTGCTCGAGGATTGGGCCGAATCGGTCCTCTCAATTTTCGCCTTGGGGATGGGGACCGGGGCGGGTCGGTCGACATCGGTCAAGAGCGGCGATGGCAGATTTTCCTGACTCGGAAGGCCTAGACTTGTCGACTCCATGGCGAGCCGGCCGTGGTCGTGCTGGACGGCTGACAGGGACGCGATAAACAAATTAAAGAACAAACACCTTGGAGCAAATAGAACCAGGATGCACGCACGAAACTTCTCACAGCTTTCACAAAATTGAGATGCAGCGACAAGGTAAGCGACAGACGGCTGGAAACGATTGTAATTTCAAGCAGAGGCGGGCACGCTGCCGTGGGTTGTACTTAGAGGAAAGGCATGATCGTGTGCTGAGATGTCAGAATCCTATGCTGGGATCACCGAGGGATGCGACGGGTTGCGCATTAAATCGAAGAGGCACAAGGGCGAAGGAGGTCGAAGCTGTCGGAAAACAGGTTGCAAAGTGGCCGACGTCATGTCTCAGAAAGCCTCGCGAGCCTGGGGTGAGGTGCCACCGTCGTATCGCGTCACATCCAGAGCTCTTGTCCAACCACCAGCTCCCCTTATCTCTACCCATGCTGCATTGCACACGCACGCGCATGGTCTCCTGTTTCTAATTCAATCTATTCTCGATTCTCAGTCTGTGATATGAACCCAAAAGGGCTCGTCAAGTAGACGAGCTGCTCAATCACACACGACCACATGCTCTTGCCAGGACAGGGAGAAAGCACGAGCATCTGCACAGTACGAGTTGGCGTCTAAAACCGAATCTTGTCCCTGGGCACACCTGAGCCGTGCTCTTCCTTTGTGTTCCAAGACGGCTCCTATTGAGCAGTCCATGATGTGGCACCGCAGTCGCAGTGTACCAGCAGCACCTCCGGGCAGGGGTCGCCGGCGAGGACGGACCAAGCAATGGCTCGAGCACAGGCTCGACCACGGCAGCTTGAGTGCTCAAAACTGAGTTGTTATCGAACAAGGCTGAGATCAAGGTTCCTCCCCTCTGGTGGAGCAACGTGCAGTAGTAGTATCACACCGGCATCCAACGGCGTGCCTCTTGTCTTGACTTCCTTATGACCCAGAACCCAGCTAGTAACAACAGCAGCATCCGCTCGGTGGGGAGTTGGTTCTGCAGCTAATGCACGAAACTGCTGCCCCGTACGGCGTAGTCTATGCGTTCGCTGCACCTGCACATACATGTCTGCTAGGGACGAACTGTTCGGCCCAGCATCGACCGGCCTAACCGGGCTCGAACCCGACCCGACTCGGCACGGAGCCATCAAACTTCCATGCTTCTCTCGGCCGACAATTTTGGTGCCCATGGGATCCGCCCAGCCATCCATCGCTCCCGCCCTCCCTGGCAACCCCCCATCCCCGGCGTCGATCATCGGCCGGCTGGCCATGGGGAGTGACTCGTCGTTTTTTATTATTTTTTTACCCTCTACCCATACTAGGCCTACTGCTGTACTACGGTACTTCCCAGGTTTCCCCACAACTAAAAATCGACAGGAAAAAGAAGATTAGGGAGGGTAAGGGGACCCGGGCCGCTTAACTGGCGGCCAAGTGCGCCGAGCCTTTGGGAGATCCAAAGGGACGGTTGTTATTTCGATTCCCATTTCTCGTTAGCCCACGTCCTTGTTTAATTCACAGACCAAGGCGCCAGGCATAAAGAGACAAGCGCTCTATCTGCCAAGGTAGGCTCTCACACGACCAACAACCACCACCATCAGCATGGTGACCATCGCCAACACCTCTCGGACGAGAACCCACTGCGTGGGGCGTGATTGAACACACAGCAGTACACAGCCACAGAGAAACACAAGGGGAAACGAGAGCACGCAGCCGAACAAGGAGGAGCAGCAGCAGCAGCAGCAGCAGCCCCGCCCTCCCCCTTCCCGCCTCGGTGTCACCCGCAACCGTAGAAAAGGCACACAAGCCGGGATCGCGAGCGTGCCGCAGTGTGCGAGGTCGGGTCGGGAAAAAAATGGGGCGGAACCCCATACTCTTGCCTCCGGTTGTGCGCCCGCCCCTCGTCCCCCCTTCCTTCCAGACGTTGGACCCGTCCAAGTTGATTGACGAGACTGAGTGAGTGCGTGAGTAACCCTTGGGCCGCGGGAGGTGGGCCGCCGGCCGGGGGGGGGGGGAAAGAAGAGACCTGCAGGGCGTGACGGGCGGGCGGGTGACTCGGATCGGCGACGCTGCTGCGCGCCTTCTGGTTGTGCATCGTTGCAGCGCCTTAGCTCGCGGTGTGTGTGCGCGTGTGTGCGAGAGGGTGTTGCGCGCGTGTGGGTGCATATAGGTATGCATAGGGGAATGAGAAGAAGAAATTTTGTATTCCTATATGTGACGTCTATGTGTATGTGCGTATATGCACCTGTCACCTAAAGCCGTCATCCCGTGGCTTCGACGCCGACGTTTGCGGGCCCCGAGCCAGAACACCCCCGGAATGCCGTCGGCTTGACGGCTGGCTGGGCCATCTGATGAGGGGTGCCGGAAAGCCGGCACGGGCACATCGGCCGCTCACAAGCTTCGTCCGGTCTTTGAACCTAGGTTAAGCTTAGGCGTGGGGGAAAGTTCGTTCTGTCTCGCCCGATGGCTCGCTCGCTCGCGCCCCCGCTCCCGAATGAGACCGTCTGCGGAATGAAAACCAGAACCATAAAAGCTTCAAGGTGTCAGTCTCGCGCCATTTTAGTGCTCGTGCTGGCAAGAGTAGGGGGGTGGAGTGTTATCGCGTGGGGGGGGGGGGAAAGGAAGGGGTTCCTTTGGGGTGTGGCGCTGGCGTGGAGTGGCGTAGCAATGATTTTTGAGTTTTTGCCAATGACCAAAACAACAAGGAGCGACTGGATGGGTGGTGAGAGGGGGCGCATGGCGAGGATGGGGGCAGGGCAACAGATAGACGACGGACGGAACGGGCGGGCGGAACCAGGATCGTGGGCCCACGCGCCCCCCCCCCCCCCCCCCACACACCACACACAGAAGAAGAAAGCAAGCGCCTAATACAAGGTCAAGGGTTCGCGGGCATTAGACTTTCTCGCGTATCTGCCTGAACCCAAGAGATCCCGACAGCGCGTCACCCTAACTTAAAACCCGCCGTGTGAACTTACTCGTGTGCGCGCGTGTGTATGCTTACAAAAGTGGTGTGTGCCTGGGTGTTTTAGCTCGCTGGGGCAGCCGCTGCCGATGGAGACCCACGGACCGAGCTGTCAAGGGATCGAGGTTGTTGAAATAAACCAAAAAGCGTAACATGGTGAGATTGCATCGCTGACTGCGAAACCAAGACCCGGCGACACGGGACGGCTGAGTTGGGTGAGAACTAGACAGGCAAGAACAACACCCTCTCATCCGGCCCTGCTGGCCCACGGGACAGGACCCGGCAGCAGCACGCTGCAGCAATACATACCACCACCATGGGGAAGCAGAGCTCTCCCTCCGAGTCCGACTGATTGATTGATTGATTGATTGAATGAATGACTGCGTGGCTGATTAATCGTCGGATGTCAGTCAATCTGTCTGCCCCGTCAGCCTGCATGCCCTCTTGTCCGTCATCCAACGGAGCACAACAATCTTCCCCCCGGCGGCACACGCGAGCACGCGCGAGAGAACAAAGTAAAGAATAAAAAAAACAAGGGCTAAAAGATGACGTGCCTTAGTCTTGTGTTCCCCCAGGGCCCAGAAGATACGTAGAAGGTCGAGAAGCACACCACCTGTCGAGCCAGCATCATGACATCTGATCGGCCCTGCCGCGGTCGACATAAGCTCGCCTCAGCCCCCAGGTTCCCCCGATGATGTGTGCATACATGAGGGGGGGGGGGCATGGCGTGGCGTGGGCATGGCATGACCTTGGACCTACCTTGACAGCACACGGTACAGTCAGCCAGTCAGCCAGCAAGTACATCGGGGTGGCTTGAGCTGAGCCCACCCCAAGACTGCTGCCCCCGGGGAGCGTGGTCGCACAGCATCACGCCCGGTGCGATCCCCAACATTGAGGAGCAACCACCACTGCCATGACAACCCCCTCCGAACATGAGACAGACAGCAAAACCCACATGGCAGGCGCGCCCTGTCGGCCCTGATCTGCTGCCACCGGCGCCACCAACACCCAGCACCAACAGCACAGCACCCCTCGTGCTGCTACTCCTGATACCCTGTCCCACACCGTGCGCAAAAAAAGACAGGGGATGATAACGATGTTGAAAAGAAAAAAAAAGATGGTGGCTTCGGAGTAATAGCAGGCAGCAGATAAAAGAAAAGAGACAGGGGAGTGGGGGAGGGGGAGGGGGAGCCGCTCTGCCCACAACCCACCAACCAGATTGTTGGGAGGCCGGGAAGATGAATGATCCCCTCTCTCGCCTCTCCCACCTCCCTCCCATCAATGCACCTTCGAAACCCAACCCACCCCGAATGAGACCATCCTTCGCTCCCCTTGCCTCGTGACAATATATACGCAATTGTTTATACGACAAGCAGTGCCGAGGACCCGACTGCGGGAAGGGGGAAGCTAGCAGTCTGGAAAGAAAACAAGGTCACGGTCACAGCAGCGTGTACGACTGATTGATAGTCAATGTTGGGGGGGTGAGGGGAAGGCGAGGACGGGACACTCAAGAAATGGCGAACAGGAGAGACGATGGATGGATGGCATCTAAGCATGGCAGGGCATAAAGCATAATTCCCGAGGGGTGGGTGGTACAAAGTTTCTAGCGCTGGTCAGCAACCCCCCTTGACCCCGGCCGCCATGCAGAGACCTGAGCATCCCCCCCCCCATCCTTCTGTCGTCTACCTTGCCCTGCTTCCTGGGCCTGCACATCTGGCCGCATGTACTAGACCTTGGTAGTACATGGCAGGTAGCCAGGCATGTACCTCCATCCCCTGCGTGGTCCACTGTACAGCTGCGCTACTTGCGGCGCGGTACTCTATTGTGCATGTGTGTGTATGTGCATCGACAGCTGCATCCAGAGGCGGCAAAACTCCAAACTCCTTCAATGTAAGTCAGCCAGGCAGGCCAAACTCACCACCCAAGGCCAGAAAACACTCAGATCGCGATGCCGTGACAGATGGTCTGTCTGCCCAAGCGATGCGCTCGCCACGCCTCCCGCAGAAATCCACCAGTGCATCCCACCGCTCGTCGGCCTTGTCCGCCGTCATGTCCTCGCATCGTGACCAGCCTCCTCCTTCTCATCTGGCTCTTACAGTTCTCACGTGAATCCGACTCTCCTTGCTGCACTCTTCGGCTGCCTCGCATGCACTTCGCCTGAGCATAATTCAATTCGAGTGATGTTACATTGCTGTATCGGTCTGTCTTGCTGTTGCCTCGCGCCCCCTGCTGCCGCTGTCGTAGGGGCCCTGTGCGCCTGCCCTTCCACACATCGTCATCCATCGGCTCGGCTCGGCGCTCGCGGGTTCTGCGCGCTCCGTCGACCGATAAACACCAAGCTCCTCAAACCTTCATAGCATCTTCTCCGGCTGCTGGCCGGCCAGGTACGTGTACTGCCGTGGCCTTCTCCATCGTGTATTCTCCCTTCTCTGTTTTTCTTTTTCTCAAAACCATAATTCCCCTTTCTCACAATTCTACGGCAACGAAATGACGGACCGACCCAAAGACCCCACTGTGCACAACTCCACCGACATTACCCATGCTGCAAGCTGTCATGCCTCCATGTGTTTCTCGACTTGGGCCCGGACCGCGACCGCATTCTCTCAGCCATCACCAAGAAGCCCAAGCCCATAGGTAGCAGACCGCCGTTCTGTTGACTTGGCGCTACCTCATTCCATCTAGGGAGCCGTGTGGTTGCCAAAGTGGGGCGCCATCAGTTCCTGTCGATGTCGCTGCATTAGGTCTTCGAATTTCACAATCGCATCGTTTGGGCTACCGCTTTGGATCAGCTGGTCGTGCATGAAAGGGGCCAGCAGAATCAGTGGTTAGACTGACCACCGTTCGCTGTAAAAGCAAGGTCAGCACGCACAAGGGGGCAAAACAACTACGCTCCCCCCGGGGCATACGTACGTTGGCCATACACCTGTTGGTGGGACTGCTGGTAAGGTGATGTCGGATTGTAGCCGCCAGTAGCGATATAGTTGCTGCTGTACTCGTTGGCCATTGACACGTTGGGCGGCGCTGGATACTGCGTGGGCTGGTACCCAATGGGCGGCAAACGAGCTCCTCCGTACTGAGTGACTGCAGGCTGCTGCCCGTCGTGCCCTCCTTGGGGGTCGTTCTGTCCCTGTGCCTGCGCCGTCCGTTGCTGTTCCTCCTCGCGCGCTTTGCGCTCGGCCTCTTCGGCCTTCTTGCGCGCCTTCCACTCCTTGCGGATCTCCTTGAATTCTAGGTGGGAAACAAAAGTGTCAGCACAGTTGGCCTCTACGCGCACATCGAGACCATGGAGCGGGGAATCTCAGATCAGGATTCAACAAGTCGATGGCAACAGTGGGCCGGCCAGTCTTGGGGAGGAAGGGTTGGTGGTGCACATCACAATGCAGCCACATGACCACCCAGTGTCGAATGCCGGAGGTAGAAATAAATTCACTTCGTAGCATACCTTCAGGAATCCGCTTCTGACCATGGGATTGCATGGTGACGTGAGCATTGAGATGGTTCAGAGTGCCGTATGCCTTCTCGCAACCGTTCCATCCGCATTTGTACATGCGCTCAATCTCCTCGTATCGTCGTCTCGGTCGCTTGTGCTGCTGCGCCCCAGGTATGGGCACAAAGCTGTAGACCTAAGTGTGCAGTGTCAGTACCTGGGACTTAAAAGTGACGCACGCATCCTCCAGTCGGCCACGAAAGCCACAGGATGGAAACGAATTTCCAGCCGACAAAAACAAGAAGGACGACGCGACCTACCTGGTTGGGCCTGGTAGAGGCAGTAGTCGGAGTCTGCGGGAAGACGTGATGGCCTGGCGTGATGGGCGCGCCGGGCTGTCCGTACCCAGTCCAATCTGGTCGTGGTTGCGCGTAGACATTTTGGTGCCCGTACCCATGAGCCATGTCTTGCGGGTGCTGACCGTAAGGGCTTTGTGGTGGGTACGCGTACTGCGTAGGGCTCGGAGCTGCTATGCTAGGGTCTATGGGTACATCATTGTCAGATTTGATTTGCTGGTGGTCTGGCTGGGGATTTTGATGGTTGCGTCCATCTTGCAAAGGCATGGACGGACTTGTGGGTGTTTGCGCCATACTGGAGCCACCGACACCTGACGGGTGGTATGCGCGCTGGAGATGATGCTCTGGAAAAGACCCTGACCGCGCCGAAGCAGGGTAACCACTGTACTCGGACGTGGGAGTAGCCGTGGTGGAGTAACCACTGGGGCGAACCTCGGACTGCGACGTGTACTGCTGAGCAGACGACGGATCTGATAATGAACCTTCAGACCGCGAGTCGCCAAAGTTGCTAGGATATGGCGAAGGCAAACCTGAATAATCGGCGGCGGCGCTTCGTTCCATAAGCGGTATGCAAACAGTGATCGACTTGAGAGACTGAGAGTGTGTGTTGACAGGAGACCGACTCTTGGTTGCTGTGAAGCCAAGAGGGTCGGTTGGGGTCAAGTGGCGGCGCGGAGGAGCGTGGGTTAAGACGACTTTGGTGCTGCAGCTGCTGGGTATGAGGCGGCTGACTGTATAATGTTTGCAATGGTGTGCAGTGCAGAAGCAGAGACGGCCTGGCCTTGAGCTGGTTGGTGTAATATGTAATCTCTAGCGAGAGAACAAGTGTACGTGCGCTAGACGCAGGAGGGCCGGGGCAGCTTTTAAGGTTGGATGATGTCGTCCGGTCAAATCCCAGTCTAATAGACGCGAAATCTCGCACCAAAAGGGACTCAAGGACCAAGCACCCTGAACGTACTCGGTACTCCGTCCGTAGTGCGAGGAAGAAGGCGTGGTGGAGCCTCCAGAGATAGCGCGAGCACGACACTATTTTAGTGCAGTGCAAGTAAGGAAGGCTGGGCCTGGGTCTGGGTCCGGGTCCGGGTCTGATGCTCGAGCGGATGTGTCCCTCACAAGTCTCTGTGTCTGTCTGTCGCCTGACTGACACTGAGTGACTGACTGTCCTTGCACTGTTCCGGCTATGCGTACCCCGTGCTCTGGAGCAGTTTTCCCCGGAGTTGGCAGAGATGACGACAACTAAAATAGCGTGTTGCTGGGGAGTTATGGGGTATGATGGCCAGGGCGATTTGTTGAATTGCCAGGAGATGAGATCGTCAGTCCAAGTCCGTCCAGACAGGCGTCGTGTCTTGTCGTGTCTTGCGTTGATCCGCGGTTGGAAGGATCAACCACCACCGACGAGTGATGAGGTCAGGCGAATGAATTATCTGGCTGGGGGATTTGACCTGCTGGGATTTCCGCAACCAGCAAATGCTTATTATTTGATATGATGGATGGCTCCGTCCTCGTGGGAGTGACGAGGTATGAGAGATCTAGAGCGAGCCTAAGTTGACTTGCAGCTCCCTAAAATGTGTCGGGTGCCGTCAAACGAAAGGGCTACCCGGGTTAGGTTGGTTGGTATTTTTGAAGGAGGGATGATCGGACGGGTTAGCGTGGCCAGGTGGGCAGCAACGCGATTTTATACTGGGGGTTACAAGGTCTCGAGGATCGAGGGTCGAGGGTCGAGACCGGGTTGATGGGACAAGGTAGTAACCCAGCAGATAGAGAGGTGACCAGTCCAGGATTTGAAATTGTTTGATTGTGAGGTGAGAGTGAGGGTAAGATGAGGGGTGACCTGGAAAAGGTGCGGTGCAGTAGGTGAAGGTCCCAGGGGTGGAGAAAAAAAAAAAAGGTCGCAAGGCAGAGGCGGAAGGAAGGCCTGGCCGGCGGATGGCGAGAGAAGGAGAGGGAGGGAGAGAGCAGAGACCGAACAGAGCGCAGCTGCTGCTCCCGACTGCCTGGCTGTGGTGAATGGGGTGGATGGATCGAAGTCACTTCAGCGATGAAAATACCGCCTCTGAGTCCGTAATAGAGTTCCAACCCTGGTCCCCCCAGACGGTCGGTCGGTTGGTCTGGACCACCACCCACGAGTCCAAGGTACTGTGTAGAGGGAACGAGAGAGAGCGCGAGGGTAAGACGCCCCGACGGTAAAAGCGTGTTCCTGAGTAGGATGCACAATGCAGCCAGTACCTGTGCTTTGCGTTGCTGCACCTTGGGGACGTAGATCACGATGTGGCTGCCCGATGATCCCCAAGCCCATTCGAGGTTGTACTGTTGTAGTCCTCGCGGTCCCCGAGATGCACCTTGTTCTGTTGGCAAACCTGCTGTCCCAGTTCCGGTCCCAGTCCCAGGCTGGGCGCTGTGCTGGCCGTGCCTGCTGTCTCCAGCTCTCTGCTACTGGCTCCTTGCTGTTTGCTCTGGGCGCAAGAAAGCTGCTAGCAGACTGCGGGTATCGACAAGACTCTCGGAAGGCCGTGACGCTGCTAGCTGCTTAAGGGCAGTAGCGTGGGTGCAGTGCGCGCAGTGAATTGGCGGACGGGCGCCCTCGACAAGACAAGACTCGACAGTCAGCGAGTGACTAGGCTGTGGGCAGGAAAGATTTGGGTTGGTAGGTGGATCGGATGGGGGGCGTGAGGAAGGCGAAGCTTGGGAGGAAACGGAAAGGTCAAATGTTGGAAAGCAGCAGAGTACCGACCGTACCCAGACTAAAGGTAGTTGACGGACTGCATGCTGCCCACTGCCTACTGCGGCGGCGGCGGCGTCGAGGGTGGCTGTGGCCCGTGCGCTCGAGTTGCGCTGCGCGTGTAAACCGAATTTTTGTGCACGGAGGCAGGAGGCACGGAGGCAAGGAAGTAAGGAAGTAAGGAAGTGGGGTACTGCCTCATTCGACAGTTCGAGCGGAGGAAGGCGGGCTGAGACCTTCCAACACCTCCCAGCACCACCAACCAGGACAAGGACCAGGACCAGGACTGGGATCAGGACCAGGACCAGCTGTCAATGGATGCTTGGTCTCTCTCTCTCTCTTTCTCTGTCCCCTCTCATGTCACTCACTCATCACTCGTTCGCTCAATCGCTCAGTAAACCGCTCCCAGCGCACTCACACTCCCCCCCCCCACCCGCCACCCACCACCACCCACCACCTTCCTCCCTGCCATCACCCCATCGCACAGAGAGAAAAGCACTGGCTGATCAGTGGACACGCACTGGGCTAGGATGTTTTGGGCCACCCATGCTCGTCTTCGTAAAGTAGAAAGGAAGAACCCGTCTTGCCAGCTGATCTGTCATAGCGACTTCGTCTTGGGCCTGCCACACACCCACCTGCTGTACGGATGCATGCAGTACCGAGTACCTAGGTACCTGGGGGCCGTGTACATGCAGCACAGTACAGCATGGGAGTAACAGCAGCTGTCTGCCGCCCGCCAGCCAGGCGGCCAGCCCAACCGGCCAGGCGGAAACTTGAAATGGGACCTGACTATGCAATGCACATCCCACAGCTACAACACGGAACTATCCTACGGGGTGTACATTGAATCTTGTCTCAATTTGCCTGCCAAGAGGATACATCCTCCTGCCGAGCCGATCCAAAAGTCGCCTCGCCGGTTCCGGATCAAATCTCTCTTGACTCGCACTTTGGCCACCCGGAGAGGCAAGATGACACGGCCACCTTCCAATGCCTCCTGTCGCTGTACTGTGGGTGTTAGCTGTCTGACGACTACTGTACGGGTATGCAGTGGGTGTGATGGGTGCCGCTGGTTGAGGGGCCACTTTTCTCCCTACAGCTGGACAAAATGAACCAGTCTCAGAGCTCCCAGGCGCGGTGGGTGTGCTCGACGTGTGGCTTGACGAAACTTTCTCAAGGCAGCCCAGCGCGCCCGCCCACCATTGCCTGGGATCTCCCGGCATGTCTACTGTGTATGCCGATTTGGGCTCTGGGCAGCTGAATTGCATGTCTCCGATGCGCCGACCAACAGACCCTGGTCCCTGTGTTCAATCTCGCAGAGAAGCGTGAACTGCACTCGCAATGCTTCTTGGAGAAGGAGTGAGTAGCTGCGAGTCTTGCCCTTGGGAGTCCTTGGGGGGGGGGGAGGCAGGTAAGCTGCCGTCATGTTGAAAAGCACAAGACACTCTGAGCGGTAGGGAGGGTGGCGTTGGGAAAGATTGAGAGAATCTCTGCCCCCCAGCTGCTGGGATGCTAGCAGTAAGCGCGGCGAAGGCAAATGCCCTTTGACTGGTTGGAGCCGAAGCAATGCCACCCTGAGAAATCTCGATGTTACACTGCGCAGTACATGGTAAAGTCGTCAGTGGCCCGAAGGACTTCGGATAGCCAAGCAGCAGGCAGGGTTGGCATGGTTGGTGAAGCAGCCCCTTCCCAGAGTATATCTCGTCGGCGACTATTGTCCCCATCGTGTTTCGCCCTCGAACTGCTCCAAGTTGTCAGAAATCTGTGGTCGCTGCTCAGCTGGGTGGCCAAAGTAATTGAGCATAGATCTGGCCAGCGTCGGGACGCCCCCGCCGCATGCATTCCGAGCGTGGACGCATCATGCCATTCAACCGACGGTCATGGAAACATGCACCGTACGATGTCAGGTTGAATGGATCGGCTCTGCGAAAAGCTATGCAGTCGTATATGCATGGATGAAGATTGGCGAGGATGGGGGAGGCTCATCAGAGATAGCGTGTTCTCTCTCTCGCGGTCTGTGAAGTAGAGACAGTGCAAGACTGGGCGGCCACCTGAGCCAATACACACTGTGACAATATCACCCTATCCTGGAAGATCTTCAATGTGTATTTCGACGCTAACCTCAGAAAGTTGGTGGGCACCAATAAGTGTGGGCCCGTACTTTTGGAGAGAATGGCTGGGCCCATCCTTTTGGCATGGCATTCCAGATGCATTGCTGCAGGAAGGATGTGACGGCACCAGGGTCAGGAGCAAATCGCTGAAGCCTGGTGAAAGTGAAGCTTTGTTGATCCCAGCACAGACTATGGGTCTATGTCGAGGGGCACGATTCTCCTCGCCAGCACAGCGATCCGTCTTCACCGCAGGCTGTAATCCTAGCGCGCGGAGTGGCTGGGCCGTGCAGTCATAACAAGAGTTCGGAGTCTTGCCTCTCTTCCCTCGACGTAGGCGCAGCCTCTCTTTGGAGTTTCGGGGAATCGACACTGGGAAATTGGCAGAAAAAAGCGGCCGATGGGTTTTTGAGACGGATTTACATGCCGATCCTGCCGTCCCTGGTCCATTCAGCCAGTTCTGATCAAGGATCTTTCGACAGCTGATCTATCAGCTTATTATGCACGAGTCTGTGTAAGCCAAAACGTTGTCGTCGAGCGGCTGATGCCCAGAGAGGGGTTTCCTGGCATACTGACGCCCAGTCAAAATTCCATGGGTAGAAGTACAAGATAGAGCGCAGGAGTGTGACAAGTAGCCGAGAGAGAGCCACGGACTGTGTTTGAGCGTGCCGCTTCGGCTCCGGCGACCCGCGGCGTTGGGGACGACAGTGACAAGCATGAGAACGATGGAGGGGAGTGGGCCGTGAGGCAAAATGACTCAAGAAAGCTGGCTGGGATCAGCAGGACAACGACCTCTGCTGCCCAAGTCAGAGTGGGAATTGTTTGCTGGTGCCCATGACTCCGCATGTGATTCTTCAGACAACAGCCCCACAGGTACAGCAGTCCGTCGAATGTGACAAGCTCCATAGGACACAGACATCGCAATAAGCAGATCGGTGATCAAGGCCAGGGATACGGGCTCAAGTTGTTACAGCATGCTGGTGTCGCAAGCACGTGGGCATCCCCCAGCCTGTCGAGGCTTAGCAGCTCGCTCGTTGTTCGCCCTGGGTGGACGGGCTGTCAGCCGCATCGCAGCGGTGTGACAGGACTCGATATGTAGTATGTTAAAATTTAGCCGGCGGCGCGTTCTGCCATTGGCAGCGTTTCCGGTCGCAAAGACGTGGGTTGTCGGGCCCCTAGTGGGTGAAGTGTTGAGGCTGTTCTGCATGGTGGACGAGGTGGCCGAGAGGACGTGATTTAGAGTTTCTCGGTAGGAGTAGTTTCGTAGATCTGGCGCGCTTGTTGCGACTTGTGGGTTCCAAGAGAACGGGAAGAGGAGGGATGGAGTTGGGTTGGGACCAAGCGGTGGCCTGGTCATCTGGCAGTCTGGGGCAGCATTTCAGCCTCGTCCCAGCGCTAGGAACTCGGAGTGGAAGCGACGTTTAGACTCTTAGCGTGCCAGAGCCGCATTAGTGCTGGCTAGCATGCTGGCATGCTGAATCGTGATCCTGTCAACGCCCGACAAATGGAGCACCGAGTCGAGATTAGATTTTCCATGTAGATCGATGCCAGAGGTCAAATGCCTGAATGAGGCGGCCCAGCACGGGAATGGGAATGGAAATCTAAGAATCGCATCTTGCAACTCTAAGCACGTGTCGTCCTTCCACCCAGCAGCCAATGCTGGTGGCCTGCTTCTTGTCTCGCCCACTGCCTGGGGGGCGAAGCGGTCGGAAGGATGCTCCTGACATGTCTGTGCAAGCGACGACGGGATGGGAGGAGACCACCACCCTCAACTTGGAACCTGGCCTTGTCGAGAGAGACAAGTTGAGGTTCGTTCGGTCTTGAGGTTGTCACGGATGCTCTTCGGAAGGGGCCTTGCGCTGCAATCCCTTGGTTGTGTGGATCGATTGCTCCAACTCCCGTGCCAAGACTCCTGTTTTCGACTCCAATCTGTGCGTGTGTTTGCATCATACTGGAAATTCACCACCCGACGGCAACAATGACACCATGACTGGGTCGGCGCAGGAGAGCAAGAGCGTACGAAAGGACAAGGATGGTTGCCTTCCACTCTTTTTCTTTGCTATATGCGATCCAACGAGCACCCGAATGCTGCGGTCTCTTGGCAAGCACGGTTGATGATCTGTCACTGCTAGGTCCCTACCGACCCAGTTAGGTACTCAAATATCTACCTAGGTACCGCGCACGTAGGGAAGGAGGTAGGCACGCTATGGTGGTGCCTCGGTCATTGAGGCAGGCCGGCAGGCACGCAGGCGCAAAGTTATCGAAGATGTGCTTCGCGTGCTTCGCTCCTGCTCGACATCCATAGACTGGTCAACGTGAAATCAGGCGCTATGATGTTGGGAAGTTGATAAGCAGTCAATCAATCCGCTTTTTTGCTTTTTCCCCCCTGCTGTTGTTTTCTTTTCCCCTCATTTTCTCCCCTGTGCCCCTTGCTCCATCACCGCCAAGCTTCTGGTACATTCCAACAATCCACGAGCAATGATGGACCAAAGATCAACCACGGGGTCTTCTCGTTGATGCCACGACCGGCAGGACGAGCCAGCCCATGGAGAGCACAAGGGCGAAGACATCTTGGCTGGCCGCCTGGCCGAAATGTCTCGGGAAAAACGTGACTCGAGAATGCTAACAAAGCGTAGTCCTCCCGGTGCTTGTGCTTGTGAGCCAGCCTTGGAACCCAACCCACCTGGGCGAGCGGGCTGTTCCTGGACTGCCGGTGCCGTCTCCCACTAAATTAGCAAGCACCCTAAAGAACCTGGTGAGCGGCGTCAAGGAAGCCTTTACGCAGTAGGGCCGTTGTCAGATCTCTCGCCGACCCAGACTGTCGGGTTCGACTAAAAAAGCGTATCTGCTAACGCGATGCCATGCCATGCCATGCTATGCTATGCCATGCCAGACTAAATCTTGCCCTGGCCTCACCCAGTCCAGCTTCTTGACGTCAACACGCCGGTCTGCTTCAACGTCGTCAGCAGCCTCGACAGGAGTCGGACGAGAGCGGCGGCGACTTCCCGAGACGGCCACTGTCCATCACCAGCAGATGTTGCCCGCACATTGGTACCCGTTCCCGAGGTCCTGGGGCACGGCTGCTGCACGAGTTGCCGTCACTTGGTCGCGACGGCCAGAGGGGACGAGGGATTCGCCTCCTCCTCTCTGCTGGTGGGCCCTTGGGAACCACAAGAAACGGGACTCTGGTGCCGATGGTGGCCCATTCCGAGCCTTCCGCCTTTGCTCCTGCTCCTGCGGCTGCGCCAATCTCGTCGTCGACATTCTCGCGAGCGGGCCCTTGGACCGCCTCAGCACCCCATTTGCGGTGGACCACCCGTGCAGCATGTCGTATCCGAATCATGTGTACTGTGGCACTGCGTACCATGTACGCACAGGAGCACGCCGCTCTTGCAGGCTGCAGATTGAGAACACGTCCGTGCATGTCGAGGCTGACGACGGTCACAATTCTGTGAGGGGCGGATGTGCCCCTACCCGGACGTTCCCGCCTCTGTGCAGGATCCAGGCCGAGCCCGCCGCAGGAGCTCAACGGAGCAGGGCCACAGGGCGCGCACAAGCTTAGGGCGCGCACAGAGAAAATACCCCCAGAGGAATCAGGCGGACATCACGCTGTGTATCCCGAGGTCTGCAACCGCCAAAGGGGAGCTCACGTGGCGTTACCCACTGATGTGCAGAAGGTCTCCCCTTGCTAGTCCGGCCTCCATGCGGTACCTGTGGTACGGTGCATAACATGGAGTTAGCGCTCGGCCTGACGAGCCGTCTGGATATCGGTGTCACCATGCCACCATGTCACCAAGAAAGAACGTGCAAGAGAATCGTCCTCGGGGACAATGCAGCTCATTATCTCCCTGTCAATCGTCCGCAGTCATCGAACACGGTACTTTGCCTGCATAGCCAGAAGCAGTCCGGGTCGACGCTGTCTGACAATGGGCTGCACGGAAACCAGCTCGGCCAGGCCGCCTACTGATTGGCGGGGGCCCCCGTTGCGAGGTGCCACCGCACACGAAAGGTGTGGCTCTCTGACCGCTCAGCCAGATGGAAAGGACCAAGGCCGCGACCAGAGCAGAGCAGAGCACCGACTCTGCCGCTGCACCACCTGCAGACCTTTGCCCCGTCACATCTCACCTGCAATGCACTCCTCTCTTGGGTGCATACACGTACTGTACAATGCAATGGAAGCCCAGCCCACCTCCCCCTTCGTCTTCTCCTTGAACCACGTTTCTTTCCCGCGGTCTTCCTCCTCGTCCGCGTCCGCCCCTGGCCGCTGCTGGCGAGTGAGAAGCTGCCCTCGTTCGTTCACCTCGGGCGAAACTGCATGGATCTGACGCAGGTAGCTCGGCCAGCCAATACTAAGCCCGGTCTGTGGTCATACGGACCAGCAGATGACACCGTCCCGGGGCGCAACTCTCTCATTGCGCAATTTCAGGACCATGCCTTGCATGCCAGGCTCACAGCATCAGTTGCATCGAACATCGATCCTGATGAAGCATCCATCTCGAGCCCACGCGGTCCGCCCCTGCCCCGACGGAGGCTATTGGACCATCCCTGATTAGTCTAGGTCCAATTTTAACCCATGGCTGGCGCGAGACTAGGATCTGGAACCGAATTTCCAGAAAATTGCTCCAGATCACACAGCTCCGGGGCATGCAGCTCGCTCGCGCGAGAGGGAGGGTAACAACGGCATTGGTCTCAGTGAACGCCACACCGCAACGCACCTTTGCCAGCGAGCTGATCAAGAGCAAGGGCCACTGCATCCGACACCCCGGGCTCCGGGAGACTCGATGATCGAGAGGACGTTGTTCACAGGATTCCTTAAAATATGGCATGCGCAAGACAACGGACCCAATCACATGCTGGTCCGGGTGACAGCCATGCTCTTTCGGCATGCTGCACGCCTCACACCGCAATGTCCAGTCGGTCCTCCTTCAGAAGCGGGGATGGTGTCCCCGTCTGCAGCGTCCGCCACACGTCGCGATAAGAAGTTGGTCATCCATAAGCGCACACCGAGCCGAGGCTTCGGGCTATCAATTATACTTTGCAAGGATTGTGGCACAGACCCTTGACCATCACAACTCCCGCCCAGCTGGTAATTCCTGCTGGAACAGCTGAAATTCGACGTGGCCCTCGTGGACGACCCAATTCATGTCTGGCTCTTGAACCGTACGAAATTGTGCAAGGCCGTGACATCCCTTGCAGGCAAGCATCGCCCGCGCGTGAAAGGATGCTGAAGGTGTGCGGCGCAGGGCTGTGTCACCGGGGTGGTGCTTTTCAGACCAACCAGCACTGGTTCTGGGCCCCATCTTTGCGGTGAACGCAAGAACACAAAACGGCGTCCGATCAGTTGCAGCCCTCGGAAGTCGACCGTACCGCCGGGACTGTGGACACCACTTTCTCAGCCAACAGCTATGATCCGGGGCAGCCCTCTGCGCAATAAAACCAGGGAGACAGGAGAGGACGCGGATGACAGGGTACCGCGACTGAACTCATGTTCCTTCTGCTGTCCTGTCATGGCTGTCGCATACATAGTGGGCTATCGGCAAGCATGTATACGATCGGTCGGCCCAGGCTCCAAGCAGTCACTCGTGTACCGGGTCAGCTACAATGCACACAGTGCGCTTCGTGGACGAGAAGCTAGGCAGCAACTAAGTCTGATCAGGTAGTAGGCAAGCCCCCTCTGGATGATTTGCACAGGGTTAAGATCTTGAGAATTTAAGCAGCCCTCCCAGACACCTGGGACTTCCTGGCTTGCATTGGTTTCTCTCACAGGTGGATCTGCCAATAAAGCCCTCAGCCTCTTCGAATGTGCCGCCTTCCCCCGCACTACAACACGATCATCCTTCTCACATCGACGCGGCGACCTAGTCTACTATGGCTAGTCATTCCCGCGGCTATGGTACCGAACAGACCACCTTTTGGGGTCGGGACTCGGGACCAGCAAGAGAGAGGTTGGCGTCTGACGGCCGAGTGCCCGGCCAAGCTTTATGAATTATCACGAGGCAGGAATAGCCTCAGATATGAGACCAACACACACACAACCCGAACCACGTCTGAACACTACAGCAGCACAATGCATCACCGCGCGCACACGTGACTGCTTATGTTTTTGTACGACAGCAGCACAACAAGGGTGGGATCGGCCCGGTTCAACCCTGAAAGCGTTGAGCTGGCACAGTTTAACCTCCCTGCCTGCCTGGTGATCACGCAGATAACCCCGGCCACGGAACTGCATTGGAGCGCATCTTTCGTGAAAGATGCAGCAGCTTATTCCTGGCAGTACCTTGAAAATCGCCTGCAATTTGGGTGCTAATTTTCATTTGTCACTTGTCGTGCGTCGCGCCAATGAGAGACAAGATGACTGCAGTACGGACCCCCGCCGATCAACGATGCCCCGAACGGCAAATGGCTCGGCTTAGCCTGTCCGCACCATGATCTTGCCGGCGGCCCAACCGGGGCTCGAGATGTCGTCAAAAGTCGAAGAGACCAAGATGATTGTGATAGGCACACCCAATGTGCTCGATCAAGCTTTGCGGCTCTCGACTGTAGCGGTCCACGATTGTAAGCCTAAAGCTAAATCTCGAATATGCTTTCAACCTTTCGGCGCTGATGAACGACAAGTAGAAATACCCGGTATCGCTGGAGATGTCACTGACACTCCGTAGATACTTGGACACAGACGCAGGATTATCCAAAGCAGCATGAAGATATCACCTGTGCGTGAGTCTGTCAGGGCCTAGGACCTGCTGTGGACCATGTCTACAATTAGTGGTTTGCAAGCTCGACCTACTATGCAGCTTCGGAGCCCCATGGAGGTGGCTTTCGTTCTGGCATGCAGTGTACAGTGGGTTTGTGCTTGGGCTTGACTCTTTGGCTATTTTCCTCGTTTTGTGTACTCGGTGTTCTTCCGTCAATGGGTCGTCGTCTTGCATCTTGGCGAGATGAAGCAAGGAGACTCGGGAAGAGTCTTCTTAGCCATCAATCTGCCCGAGTGCTGGTCCGAGCTGCCGTCATCCGTCACCGATCTCTGCCATGATCGTCGGGGTCTATCCTGTCTTTGCAGTCTTTGATAAAGTAATTTTCGCGAAGTCCTCCCATGGGTCGGTGGCTCATCCTACCCATTCGCCCATCCAGGGGCTTGTGAAACCAACTGCTGCGGCAGCTCTACCAGAAGCCCTTGAGATGCCCGCTCGAAGGCGGGAAAGGCTTTCAAAGTCCTGGCGTTTTACTGCGCCGGTGGTAGCGGCATCATCTCAAACATCCGAACTTCTTGCTCAGAGAAACGTCAGGTCATCAGCCTCCTGAGGCAGTGCTCAGGCATCAGAGTGAACAGCGACGTCTCAGCTCAGTCCTTGAACGGGCTTCATCGCCCAGGCCATCTGGTGAAGGGCATGGTCGACTTGGGCCGGAGAGGAACTTTCGAGAAAGCAGCTTTCACCACCGTTGTGGTTCCGTGCCGAGGGGACTCGCCGAGAGTACTGGCGCCAGAGTTGTCAATGCCGTCTTTGGGATCCCAGGAGCCCTGACAAGTCCGATCTGGCTGAAGGCGGACTGCGTTAGGGGAAGCAGATCCTCTCAAACGACCAAGGGTCACCGATGGCTGAAGCCGACCAGCTAGTATCTTGGGTCCAAACTTGGTCCAGTTGACGCCTGGCTCCCAAGCCCGATGGGGGCGATTGGCCTGGGACCAGCCAGACAAGGCAAGATCAACGCGCCTTTTTGGTTCCCGCGATCGAGTCAAGGAGGAAATTGTCAGGTGGTTTTTGGATCAGATCTGACTACAAGGTGCTGCCTTGAATCTTCCGTGATGCCCAAGAGTTCGGTATCTCAGGCCTGGAGAAATTGTGAACGGGACAACGACTGCTCTATGCACGGTCGGCGAGGAGGTGCCATTGTAGTCTTCCCGAGCACGCAACAGTCTCCTCCCGAGCATTGACGTCTAAACTGCACAAACCTTGGGCGGCAGACAGGCGGGGAGATCGCAGCAGACATAGGTTCTCGTGGGCTCATGACGGTGCAAATCTCGCACGATGATATCGACGCTGACATGGCGTTTCACGCCTTCAGGGACTATGCATGCCTCCCGAGTTCAGCTCTCTTCGGCTTCACGGGAGAGAAGAGACAACTGCCAAGCTAGATTATCGAGCATAAGGAGCACGGAGACGGGCAGCCCGTTCTAAAGATTGGTTCTGTAGCGACACCATCTACCAACTCACCACAGTATGGGACTGCATTTTGAGCCTTGACCCATGCGTTAATCTCTCGGCTTGAGGATCTCCGTCTAGAACGAGCTATGGCCACAATCTCATCCACTCCACCTGGCGTGCTCTGGCAGATCTTCCCTGTGTCTGGGCCAGAGCTGGCAACGCGACTAGCGCACTCGCGTCCGTGCCTCCCTCACCTCGGGACCTCCAAGCTAATGAGCATACCACGCGCCGGATAAAGCGTTCGTCCGGATTGAGATCGAGCGAGGTTTCCCCTTCCGGCGGGGACTTGTCATCTGCCATCGAGCTGTTGCTGTTTGGTAGCCACACAGTGCCGGGCCACGGGCGTCCCTGTATCTCCAGCCTCTTTGTCGTCGCATCCCTCCCCCAACATTCTGGTCAAGCCATGTACGTCACGACTTGGCCTGAGACTTGGCCTCATTGGCTGTCCGCTTTGAGAATGATGTTCATTTTTGTCGGCAACAACTCACTTCATTTGGCGATAACGGGCAGGAGCTGCGAGACAACGAGCCGGGCCATCCATGCGGGTGCGGCGTTCCAGTGTGGCATTATCATTCCTGGATTGACATCTGGCTGCGCCCTGTTGGACAGCCGAGCCTCTTCGCGCTCCAGGCTGAATAATTCATGCATCCGAGGTCCACCGTGCCGCCATCCGCTCGTAGGCGGTCCAGCCAAAGACAGGCAATGGTCTTTTAAGGTTTTGCTAAAATCTGGGTCGCAGGACGCCTGGTCCCTCCAGAGCTCTGGATATTGCGTGGCTAGGCGCCTCTTGGAGGTTCGATTTCGGCTAGGGGAATGTTTGCGCGGCGGGAGCTCCTATTCCTGGCTCCACGCGCAGTTACATTGAGCATTGGAAGGTACGAACGGATGGCCAGGAGTGGAGAGGCTGAGGGAATATCTGCCAATCTGTCCAGTCTATCCTATCGAGGGTACGCCTAGCCGGCCAAGCGCCCCCCCCCCCCCCGAGCTTGACCCAAGGGGCGAAAGAACGTGGGCCTGTCTCTTGTTGCTGGTGTACAAGGTCCCATCTGTTGAGTCTTGACAGGTTGCTAGCCCGCCTTTCACTTCGCACGACAGCTGAACCTTGTGGCCAGCTTGACTACCAACACCACGCCAGATCTCCGAACCATCACATCGCTCCCGTCAACTTAGACTTTAGGTCCTAATTAAGGCAGGGCTGAAGGCTTCACGGCTAACAGGAACCGTCGAAGGGAAGAGAAGGGACGGTCGTCTTGACCATACCACTCAGCCTTTTTTGGTCTTGCGGCGAAGGGTCCCATCTGCCCATCTGCCGAGTCTACAGCAAGCTTCCGCGGCCACCGCTGCTTTTTACAGTATGGACGGCGCAGAAAAGCGGGTAGACCGCCCATTCGACGGCTCGATGTCAAGCCCCAAAAGCTCTACCAAATTCTCTAGACGAGGGGACACGTAAAGGGTCAGTCGGATACAGCACGGTACTCTCGGCTGACCGGAAAGATTCGTTTCCCACCCATCACCCCTTGCCCTGCGTTGCTCGCACAACCCCCCCCCCCCCCCCGCTGGAGCAGGAATCACTGAGCAAAGCGAAGAGGACGCTGGGCTAGCGGGCCCTGCGCCCGGCTCTAGCCCAACAGCGACGTCGACATTGCGAAAGCGACTACGTTCTCTAGGCCCGATCGAACCTAATCTTGACGCCTTGCCTAGCACAGTCTATGACCCGCCCGGGCCCATCTTTTGTAATTCGGATTTGCTTGTGTTCCCTCGTGATGAGTTGGTGAAGCGTGTCCCCTGGCAGTTTCCGAACAAGAAACTTGGGAGGACACTGACCCGCTTGAGCCGCCTATCGAACAGTCATTGCGCAATCAGTCATGAGTTTATGTCTCGAGACTTGGTGGGGGATACGTGCGTTGCTCCTGACGCTTGCCCTTTTGTGTCCGAAGACCTCGTAACACGGTCGACGTACAGAGTACTTGCCCTTTCGCTAGCTTGCGCTTAGACTTTCGACGGCTCCGGCACCAATGGGTGCCTGCCATCTAAAATTCACGGGGGCTTGAGCAGGCGAGGCTGGGTGTCAGGTGTCTGTTTAGCAGCACAGCTCTCTGACGGGAAGGCTGGTCCATGGACGTGGCTCCTGTCAGTGATGCGCTTTGGGTGCTCGATGGAACGTAAGGCTTGCGAGCATCGAAAGATGGGGTGAACAGGGCCGTGCCTGGAGCTGCATCCGGGGCCCCTGGGGGCGCCCTCTGCTCTCCTCGGGAGGTCACCAGCGAGCGGTGCAGTCTCGGGCGGGAGCAAGTCAGCCGCGCGAATTGAGCGGAGAAGCTGTGCTGGATGCGTCCCAGTGGGCGACTCTCTGGGTCAGCGGGAGGCCGTCCTGACCTTGGCTCGGAAGCATGCCCTAGAGATGTTCTATTGTCGGTGACAGGAGACCATCGTGGCAAGCCATGCCAGAGTTCAGCTTGAAACAATCTTGCCTAGCAGGTGTTGGCGGTAGATCTTGGTTAGAGACAGCCCCCACTTGGCCGGCGCTTCTGGCGATTTTGGCCTTGGATTCCCAGCGGGCGCGTTCTCGGGAGCACCAAGTCCACCGCGACACTTATGTAGCATCTCCAGCGGTCTCTCATCACTCCCGCGAGCCCGCGCGCGGCCAAGTCGCCGGCCTCGAGGCAGAGCCGCAGACAACGGCCGTCCCACGGAGGACCGCCACTGATCCCACGCGCCAGAGAGCCCACGCAGGTCGTCGACCGCGTGAGAGCGTTCCTGGCGACGGTCCTGATGCTCCACGCCGGCTCCCTTCACCTCGGGAGGACTACACCTTCCCCATCTCAGCCTGGTGATAGTTGGCCGGCATATTCACGGCCCCACTGGGCGGTGGTTCGTCCCCGGCTGACAGGGGCTCCCGCGTAGCCTAGCTGACAGACAAGAGGTGAAGCCGCTACGTAGATTATCGTGAAACTTAAAATGAGCTGATTCTGGCGCGCGTGTAAACAGGGGCCTTACTGACAGCTGTCCGAAGTGATCCAAGTATACACTTCACCCTACGTCGCGCCCTTGAAGCAGCCAGTAAACTCTGTCGATCTTCCCTTTTTTGAGAGAGGAAGAGAGAGAAAGAGAGAGGCACGAGAGGCGGCTGCCCTCTGGCTTGCCGCCCAACTACACTAAGCTGATTCGGAAGCCCGCTGAGGCGGGCTAGGCAGATGCTCGCCGTGCTTGCGAACACTCGCGCCCTACATCCGTCCCATCGCCCCGACAGGACCACGCGCGTCAGGAGTGCTGTCGTTCGGCCGAAACTTCACAGAACAGCCCTGTGGTTTGAGCCCGACACCCCCCCCCCCCGACGCATCTGCCGACGGCGAACTGAGGCAGGCGCCCCCCGGGTCTCGAACCGGAGTTCCCATCTCGAGGGCCAGTCTCGTGTTGTTGCTAGCGCTCAGCGAGGCATTTTCGGGTGTTCATCGCAAGCAAGGCGTTGCCGCAAGCCGTACGGTCCGACCTGGGGGGTGTTTCTATTCCATTCCTTCTTTGTCAATGGTTTCTTTTGTATCTATACTTGGCATATGGGCAGCGTAATTGGTACGACGTCAGAAGTAGAGTGATCGAGCCAGCCCAACCTTCAGCCAACGCTCTTAGACTGCTGTCAGGCGACGTTGGCGTCTGTGTCCCCTTGCCTGTTTTGGCCACAGAGGTCTTGAGATGTCTCGACATGGCTGTACTCGGCTAAACTGCAGCAGCCTAGCTACGGCTACAGCTCGAGGTCGGGCTGTTCGCGGCATCTTTGGGAAAGCTAACGCAGGGAGTCGGTTATGGCATGGGACCGTGGGACCTTACGTAGCCAGAGAAGACTCCATGGAAGAAAGGTAGATGGGTAAAATTGGCGTAAATACGGAATCAAAGTGTACATCTGCCGTCCAGCACACGAAGTTGCGCGTTGAAGTGCACCGATGATCCGCTTCACAGCCTGACTGCCTAGAATGCCAGCCTACATGATGAGGACGGACATTATGAGCCAGCACGGCAACTGCTCCTGCGGTCCAGAAACCCCTGGGCCGACGTCTGGCAGATAAACTTCACGGCGTTGTGTCACAAGTGGGACATGGCCCGACATGAAGGATCGCCTATTGTGTAATCGGGCAGCACTGCCATGCCCACCCAAGGCGTTCACTAAGGGCATAATCACCTGATTGATGCTCACATCTATATTGAGTCCATGTAACCTAAGAGCGAACCACAGGGACGGACCCCACCCGGAGCGAGTGGACCATCTCTTCCACCTACTAAATAAGCCGCCCTGGTGCTTGTGAACAACGGGGCATATCATAACTAGATCTCTGGACGGGGACCTGGGCGTTATTGTACGCGGATGAGATAGCCGTTCTTACCCGTGACAGCCCACTACCAGCCGTAGGCAGAAGCAAAAAAATCACGAGAGCTGTTTGTGGGACATTGAAACGCCCACAGAACACGGGCATGGTCCTGGTGCTGGACTGAAAGTTCGAGGACACAGCAAAAGTAGACACACGAAAGTTTACGCCACAGGCAAGGCATGCTCCTTGAGAGGTGTGCGAGTGAGATCTGGGTTGGACGGACAAGACGGCTTCGCCTGGGAGAATACCAAGAGGGCCAGTCGGCCGAAAATGGCCCGGGGAGTGCTACGACGGCAAGGTTTTGTGGGTAAGAGAGAGGGATGCACGTAGACTATCGCAGGTGGACATAGGGGGACAACGTGTTTCCCTGCGGATACTCCTCGCCGCCCATCTGCTCGTGTCACGTCGCATAGCCTCCACTCGGAGGCGTCAGGGTTTCTTAGAGCCGTCAGCTTGTGACACTGTGTTGGCTTCCCTGTGAGAACAACCTGGCGCAGATCTTTTCTTTCATGAGGTGGGGAAAGAGCGGTTTGGGAATTCCGGCGAGGACTTGAGATTACCTCAGGGTGCTCTAGGTTCGCTTGTATGTACGACATCGATCGATTTACAGGATCTAACCCCCGATGTGCCTATTTTCGGCCATGTGGGAACATCTCCCAGAAGCCAATTTCCATCTGCCGGACAGATTAGCAACGAGGTCGCCTCCGGATCGAGCACGGCGTGGATCTGCCATGGATCGACTCACCTTGGTAGCGTGGATGAATATCTTGACAATTTCCTCGACCCGAGACGGAGACTGCAGGACGGCGTTCCTCTCGAGGAGCTCTTTGCTCAGGGGGCACACGGGTCAGCTGTGTTTCTCGTTGTTTCCACCGGCGAGGAGGGGCGATGTAGGAGAGTGAACCCACCTGAGCCAGTCTTCACAGCTTGCACGTAATCATCGGCAACGTAGTTCTCGACCCAGTTCCAGTAGTGGTTCCCTTCCCTGACAGACTTTGAGTCTCCATGCAGCATCTTCGCCAGGGCGCCATAACCCAGCAGGCAGGGTGCGAGGGCGACCTGAAGTCCAAGCCAGTCCTGAGACTGGCCGATGTCAAGGACATATCTTTCTCAGGTAGGAATGACGGTCAGTTGAGCTTGTTCCGAGCCCACGGAGGCCCGGGGGGCGCCCGGGGGGGGGGGGCTGGTCCACGCGTACCTGGTATAGGCCGTGCAGGCCTGTTTCTCCTCGGTCGATTCCATCTCCTCCCGGGAGACGCCGAAGCCCTCGCAGTACGTGAGGTGCAGGGCAGTCTCCCTGTCTATGTGCCCGACGATCGCGGCGGCCTGCTCTCGCGTGCCCCTTCGTTAGCGCTGCAACGATTGACGGGGTATTCCAGAATCTTGACGCACGGCAGAGATGTCCCGCATGTTCTTGGCCTTGTAGCCTGCGAGAGCGTTTGCGCGGGCAAACTGTATCTGGGGTTGTATGTCGAATCAGCTTCTAGTGCGCCATGCATGCGGAGCGTAGGAGAGAACCACTCACCAGGTAGAGGTAATCTTGGACAAGATAGCCTTTGAAGGACTCGAGCGGCAGCGTTCCGTTGCCCATGGCCAGGACGAATGGGTGGTTGATGAACCGGTGCCAGACAGGGGCCACATCCGGTCGCTCCAACATCCACTCAACGAAGTGACCTCTCGTACTCAGTCAGCATGTTTTTAGAGTGCCTAAAAGAAAGACCCACCACTCACGGCGAGAACGGCAGCGTACAAGTCGAATGAAAGTGGTTCAGGGGCCCGTTCCCACTGCCTAGGCCAGGCGCAGTCTGGATGCCAGCCTGGATATACCTACACGCAGCCTTGACGGCCTGCGGGACCGGCATGCCCTTTGCAAGGTTGGACGCGATCGCAGCTGCGAAGCCAACTCGGTCAGTGTCCTTCTTGCCATAGCTGCTTCTTCTGTCGTAGCCTGGAAGTCAGAGAGGTTGGGAAGAGAGACTCACAAGCCAGAGAGCACCCCGTGCCGTGCGTGTTCCTGCTCGTCTGGAAGTCCGTCTCGATCCTCACGCACCCGTCCTTCCCACAAAGCACATCAACAACAACCCCCCTCTCGGCATCCGTCCCGGCAGCGGCGTAGTCCCCCCTCCTGAGCGGCGCGTGCCCGCCCTTGACGAGGACCCACTCGGGCCCGAGCGAGAGCAGCGCGCGCCCCGCGGCCTCGAGGTCCGCGACTCCCGCCAGCGGCTCCGGCAGCGCGGCGCCCAGGCCCGCGTCGGCCAGCAGCAGCCGCGCCTCGGGGATGTTGGGCGTGAGGACGGTGGCGCGCGGGAGGAGGCGGCCGCGCAGCTCGCGCAGCGCCTCAGGCGGCAGCAGCTCCGCCCCCGTGGTGGCGACCATGACCGGGTCGACGACCAGACTGCCGCTAAAGTCGCGGCGCTCGAGGGCCTCGGCGACGGCGGTGATGGTCTCGGTTGAGGCGAGCATGCCTTTATTGGCGCGAAGGGGCGTCACCAGGTCAGCGAAAAAAAGAAACTCCAATGTCACCCCTCTTGGTCGGGGTCCATGGGGGCGGTCGATGGTCTCACACACCGGTCTTGACGACGTCTACCCCGATGTCGTCGAAGCAGGCGTCGATCTGCTTCCTCAGGAACGCGGGCGGCACCGGGTGGATGTCGTAGACGCCCAGGGTGTTCTGGGCCGTCAGCGCCGTCGTGGCCGTCATGGCGTAGCACCCGTGGGCGGCGATGACCTTCTGGTCCGCCTCGAGGCCGCTGGCGATATTCACATGTGAGTGTGTGTTGTGTGTGTGTGAGTGAGCCTTGGCCCGGCGGGATGACTTACGCTCCGCCGGAGCAGTCGGAGCCGGCGATCACCAGCAGTCGGCCCTGGACCATCGTGGCGAACGGCGAAATTCCGGAAAGTGCGCCTGGGATGAGCAAAGAACACCTTCACGTCTTGGGTCTCGATGTCAGGCGAGGTTCTACAACATACGTCTCAGTCACGGTGGGTGCGGGGCGGGAAGGTAGGACGTGGTGGCCAAGACAGAAACCTAGAATCTGGGTAACAGACCATCACGTAATCGCCCCATCACGATGTGTCGAGCCGTGTTCTCAGTGGCATGAAAGTCGAAGACAGCGAGCACCCTGGGACTCGGATGCTGTTGCATTGGGAGAGACCTCACGCCTTTGTAAAGGGAGCCGGCCATAAAAAGCCCTGATGACATTTCCCCCACCCCGCAGAGTCTGCCCTGCTCCCCTGCCTGCCTGCTATGCTCCCTGATGCTCTGTGAAAACCACCCTCTATGCCCATACGGAACGAATTGGGAAAGCAAAAAGACACTGCCCCAAACGACGCCTAATGTTTCCCCTTTGATCCGCACGCTTCCCCTGGCTCTAATAATGAGCCCAAATCAAGTACGGTGTTGGTACAGTCCAGAAAAGGGGTATTCAAACGCCTTCCGCCTCCCCAGTTTTAGGCCCGCGGGCTTGCCAGCCAAATCGCAACCAGATGCAGAACCGTCACCTCTTCTCCAAGTATTGTACAAAATGCGTATCGCTACCTCGCCCCAGGATGCCGATGTGGCTCTGCGCTCCGCTCTCCGGGGAGCCACCACCACTCCTTCGGATCCGTGTGCGCTATTCAGCGCCAGAGCTCACGTCCTCGGGCCCTCTTTCTTCATCCTTGTCCCCAGCTGGCGTGTCGGCGCCAGATCCCTCTCTTGGCAGCTCAGTGGGATCGTCAGGTTCCTCGCCCTCCCCATCCTCCTCAAAGACGACCTGCCGTAGCACGGTACGCTCGAATAGTTCAAGCATACGGCGCGCATTTAATCTGTAGTGGTGCGTCTCCATGAGAGCCACCACCCTCCGGAACAATCGCGGGTTGGAAAACCCAGGGGGTTTCTTCTGTTCTTTGAGCTGCACAAGTTCGGTCCGGGCCTTACCGAAGCGTACTGTGTTGCTGAGGTCGATGAAGAGCTCGAGTATCTTGTGGTTGAGCGGGTCCGGATCCAGTTCTACAGGCTCGTCGTCGTCGAAAGCGCCGGTGTTAGCGTAGCCATACTCGGACGTCGGCGGCCCCATGGCCTCCATCAGCGAGTCTGATCGCGGCCGAGACGGCAACACTGGCGGTTTCGCGCTCTTTTCCGTCCTCTGCGTGTCTGGCAAGACTATGGCACCGGCCGTCTCATGCTGCCAGGGCTTCAGCGAGAAGAATCTCGACAGGTCGCTGGGGACGCAGAACCCGGTCGAGTTCCCTAGCGAGTTTGTGTTCGCGTCCCAACCGAGCTCCGACAACATCTCGAGCCCGTGAACAGACCTTGAGATCAGACCGATGACGAAGAACGCGGTCCCTCGCATGCTCATGACTTCGTGGAACTCGGCGATCCGCACAATGTCCTGGACCACGTCGCAGCTCTCCAGAAATGGTGCGCCACGCTCCATGGAACCCACATTACCAACAGCCCACATGCACCCCTTGACCTTGATCATCGTCTCAGCGTCATCGGCTTCTAGTCCCTGCTCTTTGATTGTGGCCGCGAATTCGGCGAAGTGGCCCTTGTCTTGCAGAAGCTTGCAGCCTTCTGAGGTGCGTGTCAGTTCGCGGTAGAAGTGTGGCGGAACGTGCGGGTCAGCTTCTGCGTCCGGTTCGTCACCAAGCAAGGTCAGGCGGTTGGCAGGCTCGTCTTGGCCATCGCCAAAGGCACGGGCGAGACTGGCCTCGACGGTGTTGACATAGGTGTCGTTACGGCCGAGGAACCAGTCATCCATTTCGTTGCTGATGTAGTCAAGGCCATCCAAGTAATGGTAGCCTATCGAGGTGGATAAGAATCGTAGCAGCAGGGGAGCACCGATTTCCCCCAGATGATCCAGCCCCGGTTTGCACTCAACGATCATTTCCAGATAGTTCCTTGTGTTACACGCCTTCTCGAGTGTTTTGATTGCGGTAGCGCTGACTTCAACTTCCGGGTCGTAGAGCTGCGTCACAAGAGCCCTGATGGCCCACTTCATGTCGCCAGTCAGGTTGACCTTGGGATCGTTGGCGTGCTTCCCGAGTATGTTAGTAGCGTACATCCGTATCTCTTTAGTATTGCTGGTCATGGCCTTCTGAAGCAGGACCTGAGGGTGGTGTTGGATATTGTAGTCAAAGTGCGAAAGCATCATCTTGATCAGGTCAGGGCGTCGCTGGCCGTCAAGGATGGAGAATATCATGTTGAACATCCTCCACCGATTCATCATCTCTAAGCCTCTGACGTCCCCTGTTAAAACACCGAGCATAGCAACGTATCCTCCACTTAGCGTGTCCATGAGTCGGTCTTTGGAAAACAGCGGTACCCGAGCAGTTAAGCCGCTTTTCTGCAAAGTAGTTAGTTCCTGCGAAGATCTGCTTTCGGGGGTCACTCACCGGATCGCATTGAGCCAGGCACTCGGCGAGTTGCCTCAAAACTTTGTTGTCTACCAGATACGCCCGGCCTTGTGGTGTCTGAAGAAGCGCCTGCATCAGAGCACAACCCGCCCTGACGTACTTCTGTGTGTTCCGCGTGTTCTTCATGTCTGAAAATCGGTACTTGAATGGCCGGTAGAACCCCATCAATCTCTTCATCCATTTCGACGCTTTGATGGCATCCTCAACTCTCTTATTGATTGTCAAAGGTCCCTCGATGACCTTGAGTATGATGTCCCAGTTCCACTTGAGGTAGTTGCTGCTACTGAGGACGTAGGAGTCAACCAATAGCTGCCGGAATGTGCCTTCATCGACGCTCACAACGGGCGCGGCTCTGGTCTGCTCTTCTTCCAATCCTGGATTTGCAATTTGATGTGACGCAAGCCCAGCAGCTGTGAAAACAGACGGAGAGGACCGATAGAGCGTACGACTGACACTGCTGATCTGATAAACCAGACTTGTGGCAACGAAGTGCGACTTGTCATCGAACCGGACAGCCGCTGAGAAGAGTCCCGGCAAAAACTGCAGCTCGCTGCTCCATGAAGGAGGCAGCAGTCGACTTGAGAGCCTGAGAACCTCACCCAACAGCAACGTCGACTTGCGCTTCAGTGTCTCGTCTTCTGCGTCCCGAGCGAGGTTGAGGAGCGTCGGCACCAGGTCCGACCGGATCAGGGCCGCCAGGAGCAGTGCAGTGTAGTGGTCCACGAAGTTCTGCTCTCCCCCATCATCCTCGATATACGCCTGTGTTCCCTTCGGCGCGGTCGTGTTCAGTGCAGTGACCCTCCCGTAGGTTGTAAGCCTTCTGCCGGCCAGAAATGGCGTTGCCCATGCTGGCGATTTGATTCGCAGGAGCGCGTAGAGAAGGTCAATGACAGTGTCCCTGGCATGCGGATTGGGAATGACCAAGCTTGATATCAGGGACCTGATGGCCCTGGAATTGTACATGGACAGGTACATGAGACCTGACCACGTCTTGAGCGCCGAAGAAATAGCCTTGGAGTTGTGCTTCAGGATGGTCTCGCTGGATATAAAGACATCAGTGAAGACGTTGAAGATGACCTCGACATCATAGCCTGGTCGAAGATACTTTCGCCGCCGGGGACAATCCAGCAGGAACAGAAAGCCCGAAATTAGACTCTGTGGAGCCTTGTAAGAGCCTTCTGTCAGGGCATCGCAGAGGATGGCCATCGCACCGGAGGCAAGAGCCAGTTGAGGGTCTCGAACAAGGACCTCCGCCAGCGTTTCCAGACAAATCGACCGCAGCCTGTCTTCGTTGTGTTCTGCAATGGAGACAACTGTTCTGACGACCGCCCTTGACAGCTCTTTGACACCGTCTTTGATGTCGAGGAAAGCGCGCACAAACTTCAATGCTTGTTCCCTCTCCAGGTCGGCCTTTCTGTCTTTGATCAAGGACCTGCAGAAGATCAGTCTCCAGACTCTTGAATGCTTGTCGCGTTTACTTACGAGATTACAATGTAATCGGTGTTAAGGGTGCGGATCTTCTTGAGAGAGACCCTGTCCGACATGGCGTAGCGGGTCATCCTGTAGCCTGCTGCCACGACCTCCCTGCTGTCACTGACCAGCATCATTTGCACCCTGAGGCCAAAGATGGACCAAACGAGGTCATACTTCAGCATTGGATACTGCTTGAAGAGGTCGACAAGACTGTTGGCCTTGGCAACGTAGTACTCAGGCGTCAGGCCAGTGGCCTCCAGAGCCTGCAGGAGCTCCCCAAGCTGGTATGTGGGGTCCATGGTCTCTTCGATCTCTGAGCCAGCACCACTCCTCGATGCGCTTTGGGGAGACCGGATCCCTCTGGCGGGGAAGAACTCCTCCGGGGCACGTATGGGTGTGGTGGGAGCCGCCTTGGCCTGCTGGATGTCCTCTATGCGCAATTTGAGGTTCCTGATGCGAGCGTAGGAGGCGTTCAGCTCGGCCTCGACCTTTGCCTTCTGCTCCTTGACCTGTTTTGGCTTTTTGCTGTTGAGGGCCTCAAGCATGTTCTCACTGCCCTCCTTGATCTTGTTCTCCCTTGCGAGGTCATCGCGCAGATCGGCAAGGAGTCTGTCCTTGGCTGAGGCGTCGCCTGCCTCGTCCAGCGTGCCCAGGTTGTTGTAGACGTCCATTCTCGAGCCCGCGCGTGACTGCCCCATCTGACTCCTCAGGTCGGAGCTGAAACTACCCGGACCAGCCATAGAGGAGGGGTTGAGGCTCGAGCCCCTGGGACCGAAGCTGACGGCCGAAGTGGACATGTTCCGAACGGAGGCAGGGCCGTTGGCAGCAGAGGGAAGCTGGAGGTTGCCGCCATCGTTGAGGTCGAGACTTGGTCGGGGACCGGAGATGGTGCTCGACGATTGTGGACTGAAAGGCCTCTCCTTCTGAGCAGGGGTCGCGGTGGGCGTCACCGACGAGCCCAGCATGGTCGGTGGCCCGTCCATTTGTCCTCCTCAGGGGGCGATCGCTGCCGCCCCAGCATTCGTAGTCGTCTCTATGCCATCCAACAAAAGAAATCGTTGCTGTTCTTGTACCGGGGTTGCTATGGGTGGCTGGTTGAAGTCGCGTGGGCGTGATCGGCCTCCGGGTCGGTTTCGTTTCGGTGAGGCGAGTAGCAGCAGCAGGTAGAGATGGGAGGGGAGAGAGTTGGTTGTCGAGGGCGCCCGAGCGATACAAGACCAGGAATACGGTGGGACGTTGCTCAGATGGCCTTTGTAGATGACGCAGAAGCAAATTGGCAGGCTAGTGGGCTAGATCGTCGCACATATGATGGACCAGGTAGTGTTGTCTACAGTACGCACGCGTGCATGGCTGGCTGGTGTTGGATGGTCGGCGACTGTTCCCAATGCGACAGTGCGGGAGGCTACGGTGGATAGAGCATTGACAGCTGCCAGCGCGACCAGGCCTGGGCAGGCTCATATGGGGTGGGGTAGGTGCGGTACAGTGAGAGACGGGCTCTGCGGGCAGGGGATGGCGACCCCTGTTACCGGAAGGCGGACCAGACCGTTCCCAACTGGAGAAAGGTTGGACTGCATGTGCGACCTCTTACTCTAACCTAGTCATACGTATATACCAGTGTACCTTCACGGCCTTCATTTTCCATGATGGGAATCGTCACTCAACTCGCTGCAGGTGCTGTATGGTCTTTTCCCAGTTCACATGTGAGCAGCATTAAGGAGGCCGCGCAAAATACCGTGTTTGATGCCGTACACTTCTGAGATGCGACACTTGTTCAGGGATATGTCTGGATGGCTTCTCAGACTCTCCCGGCACGGTGCTAAAACACGTCAACATCACACTCAACCCCATGGGCACGATGCTCACAGCTGCTCTCTTGGTGGTACGTGGCGGTGCCCAGATATATGCTCGGTCAATGGCCCGATCCAGACTTGAAGTGCGCAAGACCTCTTTGTCATTTCTCGTTGCCCATCTCATGTGCTACATATCTCGGGCCAACCAGACAAGCTCTACGGAAACCAGGGTGTAGTCGTACGATGATGCAGCATCTGATATCGAAGGCTGACACCCATCTGGCCATGTTTGTCCTCAATCGTGCTCTGCCTCCCCGCAATATGCGACCTGCCAATCTGCAAGCTGCAATCTGCAATCCACGGCCTGGCCCACAAGCTGCCTACAGGCCATGGGGTGCTAGCCCTGTCCTGTGTAACTGAGACGTCGTCCTGACAGGGAAACAAGCATGCGAAGGCTGGTCCCAAGACCACCCCTGTTGCAGAAGGCCGGCCTAGTCAGCGGGAAGATCTAAGACACGTGAGATAGACGAAGCCTGTCCCAACGGCCTAGACTCCCTCCTGGTGCGACCAGCAGTTGGGCACGTCTTCCGGGCACGGAGAGGGAGCGAGCTGAGATCCTGAGGATGAGTTGAGTGACTGAGATCAAGATCGAGAGAGGAGGGAAAGCGACAGGAACGCATGGCCAAAAGTGACAAGTCATCCAGCACAAGTCGACGGGAACGGCTCATCAGGAAAGCAGCCACTGCAGAGCCCCACGTTCCCAAGTCTCGGCGGCTTCCGCCCGGCCTGGCGCTGGCGACCGTCCGCTGTGGGGCCCCTGGGGGCTCCGGTCCGTGGAGCTGGGAGCCCATGACGCCTCTTTCGTTGTGAGGGCCAGCCCCGGCTCGGCAGTGTGATTGCCTGCATCTGGCCATACTCCTGGTAAAACTAGATAGTCGATGCTTTCTCGGTTACCTAGTTGGCTGACTGTTGGTTGGTCACTCTGACTGGGCCAATGCTCAGGGACAATTCCTCCAGGCGGGAGACTATATAAACACATCGAGCCCCCCCCCCACTCGGCCTTTGATGCTGAGATGCCTCAATTCTAATCCTCCCTCTCGGTCTGATCTAATCCTGCGTGACTCAGAATAGCATCGTGCGAGGACTTGTATGAGTGTACCATACCGATAGTCCATCCGAGTGTCCGTCCTTCTCATATCTGTGGCATAGCCGGTCTGGTAAACTCAGGGGCATACAACTGTTTATTGCGTGCCGTGCCGTGCATTGCATCTCATCGCATTGTCCCGACCCTCTCTTCTCCTCACCACCAAACCCTCTTCAGCCCGCAAATCTCACAGAATGCCCAGACTCGCATCTGCCCGGTATGGGAAGGACAATGTCCGCGTCTACAAGGTGCACAGGGACGAGGCCTCCGGGGTCCAGACCGTCACAGAGATGACAGTGACCTGCCTGCTCGAGGGACAGATCGAGACATCGTGAGAGATCTACCTGCCCGTCATCCACGCTGCACACAGCCATAATAGTCAGGGACTAACGGCCCGGATCAGATACACAGAGGCCGACAACAGCGTCGTCGTGGCCACGGACTCGATGAAGAACACCATCTACATTAAGGCAAAGGAGCACCCCGTCAACCCGCCCGAGCTATTCGCCTCCATCCTGGGCCAGCACTTCCTGGACACCTACCCGCACATCACCACCGCCCACATCAAGGTCGTCGTGCACCGCTGGACCCGCATGGTCGTAGACGGCAAGCCCCACCCGCACTCCTTCTACCGCGACGGCCAGGAGACCCGCAACGTCGAGGCCGCCGTGTCCCGGGACGGCGGCGTCTCACTCAGGAGCGGCATCGTGGGGCTCACGGTTCTCAAGAGCACGGGTTCCGCCTTCCACGGCTTCGTGCGCGACGAGTACACCACCCTCCCCGAGACCTGGGACCGCATCCTGTCGACCGACGTCGACTGCTCCTGGACGTGGAAGGCCTTCCCAGGCGTCGACGCCGTGTGTGAGGCCACGCCCCGGTTCGACGCCGCCTGGGAGGCCGCCAGGGCCATCACCATGAAGACGTTCGCCGAGGACGAGAGCCCCAGCGTGCAGAACACCATGTACAAGATGTGCGAGCAGATCCTGGAGGCGGTGCCTGAGACAGAACTCGCTAGCTACTCCCTTCCGAATAAGCACTACTTCGAGATCGGTAGGTTGCCACTCTCCTCTCACCCCCGAGACCCCTCAGGTGAACCATGGGCTGACAAGGTTCTGCCCTCAGACTTGAGCTGGCACAAGGGGCTCAAGAACACCGGCAAGGACGCCGAGGTCTACGCGCCCCAGTCTGGGCCGAACGGTCTCATCAAGTGCGAGGTTTCTCGGTCGTGAGCTGCGGATACTAGCTACTTGATGTGTCTTGGTGAGATCTAAACATTTTGTAATTCGTAAAGAGTATTTCATCTATCTCTTAGACGGCCGAGACGGTGGGCCAATGGGTACACCCATGGATGCATGCTTTGGCGGCAGGATCGTTCTCAAGAGCCCCGTTGCATAAGACAGGTCTGGTTCATAACTGGGTACATAGATGGCTCAGTTCCACTCGTGAAATAGCATTTGCATTTGCGCACTCGCACCAAAGTCTAGTGATGTAGGTGCCAATCTCAACCGACGACGCCCTCAGTATTGTGCAAGGTCTGATTGCATCACCGTCTCTCCTCGAATCTCATTCGGCTCTGGTGACGTCCAACCTTCGGCAGGGCCGTGTTTTGTTACGCGCCCTTGAGCCAACCGCCCTCGTCTCCTGAGGTCAGTGTCTCCCAACGGACCACTCACCGCTACTGTATGACGTTGCGCATTCCAATTCTCTCACAACATAAGGTGTCACACAATCGTATCGATGACATAGCGACTGCATCTGGGTGGCTGGCATGGCCGCGCTGAAGGGTCCAGATAGCTTTCCCATCACGATTCTAGATGGAGGGTGCCAAGTTCCCGTGGTCCCTGGACTATCTGATATCAACAGCGGCACTGAAACTTTTGGATGGCATGATTCGCCACCCGTCGACCAACTTGAAACCATCAGCAGAGGTGTTGCTGGGTGTTTCTCTCTCCAGAAGAGCAAAGTCAACGGGTTCACTAGGCAATACGCAAGTGAGAAATCCAGTAATCCTCTTCCACTTGGCACAACCACTCGTAGAAATTCCCACAACGTGCCATTGATCTGAATTTGTACACGGCTGGTATACATCCGGGCAATGCTCTCTTGCCCGGGCCCAGCTTCTTCACGAGTTGTCACCCATCACCCCATGCCTTGCGACCGCAAACATTCCCCCTTCTCATAACCTCGCGGCCCCAGCCTCTCTTATCTTCTCAGCCACCTGCGCCCACCCCTCGCTCCCAACAACCTTCCCCCCAAACCTCGTCAGGTTCTGGTCGTACGGGTGCGCGTCGCCCTCGAACGCCTTTAGGCGCGCCAGCCTCTTCTTGCGCAGCCTGTTCTTGGGCAGCATGCCGCTGACGGCCTTGCGGAGGACCTCGCTGCCGCCGAACTTCTCCATGAGCACGTCCATCGTGACCTCCTTGAGGGAGCCGGGCCGCGTGTTGTGCCGGTAGTAGCTCTTGCGCCACTTCTTGTTGCCCGTCGTGTACAGCGCCGCGCAGTTGGTCACCACGACATAGTCGCCGCAGTCCGTGGACGGGTCGTAGATGGGCTTGTGCTTGCCCAAGAGGAGCGTCGCGATCCGCGACGCCAGGCGGCCCAGCGAGGGCGGCGTGATCGCCTCCGGCGGGGACTTGACCGTGCTGAGGGTCGGGTGTGGTGTGGAGGCGGAGATGCTGTGCCATACCCGGGAGTAGGCAAGTCGGGTCTGCCGGGCTGCGTTAGCCACATGATAGGGTGACAGGTCGCGACAACGCTGTGATTTGCGACTTTGGAGGAGACGGGGGAGGAAGGGGATTCTATCTACTCACGAGACCGACTGTCTGCGACATGTTGGACGGTTCACGAGGAGCTGCGTCCCCTCATCCACCGGCGATATGGGGCGACTGAGCAGACTACCTCCGTTTCAATGTGATATCTACCGGGTTGGGTCGTCCACGCGTCGTCTGTCGCCTCTAGATCGCCCAAGTCGTAGTCTGGGCTACGCACGAGCAGAGCTGCGGATCCAAAAATTGGAAGGCAGCTTATCTAATCGGCGGAGTGGCCCAAACTCACCCAGAGAAGACGGGTGTTCCGCCGTGTCGGTCCCGCCCGAGAGTCCCCCACGGGCGCCGGAGCCTCAGGCCTAAAGCGATTTCAAAGCAATAGACGGTACAAAATGGACCGATGACAATTGAGTGGTGACCTGGCATGACATGATTTTGACTTGTGCATCGCCTCTATTCGCCCTCTCTGATAGTTAAATCTGCTAGTTCCTGCACGTTCAATGAGGAGCAGGTCTCTCCGCTATCTACGTGGGATCTCCGGCATCGCCCTCTTCGGCTCAGCAGGCGCACATTTCGCTCACCAGCGGCGGCGAACGGACAATCCTTCCCTTAATTCCTCTCAAGAACACAACTCATCTAAGAATCCGAAGATGACGGTGGATCAGAAATTTGAGGTTCGTCATTGTCTCCCGCCGACTCTGAAGCCCGAGATGGACGCTGTTTTCACACCGAGCAACGGCGGCCTATAATCGCACCAAGGAGGCGCTGCTTCACGGTCACTCAGGAGGTCGAGTGTGGCTAATGAAACGCCCCGCGACCAACAGGCCCTTTTTGCGGTTCCTATGACCTGCGAAGGCTGCGTCAAGGACGTTTCAGACTCGCTCTACAAAGTCGCTGGCATTTCCAAGGTCGAGGCAAATTTGAAGGACCAGCTCGTCAGAGTTGAAGGCACAGGTATGGGCTCGACAGGCCGCGGTGTTTCGTTTTGCTCCTCGCGATACGCTGTGTCGCGATGAGTCACCCGTGTGGGCTGGCACGGGAGAGGGCCCGGGTGATTGGCATGAGGCGCGTCTCTTGACCGGCTGCTGATTTACGGCATAATGTTACAGCACCACCATCAGCTGTTGTCGCGACGATCGAGGCCACTGGTAGGGATGCAATCCTGAGAGGGTCGGGGACATCAGGTAGTGAGTTGCATCCCGCCCGACCACATGGTGTTCATGCTCTTCCCCTAATCCATGCATATATGGTGTTTGCAAACCATATGATAAAAAAAGCTTATCTCCTTGGAATGCATTCCGTGGACACGCAACCGCACGATCATGCCGTGGCTGAGTGCATATGCTGACCCCTGGCCTCACTCCTCTCATCAATTGCAGGCTCGGCAGTCAGTATACTTGAGACATATGCCCAGCTCAAGGAGGAGCGAGACCAAGTTCCCGACCACCAGAAGAACAGAGAGGTGAGAGGCCTCGCGCGCATGGTCGAGGTGTCCAAGACGGTGACGCTCGTGGACCTGACACTGCGCGGCGTCGAGCCTGGTACCTACCGGGCCACCATCCGCGATTACGGCAACTTGGCGGACGGTGCATCCTCAACGGGGCCAGTTTGGAAGGGCGATCTCACAAGCCAGCCGGATCAGAAGGACCAAGTGAGAGGAGAACTCGGCAAGGTAGAAATCGGTCCAGACGGTCGGGGCAGCATATTTCTCGACCGGCCATTCCAGGTGTGGGAGGTTATTGGGCATGCCTTTGTCGTGACCCGTCAGGATGAGGCAGGGGGCAAAGCTTTGCAGAACGACGAGAACACCGTTGTCGGCGTGATTGCACGGAGCGCTGGGGTGTGGGATAACGACAAGACTGTGTGCTCCTGCACCGGTAAGACGCTGTGGGAGGAGAGAAAGGATGAGGTCAAGAACGGCATGCTGTAAGCACACAAGTTTTCAGCGCTGCGGAGCGAGCACTCGTATCAGTTGCTGTGGTGTTGAGTCTTCGAAGGGTTCATTGAGACGCAATATGATGATCATTCTTGTCAAGCATACGATTCCTCTCGTAGTTTGCAGGACTGATGAGACGAGATGCTGATGCTGACGCCTGTTCGTCTCATGAGGAGGGAGCAATATCGATCGCCGATAGTTTTCGACCAAGCATGAGCAACCTGCAATTCTTGTGCGCAGATCCAAAGCAAGTTACCTGCGCTCGGCACATTCAAACGTGCCTGACTCTGGTCTCCGGGAACTTTGACAGGGCACGCCAATTTGGTAAAGGCATGAAATGAAAGCCGTGTTACCTGGTCATGTTGCCCAGGCAGGATATCCATCGCCTTCAGACGAGCCAAGCATGGCATGTTTTCAAGCTGACAAGTCATCCGCGTCCCAGTATGATGGTAACGAATGCCAATCTGTACTCAAAAAGGAGAGCACTGCCAACCGACAAGCGGTGGTATGTCATGTTGAGACGACAACACTAGGCAAACTTGGCTAGGCAAGGAGTATTTTGTGACGGTCATGGTGATGCGGCTGACAAGGGCCCCGCTGTTCAAGCAAAGCCGAATCATCGAGTATGATGGCTAGTAGGAGATGCTGCAACATGCCGCCGGCCGAAGACATGGCCTGCCAAATCCGAATATGAGCGGCGGAAAAGTCCAGACCTCTCTCGATCTGACGTCGGACTTGCCCATGGTTCCCGATCACTAACGCCAGGATGCCAGGATGAGCGCAGCTTGCTTGTCAGTAGGGAAAAAAGTCGAGGCCTCGAGGCGGATCTTGTCGCAGGGGAAACAAGAATGAAGGTCCTTCTCCACCCATTACAGACCGGAAGCAGATTCTCCCAGAAGGTGGGCATGGGAATATGAGACGAAGGTCCAGCATTTGACAAGGGGTGGTGCCTGTCCCTACCAGCGTCAGAAGTCTTGTCGCAGAGCCAAGGTTGCGGCTGATGGCAGCCTGAGGAGGGTTCATCGCTGTAGTCGGTCGCCTTGGTCTTGCACTGAGACCGCGATCAACCGTTTCGACTCAGTCGATGCAGCCCTTGGGAAAGTTTCGAAAGTCTTCGCAGACTACCTCGCCACGAATCTTGTCGAAATCTTAGCTTTTTGGATTGCCGTATCCATGGTTTGTGTAGTGGTCGGCATCCTGAAGTAGAGCACGTGCCGAGGCATTGCTGCGCCCAAGAGAGCCGCAGTAAGGTTCCAAGAGCTGGTTGTTAGGCTTTGAGTTCTGTCGATGTTGATCACGGAGAACGGGGCGGACAAGTCGGCGGCCCCGAATGCAACGAGGCCGAGAAACACTGTAACGCTGTGGATTTACAGGGAAAACAGGGCAAGACCTCAGATCGTCCAAGTCTGAGGTTCCGTACCACTCTTTCCCGCGAACCGTGGTCGAAGGCGGTTGCGGGACACCAGCGACTTCAGCCTGGCCATGACAGTAGACCAAAACCTGGCGAGTCTGACTCGGTATCGTTGCTGACAGGATGCTCCCGATGGGATTCAGGTGCTCGTTATGCTGTCTGGTCAAGGGATGTCGGCCCACTTGGCTGTTTGGCAAAGAGCTGTGGCCGGAAGTTGCGCGTTCTCAGGTGCGTTCAAGTCGGCTGCAAAACGTCAAATTCAAACCCCTAAACGGAGCTTGCATTTGCAGATCTTGCATGCGGGAGGATCAAAGGGAAAAGACCTCCCCCAAGCGTTCACCAAGTGTACGGCGTAGTGGTTGCGGTACGGGCTTCTAGTTACTTAGGTACCCTTCAAACACCTGCAGGGGAAGCGAGTTTCGCAGGTTCTCCATTCGTACCACAGTATTGTTATGCACCGGTGTGTTCAAATGTTGTGGAGCCCCAATATGGGAGCAGCCGAAGGTCACACCGTGCATTACCCCAAAATGTAACCCTATCGACGAACGAAGAAGCCGATGGGTAGTTTCTTCGTCCGACTGCTGTGCGCAGACCGTTCGTTTGGACTTATCCGTCAAACATTGAAATGAGAGAAGCATGCGGTGCTGTGTCAGAGTCTCAAGGTCGCAGTAGACATGGTCAGACTGCTGGAGGGCCCGAGAGCTATGTCAGGCGTTCGTCGTGAAGTCGTATCACGCAGCCAAGGAGGACTCTTTTGGGCGAGGGACAATGCACCTGCATGTGAAGAATGCTTATTCCCTCCGAGGGCATCATCCGAAGACGCGAGTGCTTCAGCTCAGTTGGCCGCACGTTGTGTTGATGAATGCAGCGGATGTTCTGTTCTCACCTCCATAATAAATTGTCAAATATACTGCTTGAGCACATTGAAATGTGTTCTGCCGCGGTCAAGAGCATAGATCCGGAAGAGCAAAGCAGATTGGCTCCACAGTGGGCTCTTGCCGGGCAGACTTTGCCGATAGAGTTTGCGTGGACACGTGGGATCTCAATCGTCAATCCGCCGGGGATCTCTTCACCACTGGCCACAATGTGGTCTGTGACGGCCCCAGGTGCTGCTTGTCAGCTCGTCTCGGTGCGAGTACGAATGGGTGGTGAGTGGTGTCCACGACGGTCCGAAAATAGGGTGTGATACCGGCTGCATTTTGGGCCTGCGTGGGTGTCGCCCACAGCATTGCAGCCGGCCACGCGTGGCCTAGTTACAAGTATTGCCGTCCCGTCCGTGATCTCCATTTATCCGATGTTGTGGAGCTTTGGCGGTCTTTGCAAAGAAGTCCACCTTCACGATGTCGTCGGGGCAAGTGCCGTCTGGCATGCGTGACGACGACGACGACGACGACGACGAGAAGACAGGCGTATTCACCACATCCCGCTGTGCCCCTTGGGTGCATGTTCACCAGAAGCAGACTTCCTTCGAGAAAGTCCATGGAAGTAGAGCGCCACAGAAACTGCCATCGGCAAATGCGGACGCTGGAGTCGGACTGCAGCAGTTGTTGGTTGTTAGCTTGCGGGAAGGTACCGATGTGCTGGTGCTTGCCTGCTTTGGTGTCTGCTGTGTGTCCCCAAAGAGGAAAGAGGGGGTAGGCCTAGGCTTGAACAATAAGCGCCGAGCAGGGCAGGAGTGGCCCGCCCAGATGCGCTCCAGACCAATCGAGCGCCCTAGGACCCTGCAACGACTGGGTGCATTGAGCCCAGCCAAGCCTTCGATCGGCGAGGGCGTCAACATTCAGACCGACCTGTGACAACCTATATCGACGTGGCGTTATCGACGATCCCATGGGTGGTGGTGCTATGGGACACCACCAGCCAGCAGCCAGCCTGCACTCGCCCAAGAAGAGATGGCAGGGCGGCCGTAGGTGATTGTGACTGCGTGTTCCTCGTCAGGGATTCTGCTTGGGCTGGCTCGCACCGCGCAGAGGACGACGCTATCTACGGTATGATGGATGCCAGATGTCTGGCTTAGCTCCATCGACCAAATATATGCACATTCATCTCGTTATTGCATGCGCAGACAGGCGCTCTCCACACTGCCAACGGTCCAATGTTGCCATGTGGCTTGCAGCGTCACCAGAGTGGTCAGTCCCAGTGCTCCATCGACGCAACAACGCACAGCTGGTCACCACTAGTGAGCCTGCCAACACCATCATCAAAGCTCAAGGCCCCCAGTCGGGGTGAGGCAACTTGGCGGGCGGCTGGAGTCAAATTTGACAGGCTGTGCATGCCGTCCTGAGACGTACACCACGAGGTTATTTTCGGCTGCTCCTCGCCCAGTGGCTGGCATCGACAGCTTGGGGGCGGGTCGAATGACATCGACCAAGATTTGCCAACCTGGTGGTGCGGTGCCTGTTACTCGTGCCCGGCACTTGTCGACAGGCTCCCTGGGATTGGGTCGAGGGCGCGTCGGTTGTGTCGGGCCTCCCCTCCATCTCCTCCTTCCCTAACGTTCGATGCCGGCGAGAAAACATTCGATGGTGTTTGATCACATCGAGGAAACCTGGCTTTGGGGAAAGGGCCATGACTGCTTGTTTGTTTCCCACTGGCCGTCCATGAACAGCTCGTGATCTTGGGGGCAGATCGTGGCCCCGGACACTTGAGACGTGGCAGCTCGGGGCCTCACAGGCTGCATCAACCTCAACTGTCCGTCTGTCAGTCCACCTATCTGTCGAGCGCGAAAACAAACAGGAAAAAAGGCCACGGCAAAACGAAAGTATCTCCCCAGACAGTGCCCAGCTGTGGCGTTTGAGATGCACCCCCTGGACGTCCTCAGTCCGCTGTCAATGGCCAGGGCCCCCTGTCCCGGCCTCGAGCGTCTCAGGCCCGCCAGCTCCCCTTGCGCCCCCAGACCCCTTGCCCACAGGGAGTGGCTCACTCAGTCACACCAGCTGGCTCGAGGCTGCTTCATCGTTCTGAGTGAGGTCCACGCACAGGCACCGTCAGGCGGTTTGAGACGGGCAGGTCCTGTTGGTGGTGTTTGAGGGAGGGTGGCCGCGGGATCAAGGGCAGATCATGAACTGGGATCTGGTGCTGGTGCTACAGCTCGTGCATGATATACCTGTGTACATGCCCCCTGCCACGCAAAGAGCCGTCCGCACACGACTACCGCACCTCTGCCACTTTTTTCTCCCCGATCCAGCTGCAGAGCACGCCTGGCGCACCGTTCCCTCTTACTTCTCCCATCCCTCCGGTTAGGCGCTGGCTTGTCGTCCACCATCCACTCATTTCCCTCCACACGCTCCTCTTCGATCAGAGCAGCCGCCCTGCAACCATTGAGCAACCAACCCCCTCTTCCAGCTCCCCACCCCCTCGACATCCATTTCCAGTCCTTTCCGACAGACACGCCTCCGCAATCAGACGAGAGTTGCCAGATTCTGAGTTCTTGGAATCCCTTGGGTCAGCTGGTCGTCGCATCGTTGAAACTTCTAGTGCCGGCACACGAACAAGACTGACGGATTCGGGCTGGAACCTACATCTATACAACCCACCCACTACGCACAATCTCACACCAGCCATACAATCTCCGCGGCCTATCCTCTGCATCTCGTACCTACATACTCATTTTATTGCCTGCACATCAGGCATATTCTGCTCAACCAAGGCCCGCCAAACCGATAACCGGTCTATTTTTACCTGCCGTGTGGATCGGACACTCCCGACCTTCTCTTTCGGACTTGGAATACGCCGATCAGAGAAATTCCCACCGAGCGGGAATTCGAGGGACGCTAGAACATCCCACAGAGGTCCCGCGCAACTGAATCTCTTGACAGCGCCAATTGAATCCCTGTGTCGAGATCAATCAAATCGAACGGCTTGCTGCACGGGAGGAATCACACGCCAAGTGCCCGCTAGTGGGGTGATCTATTGGTGAAGGACGGAGCAATTGTGAAGAACGGCTTGGTACGGCGGGGACATCTCTCACCACCTCCATCGGTCCTTTACATCACACCGACTAAAATCCGTTAACAAACGAGCCGAGTCAACCGCTACATCTTGATCTTCCCGGAACTTCGCCTGGAACCCACCCGCCTGCTTAATTGACCAGTAGATCTGCAGTGGAGGTGAAGTCCTCGCAACCCTTTCCCCAGAAGGCCCCACCGACTCGCGTCTTCACATTTGCCCAGCGCTTTCAAGACTACGCGGCGTGGAGAACCGACCTCGCACAAACGGGCACGAGGCCATAGACGTTCGTCGACCGCACGCGAACGCCTGCCTCTATTCCTCCCCTTCACACAAGACACAAAATCGTGCTCTGAGCAAACATGTCTCTAAAACAGGTTTGTCGCAATCGCACAAAGCTTTCTAGTAATGCATATGCTGATGGTCTCTGCAGGAAATAGAAAGTTGGGTCTCCGCCCTCGCGCGGTACGACAACAACGAGTTCGACGAGGCATTGAAGGACTTTGAGCCAATTGCCGACACGTCAAAGATTCTCTTCAACATGGGCGTGATTCACGCCACACTGGGAGAACACGAAAAGGCCGTGAGTCTGCCCGCAACTTTATCAGATCATGATCTGCCATGCGAACTGTGCTGACTCGCTTCCTCAGGTCGAGTGTTACCAGCGTGCTATCCGCCTGGACCAGTATCTTGCTGTTGCGTATTTCCAACAAGGTGTCTCGAACTTCCTTCTGGGCGACTTTGAAGAGGCATTGGCAAACTTCAACGACACACTGCTCTACCTTCGCGGCAACACAATGATCGACTACGCGCAGCTGGGGCTGCTGTTCAAGCTCTACTCTTGCGAGGTCCTCTTCAACCGAGGTCTGTGCTACATCTATTTGCAACAGAAGGATGCTGGTATGCAAGATTTGTCGTACGCAGTGAAGGAAAAGGTGGTGGAGGATCACAATGTCATCGACGAAGCCATCCGAGAGGAGGCAGAGGTAACTTTTACACGCACATATCCGTTACAAACAATATCTAACTAGTCCATTCAATAGGGTTACACTGTGTTCTCAATCCCGGTTGGAGTCGTCTACCGGCCGAACGAGGCCAAGGTCAGGAACCTGAAGACGAAGGACTACCTTGGAAAGGCTCGCCTGGTTGCGGCTTCAGATCGAGCCAATGCATTCACTGGCTTCGCTGGTTCCGAAATCAAGAATGTAAGTTTTCTCTAGACTGCCACGATTCATGCGTGCAACGTCACTTCTCTGTGGCGAAGTCATTGCGACTCTCTTGCTGACTCGAGATTCAAAAACCAGGCTGGCAAAGCGGATGTGAAGGACGACAGACCGGCTGACAATATCTCTTTCGCCGCTACTAACCTCGTCAAACCTAATCTCGCGAGCAGAGCGCGGCAAGATGGAGGGTCAGGGGCGCCACAAGGGTCGAACAATGTCTTCCCCCCTACACCTCCTCCGGAGAACGACAAGCCCAGCGGACAACTTCCTTCTCGAGGTGCTTCTGTGCGCAATGGCCCGAAACCCATGCCTGCGAAACTCAACATTGAAAGAGCAAGGAATCAGGACAGGTACGAGAAGGCGAACTCTCCTCAGGACAGGTACCAGTCTCCGCAGGACAGACGCCCGCAACCGTCGCGAGCGCCTTCCAACGCCACGAGTCGCACCTATTCCCAGAGAGATCGGACAAGAAGGTCCCCGGTCGACGATGATGATGCCTACCCCGACGATTTGTACGACATGTATGGTGCAGGATCTCGCCGGTCGAATGGACGCCGTAATCAGCAACGTTATATTGATGAAGAGGACGACGATGGCAGCGACTACGACGGAGGATCTATCGACGAGGGGGACTTTGAGATGATGAACCCTCGACGCGGAACTGGATCTCTGTCGAACTCAGGCTCATCACGAGCTCAGTCGAGAAGACCCGAAGCCCGCAAGGTCAGGGTCAAAGTGCACGCCGACGATGTTCGCTACATCATGGTCGGAACCGCGGTGGAATTTCCCGATCTGGTGGATCGGGTTCGCGACAAGTTTGGACTGCGTCGTCGTTTCAAGATCAAGGTCCGAGACGAGGACTCACCTCAGGATATGATTACGATGGGCGACCAAGACGACCTTGAAATGGTCATGATGGGCGTCAAATCGCAGGCTCGCAAACAGCGGCTCGAGGTTGGAAAATTGGAGGTGAGTACAGTACGGCACCACACGTACTACGGAGACATGCTGACAACCTATTAGATATGGATCCAGGAGATCAACTGATTTGATGAGGTGGACGGCCGGCAATATACCCCAACAGCATAAAGTGTTCTCACGACATAATGATGGATTACTTCCTTTCTTACAACGTCTCTATCACATGATATTTTTACAATGGGACCTGAAAAGGACTTTTCTTCACTCTTACACTCGAACACACAAAATCTAGCATCAACAGCGTACGAGCATCTATCTAGATCTGGTTTGATCAGGCGCAATGGCGAACTATGCTTGACTGAACGATCAGTCTCTGGTCTCTCAGTCTTGTATATGTTCTTGTATCTGTTTGTGTACAATCTTAATTTCTTAACAACAGGAGAGGAGAGGAGAGGCTCGGGCCTGGATGGGAAGGACAGGACCCTGGTCCATTGGTTACATAAATCAGTTTACGCTGAGACAGACGGTCATTCGTCGTTTTCTTTGTCACGAACTATAAACTTTCTTTTTTCCTTCGAGATTCTTCCCTGTGAACGGGTGGCTTGGGCCACCTGGTGGTGGCAGCATGACGGCGATGACGATGATCTACAGCGCATCCGCCCCGGGTGGCCCGTCGTCCGTCCGATCGCATACGACAGCGCCCGCGTTTCAGGGGTTAACATATCACAGACTCGTTGTGTTTCAAGACCCCCTTCCGCACCTCCCGTGGGCAGCCATCAGCCCTGGACGCTATTGGCTTTCGGCCTAGGAGAACGAAAACAACCACTTGACTCTCTTCTCTCTTGTCACTGCCGCAAAAGTAGGGATGATTGCTATTTATTTTCGTATCCTGAGTTCCCTCGGGGAAACAAAACGAGGCCTTGATGCGCGGCTGTCATCCGCTTGCTGCCTCCTGATAGGCTCTCGCGCACCTTCTCCTCGTCTGTGCGTCCGTGGAAGCACTTCCTGGCATGTGTTGTGGCTGAGGAATCATCATGAAGACAAGTTGCTGTTGCTATGGGACAGATGATCACATATGAGCTAGGTTAAGTTCACACTCGTGTAGCGCTGCGAATGCCTTCCGAAATTGTGTATACCCCAGCAGGCATCATGGCATGCCGGAATAGGAAGTGATATGGCTTGCGTCCCTTCTCTCCGTTCTATATATGGCATTCAAGAACATGAGGTGGTGAGCTACATGCATGCGCAAGTTGAAATGGCCTCCCTGCGGATCAGAGATAAGTCAAGCTCAGATGACGGGCCGCTTCACTGCACGATGTCTCCTTGTACGAAAGCTGAATTCCTTTAATCGCAGGTTTCCTAAGGATGTCATGAGACACAGCACCATCTAAGAGGTATAATACAACAGTGAACCGTATACGCCTCGAGCCAATCCCCCCAAACCCCCACCGAAACGTCGAATGAATGCCACAATACCCCTGCCTATCAAATAATAGTATATTCATTCCTTCTCCTCTTCCGTCGATGAGAGTCGTATCCGCTCAGCAACGGCCGTGTCCGCGTCCTGCATCATGCGCCGTGTGACCTCAGCTCGGAATATCTGACGAACAGCTGGTCCTTGAAGTGAGAATGCCTTATCCCCTTAGGTCTCATCTCGGCAAATGTATCCAAGGCCTGCTTGACCCCGAGCCCGCACCGCTCGACCAGGTAGCAAACTATGAAATATCCAGTCCGATTGAAGCCATAGTGGCAGTGCACGCCGATGGCGTACTCAGCGCTCTCGGCCCAGCCCTCCTCGGCTGCCCGAGTCCTGTGCTTCTCGCGCAGCCTATCCACGAGCTTGATAAACTCGTCCACCTCGTGGTCTGTCGGCGGGATCTTGGACACGGTCGGGAACTTGTGGTACCTCACACCGGCGCGCTCGAGCCCCGCCGGATCGTACACAGGCGTATCTTTTGAGATGTCAATCACATCCTTCACGATGTCACCCCATTTCTCGGCAAATTTGACGGGCGAGTGTTCGTCGTCGACCTCTCGGAATGTTTTCATCGCGCGGAAAACGCCTGCAATAGGCTTTGAGACCGGTTCGACGCCCTGCCATTTGGCCAGGTTCTTCACATCCCACTTCGACTCCTTGTTCAGATACTGCAGCTGCCAGCTACGAGATAGCCTGCCTGTGACATGCTGCGAGAGAAAGTCCGAGATGATGGATGCGAGAATGTGGGAACAGTCCTGGGTGTAGACCATGGCGTGCGTCCCACGCGGCAAGATCATGGATTTTACCATTTTTTCGGGGTGCTGAGGCTGGGAAGGAAGGCCAACGGCTGGTGGCTCTTGGGGCGTAGAAGGGTCCTCGAAAGTGTCATCGTCGTTGGTCTTCTTCTTCTTCTGTCGAAGGAAGTCCTCGTCCCGTATCTCTTCGATGCGACGGGCTGGCGTCGAAGTCGCCATGGTGGTATCGACCGGAGCAGCGGCATCCACAATGGGCTGGATGCTCTCGTTTGCGCCGTCTAGTGAAGGAGCTGTTCCTGCGTTCAAAACCTCAACGATCTTGTCGATTGCCTCAGGCGGTGTCACAGTGTCGTTGCCCCCTCCGAGCAGAAAACAAGGCACGTTAAGCGAGGCCCAGACCTCTTTGCCTGCGATGCCGCCCTTCGGAACGCCGTGCTCGTACACCGGTAGGCTGCCCCACGCCATCCTCCGCCAGACCGGAGTCCTGCTTTGACGATTGAAGCGGAATTGAGAATTTTTAGACTCGATGTCTGCCTCCGCTCCGACGAATCTCCTGACGCTGGCACTTTCAGCTCCTCCGCGGGCATCCCATGCCCTCCATAGATCGAAAATCTGTGTAGGTATCCAGAGCAACTTTCTGAATGTGTTCACTTGCGCCTCCGTAGGCGGCCCAGCGGGCGGACAAATGGCCACAAGACCAACTACGTGGTCAGCCACCTGGCTCGAGCCGGGAGAAGCGAGACGCGCTGAGAGTGCGCAGCCCATGCTATGGCCGATCAGAATGACCCCTTGGCCGGGTTTCTCATCTCGATATTCATTAATGATCGTGTCCAGCAACTCGACCAGCGCTTCATTCGTATACGCATCCCATGATGTCGGTGCGAACTCAGAAACACCGCAGCCTGGCAGGTCTACCGCAAGGCACGAGGAGTTGTGCGTCAGGCTCTTCAGCAAAGGGTGGAACTGCGCCACAGATCCACCGAGTCCGTGGACGAATACCAACAGCGGCAAAGGGGCCGGGTCTTTCGGCATCTCATCCAGCTTGGCGTGAGGGTGGAAGAAAACGCGAACGCCAGGATAGACAAAGCGGCTTGTGCTGAAAGACCTCACCTCGGAGTTATTCCTGAGGAGGTCGGGGTCTGTTGTTCTCGCGTCTGTCGGCTTCGTTAGTTCATAGGGGCTCCAAAGATTTCACTGGGGTACTGACCATGGTTTCCTGACTGAGGACTGGGTGTATGAGCCTGGGTTGGACTCGTTGACGCCATGCGTTTCCAGCACCAGAGCGTTAAGATTGCGGCAAAGGCAGCGGTCGCCGAAAGGACCGTGGCACGAGAACCGGAATTAGGGAGCACCTGGATCTGTTGGATCAGGTTGCTGATGGCCTTGCCGGCTTTGGTGTTGCCAACAACGGAGCCGCTTGAGCTGGCCATGTCTGTGAGTCAGACAGAGCCGCGAGACTGAATGAGACCTGAGAGAAAAGCACTACAGAAGACCTAAGGAGATGAAAAGAAGAAGATATCGCTTCTAGCCTGCTTTTGAGTGCGCCTGACGACGCTTCAAGGAGGAGAGTGGAACAAGCAGGCAGAGATCCAAGCCGTGACCCACAGCATGACAGAACCTTGGACGCAATGGTGAGCAATACGCACACGAGGGCAGCGAGGGAAGGCGAGGACAGCAAGCCTTCCGAGCTGGGAATGGGAAGTCGCAACGGCTTTCTAGGTCCCGTCAGGTACTGCTTGGAGAGCTTGGAGAGAGTGGTCTCTACTGGAGAGGTCTTCTGTTATCTCGACTTGCGACTGATGTGATGCTGAGCTACCGATGCCGTAGATCCGGGGTTGAGCTATTGCTCCCTCGCTTTGCATGCCAGGGGTCGAAACAAGACAGTCAAATAGCCACACACGTGGCTGTAGTCAATACGGCTGAGTGATGTTGAGAGGCGACGGGTGAAGTGGGATATATTGTGAATGTCAGGTGTGTTCTGGTGATAAGCAGTCCGGGGCTGCGCTTGCTGCAGTGGGACGGTGAAAACGCAAAAGTACGGGTTATCGATGTCATACAGTAGCTCCCGGTGTCAGCCGCGAACCAGTCGTTCGCGCACTTACTTCAACGTGTTCCAGACAGTCGGCCGCCATTGGACATAACAATTCCTCCTGTCTCTATCAAAGCCAGGCTTTTATTTTTTTTATCTGTTGACTAAATTTTGCACGACTCAAGGTTTCATGTGGTGCCACGATGAGCCCTCTGCGAAGTATTTGATGGCTGTCATCGCTAGTACGTGGTTGCAATTCAATTGCATCAGATAAGTTCGTGTACATTTCAAATGCGCTCGATCGAAAGGCGACTTGGCAAATGAATCGCTCCACCGACCAGATCCCAATTTTGTGTCACCTCTGCTCCCTCTCATAGCACTCATACTCGAGGCCCAGCAGTGTTCACACTGGTGGTCGTTTCCTGATGGCTGTTCGGCTATTGAGCGTATAGAACTCCGAGTCGATTATCCAGGCTCCCTCATCGGAACAGCACGACGCAGTACAGACCATGGGTCTATGGAATACTGCAGTGAGAGAAGCGCTATGCCATGCAAACTCAGATGTCCCACGCAGGCTCCCTAAGCCCTCAGCGGCCAGGAAGCTTCATGTACAAGAGTAGACACTGCACTGCTTCACAGTAATGAATCTGAGACCACTAGTCGTAGTTGGCCCCGATGCCCTCCCTCCATCCAATGGGTATCAGCGCCGCGGCAACTTCGTCAACTCCCCTCTCCGTGGCCAGCATATTGAACTGAGATGCCGCGTTCCTGGTGTCGAGAACCTCGACGCGCAGTCCCAGGCTGCCAAGGTACTTCCTCGTCGCCGGGCTCAGGGGCCGCATCTCTGGGCCTAGACCCAGTATGATCAGATCTGCAATTGACACCCCAAGTCAGCCATCATGTCTCTCAATACCGTGCCTACGAGCCGGTACAAATGTGTGGTTCGTAGTGTGTCATACCAGGCCGAGGCCAGAGCAGGTCCAGCACCGCGAACGCCTCCTCGCGGACCTCCCATTGTCCCTTGGCATTGACGAGTCTCATGTCCGGACCCCAGGGCTGCCACGCGAAGGCCTCGCCGCCCACGAGCATCACCCCGTTGCCGTCGTAGATCGAGACCCCGCTGTTGAGCTTGAACCCGTCAGACGAGCAGATGTCGACCGAGGTCGAGGGTGCCGGTGTCTGGCCTAGCATGTCCATGCGCGAGAAGTCGGTCGTCGGCGGCGCATCGGGGATCTCCTCGTCGTTGTGGGCTCGGGACCGCTTAGCCGGTCGGGCAGCGGAGGTGTGCAGCGCAGCACATTGCCGTGTCGGGGACGTCGTGGGTGGTGTCCTTGACCGTGGTCGACTGCTGAGGTGGGACGATGCCAGAGGTGGCAGTGGGAGGTGCAGGCTCCTTGCTTGCCTCGGCGCGAAGCCTTGCAACAGGCTTCGGCCAGTTGCTGCAAAGGGTCGCAGTACCGTTCTGGGGCCTACGCTTAGGGCCATCATGTAGGTGTTGTTGAATTTGGCGAGATGGCCGACATACTGGGCAGAAAGTTGCGTTGCGGAGGAAAGCAAAGATTGATCGAAAGCAGAGCTCTTTCCCCACGTCATTGACCGTCATGGGTTAGCCTGCCGCACCCCTACGACTCGAGGCACGGCTTGTTTTGCCGACAACTACATCAATTCTAGGTGCCTAGGTATGCATGTATGTGGCATATTTGTACCGAACACGGGCGGTGTTTGGTTAAGGGAAGGATGCATGTACGACTCAAGTTCTGAGATGGTGGACAGGGTGATATACAATTCGAGCTTCGGGTCGCACACAGGATTACCTAGGTACATAGTCGACCAGAGTGCTTCACTGGAACCGACGCATCCAGTCCAGACCAGTCCAGCGCTGCATGGACTGTCACATAGCCCATGATGCCGAGGCGCTCGGTTTGTCTTTTGACGACTCGATGGTCTGTATCATTGCGATCATCAAGACGCTGTAAAGCAAGCCCCTAAGAACAGAGAAACAGCGGTTGATGCCCTTGCTGTCCCGTTGCGAGATTTCACGCAGCCCTTTTATTTCCCGGGTAACACCTGAGCCAGGATCAAGACCGTCCAAGATCCGCCTCTGCTTGCGTGACCGTCCATTCCCTTGTACCCGCACCGCTAAAGGAACCCTCCTTGACCAACACCAGTTTACTTCTTCTTGGGACCCTGCTCCGCCTCCTTGAGCACCTTCTTGACGATCTTCTGCTCCTCGATGAGGAAGGCACGGACGATACGGTCGCGCACGCAGTTACCGCATCGTGAGCCACCGTATGCTCGCTGGACGGTCTTCTTGGGCTTGGAGATCTGGGCGTACTCGCGGGGGCGCAGGGCGGGGACCTGATCACATTATTCATATTAGCCGGTGTCCCAGGTGCTTGTGAGCCAGATGTGCCTGTCATCTCTTGCGGCAGGGTGCGGTTTTGAGCCAGGCGAGGTCCGGAGGGCAAACGGTCCGCGTAGTTGGCTGTGATTTCCTCCACATTTCGTCCATGCAAATTCTCAGTACGGCCATTTCTTTCCTCTGGATCGATGTCGGTTTGCAATATTATCGCTCAGGGTGTTGTCGCAGTCGTGGAATTTTCGTGCACTGTGACGGATCCTCCCGGTTTGCCCTCCTCGATTCCATACCGCTCACTCGCCGATCGACAAGGGAGGTTGACTTACGCCAGGCAGCTTGGTGCCACAGTCACCGCACTTGGGGGCAGTTCCTCGCTTCTTGATGTGAAGAATGCGCGACTCGCCACCAGGGGTCTTGACGATACGGGTCCGGTTCGAGGTGGTGTTGTAGCTGCAGGAGGGGACATTCGGTCAGTATTTGCACTTCTCTCCTAATCCGAGGCACGGCTCAGATTAATTCGGGTTCCAAGAATCCTCACCCGTTACGGCGTCTGTAAGTCACACGAGTGCCGGCCATTTTGTCGGTTTTTGATGTCGTCGCAGAGGTTGACTTTCTGGCAAACGTGGGTCTTTCTGGTGGTCGAGGGCGCAAGAGGTTGACGGAGTTTTGAAGTGGCAGCCCTGCTAGGATTTTTTGTGGTGGTTAAGCTCGGGCCACATTTTCTCCAGCCAGCCGATAATGGGCAGGTGCGGTGTGGGTCGTGCCTGCTCAAAAATCGAAAATGAAATGTGGCTGCTGTGGCTGTGCTGTCGGTCCCCCCCCCCCAGTGTAATTCTGCCGCGCTTGGTGCAGATAAGGCAAAAGTTTATGTTCAGGGGCTAGACGCTACTGCCTCCTGTTTCGTTCCTTCTGGGTAGGAGACTGCATACGAGGCTGGCAGCGCCCATCCCCAACGTTGAATCATTGCAGGCCTTCTTTTGGAATACGGGGATTCGCACCTGCAAAAATGGAGGATACACCGGTACATCACCAGCACTAAACCACATGAGAAATCAGCACCTAACACCCAAATCCAACAGCCACACCCAATTTACACACCCAATTCACATAAATTAGGTATGTGGATTAGGTGTGTAGGTATTGGGTATTAGGTGTGTAAGTATTTGGGTATTAGGTGTGTAGGTATTGGGTGTGTAGGTATTGGGTGTTAGGTGTGTAGGTGTTGGGTGTGGGTGTGTGCTCTGATTAGCTGTAGCTATGGCATGAGTTGATGATGTACCGGTGTACCCTCCGTTTTTGCAGGTGCGAATCTCCGTATTCTTCTTTTCAGATTTATTTGCTTTTCACATCACCACATACTGAACTCTGAACATCTAGGCTTTTGTCTCTGATCTCAAATTCCAGGCCATACCTTACATAGGACAACTCGACGCGGTGAAATCATGTGAGATCTGAGAGATCTGAGGAATCTGAGAGAGCGTGGCTGCGACAAGCCCGTCTACGGTAACGTCTTTGATCCGACTCCTGGTAGCTACATAATGAGCACCTCCTCTGGAGACCATTATTGTATGAGAGCTCCATTGAGCCTCTCTGGCCACGTTGTTTCTCCCTGTCCAGATGTTGGCCCTCCCTCGCTGGGCTTCTCGCCAGCCTTTCCGTCTCCGCAGTTTGCATGCTCGGCCTCTCCGAGCTTGGTTGTCCACACTAGGCCGGAAGACCCAGAATAACCCCGTCTTCTTCATAATTGACGTTTCTTCGTCTAACCCGTCATCATGGCCGGAGGCTGTGCGCCAAGTCGGGCATGTCCAACCTGAGTGGCGCCCTTGATCCTCAGCCTGCGGTCTGCATCGGCATGACCACACCGCGATTCTATGATCGCAAGTGCTCAATGGATCCATGCATCAAATCCGCCACCCTGAACGCCTGACGCCTCAATGATAACAGCAGCAACCGTTCCTTAGCCGTTGGTTGTCAACCAGTCAGGGTCATCTCTTGCCCGCCACGGCTTGATGCCCTTGGGGTTGTCCTTCCGGCTCTGTTTCGCATGCTCGAGGACCTTCGCGGTCTCCTCGTTCGTAGCTGCCTGCTTGTAGTCTTTGATCTCGCCGTACGCGGATTTCGTAGTTTCTTGAAGGGCCGAGAAGGTCGCTTCGGCTATTTGCGCTGGTCAGCGAAGAGCGGTCGTTGGGATGAGGCACCGGTCAACATACGGGAGGCATGCATGGAAAGGGGTTCCATTGCCCTAGGAATGGTCGAGCGCAAGTTCCGCATCTATCGGGGATCGCACAGTTAGCAGGCGACTCTAGCGACTCTGGGTGGACATGCTGGGCGAGGACTTACCTGGTGGTGGAGTTCACCCAGTCGCTTCAGCGCTTGCTCGATTTCGGCCTCATCCCACTGCTGTCCTGCAGCTGCTTTCTGGTTTGGGATGGCCATGGTGATGGTGGGATTGGGAGCGGTGTTGGCTCGCTGGGCATGCGATCTGACGCCTCTGGATTGGGAGGATCAAGACCAAGGACTCTCTGGTCTTGTTCTGTCACGCGAAGGAGTAGGAAGGGCTCGGCATCCCGGAAAACGCCCAAGATTAAATTGGGGTTTGGGCAAAACCACCGTGATGGCCACAAGGGGCCGACTTCTACTGTCTGCAGTGAATTGACTGATTGTCAAACCCTCGATTGTCAAGCTAATCAGGCTTGACAGAAGTGATCAGAGCTCGGTTACCTAGATGGGCACTGAGGTCAGACAGTGCGCATTCGGTCGGTCAGTCAGCCAGTCAGTCAGTCAGTCTATTCCGCCCGTCAGTCAGTAGACAGCTTGGGTTGCAGTCAGCTCCCACCTACCCCCAGCTTTCCTGTCAGGCCTGCCCGGCTTGTTTCTGGCCCCGCCCCTGCTGCGACGGCGATAAGGGGGGATGAGCTGATAAGCAGTGGCCACCTGCGCAGCCAGGCGACCAAACAGCCTGGCCAGCCTGGGAAGAATGTTCCACCGAGAGTGGCCAGCACCTGCAGAGGCTTGGTTTTCTCCGGGCTTGATCCAATCTTCTGTTGACGGTTCGAGCTACCTAACCAGTCAAACTCCTGCAGCAAGACTGGCCAGGCCCCCCGAGAAAAAAAAAAAAAAAAAAAAACAAAGCTCACCACCCCCGAGAAAAAGTCCTGGTTCGCTCGCTGGTTGACTCGACTCCGACTGCCGTACCACCCTCTCTCTCCCTCGACACGGCGACAAAACCCTGCAAACACACGCAGACGGCACACCACCAGCCCCGAGCTTCCTCACACCTGGGCATTCTCCTGCTGCACGTTGCGACACGCCTAGGTCCGGACTTGCCTGACGGCTCAGGCATACTCGACCAATCAGCCCGCCTGCCAGACCGGCTTGCAGTTCCACCTTAGTCCACGCGAGGTTGCAGCATGGACCGGATGATTGGCTGGGCCGATGACAGCGTACCTAGCGGGCTCCCAAGCATCGCTCACGACGACAACACAGTTCCAGTTGGCACTGTCCAACCATCCCATGCCTCATACCATCCGCACCATACATCCCACCCTTTCTCTCAACCTCCTGCACAACATCACCATCCTGCTGTAGCAGGTGGTTATGGACATCAACACTGGCAGCCGGTCCAGCCGCCGCATGTGAACAGTGTCCAGCAGCAGCAGCAACAACAACACCAACAACAACAACAACATCAGCAGCAGCAGCAGCAGCAACAGCAACAGCAGCAGCAGCAACAGGCACAGCAGCAGCAGCAGCAGCAGCAGCAGGCGCAGCAACAGCTACCGCCATCTCGCCCAGCCTCGACCATCCCGATACCAACCTCCACGCCGGTGCCTGTTTCCCTTCCGCCAGCTGCACCGACCTCGTCCACGCCTGTGTCTGTGCCCGCCCCGGCGCCGCAATCTCAGCCGCGACAAACCAAGAAGCGGAAACTGAACGATCAGAGGCAGCAGCAGCAGCAACAGCAACAACAAGCTGCCGCCGGCCCTTCCACCTCCACTACCGATCGACTTGGTCTCCTGCAGACAAACCTGCCTTCGCCGGCTCCTTCGGCATCGGTGCCAACCCCTCCGCCTCCCGCGAACCAACAGGCATCGCAATCGACCCCCACAGTAGCCACATCCTCCAAGCAGAGTGCACCTCCCCAGACGCCTCAGAACTGGTCTCTCTCCCAGGCCCGTCGAGTGCTCCGCGAACCTCGTCCTCCGCGATGCCTACCTCTCCTGCGCCGGCACTGGCACCCCCGCCCGAAGGCATTTATCGATCATTCGAAGACCTCTTGACTGCCGTACAACGAGTGGCAAAGGATCAGGGATACGGGGTCGTGAAGCTCCGGTCGAGCAATTACCGCGAGGGAAAGCCGACGCGCTTCGACCTGGTGTGTGATCGTGGAGGAGTGAAGTACAGCAGTACTGCCAAGAAGCGTAACCCAAGCACGCGCAAGGTCGACTGTCCGTGGCGTGGCAAGGCCGTGTGTGAGGTGCAGCTGGGAAATCAATGGCGTTTCGTCGTGCAAGAGTCACGGCATAACCACGAACCTCGCGTGCCTACCGCACCGCCAGGGCAAGAGAACACGCCGGTTGCGCAGAGCATTCGAAGCTTGACCAACAAAATTGACCGCATGACCCACGAGATGTCCCAGGGCTTCACCAGGTTAGAGTCCCGGTTAGAAAGCATGGAGAAGCGCATCGAATCGTTCGAGCAAAGTCAGCAGAGCCAGTTGAGCCAACAGAATCAACAGACCCAGCAGAACCAGCAGAGCCATCACAACCACATGATTCAAAACCGCGTTCCCATGATGAGCGCACCTCCTGGGATCTTGGACGGCAGGATGAACCAAATGGAAGCCCGCATGGAAGCCATTGAAAGGGGCGGCATGGAGATGCAGCTGGGCGACATGGATGCGACGACGAGACTGCTCACGGGGTCGACCATGTAGAATGTGGAGGATTACCCGGAACTCTGACTATCCAGTGACCTCAGCCGCCGCTGATGCTAGTATACACTCCCATGAAGCTGAGCAAGGATAGCACATAGGGCGATGTACATTTTCAACGGGCGACGAGAGCTTCAGGCACCTACCGTGCACGTGGAACCGAGCAAGGTCGGATTCCGGCAATACATCAATTCATGCGCATTGCAAGGGTCGGCTACGGAGTACATGGTTGTTCTTTGATTTTCTTTTCACGGGTGGTGATTACGGAAGGTTGGCTTGAGGCGTTGCTAGGATAACAAACCGTTCGGGCTCGGGCGGAGTCGTCTGTGGCGAGATTGAGTATGTTTCCAAAGACATAAGGCCGCAACACGGCGTCAAGGTGTGAGGTCAGCACCCCATTATCACTGGTGTCGAGTCTATCGACTGCATGTAGATGTCGGAACCGAAGGGAAATCTTACACTGTATATATTTACCGCGGTCTCGGGGATTCCCGTCTATCCAGGTTAACATTTGCAGTTCATCACCTCAAAGGCTTCCCAGTTCGTGACCGGATCCTCGACTGCTTGTGGATTTACCCAGGAAAAGAAGCCCCATCGTCGATCGGCAGGACCGCTTGCTCGTCAATATAGTCCAGAACACTCGGTCTCTGAACAGCCATGCAAGTGGCGTGCAGAGCTTTTTGAGCAAAAGTACGTGAATGGGAGAGTATTCCAATGACTGTGTCTTATCCGGGACGGACATCTGGAGATCACCTCCAAGTCGGACACTGTCGTGTAGGACGTAGTACAGCCACTCATAACTATACAGGCATACATACATCTCGACCGCTCGGAATACCGACCTCACAAGATGGATAAGTTAAGTCTTCTCTCTACAGATTTCTTTGCTTTATTCAGCTGCCCTGTCCAGTGCCATGGCACCAAATGATTCACGGCTGGCTTGAGAAACGCCGTACGAGAGTGTCCCTTGCGAGTGCACACCCCCGGCAGAGGACAGACCATGTATACGGTCGACACCGGGCACAGTGTGGGATTTCCGCCCGCAGGTTGGCGCCGTGCGCCTGGGATCGGTACCGGGCCCCGCGGTTCCGCCTCGGTGTGAGCCGATCTCAAGCGGAATCCCGGGAGCGACTAACCACTGGCACCGGGCGGCCCTCACACAAAGTGTGAGCTTTCTGGGGTCGCACGCATCACGCGCATAGGAGAGTACCACGGCAGCAGCCAGGAGAGGTGGCTCGCTTGCTGGGCTGGGGTGATGAGGCTGACGCCGGTTTTGCAAATGCTTCTTCCGAGATACCTGCCTCATCATCGCCAGGCCGTGACATCTTGTTGATATCCAAGACCTAGATGCTATATGACAACGTTTCCGCCTCTCTGAGACGACTGAACACGTACCCGGAAGACAAATTAGCCCCGGATCAGTCAATGCTCCTCGAAAATGCCACCCTGATGACATATTCAGAAGAGTAATTGAGGCGCCTCTTTTCCCACGTCTGTACTTTGCACCTCTTCGGCATCGGGTATCGCAGCTCAGCTGCCAGTCGTCTTGACCCGCGCGGCTGCTGCCATGGAATGATAGTCGTACATGGCATCCCGGCAGAAAGGTGAGCTCACTTGTGTCCCTCAAGGTCGGCTTGGTCGTCAACCACCGTCGCATCTGCACCTGGCAGCAGGGATCACCACGGCGACACTGTCTGCGCCGGGCCGATGCTGACCAGGAAGGCAAGAGTTGTTTGCGCGCGGCAGCACCCGTTCAGGCCCGTTTTCTTGAGCGCCAGAGGCCAACTCGCTCATGCGATGCAGGCGTCCTTTCCTCGGGGGCCAGGTCACAATGCGCCGGCGCTGACATGTTTGCCGAGGCCGAGGCCGGCTTTGGCGGGAGTGGAGCCCAGGGAAGTGGGAGGAGCCGCGCGGGACGGCCTCTGGGACCTTGTTAGGAGGACCCGCTAAATGCTGCACTGATGGGCCTGGCCGCCAGAGCAACCGTCCAATTGGGCCGTGGGTGATTTCAAATGCTTTGTCAATCGCCCAAGACTCGGCACTAAGTATCAAGACGCATGAGAGCCTCGGGAGGTTCTCTGTTGTGAAAAGTTCACATCATAGACTAGACGGTTTCTCTTGAGACTCATTCGGTCGCTTATTCTAAACAGTGAATACTTCTTTCCGTCTGTGTAACTCTGCCTAACCTCTCCCATGCGCTCCATTCTCTCGGCCGAGAGAGCTTCTATACATTATTGTGTACGGATTCTTCAGAGGGGCATTTATCATAGATCAACTTCATTGGCATTTGGACTGAGGCCAGTGCAACAGGCTTGTATTCTCTCCTCCTCATCTTACACCCGACAAACAAGTCTGTCTCATCTACCATCTCACAACTCACCACGCCGCACCTTCAGCAACATGCCAGAGGTACCTGCGCAAGAAGCGCTAAATGCCGTGGAGAGCCAATGTCCCGAGGAGACAGGATCCGGCAAGGCTGAGGCCTCAACTTCCACCGACTCGAAATCAGAGCCAGCCCTGCCGCCATTGTCTGGTCACGAATTCAAGCAATACAACCGGCTGGCCGAACATATGAATTACTTTGTGAGTTGACTTCCCTTTTATCTAATACTTTCCATCTATCCAAGTACGTTTCTAATTCTAGATCTAGCACGAACATTTTCGCCAGACATGGAACCTCTTGTACACCGCAGCCTCGTCCGGTCGCAGGCCAGCCGGGATGAGCCTGAAGCAGTACATCGACCAGGGGCTGGAGTTCATCTCTCATCTCACAGCACACCACAACATCGAGGAAACTTATATCTTCCCGATTCTGGCCCGCAAGATGCCTGAGTTCCAGAGCAACGGCAAGGGAAAGCGCGCCGCCGAGCTCCTCCAGCAGCACAAGGAGATCCACAAGGGTATGGATGTCTTTCAAGAATATCTAAGCAAGTGCCGGAACAGAGAGGTCGACCTGGAAATGAGTGTCCTAAAGGCCAAAATGGACACCTGGGGCGGAGTCTTGTGGAAGCACCTCGACCAGGAGGTGGAAACCCTCGGAGCTGAGAACATGCGCAAGCATTGGACGATCGAGGAGATCCGGAGAATACCGATGTGAGGCGGACGACTTCACCTGACTTGTCAGCAAATGAGAGAACTGCCAGAGAAGCAAGTCCTCGCCCGCGGTCGGAGCTGCTGTGGCATCGCCTAGGCGATCCCCGGGCCTCAGGCCTTTGGCTCGACGACAATCTCTTCCACCATGACCACCTTGCCGCCAGTGCCTCTAGAGTCTGGGGTTGTGTTGACCTCTCGTATAGTTGAAGACTGGCTGTCAAAAGAAATAGCGCGAGACACAAAAGATGGTGTTGGGGCGAGGACAAGCCTCGGTGGCTCGTCAGAGAACGAGGTTATGATTGACCTCTCTCTCGGCTGCCTGTGGTCTCCCGCGAAAAAGACGAGTGGCGCCAGTTTGGCGAAGAGGGGTCGCAGTGAAGGCATTGATAGACACACGATGCTGATGCTGCATTCCAGAATGCTCCACATCAGGGGTTCGGCGAGATCATCTAGCGGTAGAGATCAGTCGGCTGGCATCCATAAATGGGGGAAGTGCGCTTACATGAAATGTCAGAAGTGTTGTAGAGCTTATGTATGTACGTTAACTTCACAACACTCGCAAAGACAGCACTAGAGACGTCAGCCAAAATACACCCACATGCATCAAGATATTGAGAATCACCAAGACATGGGAATGGGGGTAGAAACTTACGACCCACCAACAATGAAAAGGAGACAAGCTCCGACTTTCTGCTTCCGAGGAAGGCCGAGTCGCAGGAAGTACGGAAGTGGCGCCGTACACAATACCACGTCCGTAATGATGTTCACAGTTGTGCTTGCGTACAGAAAGGTCGGAAACTGGTAACACTTCGCCTGTGCCCTGATGGTAGGGTCCCATGCGGCCTGTATGGGAAGACATACAAATATAGTCGCAATCACGGACACCACCAGCAGAGCCAGTGTTACGTTCAGCATCGCATACATCAGCTTGTGCAATCGGTCATGTGGAAATATGCGAAAGTACGAGCTGATGATGGACAGCTTTGCGAAGGCGATGGCGAAGCTGTAGAGGATGTGGCCGGCCCACATGAACTCGATTATATGCCTCAAGTCGATCCCTGCATCGATCAAGTCCGATGAATGTTGGCCGAGACCATGCATAGTTGCTGTACAGTATGAAGTGTCAACCGGATGGAGTGGACGAGAGGGTTTGGCTGCTTGAAGACTCAATTTACCTCCTAGGGACACCATGCAGAAGGACAAGGTGAAAGCTGCTGCCACCAAGACCAGGAAGTCGTCGGCAGAGAGACGATGAGGTGCCATCATCTTCTTAACTATGAGGCGGATCGCAATCACCACCGAGATGGTGGCCAGGCATCCCAACACAACGGCGGTGGTAAGTGCTGAATGATCTGACAAGGTGAGGCTGCCCTCTTGAGCAGGGGCATGATCGGACTGCCGGCGAACATTGTCCGACATGAGACGTGCGGGATGGCTGACATCTTCGCTCCCCATGTTGTCAGAAGCGGTTGCACATGAGGCGTGCAGGCCAAAAGAAATGGCTAGAGTGTAGAAATGGCAACATTTCAAGCTGGCGACTACGCATATATAAACCTCAACCAAAACGACTTGGGAAACAAGAGTAGAACACGCGCTTGTTCCAGCGTTTGAATAGAGCCCCAGCCAAGTCCTGAGGCCCTCAAGAAGGCCCAGATCGTGATTCAAGGATTAATAGCGGCCCTGGGATATGATACGGTAGACGATTTGTCCGACAACAAGATCGAATGGCAGAGGCGATCACATCCGACGGAAACCCAATATCCCCAAGGAAGCTTCTAGGCAATATGAGACGGGCCTAATGGCTCTTAAACAACCAGGAACAGTTCATGGCGCGGAATATGATGTTTCGGCGTCGAAGACTGCCACGTGTAAGCGAATCCAGATACCGAGATCACACTGGCGCGTTCGCGATTGGCCAGCAAGTGGCCAGCAAGGACCATCACAGCCACATGTTTAGTTGAGGCAGTCGTGATTCCGGCGCATCAATCGTTTTCTGCAGCATCTTGCTGGATGCTCCATGCGCATCACAGCGGTGATGGCATAACTTGAAGAGCGAGTTGAATGATGTAGACAGGAAGTTCTCCAACAGTGCCGACGGCCTCGAGGGCTAGTATCTTTTCGTTGACTGATCCCCTGCTTGGAGCGTCTCGGACTCTATGCCATATTCGACACCATGGTGGCTCGTCGCTTGTAGCAGACCAAGTGTAGGCGTCTGTTTCCATTATCCACGAAGGGCCTGGCGTGCCGGCAGATAAACTTAAGCTTTCTGCTCAACTTCCGAGGGCGCCATGCTAGACCATTTTCTTCCTCGCGAGCGGCCGTCAGCTGATGGTTTGCTTGGAGGTTCGAACTGCCATTAGTGACTGAGCTTAGCCTACAGGGATCGTGGATCGTAGGCCGAGTGTTTGACCAAGAAACATGCGGACAAACCTTGAGAACGGGCGTCGTGATCCGTCAAGGTAAGATTTCACATGGCAGCTCCACCACCGCGGTGGGACGTGTTTGGAGTACATGAGAGAGTTCGATGCGAACGAGTGATCATGTTGCTTGGCGTCCCAGCATTCCATGGTGAACCAGTGTTTCGCCAACGCTAAGACGCGAGGACGTGGGAAAAGCTCCGAACTTCGACCGCCACGGCAGTTTTCCTGTCAACCTTGCAGCTGGAGATCACAACTGCAGATCATACCCGGGTGGCATTAATTGCAAGGGCAACTCTGGACGGAAGGTCCGCACTCGTCCCGCGGTGGTGATTCACTGTATGAAATGCTTGCTTGGGAGGACCTTGGCTGGCTTCCCAGCAATGACAGGCGAGAGCGAACAGCGGATGATCAGTTTGAGACTCCCGAGGCAGCGCTGGTTGGGCCTGGCCGCAATGCTCTGGAACCCTGCTATCGTGGTTGTCAAAATTTTTGGGAGCTCCATCCTGTGTGGACTTCACTTAGACAGATCGAAACCTAATGAGCGAGTCCAGTGTGTAATCGAGGTGGTTAAGTTGAGACGAGAGCAGGTGATCCGTCCTCAGAGCAATGTGAGACATGGGCGGCAGCTAAGCTCACAAACTCAACACGGCAGAGTTGAAGGCTGCATGACGTGAGGTAGCTCGACCGAGCTTTATCTGGAATGAGAAAAGGACAGGGAGTGTGGATGAAGGAGGTCTTCATGTGCAATCGAAGTTCTGTCGTTGACTTACCTGGGGCACAGTAGCACCACAGGTGGGCCCAATCCACCGTGCAGCAGGTGGTTCCAACATTGCGAGGGTCGAGCCGCACTGAGCTGGTAAGGCTTATCTTATCGCCGACCCCGCTGAACCTTGGGAGCTTCTGTCGCCCAAGCTTCTGTGGCCAAGGGTACCTGCCTACCTACCCTGACGTTGCTTGTCCATTTGTTTGAGGGTCGATGCGACATCGTCTATCTCAACCTCACCTTTCCAAGAGCCTCCACATCTTGGGAAGAAGATAGCCACCAGTCTTAGCCACTGCAAAGCCTCACTCCTTCTCACTTTATGAGAAGATCTTCGCATCTTGACCATCCGCCCTTCCGAACCGAAATCCGTTTCCTTTCTCTCCCACACGACTTGCCAAGATGGAGGCAGCAACAAGCACCCTGAAAGAGTGGGAGCTCCAAAACGACATAAAGCTCATCGACCCCACCCGCGACTCCCTCTACAACTTCGACGCCAACAGCCAGAAGGCCCTGCAGGAGAAGAAGCTATGGAAGACCGACCCCAACCACTTCAAGAAGGTGCGCATCAGCGCCATCGCCCTCATCAAGATGGTCATGCACGCGCGGTCGGGCGGCAACATCGAGATCATGGGCCTGATGCAGGGCTTCGTGGAGAACGGCGCGCTGGTCATCACCGACGCCTTCCGCCTGCCGGTGGAGGGCACAGAGACCCGCGTCAACGCGCAGGACGAGGCCAACGAGTACATGGTCGAGTTCCCGCGGCTGTGCAGAGAGCAGGGCTCGAGGCAGGAGAACCTGGTCGGCTGGTACCACAGCCACCCGGGCTACGGCTGCTGGCTGTCGGGCATCGACGTCGGCACCCAGGCCCAGTGGCAGAAGTACAACGACCCCTTCGTCGCCGTGGTCATCGACCCCCACCGCACCATTGCCGCAGGCAAGGTCGAGATCGGCGCCTTCAGGACGTACCCGGAGGACTATAAGCCCGCCGGGAGCACGGATTCAGAGTCCTTCCAGGCCGTACCGCTGGCCAAGGCGGAGGATTTTGGTGCGCACGCGAGCCGGTACTACAGCCTGGAGGTGGAGACGTTCAAGAGCACGCTCGAGGCGCACCTGCTGGACCTCCTATGGAACAAGTACTGGGTCCAGACGCTGTCGGCCAACCCCCTGATCACGAACCGCGACTTCGGAAGCAAGCTGATGCAAGATCTCGGCTCCAAGGTCAAGCAGCTCAACTCCACCATGCAGCGTAAGAGCAGGACTGGTGCGCAGATGGGCTCGTCTATCTTGCTGGGCTCTGAGAGGGACGGCGGCGTGGAGCAGCATGTGGAGAAGCTCGCCCGGGACGCGAAGCAGATCGCCGCGAAAGAGAAGACTGGTCTGATGGCTCTGCAGGTAAAGGCGAAGCTCTTCAATGATCTGGGAAATAACGCGTGAAGGGCGGTAGTCGGATTCGACTAGAGGGCAGAGCGCAGTAAGGCGCTCACCCATGACACACTTTGACGAGCCAAACTATTATGAGACGACGATGTCCCAAGCCTGTGGAAGAGCGTGCGAGGGAAATGCATACAGAGACGGCGTTCAGATGGAAAATGAATTCGTTGGCTTCGAGGCGATTGTCCATTTTATTAGATGCGGATATGTACAATAATGATGATACACCGGGTTACATTGACAGGTGGCGGCAAGGCCATGCTACCCATCAAGACCGCAAGCCGTTCCCAACTCTCTTATCGCCCTCAGTCCTCCGTGTTTTTGGCAACCTTTGACCTGCCGCGCTCAACCCAAGATTCCTTTACGTTCTGCTCAAGTTCGGCCACCTCAGCATCGAGTTTTTTGTCAGCGTCGCCCCTAGACGGGCGTTCGCCCTCAACATCTCGGGCAGGCCTTCCATTCGCCTTTACTCTGAGGGGATGATCGACCAGAGGCCCGGCGTAGAAAGCACCAACAGGACCGGGAGCATCATCGGCAGCAGCGCCCAGTCGCTTCGCTGGGTTCCCCAGCCCCGATTCCTCGAGTTTCTTGGCCCGCTTCATTGGAGGGTTTTGAGCAGGATCGGAGTACTCCTCGCGCAAGATGTGCCGGGAGCCGGTGCTGAACTCTTCAAAGCTGATGAATTGCTTGGGCGGGCGGTCTTCTGGTCTCAGGACGGGTTCGAACCGTGGCTGACGTTTGGACACGAAAGGTCCTTTCTCTGGTAGGTGTGACTCAGGGTGCATCGGCCTCAAGAGTCCCTTAGCTTTGCCCCGAGTTCCCGTGGGCTCCTCTTTGGAAATTCGTACTTTTACATTTCGGGGCTCGCTCACCTGGCCGTGGGGTGACTTCTGGCCCTTGCCGGTGGAGTGCCCCATGACTTTGTTGTGCAGGCGTGAATATTGCTGTAGCCGCGCTACCTTCTTGGCCTCGACCGCCATCTTTTCTTCTTGGACCCTAGCACACCTACGCGCTACTCGGAGGCGTTTGAGCGTTTCTTCCTGCCCCAGAAGCACCATCACTGGAACAACCGATAGCCCGGGCGTTCCAACAAGGAGACCCCACCGGAGGAACTTCCAACCAGCGCCATGCTCCATGAAAAGATCCTTTTCCGTGTTGTAAAGAGTGACAGAATCAGCCAGCTTCTTGGCCTTGGCCCCAACATGCTCCAAAGTCCATTCTTCTTGCGTGAGCTCGTCCAGTGAGTTCCTAAAGTACAGCAGCACCTTGGAGATGTCCATATTCAAGATTTTTTGGGTTTTCTTAACCATTTTGATGCGCTTCATACCGCTTTGGAACTCCTTGAAGCTGTTCTTGTAGGCCAAAGTCGATGGTTGCCAGAACGCATACATGTTGTCCCTTATGAACTGGCGATGATTTCCCATTAGGCCTTTGGAGGTCTTCAGGACCTCGTGGATGTGCTCCTCTGTGTGCTGTGTCCGTTGGCGCGTCGTTTTTACGCGCATATTAGGTTTGTCACCAAAAACTTCTGCTACGAGCTCCGACACCGAGTTCTTGGACAAGTCCTGGCTGAGCTGCTCCAGCTCAGACTGCATTGGCTTGAGGATGCGTTGACTCAGGGCAGTGGGATCCGATATTGCACCAGATATCAAATCGCGAGTGAATCGGGTCTGGAAGAACTTGAGTTTGGCCAGGTCGACCACTATGTCTCCTCGTGTGAATTTCAAAGTAAACTGTTTTTGTCAGCTCTAAGCTTACACAAATCGAAAAGCGTGTTTGGCTCACATTTTCTTTCATCTCCTCCACAGTCATTCTTCCCCTCTTGTCCAGATGCGGCCGGTTTTGCAGGCTTGAATCCCAGCCGAGCAAGACTGAGAAATTAAGCAAGGCCTCTGGCATGATATTTGAGTCACGGAAGACCGATATCCCGATGTTGTCGATGTCCCTCTTGCTCAGCTTTTGCCGCTGATGGTCCACAAGAAGGCCGACGTGGGCAAAATTGGGAGGCTGCCAACCGAATGCGTTGTAAAGCTCGATGTGTTTTGGGGTTGATATGAGCCACTCGGCGCCCCGTATGATGTGAGTGATCTTCATGAAGTGATCATCAACCACGTTAGCGAAGTGGTAGGTTGGGAAGCCGTCGCTCTTCATGATGATGAAGTTGTCCTCGCGCTCGGCCTTTTTGTAGGCGCCGTAGACCAGGTCTGGCGCAGACACAGGCACCTCGGACGTCTTGAAGCGGACCACGTGCGGCTCGCCATTTGCGGCACGCCTGTCCGACTCGGACTTTGATATACCCACGCATGTGCCCGGGTAATGAGCCACGGCGCAGCTGGAGGTTGCCTGCTGTAGGTTGAACTCGAGGTCTTCCTTTGAGCAGAAACATCGGAAAGCATGGTCCTTCTCCAAAAGCATGTCTACATGCTGCCTGTAAAGATCAAGCCGTTCAGATTGCTTGTACGGGCCGAAAGGTCCCCCCTTGTCGGGTCCTTCGTCCCAGGTCAAGCCAGCCCATTGCATGTCTTCGTACAGTCGTGACTCCGCATCATGGACAAATCGTGTCTGGTCGGTGTCCTCCAGACGGATGACGAACTGGCCGCCGGTGGCTTGTGCCAGCAGATAATTAAAAAGTGCCGTTCGTAAAGACCCCAGGTGAAGGTAGCCTGTCGGTGACGGCGCGAATCGGGTTCGTGCTGGGGACTCGGGCAGACTCCATATTGGTTTTTGGTTTTGACTTGGCTTGCCAATCAATGCATAGCGTCGTACTTGGTTGAGCCGTGAGGACAGAGAACCTGTGTGTAGCCTCCTCCTCAGGAGCAGTAGGTTGCTCATTTCGCATGAGGTGTGATCATGAAGGTTGAGTCGTGGAGGCCTTGAGTGAGGTGATGTGAGAAATTCTTCGAGTTTTATATGACATGAGGGTTGCTCGAGATCTTGAGACACATGACTGTAATAATTGAAGCGAGAAGAATTAGAGTATGGCCCAGGAGGAAAATATCATGCTGATGAATGAGCGAGACTGCAGGCCGTGGTCTTTCTCACCATCTGGGCAGTACTCAATTATGTGCAGATTTGGATTAACTAGCTCCCGGCAAGCTTCAGCACGCTAGGCCTCGCCGGTCGGCCGCGCTGACCCAATTAAGAAGGCGGTGAAGAAACGGCTGCGCGGCGGCAGAATCCAGTGCGGTGGAATACTTAAACCCTCGCCCCCGACGCTCCTTTCCTGTCCTTTCTCTCTTTTCTCTCCAGCTCTCTTTGCCTTTTGTACGTGCCCCCCTAACATCACCAATTGCTACATCACATTGGACCTCAGCTAACCGGCTTTACGTCAAACAGGGCTTAGATCAAGTGTAGTATCTGTTCTTTTCAGTTTAATCTCTGAAAGTACTCTACGGAGTACAATCGTGATTATTCTAATTTTTGTCCGTCGGGGGACGGTCCTCTGAGCTTGCTCACGGCCGACCTCCACTGTGTCCTCGGTATCACACTGCCTCCGAGTGACGCGAACCTCTTTTCATTGTACTCCTACGGCTTGCCTGGGATGCGAAGAAGGGATTGCCTGTAGCATGCTGTCGCGTCGCATGGTGTTTTGCTGAGGTCCCTGACCTCGCTGTTGTGATGGGCTACTGCAATGGCCTGGTCTACTTGGTCTGCTGTCCTCCATCTGGCTGCACATGCAAGCAACGAACACGAGACGGGTCGTCGATTCCATTAGTGGATTGGGCAGCCTCGACTGGTACAGCACATGTTGCCCATGAACGACTGGACTTGAGCAACGCTCAATGACGACATTTGATTTTAGTATGACAAACTCGACCTGAGGTGACCTCAAGGTTGACATGGGATGCGCGAAAAGTATCGTGACGCTTCCAGTGGTCGGTTCAACGTGTAAAGTTTCATCACGCGTGCGCGTAAAGAGACCTGGCATCTTGACTAACCTGGACTTTTGCATTGGTCAGCCCTACGAGCTGGGGACCTTACAGTCGAGCGCGGATAACGGCATCAGCTGCCTGAGTACCTTGGCAAGTGGCATGTGATTAGTGGCCTGCTAGCATCTACCTGATCAAGACCGGCGGCGTCTGAAACAACAGGCTGCTCTTGCCTGGCAAACCAGACACCGTATGTAAAGCCGGACGAGTACGTATCCTGGATCTACCTAGGCAGGCGAATACCAAAGTGAAAAGTGAAAAGTGAAAATCTGCACTGGCTCGAGTTGGGGAGAAGTTGGAGCGTGGGGTAATCCTGTGCTGGCATGGGATGCGCTTTTGTCTGCAGCCAGCTGGAAGGTTACGGATTTTCCATCCTTTCTGCATCATCGGATTTTGCGGCGCGTCGAGGCAACTTTTGACATAAAAACCATCGCTTTCCCTTTCGCTTCCTGAGCGCCTGATCTGTCGCCCCTTTGCTGCCTCAGCAGCTGGCTTCGCATTTTAAAGTCACTCCTCTCCCCTCTACACAGGAACCAAGCTTGCCCCGCCAAAACTCCGTTATTTGTCGCCGAGTTTTCCCTCTGCTCTGCAAATCCAGCGAACATCGTGAAAAAGAACAAACATGGACAGTGGCGGACCCGGCAATGGTCCTGAGGGACAAGAGGATGTTGACCTTTACGGTGAGTATTTCTGCTTCAAAATGACAAGATGTACCACCTGGAATGCAATCTCAGCGTTAGGGCACAAACTGACCAGACCCAAGAGCTGCTCGGAGTGGAGAGGACGGCAACCCCAGATCAGATCAAGAAGGCGTACAGGAAGGTGCGCATCCCCGATTCTACAAGCCCACTGGCGTCAGTCGCACATGCTGACCATTTTCTGATCGCAGGCTGCCCTGCAACATCACCCTGACAAAGTTCCCGAGGATCGCCGCGAAGAGGCCGAGGCGAAGTTCAAGCAGGCCACCCAAGCCTACGAGATCCTCCGCGATGATGAGAAACGAGAAATGTACGACCAATACGGCATGGCCGCCTTCGACCCCTCCCGAGGCGGCGGTCCCGGCGGTGCCGAAGTCGATCTGAACGACATCTTGGCGCAGATGTTCGGCATGGGCGTCGGCGGCGGAGCAGGCGGACCACGACGGCCGAGGCGCGGCCGCGATGAGGAGCAACAGTACAAGGTGACGCTGGAGGAGCTGTACAAGGGCAAGACCGTCAAGTTCTCGGCGAACAAGAAGGTCAACTGCAGCCAGTGCAAGGGCTCGGGCGGCAAGGAGAAGGTCAAGCCACAGACCTGCGACCGCTGCAAAGGCAACGGCTTCCAGGAGGCGTTCCAGCAGATCGGGCCAGGAATGGTCCGCAGGGCCCAGGTGCAGTGCGACCACTGCCAGGGCTCAGGGAACTACCACAAGGAGAAGGACCGCTGCAAGAGGTGCAAGGGCAAGCGCATCGTCGACGAGATCAAGCCCCTGGAGATCTACATCCCTCGAGGCTCCATGCAGGGCAAGCAGATCAGGCTGGAGGGTGAGGCTGACCAGCACCCTGACCAGACGCCTGGGGATATTATCTTCACGCTCGTCGAGGAGCCGCACGATGTCTTCACGAGAATCGGCCAGGACCTGTCTGCTGACCTGAATGTCACCCTTGCCGAATCCCTCTCCGGCTTCTCAAGAGTGGTCCTGAAGCATCTTGACGGACGTGGAATTCACATCGACTTCCCCCGCGGCAAGATTCTGCGGCCTAACGAGGTGATCAAGGTCGCCGGGGAGGGTATGCCGCTCGAGAGGGGTGACTCCAAGGGCGACCTCTACTTGATCGCCAAGATTGAGTTCCCTGAGAACGGATGGCTGAGTGACGACAAGTCGTACGAGGCTCTGCAGAAGCTGCTGCCTCCTCCTGCTGCCCCTATTGTGACGGAGGAGACCGACGAGGTGGATTACGAGGAAGACGTGGACATTGAGGAGGTGAGAAGTGCCCTATTGACCGACCCCTCAACATTTTTATATGAACTTGTGACTGACTAATTTGTGCTACAACAGATGGGTGCTCATTCAGGAGACGCACGGTTCGGCGGCGACTGGGAGGATATGGACGAGGAAGAGGGAACCACGCAGTGTGCCACTCAGTAAATATTCTCTGGGAAGCGTGGAGTTTACAAGTCTACGAACACGGCTGGACATCTCTAGCGAGTCTGATCTAAAGGCGCCGGGCACTGAAGCCAGGCACTGGGGAAGGGAAAGGTTATTTATTTTCAGTACTGATTGTTGGATGCAACCCCATCGCAAGTAGAGCGAGAGAGCATTCAGCCCGATAGACCAAATCAAGAGCAGCTGGCGGCCCCGGCATCTACGAGAACAGTTCCAGATCTGGGCGTTGTCTCATGGACAGTGAATGAGTGTTACAATAATTATCCAGCTTTCCAGGCAAGACTCTCGCCCGTTGATAGACCGTCAGTGGAGTGCGGTACAGCCTACGAGGGTCCCATATGTCCACAGGTACTTGACAAGTCCAGGAATGAACCAATAATAGCCCTTTACCGGTACATAACCACTGTCGTAATTGAAATGTTCAACAAGATACAACACCTTACCCTGTGTTGCTCCACAGTTGGTTATGCCAGAGGAGGGCACCCGAGTGGATTGGAAGTTATCATAGGATTGAATCCACTGAAGACGATGCCCTTGACGATTATCCCATTAGTGGCTATCCCACTGGTGGCTATCCCACTGGTGGCTATCCCACTGGTGGTTATCCCACTAGAGGCTATCCTCACGGAAATTATGGCAGTGCGTGTCGTCCCAATGGAGGTTATCTAAATGTGGATTCTTCCAGTGAGATGAACACGAAGGGTACGTTGTGTGGTTGACGTTGATCGAACAAGGTTTTTGGCCAGTTGACATGAGCGTCGGGCTCCACATGTGCTGCTGTGCCAGTGCCTTCGGGGCAATCAAAACATGATGAGGATATCTTTTCCCATAGATGTCTGGATCTTCCAGGGCAGTTACTCTCACTCAGTTCTTAGTCCCAGTCGCATACATCACCTTGAAAACCGGGGTTCGGCCCCATTCCTAGAAGGAAAGGAAAGTATGAAGGGCAGGGTGGTGACCGCTAAAAGTGCAACGACCTTGCATGGGCCAATGAAATCTACGCATTGAACCCATTGCACCGTTCGCTCCTGCCTCCACCCTTGCCGCGCTCCTGCCTTATCAGTTTATCTCCATGTGACCCAGCGAGCCCTAGCAAAAAAGGCAAGAACGAGTTTGGCTGGGCGCTTGCTCAGAAAACTTTGGCTGCATCTAATCGACGACGGCCTTTCCACCCAACCCACCCATCCACCCACCCAGCAACCGTCGGAGAACTCACGCCAAACTCTGTCAAGGTACGCTCCTCCTCTCATCATCAATTTATACCTGTGATACTGACCTTAATAAAGATGGTTGCCGCAAAGAAGCACGTTCCTATCGTGAAGAAGCGTACGTCCCACCGAATCCGCGATGAGCCCCCTCCACATTGCCTCGATCCTTTGAACGAAATCGACAACAACGATTGACTTTTGCATCATCGCTCATACAACACCTCGCTGCTTTCAATCGCACCACCCCTAGACAATTTTTACACGCTGGAATAGTGGGGCCGAAATGTTGACGGAATTTCTCGTTTGCAGGCACGAAGCTCTTCAACCGTCACCAGAGCGACCGCTTCAAGTGTGTCGACCGATCATGGCGCAAGCCCAAGGGTATCGACAACCGTGTCCGTAGACGGTTCAGGGGCAACACTGCCATGCCCTCGGTACGTTTCCCGACAACCAATCGATCCGCGTGGGACTTGGCGAACAGGACATGAAGTCATTGGGAAATGGATGGGAACAAAGGGCTGGTTTTCTGATTCTTTCTACGACTACAGATCGGCTTCGGCTCCAACAAGAAGACCCGTCACATGATGCCCTCCGGCCACAAGGCTTTCATCGTCAACAACGTCAAGGATGTCGAGCTCCTGCTGATGCACAACAAGACCTACGCCGCTGAGTACGCCCGATAGCCCCGATCCGTGCCAACTCTGGAGAGAGGAGAGCGAGCAAGGATGAGGACTGACCTGTGTGATAGGATCGCCCACAACGTTTCCTCCCGAAAGCGAGTCGAGATCATTGCCCGTGCGAAGCAACTGAGCGTCAAGGTCACCAACCCCAAGGCGAAGGTTACGACGGAGGTGTAAATGGTGTCGGTTTCTTGGTGGTTGCATGGGAACGGTCTTGCTTTATGGTCTGCGGAAAAGAACCACGATACTGGGCACACACACCTCTCAATACCATACCCTCATGGTGGACGATGAAAGAAGGGATTGGTCCAGTGATGGCAGTCAACGGCGTCGATTCGATTGGTCCAGATGGCTGTCTGGTGGATGCGGATTAGCATCAAAACAAATGAAAGCATTTGAACGTCAAAGCTCCAGTCTGGCGGTTACGTCGAGCCTCGTGTTTGCGCCTGCCTGGTGGTATTCGGCTCTGGTATCTTGGCTGGCGATGCTTCGAGGGACTCACTATTCTCAGCCGGTGACTCTAAAAGCTGTGGTACATGAGTGCGCGGCTGTACTCAACGACTGCGCTATGTGTCATTCCCACAAACGGTGATTCGGGACATTTCGCTGGACGGGGTCTTCGGCATTGGACATGCCGATTGACTTGTTCAGAGCCATGCGGTTGCCAGGATTCTTCAAGCCACAGACACGGGTGCTCATATATCCGTCTGTTGCAGTTAGGTCCCAGGGTTGTTAGACTGCCTGCCATTGAACAGATGAGCAGAAGGTCTGCCTTTTGACGAGTCGCTGATACGCAGTGAGTGATGCTCGCTGTCTCTGCTGGTGTAAGCCCTCTTGGCAAAACCACGTTTCTGTCCAACGGGGCAGCTTTAGCTTGTCGACTGTAGATGGGCTCTGAGGCTGTCTAACAAGAGACCTGTCAGAGCAAATGCCATGGCAGGCCATGGACGTAAGCTCAAGTGAGATAGAGCGTGATTTTGATTTCGTTCTTGAGCCTTACCACTCCCTTGTGACTCCTGTTTCGATGGGTACGCCCGTTTTCGTCCCAGCAGATGTTAATTGAGGTCATTCATTGAGTTGCTGGTGAGTCATCCTAGGCACTCAGTGGCCGCATCAACCTTGGGCTGAACTAGACTCTACCTAGTAGTTGTCTGTGACAGAATTTCGCAGAGAACGAAGTCGCTGTTGACGGCTTCACTAACGTGGACCTCCCGCACGACCAACTGACAACCGAATGCGATCCACAGCCGATATCGCTTCATTCTATCCTCAGACCTTTACTAGGCGAAGATACCTGAAATTGTGCGGGTGACGCGTTTGGTCTGACCCTCTCACCACTCATGGCGTCCAGCGCAGCCTTGAGGTCTAGAGTATATGATATCCCTCTCGCAACTCTCGAGGGACCTGGAAGGCTCCATAGAATGCCACTCTTCCTTCCTGAAGCCGCTTGTACAGCTTGTCACCCTCGAGATCATATTTCTGGACATCTGATACCATCTGCACAAAGGAGGCGAATCCTGCCACCTTGGCGCTATGAGACGGAGTTCCGTCCGTGTTTTCACTCACGACACACACTGGAACTCCACTTTGGCCGCCTCTTGCTGGGTAGTCGGGATGGACGCGGTAGAGGATCGACCTCGCTACGAAACTCGTCCAAGTGCTGGGATCATCACGGGGATCCTGAGTACGAGACGAGCTCGAGCCGGAGGAGAGCGAGCCCAGGAATGAAGAGCGCTTGCGCGACTGCTGCTGGATCCGGAAGATGCCCTGTCCTACCATCTGAGATGTACTTGATGTCAGCTCAAGACCTCGATGCAGAGTCACTTGTTCAATAGGCTGAAAATGGCTCTGCAATATCGACGTCTAAATGGAACAAGACAAAGGTAAAGGGAGGAAAAAATCACAGACCTGGCAGCGACTATCCACGACCCCAATACTCTTTGCTTCTCTGGAGCGGTCATCCAAAAGCACGAGATTACTCGAGTTGTACTTGATGTCCATCCATTCCTGCTGACTGAGCCACGTGAGATCGGCAGCATAAGGAACCATTCGGCGTGTGTCAGGAATCCTGCTGATGTCAACGAGGCTAACGTCGTGTGAAAATCCAACCGGGAAGGATTTGGGCTCCTGGTCAAATATAGTTGTAACCTCTCCCATCTGAGGAAGCAGGTCAGTCCGCGGTGAACATAAAATCCGTTTGCCATCGAAAATTCAGAACGCTTGGGCGGAAAATGGGCAAATGACTTACCTCTACCGAGTTGCTGGCGACGCACACTTTGACTTCTTTTCTCCAAGCGTCCGAGTCCAGGCTCATGGTTTTGGATGCTATTACTGCATCTGTCAACAGATGTGTAGGGATGGTGATATACTTCTTGGAGTTGTCGTCCGTCGGGGTGATTGCGACTCCAGTCTTGCCTTCGAACCTCTGCTTTGATTTGCTCCCGGACACTATGGCGCGGATAGCACAGCCCACCGAGACCCCGACTGCATTTGCAGAAGGATGGCCTGCGAGACCAGCCACGGCGCCCTGCGCTGGGCTCGGGCCGAACAAGCGCTCGAAGCGCTGCCTTGTCGACATGGCTGTGGTGGCTGGGCTGGATGCTGAAGCCTCTCCAGCTGTCGGACAGACTGTCTCGGGAATCAAAGACACCTTCAACCCGCCGAATTCACTCGGAAGACTGGGTATGCCTTCCTCGTAGTCGAAATCATCTGGCATTATGACCTGGAGGAACCCGTTGATCAGGACGTAGAAGCCAACACAAGCCGGGAACGCGGAGAATATGTGATGGATATCCCCATCCGACAGCTGAGAGGACGGTGATATGAAGAGAGGATGCGGATCTGGAGGAGGAGAGAATATCCCTGTGAGAGGGTACTTGTAATCGACAGGTAAAATCACGGGATAGCCATCTAGACGAAGGGGAATTTCGTCAGAAGCAGTATGGGCTGGTGGCGTACATGTCCAAGTGCTCAGTTGCTGGCTCCTGTCGTTGAATTCTATGTCGTTCTGCAAATCATCAGGCAGTTGAGTAGGGAGGTATCTTGGGGACATGGGTTTGTCGATGGCACTATTGACCAGCCAGGCGAATTGATCATGGTTCAGAGAGAGTGTAGGGTCAGCATCATCTCGTAAGGGCGAGGTTGCCTCGGTCTCAGACACATCGCGTCCACTCGAGCTGGTTACCGGGTGCCCGCTGGGCTGGCCTGGTCCCAACTCTGGTTGTAGCCTTGACGATTGGTCGTCTCCCACTACCAGGTCGGTTTCTGTGCGCCCAATGACCTGGGATGTTGATCTCATACTGTCACTTGTTGGTGCGTAGCGGTGCCCGGGAGAGGAGGCGGACTGCTGTAGATGGGAATGCTCGAAATTCCGGGCGGGCGGCAAGTTGGACTGGTCGTAGAAATATGAGCTGAGCGAGGGTATTCCGGGCGGTGGTGATCTGTGAGAGTGTACCCTGCTGTCTTTCAACTCCTCGAGAATTTGATCCAGGAGTTCTATACGAGCAGCAATCATAGCTTCCAACTTTATCTTATCCTCGTGTCCCTTCGTACTAAGCACGACCTGGCGTAGCAAGCCCCATGCTTTCCGGTACGCTGATCGCGCACCCTTCCAATCTTGCTCATTGTCGAGTTCGACTGCAGTGTTGGCCTCTGACAAAGCCTTGGAAAGCATAGCTTTGTGTGACGGTTTCTCGGAGGATCTCTTCAAGTTGTCCATGATCAATCTTTCAAGGTAGTTTCCAATGTCCTCGATCATCTTCGTATTACCGGTACGGCGTCGAATTTCATCATGAATGTTCTGATTCATAGAGTGCTCCTGCTTTTCCGTCGCAGGCTGTTTGATCAGAGAACTTCTATGCACATTAGTCTTCCGTGAACGATGAGATGTTTCGCACGGTCGAGATCAACTGACGAGATTTTGCCTTCGGCCTTGGTCTCAGTCTTCGAGATCACTGGGTCCGGCGGTAGGTACCCTGGTTCTGGCCCCTTGAGCTCCTTCGACGAGGCAATATGTATCGATGAAGGCACTACCTGGTCGGATCCGAGCATCGTTGGTTTACGACGTAATACTGGGGCCGACTTGGCGGATTTCTCTTTCCCAGGAGCTGCTTGTGTGAGCCAGGGGTGGGTGAGACATTGTTCAATGGTGAACCTCAACCCTGGGTCTACTACAAGCATGCTATCGATCAGTTCCACTACGTGCAAGTTAGCACAAATTAGGACGCAGTCCATTAAAGTCCTTCCTCTCGCTTACAAGCGGGGTCACCAACACTATCCCAGTATCGTGACGGGTAGTCAAAACTTCCTGCTCTGATTTGTTGACTCAATGTGTAGGGATATTCTTTCGAATAGAGATCGTCCGAGAAGGGAGGGAATCCGCAGAGGCATATATATAGAACGACGCCGAGAGACCAGATGTCTACCTCTCTGCCGTACTTGCGGTGTTGGCTCCCTGCCAGAACCTCAGGAGCTACATAGCTGGAAGTTCCACAGAGAGTAGTATCAAAGCTTCCGGCTGTGATAGTGATGGACAGATCAAACGAGCATATCATGATATTGTGTTCTTCGTCGAGGACCAAAATGTTTTCTGGCTTCAAGTCGCGATGTACAATATTGCGGTCGTGCTGAAATTTGTGTTTAGGCGTCAGATGAGTCAATAAGAGGGTTCAAATACACTTACCAGATATTTGACCGCATCAAACAGTTGTTTGAAGACGTGTCGAGTCTCATGCTCGGAGAGCCTCGATTTTGTCACTATCAGGTTGAATAATTCACCCTTCTTTGCGATTTGCGTGACGTGGGAGCTTGAACCGTTGTCTACAAATGCCTCCTTCATGAACATGATGTTCCTGTGGCATAGACCCATCAAATTCAACTCTGCCGCTATACACTCTTTCTTCCGTTGATCGAACTTCGGAACTGGTGAGAAGCTATGCTTCTTGACGGCAAAGCGTTTTCCTGTGGACTTTTCCCGGCATGCAAATACCTGTCCAATGTGTCCCTTCCCGATCAAGTTCAGGGTGGAGTATTGTTGACCGAAAGTACGATGTATTGGGAGAGACGAGTTGAACAGCAACTGGGCGTTATCAACTATCGTGATCAGGTCCCAATCTTTGAGCTCTAGCACTTGGTTGCATCCCACCACATTTTCGTTGACGAATGTTCCATTGGAGGATAAGTCTCGCAAGAATACGCAGACTTGGCCGTTTCGTATGACCCGATATATCAAGCAGTGAGGACTGGACACATAGGGATGGTCGATGACCACATCTTTGAGAAATCATCAATTAAGACTGGCTCATCAGCTCATCCCGGAGTAGAGATGTGATTAGACTCACCGCATTCAGAGTCACGGCCGACTACATACCCCTGAGGCTTGGGAGCTGGGAAGCTTCCATGATGGTCTGCTAAATCAATTCCGGGCCCCTCGTATTGACCCACGGGAAGCAGATGACCCCATACGATCGGATCAGTGCTACTCACACCCTCGCCCACGAAGCCGCTGTGACCAGACTTGGTCCTGGATATCTCAAGCTTGCCGTCTGGCCTCGCTCTTCTCCGCTCCAAGACGGCATGGGTGTCCATCATGGTGATCTGGCGAATTGCGATCTGATCTGTCGACCTCGGTGAATCCGGTCATGCCTGTTATATACACGACATATAAAGTCTTGATAGTTCTCGTCAGGCTGATTCACCACAATGAGACGGTATTTGAGTACACAGTCAGCGTTTAGAAATCTCGTAAGCGGGGCTACCACCCCTGGATATTTTAGTCCTGCACCGCGCGTCAGCTGCCTCATGTATGCAGCTCAGCCGCAGGTCGTAGTGGTTGCAGTTCCATGCGGGCCGCCACCTGCTTTGCGCGCAGAACTCTTTCGCTTGTACTCCCGCAACTCGTGGTCTGCGACTTGCGAAACAGCTATCAAGACTCGGGCTTCCCACCTCACTGGAAACTAGAGTTGCCGTCGGGAAGGAGATGGAGGAAGTACAATCAACTCTGCGGCAGGCTCTGGGATTTCGGACAGGTGATATCAGTCAAGAGCAGGCATCCCAGCCTTATGTCGAGTACATTGAAGCATCTTGGACTGGTAGAGGTGAGCGCAAAGACTTTTTGCGCTTCTTTATAGAAGTTGTGCGCCATTTCCGAGGTACGAATGTCTCTTGAACATCTTCATTTCCAACGTCACAGAGACGCATAGGATTTCTGAGTGATTGGAACCCATGTTGAGATACCTCCTTCCTGAAAACCGCACGTTCCGTCATTCAATGGACCAGGCCGTATCCAGGAGGCCATACTGACAAAACTATACCTAGAGTCTTCAGCGGGACAGACGGCTTCGGCAGACTCGAGCATTCGAGAATACTTGAGCAGTCTAACCACGCGCCAAGACCACTATTACTTCAAAGACACGATCGCGGATTCATCTGCTAGAGAGTCACGGGTCAACGAAACTGTTCTCCTGATCTTAGGGACTTGGCTGCTCTCACAGTCATACTTTGTCCCCACCCACCAAGATCAGCGGCGCATCGTATATGCCTACTGCCGGACTACAGACCAGGACTACTCTGAGCTCAACGCATTTGACCAGTCTATCGGCACACTCATATCGAAAAGTGGGCTTCTTCCCAACCCTGGAGAAGGGGGGAGCGCTTCCGATGATAATATCGCGTCATTGCAAGTCATCGACGATATCGAGATCTCGGAGGCATTCCCTTTACATTCCTATGCGGATCTGCTGGAGTCTCTCTCCATCGCCTCAACGAGACTCAATGCCACCAACCTCTCAACCTACAGTCACATCGAGATCGCATGGACACAAAATATTTCACGGCATATGCTCCTGTCAAAAAGAGCCGAGTCTTATTACCTCGAGATATTTGCTCTTCCTTGTGCCCTGCAGGGGGGCGCAGACCATGTTCTCTCCAACATGGGAATATCCACAGATCTGATAGATGAGATCGAATGCTCTTATGCTACTCTTTTCAACCCATCATCAGAGTCGAAGCTGCACAAAACCCTGGCCTGGGTAATTGGCTTACACCATTGGTGTCGGTGCCTGTACTGTACGGCATCCCGCTTCAGGAAGCACACCCTGGAGATGCTCAAGGGGATCAAACCTAGACGACGAGGAAGCTCGCATGCGACTGGCTACAGAATGACATACGACGATCAAATCCGAGTACTTATGGAAAGGAACGCCTCGAAGTGGAATCAAACGGAGTTTAGCAATCTCTGGCCTCGCATCCTGGTCCTCGACTCGCACCTGCAACGAGCACGGCCGTGGAATTTCTGGGTTCTCTTCCGGGACAGGAGGGACACCGTACAATACTGGACGTTTCTGTAAGTCTTAAAAATGGTGCTCTGCTTTCCTTCGCTTTTCTTGTTGTTCTATCTCTTTTACATTCAACATGACCTCTTGTGACGTACTAATTCAAAGCCTTATGAGTATAGGTTCGGAACGGTGATCTTGATTTTGACCGTTGCCCAGGTTGTATTGAGCATCGCACAGGTAGTTGCGTCGTTCTGAGTACAGAACTTGCCTTCTTCTGATGTCAAAAGGACAAAGAGTCAGCATCTCTCACACTCCGAGTCCAGTTGCGCCTTCTCAATGATCTGAGTGGGCAATCTGTCAAGGCCGTCCCTGCTCAGGTACTTCACACCAGGTGCTCAATGCTCGGCCATTAATACGAGCATCTGTTCTGCATCAGTACGGGGTGTTTGGCAATCAAATCATTCCGCTTTGCATTTGATTCATCTGAATGCCAGAGGACTTTGGCAAATAGGGTGTCAGAGATTCTGGTGAACTAGAAGCTACTTCGCACATCTAGATGAACAACTCGCTGTTTGAGAATCAACGGCCCCCAACTACTAGTAAGTACTGGCAGAATTTTCACGTGAACACCACTGCGAAGTTCCAAAAGGAGAGCAGAAATTACATGTAGACACAGCCTTGGCCAGTCTAACCAGCCTCACTGGTTGCTCGACGTCTATTGATTAGGTGGATGCACAAACGGACGTGGAGTCAGACAACCTTGCGGCTCTTATCATGGCGAGTAGTCCTATGATTGGCTGTTCACCTCAGATTTTGCTGCTTTCCTGGCTGGTGGGCCTGTTTGAAAAAGCCTCGAGTCCCGTGTCTGGACCCTGGTTGGGGGTGGCGACAGCTGTACTATTGACACGGTACCTACCCCGTCGGCGGGATGTCCGCGTTGACCAGCTCAGGAGGGCCACAATGTCTGCCCATCCAGTTCAGCAGAGACTAGTTCCTGCAATGTGACCGCATCAATATATGAAGTTTGATTGAAGCTGAAAGAGCCGTACTACCTTGGAACTTGGGGGCGAACCGCCCCCCCCCCCCCCCGACCCGTCTAGGCTTTGCACGAGGCTGTCAGGCGACTGAATTGCCTCCGTCAGAACCCCTTATATTCAAATTTATCTAGCACTTCCCTCTGACTTTAGTTAATTTTCTCTCTTTATGATCATCAATATCCCACCGTGTACGGAAAGAAAACCCGTCAAGCGACTGTTCTTCGTCATTTCTTTGCCCACCGCTACCTGCAATGACCAACCAGACAGCATGGGTAGATGCTGCTTCAACGGTGGAATACAGTGTCCACCTGGGCACTTGGATCAACTGGTCCAGAGGCAGGGTGATGGGAGCCACACTCACCCTTGATCGAAAGGACGGGAATCTTCTCATTGCCTTCACTGCCGTCTTCGTGGGCATAGTGACTGAGCGCTTCTGGCGGATCGCTTGCATGTGAGTTGTCTATTTTCCGAAAGGAATTTTCTCAGAGACTGGTTAAACCCAAGAATCTATGTCATTACCATTCTTTTGCATGAAGGAAGCGTCGAGATGCTGACATAGAGAACTACAGACTCTTCTACCGATGCTACTCGTCACCTGGACCGTGTGACGCACTTTACCACCAGCAGCAGGCAATTCTACGCAATTCAACTTGTATGTAGCTTCTCCTTCCTAGAGACACTGCTACTTTGGGTCCCTTCTGGGAGCCACGACTCTTTTTGCCACCTTCGTGTCTTGCCAGTCGACATTCATGGCTGCTGATCTGACTGGTTTACACATGTACAGCCCCAATATCTGCAGTGTGGACTCTCTCACAGCTCCTGTGGGCGTGGCAAAACATTGCCAAGCATTGCTTCACTCGGCTTTTGCCAACCCTTTTGACAGCCGTCCTCTGCCTCTGTGCTTTCACGGTTGCAGGTGGTTTCTCTTCGTCCATATCGTCCGGCATTGGCAATGAAGTACTGCTCAACGGCACCAACTGTGCTGCTCTTAGAACGATTGTATCTGGTATAGACTCACTCCACATCGTCCGGCCCTATCTTGCACAGTTAACTCGTTCGGCTGCGAACTATGCGCAGCAATGTTACTCTTCTGATTCGCCCGGCATGTTCGATTGTACACACTTTGCTCAAGGCCACCTCCCCACCATAGTGGACACCCAAGCCCCCTGTCCTTTCAGCAATAGCAGTATTTGTCGAACCAACTCCTCTAACATACGCCTGGATACTGGGTATATTGACCTGAATGAAGACTTGGGTGTAAATGCACCCCCAGAAAACAACATCCTTTTCAGGGCAGTCTTGCAGTGTTCACCTTTGGAGACCCAGGGTTATGCAGAGCCGATAAAGGGATTACACGATAACTATACCATGTACAATTATGGAGCCTCCTCTTCCGGAACCAATTTCACGTATTTAGTCGAAAATCTGGATTCGCAGTATAACAAGCAGCCTGAGAACATGTGGCGCGGCGTAGGTACTAATTTCATTCTAAAGTGAGTCTCGTTTTTGTTCTCTTGTTTTCGAATTAGTTTCGCTCTGGACACTGACAATGTTCCGCTGCATTAAGCGAACTGAGCACTCAGGTGCAACACCACCAGGAATGGGAGGATAATGAGAGTTTTTCCCCAATCCCTGGCCTCTTCGACCCTGACGGAGACATTGTCCTGATTTTCCTCAGCTCAAACGGAATTGAATTCTACGACAAAACAAGCGACCCTTGGTATCGTGCAACTGTCCCAGGGGATAAAGTCTACGAGCTAAGCAAGAGCGAGAAATTCGTGATATACCAGCCAGAAGAGGCAGCCTCGCCTATGGGCTGTGTCAAACAGTACCAGTTCTGCAATCCCTCACAGTCGAGCGACAATTGCGGGCCTCTTGCCGGTTGGTACGACGCGGCACTTGAAGCAGCGCACTTATTCGGCATGGCAACAAAGGACATGGAGGATGGAATCGATCCGCCCACGAACAAACCCATGGCTTCCCGCTACATGTGGCTCCTCGAGGTATTGAGCCTTGGCCAAGCCAGCATCGATAAAATTATCATGGATCTAGGCCCGGATGCTCTGACCTCCCCCAAGTATCTCAGCAGCGGGATCATGGGACCGCTCCCAACTAACCAGTGGCAGCTTGACGTCCGCTACTGGTGGGCCACGTATCTAGCAACTCTGCAGGCGGCGGTTGTGAACACGGCTCACGGTCCAACGGATCTAGCGCTTGATCCTTACATGGTGCTGCCATTCAACTCTCACGCGCGGGACATATGCAACAACCAGGTAAGATGTCTAATCGTGTATATCTTTGGTATTAAGCTGACACAAAGCGTTCAAATCCTTGTAGAAGATCCGCAGTACCAAGCATGTCTCCTTCAGCCTTTTCGGCCTTTACTTCACCTTGGTCACCGGCGTCCTGATCATCGTCACATCTTACATCTTGGAGCCCATCTTCGAATGCCTCTACCGTCGTCGAAAGTACAGGGAGTACACATTCCTCGAATGGTCCGCATCAGAGACACTTCAGCTCCAGCGCATCGGGTTCCAGGGGGTTGGTTCCGGCACCTGGTCTGGCTACACGGATAGCATCCCCAGGACAAAACAGGGCGAGGTCATTGCAAGCCTGGCGTTGGAATATTCTCCGGAGGCGGATGGCAGGGATGGTGGTCGTGGGAGCCCAGAGAAGATGAACAGCAGCATGACCGGCGCCGGAGGCACAGCCAGTCGAGACGAGGAGACTGATGTGGCCTCCTTGGATGACCTGCTCGACGCGTCAGGGTCTCAGAATGGCTCAGAGGATGGCTCAGACCCAGCTTCGCGTTGGCCATCCATATCAGGAGCTATGATAGAGCTTCACGGGAACAGTTGTGGTTCTGGATCAGAGCTCACTACGCGGGGACCGGCCGCCGGGGATGTCTTCAGACCCGACACCTAAGGTCATACCAACGATGGGGCAGGCAAGAAATGGACTGCAGACGCAATCGACCAAGCACTGCAGACCTGGGACGGATCGGTTCTACCTTCAAGGTGGATACCGGAAACTGCTGGACAGGAGACTTTGGGTTGCCGTCCAGTTCTTCAGTTTTTGTTTTAGGTCTCGACTTGTCCATTTGCGCGTCCTTTGATTGATGCGTGCATGTTGATTAATGTTGTGCAATATTAGGGGGCAAAAGTTGTGCAGTGAGAAGATTGTGACTGGTTGCCTGGCACTTGGTCGTCTGATATACGATGATGCTTGATCACATATAAAAGTCTGGGAAAATGTCTCGGCCATATTGGAATTTTTCGGTACTTGACTGTATGAAGTGGATGTGAATGTCCCCTTCTGTCACATGCAAGCTGGACCCCATTTGTCGAATCGAACCAGGGGTTGGAGGGGTGGTGTGTTGATCAGTTGGCCCAATGTGGACTTTGTATGGTGCGCTGCAGGGCTTTTGGACGGGCTGGACGGGAACCTGGAGGGGCAGTCCCTAGTCCCACCCTACCCTGAAGGAGATGCCTGCGAGGTAGCGAAGGCAAGGTGGTATGACGAACTCGCAACACGGTCACGCAATCGCGGCAGGAAAAGTTGAAAGACCTTAGACGTATCACGACGAGGGCCAGGCCAGCCTTTTGTCTGTCTGTATGTACACAGCAGATATGACGTGTCTAATAAGTGCCCAGGCGAGACAAGTTCTTGGTCCTCCCGCTGCTAGCCGTCGCTCGGCCTCGCCGCGGGGCAAACTCAAGCCATGTCTTCCCACACCAACGTCCCATCTTTGCTGCTGAGATTTTACCATTGCGGCTTACTGGCCTGCTTCTGTTATGTAACAGATCATTTATACTGACTAGCAGCTCGACCCACGGTTGCCCAACCTCTTTGCCCTTCTTCTCACCCGTCTCTTTCTTCCGCTTTGCAAACAAACCACCTTCTCGCCAGGCATATACCGCCCGAACCCCTTGGACCTCTCCCACTCGTTTGTCACGTCTGGCTGCCCGTCCGCATCATGGCAACCACCAATGGAACCCCCACGAACGGTGGTCTTTCCAGCATTGCCGAGCCGCTGCTGAAGGCTCTGGGCAAGGGAAATGAGGAGATTGGAGTCCCAGATGCGACCAGGCTGATCGGTCACACCCCACTGGTGCGGTTGAACAAGATCCCCCAGTCCCTGGGGATCAAGGCAAATGTCTACGCAAAGGTCGAGCTCGTCAACGCCGGTGGCAGTGTCAAGGACCGCATAGCCCTGCGGATGATCGAGGAGGCCGAGAAGAGCGGCAGAATAAGGCCCGGCGACACGCTGATCGAGCCTACGAGCGGAAATACGTGAGTATAATGCTGCTCCCGTCTTCGAGCACGCCCGAGCAATTCTGGTGAGAGCGGCACATGCTGACTGTGTTTTGGGTGGCTGTAGCGGAATCGGCCTCGCCCTCGTCGGCGCTATCAAGGGCTACAAGACGATCATCACGCTCCCGGAGAAGATGTCCGCCGAGAAGGTCTCGGTCCTGCGCGCCCTCGGCGCCACCATCATCCGCACGCCCACCCAGGCCGCCTGGGACAGCCCCGAGTCGCACATCGGCGTCGCGAGGAGGCTGCAGAAGGAGATCCCCCGAGCCCACATCCTGGACCAGTACACCAACGTCGACAACCCGCGCGCCCACGAGTTCGGCACTGCCGAGGAGATCTGGGAGCAGACCCACGGCAAGGTGACGGCCGTCGTCGCCGGCGCGGGAACCGGCGGCACGATCAGCGGCATTGCGAGGGGTATCAGGAAGCACAGCAAGGACGTCAAGATCATTGCAGCCGACCCGTTCGGCAGTATTCTCGCCCTGCCAGAGGCTCTGAACCAGGGCGAGCTCGCGAATGTCTCGTACAAGGTGGAGGGCATTGGCTACGACTTCATCCCCGACGTGCTGGACCGCGAGATAGTGGACAAGTGGTACAAGACAGAGGACCGCGAGTCGTTCATGTACGCGCGCAGGCTGATTGCTGAGGAAGGTCTGCTCGTCGGTGGATCGTCTGGGTCCGCCATGGCGGCTATGGTGCGCGCTGTGCAGGACCTCAACCTCGACGAGAAGGACACAGTGGTCGTGGTCCTCCCAGACAGCATCAGGAGCTACCTCTCCAAGTTCGCGGACGACGACTGGCTGGCCGCCAACGACCTGCTGCCGTCCGTCAACGGCGCCGAGGTCGAGGCCGCCGCGCAGAAGAAGAGGAGGGCGAGCGACCCCTACGGAGGCGAGACGATCAGGTCCCTGAGACTCAAGCCCGTGACGAGCGTCCTGAGCACGCAGGCCTGCGCGGACGCCATCGAGACGATGCGGGACAAGGGCTTCGACCAGCTGCCCGTCCTCTCTCCCACGGGCGGCAAGCTCGTCGGTCTGGTGACGCTGGGCAACCTGCTGTCGTACATCTCGAGCGGCCGCGCCAGCGCGACCAGCCTGGTCAAGGACGTCATGTTCGACTTCAGCAAGATCGACGAGGTGGTCACGGACCCCAGGGACATCCTGACGGCCGAGGAGGCCGCGAGCAAGAGCAAGAAGCAGAAGCGGCACTTTGTCGAGATCACTCTGGACACGCCCCTCACCATCCTCAGCAAGTTCCTCGAGTACAACAGCGCCGCGGTCGTGACCGAGGACAAGGACAACGGGGAGGGCAAGAAGCCCGTCGCCGTGGTCACCAAGGTCGACCTCCTGACGCACATGGTCAAGCAGTCCAAGAAGACCCCGGCCAACGGGAGTCCCGCCTAATTTGACGATTCTGGGTTTTACTAGCATGTACATGGGCGTTATCAGGGGGGCGGGTCTGGGTTTTTCCAAACATGAGCAGAGCTATTCACAAGACACAGACAGTGTCGGCGTCGGCTGGCCTAGACTCAACATCTACGGGCTCGGGAAAGGGAAAATATAGACCAGACAGTCTAGATTCAACCATGCAGAATGGCGCCATTTAGTTATTGAGGCCTTTAGAAATAGCGCGCATATGGCATAATTCAATGCCTTTATACTCAGACTGAGCACCAAACGAGCAAGTGACATTACCAGTTGTGAAGGTCTGAACATCAACGTCGAAGATTCACGCATGTGGCATTAGACGTGGTATCGCAGTAGGGATTATGATTAATTAGACACCGGTATGTATGGCGCCTAGTTTCTGGCGTGCTTCCGATCTCCTTGCCAGGCAGATATCCTGCTCCCAATCCAGGTCCACCACGCGTCGGCGCCGGGGCCGTCCCCGGTGATGTTGCCGCTGATGACATCGACCTCGGTGTCGAACTCGCGCATCTGGTCGAACTTGAACTCGGCGCTCCCGTACTCGCCCAGCCAGTCGTCCGCGTCGTCCGAACCGGCACCGAGGTCGCCGCCGGCGTCGGCACCCGAATCGAGCAGGCCCTTGCTCCGGGTGCGGCGTATGCGGCCGAGCTCCTTCTCGAGGCTGGTGCGGACGAGCTTGGCGGGCAGGGCGGTGAAGAGGTCGGTCTTGTTGGCGGCGACGAGGAGCGGGATGGCGTAGGGGGCCTTGCTGGTGGCGGTGTTGCCCATGCGGCGCTGCAGCGCGAGCAGCACCTCGTACAGGTATGACGCCGTGTCGGCGAGGACGTCGGGCTCGGCCAGGGCGGCGGCGTCGACGACAAAGACGACGGCCTTGAGCCGCGTCGACTGCGTGCCCTCGAGCGTGAGGCGCCCGTGCGCGTAGTGCCGCAGCTTGCCGTGGCCCGGGGTGTCGACGAGCAGGAACTTGGAGGCTGTCGCGCCCCCCGCGTCGAGGTCGTCGCGGAAGGAGGAGGGCCCGCCGTCCTCGCTGACGGCCAGCTCGACTGCGGACCAGGTCTGGGAGGTGTGCGTCTCGGAGGGCGAGCCGCGGCGCTCGAGGAGGGTGTGCAGCGAGGTCTTGCCCGCGCCCGAGGGCCCCGTGAGCAGGACCGAGGGGAGCACGGTGTAGGTCGTTGACTTGGTCACCCAAAGGTGCATCAGGATGGGCACGAGCAGCACGATCAGCCCGCCGATGATGAAGACGGGCGCCGAGGGCGTCATGATGAGCTCGACGAAGTGCTTGAGGGCGTCCATGGTGGGCGGTCGGTCGGGCAAGAGAGGTGGTGAGACCTGTCCTTGTGCTTGTGCTTGTGCCCGCCGACGGGGCTTGAAGGCCAGAGGCAAGAGGTTGGAGGACGAAGGCTGGAGGCTGGAGCTACAGCTGGACGTGGTCGAGGAAGTGTAGGGCAGCCAAGAGATAAATACAGATCGCCTGTGCTGGCTGTACTTGGTCGGTCACACTCGAGGTAGTCCCCACTAATCAGGCCGTGGAAGACAAGGCTTCCGGTTGGTGTGTCGTATGTTGGGTCGTATGTTCACGAGGTTGCCCCGGAGGATACAGATACTCGACTCGACATGACAGCAGGACGAGTCCATCTGCTATCGATACCGATAAAAACGACAGGGACCATGAAGGAGCATGGAGAAGTCGGGCTGCAGGGGTGACGCCGGCTGGCGCTAAGATAAAATGCAGCGTCGTCCTTCCCTGCCAGCCTGCATACATGGTAGTAATAAGTTGGCCTGCAGTGTAGCAATTAATAAGTGTTGGCTGTGTAGGTCGGTCGGCCTGTCTGGCAAGTCTGGCGACTGAGGGTGGTCTGGTCTGCATGCACTGCCATCCCAACTCCGTCCTTCTTTTCAAAACTCCGCCAGCTTACCCACCCGTCAGCTCTTTTCCTATGATTGTATGTTCGTTCTATTGATCCGTTGACTTGGATCTGTAATAATATTGCTGCCCTTCTGGTGCACCCTGTCGCTCATCGTGGCTTGAGCATTCTGTAGCACACAGTCAGTACAGACCGTTGCGCATTGTCTACCCCGAGGCTTCCAGAGTCTTTGACTGGTCCGCGACCCCCGATCGAATTACCTCCAAGCCGATTCTACAGCAGCGCTCAACACCACAGGCGAGACTGGCTACCATCGAGGGCGACCACGAGCCCAAACTCGACCATCAGACGGCCGTCATGGCCAGCAAGGAAACCCACAGCTCCGGCGCGCCCATACAGCCGACGCCCAAAAGCACAAGGGTCGACCCCCAGGTCAACTCGGACCTGGAGTTGGGGAGCTTGCCCAATGGCAACGGCAGTGGGAATGGCAAGGCCGATGGCGAGGTGGACACGGACATAATGCAGATCGCGAGGATCGGCGACATACCGGCCATGGAGGCGCTGTTCGAGACAAAAGAATACGATGCCACCTATGCGGATGATGAGGGTATCACTGCACTACATGTATGCCAGTACCTGCCGCCAGGCACACGACGCACAAAGTGGCACCCCTGAGCTGACATCTCCCTCTCTTTCCAGTGGGCCGCGATCAACAATCAGTACGCCATGTGCAAGTTCCTCATCGACCGAGGCGCCCCGATGAACACGAAAGGGGGGGAATCGGTCGCAACGCCGCTGCAGTGGGCGGCCCAGCGCTGCCACTACTACACCGTCCACCTGCTCCTGCAGCACGGCGCCGACCCCTTGGTCACCGACGCGCAGGGTTACAACACGTTGCACATAAGCACGTTCAACGGCAACGTCCTGCTGCTCACCCTCCTCCTGCACACCGGCATCCCCGTCGACGTCCTCGACAGCTACGGGCACACGGGGCTCATGTGGGCCGCCTACAAGGGCTTCCCGGCCTGCGTCGACCTCTACCTGCGCTGGGGCGCCAACGTCCACGCCAGGGACGAGCAAGGCTTCACCGCGCTGCACTGGGCCCTGGTCAAGGGGAGCCCCGGCTGCGTGCAGAAGCTCATCGAGTACGGCGCCGACCGCTTCGCCAAGACCGGCACGGGCAAGACCCCGGCCATCACGGCCGAGGAGCTTAAGACGCTCCCCGCGTGGCACAAGGCCCTCAAGGAGTGCGGCTACGACGAGGACGGCCACCTGATCACGCCGAGCTTCCCGGGGGCCAGCTACCTGGTCAAGGACAGGAGGGGGTTCGTCACCAAGTTCACCTTCCTGTTTCCCTTGTTGATCGTGTGGAGCATGGTGGGCATCATGGCCGGCTTCCCGGTCTTCGCCGGGGTGCCTATAGCCCTGGCCGTTGGGTATGTGTTGCAGGAGGTCGCGAAACGGGTCCTGACTTTTGCGCCGCCGGACATGCGCCAGTTCCAGCGGACGCCCTGGATGGCGGGCATCTTCTCTGCGTCTCTGTTCCTGGTGTCCCTGAGATGGTTCCTCACAGTCTTGCCCGCCACGACATTCCGAGCCGGTGAGCCACTCTTCTTCGTTCATTGGCTGTGTAGCAATTTTACTGACTCCAGCAGACGCTGAACACCGTCACCTCCTGATGAACCTGTGTCTGGCCGGTTTCATTGGGCTTTGCGCGTGGTTCTACTACTGCTGCATGGTCTTCGACCCTGGTTTTGTGCCCAAGATGAACGGCATCGCCGAGCAGAAAGCCGTCATCGACGAACTGATAGGTCTCTGGAAGTACGACGATGCGAACTTCTGTGTGCAGTGCATGATCCGGACGCCCCTGAGGAGCAAGCACTGTCGGCGGTGTCAGCGATGCGTGGCGCGACATGACCAGTGAGTAACAGCGTCGAGAGCATGCCCACAGAGTCAGAACTAACCCGAAGTCTTAGCCACTGCCCGTGGGTCTACAACTGTGTAGGCGTCAACAATCACCGGCACTTCTTCCTCTACCTCATCAACCTGACCCTGGCCATCTTCATGCTGGATGGCATTCTTTACTACTACTACACAGCTTCCATGGCTTCTGCATCCGACCAGTGCAACATTTTCGGGCCCACGATTTGCCAGATCATCAACACCGACACGTACACCGTCCTACTCGGCTTCTGGGCTAACCTACAACTCACTTGGGTTGGCATGCTTCTCTTCGTGCAGTTCATACAGGTCGCCAGGGCGATGACCACATATGAGAACATGTTTGGCGTCAATCATGTTGCAGCGAGCTCCCTCACATCTGCCTTCACCTCGACCGGTGCGCCTCTCGATCCGACCCACCCCGACGCGATGCCGCCGTCCGGGGCCGCGGCGCAGTCAGAAGCAGCCGGCCACGGCCACCACGGCCACAAGCACGGCGGGGGCAGCTTCTTCAAGAGCATGAGCAAACTCCTGGGCGTGGACGCCTTCGTCGAGACGGCCACGGGCCGGGGTGCGGCGGCGGGCGGCAAGAACAAGAGGCGCAAGGGCAAGAATCCTTACAGCAGGGGGTGTATCACGAACTGCAAGGACTTCTGGTGTGACTCGGCGCCGATGTTTGGGCAGCGCGAGAGCGGCACCGCAATGCTGAGCGGGGAGGTCGTCAACTACGCCGCCATGTACGAGACGCCGAGCCTCATGCAGATGATTGGCAGGCGGAGAGGCGCGTACGAGGCCGTGGCGGGCGAGGAGGTATGAGCTGGGGGGTGATGACCCGAGGAAGACACTCGTGGTGGTGCAGGGAGCAGCCTGGGCCATGTCGAGGCTTTTGCCGGCTGGCGGTTCCGTGACGATCTCATGGTTGTTTGTTTATAGCGAGCCATGCATTGCGTTGGGATAGGGACGGGGCGCGGACACCTTTTTAGCCGGCTGGTATAAGGACCTCATGACAGTATAGACTACATGACACGGTGGGAATATAGTGTCACTCTACCTGTTACACATGTGCAGTGATCCGAGTGTCCTGAGGCTGGGACTTCATTTTCTCCATCGCCCACCGCATACTCACGGGCCGCCAACCACACACCATTGCATGTGGCTGTCCACAAGAGAGTTCCGAATTCTGTAAAGAGTACTTTCAAAAACATGACCCGCACATATGACTGCTTCGTGGTGAGGGCTGTTGGCTGGCCTGCGCTCGGTTGGATCCACGGGGTGGGGTTAGTCTAGAGGATGGCACGTCAGCCTTCCTGCTCTTTGCGGCAACTTGGCGACACAAGCAAGACCGTAATATTGTTCTCATTCTTCCCCTCCCTCAACTCACCGGGAACAACCCAGAGTACATATTCAAAGCTTCTCCGACCCTGCTCTATTTTTCTTGAACGGGCAGGTGCTTTGAATCTGAACTTCGGAGGGTCCAGCGTTGGCGAGTTGGGCAGGGTTCCAGGAAGCCTTTTTTCTGTGCTCATCGCAAGTAGCGGCTTGCACTGTCTGTCATTATCAAGATGCCTTCAATCACAAAATATTTGACGGACGTGTTGTATAAGAAGGAAGGTGAGGGGAATTACGCCCATATTGTCCCACAGACTGCCACCTCCGGTCTCATTCAGTACTGACATGGACTCGTCAGCCGAGGCGCCACCGCCCATCACGACCTCCACGGTCGTATTATTACTCGTGAGCCAAATTCCACACACACTCACACATCTGACTTCCCAACGCGCGCTGACCCGCCCTCACAGGTCCTCTACACCCTCCTCTACGTGGTCCCCTTCTACCTCTCCCCAAAGACCCGGCCCTCGCCCACGCTGAGCCGCGACGCGCCGCACGTCGTCCGCGCGCGCATCGCCTCCGTCACGCTCACCTGCGCCGCCGCCTCGCTCACCACCCTCGCCGTCCTCACGCGGGTCGGCGGGCACGGCCTCGGCGCCGCGCTGCACGCCCTGGGCTACTGGCCGTTGGGGCTGGCTGAGGCCCTGAGGGCCCTGCTGTTGACGGCGCTGCTGTTCCTCGGCCCGCTGTTCGAGTCGCTCGTCGTCGAGGGGGGATGGAGGGACTGGGCTACGCTCGAGCCTGTCAAGGAGGTCCTGCGGGAGATGACTGCGTGGAGGAACATCGTCGCTGTAGGTCTCGCCCCTTACTCATCATCCCCCCTCTTCCCTCCACTCCTCCCAAGTGTCCACACAATATCCCTCGCTAACCATCCCCCTGTGCAACCACAGGGCCCCTTAACCGAGGAAGTCCTCTTCCGCTCCGCCTCGGTGCCCCTGATGGTCCTGGCGCGCACCCCTCTCGCCCGCACAATCTTCGCCTCCCCGCTCGTCTTCGGCCTCGCGCACGTCCACCACCTGTACGAGTTCCGCGTCACGCACCCGGGCGTGCCCCTCGCCGCGGCGCTGCTGCGCTCCGTCTTCCAGCTCGGCTACACGACCCTCTTCGGCGCCTACGCCACCTTCGTCTTCCTGCGCTCGGGGAGCCTGCTCGCCGTGTTTGGCGTGCATGTGCTGTGCAACTGCATGGGGCTGCCGCGCGTCTGGGGAAGGGTCGAGGGCGTGGACCGCGCGCGCGGCGGGGAGGCGGTCGCCCTCTCGCGGGGGTGGTCTGTTGCGTATTACGTGCTGCTGGTTGTTGGGGCCGTGGCGTGGTGGCGGCAGCTGTGGGCTTTGACTGAGAGTGGGAGTGCTCTGGTCGCCATGTGAGGGTACTTGCCGGTATAGGGCACGGATTTATACTTGCTGGTCCTGGAGTGTCATTGGAAACCAAGTGATCGAGCCTCGTTCACGTCGATACCTGGGTGGTTCATCATGGCTCGGAGGAGAATAATGACTTCCCAGCATAAATCTACCGCACTTGGGTTGAACAATAATGCTTCATGGTATCGGTCTTCTTCATGTGAATCATCCGTGATTCCATTTTCATATCTTACGAATACCGTCGCCCAAACACCGCCGATCTGCGTCATGTGTGGGAAGATCACCATGTTACTGCTACTCCTTATGAGGTTGGGGGCGGAGGCCGAGAACATGTCAATACCTGCTCTCTTTACTCTCCCGGCATTTTCTCCATGTTTTTGCTCGTGGAAAATCCTAGCTAGTCTCGAGAGCAGCTTCTTGGGATAGAGTTCACATAGTACCTAGCAGTACCATATGTATCCTCCACGACCCTTGTCTACATTTGTTACTCTACGAGCGGCGTTCTTCAGTCAGACGTGACCCCTTGCCACTAACAAATCACTCCATGTACAAATTGGTCCATCAGAGGGTCATGTGATACATCGGAGCCACTAAGTCAAGCAGCTGGAGCGCAGAGAATGTCGTGATACTGTGGCTTGACGACAAGAGTGTCACACATTCACCCTCTTTGATCGTCCACCTTCCCGAGACATTGACCCAGGTGGCATGCGAGTCATCCTGGCACAAACACAAGAGCCTCAAGGGCCCGCAGACGTCACTTGGTAGAGAAGTTGGGCCATACACTACAAGTCTTCTCCACCCTGGGCTCGATCACAGCGCAGCATAGACCATATGTAGGGTTGATACCACAGTAGCATTAAGTTTGTCTCGCGCAGTCCCCTTTTTCCGGCTCAGCTAGAGTACAAGTACAGTAGGTATACAGGATAATAGCACAGTACTATTAAGTCCCCCATAGGATTTTTTCTTTATGTTTTGCGCCAACGCACCGGCACGTTCAAGCCGGGCGGGCAGATGTGAGCCGCATCCCACCCATTTCCAAACCATCACTTCACTGAGCCCCTGTGTGGCTTGAAAAGTTGAAAGCCATCAAAGTAAAAACATCACCCATCGCACCAGTACCCCTTGCTCCACGGGGGGAAGATAAGAAAACCCATTCAAAAACACCGTTTCCCCGGTGCAGTCCCAGTAATGTTTTGGTCTATAATTGGCCCGTCCATGAATGCAAGAAGCCCGGTGGGAAAAGACAGTTCCCATGTTTGCGCCATGAACGACCCCAACTAGACAATGACTCGAAAAGAGAAAAGGAAAAAAGGTATGTATGTGTGTGCTCGCGCGCGTGCTGACCGGGGGAGCTCAGAGCCCTTCTTCTGCACCCCACGTTTAAGTAATACCCAAATGTCCTGCCGAATTCTGGTAGGCAAAAGCGGTCCCTCGTCTGACCCGATCCGGGGCCCGGAGCAATGTTCCAAACGCTGATCAGACAAAATAAAGCAAACGGTGAGCCTCTTCAGGCATGTGAAACATAAGATATAGACAGCTCCAGTCGCCGGTACATAAACATGGATCAAGGAAATGTGATGGAACCGAAATGGGACATCGGAATAGTGTAGATGAAACATATCGAACTGCGCGCGTGCAGACGATTGTCGAAACATAGTGGTTGAGCTCAACTTTTGAGCTTATTTGAAGTTCGCCGGCCTTGGGAAAAGGGCGTACTGGCCTGGAGGAGGGGGGCTGGAGCTCAGAGTCCTGGAGCGGCCACGGCCGACCGGGCGCTTGGCCGAGTGCAGCTTGTCGAGGTCCGGGTCGCTGCTGTGGTTCCCGCGGCTCAGAGGCTTCGAGTCCATCGAGTTCAGAAGACCAGCGATGCTCTGGGATCGGGCGTGGTTCGGCACGGCAGTGGCGGCTTGCGAGACCTCCGCGTCCTCGGTCGAGATGGCCCGTGGCGCGTCGTCCTTGGGCAGGTAGTCCTCGATGTTGACCGAGCCGGTGCTCATGGTCATGCGCGTGTAGTCGGTGTTGGTCGAGGACGTCGTGGAGATGTGGCGGTCAAAGTTGGACCGCGAAGACATGGCGCTCGCAGTGGTCGAGTTGCTAGCCCTGATTGGCACGAACAGGTTCGGACCCTCCGCTGTCATCGTCGGCTCCTCCCACGTCACTGCCTGGCCCAGACCCTCGGTCTCCTCGAAGCGCTCGTTCTGGTGAGCAAGCATTTCTTGCTGGTAGTCAGCCGGGATCAGCATCGACGGCGAAATGACATATCCCTGGGGCTCCTTGGAAGCGGACGCCTGCGAGGTCGTCCGCTCGTGAAGCAAGCGTTGTGACTGGGCACAGTCTCGCCGGGGAAGCGAGAAGTTGGATCGCGTAGGAGACTTCGTGCCAGAGGCTGAGATAGTGGGTGTTATGGCCTCTTGCGCGTCTTGAGCGCTACCCACGGACAGATGGCTACAGGGGCTCAAGGCTGGGATTTCAAAGTGGTCGGACGTCGTTCGAAAAAAGGGCCCATCATCGGTGTCATCTTCGGTGAACAGGAATGTCGGTTCCCTGCCCATGTCAATCGAAGGCCGGTCCCAGTCGTACTCGCAGTCGGCCTCAGCCTCGTGTTCATAGCAATAGTCGACCACATCCTCCCAAATATCTCGAGGAAGTGGGTCTGAATCGTCCTGCGCCTCCTCCATGGCCTCTCTCTCAGCTCGTTGGGCGGTGGCCAAGTCGAAATGACCAAATATCGTAGATTCCCTACTGAGAGTACGGTCATGAGAGCTGTATTCAGATACAGATGCCTTCCGCAAGGCCGGCACAGATTGTGAGCCTCGAAGCGAGGAGTTGTTACTGCGGATACTCGCTCGCGACCTCCGGGGCAATCCATGATGCTCCTCCTCTTCGGGCACGTCAGGCAAGCCGGCTTCGAAGGTTGAGACACTCGCATTGTGCAGTGGACATGTGAGAGGCCAGTTAGGATTCTCCGTCGGTGAAGGCATGAAAATACGCGAGTAACGACGCTCCGCCGTGGCAGTGGGGCTGGATGGCCCCTGCGAAGTTGGCGGTGGGCTCTTCGCTTCCGTATTGAGTTGAAGTGGCGGTGGGAATCGGAACCCGTTCATTGCCTGCGCTCGGTCGCTCATGATGTTCCCTAGGGCTTCGGAATCCCGGCGTGGGACTGATGGGACTGACGGCCGGCTGGAGCTGCGAGGCGGAGGCACAGGAGGCTGGAGGTCCAAGTTCAGATCCAGGCCCGTCGGCGACCGTGGGGGCCTCGGTGGAGGCACGCCAGGAGTCTGATCCTGAGATCGCGAATGTTTGACCATAGGCCTCGGAGGGGATTTGTGCCAGCTTGGTGGGCGAACGACGCTGTTCTCCCGCCTGTGCGGCACAACATGAGGCGCAACGTCATCGTCATCATGAGGGCGAGTAGCTTTGGATGAGAAGTTGGGCACACGCAAATCCTCCGCCTGGATGCCCCTCGACGCCCCCATAGTCGGTATTTCGGAGGCACGAACAGCCGACCACTCATTCTGCGGTGGCACTTGACTCGATCGTTCCAGAGTCGGGACCTGTTCCCGATGTATTTGAGCGACGTGCTGGAAATTGAAAGGGCTCGAGATCTGCGGTCGTTTTTGAGACAATGCTTCCTCAGGTGCTTGCACCGTCCTCCGTCGGTTGAAAATGTTCATGCTGGACAGGCTATGCTCCTTGGTGACGGAAGGCGCCCGGGAACGCTCGCCCGTGCTGTCGGGTGGCATGTCTGTCGACGTGACCAGACTTTCTCTCCTGAGTTTAGTTTTCCGTGTGAATATCGCCTTACCAATTGCCTGGACGCTCTCTGGGCGCTCTCGCATGCTGCTTGTCGTCGAGCGGGTCGAGGACTTCCTGGACAGCGAGAAGGACTCCAGCGTCTGATCCCAGGATGGCCGTCGGTCGAATGATCCGAGAGAGAGCAGAGATGATGACCCAGATGAGGTCGTCTGTTGGCTCACATGTCGCTCCGAGACTGATGCCTGCTTGACCTTGTTGCTCAGGGCTCTGATCCGGGCCGGCGAGGGGGGACCATCAATGGCTGGTTCGAGAAAATCGGCAAAGTGTTCGTTGTCAGAAGCAGATGGGGTGTAATGTTTGTGTGCAGTAGCGTTGTTGTCCTGGTAAGATGGCTCGGGACAAGCTTCACTAATGCTTTTTTTCGTTGCCCTCCGCTGGTTCTGGGAAGACCAGTAACCCCCGGACCCTCCCAATGCTGTCCGCATCTCTCCCGTAATCTATATGACGCGGAGGCGAACAAGGTGTGGTGGTCGGCTCGATGACCGCCGGGGCAGACGTCGTCGAACAACAACCAGGGTTGTCCCGTTCCACTAGTCTGAAAGGCTTCCGACCAGACGGGAATGCTGCTTTTCGCGCTCTGTGCAACCGCGTGTACGAGCTCCACGCCCTACTCGTCTCGTAAGTGGTCTGTTGAGATGCAGAAGGGCTACCAATAGTACCAAGGCCGCACGGGACAAAAAGAAAACTGCTTGTTAGGCGGTGAAGTGTTCTGGTGGTCGGAAGGGGAGGCGACACCCAGTGTAAAAGGAACTGGAGCACTTGTCGCGTGTCGAAACAATTAGGGCGCAAAACAATGCGAGGGCTCAAAAGGATGAATAAAGGAGCAGTGACAGGCCCAAGATATCAAGGATTCTGGCTTGTTATGCAACTCGCGCAAAAGTGTCAGGGGGTATGGGACATTGGCGAATAAACCAGGCGGATTGATCAAAAATGGGGCACTTACTGTCCGATCCGCTCAATTGGAACGGTGAAATTAAAACAGATCGGCACCCAAGGGAGTGCGTGCTTGGAGGATGCCGAAGTCCCAATCCGCTGTTCCTGATGCAACCTCGAAAGTTTGCAAGCTAAGCACTGGGGTATCCCGTCCTGACAAAAGTCACTACGCAAGACACGAGTACCTAGGTGAGGCGGAAAATGTGGTCCTCGCGTGTCTCCTCACGAAGGAAAGACAACGGCGCTGGTGCGTGGCCGAGCCGGCAGCTCTCTGGCCGTTGCTCTGCCCGACTAGGGGCAGGAACCCGAAGCCAAGAAAGTGGTCGAATGCTTCTCGAAGGCCGTGTGGTCGAGGTGTGCAGAAGCGAGGCGGCACAGCAGCACAACCATCACCTCCTTGCAGCTCCCAGCTGGCAATAGTCAGGACGGCCTAGCGCTGATTGGGCCGTGTATGGCAGAGCGGTCGTGCTGCTCTGGCTCTGGCTCATATGTTGGGGATGTCGCCGGGCAAGGGTGCAGCCAGTGGTGAGGGTTGCCGCTTGTCTCGCTGATTCAGGCGCGTACCAAACGAGGTCGAAGAGGTGTCCAGCCGGAAATTATCGAAATTGTGTGCAAATAACCAATGCACCCCGAATCGTGCCACGCAAGGCTGATGGCACTGCTGTCAAACACCTCGTCTTACTATTTTGGGCGGCTAGGTCATGGGTAATTTCCCCAGAGCATATGTACTTGTAGACAACCCGCGAGTCCGTAGGGCAATGTTTTTTTCGGACAAGCCAACAAGCCTTTCGAGAGTGTGGGAGCCAATGTGATAGTGACCGGTCTCGCAGTGAGTCAGTGGGTTGACGGGATGAGTGGGAAGCAGAGAAGCAACCGAAAACGGTCCGCCAGATATCTCCTGGGGTGAGGCCGCGCGATCGTCGTGAAAATATGCCGTTCAGGCTCTGCGAACCGGGTGGTGGTGGTCGGGGCGGGGAGAGGGCCCGCGATGCATGTGAGAAGTCCCGCGAGCTAGACTACTGTACAGACCCAGGCTCGGGGCCAGTGAGAGCTGGGACCGATCGCGCGCAACCAATATGCAGCATGCAATGGACCAAGACGCGAGCAGGAGGCCAATACAGACCACATTCAGCCTATCGCGAGACTGGCTTCCGTTGATACTTTGTTGGGGATTCGAATCCGTACTCCAGTCGAGATCTCTTCCCTGACGGCACTTTCCAATGTGATCGATCAGCGCTGTGAGCTCAAGTGGGAGCGGGCACCGTGGTCAGAGTCCTGGGAGGAGGGTTGAAACTGTCACCGGCACCGCAGCCAGCTGAGAGTGGACAGCAGGGCTTCCTCTAATAGGGGGTTCATACTGCGGGTTCCACTGTCGAGTGGTTCACGGAATCTGGGCTCCATGAAACGGCAGGGGCGTCGGAAACCCGGGCCAGGCCAAAAAACATTGGAGCTGGTGGATTGCTTGCACTTCTCGTGCCCCATTGCCGGCTGCTTGTGTTCGGTTTGCTGTCAAGAACGGGTTCGTTGTCCGTGACCACACTGAATGTAGCGGAACCTCCCAAGGTAGACTCCGAACTAACTTTTTCGAGACATGTGATCCCGAGTGATATGCATAAGCATCTCTGATATCCTCGAAGTGATGTATGTTCTCCTCCCTTCAAATATAATATTGTTCTCATGTCCAGCGTCAAAGTCTCCATCTGCTGTCGTTCTGCCAGTGGGGCATGTTTCTCTCGTCGTACCCAAAGAAGCAGTCGTAGGTAGATACATGGCCGGCCAAACTCGTACTGGTGCTACCGATGCATGGGTTAATTGTGTAGCCAGTCATATAGCCCCGGCTCGTGAATGTGGATCGCCTGTCTTCTAGGACCGGGGCGCGCATGAGGTACAGGGGACCCTGGGACCCTAGGAGTCTTCCCCGCCCGCGACAAGGGACCATGTTGTACGTAGGGTTGATGACAAGAGCTGACAGAGAGGACTCGGTGAGATCACGCTCCATCTGCGCTCTTGCCATGCAGGCTCGTCGACGATCAACATGGCTGTGTCGCTCTACAGTATGTCGAGTCCGAGCTTACGGCCATGCACCAGAAGTGAGATGGATTTCTCTGGAGACTGATCTCGACACTGCCATACTGCGGGAAATTATGGTGAACTGGGCTGTGATTAGGTCAGAGATGGGTGGATGTGTACAAAGATGCCCACGGATGTCCCTGCAATACAAGGTTGGATATAGCTCCCGGGGAGTTGTCCTCTTCACAGAGTTTCAACTGGCCGTCTTCCCTTTTCAGGTCAAGCAGACAAGAACTTTGTCTGTCAGACAGGGAGGACCCGTCCGACATGATAGAGCTATGGGCGAGCCACTTGCGGCGGAACAACAGCCGAGAACGGCGGAGCATGGCTGTTTTCGATTCAGTCACTACATGATGCCCGACAGCATTATGCAGGCCCACAAGCCATCCCGTGTATGTGCCTCATATGAACGGCGAGCCACGGGCAGTACTGCTACCCAGTACGGGTAGACGTGACTCAAGCTGCCTGGCGTTCTTTGTAAACCATGTCAAATCGACTTGGTGCGGGCTTTCGGGGCGTTGCCGGTTCGACAGTCCTGTGTAGGACGGTCTGTTGTCGGTTGCACCACACGGACTGCCCTATGGCCACATCACGTCGATCAGAAACGCGCGGTATTGTTTCTCGACAAAGCGAGAGGCACAGGACGGGATCGACAGCGCTCATATCGATATGTTTCCGGGAGGCTGACAACGCCGCCCGACACCGTGCGATGCCGTCTGGTGGGCACCATTGTTCCCTGCCGGCACCCGGGAACTCCACAACACAAGAGCTCAGGGGATAATGGGCCTGGCCTGGAACCTACTGGGCCTTCCCCGTCGCGTGAGAAGCCCACTACCAAGGGCGGCGATCAGGGTCAAGATCCTCAATTTTCCCTTCTTGGGCCACCGAAGTGAGGCTGGAATGGGGGGAGGGGGGTGCAGGGACCAAGCACGCCTGAGGGTATTGCTGATCCTGCCGGCTAATGGTACGGAAGATTTGGACATCCATAACGCTCTGATGTATAGCACGATCGATCCGTGGTCCTGATGCCCCCTTCAACCAAAACTTCAGCAGGTACGGGCAGGCGTGGTTTTCCATCGTAGCGCCGGTACCCAGATAAGAGAGCGATCACGAAAAGCGAGCATCTTACGACTCAGCTGCGGAGTTTTCGATAGTCATTGCCAAATGATCTGTTCGCCAAGGCGTGCCCTGACACGAGAGCAGCTGGAAGGCCGGCTGCGATTGGCATCTCGACGGTTCGTCCAATCAGTCGGGTGCCGATTAGACACGCGATGACAGGGTCAGCGCTCTGAGCGCAGATGTTTCAGATGGCAACGTCTGGAAACGGATGTTTTTTGCGTGCGTGTTTTGTTGGTAGTGATATCTTGCTGGCACCGCGAACATGGCAGCTTCGTCCAAGAGTCATTGTGGGGCCGAATCGGGCCACGGCCCTTTCGCGGTTTGTATCGTGTGCTGCAAGCTCCTCCTGCCTTGGACTTCTGCTTAGGACGCGCGCCTCTTTCCTTGGACGAGGCGCCGACGCTGGGGTGAGCCTTGTGCACGATCGGTCCATGGACCTGACGTGCTCTCCGTGATCCGGGAGGAAAGGACCTGGGAGCAGTGCTGTGTCGGCCAGGCATGATATCGAAACGGTCCTGCACGCCACGTCAGGGTTTGGAATCTCAATCCTGGGTGCGCTTTCTCGTCGGGGGGCCATCGAGCCGGTGAGCCGAAAAGGAAGCGGTTCGGACCCGTTGTCCTGGTTCCTACCCTCCATCAGCCATTGTGTGACGTCGGAGAGGGTGGGAGGTCGGGCACTACAGGCGCGCTCAGCAGGAGTGAGATCCGTCCGTCAGTCTAAACAAGTGCTGGTGGAGATGAACCCGGCATGCATGGCACAAGGGTGAAGGCGGACTGCTTGGGCTAGCTGACTACAGCAGGTCGCGCGCGGCGTCAGCATGACGACCTTTTTGCTCACCAGGAGCGACATGTACTGTAGTTGCCTAAGTAGGCAAGTAGGTACCTACCTGCTAGGGTAGACTGCCACAGCAGAAGCCACGCTCAATACAGCATAGGTACATAGGTGCCTACCTAGGTACCTAGGTAAGGTTGTAAGCTTTGCGCATCACAATTCGATCCACAGGAAGCGACGAGGACACTGCCTGCCACTTTACCATCCTGCAATGACCCCATCCTGATGCTGTCATTCTGCGCACTGCAATTGCAGCCGAGGGCGGCTGCCCCGTGAGCAATCAGTGCAGCGATTCCCCAGTGTCTCGGGGAATTCCCATCTTGTCATTGCTGGTAATTCGATCTGACGGGTCAAGTCTGGGACCAAGACGAGTACCAAGTGCCTGCTGAAATTGGCCTGATATGCGGTGGCCAGTGTTCGCAAATTCCCGAGAGGGCAAGCCCAGCCCGCCATGCCCGCCTGCAGTGTTTGGTTGCGGGCGAGGTTCAGCACAGACGCCAGCCAGTCCGGCAGACGACGACATGCCTCGCAGTAGACTACCACAGTACAGAAAGCAGTACAGATAGACTAGTAGTATTACATCGTCGCGACCCAGGCCAGCCCAAGCAAACAGCCTGAAAGCAAAGCCTAACAGGGATGCAGGTCCCTCCCCGCCCAGGCCCTGCCCTCCCTCCGCCGTCCTGGCCGTCCTGGTCATGGCCTAGCCTACCCAGCCCACATGAACATGCAAGCCAGGCGCCTGCAATACGACCCGAGGACACCATCGCCCATGTAACTGCTCGACCCCGACGGCTTGTGTGTGCGAGTGGCAGGACAGGGTCCAGTCATTGGAGCTGCTAGCCTCTCGCGGCCCCTGCATGCGCGCGATTGACCAAAGAGGATTGGCCACCGATTTGATGATTGATCCAGGTGTGGGAGGTCTTTCTTCATTCTTCTTCCTCCCTGGAGATTATCCCACTCGCCTGCAGGCACAGGCATGCGTCCGACCTATCAACCCCCCGTGGCACGACAGGTAGACAGGCCGATCATCTTCCTTCTTTCCTCAGCTATCGAAAGATAGACGCCAAGGTGCCCGCCCACGCGCCCGCCCGCGCGCGTCCTGGGCTGCCGCCTGGACCAGTCCTCGTCCCCATCGTGCCCGTCCTGATCCTGCAGCCCTGCTCCTACCGTGCTGAGAGGGATTCGCAAAGCCCCGTAGGCCCGCTTTCTGTGTCCTTGTGAGGCCGGCAGGTGGCAAGGGCCAAGAGCACTCGATTACACAAGGTCCAGAGTGGGCACCAGCGGGTCCTTCGGGGGTCGCCAGCCTGGAATCCCCGCTGCTCCACCAGGCACTTCCAGAGAGGTCCCCTCGGACCTGCTGGGCCAGCTAGACATGCTGGGCCTCAAGCAGGTGCTCTGCCTCCCGGGGTGGAGGTGGGGGGATGGAAGGGGCTGGCTCGCTGGCCGGGACCAGCTGGGAGCTGGGAGCTGGGAGCTGGGCTGCAGGTTGCAGGCTGCAGATGAGTTCCGGCCATGAGGACTTTGCCTGAGCTTTTGTGATCAGTCACTGATCAACACGAGGAGAGAAGAGAAGACGAGGACTGTAGACCGTAGGCACTGCGCCCAACCAGATGACCTGCAGCTCATGTCTGCAGCCTCAGCATCCCGGAGACGATGTGCTTGTCATGAGTGCAGGGACAATTAGACAAGGTATCTATCCATGTAAAGCACAAGGCATCGAAACGACCTGTGCAGAAAATGACAGTGTCCTGACGCGCAGGGCAGTGGCATCGCCACAATAAATCTCGCATGCTGCCTTGCTCGAATCCTCCTGGCGGTCCCGCCATGTCGGATCTCGCTCGCTAAATGTCTTACTTTGGAACCAAGAGAAAGCAGCAGCGTCGGTCCCCAGCCATGTTGCTAGTAGTACCACAGCGGGCGGCCGTCTACCGGTGTGACAAAATCAGGGCGACACGACATATGCGCCTAGACTTAGGCACACGAAATGCACATACAATGTACTGCACACATGCTGCAGCAGCTGCATAACACGACAACCAGGACCTTCAGCTCTGGTGGGTGCTGACGTCTCTCATGTCGAAAGAAGACGACAGACGTCCATAGACGGCCAGACTATCGTGTGAGCTGCGTAATTGTCTACTCGGATGATGCGTCCCACCCGGCGCTCGTCCCCGATGAACCTGCCCGGGCGAGAACCTGCTCCCGTGGACAGGGATCGTGGGTTGTGAGCAACGTCTCGAGTTTCGCCCGCCTCGGGACGCCACCGGTGGTATGGGCTTGCCTGTCCTGTTCCTGACGACCACGAGGGGGCGCGCAAACCCCCCAGTGGGCGTTTTTTTGCTGACGGGCCTCGCCCGTTGCGATTCTTCAACGGGTATGGATCATGCCCAGCAAAGCCCACGGTGGTCCCAGGACCCACGTTCGTTCTCCGGCGAGACTGCTCCCCGTACGAGGCGTTCGCGGGGCTGGGATGTACCCGGCGACGAGCTCTGATATCGATCGAGTCCCAGGCGATTCCCCGGCCCAGGTCTCCCCCAACATGTCTCGCGAGCGGGGCTCGTCACAACGCCCTCACCTTGTCGCTCCCAGCTGCCGCCGGCGGCCAGTTTGCACAGTGAGGTGCAGTAGGTAAAACCCACCATTTTGTGCGCCAAAAAAGCCCGGCTTCAACCAACGTCGCCGACCGGGCTCGATCCGTTGCAAGGCTAGCCTGATCCTCTCTCGCCCTAAAACCTCTTGTCGCTCCCCTGGCGCTAAGTTGACGGAAGCCCGCTAATGTTCGCCATAGGCTTTCCTTGGGTGACAACGTCGAAAGCCACTGCTCGGGATGGCGGGGGGAACCACGGCCTTCACATGCTTACCGCTGCTACGTAATATGCGGTTGCTACTGTGGTACTCGCCTCCGCGGAAGTCGTTCTCCATGGACTGGTGAGCCGGAGCGGCCATCATGCGTGCACTCTGTTTGGGCGGCGTGTATGCGCTGCCTGTAGCATGCCTCGACTTCGCGCTCCATTGGGCCGAAGGGATCGGCGGCACTTGGTAACCCAAAAATCCCAACAATATTCTAGGGCCTCCGCTGAAACTCCCCAGACCTGTCCACCTCCCGAGTACGCCTGGGAGTTGGGTCTGGAAGGGTGGATGGCTGGTCACGAGATCCTACCTGGGTACAGGCCATCTGGGGAGGTTGATTGTTACTGCTGGCTATTCGCTTTTCCATCAAAATTTTCGTGGGATCCAAACCACGGACATCCCTTTTTTTTTCTAGCTCAAGCTCCCCAGTAAGTGATTACGGATGCTTGGTCACAATGTTGGGTTACGTTGCTCGGTCAGACGCTGCCAGCGTTGCAACATCATCGGCTGCTACCCGCCAATGTCCTTGGAGGGAGTGGTTTTTTCTGTTGGTACAATAATAGCCGGTAGTAAGTGCTGATATCAGCATACGGGGCACGGCATAGCAGAAATCGCATATAACTCCCTTGTGACTGGAAACCGGAGTAAGCGTCGTACGAGGGCAACAACAGCGGCACTTATCTCCGACGCCGCAAGGCCGACAATATTGACGATACCCGGGTGGATTGCGCGGAGATGTACCCTTCACTCTTTGGGGCTGAGATTCATACTTTGGGCCGCTGCGCGCCGGAATCTTTTCCGGACACGGACCCCGTGATGGTTTGTCTGCGAGTAACGTTCCCCATGCCTGTAGGCCGTATCGCCGCCATGCGTCTGCAACGACACCCTTGCAACGAGATAAAATTTCGGAAAGATATATACGTACGGTCCATGGAACAAGGTATGGGTGGAATGAGTTCACCACCACTCTTCCAATCTCAAAACTTACCTAGACACGAGAAGGGCACAGCGTTGGCCTGGCGAAAAGTTTCGTCGGTCAGCTTTTGGGAAATGGCAAGGACCAGATCCTCCAAGGCTATGTGTCACGGAATCGCACCACGTGTCTGTTCTTTGTGTTTCATCTATCGTGCAAGTGCTGGATAGATGGAGTTTTCCCAGGGCCAAGGGACGTCTGATCTCAACACTGGTGGACTGCAGCCAGGGGCAAGAGAGGATTGCTTCACAGCGTACTCAGCGCAGTTTCTCTGTCTGGACTTGGCAGCCCGTAACTGTTTCCCTACAGATCTTTGCAAATACCAAGAGCAATTGCTCCTAGAACATGGCATGCAAGGGTTGAACTTGTTCAGCGCCGAGTCAGAGTCCTTCCCCAAGCTCAAGTTCTACAACAGCCAGAACCCTGTCCACCAAGCTTCAGAAAGATGAGGGAGATTCAACTGGGTTGGTCGCGGGAGGGTGTGTGGAGGTTCCGCAGACCCCGTCCGGATCCCGAGCAGCGCTGCAAGAAACAGGAGGAATCACTCAGAAGTTCCTGAGATTACCGGTGATCCGGACGGACTGAGGAGCAAGGGCAACGAGTCGTCGACCACGTTTCGAGGTGCGCTCGCAATCGCTCTCGCGCCATGACCTACGTCGTGGGCTTGAGACTACATAGGTTTCTACCCTGAAAGAAGCTAGGTAAATGAGACCTCATCTATTCATCACATACTCAGCACACTGATGAAAATTTGATGTTAGACACATGGTAGATGTCGAGCGCCGTGTGCAAGAACTCGACTGGAGGCTATGATGCCGGAAGCTCCGGGGACGAGTTGATGCGGTGGATTTGTCCTCTCTTCAAGGAAGCGGAGCTCGTCTACATGAAAAGAAGAAGAATGTATCATTCAACTATGACTCGAGAATCGACCACATGAGAACATGGCACCGTGGTTGGCAGCACTTGAGCTGCTCCGGTCGCGCTTCAGCCGGACAGGAGCGTCAGCTGCTCGAAGCCCACCAGCTTATCTTGTTCGAAACCTACCCAAGATCACGAAAAAAACGTGTGTGGTGTATTGCGGAACTTCAAAGATAACATCATCCCAAAGCAGTCAAGAGTCGCTTGTAGTATGGCATGGTGGGTTGCAGTGTAGAGCAAGAAACTATCCAAAAGTCATGCTGAACTCAGTCAGACGCTGCCAGGAACTTTTCAGGCGAAGGATCTTGTTTACCATCCCTGTTATGTCTCAAGGTGAGAAATCAAAGCTGTTGTAAATGGTGTTTGCCACCTGGTTGGCTGAAGCATAGCTTCCCGCACGCTGCTGCCTGGCGCTCATTGCAACGCGTCGTATCATCCTCACATGTACACTTCTGTCGTGAGAAGACGGGACAACAGTCCTCTCTTGACACGCAACAAGATACAAAAAGAGAAATTTAACATACACACACATACACCGCGAGAATGCCAACCTCACCTCAGAACCCTGTGATTCCCACTGAAGCCGCTTCCAAGGCTGAGAACGATGCGACAGCAACAGCATCGACCACAGCCAGCCCTGGACACGAGCCGACAGAGGCAACACAGATAGCCCTTGCGAAAAACTGCGGCGACGAGGCAGGCCTTTTCCTGGCACCCGGGCTCACCATCCCCCGCCCGACCAAGACCGTCGAGTGCAACGTGATGAGCTACACGGACGGCGAGGGCGTCGCCCGGCGGATCTACATGCCAAAGGGGACCGCGGGACTCGCAGGCGCCTTATACACGGCCAAGAGGTTCGACGACCTGGCCAGGTTCCCTGCCTGGGGTGAGTGATGCTGTACTACAGGCTCATCATACCCAAGGCCCTGCTTGTTTGTGTTGGCGTGTATCTATATTCTGCATTCACGGGCTGTTGTTAAGCCGTATCCCATCCTGGTGGCGGAGTCTTTCCTCGACTGTCTAGAGTCATTTCCTTCTTGACACTATGAATGCTTGAGTGTGAAGCTGACGGCGGTGTTGTGATACAAACAACCAGACATACGACGACTGGGAGGCCGACGAGGAGAAATATAGGTATTTACGGGATCAGCTGTGTGACCCGTCTTCATAAGCTGTAACACATACTTGTCTCGTGTCCAGGGGAACTTCACATGAGTGATCATGCGTGACCACTAAGCATGGCGAAGTCTTGTTGGAAAGGAAGCCATTTCTTGGGATACAGCACACAGACGGGAAACAACGAGCACAATCGACACCAGCAAGAGTGAGGTAAAGTGATTTTTTGACAGGTTTGTCTCTAGATACTATCCGGTCTACACCCAAGACCGCATCTAGTCTATTCTTATAAGTAGCCCAGTGCGGGAACGAAGAGAAGAAGCGCTGCACCAAAATGGTGACAAATCCACAACCACCACCCATTAGCACCAACATTGTCTTGACATAGACGAAGGTGGAACAACGTAAAACTTGCGCGACGAATAACCAAAGAACAAGAAAACTAGCGATCTTTCCAACACCAGGGCCGGCTGAGCTCACATCATATATAGCGAAGCCTCCTGGCCACGAGGATGCATATGATCGAGAAGGCGATCAAGACACCCAGGATCGTGAAAAAGGCCGTCAGGTTACCAGGGTCTCCGAATGGGACCGGGACGTTCATGCCGAAGAGACCCGTGACCACGTTCAGAGGCACAATGATGGAGGCGAGGAACGTGATCTTACTAAGGACCTTGTTGGCTCGCGTGCCCTGGGTGATGCTGTCGATGCTCAGCTGCGCCAGATAGTTGCTGTGGGCTCGCGACAGCATCCTCTCGAGGTGTCCCAAGGTATTCATCATGGTCACGACGTGATCCTGGATATCGCCAAGGTAGAGGCCGACCTCCATGCGCGGCGTGACTTGGTAGTTCTCGTTGCAGCGCTTGGTGAAGCCCTTGAGCACATCGGCCTTGCCTCCAAGGAGGCGCATCAGACCCATGATGTTCTTGCGGATATGACCGAGTCTTGGCAGGAAGGGATGGTTCTCTTCATCGTCGGGCCGGGCTCGATAGACGTCATCGTCGAGTGCATCAGCCGCATTCTGCACCTCAGTAATAGCCGGGCCAAAGTTATCTACAATGTTGTCGCTGTTGTCTAGATTAGTAATAGTCACTGGCGTAGAAAGACCGGACCCTACTCACATAATGGCATAACAAATCCAGTCAGCACTGAGATCAACATAATCCTTCAATGTTGAGATCCTCTGACGGACATCGGAGGCGTGCGAGTTGAAGGTGTGACTGAAGCTGAGAATGCCCTCTCGGAACACAATCACAAACATGTTGAAGGGTTCAAATTCTCGATCGCCATCCTCATCGTACACGGCCATGTAGGACCGGAAATTCGCAAAGTAGTAGGACTTGAACAGTTCGATCTTCTCGCGGGCTTCTTGTGTCGTGATATCTTCAACTGTCAAGGGATGGATTCCGAACGCCTTGCAGATCGCGCGTACCTCGTCGTCGGTGGGGCAATTCACATTCAGCCACCAGACGTAGTCTTCGCCGTCGTTTGGAAAGGTGAAGAGGCTCCGCAGCTCCTCGCCTGGCAGGGCCAGGTCTTCTAAGTCCGCCGCATGAATGGTCTGGTCCCAGGCCGAGGAGAAGAAGCTGAATCGCTGGGCAGGGATCTTTTCTGTCATGGCCTGCCTGGGTTCCACCTTGACTTTCTCCTCCTGGATCGAAGATCCCGATGGCATTTCGATGATGTCTCCATCCGCAGTAGCCATCTGCGTTGGACCGCCATTCGTTGTCGTCTGCGGGCGCAAGTCTGCGAATTCCCTTGCGTCGGACGAAAGACGCTCGCTTCTCTGCGACCGGATGAAGTCCTCGAGGAACTCGAAGTCGACGTAGAAGTCTGGGCCATCACGATTCCCATGAGGAAAGCAGACGTCCTCCTCGGCAGCAGACCTGTTTGTGTTGACACTGGCGACGTCGCTGTCTTTCACAGTGCGGGACTTACTCCGGTGGCTGTGGCGGCTGGTGATTGACATGGTCCTCTGCAGCTCCACATTATCCGGCCGTTGCTCTGAGAAAGACAACGCGGGCGGGCGACGGGCAAGCGCGAACGCCTTGACGGAGTTCGGCGGGGATGGCTCGCGCGACGAAGCCGTCGTGTCCACTGTGCCTCGTCGCTGGCGTCGGCCCATGGGCGAGATCTCACCAGCCTCATCATCGATGATGGCCTCCTCGAAATCGCGAACGCGAATGCTAGGGTGAGGCAATCCGCTCCTCGAGGCATCGGAGCCGGTGCGTCGTCGGCCGCCGAATTGGGAGTCGAAGGTACCCCGACGAGGTCGCTCGTCCCGCGAGATCGAGGGGCTCTGGTGCTGTTGACGGTGGTCATCCAGCTCCGGGATTGGGGTCTCGTAGCCCGTGTCCAAGACTTCTTCGTGGTCCGACATTTTGACTGCTTTTGATAGCCCTTTCTCAGTCTTTCTTTCCAATATTACAAGTATTGCTCCGTAACTATATCTCCTTTACTCTTCTCTCACAGGTCCGGCCCTGGGCAGCCCGGTCGCTGGCTCAAGGGTGAATTCCCATTCCCATCCTCGGTCAGCGTCGATGACAGAGTTGACCTAAGCGGACGGCAGTTAACGGCAGTCTGCCGCCCGCGGCGAAGGGTTTCGAACGGGTGAGCCCCTGTGTGAGGTGAGTATTTCACCGGCCTGGACGGGTGTCGAGGCGGTGATACCGTGTGGGCGGGTGTGGTCGAAAGGTGGTCAAAACTGCTGTGATGGTGCGTAGCCTCCAGTTAAGGCGGTTTCTTGTTCACTCCAATATAAGCCCAGAAAGCGGGGCTATGGAGCGAACGGGTGAATGAAGCCCGGGAAGCAGCGAGTGCAGCCAACTTGATGGATTGAACGGGTCGTCGGTGACGGGTAATCGGTGCGACACGGGAATGTCGCGGTATTCACAATAGCTCGATTGACTTGGTTCAAGGACGATGTCGACTCTTGATCCAGAGCGGTTGGTTCTGGGGTGACAAGGGGGTTAGATAGTAGTCGATGTGGAGCGACTGCTGTGCTATTGTTGTCGTAGTGTTGTCGGTCTGATTTCAGGTCCCGATGACGTCCTGGGTCATCGAGTGAAGTGAGAGGAGTAGAATCCTCCTTGTGAAGGCGGCTGGAAAGCGGACGGTGGATATAAGTCAGATGTCACTTGGAAGCTAGTCTGGCTTGAGAAGACAAAGAATCCGCAGGGCGAATTGTGCAGTGGAAAAGATGTCTTGGTAAAGAAAGCTAAAGAAGAAGCTTGGGATCGGGGGGCAAAGTCGGGAAGGGGAATGGGAAAAATGCGCTCGTGAATGTTTGGCGGGTTTTGTTCGGGTGCAAGGTGATTGGGCGGCCCCGTCCAGGCAGGTTCAAAAATTGAATCTCGGCACGGCACTAATCCCTGAATCCAACCCGCCAATTTGGGATGACAGTCTGCAGGTCAGGCCCGCGTAGCTCATCCGAGTCGCTCATGCTGCGCATATAGCACACACGTGCCTCACTTCAAGGTTCGTACAGTACATCATAAGCATCTAATGAGTAACATGTTACTCATAGTATTCTGCAATACAGGCCGAGATGCGAGTTGTTGAGACAAGCTGGTATTTACCAAGACTGTCCAGCCACCGAGGTACGTAATTCGTGAGCTGTACTGGGCACCTACCTGGGAATGGAAGAGGTCATCCACCCCGCGCAGATAAGCGAGTGACTCACTACAGGGAGATCGGACGGGTTTAGCGGGTTTAGGGTGGAAATATATGCCATTTTGTTGGATTTAAAATGCCCTCTGTACTGTGTATGGAAACTCACACATGCAGGCGCAAGGTGATGGCAAAGACTGGTTGCTTCCCTCGTATGTCTGGATACCTGTCGCCCGCTGATGGTTCTCTGTTCCACGGATATCTTGGGTGGTGGGGCATTTGGGTATCAGTGGGTCCAGTGACAAGGGGCGGGGGGTGAGCGCGGGTGCCCAGGGAATTCTAGGCTATTGTGTCCGTGTGCCGTATGCAGGTCCGACCCGACCTGTTCCCGGCTCGAGCCACGTTGGAGCTTGCGGAGGGTCCATTCTTGGACATCACACTCGCCTACTCGCTCACTCGCAAACATCCAGCCTAATAACCAGTCGCTTCTCAAGTCGAGCTTCGTTCGAGAGGCACTCAGTCTTGATCGAAACCCAGTACGCACCGCCGATAATACATTCGTCGGCTTCTCCCAGCTTCACCATGGCGGAGCAAATTCTCGACCAGATCCGCGATGTGGCCGAGGGGCAGATTGTATGCTTCTCCTCTCACCCGCAGCTAGCCCTGCCGCCTGCCTACCTTGTGCGGAAATGACAGTTGGCTAATAGATCGTCCCCATAGGACTTTGAGGGCCAAAAGCTCGTCGAGACGTTGTCCACCGTGCTCTTGAGCATAGTTGGCGTGAGTTGCCGATCACCCCAAGTTCCACGCCGCATGCTACCACAGGCCTAACGTCGTCTATCTAGGTCATCTCCTTTCTCGTCGGATACTTCCTGCAAGACATCAAGCTCGCCGTCTACATTGGACTTGGCGGCACCGCGCTCACGTTCCTCGCGATTATCCCCCCGTGGCCCTTCTACAACAAGAACCCTGTCAAATGGCTTCCAATCGGCGGGGGAGCAGCCGCAATTTCGGTCCCACAGGACCTTATCATAGATGAGAAAGCGGTGCGATGAGACAGGCATGGGTACCGTGGTGACGGGATGCTGATCAGGGTTCGAGATATTGCGTTCTGGGACAAATACATTCGTGATAGCTCGTATCAGGCGAGTATCAAAATGAATGCTATGCTGCACGCACTATGTGTCATGCCATTACCACCATGGCATTTGGTGATAATCTCGCCCCATGTGTCCCAAAGTGCATAGAAAGTCCTCCCCATATTTGGGACCGCTCTAGCAATCGTGTCATCGTTCCTTCGTCTATCGCCGTGGCATCTGCCCTTCAACGACCATACTTCTGGAACTCCCAGTCCCTGTTGTCCAGAGGACACACCTGACGGGTCTTGAGCCATCGAGAGATGCAGTGGAAGTGGAAAGCGTGCTGTTTGCCCCTTGTATTAGTACGGTATCTTGGGTCTGTACGAGGCAGCAGTGAAGAAAGACGTACGTTGCAGATGCCCCAAGCGACTGTGCACTCCTCGCTGGTAGCGGAAGCCTGGTTTGCTTGACACTCGATGCCTGGAGAGTTGAGGACCAGTCAGTACTGCAGGTGGAGGGAAATGGGACGTAGGACGTACAAAGATCCATAATATGGTTGCGGCAGATGGCACAGTTGTCGACGACAATGTCCCACGCCCAGAGGGCGACAGCGTTCCACTGTATCCAAGTCGTAAGCCCATGTCCAACCAAGGAAGTCAGCTGCGCGTCTTGAACATGCTCACCTTCTTGACCTCAAACCGCTTCTTTGCTTCGATTTCAGAACCCTTCTTCTTGCCCACAGGGGGTGCATCAGTCATGTCGACGTCGGCCATGATGTGCAGAGGTCGAACGGAGAGGTTGGGTGGGTAGGTGAGTCGGGATGTGTTGTTGCGTGTTGCGACTTCAGAGGCCAAAGAACGGCTCGGCTTCGCCAAAAGCTGCTGGGGAAGCACATAAGGTTAGGAATACGGTCGCATCCCAAGAGAATAGAGAGTTGGAGGGGGGGATGGGCATAGGGACCTTGATGGCGACCATTTGTAGGACTTACTGGATTGCAAACGCCCTTGCTTTTTAAGTACAACTAGCAAAGGGCTCAGACACCAGGGGAATCGTTTTCTGCCTGCTGCGTCTTCCTCAAGGAACTCGAAGTGCGAAAGAACTCGAGAGCTTGCGTCGGTCGCCTCAGGAAACTAAAACGGTTCAGATGCGAAGATGTTACCTGAGGGTGACATGCCCCGGTGCCTGGCTTGGGATGCAGCTATCATTACCAAAGGCTCCTGCCCCACCGAACGGACTCGGCCGGCAGCACGGTCCTTGTGTGGGTGCCCACGTCATATTCCGACAGGGTGCTTCAGAGCCATACACACCGCCACACTTGCCTTATTGGGTACTACGTAGGCATGGACCAACCTCCATATTCTCAACAACTCCATACTGGCAGCATTAGAACACATGCTTGGGCAGAAATCCCCCGATTTTGACGATAGAGGAAGCAGACTTGAAACATGAGCATCAAATGATTCAGTGTAATAAGGCTCGCCGTCTATATTATGTGCTATAGGAAATTCCCTTCCAGAGTGCATAAATCAACAGGGCAATTAAAGGAGCGGCGGAGGCCCAGCCTTTGTTCCAAGCTGGAGGCCGAGCTCAAGGCCGGGCCGCCGCCGCCTGACTCTAGCCTGTTTAGGCAGCATGAAAGTGGGCTGAAGCCCCTCTTGCCGTTGCAAAACAGGTGTATTTACATGTCGCCTGCCTCCACCACCCTGTCACGCCTTCCCCTCTTACTCAGCCTCCCTGAACGACCGTCCAACCTGCTTCGGACCCGACGCTGCTCGCGAGCCTGACTCCTTCTTCAACACAGCAAGGCGTAAGAACACAGCGGACCAGAACACCGAGTCTCAAGTCCCAAGTCCAAGCCCAGCAGGAAGAACAGCCCGACGGCACAACAGTATTTAACGACTGGAATCTGCCGCCAAATCACCCTGCACTTCCTTGGACCCATCATCTCATCTCGACCAACTCCCCCCTGCCTTGGCCTGCCAGCTTCTCTGGCACCTCCATGGGAAGGTCGTACTACTCGCTCGCGGAAATCGAAACTCAAAAAACAATCATGCCTATGTCTAGGCCAAATCCAACAAAATCCAGTATTCACCCATCGAACATCAGTATCCTCCCAGCCTCGCAACCCACAAGAATTCAATCCTCAGGCATAGATCGACCGCCCAGCCCGGCCCCCGCAAGTTAGCCACAACCAGACCAACCTCAAGGTAAGCAAAGAGCCGCTCAACCTCGCCAGGCGTGGCCAGTACCCTTGCTCATACCATGGCCAGTAGAACGCACCTCCTCTCAGGCCTTGCGTGCCACTGCCGACCAGGCCTTTCACGATGGAACAAAACAAACAAACACCTGCCCGGCGCCGCCGCAACGGCAAACCGCCTTCGGGCCGCAAGAACTACGCATCTGAGGGCGACGTCCTGACGAACATGCCCTTCCCAGCTAACTTCCCTGCGACGCCCATGAAGTCTACAAATGCCAGCCCAGCTCCTGGCTCCCAAGCCACCCATCCCAAGTCTGCGAAGCAGAGCAACAGATCGGCCCGGCCCGCCCACGTCTCGACGTCTCCCGGTCCTGCCAGGCCTGGACGCCGCACTCCGCCGCACTCTGCGAACAACAGAAACAGCTCAACTGCCTTTGCTGGCGCCAACTTTCATGCCTCTCCCGCCCCGGGCTCCCTCCCGATGCCAAGTTTCTTCAGGGTGCGATCCGAGTCAGCCACCGTGAATGGACGCACCAAAGAGCCATCGCCGCCGGCCTCCGACAGCGACTCTCCCAGCCCCTCTCAACCCGCAACCGTGCCTCAGGTCCGCCGTGATGAGTCTCCGCTGGACTTGCTCTTCCGAGCAGACCGCGCAGAGAAGGAGCGAGCCTGCAGAACAAGCTCGGCCAACGCGGCGGCCGCTGATGGTCCCTTCTCCCCACCCTCAGAGGGGCGATCCGGCCGGGATGCCAATTATTCCTTTGATCCAATTCCCCTGAAGCTTCCTAGCCGCCCAGCTCAGAATGGCAACGCTGGCTCCAACAGCACTGTTGGATCTGGTCCGCGGCCTGAGCCCTTTGCCTTGCCTATCCATGAAAAGGCCCGGACCGCCAGAACTAGCGAAGCAAAGACACCGCAGCAAGCTCAACGACAAGGCCAAGCACAAGAAGCCCCCCAGCATCTGGTCACCCCGCCTCGTGGGGACGAGAGAAGTGAGGCAGTTAAGAGACTGCTTGGAATCGGCTCTGGAACGCCCTTTGCAAACCCAGTCTCATCACCGTCGCACCGTCAGACCAACTCCCCTGGAGTCTTTCCGTTTCACACGGCCGCCTCACAGAGTTCTCCTCAACTCAGCAGCGGAGCATCTGGTGCACAAAATGCAAGCTCGGGAGGTCCAGAAGATTGGAGATATCGTGGGGAGAACGCGCTGCGCCAGGCTCTCAAGCTCCCCTTCCCGATCGGAGCTGGACTTGATGGCAACAGCAGCCCACAACAACAAGCAGGCCCCTCCACAGGACGTGCGTAGTCGACTTCATCGAGACCCAGTTTATCTCGATTACCTCTTACTCTCCGGTTTTTCGCACATAGCATCTCGGATTTCCAAAGCGCGTCGATTTCTGACGCAAGTCGATCATTACTCGTTTTACGTTGGCTCTTGCCACATAATTCTGCATAGATGTGCAAGGGCGGGTCCTCTTTTCCACGCGTGTCTTCTAAAGTCGACTTCAATGGCGTTGTGACAAAGGACTTGGCCTGCTGCTTTTCTGCATGGGCTGGCTGGATAGCGGGCCCGGTTTTCTAGGAGATCGGGGTGGTTCGAAAACTCCATATCTCATCATATTTTGGGCGTTCTCCAGGCGTTTCCCGGCCTACGGATGCTGCCATTTGGGCACATTGGTCAGGCCGGCTGTTATGGATTTCATTTACTCTATTCGACAAATGTACAATGGAGGGCATCTTATCTGGCGGTTCATCTGGTATGAGAGCTAAGGCATGGTTCTGGTTCTTGGTGATGCTGGTGATACCCACTTCGACTGGCGTTCGTCGTTGGAGCAAGATCGGTCTAGGAAAGCATTCTAGGGGCGGCGGCTGAAGAGATGTGAGCAACGAGGTGGACCTTGGTCTCGAGCTGCCATTGTGGCTCGAAACAAGTGAAGCTTTGTTCCAGGGGAAGGCTTACATCTGGACAACAACAAAACTATAATCTTTTTTTTTTTCCGGCGGTACACAGGTGGCCCTTGTTCAATCACTAGGCATGGCCTTTAGCTTTAGAGTGCCTAATCCATCTTTATACTGTCGTTTTTGGGTCGTGGCTGGTAGCGACAAGCGTGTTTGCTGGTATCCCAAACTCATAAGAAAGCGTGTCTCGCAAAACGCACCGTTCTGTACTTCTGGGTATTCTGGTCCGTGTATTTGCACCCACTCGTTGCCTCCACGCTCCCTCCTTCTCCAGCAGTGAGTGGTCCACAGCCCAGTTTCTCTGGCGTACTCGCCTCTGAACTATGATACGGCTGGCGACGTTATCACCTATGAGACATTCTCACCTGAACCCCCCCCCCCCTCCGTTCCGCCCTTTCTTTTCCTCCGCTCCAACCTAGAGGGAGCTGCGTGCTGTATCGGGTAGAGGCGTTTAGCTCTTCCTGTTCACCGCCTGGCTTGGAGCATGGCTTAGTGTCCCCATCAAGGCCTTGTTTCTTGTCTTGATCAAGATATCAGCCTCACTTTCATGTGATGCCATTTGTTTCCCTGAGGGCCTGGTCTCGTGGTCTCCCAGGGACACCCCACGTCGTGAGCCTTTTTTCTCCAGGAAAGGTAGAATCTTGGCTACACGCCTAAGTACACAGACAACACCAGATTTCCAGCAATCTTTGACCATTTACTGGCTCTGAGGAATTGCTGTCGTCAGCAATGGCTGTCAAAGCAGATTTCCTCTGGTCTACCCTCGTTGAATTTAAGGGTACAAATTGGTGTACTACGGCCAGAGGATCCATATGCACGTTGGAATCACATCGTAATCGCTTTCCAGTGGCCGTTCCTCCACATCTGGACCAGGAACAAACTGGCCAGCACAGCGAGGCTCTGTCATGTTGTTACTTAGCTAGACCGTGTAGCCCTTCAACTCCAGATCCTGGCCTCTCAGGTGGCTGTCTGACTGAGGACTTTTGCATCGATCCACAGGCTCATGGAGACGTTTCTGTCCTGGCGTGGATCCAGAGCTGTTGGTGAGCGTCGCGGGCATGGCCGTCGTCTTTCTCCCGAGTGATGCCGCAGCGCCCAAGGGGAACATACTCTGAGATTGGAGTTTTCCACATCTGCTTGGTAAGTACTCAAATGAGATTCAGACGAAGGCAGTGACTATGGACCATGAAACGGTCTTGACCAGAGCATGATCAAAAGCCTGGCCAGTGGGTAATCCATGTGACTACTTCCATAGAACTGACATGGAAGTCATTTCTCTATACGTTAATGCTCTGCGGCCTAGGTTCTCTGGTCCTCTATTTCGAGCAACCGTTGAGCGCCTAATTGCAGTCATAATGCTCGCTGGGGCATACGAAGGTTAGCATGGCCCATGTGCGATTCGGCTTGCAAGTCTAGGCAGCCTGATAACGTGAACACGGAGCATCTCACGAGTCTTCACGAGGAGGCTGACTGCCTGGATATCTCAAGATACGCAACTGTAAGCTAGCTCGGGACTGCATTCGCCGTGGATCCTTCGAGGATCGATAAGAGAACCGAAACATGGCGCTGAGGTCCACAGTGGTAGAGAGGTGAAAGCGATTGTAACTTTTATAGGGCGGCGTTGTCTCACGGCTTGCCTCTCGCCGTCGAGTGCTCTTATAGGCAGTGGTCTCAGGTATTTCAAGATTCTTCAAAAAGGATTGGTGCTCTCCAGGTAGCTCTGATATGTTACGGAGTGGTGAGGATGGCCCGACCTCCAAAGGTTGACCTGTTTCCGGCTAGCATCACGCTGAACGAGTCCAGATACCAGGGCTCACATGGCCACTACGGCAAGGAAGTTCGTGTTGTTGTGCACTTTGACCGTGTAGGGAGCGAGCCTTGATCGCATATTTCTGTCCTGGTCCGCCTTAGAGTTGCTCGAGACTGCCACGAGTGCAAGAGAGCAATGGTCACTGTGGAACTTTGGTCGTAAAGATGGGCCCTTGAGCCTTTGGGAACGGATCCCACAGCTTTGTCCCAACTGCAAATCCTCGCACAGTCAGGCAATGAGAGACAGCTTGCTCAGACACGTCCTGAGGCTTTGCTCACTCCACCTCGGGAAGACATCCCATCGATCCGAGCGAATTGGGAAAGCTGGGCTCTTGTCACCTGGTTGGACTGCGGTGATGCAGGCCCAGATTGAAGTATACCGTGCATGATGTTCTAAACCGTCCATATGGTCTGTGGTGCATGGCTTGAAGGGCCGGCCTCGTCCACTGATCGCTCATGGGCTCATGGACTCAACGCGATGACTCCCAGCTTCTAGATGGTACATGCGAAGGGCAACGGATGGTCTTCTTGCAAGGGATTTCATTACACATGTTGTCACCATACGGTTTTCGTCCTCTGAATTCGCCACAAGCGATGCAAATGGCCCAGCACTGCTGCATGCTGTGTTGTTGGGGCAGATAGTCAGCAACGGGCTCCATTCAGCTGGCCAACCCTGGCAGCCTGGATGTGACCTGTAGCTGACAGCCCGCACGGTAAACAAGCTGCCCTGTACAGTCCCTGCAGTGCACAACACTGTGGTGCGCAACTTAGTTTGTTCGAGACAAGCAACGCCTTCACGTGGCGACGCATCCTTCCTCACCCTGACCCACCTGGAACCCATCACCCACTTATGCGGAATGGAGGGGCAGCCTGCAAGCTTCCCGTCCCCCTAGAAGAAGCAAGTCCTGAACATCAACTTAATCCTGACTTCATCAATCCCACCCACTTTTTGGCCCGGGGCAAGCCTCCCCAGGTACCGTGCTTACCTACCTACCACCTACCTGGACTGCCAGAGCCACCGAAACCCCAGCATTCTGCACATCCCCCCTTCTTGACTCGACCCTGCTGCTCCGGCACCCAGTTCTAATGGCGAGCATGGAGTTGAATGGATGCGATGACGAAGACGAGGCACTGCGTCGAGCGATCGCCATGTCTCTTGGCGAATCCGCGACCGCGCCCTCGACTGACGACGTCCCAGGCAGTGCCGACAAGGTCGACAAAGGGCTTGGCCAAGGCCATGCCCAAGACGAGGCGGCCACTCACTCATCCTCAGCAGGTGGCTTGGCCATGGGCATGCTTGGCATCGACCGCAAGAAAATGGAAGAGGAGCGCTTGGCACGATTGAAGAAGCGCAAAGCAGGGCCGACAAATCTCAACAACCACGACAAGCGGGAACCAGAGCTGCCGCCGGCTCAACGTCCGAGGCTCACGAGTGGCATGGGCAGCCTGCCTGGCCATTCCACCGGATCACCCGGGTTGTCCCAGCCTCCCCTGCCGCAATCTCTAGCCTGAACTCAAACTCCAACGCCAGCAAGGGAGTTTCCGAGGCAGGTCTCCCCTACCCGCTGGGCATCGTACGGAGGACTTGGGCCCCGGGTAATGTCCGTCGGGACGACAGCATCACCATCGGGGAGGTCTTGCAGAGGGACACTCTCGAGCTCGCTGTCCTCAGCTCCTTCCAGTGGGACGAGGAGTGGCTCTTGAGCAAGTTGAACCTCGGCAAGACCAAGGTGCTTCTGGTAGCTTATGCTGCGGACGAAGAGACTGTAAGTCATGCCCCCGTGTCACCTCGCAGGGCCGCGTCCCATGCCACGGCCTCCTCGGCGAGGCAGGTAGGATGTTCGGCCGGAGTTGGACATAGGTTCCGCTCTATTCTGACTTAGCTTTCCACCCACGTCTGAGCGCTGCTGATACCGTCACCAGAAAGCCTCGATGCGAAACAATGTGCCCCAAAATGTGATCAGGTTCTGCTTTCCACCGATGGAACGTGGTTGTATGCACTCCAAACTCATGCTGCTGAAATACCCGAAATACCTCCGCATAGTCGTCCCGACGGGCAATCTAGTCCCATACGATTGGGGTGAGACGGGAGTGATGGAGAATGTAAGTTCGCCGTAACCGCGGCGGAGTTCCTTTGCTGACCTGGGCGCTCACTAGACGGTGTTCCTCATCGACCTGCCGCGGATTAATGACCCCGCCAGAGTTGCAGCCAATGCACTCACCCATTTCGGAGCGGAGCTGCAGTTTTTCTTGGAGCGTCAGGGTGTGGACGGAAAGATGGTCAATAGTCTGCGCAACTATGTACGTGTCCCGATATCCCGCCATCCTTCCGGCGGTTCCCAGCAAGCCTGCCGAGCCAGAGTCCCCAAGTCCGCTCCCAAGACTTGTCCTGTCATGCGCCCCCATCTCGTGGTGGTTTCCCGTTGAAGATGCCGTGCGCTACAGCGCCCTCTCACCCTCGACGAAGGACCTCACCTTCTCGTTGAAGGCCTTTTACTGACAAGGTAGCAGGACTTCTCTGAAACATCTCGCTATGGGTTCATACACACAATGTTCGTAATGCATAACCTGACTCAAGGTAGCTGGTATTGACAGTTTCTAGTGGAGGTTCCCATCCGAATATCGACACATGGGCACGAACGGGCACGTTGGATCTGCATGTGTTATTACTGTAAACAAACCATCAGGGCTGACATTTACGCGCAAGGTTACTGTGGACTTGGGTCTACAGTGAAGACCCTTGGACTTTGCAGTGACGCGCCCGTTGAGGTCGACTACATCGTGGGTACACCCGAACTCAAAATGCCGCTCATGTGGGACCTGACAAGGTCCTCTGCAGTGCTCGTCCATCGGTGCCGTCAAAAACGATCTCATGGCTGCTTTATACAACGCCTGCAAAGGTCTGTGTGCCACACTGGTGGCTGTCGACCTCGATGGTTGCTGACACAACGAACAGGCGACTCTGGCATGATGGAGTATGAGGCCAGAACGGGAAAACAGAAGAAGAACAAGGGTGCACCTCCTGGGGCCAATCAGGAAGATTTCAAGGAGCATATGCGGGTGTATTTTCCCTCTCGCGATACCGTACGAACCAGTCGAGGCGGGATGAACGTAAGTTGCCGAAATGCTCCGGAGCAAACACCACTACCCTTGTACCCTGCCTCCAGTTTGCAACCCGAATGGTGTTTCCTGATTACAGTTTAGTCAGCCGGTACGATCTGCTTCCAGCCACGGTGGTGGGATTCCAAATCATTCCCTCGCGAAGTTCTCCGGGATTTCAAGATTGAGCGGACAGGTTTACTCACCCACAGCAAGCTGTTCTTTGTTCGGAGGCCCGCCTCTGGGCCCGAGGGGGCTCGTAGTGGATGGGCATACCTGGGGAGTCACAACCTGTCCGAAAGCGCATGGTGAGTGTCCCCAATCTGCTTGAAATCATGCCTGAGAGATTGAATTAAGTCTGGGACAGGGGCCGCCTCGTCAAAGATCGAAACACAGGACAGCCGAAGCTAAATTGTCACAACTGGGAGGCTGGCGTGTTGATCCCTGTAACGACACCAACACCATCCCCCATCGACAATTCCAAGAACAGCGGAACACCCACTGACCGGCCTAACGAGGGGAAGACTATGCTGGATGGTTTCCGGGGTGCAATCCCCATACCCATACAGCTGCCCGGCACCCCTTACTGGAATGGACACGAGGCAACATTACGCCCTTGGTTCTATCAGGAGAATTGATCGTGCTCCGGGCACCGGGTAAGCGAGAGCGAAAATTTGAGTACCGGTGCTGGCAAGAATTGAATGACCCCAGCTTGGTGGCATCGCAAAGTATCAAACCAGACCTTGATTTAGCGGCCTCATTGAGATGGTTGCGGTAGACCACCCACAACCTCGTCTTGGGTATTCAGCGCCAGGACTAATCCCAGTGATTGGAATCACAGCCCACAGTAACAGGCGTACGAATTCGTCCTCGAGGGTTGCGTGCGTCACCATAAGGGCAGGCAAGTGCGCCCTTAGAAAGCATGCCTGGTGTACAATCTCAGGAGTCGTTGTTTTGCCGCACAGATGGTGGCGCCAGAGTTTATACTGACACTGCGTATCATGTCTGACAGTGACTGGTATCCAATAGGCACGGTCCCTGCAGGAGAAGCCCTCGGAACATCCTCCCGAGGTACACCTGCACCCTACCTAGTCACACAACGCGTGTCGTTCTCAGAACGTGTAAGGAGGTTGGGGGGTGGGCGGCATATTGTGGGACTCGATCAGGGCCATGACCAGCCCGGACGATTTGCACGCCCCAAGGTATTGCTCGCATTATCCCGCTCCCCTCACATCGGGATGCATGGGCATGACATAGGGCACCTGCTCTGGCCGTTGGGCACGCATATGATGTTAGAATGAGTGTGTCGTATCAACGTGTGCTGTCCGGCCCCGGTGGCATCCACGAGGGCGACATGACGAAGGCCAAGTTGAACAAGCGACTCAAGACATCTCCTACCCTGGGGCAATTGAGGTCTAGACCGGTCGGATTTTCCCAGCAAGCGAGGGAAGGCATGACAAGATCCCGAGGTTTATTTTTCAAAATGACGCTGCTAGAGTTCCTGGCGGACCTGCTACCCAGTACCTATAACGGAGGGATATAATAGGCTATCCACATCCTTGTGTGCGCACGCATGGCAGGGACTGTATGTGCGAAGTACGTACGCCCGTAGGTGTGTACAAACGTGCATGCAGGCAAGTACATGTACAGTTACCTTGTGGTCATATCTCACCTTCCTCATAGATCTCATCTCCTCTTGGCCGAGACGGGAGGCTCCCGCAAAAATTTAAGTCTATTCCGTAAATAGACCTGAAGGTCAAGAAGATCCCAACAGATGTCAAGGTTCTGCATGACCTCGGGCGAGATCTGTGATGGCTACGAGCATGAACTGACTGCGTGATGCCACGCAGCTGTGGCAGACCGAGTGGGCTCGCAAAGAAGATGCTGGGAATGGGCAAGAATGGGCCCCGCGGGAGGCTGCTCACAGATCGCCGTCCCACGGCCGCGGGGTCCGCGCGCTCGATAGCGAGCGAGAGAGAGCATGGGAAGGGTTGGTGTATGCGTGGTGGGGTTCAGCATCCGGCTGTCGACGTAATGCCGGCACGCCCTCGCTCAGTCTGATATGCAACGGCACAGCAACCACAGTGCGATGGGTGGTGAGCTGAGCAAAGTGCCCCCCGTTGCGGGCATCATGAGACGACGGGCATGTGGCCGACGTTTCTTCCTATCGCGATCGCGAGGGGCCCGGCTAGCCAGACCAGGTCATGGGTTCAGAAACGAACCAGACTTGCGAGGGTCGCCTCAGCCGGCTGGAAATAGCAGCGCATTGTTTGCATTCTGTGCGCTATGCGATAGTTGGACGGACGGGCAAACTAGAGCACGTTCTCATTGGGATGTACATGCCTTTCAGCTCAAGGCTGAGAGAGAACGGACGGATGGTTGGTCGGTTGGTTTGCATGGCTGTGGCACGAACGGCGGGCGGGTAGATAGATTGGCGCGACCTGTAGCCGTTTCCTGTTGTGTAGACTACCAAGGTCCGCGGCTCTTGTCGGCAAACCTGCAAATAAAGTGGGGGAGGGGGCAGGTGGAGGGAGGGGGGGTGAACTGGGGGGTGGGGGCAGCACCCATCAACCCATGAACCTTGCTGGGCCAGCTGTGGGCTGTGGACCCTGAAACCGAGACTGGAGGGTGGGTTGACATTCCGGCTGCACGCTTCCTGACCCTGCCAGCTTCTGTGTGCTGTGGATGTGCTATGCTGGTGGGTGTGTGGTGAGGGTGGGTGTGTGTGTTCTGGGGTGGGGAGGCTAGCGTAGATGGATGTACCTATGTACCTTGCACTCCCAGGTCCCCAGGGTAGGCAGGCACCTGGGGTAGGTACCTGGGTAGGCAGGCAACCCAGGGATCGGCCGACTGCCAGCACTGGGCCGCGCTCAAAGCAGGAGGCGCGCGCCCATTTTGCGCATCTTTTCTGCCCGTGTCACCGATAAAGCTAATGTCAACATCTACACCCGAAGTGTGGGCAAGGATCGCTGGGCCGCGCGAACGACCGTCCTGTCCTGCCCATCTCTTCGTCCCTACTGGGCCGAAAACACACAAGGCGAGTGGTGGCCTGATGGCAGTGATGACTGATTAATGTCAACAATACCGACTTCCTACCAAATGGTCATTGACGTTGCGAGACGACGCAGACAGACTCCCGCTGCGTCGACATGCTGACTACACAGTACCTGACTTGCCTAGCTGGCCCACGGCTTTCGAGGCCCCTCAAGTCCACCAGACTGCGTGCACTGCGACGTCAGCCGGGGCCGTGCTGCCCGTTGAGTCTCCATTCTTCCATCAGCTGAAGCTCTTACCGGTCCCGTTGCGAGCGGTTGGTTTCTCTAGGGCCTCGGTCCACGTCTACCCAGCTCAATCCCAGCTCGACCCCAGGCGTCAGGCGTCAGGAGACTGGAGACTAGAAACTGGAGGCAAGAGTCAGGAGTCAGGAGTCAGGAGAGCACATGTCCTTCGCTACCTTGGCCGCTCACAGCAGCAGCAGCATGGGACTAGCTACCGAGCGATATCACAAATTTCGACTCATCATCCACCTTCATATCCCATGGGGACGCCCAGGCACACCTCTGGTCCTAGCAGCTGCTCAGAAATGGTGATAGGGTGTCTCCACACTACTAGATGAAACAGCAGACTACTCTGGTCGGCCCATGTTTCCAAAATTAAGGTTTTGCAATCCGCGGGCAAGACAGCTGCTACCACTGCGGGCTAGCAGCCAGGCTGCTAGGCTCATCGCAAGCCACCACGCTAGCCTCGACCTCTGCAAAGCCAAGCGAGCTTGCTCCACGCTTGTTGGACGAGGCGCAAGCTCCCAGGCCAGGACGATCCCAAGTTCCTGGTGACTTCCCGCTCGCAAGCTAACTCTGGCCGTGCCCGAACCCTGGCGGAACCATTCGTCACCTTCGTCGTCGGCGTGCCTCGCCCTGCCACTTTGCGTTCCGCTGGGCTCCGCCGGGAGAACACGACACGCTGCCCCCGTCCTCGGAGGTTCGCATCGCCCGACACCTCCGTTCCCGTGACAGCCGTTGACAAGGCGTATGGGGGTGGAGCCGTACTTCATGACCCTACTCCGGGTGTCGAGTCCGGTGGCAGCAGCCAGCCTGGGCGTGTGGGCGTGAGCTCATCAGACCGAGTGGGCTGCTTTGGAGCCCTTCAGCCCTGCCCGGGACTAGCACAAGCGGAGACGAGATGAGCCCCCGGGGGTGATGCCAAAAGAAAAACGGGGCTTCTAAGCATGGATTGCCTCCTGGGGGTAGCCTTGCAGGTACAGCTCTAGCACACAGTAGGGTAGCGTCGATGAATCTCCGCAGCATGGCAGGCACAAATTAGGAGTTCGCTTCCCAAGATTGACTGTCACCAAGGGCCCTTCAAATGATGATCTCACCGCTCCCTATGCCACGAGGCCTCGCAGATTTCATTCCAGGAGCACCGGCCACATGAGCTCGTATCAGCCAGACCTATAGTGCATCTCTGTGTGGACGCGGGTTATCAGGATGGCTTGGCTGGCTGGCTAAGCTCTGGCTGGCGGGCTTCTCCGCCACCAAGACCCAGGTCATCAGGGACATTCCGATCCGGGACGACCGTTGTGAGCAGTTCCAAAGCACTGGGGTTCTACCCGAAACCTTGCCGGCAAAGGTTTCGGGAGGACAACTCTGCTCTCACCTTGTGTCCCTGGCCAGTCGGACGTTCTGGTCAGGCGGTCAATGCCTGGCCGAAAAGTCAGCGAGTGGCAGCAGCATGATTCCTGCCGTACGTCGATTGTAATGCAGATCCATCGAGCTGCATGGGGTTGCAGAGCAGATTACCATCTTATCTTCAGCGCCCTCACTAGGCCTTCTCCGGCAGGAATGCGTTGATGCCCAAAGACGACAGACTGCTCCCACATCACTCACCCTTGCGAGTCTTGACCTGGGCCCTAGCAATACTGGACGATCAACCGGCAGAACTCACACCTCCGCGGCTCTATGTGCCAATCTGCATGTGGCATTTTCACAGGCCGAAGAAAAAGGGAACCCCCATGTCGGTGGACCAATGCCGGCTCACTGCGCCAGGTTTCCTGCACGCTATTTAGGCTGGGTTACATGCACGGTATGCCGTCCCCTCGATGGGGCCTACATGATGGACGAGCTAGAAGGTCTCATTGTGTTCTAGCGGTGACGGGGTGGTGGGCCGCCTTGCCCAGCTGGTGCTGCCGCTGTGCTGGCTTCAGGGTCGATGATGATTCAATCATGCCCGCCTCCGAATGTTCCGACGCCACAGCGCTGCATCCATACCAGCCGAGGTGAGCCGGCGGGCGTGATATGCAATGGGCATTATCAGATCGTCACCGTGATGAGAAAATTACTGGAAAGGGCACACACACACTGATGCGAATAGAACTATGGTGCGGTCACTAGTACGACGGGACAAACACAGCCATCATGCTATGCCTTTCACGCTACAGAAAAGCGAGGCTTACAATGACGGGCTATTTCAGGTGCTGCCACCAATTCCGCACCTCCTTGGTGTACAGTAGCTCCCGGCGGGCACTACCTAGGGATCCCAGCGCAATGACGCCTGTCGCGAGGCTGCCGGCGCAGTAGATCGGAACAAGCCCTGACACCTCTGTCCCGGTATCGTATCCGGATAGTGTCATGATGGGAGAGTAGTAATCGATGCCGGCCTCACGAGTGACGGGATGAGAATCGGCCGCTGTCCAGCGCAGCAATTCGCCCATACTACCGTGCACGTCGCCGACCGCTGGCCCCAAGCAGGGGCCAATGCTGGCCATCCGCCGTCGCGGGGCGTGCGATCAAAGACTGACGTCGGCGAGAAGAATGTGACTGACGCGTGCGGATACGCTAGCTGGACTTGAGACGAGGGGAGAACACTGCCAAGTCACACCGAGAAGAGCATATGCACCCGCATCCGGACAGAGAGCACACCTCACAGCGTCTTCCTGGGCATTGGCTGCGAATTGCGGTTAGGTCAAAGCGGAGAGAAAAGATGCGATACGTCCATACAGGCACACGGTAGACCACACGGTGCACTTCGGTAGACACAGCAGGTGACTGTAGAAAGCAGCCGGCCTGGTCGGGCTGACCGGGTCTGCCGGATGATCGTGAGCCCACACAGATCTGGATCTCGGGACTTGTTCTATAGCCAACACTTGGCATTCCAAACTTAGGGCTGGGACCTGCAGGCTGATCTGCCAGCCTCGTCGGGGCTTACCAAACAAGTCACCGCTGCCGGTCTAATCAAATCTGCAAGCGGGCATGAAGAAACGCGGCGCCAGATTTGGATCCACTCGACAGCGCCTCAGCTTCCAAGGTCTTGGCAGGTCTCACAGGGTGGCTTCGCGCCCAGCATACCTCGTCATCAGTACTAGTAGACGTTGACTCGAACACCACCCATTTTTCGGGGCTTGGCGGTTGGTGATGCTTGGCGCAGACTGATTTCTGTGCCTGGCTGAGGAGCCTGGCCCGCCAAGACAATCGCAGCTGATGGCAAGAAAGCCATGCCAAGCCAACGCAGGCGAACGAAACAGCGACGAGCGGGTCGACCGGGCTTGGCACTCGCAGCATACTCTATTCATGGCATGGCATAGCGTCGTGGTGGTCAATGGCAACTGCGGCTGTTTTGAGGATACTGTAGAGTCAGGACGGGGTCGAGGGCGAGAGTGAGGACGACAAACATCAGGACAGGATGGGGGCAAATTGTGCCTGTGCAACTCGCCTATCTAGCCTCACAATGGCTAGCCATGTGTGAAACAGACGCGGCAAGCCATAAGCGGCGGCTGTTGGGCCGAGTTGGGTAGGTCAGGTAGGGTTGGGTTGGGAGGTTGGGCACTGAGTTGGGTCTATTGGCGACCAGAGTCGAGATCGATTTCAGACGGGATGGCACAGGGCATGCACATGGCAATGCACATGGTTATGCACATCATGCCCTGTGTCGTTGTGTCCCCCTGTGCCCATGCCAGTCCCCAGGGCCATGGCCATGCACCCCCGGGAGGCTTTACCGGGAAACCCGTCACAATCTGCCTGGGACGAGCGCGCGCTCTACATCGACATTGGCACTGGCACTGGCACTGGCACTGGCACTGGCATTGGCAGAGGACATCGGCATCATTCACCAGCACAGACGCTGCAGCCCAGCTGCGGGCACGGACATGGCCGTTGTTCGGCGCCCCAAACATTGGAAACAGATCCGTTCCAAGCAACCCGATGGGCGTCCTAGCAGTTCTATTCCCAGTCAGACTCCAAGGGCCCCCTTTTGTCGACTGCGATGCAGTCAATACACCGTCAGTGCCGTACCTTGCTACAGTACCAATAACGCCCGTCTTCTCTGCCCGGGCATCAACAGTTGTCCCCACACCACACACCACACACAAACCACACCCCCCTCCCTCCCTCAGCAAAGCTGCCAAGCACTGTCACCTCCACCACCCCTCCCTGCACCCTCTCATGTACTCCGTACCCTCCACCATGCTCCGGGGCCGGGGGTGGAGGGCGGGTGGGCTCGATTTCACTATGCGAGGCCGTGGTACTGTCCACACCATAGCATCGTTTTTCATTCGTCTGTATACGTACGGTACAGGATGGGCCCGCCCCAACTCCCCACCTTTCGCATCTGATACCACGGCAGCCACTCGTATCACAGCTTGGCCGTGACAGCAGCCCCACCAGGGCCGTGAACGATTCCGGTCAAGCAGATGGCAATATCGCGATCGTGCATTAGATCACACGAGGTCTGGTAGTGTAGGTGTGTGCATGTGCTTGTGCTCCTGTATGCGCCTGCGCTTACGCTTGCCCCTTGCGATGGCGGCCCTTGTCGGGCAAGGCACACGCCCCCATGCCAATCCTAACTGCCAGATGCCAGATGGCAGACGCAGGAGTCTCATGCAGGAAGGGTCCTTCCTCGGGCGGGAAATAGCACTTTGTGGCATTCAATGACAGACATGGGTTGCTTGCAAAACGGTACAGCACTGTCTCTCCCACCCGCAGCCGCAGCCGCAGCCACACACGCAGCCGCTCACGTACCGGAGCCCGGACCACTCATACCTGCCTGCAAACCCTTTGCGTGCCTCCTCCCACGGCCACGATGCCACCACGGCACCTGTCTACTCGTGCAACATCCACCGGTGAGAACACAGCCGGGCATCCGGGAATCCGGGCAGTCGGACAGTCGGACAATCGGCGAGACCTATCGCCGACTCGGACCCAGACGGCCAAAACAATGCTCCCGTGCCTGGCCAATCAGGTGGCTCCAAGCGACGACTTCATGAGAAGAACTGACTCGATCGCGTACCATTCTGCGAGGTTTTCAGTGCCGGAAAGTGCCGGCTGATCACAACAGAACAGGGACTGGGCAGGCCGGGACGCGACTGGACAGAAGCGGCGAGCATCGCGGGGAGAAAGGGACAGAGAAAGAGGAGATGAAGGGTGAGGGGCGGGTTTTGCTGGAGACAGCCCTTCCACGTGTTTTGACGAAACCACACCGATGCTACCTAATAGACTCTGCTGCTCATATTGCAGCAGCATAGGTGGGTGTTCCACGGCCCATGACCCACGACAAACTGGAACACAATTCTCCTACTCCGTGCACGCTCGTCCCTGCCGGCGGACCCCAGCGTGTCCGTGCTCCCGCCCCGAGCCCGTCCTCCTCCTCCTCGTCCTCCTCCTCCTCGTCCTCCTCCTCCTCGCCCTCCTCCCTGGGCCCTCCTCCACTGGCCGTCATTTCCAGGCCGGCGCCTGCAACCATGGCCACCCACCGTCCCTGCCAGCCTCGATGGCCATGAGATGAGCCAGCAATCGGGCATCAAGCAGAAAGTATGACCTGGACTGGACACTAGCAGGACGACTGTTGCATCGCGAGATTGCGGCTCGTAAAGGTGGTCTCCATCTGATCTTGCGCGCCCTCCGTGGTGCCTAGGGGGGAGGGGGAGTCAGTCTACAGGGCTACCTGGGCTGGTGGACGGTAAGCACTCGCTGTCCTCCTTGTCCTGGCCTACCCGCTCCGTTTTGGAGCGACGCCGGTGAGGATGACCCAAGTTCCCTTCCCGCGATGCTTTTCTCAACGTGGTCCAATATTCGCCCTTGTTCAGCCCGCATTGGCGAAGCCAATTGATGAGAACTGTCTCCTCTGTTGCGGTTATACCAAGCAATTTCATCTTTATTACGAACACTTGGTCCAAACAACGCATCCTTGCGCTGGGCCACGACCAGACGGCTACTGTTACTGTCATGAGTCGGGCATGGCCCTTTGTTCGGTGCTTCCTTCGGAGCCGGCCCATGATACCAGCCGGACCAAACACAACAACAGGACAGACCAAGCAGCATGGTCACATCTCGGTCGACTGAGGGCTGAACTGTCAAGCATCTGACGGCGGACACGACAGGCCCCTTGTCGACTGAACAGTGTGCCTCCCGTTACTCCTCGCTTCGCTGTTGTAACCCAGATATCAGCCTCCGCTCGTCATCCCTTATTGCCCATTAGTGTAATGACAGCGCGCGCTGCCGTCGTACATTGCCCTTTTTCGAACCTCATATGGTCTAGCAGGTACAGTTTTACTGGCTCCCAAGGGACTCCACAGCTGCACATGATCGTCGTCTCATTTGGGCCTTATCACGTTCGAGCAAATTCAGCACCTGCCAAGCAACTCATCATTGATCAGTGAATGCCCCCACCGCGGCATCAACCTCGCCAGAGAGACATCTCCTCCTCTCCGTCACGGCCACGAGGCCGGCCGACGGGTGCGTTTCTTGGGGTCCGACGTGAGACTGGCGGTGCTAAGAAGATAGATAGCCTCTGGCGACATCGATACCGGGAACCAACCGATCCGTCGGCTCTGTTGGAGAGGACTTTGGGGCTACTTCGCGACATCGCCTGCTGGTGCTGCTTCTGCTGCTACTGCTAGCTAGCACTCGGGGCGGGAGGCTAATTTGGCGTCCACTGGGCTGGTCCTGGACAAGAGAAGACGCCGGGGTCGTCTCGTCCACCTCATCAATGTTCCAAGGTCGGTCTACAGCACCGCTAAGCCTTTCTTCCCCCGTCCACTCCCACCCAGCCCATCCTCGCCGTCGTCCCCCACTCCGCCCTCCGTCGAAGCGACTCTTCCCATCTGCCTACCCCAGTTCCCACCCAGGCGTCATCCCTCCACCCCTGCCACCCTGCCATGGACAAGGGAGCCTGACCTCAACGATGTCCTGCCCAAGCCCAAGTCCAAGTCCCCGTCCAAGTCCAGGTACTACGGTACCGTACCTCTCTTCCCGCTGCTCGTCGCACCCCCCAGGACTCGCTCCCACTCACACACCCCTAGGTACCCACTGCGAGAGTACATTGGAAAGCCCAGGGGAACCTGCCCATGCCTTGTGCTCCCCCAAAAAGTCTAAAAGTGCAGTGGATTGTCCTTCTCATGCCCTGTCCATCCTCGCACTGCAGAGCTTTCCTGCACAAGCACGAGCATCGGACCGCAGCATACTAATAAGCTGTAGGCCTCTTCTTGTCTACGCCGTTGCTGTCTCTTCGATCTCTCTTGTCCAATCCCAGATTCACCTCACCGCTCCTCAGCCACTGCTTCATCAACAAGGCAGACCGACACTCGCCCGCCGTCTTTGTTCATGAGCAACCCTCGCCACCATCAGCAGGCCACTACATATTGTGCCCTCAAGTCTCCCGGCAGTTGTCCCTCACCAAGACGGCTCCCTGAAATCACGGCACACAGCGCACACCTTAGGAGTGGAAGGGTGGTGTTTCTTTCCTGACCAGCACCCGCATCCGCAACCCGCACCCGAGCCAAGCCTGCCTCAGCTTAAGCTCCTCAGCTACATCCAGCTCCAGGCTCGACGTCTTGTCGGCTCTGGGCCAAGCCAGCCAACCCGGGAACTCCAAGAGCCAGGCGCAACCCTACCACGCAGCAGGGCACGTCAGGCTTCAACCAGGGCCCCCATTTGTCACTTTACATAACACGCCGATCTTCCGCCCTCCTCTCTTGTCCACCTTCCTCGTCGTCGGTTGTCGTCATTCCTCATCCTCTTCAGCCTTTGGGTCACATACTGTTGCTCTCATCCAAGGACTTGTACACCACATCCTCCAAAATACTGAGGCGGCGTGGTCAAACACATATAATCATAATTCCCTCCTCCAGCGCTGACAGTCAGCCTCTTGGAAGCCTCGCCCGGTCCTGCGCTACTGCTGTTTACTTCACGATTCCTCACAATACTTGATGCCTGGTGTGGTCTGCACAAGGCCCCGCCAGCATACCTTGACAGTCACCGCCGACAACTGCATCGATGCCCTCCGACTTTGCTCTCCAACAGGGTCAACCACCGCTGCCACCCGCCATGGATGATCTTGTTCACCAGCAAGCACACCACCCACAACCCCTCCCTTCCCCATCAACACCGACCAACAACAATGTCCTCGCTCCCAGCTGGCGTGGCATAGTCATGACCACGTATGATGCCCTGCGAGTCATCGAGGCATGCCTGAACGGCCAGCTCCTGCACACTGCCCGCCGCCCACACGATAGGGAACGCGACTCCCTGATCCAGAGCGGCAATGTCTTCGTCTACGAGGAGTCCTCCTCTGGAATAAAACGGTGGACCGACGGCCAGAACTGGAGCCCCAGCAGGATCCTAGGCAACTTCCTCATCTATCGGGAGCTGGACAAGAACTTCCCCCCGGGTGATAAGAAGAGGGCCATCAAAAGAAAGAGAGACGGCAAGCCTGAGCTTTCAAATGGAAACTCCAACATGACCGCCTCCCCTGGCTCGGTTAACGACGAGAGGCAACGGGCGCTTCTTGGGTCGCTGATCGACTCCTACCCCTTCAAGGAGGGTGGTCTGATCAAGAAGACCATCAGCATCAAGTGGCAGGGTGTGATGCACCATCTTGTCAGCTACTACTCTCTCGAAGACGCCAGCGCGGGGAACCTACCCACCCCATCACAGGACCCAAAGCTTCTCAGCATCCGGCCTCGCCATGAGCTGCTCGGACAACAGGATTTCCGCGTCCCGGTCGAGCAAGAGGACCCGCGGATCATGGACGAGCGAGCTCTCATGCTCGGCATGGGCTACGCGCCACAGTCGGGCCTGGAGCGCACAATGTCGTTGCCTCAAATGCCGATGATGCAGCCGTACGGCACCCAGAACCACTTTCACATGCCCATGCACATGCACCAACCCATGGGTTCCAGTCTACAACTTGGAGGCCACTTTGGTCACTCGCAAAGCGGCTTCGTGCCCTGGGACCGGCCTCGCGCGCCATCGATCAACCTTCCCACGTATCCTCCTAACCAGGGACTGCCACACATGATGGACGGTGGCAGCAAAAGAAGACGCTCAGAGGCCTACGACAGTTCTAATGGCGCAACGGACGACCTCTTTTCACCCGGTGGCATGACTCACGCAGACGTGCCAAGGACATCTCACCATTACTACCAACCAGCAACCTCATCCTACGCGATGCCATCGTTGCCCTCGACATCCATGGGACCCGACTCCTCTGTGGAATACAGGCCATCGGTAACTTCCATGGCGCCCCCACCACACGCGAGCGCAATCTCGGACCCACCAATAACGACGATGGACTTCGCAGCTCCGTCTGTGACCACAATGGCACCTCCAGTGAGTACAGCTCTTGCTGATGGTCTTCCTGGGGTGACGCTGACCTCCATACCGTCGCTCTCTGGCACTTCTATAGACGGATCGCACCGCGATTCCCACTACTTCTCATCGCCCAACTTCGCCAGTTGGAGCTCTACGCACGACAGCAACTCTTACCTGTCGGCATCCGGAAGATCTATGAACGGTGCCTGGCCTCATGCCTCGCAGTCCGGCACCCACCGATAGGGGGCTTCGACGCCACCCCTCAAGAGGGTGACTTGCCGATTTGCCCCTCCTAAGGCGCGCACGGGCTCAGCTTGTGGATACAAGCCTTCGCAATTCGACACGCGGCATTTTCTTTTGTACGCAGGTGTACGGGTGTTTTTATTTTTGGTGACTTCGGTACGACTGTGATTATTCTGGTCAAGACGGGATATCAACCCTGGGACTACGGGCGGCTCTTGCGTGTGTGTGTGTGTGTGTGTGGGGGGGGGGCGTATTGGGAAAGACATGTTCTGTGCAATTCTGGCGTTCTGGCGTGGACACCGGTTGGGAAACAAATGGGACCAAGGATACCAGTTCGAGTGACGCCTCACTCGAGTGCGCATCCTAACAACACGGGCGGGCGGCGAAAGGGCGGGTTCAAGGGCTCGCCCCAAACGGCGTTTTCAGAAAGAAGGGCACCACCAAAAACGGGAAACGGGACGAAGCCCGGCGAGAGGGCACGTGCTCAACTTTTGTGCATTGATGGGGGAAGGGGAAAACCCCCCGAGGGGTGTGAGGGAATCAACCGGGGGGGGGCCGCATTGGTTATTCATTCTTCGTTCCATTCAAAATTATCACATATTGTTGGCGTAGGGAGTTTCTTCCCCCTTTGCCAGGAAAGGTGGCGATTGACAGGTCCCAGGGGCCAGGAGTGTGTGGTGTGGGCTAGGAGAGATCCCAAGGCATGTGGTCACATGGCGTGGGATGAAAGCAATCCAAAATTCTTGTTCTCCTGGGAATTCGGCGTCACCGATAATTCGGATACTTGTGGTTTTCTCCCTTATCACGTCAAATACTTCCATCGTCGATACTTTCCCTCGGGAGACCACATACTGTGCTGGGAAAACGGGTTGGAGCGTGTTGTTGGGTGGGGGTTTTCCTGCTGCATTGGGCAGCAGGAGAGGAAGACTCCTGGCCTGAAGCAAGCGTATGCCAGCCATAACTACCTAGGTTAAAACTACTTGGTGTAACAAGAGGACAAATGTCTACGGTTACCGCTTTGGTCCTCGGCCGACCCCTCCAAAACGTGACCAAACTACAAACTACTTGTCCGAGGAGATGCGGTCGGGTCATGCCGACCGACAAGCGCCTAGTGCACTTTGTCAGACAGCTAGGATGCGGACCCCAACCAACGCCAACCAACGCCAGCCCAGCCAGGGGAAGGAAAGTAACCAAAAGAAACTAGGTGACGGTTTTTCTTGCGAAGCTCCCCCGAAATTTGTCCTCTCGTGATGCATTCGCGTTTCTCTTTTGCTCTATTGACTCCTATTCCTCCCTGACATCTCGTTCCGTTTTAGTAAAACTGGCACTTGTGGGTGGTAGTTAGTACGTAAGAGAACAAGTCAGGCATGGACGGATACTTTAGTGTCTGGTGCCATTTATGGAAAATACTAGTCTTGATGTCGTAGAAATGCAGCGTGGGTGAAGTAATGGCGAAAAGGGCGGATGCACCGGCGAACCAGGAGAGTCGGGCCAGGCTCAACATCACATCACGCACGTACACCACGCATGGGGGAGGGCAAGAACAAGGGACAGACAAAAGCCTGAGCGCAAAGAGCGATATCCCTCAGCGAGGGCCACGCCCCGGGCCACGCCCCGGGCCACGCCATGCCAATCAGCTCGCAGCCTTTCCTCTGTTTAGTTTTGAGTTCACCTGTTCTTGCACGTCCATGGGATCTCCTACCCCCTCCCCTGGCCTTTCTTTCGGCGCTGGCTAAGTCGTTGCAAGCTATTTTCTGCCCGACTGGTGTTCCCTCGCTGTTGTGGTTTATTCACCTTCCTCTCTTGTTTCAAGACTGTGCTGTGCATACATGCCCGCGCGGGCCAGCCAGCGCGCTGTTCATCAGGGGTGGGCTGGGCCCAATAGGCACAACCACGGAGCAGGCTCCCAGGCAGTATCATTGAGGGTTGTAACCTGGTGGGTGGAAAAGTCAAAAAAAGTCAGAGGCGTGCATCTCGCGACTCCGTGTTAAGCTTTGGCGCTCCGTTGACAGACCGGTTGGACCCTTGGTTGCGGCCAGGACAGAAGGGCGTGCAGCGTTTTCGAGGGCACTGCTACCAGCGCGGTGCTGGGTGCTGGATGCTGCAGAGGACGGAACCGTTCTGACGCGGAACCCGGCTGGGCTAGGGGGCAAAGGTTGATTGATTTGAGTGTTCTGATGGATGGGTGGATGGATGGAGGGCGGAGAGGAGCGCCGTTGCGAACAGACAGGGTGCTGCATCCGCTCGCATTTCCTCTGATTTGTGTTTCCGATGACACCCAGCCTCTCCTCACACTCTCACAATCTGGCCCCTCCCCCTCCCCTCTTCCCACGCCCCCTCCGCTCCTCCTGTTCTGCCATCCGCTGTGCGCGACTTGTGCTGCGGATGCTGACCGCACGCAGGTCACTGGCCATGATGGCGGCCCAGAAGGTGCGTCTGGCTCTGCACAGTGGCCAAGGTCAGGGCAGCTAGGGATATCAGGCGAGCTAGTAATATCAGGCCACTTTCAGGGGACCCGGGGCCGCTAGAGATGGGTGGTGACTTTGATGTGCATGGGATCGGCATGGGGACCCGTGGCTGGCCCCTAATGCGAACATCTGTCTGCTTGCCTAACAAGCTATCCCAGGCAACGGGGGGCCGGGAGGGATCACGACCGTGACATGACGTCCAGCCTAGCTGGCGTGCTAGTGAACCCGTACTCTGACTACGCATCGCGGATGTGGGACAATTGCGACTTGACCTGGCACTGCGACCTGACGGATCGAGGCGATGGCCGATTCTGTCCCAGAGAAGAGCCGAGCAGAGCGACTAGTGCCGGCAACGTACCTGCAGTAATTTGTGACTTGTCAACGCGATCGATCTAATTGACCTGTTACTCGAGCGCTTGCAGGGCTGAGGAATCGCAATGGGCGTGGGGATGTGACGACCCAGGTCCTGGATTGGCGCGTTGGCGCACATATTGACACCCTCGAGGAACGATATAGATGACGAGGTAGCGTTGTTTTGCTGCAGTGCCTAATAAGCATTTCTGGCCCGTACGGATACTTGCACGGTACAGCACTGGTCGTCTTGCCCTCAATGAAGGAGGGTCGGGGACAAGGTGCTGGGGGAGCCGAGTTGCATGTTTTAGGGGATCCGGGGCCGGGCTTGCAGGCTTGCAGGCTTGTTCAGACGGTCTGACGGCAAGTCTGTTATGGAACACACCCAAGGCATGATATCGGGCATGGTTGCTTAGCTTCAGATCCGGTGGCATCAGGCGCGGCTGCAGTAGCCTCAACTTCACGCCCCCCCCTCCCCCGGCCCTTACCCCCTGGTATTCAATACGCGAACAAAACAAATACAGGCGTATTGGCACCTTGGATGTCCATTAGACGGAGGCAGGTCGACCAAGGCAGCTCAGGCCGCTCTCCTCCCCGACGTCCTGGAGAGAAGACCGGTTGGCCAGGCCTCTGCAGGCCGGATTTGACCTGGCTGGCCTGGGGTGTCTGCTGTGTTTTCTCTGCGTGTCTGTGCTGACGACATCGGAGGTTTAATTGACACTGACACCGCGTTGGTTTGATTTGATTCCATGACCTGGGGCCAGGGACAGGACCAGGGACCAGGGACCAGGGACCAGGGCCTGGAGTTTTGCATGCACATGGACTTGTTCTGTATCAGTGTCCGTCAGGTTTGCAGGTTCGCAGGTTTGCAGAAACATCGTGATGGCGCGAATCGTGACCAGGGATCGGCTAGGTCAGAGGATGACTAGCCTCTGCCTCTACCCTCTGGTGGTGGTGATGATTGTACCAGGCTGCATGATTCCGGATGGCCAGGGCGGGCTGCACCGCGTGTTGTGGTGGGATTATGAGGTCGTTGCTGGCTCAGATCTGGAACTCTGCTGTAGCGTGCCCTGGCCTGCTGTGTTGTGACATTGGTTTGTCGGATATACTGGATGTCGGGTGCACAGGGGGCTACTTCGGCTGATATCGTCATCCACTCGGCGACTGGGGAAGATGAGGCTGTCGAGTGCGATTGGAGCTTGAGCAGATTTCTTCAGCAGAGTTTCCGTCAGCCAGCAAGCGAATGCGAAGGTTGGCCGGGAAGCCCAGGCTTCGAATTGAGGAGGGCACAAGGAAGAAGTGATGACGGGCCAGCACTAGCACTAGCACAAACGTGACGGTATGGTCGCAGTGTCATTCATGTGGAATGATTGTAGGTGTGTCAGTAGGAGGCCACAACAGGCGCAATATCTACAGCCTGACTCTCCATGCATGTTTGGTGCTCTTGCTCCTTCATCACCCACTGTGCCTTCCTGTACACTACAAGTAGGAGGTGCATCAGGTGTGGGTCACCAAGCGCCCCGCGGTAGCACGGCAGGTACTGTAGTCGTACCTATCAGACTGCCAGATTACTCACACCCGGCAGGCGGACAGGGGTGTCTCGGACCACAATGAGGCTCTCGCGCTGGTGGGGTTGCAAGCCTGCAGCAATCGGTCCACTTTGCGTGTGATAGCGCGTGTGCGAGTTTTTCTAGGTGACGACGGTGAGGACGTCGACGTCGTGAAGGCCTGAAGCAGAGTACTTCGATGCAGCGGCTACGTGCATCCTGAGCCAGCGTGGGTCATCTCGTGGCACTGGGACTGAGACTGATGAATTGGATCTGAATCTGAGCCTGAATCTGGACTGGATCTGCATCTGCAACTTATTGGCCCTCCTCTACTGTCAGACTACTACGCTGCATACGGGGTGCAACACCCGCATCCACACCACGCCGTTGCCATCGCCGTCTTACATCCACGCCAGCCACTCTCGCGCGACACCTGGCATCTCCCGTCACCTCCCGACCCCGCCAGACCCCATCAGACCCCAGACCTGCCATTGGGTTGGGCCGGCAATGGTGTCTGTCGTTTGAGTCAAGGTGCCCAGAGCAACGACAACAGCACGACTCCCCGCCGTGGTCCGGCCGGCGCTCGACATCATCTCGACGCCGTCACCATCTGCAGGGGCTTCCAAGGGGACGGCAGTGACAGTAAACAGTGTCAAGACATCTGTGCCGTGCATACACACAGGTGCCATTGCGGCTGAGCTTGTCAGGCCAACTGTCAAGAGCCTGCCAAGACACACAGGATACTGGAAGACACGCAGCACACCATCACCACAACCACCACCACCACCTCCCATCTCTCCTCCAATCGCCTGGCACGCGCGCTTTGTTTCCGATGCAGGCACCGTCAAAGCGGCATCGACTTCCTACTGCTACTCATTGCTCCTGATCGCTGACTGGGGCGAACAACGTCAACACCCTCCTCCACCACCTCCTGCTCCGACACACAGACGCCTATCGCCTACGGCCATACGTGCCATAGCACAGCTGCAGTTCGTCCATCCGCACCTATCGCAGCCCTGCGCCTCGTGTGCTGTGGGGTCTTGCTTCTAGCTGTTTGTTTCAAGTTCCTCTCGAGTCTGCGGCAGAACTCTTGTGCCCCACCACCCAACCATTCCAATCCATCCCCACGCCCTCCATTTAAACTATTAGGCTTTTCTGGGGGGGCTTCCCTAGCAGATCAAACGCCCAACGGCTCCAAGACCACGGATGAGATCCCGAACAGGGATGCAATAGCTGCCCAACTGCCCCCTTTGCTCTCCTCGCCCTCACTACCAAGTAGCCGCTCGCCTGGCTCGGCTCCGTCCCTGCCGGCTGGAAATCGCACACCGGGAGGCTTACCCAGGCAGATACACCCACCACCAACCACCGCCAGCACCGCCAGCGCCGGGCAACTCGTCGCTCAATGTCCCTCAGGATCACATGTCAGAGCGCCCGCGCCCTGCTCGCCGGGCAGGGCCATCAGCCCTCTCTCTGTCTCAGGTTGCCGAACACCTCCCCACGGCACCCTCTGGCTGCCGTGTCGGGCCCCGCGGCATCGTTCAGATGTTCCACCACTCGCTCCCCGACCCGAGTCGTTTCTGATGCCTCGCCTTCCTCCACTCCTCTTGGCATCACCCAGCTGAGGACATTCGTCTCCGTCACACGGCCGCGGTGGAAGAGCGAGGAGCGGGACCCAGGGTAAGGCAACCCCTTTCCCACACCTCATTTGTTCCTGCTCTCCCAGCCTTCCCAGCCATACCTCTCATCCCGGTCCGCTCGAGCCCGAAGAGCATATCGGCATATGACGAGCCGTTCCTCCAACAGAGCATCGCGATCATTGCTTTCATTGGAGTCGAGCGCGATGGGTCGCCATGACCTTGCCATGCCTGCCTACCGATGATGTCCCTGATGAGATGCCTAAAAATCCCCACCCGAAGCAATGCTCGCCTTTACTAATAACCGAGTCTCGTGTAGCTTGCCGTCCTCGTCGGCATCCCAACCCGGAAAGATTGCCAGCGTACTCAAAAAGGCACTCCCTGTTGCAGCCCATGAGAACATCTATACCATCCCTAACCTGTTGACTGCATCCCGGCTTGTTTTGGCCCCAGTGATTGGCTACTGCATTCTACATGACCACCATGCCTGGACTCTGGGCTTGTTTGCCTACGCGGGCATCACGGATCTCCTTGACGGGTGGATAGCCCGGAAATGGAACCAGGGCACCGTCGTAGGCACTGTCATCGACCCCATGGCTGACAAGACCCTCATGACGGTCTTGACGGTGGCTCTGGCGATGAAGGGCGGCTTACCTGGTGAGTGAATGTTGACTCCGCCCCGCGACAGAGTGGAAAGCCGCCGTTCTGGTAATGGGCTTGCCCGTCCTGTACTCATCCCATCATTGTCAACCGGGGACAGTTGCAAGTCAAGTCCCGTGTCGACGAAGAATCCCCATGTTGTGTCAACGTTGATCTTGAATTCGGGCTAACATGCCTTGATGTCAATAGTTTGGCTAGCTGTTATTATCCTCGGTCGTGATGTTGCGCTTGCCATCTCGGCCATCTATTTTCGATGGATCTCTTTGCCACCGCCAAAGACCTTCATGCGATACTGGGACTTCTCGTTGCCGTCTGCAGAGGTACACCCGACAACCATTAGCAAGTACAACACTTTCCTCCAGCTTGCGCTGATGGGTCTTACGACAATGGCGCCTCTGGTTCCTGTTGTGTCCGGTACGCCTTTGACTGTGATGCAGTAAGTGATTTTAGAGCTTCTCTACCCGCGCTTTCTCTCCTCATGTCTGATGAGATCATTTCATCACGGGGTCTATTTAAAGTCGCGGCACTCGAGGCCGACCGACTGATGATGAATGGGCTTCGCCTATTGGATCAGATGGTCCATTCCGGCCCCAGAGCGCTAGGACTTCACAGCAAGCCCATGTGGGACCATCATCAGCTGGCCATATTGTCTTGCTATGCATAATCACTATCGAATCCCGACGTGAAGTCATGAAAGGGTGCAAGAACCTGTGAGTAAAGAGACACGGAGACTAACGCGATGTCATCATAGGTATGTTGTTGCCACTACAACAGTTTGGAGTGGGGCTAGCTATGTGTATAGCAAAGACGCCGTGAAGATACTATCGCATGATGAGATCAAGGAAAGGCAAGAAGGCGGCAAACGTCCGTGACGGATGTAAGCGGCCTGTCTCACCAAGCAAGAAGTTAGGTGGCCAACTCTTGCGGCTGGGCTCTACCGACGGTATCATACCATTATGAGACATCAAATGCTCATCTCGACCGCCCGAGATCCCCGGCTTGTTGATCGCACAAGCGGAAGGAATCAGCCCATTTGGAACTAGACGATCCTCGAAAGGCTAGCTGTCTACAAGAAACAAGAGAAGATGACTGCACTCACACTATCCTCGCCATGTCGATGAGTGTGTGTGACCCGTCCCCAAATGGCACGGACGAGCACGCAAGGTCGACTATATCTAGCCAGTGGAGAGCTAGCATACACGAAATACTTGCTTACTGGTCGGCCCTTCTCTCAAAAAGTATCATGGCGAGGCTGAACACATGGGCCGCCTTACACTTCCCAATATATGCCCGGGGTGTCCTAAATGTGCCGAACATTTTTTGAACAGCGATCGCCTGGAGCGTGGGCACTTTGTGACGCCAGCAACCAATCACGGGCTTCTCGTCAGATGCCACGTGCGTGTGCTGTGTTGACAGCCAGGGGTGGTACACAGATATGTTGGTAGCACGAGCAAGAACTCGAAACTTGTCATTACCCCCCACCCCCCCCCCGGCTGCCACAGAAAAATATAAAGCTTTGCCAGTCGCGCGATTACCACAGTCTATACCTATTTTTGCAAGCAAAGAAAGCGTACCCGATGACGGTCAAAATTCGACATAACCATGGGGGTGGGAGTTGTCGATGTGTCGCTAGCTGCTTGCTCCATTTGTGCCTGGTTGGGCTAGCCTCGCGCTCGGGCTCGACCGTAGGCTACTGGTGGATGAAGGTGTTCCGATATACGTATAGTCCCATATACGTCCGTGGTCTCTACCCTTGCATACCACTCGCTAATAAAACACCAGCCGAGAATGTTTCGATAGACGAGTGATCTACCGCCCTCGTGTTCATGCTCGGTGGCGACGGGGTGAGGGGCACTTAATCCCCGAAGGCCATGCCCGCCCTTCCTAATAAGGCGAATATCACTGGGTCGGCCGACAGAAGTGCGAGACGTCCTGAGCGCGCGCTCCCTCTCCTCGCGTGGGACGCCACAATTGCTACCCTCCGGAGATGTAACACATTTATGTACGGCATAGGAGTCGTGCTGGAGCCCGGCTCTTCTCCCCACGCACAAGACACCAATAACGAGGCTGCTAGGGCGATGCAAGGGTGGTAAGCCGGCAGGTGGGGCCGGGCGGCGGCAGCAGGGCGCTGATGATCCTCGACGTCGATCCGAAGATCTGCCAAAGCTGTTGTGTCACACGAGAAAAGTCCAGAACTGGCGTCCAGAACCCCGCCCCCGATTTGACGTCCTGCATATAGAGCATATGAAACTCAGAGGCATTGATTGATTGCAGTGTGTGGTGTGTGTATTCAACGGCCTTCGAAACTTAATCTTTATATATATACAAAGTTCTCATCCATCCGATTGTTTCCAAGTTTCTGGGTTGATGGCTTAAACCTTCTCATACCTTTCCGGTGGACGTGGGATGGCCCTTGTTGCTGGGAGCGCACTCTTCCTCTTCTGTACAAAGTTGGCCGTTGAGGCCCGGTAGATCTACAGTCGCTTGCCTATGTAGTCCCACGTAACTCGGGTAGCCCACGAGGTCGCGAGACATGACGATGTGCAAGGCTAGGCAACTTTAGCCAGGTTCGACGACCGGCCCTCCGTCGGCAACGCCAACGTAGTTTTTTGGCAGCTGTCAGACCTGTCACGCGAGACGACTAGCTGTCCCTAGCCTGAGACACTGTCTCTTGCCTCTACCACCTCCAGCTGGCCGTCCGTGGGCCGTGGGCCGTGGCCATCGTGTTCCTGGCGCTCGTCCGCGACGCCGTCCACTCTAGTTTCTTTGGTTGTATGTACAGCTTTTGTACACTCTATCACCCGTCCGAGCCATGATGGCCGTGCCGCAAATAATGTGCCGACGGGATTCGGGTCCCCCGACTAAACCGTCCCGACGCACTGCCATCACTCTATGTGCGGCTTGTTCGAGCGGCCAAATAGACGCTCGCGGGTGCCCACCACCCCATTACAGCTCAGCGACCCTCGCCTTGGCATCCATCGTCTCCTGGTCCTCGCCCGGGGCGGCAAGCGGCTCCAAATCGGCGGCCTCGCCGGCGGGCGTGTTCCCGCCCCGCTGCACGAATCCCAGCAGCCGGATGCAACCCGCGGGCGTGATGCCCTCCAGCCTCCTCGCCTGGGCGAGGCTCTCGGGCCTCGTGGCCCTGAGGATGCCCTTCTCGACCAGGCTCAGGCCAAAGATGGCGTCGTAGTCGAGGTCGACGGGCAGCCGCAGCTGCTCGTCGCGCTCGAGCTTGTCGCGGGTGCGCAGCTGGCTGGCGACGTAGGGGGCGTAGGCGGCCTCGATGGCGACCCTGCCGCGGACGCGGGGCGGGAAGCCCATGACCTCGGGGATGACGCCGCGCTCCGCGAACGTCTCCATGGTCACGTTGGCCAGGCGCAGGATGTCCATGCCGTCGCGGCGCACCGTGTCCTCCTTGACGCGGAACCCGCTGCGCAGCCACGCCTGCGACGGGAGGCTGTGGCCCTGCAGCACCTTGGTCAGGTCCGCCATGGCCTGCTGCTCGTCCGTGTGTGTCGACCACCGCCTGTCTGAGACCACGCCCCACCGCCGGCCCTTGGCCGTTAGCCGCGTGTCGGCGTTGTCGGCCCGCGTCGAGAGCCGGTACTCGCTGCGGCTCGTGAACATGCGGTACGGCTCCGACACGCCCTTGGTCACCAGGTCGTCGATCATGATGCCGATATACCCGTCGCTGCGGGTGAGGCTGATTGGCTCCAGCCCTTGCGACGCGCGGCCCGCATTGATGCCCGCGATGACACCCTGACCGGCTGCCTCCTCGTACCCCGTCGTGCCGTTGATCTGGCCCGCGAGCCACAGGCCCCTGATGGCCTTGGTCTCGAGCGTCGACCGCAGGCTGCGCGGGTCCACGTAGTCGTACTCGACCCCGTACCCCGGCTGCAGCATCGTGACGTTCTCCAGCCCCTCGATGGTGCGCAGAAGCTGCTCCTGCGCCTCGGCCGGGACCGTCATGGACAGCCCGTTCGGGTACACGACGTCCGTGTCGAAGCCCTCGGGCTCGAGCCACACGATGTGCCTCTCCTTGTGGCCGAACCGGACGATCTTGGCCTCGAGGGAGGGGCAGTACCGGGGTCCCTTGACCGTTTCGCGGATGTGGATGGTCTTGTCGAGGTTCGCGCGGACGACGTCATGCGTCGCGCCGTTGGTGTAGGTCGCGTGGCAGAGCAGCTGGTCCTGGACCGAGACCGCGTCGTTGAGGTAGCTGAAGGGCATGGGCGGGTCGTCTCCCTCCTGGGGCTCAAGTATAGAGTAGTTTATGGTTTTCCTGTCGAGCCTCGGCGGCGTGCCGGTCTTGAGCCGGCCGAGCTGGAAGCCCGCGTCGCGTAATGACTTGCTCAGACCGAAGGTGGCTGCCCCATGCGCCCTGAGGGGTATGCCTCTAGACCGATGTGAATCTCCCCACCTAGGAAAGTCCCCGTGGTGATGATAACGTGATTTGTAGGAAGTATTTCCCCAGATTCGAGCCTCACGCCCGTGATCTTACTCTTGGCGCCCTGGCTGTGTCCGTCTGTGTCCTGAGCCTGCCCAACCACGATATCCGAAACACTACCCAGCACCACGCTCAGCCCAGGGTAATTGACCAGCTCCTCGCGCATGTGCTTCTTGTACAGCGCCCTGTCGATCTGCGCGCGGGGGCCCCAGACTGCAGGCCCCTTCTTCCTGTTGAGCACCTTGAACTGCACGCCCGCCTTGTCGATGATCCGGCCCGCCAGCCCGTCCAGCGCATCAATCTCCCGAAGTATTATCCCCTTGCCGATTCCGCCGAATGAAGGGTTGCAGCTGCACACGCCCAGGTTGTCGAGCTTCGGTGTGACGAGGGCGGTGCGCGCCCCGGACCGGGCGGCCGCGGCGCATGCTTCGGAGCCGGCGTGGCCGCCGCCTATTACCACGACGTCGAAGGGCCTAGTGGTTCGCGAGACGTGTTAGACAAGACATTCAACCCTCGCTGAATGAGAACCAACGGCGCAGAGTAGGGATGGGCGCGTACCTCGAGTCCTGTGAGACTGTGGCGAAGTTCCTCCGCCGCACCGGCGTTCGTACTTGTGCTGTCAGAGCCGTCGGGCATCTGAGCAGCCGGTCAGGCCTACTCAGGCCTCGAGGCTGCCATGCCTTCCTCATTTTGGAAACAAGGGCAACATTGACTGCAATGCGAGCAAAACTGTCCGTCGTATCGCGACGTTCGGGTGCTTGGCCTGGTGTCGTGAAGCCAAAAAAGCTTATCGCCAGAATCCTTATCTTATCTTATCTGACCAGACCACCAAAGGGGTAACTCACAGCCTTGGAAACAAACACAGCGCTCTGGCTCCCAGCTGAAGCGCGCGTGCTGCCAAGCCAGCTGAACCCCTTGACAGAAGTGAGGCGAAATCAAAAAACCAAAACAGACCAGGGGACAAAATGTGACATCCGCGGGGGGGCCTGAGAATACGACCGTACATGTACATGCGATACATGGACGAGCCCAACTAGCCTTGGTGCAGTATGCCAGCGTGAGACGCGCGACGATCGTCGCTGGCCAGAGCTGGCCGTCCGCATGGTGAGGTTGCATTTGGCCGGGGAACAAGTTCCCTCGCAACAATCCCATAAATCGTGCGATGCCGATGCTGCGCTGGCCGGGGTCCTGGAACGGTGGCATTCTTTAAGATTCCCATCCCACGCGCGCCGCCCCCCCTTGCCCATGCCGGCTTGGCATTGGAACGCGTGCCGACAGGCTCGCAAGACATACAGGGCCGCCGCATGCAGTGCTTGGTTAGTTTCCCGTCGGGGGGCCTGGGCCCAATGTCGTACGATGGGTATATCATTTTTTTTTATTTTAGGGCTGCATGCCCCCCCCCCATGGAATTGAAGGCTCGCCAGATCGGCAGTTACTTGGTACCTCGTATTAAACGGGATGTGGGATTTGGTAGCATCGGGCCTCAAGGAAACAAACCCGCGCGTGGGCTCGCTTCCCCAGACCCCAGACCAACCAGACGCCACTCAAATCGGACCGTTCACTTGGTCTACATACACACCCTCGACACAAAAAGAGACAAGGGCGGATAAAAATTGAACAAGTTGCCCATAATGGCAACGAAAAAGAAGATCCGACCTGCACCCTGGTCCTGGGAGTCGAGCCCGAGGCCCGCCCCTGACCTCACTGCCGGGCTACGTATTGCCTCGCTCATCGGGTAAAGACGAGATGAGATACAAGAAGACCTCGGCTGGGATTTCACTCATAGTGCCTCTCCTTCTTCATCCATTGTCGCCACAATGACATAGGTGGGGTGAGCCATGGACCACATGCGATTGGACGTGGCTGTGGAAAATCACACTCGCTATTACTGATAAATACTAATCCATGAGATTACCTGACCACACATTTTCGTCATCATCAATGTAGCATCACCAGACAAGAGGCTCGAGCGGGTCGACGTGGACTTGGATTGTGAAGACCTCCTTCTACCGTTTTGCCAGCCCCCGCGCGATGCGCTGTTGCCACCGGCGCTGCCCTCGTGCGACACAACCAACGCCGTCAATGATGCTACCTCCTTCCAAGCTCCTTTCGTAACCTCCCAGCCGTTGTGGTTGGCGGTGGCTCGGGCCATGACGACACAGCATCCTCCACCTCCTCTAAGAATGTAGTGGCATTGTGAATAGTAGTCCCGCCCAGCACCACCCGGATCCCCGGGGTTGACGCGTTGATAGTCGCAACGGTCCGTGCCTCTTCGTACGTTGCGCCTCCAACTATGAAAACGACAATGTCCTGTGGTTTGTCCCTCGTCGTGCCGCCCCCTTCGACGAATGGATATTGCCGCTCCGGTAGCTTGCCCTTGATCAGGTTCTGTAGCGTCATCTCGAGCAGCGGCGAGTGCTGGGTGTAGACGTTCTCCACGCCTTTCAATCCTTTGAATCTGCTTCCAGCCCCTGAGAAGATACCAGCAGAGTCAAAGAGATCTGTCAGACCTCCCGCAGCTTGCGATTGTTGCAAGGAAGAGTGGTATGCCAGCAATTTGGCCACAAGATCCGCTCTTCTGGTTGGGACACCACCAACCGTCGATAGAAGGTCGATGAGCATAGGCACCGAGTTGGACGAATGTTTCTCGTACCGCAGCGCGTACAGAGCCACCAGGCCGACTTTGTTGTCAACCGTCACCGCCGGTGACTGGATCAGCCTTTGAACGTTCTGGGACGCTGTCAGTTTCTGCGTCACAACAGAGCACTCAGCTTGCAGGGCTTCTCACCTTCAAGTCTGCCGCATGATTATCGTTGCAAGCAAGACTCTGTTCAACTTCGCTAACCTCCAAAAGGTTCTCGGCACCGACTCTCCGGCTGAGCTCCGAGACCAAGGTGACATGTTTGCTGACGTTTCCTGAGAGCTTTCTGAATTCTGGGTACTCTTCGATAAACCGTTTCATGTCCGAGATGGACTCAATGTTGGTGTTGTTCTTGGTCTTTGACTGATACTGCTCGACGTAGTCTTTGATGTTGCCGCCAAGATCGCCGAAGTTGAGGAACATGTTCGTCTTGAAGAAGGGGTCTTGGTCCGGAGAAAGCACAATTTCCTTCAACTCGGGCCGAATCTCTGGTACATCGCTCAAATCGACTTTGCCGTTGTCGATACCCAAAAGATGGTGCACCATAGCCTGATACGTCCATTGCGTCAAAAGCGGTGTCACAGGGTCGTCTCTCCTGTCTAATATTAAAAGAATAGGTGGCGTATCCACCTTCCGGAAATCGAATAATTGATCCTCCTGATTGATGTGATACCGCACCTCGGTCGCGAGCTTCTTGGCCAGGAAGCTGTTCTTTTCGTATCTGACGAGCGGCCTCTTCTTCAACATCAGGAGTGCTGCTATCACACCCTCTGTCGTTCGCGACAGAGTGTCCGTGTTCCACATATCGGGAGTCGTGCTCCATATCCGGTGCTGGGGAACATGGACATCGAGCGAGAAGAGATCTGCATTGGTGACTACGAAGTCGGCGAAGTGCTCCTGGACCAGCTTGACCACTTCGTGGTCATCCGCCTCGGCCAGCCGCTCCAGCGCGGATTTCTTGATGACGTTGCTGAAATAGAGGTGGTACTCTCCATATTTGGGGTCGCGAAGCTCATCGATGAGGAACTGTATCGAGTCTGAAGAGGGCCTGACAAAGCAGAGACATCTCAAATGGCGCATCTTCTCCCTGCTGGCATTCTCGAGCCGGTCAATCAGGTAGACCTCATGGTTCAGTAGGGAGGACTGAGTGATTGCTGTCGAGACGATCGGTACTGTGTCTCGGTCCAGTAACAGGATCTTCATCTTGGAAGATGCCGCACCGCTGGCGCTGTCTCCGGCCGAGACCATCTTGGAGACGGACCCAGCCACCGCCTGAACGACATCCATCTTGGGCAGGTGAAATATTGTTTTCTTGGATTAAACCGGGCACCAGGGCATCAGACGCTTCGGGACGGCCGTATACGATAAGAGGATCCAAAAGTGTACTTTGGTCCCTGGCTGTGGTTGCCTTCGGTCAGGGGTGTCGTCACCTCATCAATTGGACAAGTGGCCGGTTGCCAACGGTGGAGTACCTCGACTTGGTGGGTCCTTCAATGGCAGTTGCTCACGTACGAGTCAGTTATTTGTGAGTGATGGATGCTGTAGTTGGGAGAAGATGAGAGCAACCAGGCTGGGGTATCTTGTGCGGGTGAGAGCGGCGGGTGCGATGAAGTGAAGTGAGTTTAGAGATGCAGGTAGATGCGGCTCTGGCTATGGAGGTCACCCAGGTGCAGGCATTCCCGGCTGGCACCCCGGCTCCCCACATTCCACCCGTGCTACCAGTGGGTCTCAGATCAACAGCGGCAGCTCCTGCTCGGGATCTCCCACTTTTCTGACTTCATCGTCCGAACCAAACCCGTCTGCTGTGGCACAAGGCGAACGACGACAACCATGGCGGAGTCATGACATGACAGAATCAAACAAATCTGGACCGTACCACATCTGCGGCCCCATCGAGCCTCAAGATGGCATCAGATGTTTGCCCGACTCGTCCTGAGCCTACGTATGTCACCGGCCCGAAGCAAGCACTGCAGTCGCAAGCACAACTTGACAGAGGAGCTAATCCTAGATCATGCAGCTTTTCGTTCACACAGGGCTTCATCCTGGGCCAGATCTCAGTCGTCCTCCTGATCGCAGCCTTCATAAAATTCTTCATATTCGGTGACCCTCCTTCAGCCGAAGTGACCGCCTCCATACGAGCCACCGAGAGACGATCGAGGACCCTGGCACACAAGAAGTCTCTCCTCAGCCTCAGGACCGCCGGTCGACCGAGTAGCAGACAGCGCGAGCAGCAGCCCACTCTCAACAAGAAAAAGTCCAGCATACTACGTTCCGGCCCTCCGACGCTGACCATCGGGTCCATCCTCAGCAAAACATACTACAAGGTCGACAGCCACCAGCCCGAGTCCCTCGACTGGTTCAACGTGCTCGTGGCCCAGACCATCGCCCAGTTCCGCAGCGATGCCCAGCACGACGATGCCATCCTCGGCTCCCTGACCAAGGCCCTCAACAGCCCCTCGCGGCCCGACTTCCTCGATGAGATCCGCGTGACAGAGCTGAACCTGGGCGAGGAGTTCCCCATATTCAGCAACTGCCGCATTATACCCGTAGATGAAGATGGGCTTGCCTTTCCGCCGGGGAGACCCTTCGATGCTAACATGGCCACGCGCGAGGGCTGTCGGCTGCAGGCGCGCATGGACGTCGACCTGAGCGACGCGATCACGCTTGCCCTGGAGACCAAGATGCTCCTCAACTACCCCAAGAAGCTCTCCGCCGTGCTCCGTCGCCCTGTCTGTGTCGGTCGTGCGCTTCAGCGGGACACTATCCATCTCCTTCATCCCCAGCAACCCGTCCCAGTCGACCCCCACCATGATGACCTTCAGCTTTCTGGACGACTACCGCCTCGACTTCTCCATCCGCAGCCTGCTCGGCAGCCGATCGCGCTTGCAGGACGTCCCCAAGATCGCCCAGCTGGTCGAGTCGCGCCTGCACAAGTGGTTCGACGAGAGGGCGGTCGAGCCGCGCTTCCAGGAGATCGCCCTGCCGAGCATGTGGCCGCGCAAGAGGAACACGCGCGGCGGCGACGAGGTCATCGCCGAGGCGGAGAGGTCCCTCGGCAAGGCGAAGGGCGCCGAGATCAGCCGCGAGATGAGGAACCAGGCGAGAAGTCAGGTCGAGGCCGAGGAGGATGCGAGGGCCGAGTGGGGCTCCGAATCCTCGCGGCGAGACTCTTTGCGGTATCGCAGGCGGCCTAGGGCGGAGGATGTGTTCGCCGGGTCGGGCGGCATGCCTGGGTCGATGCCGGGGGTCAGTGTTGATATGACTTGAGGATCGGCTACTGAAGACGACAACTCCACTCGCGTTCCATCACAGCTTCACAGCCATCAGTTGGCATGCGTTTCGCAGAGGTGGTAGTTACCCGTGCGGTGCACGGTATCGACGGCAAACGGAACTTCACCAGGTTCCAGTGCCTAGATCCAAGGATACATACCTCGGCGAATTATGTATTGCAGTAGATGTGCAATTCCCGTGAGGGAAACATGCGCACACTGTAAGACAAGGCTTCATACTATCATCAAGATAAGGTTTTGCTCCAAAGCCACGAAACGACAGCTTCAATGTTTGGAATCCACCATGGTAAGGAGCCTAAATATAGAAGCAACGAAGAGCAACCGACGTGGTAGTGAGGATTTTATGTGAAGTGATCCAGCAATTCGTTACTTTTAGGCTAGTTTCTGTCTGCTGGACAATCTCATTCCCGCACTCAATTATACAAGCAAGATGTGTATTCAGATGACACCATTAAAGTAAGCCATTTTTCCATAAAACACCAGAGTGACAAAGGGGCATTCAGTGGACTATATGCAATTGCAACAGTGTGCACAGTCACGGCTAACTAAGACACTCGAGATATATCACCAGTCCTGCTTAATGATAGGTATTTAGACGATGGAACATCGCTTTGATAGGTAGCCACAATTTAAGGTTGGCTCTGCAGTTGGTAAATATAACATTTGTACCCACCTACCCAATGTTTGCCAAGAAAGTGAGACATGGTCTCATTGTTACAGCATGCCAACCAATGTTTACCTGATCATGACAAGCCATTCGGCACCTTGATGTACAACATTTGAAGGATACATTTGATACTTGTTGAGTTCGAGTTTCTTTGTCCATTCCTGTTATATATACATCTTAAGATTGGAAGACCTCGAGCGGCACATGGCCACACCCACCGAATTCTCTCTTATGGCCGCGAGGCTCTGGAGCATAGCTCTGTAACCTTGCCACCAACAGAACTCCGCTGTGAAAAACATGCCGGCTTGCCTCCGAGCATGAGATGTTGAGTAAAGAAGGTTAACTCGAAGGCAGAGCAAATGATATTCCTGGTATGAACAGCCCAAATGCAGCGTGCAACGGAGCGTCTCGGGTACGAATTTCCGAAAACAATAATCCTCATTCCTGGAACGCCGCCACCAGCAAACAGAAAACGCCATTCATTCTTTCTTGTTCGACTTCTTGTTCTCCGTGCGGGGGGTATCATCATACGGCAGCGCCTCCCCAGGCCCCGCGTATCCGCCTCGCCAGCTGAATGTCCTTCTGCATGATGGTGACCCTCTTGGCGTGGATGGCGCACAGGTTGACGTCCTCGAAGAGATGGACGAGGAAGGCCTCGGCGGCCTCTTGCAGGGCCTGAATCGCTTGCGACTGCCACCTGAACTCCTCGCCAATCGGTCTGAAGTTGATTGCGACCTCGCGAACCTGAAATTATGGTGTCAGCATCCGGCCGATTCCATGCGCCGTCGGGGTCGAGAGCCCCGTGGTGGGGGACAGGGGCTTACCAGCCGGGCAAAGGGGAGCTTCAGTAGCAACAGGTCGGTTGTCCTTTGGTATTGCCGGATCTCCCTCAGAGCCTTGGTTCCTGGTCGATATCTGTACCTCCTGCCTTGGGGCACTGGGTCGCCAGCTGTGCGCGCATGATCAGTTAGTAGGCATCATCCAGCGGCGCGCGGCGCAAGAAAGGCGGCTCGACTCACGCTGAACGTCGCTCCGTCTCCTCTTGGGAGGCATTGTGACTGGTCGAGATGCTAATCCGAGGCAGAGTCCAGCTCGGTGGACTGCAGCAGGAGACAGGCCAGCTAGTCAAGCGTAGGAGCGGAGGGGCTGCGCGAGGCGGTTTGCTTAGGCTGGGCGCAAAGGGCGGGCTTGGTGAACAAGAAGCGGTGCAGAAGAATCTGGCGCAAGATTCTAGTGTCGAGAATCAAATAAAGCGTAACTACAGGTATGCGCGCGATAATCGAGTACGAGGTTTGGAAGCTGTACAATGTTCAATTGGCATAAGAAGACCAAGAGGGGAAGGGGGCCGGGTGGCTGGACGCTGCGCAGGTGCTTTTGAAGGGGGAGAAAGTGGTGGGCAGGTGGGCAGGTAGGGAAGAAGCTCTCTACGCGCATGGCCCCCCGGCTGGACGCGTCTGGGAGTGGGCTTTCGCGCCAGACCCTTAATTGAGTGCACCAAATCCAGGTACGGGACGGGGCCACTGACTATAAAACGGGTGGCTGGGGTGTTAAGGACCGTGCACCGTGGCGCCTCCATCTCCGTGCATACTGATGGTTCCGTTTGGGAGCAGCCGGATTGATCCATTTAAGCCCTTCGATTTCCAGATCTGGGCGGAATCCATGTCTTTCATGCGAGGACGTGGTCATTTGGTGCACCGTATCTGAATGTAGACTTCTGTACAGATTGAGTAAACAACACGGGTTCGTTCATCAGGCGTTCCGTGGTCCCTGCCGTAGTGATAGTTCCCATCCCCTGAGTAAGCTGGCAGGAGTTTAGGAGGTTCTGGTGCTGAGCCGTTTGCTTCTGGAAGACACCCTGACCACCTCTTATCGACTACCAAAGAAAAAAAAAGGGGCCACATCAGCCTTCGTCATTCCGAGGTGGGTGTCCCGCATCATGTCATCCACGGCCGCCCCAACATTCGCTAACAGACAGCCCCCGGTTATTATTGAGTGTCCATCTGAAAGGACACCTTGACGTCTCATGCCGACAGAACCCCAGTTATTTCACAACATTCCATACATTTAAGAGGTCCCTCTCTTGATATCTCTGGTTTCATACCATCCGAGTCCCCATCCAACCGTTCAGCCCGGGATCGGTGCCGTGAGATCTCACGGTCCACTCCCTCTCCTCTCTCCCTTCCTCCGACCTGTCCGGTAGCGTTGCGAAATCGACCCGCCGTGCGCCAAATACCCCCACCATCCATCAACGCACATTCTACCGACGCATCCATCCGTCATCAGCATCGCCTGGGGAACGGAACAAGTTGCACAACATGGACGGAATGATGGGAGAAGGCGATCGCTTCCCGCTGGAACAGTGGTTCTGGGAGATGCCCGTTTGCACCAGGTGGTGGACCACCGCAACCGTTGTCACCAGCGCCCTGGTGCAGTGTCAGGTCATAAACGCCTTCCAGCTCTTCTACAGCTACCGCTCTGTATTTCACAACGGACAGGTAAGCCACCCGCCGGCGGGTCATGCGCCCGTTTCCCGTCCGAGTGGGCCAACGTTACTGACCACCGTTGACCACAGTACTGGCGACTCCTGACGACGTTCCTCTACTTCGGCCCGCTGTCCCTCGACCTCCTCTTCCACGTCTACTTCCTCCAGCGATACTCTCGCCTCCTCGAGGAGACCTCCGGCCGGTCGCCCGCGCACTTCTCCTGGCTGCTCCTCTACGCCACGGCCAGTCTGATCTGCCTCTCGCCGCTCGTGTCGATGCCCTTCCTGGGCCACCCCCTCTCGTCGACCTTCGTCTACATCTGGTCGCGGCGCAACCCGGACACCCGGCTGAGCTTCCTGGGCCTGCTGGTCTTCACCGCGCCCTACCTGCCGTGGGTGCTCATGGGCTTCAGCCTGGTCCTGCACGGCACGATCCCCAAGGACGAGATCATGGGCGTCGTCATCGGCCACATCTGGTACTTCTTCAGCGACGTCTACCCGCCGCTGCACAACGGCTCCAGGCCCCTGGATCCCCCGATGTGGTGGAGGCGGCTCTTTGAGGGCAGGAGGAACGACGACACGGCGAACGCCATCAACCACGAGTTCGCGGTCGCCGGTGCCGAGGTCGCTCCTGAAGTGCGGTAGTCGGGGATCTTTCTTGTTTACTATTGTGCATGCGAGTGTCGTATGCTGACACACATTGTTACGGCGTTATGGAATGCAGGTCAGGAATGCTTTTGTGCTGGACATGAAGTCTTAAGCAAATATAAAAAACATGGATTTACACGGCGTCGACGTTTCACACAAACATCGGAGGCTGGGTTGCAAGGAGGGGAGCGGGCTATCTTGGATGTCCTCGCTTAAATGTCTGTCGACTGGGACTGTTCCCAGCGTGAATAGACTTACATGAATCAACCAGTCCCATCATTTACAAGCAAGATTTGGCCAAATTCTTTCACCGTGCCCCGCTAGAAATTGATGACTGCTAATATCGAATTATCCCACTTCGTATGTACCGCTGTAGTCTTGAGCTATCAAGCAACTGGTCCGTAATGGTATATTCAATGATGTACCGGTCGAGAACCTAAACTTTCAATTTCATGTTTTCCGGCGACTGTTTCCTTTTTTTTTTTTTGACTTCGAGCACCACTCAGCTCAAGTACTGGCTCACGTACCCCTTCCGATGTGGGTTCTCGTCCAGCTCATTGCTCCTGTTCAGCGGCGTCCACTTGGGCTCCTCCTTGAAGAGCCGCATGGCGTGGACATACTGCATTAAACGCATCCACCAGTCAGCAGTTGGCCCTGGTACCACTCCCGATGCACCCCCGGGACACAAGAGAGGGTCGGATCACTCACATTCGTCTCGTCCGTGGTGAAGCGGTGGTATATCCCCGGCGGCAGGATGATGAGGTCGTCCTTCTCGAGCTCGATGCGCACCCACTCGTCGCCCTCGTTGCGCACGTCGAAGTAGCCCCTCCCGCCGCGGATGTACCGGATCTCCTCGTCCTCGTGCAGGTGCTCGTGGAAGAAGGATCGCACTTTCTCCTCGTAGACGTCGCCCATGGTCTGCGGCGACACCTTGACCTCGTCGCGGTTCTTGTACCCCCGCTCGCTGGCGAGCGCGTCCACCTCCGAGATGGAGGGCGCGTGCAGGTACAGCACGCCCACGCGGGCCAGCGCGTCCGTGGTCACGGCCTTGCCTGAGTCGTGGGGCTGGCGCTGGTCGCCCTACAGTAGTAGAAGAGAGAGTCCGTCAGCATGTGGTGCGCTCATGTGCTTTTGCGGGGTGGCGGTGGTGCGGTTTCGGTGTGCTGTGTTGGGTGAGTTGCGCCTTACCGGCTGGTTGTCGTAGAGGTATGCCTTCATCTTGTGTGTGTGCGCGCTGGTATAGGTCTTTGCGATGTTTTAGTGTCGGAGTGCTGGATGCGAACGGATCGCTGAGTCCGGGATTCTGAATTCGAAGGGTTCCTAGACAAGGCTACTAGATTTCTGAGTACAAAGCTGCGAGATGTGTTCGATAAATTTGGGCAATGTTGAGGTGGCCTGAGCACTTATGAGAGAGACTTTTGCTGGTGTCGTCGGCTTCGCTAATGTGAGCATGCCCAACTAAGAACCTCTCATTGGTTGTGGTGGAAAATGTGGTGGTCTGGCGTGCTCGCTCAGAAATGTGACGTCGGCGGGGGTGGGTTTGGTTGCTTATCTCCGGCCGATCGGAGCTACCTGCGTTTTGCGCCTCTTTTACCCTGCAGTTCAGGCTTTTTCTCCCTTCCGCAGGGCAGTCAGACGGTGTCTGGGATGTGGCCACTGGAGACTAGCAACTGTCGGATAGCTATTCATTATCAATGTATCGAGACATTTCTATCCCCCAGCAGAGCCAACATACCACAGCCTTTTGGAGGTATCCAGGTATCCAGGTATCTAAGCACTTCGTAACACAAAATATCCTACGGTAGATATCGAAACATCCACCCACTCCTCACCCCCGGCCGGTGCGGGGACAGGCCTCCAATTTTCCTTTGCAAGTGCCGACCCGTCAGCGTGGTTCCAGAGCGCGGGCACCCGGCGCACCGCCAATCTCCGGCCGTTTAAATCGTCAATGCCAACACTGCCACCAAGATGGGACGACACGAGGAGCCGTCAAACCCGGCATGACGAACTCCTTCCTGGTCTCACCGCGTTGAAACCCCCAGTCTGCGCAAGAATTGGGCCAACGGCTGTTTCAACGTCGCTCATCCCAACGACGATCTGCCGAACGTCACTATGCCAAGCTGGACAGCCAATCCGGTCGGTGTAAACGAGCTGGAAGCAGCGTCCCAGTAGTTTTCACGGCAATTGGCCCTTTCACAAGTGCAACCGCGATTCTGCGCTGGCTGTGGACATTAGGAGACGTCTCCGTCCCTGCGCATGCTTTTGCCAAACTTTCACCATAATCAGACCTGAACGCCTGGCTATCCTCACCCTCAGGAGTAGTCTCAATCTCATCCAACATGGCGTCGGGGAGCTCTCTAGATCTGAACTCTGAACAGGCGAGGAAACTGCAGTTACCTGCGAGCTGCGATCCCCCCCAGCCAGGCAGCCCCACGAAGCAGCAAGTATGGGTTGTAAGTAGTCCTTTCAGAAAGCAGTCGCACTTCGCTTCGTTCGTATCTAACGCGCCTCAAGGTCTTTGGTGGCACCGGCCACATGGGGCGATCTCTCGTGAGGAGCGCACTTTCACATGGAGACCTCGTCGCCAGCGTGGGGCGGAATTTCGAGTCGCCCCAGCCTAGTGATGCCGGCCTGCAGGACCATTGCCTCAATCTGCAATGCGATGTGAGGGCGCGGGACTCGGTGACCCGCGTCTACGAGCGGGCGCTGGAGCACTTCGGCCGCGTCGACATCGTGGCCAACTGCTCCGGCTACGGCGTCATTGGCGCGTGCGAGGACCAGGACGAGCACGAGATCCGCAACCAGTTCGAGACCAACTTCATGGGCACCCTGCACATCCTCCAGTCCATCCTGCCGTACTTCCGGCAGCAGCAGGCCGGCCGCTACCTCATCTTCAGCTCCACCTCGGGTGCGCTGGGGGTCCCGGGGCTGGGCCCGTACTGCGCGACAAAGTACGCCGTGGAAGGCCTCATCGAGGCGATGCTGTACGAAATCGACGCGTTCAACCTCAAGGCCACGCTGGTAGAGCCGGGCCTGGTCCGCAGGGACGAGCCAGACTCGCAGACCAACCCGCTGCCGACGTGGGGCCACTTCCTCATCAAGCCTGCCAGCGAGCCATACAGCCAGGAATCGTCTCCGGCCTTGCATGCGAAGAGGATGGTGACATGGCTGGGCGACCGACAGCCCACGAGCGCGGTCAAGTGCGCCGAGCTGGTCTGGCAGCTGGGACACTGCTCGTACCCTCCACTGCGGCTCCTGCTTGGTAGCTACGCCATCGAGAGCATCCGGGACAGGCTGAGGTCAGTGACGGAGGAGATTGAGGACTGGAAGCATCTGAACTTCCCCGTGCCGCCGGGGGAGGAGGGCTCGCCGGAGGCGGGGGACAAGAAGGCCATCAAGGAGGAGACGAGCGAGGAGAGAGGCGAAGATCCCGCCGACTTGACAGATCAGGGCGATACTATAATGGCTGCTGCGTAGGTGGAGAGAAGAAGACTGCGGAAGGCGGCGAAGAGGGAACAGACTGGCCTCGAGATGTAGCAGATGTACATTGTTACGCGCGATTCACCATCAAAACCAAATTAATGTAGCATGCGTGCACGCATATTCTGTATTGCTGTGTCTTGTGCTTGGTGCAGCGCGTAGGCATGCGACAATACAGAACGACCTGAGAACATCATGATGTTGAATGATAGCTTGGGGCCTACGGTAATCTATCTGGAGCACGTAGATGCTCTCAGAGTTCCGCTCTTCGTACCATTCCGGTTTGCCCATCGTCTTCTACGCTGCGTAGGGTCATCTTCTTGGGGAGTCCTCTACAGTAGATCGAAATAAATCGTCTACAGTTCATCTCTCTCTCGGGCAAGGTGTGTTGCTTACTGTGTACTTGCAGTAGACTATAACGACGTGGCTCGTGTTGAATTTTTCTGGGGCAAACCGGTTGTTCTAAATTTACAATGCACCGCCCAGAGATGCGCGGCCGAGGCTTGAACCTTGGGACCCTGACAGCAGCCACTAATCTTGCAGTGTTACCTAGCCAGGCCCCCCTCGGTACACTGTCTCCCCCGATCTGGCTGGAGTGCCTGGGGAGAGAAAGGGGCGTGCATGCATGTGGTCGGTCTGGAAGCCGGAATAATTTGTTAACAGGTATCGCAATCAACCCGCTCCCTTTTTGCGCCGCCTCCAGTCCTGACGCGTCTCCCTTCCTCACCTGCAAAGCGAAGAGCAAAGCCAGACCTTTTCAGCTTCCCGAGAGTCTTTGTGACCAGCTCTTGCCCGCAGCACTGGACGGACGCTCGAATTACTGGCTACACTCAGTCCCGTCGACCTTCTCCCTCCGTCCTCTCCATCCGAGCAAAAGCCCCCCGGGCTCACCGTTGGACGACATCCAGCCCCTGAACTCGACACTCGTGTTCTTCGCCCGCAGTCCTTCGTTCAACCGGTGCGAGAATTGGTCTGGAAACAAAATAAACGGCAGCCAAGATGTCTTCAGACAAGAAAAGTGATGACTTCGTGCTGCGCATGCCCGAGAGGGGCGACTCCTTCCGCGAAGAGAAGGACAGCTTTCTCGAGCGAAGGGCGTCTCACAGAGTCAGTCCTCCGGGGCTGCACGACAAGCTCGCCAAGGTCCAGAACAACCCCGGCGTCTCTATTCTCGCGTACTGCTTGTCGTCCATCTCCATGACCGTGGTCAACAAGTACTGCGTCTCTGGCAAGAACTGGAACTTGAACCTTTTCTATCTGGCTGTCCAGGTATGCCTCGATCCGCGCAAAGACACATCAGAGGAGGATCCCGCTGACCATCGGAGTAGTCCATCGTCTGTATCGCTGCCATCTTGATCTGCAAGAAAGTGGGCATGATCACGAGTCTGGCCCCCTTCGACACGGAAAAGGCCAAGAAATGTGCGTCGAACACACACGAATGCGCTGGAGAATGCCAGAGACTGACAGCATCCAGGGTACCCGATCTCTCTGCTACTCGTGGGCATGATCTACACGAGCACCAAGTCCCTCCAGTTCCTGTCGGTACCTGTCTACACGATCTTCAAGAACCTGACCATCATCGTCATTGCATATGGAGAGGTCCTCTGGTTCGGCGGAGAGGTGACGCCGATAGCCCTGCTCTCCTTCGGATTGATGGTCCTCAGCTCCATTATCGCCGCGTGGGCGGATATCCAGGCTGCCCTGTCGGGTGGATACGACGCGTCTGTTAGCGTGTCGACCTTGAATGCGGGTTACGCATGGATGGGAATGAATGTCTTTTGCACCGCTTCATATGTCTTGACCATGCGGAAGGTCATCAAGAAGATGAACTTCAAGGACTGGGACTGTAGGTGGAACCCCTACCACGATTGTGACGGGACCGTTGGCTAATCTTCCACAGCGATGTTCTACAACAACTTGCTCACCATCCCCACGCTCATCGTTGCTTCCCTCATCTTTGAGGACTGGAGCTCTGCGAACCTTCAACTCAACTTCCCCGAGGAGTCCCGCAACGCGCTGATCATCGGCATGATCTACTCCGGTCTGGCGGCCATCTTTATCTCCTACTGCTCGGCCTGGTGCATTCGTGTCACCTCTTCAACGACCTACTCCATGGTCGGCGCCCTCAACAAGCTGCCCATCGCTGTCTCCGGTCTCATCTTCTTCGCCGCTCCGGTCACGTTCGGCAGCGTTTCGGCCATCATCCTGGGCTTCATCAGCGGCATTGTCTATGCCTGGGCAAAGATTCGGTCGACCGAGCAGTCCAAGAACTCGCTGCCAACGCAACAGCCCGTGATGAGCGCCAGTTCGCAGAGCAATAAGGATGCTTCGATGTCATAGAAGAGCGAGAAGCAAGTGATCCTCGAAGGCGTCAACAAGCTTGGGCGGCCCACTTGCATCTGATGCGGGTGTGGAACTGGCATTGCTCAACCATGAGCCCCCACGATTTTGGAACAGGCAAACACTGGGGCATCATATTTGGGTTTCATCCTTGTAAATCAGTTTACCCTTCCCATTCTTGCACTCTGGGTTTGTTCCTGGAATAGAATTGGGCGAACGGACTGTGTCCTGTAAGCCGTCACACGTGTGTATGACTACTACAGCTTTAATGATGGATGCCACACATGGAAGAGGTGCACTTCGCGGGATGGCGTTTGGCGCGTCCTTGCTGATGGTAGAGGACCAATGTGCTCAGTAGCAAATGATTATGAGGCGCCAGAGGCTGGCATCCCAGAGATGCAGGATGTCATGCATAATTTGCATGCTCCAGGCGGAGATTATATTACAATTAATTCACGATACTTATGAAATTCCAGCTGGTTTAGCACAGGTTTTGGTCGTTCTTTTGCAGTTGTGAATGGATAAAATCGAGTTTGCCAATTGTCAACTGGAGGAAGTGAATAAGCTGCCGAGAGTCTGCTTATCGCTCTTCAAAGCTGAAATTCTAAAGTCAAGTGATCCAAATCATTGAAACACACATGTGTTCACTTGGGTCAGTAATGCTCAACTTTGCCCAGCTGATTTCTCGTTACAGCCACACTAAACAGGAGGCGTGCTTGAGACCCCGGGTAAATGTATTGGTGGCCCGGCCCACCCACCGCCTCCGGTAAACAGAAGCGCATAAGACACTGGCGCATGACATCACACCAGGCAAGGTGTACCAAGCCTGACCTCAAAAAGCTGCCGAGTCGTGAGGCTAGAGCCAAAACTCCCCAACAAATAGAACTAAGTTTTTACCGGGAACCCTCTACGCAGGACAGGAGTCCTGCCATTGTTACTTGCTTTGGTCTTAACCACTTTCTTTTGGTCTTTCGTTTTCATAGAATAGATCAAGGACACTACACGTCTGTGAGAGGCATGGACTGACAAGCCGCCTTCCCCTGATCCGAAGCTGTCTCCTCCCAACATACAGCAGCAGCCGCCCCCCCCCCCTGGCATTCAGGATGTTGCCCTACATACATGCTCGTAAGCTCCTGAACCATAGGTCTTCATTTTGGGTGCTCATGTGCTGACTTCGGTGACTTGACAGCCTTTGTCTACCTGGCGGGCCTTGTTGGCGCCGGCCCGGATGAGCGTGAGCTGATGCCCCTGAGGCTCAAACATGCCGGGCTGTTCTGTATGATGCTGATGTCCACAATCTACTGCAGTCAAGCTCATTTTCTCGATCTTGCTCTCATATCCGTTGGCAGGACTGCTGAAGCGAGTCCCTGATGCGACGCCGGCATACAAGAATCTATTCAGCGCTGCGTACGTTCTGGGCCGGACGAAGAACTTGACCAAGCGAGCAGGGAACGAGAGGAGTGTGAGAGTATTTTGCTAACTCGTGTGCTTTTGTGAAGGGTCGGTGTCTTCTACCTAGTTGGTCTCTTCGACCTGTGGGGTGGCTTGCGAACCATTCTCATCGCTGCCGGTGGCGCATATGGCATCGCCTACTATCTGCGCGGAAGTCCCTACATGCCCTGGATCGCCTTCGTCTTCCTCATGGTCCACATGAGCGTAAACCAGCTGGACCGGCAGTTTGCGAACGACCCCTCGAGCGTGGACATCACGGGCGCCCAGATGGTCCTGGTCATGAAGCTGAGCGCGTTCTGCTGGAACGTGGCCGACGGCACGCTGCCGGAGGACCAGATGTCGGACTTCCAGAAGGACAGGGTCCTGAAGGAGCTGCCCAGCCTGCTGGACTACGCCGGCTACGTCTTCTTCTTCCCATCCCTGCTGTGTGGCCCGGCAATGGACTTCGCCGAGTACAGGCGGTGGCTCGACCTGAGCATGTTTGAGGTGCCCGCGACCGCGGACCCAGCAAAGAAGCCGCCGACGCGCAAGAAGCGCCGCATCCCACGCAGCGCTACGCCTTCGATGTGGAAGCTGGCGACTGGTCTCGTATGGGTCCTGTGCTTCCTCAACTTCTCGGGCTGGTACAACACGGACCTGCTCCTGGACGACAGCTACATGACCTACAGCCTGCCCCGGCGCCTGTGGGTGCTGCACATGACCAACTTCACAGCGCGCATGAAGTACTACGGGGTCTGGTCCATGACCGAGGGCGCCTGCATCCTGGCGGGCCTCGGGTACAACGGCTTCGACCCCGTCACAGGCAAGGTCAGCTGGAACCGGCTGAGCAACATCTACCCCTGGGGCGTGGAGAGCGCACAGAACACGAGGGCGTATCTGGAAAACTGGAACATCAAGACGAACCTGTGGCTGCGGCACTACATCTACCTGAGGGTCACGCCGAGGGGCAAGAAGCCCGGGTTCAGGGCTAGCTTGGCAACCTTCACGACGAGCGCGATCTGGCACGGCTTCTACCCTGGGTATTACCTCACTTTCGTGTTGGCTAGCTTCATACAGACCGTGGCGAAGAGTAAGTGTTCATTTACTGCTGCAGGCCCTAGAGATTTGTGTGTTAACAAGTAACGACAGACTTCCGGCGGTACTTCCGGCCTTTCTTCATCGACCCGGTCACCCAACAACCCACGTCCCTCAAGCCATACTACGACTTCTTCTCCTATCTAGTGACGCAGTGCGCCTTCTCCTTCGTGACGACCCCGTTCCTGGTGCTGGGCTTCGCGGACAGCATCAAGGTGTGGGCTCGGGTCTACTTCTACCCGGTGGTCGGCGTCGCGCTGAGCATGGGTTTCTTCGCGTCACCGGCCAAGGCGTTCCTCAAGAAGAAGATCGAGGAGCGGAGCTCCGCCGCGGGCGTCCAGCTGAGGAAGTCGGCCTCCACCGAGTCTCTCACGGCCGGAGGGAGCAGGGACCATGAGCCGCTGGTGGGGCCGGGATTGTCGTCCGACCTCAACCGTGACGTTGGTGAGATTGTGGATGAGGCACGGATCCAGTGGGCTGAGAAGCAGAAGGAATTGAGGGCGAGGAGCTTCAAGGTGAAGGATGGAAAGGCGATGTAGTCAAGGCTGGGTGTGAAGTCGGTTGACCACGACTTGGGGCTTGTCAGGGTTTGGTTGTAGTTCAGCAGAGCCTGCCCATACTGCCGTCCATGGAATGTTTGACCTGGTCGGCATGTGTAAGATGGCATAGTGGGACTGGGTGCAGCCCAATAGCTGGAAAAGAACGGAAGCTACTAATGCACAGTGAATGGAGTGTGGCCAGAGACATCCCCACGTATAAAGGAGTAGTTTCTACAAGTAGGACTGGTTATCTGTAAAGTTCTGGTGACACGTATATCCTTTCAGGACTTATGAATGATGTGCAGGTGCTTTGAATCCTGGATTTCTGGATATTGAATCCGCATGCTCATCAGGCCAGTACCTAGGTACTTCGGTACTTTTCTGAAGCTTGTTTGCTGGAGTGAGGTGGTCCGTGGGCCGGCCTTGGTAGCTATGGGGCCGGCTCGTTGCAGGGTGGGTAGCAACCATTAACGCGTCGCGTATATGCGGCACCTTTTTAGGCAAGCACTTCGCTGCACCTCCAACTTTTCCCTCCTGCAATTGCGACAGCAGTTCGCAGCAACCTCCAGCATCTTCATTCATCAACCATTCCTAGGCTTTCAAGATGTCGATGTAGGTCCCCCCATTGTGGAATCCTCCCCCGAAGACCGAGTTCCGATTCCACCTAATGTCGCAAACGTGGCGAGCCGAGCTGACGAGATGGCCGACCTCAGGGAGAGCTTCGATAACATCTACTTGGACCTGTCCAAGGAGAGCGGCAAATGCCGATTCTCTGAAGCCGGACTTGGTTGGAAGCCCGCCGGCGGTGGCGATGCAGTCACCCTCGAATCGAGCAACATCGCCGGCGCACACTGGAGTCGAGCTTCGAAAGGCTACGAGGTCAAGATTCTGCAGCGAAATTCCGAGGTGATGCAGCTCGACGGTTTCCAGCAAGAGGTTCGCCACCCATGCAGACATTCTACCATGACCATAGATCCCTGACAAATGCGACAGGACCACGAGCGATTGACCCGGGTCTTCAAGAACTGGTACGGTCATGCCCTCGACACAAAGGACCACTCACTGCGGGGCTGGAACTGGGGCAAGGCGGAGTTCACAAAGGGCGAGCTCACCTTCAGCGTCCAGAATCGACCAGCCTTCGAGATTCCTTATTCCGAGATCGCCAACACCAACCTGGCAGGCCGAAACGAGATCGCTGTCGAGCTCGCCAACAATGACGGGGAGAAGGCTAACGGCCAAGCCACCAAGGGCCGCAAGGCAGCCGCAGCAATGGACCAGATGGTCGAGATGCGGTTCTACATTCCAGGGACGACTACAAAGAAGGAGGCCGAAGGCGAGGAGGCTGGCAGCGACGCTGACGAGGAGGAGGTCCAGGCTGCGCAGCTGTTTTACCAGACTCTGTTGGACAAGGCGGACATTGGAGACACGGCTGGCGATACCGTCGCCACCTTCCAGGATGTCCTCCACCTTACGCCCAGAGGCCGTTTCGATATCGACATGTACCTCACGTCCTTCCGACTTCGCGGCAAGACATACGACTACAAGGTGCAGTACGATGCTGTTAAGAAGTTCATGGTCCTCCCTAAGCCGGACGACGTCCACTTTCTGCTCACCATCGGCCTGGATCCTCCTCTGCGCCAAGGTCAGACGCGGTATCCTTTCGTTGTGATGCAGTTCAAGAGGGACGACGAGAGCACCATCGACTTGAACATGAGCGAGGAGATGCGCAAGGAGACGTACGATGGCAAATTGGAGGCACATTACGAGGAACCCATGCACCAGGTGGTGACTAAGATTTTCCGGGGTCTGTCCAACAAGAAGGTGTCCACGCCTGCAAAGGACTTTGAGACGTGAGTCCACTCGCTTCGATCTCCAGGAAGGATCCTGGCTAACATGCAAACAGGCACCGTCAACAGCAGGCGATCAAGTGTTCCATCAAGGCTAGCGAGGGCTTCCTCTACCTGCTGGAGAAGGCCTTCATGTTCGTGCCAAAACCGGCCACCTATATTTCCTTCGAGCAGACGCAGTCTGTAACCTTCTCCCGTGTCAGCGGCGCGGTGTCGGCTCTTTCTACCTTTGACATCACAGTGCAGATGAAGGGTGCCGGGTCGCAGCAATTCAGCAACATTAACCGGGACGATCTGAAGGCACTCGAGTCTTTCTTCAAGCTGAAGGGCCTGCGGGTCAAGAACGAGATCGACGAGGACGAGAAGCTGCTTAAGCAGGCGTTGCGCGCACAGGAGCTGAGCTCGGATGAGGAGGTCGTCGGCGGCGCGGCGGATCGCGGCTCAGCAGACGAGGACGAGGAGAGTGTCGATGAGGACTTCCACACTGAGTCGGAATCCGACGTCGCAGAGGAGTTCGATTCCGACCACGAGAGCTCCGGGTCTGGCAGCGGATCAGACGACGCGGACAGCGGGGTTGCCGACGACGACGGAGACGAGGGAGATGACGACGCGGAGTCGCCTCCCAAGAAGAAGAAGAAGACGTCGTCCTAGGCTATCTAGACTCTGTATTGGGGAGGTTGAGCTTTGAAAACGGAGAGGTCAGGGCCGGCGTTCTACGGTATACGGACGATTACGAAATGTCCAGGGCAGCATTGAGATTCCTAATCGCGATAGGGGACGTTTGTTCTTTTTCATCATGGGGGCTGCATGAGTTTCCGAAGATGACCAGGGGCCGTGTTCGCGCACGAGGCGATCGGTGCCATGGCAAATAAAATACTTTCCAGCCTGCCAGTCCGTGGGCTCCTTTTGCGTGATGCAGTTGAGGTTGCGGGATCAGCACCTGGATGTTTACGTAGAAAAGGTTTGGACGAACAATGCGGCACGTGGCCGTGTGCCGTTAGAAGGCCGGCCTAGTGGGATGGAATGCGCCGGGTGAGCATGGATGACAGGATGGACAGGCCCAGCCCCGGAGCCGCTGCAAGCCCTTTATTTTTGATTGCCCCACCACCACCAGGTACTTGGCCTGCCGTCCGGTACGGATGGATACCTGCCTAGGCAGTCAGTCTAGCTGGGCAGGGCAGGGCGCCACCGTAATGAGATATTCCGTAACCAACCCAGCCCAACTCAACCCACCCGCCTGCTGCTTTGTTCCGCTCCCAACGCCCAATCGACCCCAAGCCAATAAATATCAACAGCTACCCTCGTCATAATTGCCCGCAAGGAGAACTTGGTCCGCGGGTGCGTGGTTTGACTTTTTGCCGAGCGCCTGCCCTGCCCTGTGCTGCCCTGCCTGCCTTGCATCTCTTCTGCTCATCCGGCCCCAGCATGAGCCTTTGATAGCTGCCCCGCCCTCCACCCAAGATACAATGCTGCATGCTTGCCTCCGACAAACGTACACGATCCGCACGTCATAGCAGCCCTCGTGTCGACCATTTACATTTCCGAGTTCGACGTCCCTTCCCCTGGCGAACCTCCTCTGAGGAGCTTGCGTCAGTATGGAGAGCCAGGTACGGCAGATTTCTCTCTCGTTCCCGGCCGACGTCTCCTCCCCAGTCACCATGTGCTCGTGCTCGTGCCTCGTTTCCCTACCGCTTGGAGCTCTGGAACTGATTGTGAGACCACGCTGGTACAGATCGAGAATGCTATCGAGATAGCATGGAACCCGCAGTCCGATCAGGCTCTCAAGCAACAGGCCTTCTCCTTCCTCGCCAACCTGAGGTCCGACAGGCAAGGATGGCAGGCCTGCGTTTCTCTGTTCGTCCGCGATCCTCAGCCGACTGAGGTCATCCGCGTCGTCTGCCTCGAGGTCATTAACAACGCCATCATAATCGAGTCCGACCCGGGCCAGCTGGCGGCACTAAAGGATACCTTCCTCGACTACGTCAAGCGGAGCTACTCCACCAACCCGGACCAGCTCGACTCGCCCACCCTCCAGAACAAGCTGACACAGACCTTGACGTTCCTGTTTGTTCGGCTGTACAAGCAAGGATGGGAGACCTTTATGGACGATTTCTTGTCCATGACGAGTCTGCCCGGGAGCGACAGGAGGGACAACCCGGCCGGGTGCGTGCTGTACCTGCGTATCCTGCTTGCCGTCCATGACGAGATAGCAGACCAGCTGCTCTCCCGCCAGCCGGACGAGGCCAACCGGAATGTTGACCTGAAGGACCTTGTGAGGGAAAGGGACATGCAGAAGGTTGTTCGCTCTTGGCAGGAGATCCTGGCGCAGTACCAGGACCAGAATGACAAGATCATCGAGATGACCCTCAAGGTCCTGGGGAAGTGGGTGCAGTGGATTGATATCACGCTGGTCATCCAGCAGGACATGATCAACCTTCTGCTGCCTCTCATCGGCCGGACCAAAGGCGACACGGACAAGGTCCGGGATGCTGCTGTCGACGCCTACACAGAAATCACCTCCAAGAAGATGAAGCCCGCTGACAAGATGGAACTGATTGGTTTCCTCGGCCTCCAGCAGATTGTCGCGGAGCTCGTCAACAGCCCACCGTTGAATCAGTACAGGGGCACGCCCAAATACGATACTGACTTGGCCGAGGCTGTGGCGAAGCTCGTCAACGTGGTCATGACGGACGTGGTCAAGGTGCTTGAATCGTTCAGTGAGGATTCCGCTCCCAAAGCCGAGCAGCACTTGCATGATTTCCTTCCCCTGCTCCTTCGGTTCTTCTCAGACGAGTTTGACGAGGTCTGCTCCTCCGTTATCCCCTCCCTGACCGATGTCCTCACCTTCTTCCGCAAGATCAGCCCTCTGCCGCCTCGGTACTCGGAATTGCTTCCAAACATTCTGAATGCTATTATCATGAAGATGAGGTACGACGAGACTGCGTCTTGGGGCCACGAGGATGAGCAAACGGATGAGGCAGAATTCCAAGAACTTAGAAAACGGCTGCAAAACCTACAAAAGAGCGTGGCTGCTGTCGACCAGAATCTCTACATGGAGATCCTGAGCAACCTCGTTGCGAACACGTTCCAGACGCTTGATCAGCAGGGCTCCCAGATGGACTGGAGAGACTTGGACCTGGCCTTGCATGAGATGTACCTGTTTGGTGAGCTTGCTCTGCCAAATTCGGGGCTCGTTGGGAAGTCTCAGCCCAACAGTGCTGCCGCGGAGAGGCTCCTGGTGATCATGTCGAAGATGGTAGAATCAGGTAAGCCACGAGCACAATCTCCTTTGATTTGTGTTACATTCGTACTGACAAGAACCTGCAGATATCTCCAACTTTCCACACCCTGCGATCCTTTTGCAGTACATGGAGATCTGCGTTCGATATGCTGTCTTCTTCGAGAACCGCCAGGAGTACATACCACGAGTACTGGAAAACTTCGTCCGGCTGGTCCACCATGACCACCTTCGAGTTCGCATGAGATCGTGGTACTTATTCTACCGCCTGGTCAAGCAGCTGCGTGCCCAAGTGTCAGGCATGACTGAAACAGTCATCCAGTCTATCAGCGATTTGCTGTCGATCAAGGCCGAAGTGCCTGGCGATGAAGCCGATGACGACATGTCCTCCGACGAGTCTGACCACTCGGCGGATGCCGCTTTCACCAACCAGTGCTACTTGTTCGAAGCCATAGGATGCATCTCATCAACCAACAGCACCCCAGTCGAACAGCAAGTACTGTACGCTCGAACAATCATGGAGCCCCTGTTTGCGGATATGCAACAGAACTTGCCAAGAGCAAAGTCTGGTGACACGCAGGCGATTCTTCAAGTCCATCACATTATAACAGCCCTGGGGATATTAGCCCATGGGTTTGCTGACTCGTCGGCGGGCGGTAACGTGAACAAGCAGCCGCCACCACCCAAGGAGATCTCTGAGGTTTTCTCTCGTGTGGCAGAGGCCATTCTTGTGGCGCTCAAGGAATTGAACACTAACCGTGAAATCCGGACAGCCTGTCGCTCGGCTTTCTCTCGCCTCCTTGGCGCGCTTGGAGCGACCGTGCTGCCTCAGCTGCCGCAGTGGATCGAGGGCTTGCTTTCTCAGAGCTCATCGCACGACGAGATGGCCATGTTCCTGCGCCTGCTGGAGCAGATCGTTTTCAACTTCAAGGGTGAAATCTACGACATCCTCAACATGCTGCTGACACCATTATTGCAACGCATCTTCGAGGGCCTGTCGCAGCCAGCCAGCGGTACTGATGACGAGATCCAACTCGGCGAGCTGAAAAGGGAATATCTTCACTTCATCCAAATCATCCTTCAGCACGACCTGGGAGGAGTGCTCGTGAGCGAGACGAACCAGGGATATTTCGAGTCCCTCATCTCTTCCATCATGACGCTTGCCAGAACGGTCTCTCACAACAACATGTCAACTAGCAGACTGGCTTTTGGCCTCATGATAAAGATGACGTCTGTCTGGGGTGGCCCGGACGTCGCTAGTATTTCAAACAACCCGTCACCGCCCACAGGCTCCCCAGCACCCCTTATCCCGGGCTTCGACGGTTTTGTCATTGAACGCTTCCACCCCATCTGCTGGGAGGTTCTGAGGGACCCACAGTTTAATCCGTCGGACGCACAGACCCGACAGGTCATGAATGAGATCGTCCAGCTGGAGCAAACCATCTACGCCAAGACAGGCGACACCTTCATCAGGCACCTGCAGTCAAGCCTGTTCCCGAGCCTGGGAATTGACGGGAACGAGTTCTTGCAGTGTCTGTCGACGGACAAGAAAGCTTTCCTAAACTATCTGACGAGGCTGAGTGGGAGCAAGTAGGAAATCCCTTGTGCCGTCGAGGGGAAGAAGTCGATTCCTTCCGCCGAGTTTGTGATTTCACATCCCTGCCAGTGGCCTTGACTTACGCGGGCGACCGCGTAGCTGTTCCCAGCTAGCCTCACTCTGAGGGTCGGAATTTTGGTGGACCCAGCGACATACATAATTAGTTTGGAGACAAGATCAAGCAGGCGCTCTAGACAAGTGTGCAGCATGCGCCAGGACAGAGCTACATGTTGGATGCTATGGGGTTGAGAGGAAGAGAGCATCGGCCATACGGAACAGACGAATTTGTTTGTTTGGATGAATAGATAGAGAAAAAAGATATCCCCCCCCCCCCCAAATCCGATTTGCATAAAGATATGAACGCTATCCGCTACATACATGAAGAGGTGGTGGTGGATATCACTAAATACGTGTGAGACGGCTCCCTACGCCGCTGCGAAATGCTGAGTTTGCAAAAAGGTCAGAATTGTCTAGAAAGCCTGGACAACACAGTGCAGTCTTATAAAACTGTACCGTCACGACGTCTTTGCCCAATAGCGAAGTGTCTCGATGAGTAGTGACTAGGTGATGTGTGTACCTTAGGGTACGTATTTGAGCACTGGATTAGTTAGCTTAGTTCCCTTGCCGCATAGCCACACTGTTCGGCTTTGGCTCAAAGTGTATTCAAAACTAGTCAATACGAGAAAGTTGTTGACTGCCCTGTTGTGTCTACAGATATTTCGACGGCTTGAGGATCAGCGCGAAGTAAAGCACGTGCATACAAATACAGTCAGGATCATGTATAGCAATTCGTTGAAGAGTGATTGCATGCGAGATATTGCATTTGACTAGGCACACAAGCGAAAACTAAACGGCCTGATGCACCTACATATCTACCAAAGTCTAGACAACTCGTAGCTCTTTTCAGGCCTGTTTCCCTAAAACATAAAGTGCCTGCATAATTCGAAAGGACTTTTCTGATGTGCTGCCGGCTGCTCAGGCAGTCATCGAGGTGCCGCTACTTACTTTAGTCTCTTAGTTGGATGTCTAACACAGACTAGGTGAGCACCTGCTCACGTAGGTAGTCTTAGTCTGCCCACAAACAGTGTTGGAGAGTCCCAGACTTCCAAGGCCAGTCGAAACAGGTTCTGGGGAGAAAGGCCATCCCACTTCACAACCTGCAAGCCACACGGCTGGTGCCCGGCACCCAAAAGATTTCGAGCAAGAGTCGACGACCTAGTCGTTTAGTGCTAGCAGCCGGCTCGGTCCTGACATGAAACCAGACTCTCATATTCAAGGAAACAGGACCCAGACAACAGATTACCGTGCTCGTGCAGAAAGTTGGACAAAATGGGATGTCTTTAGAGCGGGCGTGAAGATCACGCCAGCTACATCTTCATATTTTCCATTTTCGAAGACCCAACACGCCTACCACGCACACCCACCTCTCTCACACACTCACACACAAACCCTCACACTCGCTCACATCTTTTCGTTCGACCAGACTCATAGCATAGCATCGCGAGGCTTGCTATTCGAATTTCAAACAAACAGGATAATCAGATCTGCATCTTCGCTCTCTGATCTATCGCCAGACGAAGCCAAGGATACCCACCAGTCCACCTGACGGCACATCTGCCCTCTCAAGGCGCGAAGAAATCAAAGAAATCGACACAAAGTCAAGAACTGGGTCATATACTACCAAAGACCCCGAACACAACCCATCACTCGTTAGCTTCGCGCTCAAGTCACATCTCAGAGCTCGTCACCCACCATCAGGAGCAGACAGCAATTCTGTGACCCTACAAAGCCACCTCGACTCTTTTCTTCACCAGCCAAGATGGAGAGCCAGAATCCCCCACCTCAGACGCATGACGGATACATGGAGATCAGCCAAGCTCCATCAATCTCCGCCCTGCTGGCCAACCCCTCTATCGACCACTTTGGAGTCCCAATCCCAGTCGAGTATCCCGAGCTCTGGATCACAAAAGCCAGCGCTAACAGGAAAACGTTCGGAAGGCTTTCCGAAGACGATATCGATGCCATCCACCGCGTGATTGCTCCCGCCGCCGTGGAGTGGGAGATGAAATACGGTACCATCTATACTCGCTCCCCGGGGCCCATCGACGACAGACATTGGGGGCTTCAGGGCGCCAAAGTAGTGCCCGTTAGGCTCAACCTACCTGCAGGTGCAAGCATCGGCTCGTTCGCGGGCGACAAGGCTCTGAGGAACCACGACTTCACGGCCCTGTCTCAAACGGGGCTGCCAGGCGGGGACCGGCCCCAGGATCTCATCCGGTGGAGGCTCTACGACTCCCGCTGGCGCCGAAAGATATCCTATCCCTCGGAATATATCGTCTGGGAGGACCCCGACAGCGGGAAACTGTACGCCCAGATTCCGAGGCCCCTCGAGGGTATGAGCCGCACGGGCTGCGACCACTGCCGGATCCACGACCCGGATCACGCCGGGGAGTTCGTCGAGTACTTTGATGACCGGCGCCACGTCGGCGAGTTCCGCACGATGAGCTCGGGGGACACGGCCGTCACTCCGTTCAACCTCTGCAGGTTCCACTGGTGGTACGTCTGGTCCGGAGAGCTGTTGCGGCAGAGCCAGATCCACGCGCTGGAGTTGTTCGTCAGCGGCGACCTTCTGGAGAGGTGGGGGATATCTCACATGCGAGATTTCCTCCTCTTTATGGGATCACACTTTTCAACCGCTTATGAGTTGCGTGCCGATGACTTAGCGGGGAGAAGACCCCCAGGGCCGGGCCCGGCGCGAGGCGCTTGGTTGAATACGATCGGACGCGCGGATCTGGAAGAATTGGAGAACTCTAACTTGCCGAACGCCCAAGGAGCAACGGCGCCTAACACACACGCGGATCAGTCGGTGCCTGGTGGTCAACCAGCCAGCGCCACAACGGCCGATGGACCAGATGGTACCAAGGCCAGCGATCAGAGCACCGTGGAGCCCGCATCTCCAGGCCTGATAGATGCCTACGTCAGAAGCCTCAAATTTTATCTGCTTAAGTTGGGGTTCGAGAAAGCAGCCTCCGACCTGGGCAAACTTAGAAGTCCAAGACAGGTGAGCAGACAGGCGGTATTTGGCCTTCCCATGCGCGCTTCTCGTCGCCGCGGCGTATCCTTGCCGAAAGCTACATCGTTTCTCGACGGGTTTCCCGCCCTGATCTTGGCTCAAGAAAACAACGGACTCGCAATTCGTCGTGCCAACGGAGACTCACAGCCCATGAACGAATCAGGTGCATCGTCGAGTGCCGCAAACTCGATGCCCGCTCCAGAGTCCGCTGGCACTGACACTGACACGGTTGGGCCAGCAGAGCGGCCACGCACGAACGGGCAGTCGACGCCGGCACCGAACTACACTTCGCCAGCTGGTGCCGGTGTCAACGGTGTGACGGCCTCTCAAGCCAACGGTCTCGCTCCATCAAGAACCGTGGCAGCGGTTCCTCACCCGCAGACTAAGGGTACGCCGGCGTCGAGAAACGATGGATTTCTGCGCTCGCCGCCGATAGGACCGCGAGCTTGGCTGAAGAATCAAGCAAAATAGGCGAGGGAAGGGCGCAACTCTGCTCATGATTCGGAACGTTCGCGTAGAGTCGCCCTCCCACTTCGACCCAAGAGAAAGGCATGAGCAGCGGTGCCAGCAGAGTTCGCAATAGATTGGTTTGCGAGTTGAGGACACCATTCGCTGCGTCGTTTGCATAGGTGGTCTCGAGCTGGAATGGGTGGAATGGCTCGATCGGACGGCACGGGCAGGGCCCGCGAAGAGAACAGGCCGTGACGCCGGGGGTATGTAGGGTGTCTCTGAGATTGGGGATATTTTCTTCTTTTTCTTTGTTGAAGGCGGAGCCTCAGAAACGAAATAAGTTGTCATGCGGAAGCAAAGAGTCCCGAGACGGATGCATAAGCGAAGGGCAGTGCTGGGTTCGGAGGTTGTCAGCAAGGGGACAGGGCGCGATCAGGAGAAAGCTCCTGCATGGAAACGCGAAGACATGCATATTTGATGGATGTTTGTTTTTGGTAATGCGAGGTGTTCGTGTAACAGGTCAACTCGACTATTTTGAATTTGGTAAAGAGAGTTGGGACGGGACATGCAGGCGTAAGATAGATTCGGATCTGGAGATTTCGATACCACTGGCGAGTATGGCCATTGGAACGAGAGATGATAGTCTGAACGCGATAGCAGAATGAGAGGGAGCGTTCAGTACAAAGACCCTCATCGGTCAAAGACTTTGATGTTTGCCCCTTCTGTGTCCCCATCGTAGGCACGTAGATTGAGGTCGAGTTGAAGACTTGTGCGTTGAACCTTCGTATTTGGTGGACTATAGTCCTGTGAGGAACCCAGCGAGAACGCGTTGATCCGATCATGAGATAAAAGTGTATATTGCCAGTCTCAAGCTACTGGGACCGGAGGCGTCTTCTCTGACATGCTACCATCAGTTCCGTGGCTGGTAGCAGGGTGCCACTCGCAGAAGGGTAACTGCAACACTGGCTTCAGAGACCCTTGATCAACCGACACAATACGGGAATGCCTCGTTTTTCATCTAATCAACGAGAATTTTGGACTCGAGAGCGGTATAGTTGGACAAGAATGACTCGAACAACTTGATGCCATGCTCAACGTCGTATGTACCGCCAGTTTCACGGATCGAGTGCATCGAAAGCTGCGGGTTTCCGAGGTCAAGGGTGCGCACACCCATCTTCGCAGAAAGCATTGGTCCGATGGTGCTGCCACATGAGCTGTCATTTCGCACCACAAAGAGCTGGAGAGGCACGCCTGCCTTCTTGGCAACTTCCTGCAAGAGGACAATACCAGGGGAGTTGGTCGCGTAACGTTGGTTCGCGTTGACTGCGCTTGGGTCAGCAAGGTCCACATTCGACACGGGACAGCCGTAGAGACCGAATGGAAAGCTTACTCTTGATGACCGTGCCCTTGTTCATTTCAGGTTGGTGGTTCGACTCGTACTTCTGTTGATAATTTGGGTTCACTGCTGAGTGTGAGCAAGCGTGTTCAGATACTAGGTTGAGAGCCATGACTTACCTGAGTGTGCCATGTCTGCAGAGACGAAGAAAGACGTGGAAAGGGTCTGTTCAAAAGCAGTCGCGATATCGTCTGGGTTGACATGCTCATATGACTTCTCAGAGCCCGACTCGGAAAAGTTGCCTCTGGGCAGGACCGACAAACGCCGAAGCACAGCGGGCAAAAGGTTTGAGTTGGCCCCATGAGCGGAGGTGGAGCCGATTTCTTCGTGATCAAAGCAAGTGATCAAACGGATGGACGACTCGTTGTCCAGAGCACTGTCTGACTTGACCGACTCTATAAGGCCCAATACAGAGCAGTACGTCATTCCGAGGTTGTCGAGTCGCGGAGAGAAGATGAACTCGTCGTTGAGACCGCCGAAGCAGGACTTCTGGGTGTCGTACAGCACTAGTTCGAAGTCTATAACGCCATCTGTCTCAACTCCGGCGTGTTGTGCAATGATCTCCAGAAGATATGGGTGGTGTCTCTGGGTCATCGCTTTCAAGGGCTGAAACTCGCCGTCGCCCTCAGCCTCGGGTGGCTCCTCCTTCTTTGCTTCCTTCTCGCTCACTCCGGTCCGGTTCAGCTCGGCAGCCGCAAGGCCACAGATGGGAAACAACTCGGTTTCTTTATTTGGGTCGAAATTGGCCGACCTATCAAGGTGGATGGCCAGAGTGGGGACGCGGAGGATGGGCTTGTCGACCTTGATGAGCTTCTGTACAAAGTTGCCGGCCGAGTCCTTGACCAGGACGCGTCCTGCAATTGACAGGTCGCGGTCGAACCAGGAATGCCAGATACCTCCACCATAAGTCTCAACGCCGACCTGCAAGAATCCAGCGTTGGTCTTCTTTGAGACGGGCTTGATACGCAAGCATGGCGAGTCAGTGTGAGCGCCAATCATTGCAATGGAGCTCCCGGGAGCCCATTTCTTGCCGATGGCGAAGGCGACAATGGAAGAACCATTGCGGGTGAGATAGTACTTGCCACCGGGCTGCAAGTCCGAGGACCAGTTGTCCCTCTCCTTGATGCCTTTGAAGCCCGCCGCTTCGAAAAGTTTCACGGAAGAGGCGACGGCATGGTAGGCTGATGACGCGTGAGCAAACTGTGGAGCTTGGTGTTGGTTGGTCGGGGTTACGACTTACGAGTTGGGGAGGCGTTCACGAAATCCAGAAAGTCTTGAGCAGGCTTGGGAGGTGCCATTGTGATTGGCGTCGTGGAGATGCACCGACGACAGGATATGAGAAGGCCGCGGCGAGACACGTGCAAGAGTGATACTGCTGATGTGGAGGAACCCAAGACAAAGGTGCTGTTCTTGAGCATGGGCTGAATAGAGTTACGGGGGCGGCAGGCAGCAGATTGGGATGGCAGAAAGCTTCTGAAGGGCAAGAAGAGGATAGATAGTAAGCTCTGTTGCTATGTGGCTCTTCGTCGGTCTGTACCTAGGTAGTCGTGGTTGTGGGCGTTGGAAGTGGCACCTGAGTGACGCTCCTTCTCCTCCGGCACTGGCTCTGGGGTCACCTGGGGCTGGTGTCCCGTCCCTGATTGGCGAGACCGGAAGCGAGCTCGGCGAGTGATCCGGCAACCCAGCCGCCGGTGCTGATCTCACATCCGGGGAATTAGTTAAGCTTGCGTACGTAAAGGTAGGTCCATGATTGATGCATCTCACACTCACTTCCTTGTATGGCAGATATCCGATCCTTCAGCCCTATACCTTGGTGCCGGCGCACCAGAGAATCTGCCGTATCAGCTATATGGCTTTGACGTGCCGCCTAGGCTCTCTCTCGATATCACCTGTCAACGACTGATCGCATGCCAGCCTGCCTTGCCAACACAGCCGGCCAGCCTGTCGTCGCTTGGAGCCTTGCATGATGCGACATCAGGCGGGCCAGGGGCCAGGGGCCGCACGCTCTATGCGCGCAGGCGCGCATAGTCGCCCACGGTGAGCGGGCAGGGTGGGAGGAGGAGGCCAGGCTTCAGTCCTGATTGACCCCGGCTCCGGCGACCTATCAAACGCGGGCCCGTCGGTCTGTGGCACCCTCTGCTCTGGATGGGGGCTGCTGGCTTAGACCAACAGGATCAATCACAGCCGTCCATTGAAGAGCGCCACCGTATGCCAACAGAAAAAAGACTCCCAAGTACGTACATTGCAAGATTACAGGAGCCGGCGAGGTCAGACACGAACACTTGGCTTCAGCCGCTGAAGATTATTTGGATCATCTGGAACCCATGAGCGAGAGCATCGTATACGAACAATAACATCCTTCTTCATGCCCGCTCACTCGCACATACGCACACACTCTCTCCCGGTCTCCACCCAAGTCTACATGCGCCAGCGTCAGATCGATGGAGGCACTCATAAAATCGCTGCTATGCGAACACATTGTAACTCACCATGGTTCTCAATGAGTTCGGGACTTTTCCAATGCCTCACGGCGCCCTGTCGGACACCAGCCGGTAGCGGTAATGCTGCAGCCACCGAGGCTGCTACGGTGCTCACATCCCATTCGACCTGACATGGAGCTTAATCGATGCACTGAGGACAGGAACGGAACATTTGAACAAGAGATGAAGCTCGTTTCGGACTGGTCAGTGGGGCCCCTTGGAAGATTGAGATGGGCTTCCTATGACCGTGCCCACCGCCCACAAACACACAATTATTCCGAGCTGCCTCCTCTCACTACCGCCCTGGGCCCTCCATCTCCAATACATGTGCGGCCATTCACGAACGACTCCTCCGTTCAGCTTCATCCGTATTTCTGTTCGGGAAGGGGTTGCTCTCGCTCCAGGCTTCTTTCGCCTCAGGTGCTTCCTTGGAGCGACGCTGATCACGGCCCTAGCCCGGAAACGGCGGGCTAGTCGGGCTAGTGGGTGGGCTCCTGGGGACGGATCGACGAGTCCCAGCCCTGGGAGAGCCAGGGAGCTGCAAAATGGGTGATGCGACCCCCGGTTCCTGGCACATCGACAAGCAACCCTGCCCCTAGGCTCGACGGTTAATTTTGAGTTGCGACGATCACACATCAACAGGTGTGTCAGATTCTTGCTGGTACGGACGAGGGCTGCCATTGTCCAGGTGCATCCATTTTGACCGCTTTGCTGGCTCGCCTGCTGCACGACATCCTCATCGTCACCTGGCCGAGGCGGAGATGCAGGCGCAGATCTGATTGTTGACAGCGGAGGCCCTCCCGTGTCTGGCGGGCGGGATCCCATGACCCTCGACCCTGTCGGTCCTCGAACATGCAAGACAGCGTTGAGGAACAATGACCTCTACGACCGTAAGATTGAATGATGGGCCGGAGGCACCACCTCCCTTCTGGGCCGACACGAGACGCCTAATTTTGAACACGGCACCATGGCTTCGCTGCGCTACAAGGGGCATAATGCTCCTGGCCACTTCTCCCCAAACCTCACTGGCGATGGTGGTCGAGCCTGGATCTCCCAGGATGGAAGATTCGCTTCCCGGTCACCGGCCCCCACAACTGGCCGCAAGGAAGTCTTGTGAAACAATTGTCGAGTTTAAAAACAACCGCAGCCAGCGGAAGCCGTGCCAACTGGAGGCCCAAGGACCAACAAGTCGACCAAGCGGTCTTGTCTTGTATTTTCCGCGCCCGTGTGTGCTTGTGTGCACGAGCCGGGTGATATTGCAGCTGGATGTACACATGTCAACGGCTTCCAGTCCTTGACTAGCAAGCCGGCACACACCTCCTTGATATGTTCCTGGCTTGTTGACGGCATGGCATCTGCATGGCTGTCCTGCCATCAGTCGACCGGGCTCATCACGTCCACTCTATCAGCTGTTGCGGGCTAGTAGTCGACGCAAGCCTTTTACTCCGTGCACACAGACAGGGAGAGATCGAAGGTAGACTGCCCATAGCATAGGGTGATCTACCGGGCACCACCGCGACAGCTCTGGCCCACGCCGGTGGCAGGCTTGCGTGACGGCCAGTCCAGATCTGGCTAGATCCGTGAGTTGCCAACTCAGATCAGCCATCCGTGGACGCAGCTCCCGGCAAAAAAGGGAAGACGGCCACAGCGACCTGCAGGGCCAGGTGCTACATGCCGTATTTGTACACCCAACCATGCTGGCTGGTATGTGTGTACAGGTGTCGGCTGCCATGTACAGATCACCACGGAACGAGCGTGTTGCCAGTCGGTCCGCGACGAGGCGATGGGTATCCGGTTGAGCCCAGATCCGAATGGCAACTGTCTGGGACGGAGAGCATGCACAGGCTGCAACCACTCGAGTGAAGCCATTCCTTCGTCCGAAGTCCAGGATTAAACAACAAGGCCGGCGTAGCCCTCAAAGGCTGCCGTGGGCGTAGGCGTCGGCGCGGGCGTGCGGTGTTGGCTGTGAAAATACTGTGTACAAACCGGGCTGCTGCGAAGGGGTCCCAAGTGCCATGGGTATCTGGGCACCCCCCTTGGAAGAGGGGCTGCGGGTGCTCATCTTGCACAGACCCAGACCCTTGCATGTTGCGCAAGACCGTCTCCGCTGCCAATGTCGTCCCTCGCCCACCAGGGCAATAAGGTTTTTGTGGCGATCAGGAGCTGGGGGTCCCTTTCCTGACCGCAGGAGTCTCCGTGACCGACAGAACATCAAGGCAGTCTCTGCTGCACGCACACGTAGTATACTGTAGTGTACTGAGGAGCCCGCCGTGTGCCCTCGAGGGGTGCTATCATGTTGTCTTAGCCCCCTCGGGAGACGGTCGGGAGGAAGACACCGATCGATCGATTGCAAGAGGCGCCAATGGTACGGTACAGTGCAGTCAGTCAGTACACTGCGCAGCACACCTCTTCCTCCCAAGCACAGTCGAAATCTCAACTGGGGTCCTGTCCTGCAAGCGTCCCTAATCCGCGCCCCGGCAACCTCTGGTCTCATCGGAAAGGGCTTAGCCTGACAGGCAAGTGCCGGGATCTGCCATGTCCACTCGCCCAAGCGACAGCAAGGCGGGAACCTGCCTAACCCAGCCAGCCCGCCCAGCCCGCCAGCCCGCCTGGAGCTTGGGAGACCGACGTGCCCTTGGGGATCCAGGGACGCTTCAGCCATTTGACGTGACGCCGCCCGCCCAAAGCGCCTTTTGGGAGACTGACCCCAACACCCACACACCCTTCCCAAATCGCGGCATCCATGCACACGAAACAGCGGATGCGCGTCTCTTTTTCTTTCCTTTCCTTCCTTCCCCTTTGCCTTCCCTACCCACCCCTGACAATGGCGCCTACCAGTTGCCAACAACGCCTTGGCACAACTGGGGCCAAAATTGGCGCGGTGAGGAGGGCAGTGGGTGGGTGGTGGATTGACCGAAGTTGAAGGAAGGGGCCCCATCTACAACACACTGTCACCACAAGGCCGATGAACGATGACACGAGACAGCTGACAGTCACCCGACTGCAACCGACTAGCCTGGGGAAACGTGTGGCCTGTATACAGTGCACAGTATGCTTAGAGAGACTACCGGTCGGGCTACTACTACTAGGTAGAACTTATTAAAAGTAGGTGTTTGGCAGCGGACGGCAGTAGGCCCATCCTGGCCGGCCAGAGAAGGGCTTCGGTGATGAGGCATGCTTGGCGTCGTTGCCCTCTCCCATGCCATTGACCGGCTGATTTGAGTATGGCCTTGTATGGCTGCCCGTCGGGCTCGGGTGGGAGAGGGAGCGGGCGAGGGTCGAGGGGTGAGGAACCGGGGGGCCAGAGAGAAAAGAGATAGGTGGGCCCGGCCTACAGCCAATGGCCGCGACACAGCCAGTCTCACCCAGGCACCTCTGCCAACATGATGCACCTCATGTCAAGAATGTGCCCAGCGCAGTATGCCTTTGGGATCTGCAACGCAACGGCAGGTTGGGACACCATGAGATGAATTAGCAGGGCCTCGACCTAGACCCTGACCTTTGCAGTACAGCACAACACCGATGGGTGGCAACGTGTGTATTGTATTGTATTGTTTGTATGTATGTGCAGCGTGATGTCTGTAGTCCGGATGTAGGTACCTAAGGGACGACCACCTGCACATGCGAGGATGCAGCAATCTTGCATCTCCATCCACGCGTTGAGTAGGCTCAAGCTAGCTTCTCAGATCCCCTTGTCTCGTACGGATGGATCCACATTCCCCTGTCACGCCGCGAGGACAACTTTCGAACGAAGTTGGTGAGTATCTAGGTAAACGCCGTCGTGGCTTCCATCGCCACAGGTACCTCCTGCCTACTGCCTGCCCACCATGCTTGCTTGCTGTGCTTGTCGCCCAGGGAGGAAATGGAGGTAGGAGCTGGGCTGCCCACATAGAGAGAACGTGGGAGTACGCAGCACACACCCATTGTCCATCCGGGTATGACGCTATCTAGGCACCCAGGGTATTCACCACCTTCCAAGGTTATTGTGGGCACTACCGCCTCCGAGCCTACCTCTGCCAACTTCGAACGCTCTACGCGCTGCACACACTACACACACTGCACACACTGCACCCATCGCACTGCGCCTTGCCTTGAATTCCAATCCCCCCCCCCCAACACTACGCTCTCCTTTTTGCTTGTCCTCCTTTTGTTCTTGTTATACCTCAACTCATCTGTCCGCGGGCGGGATGTTGCTCGTAGCGCACTGTCATGTCATATCATGCCATGTAATGTAAAGTGGCGGCCCAAGAGCGACCCTGGCAGCTTTTTTTTTCCCCTGGAGGGGATCACCGCATGTCGCTGCAAGTCTCCCGATAGGTCCTGCGTTGTACCCGAAGCATTCCCATCCAAAAACATCACCAAAGCTGCCCGCACCCTTGTCGCAAGCGCATTGCCCCATGGGCTGCTTAGGTATCAGTGCTGCATACACGCTGTGCTGTGCAGTCTGAGGTCTCTCTCTCTTGAGATCCGTGTGGCTCCCCACTGGTTGATCACAGGACTGCCGATTGTCGAGGCGATTGCCTGCTTGCCCCCAAAGCTGAGCTTGCTACATATGAGTCTGCCAGTGCCTGCCAGCCTGCCTTCCTTACAGCCAACATGTGTCTACTCACCTGGACGCTGTCGGTGACTCGTCGAGCAGCTGTATAAATTACGCAAGCCGGGCAGGGCAAGGGCAGGGCAAGGGCAGGGCGCAACAAGGTACCTAGTCTACTGTACATGGGCAGACACACACACACACACACTTCTGTCTTCGTCTCTCTCACTCACACCCACAGGTGGACTGGGGGTGTGAGGCGCGTGGGTGTCATGGGGCAACCCGCCAGCAGGGATTCGCCGCTCGATTATCGAACCTTGGGAGTACCGGCCTGGCTCGGTAGAGAGGACTTGCCGGCCCCAAAGTGTCAGACGCCCGCCCACGACCTCCCTCAACCAGCACCCGGCCATGATCACGACATTGTGAGCAGAATTGGCACAGGTTTCCGGCGCGGGACGATTCGCAGGCCACTGGGCTCCCCGGATCTGAGTTGGGTTTTTGCAGCCCTCGATGGCGGTGCGTGGTACGGCCGCCCTCTCGACAGCAGGGCAGCGCCGACAAGATCGGGGACAGAGCTGGGCGGCTGGTACACTGTACGCGAAGAGCATGGGAGGACATGGTACCCGGTACCCCCAGCAGGGCAGGGGCCCAGGTACCTCCACTGCCGCTTCCAATTACGCTAAACTTGCACCAGCGAGGGGCGCCTGGTCTTGTCTCCCGCCGCCTCTTCTGCTTGCTGCCTCTTCTTGCTGCTCTCTTTCGTGCGAGCCCGCTTTCCTCTTGCTTTTCTCCCCTGTCCACACCCCATCAACACCTGCGGTTCACCCGCCTTGCTTTCCTCTCGTCGTCTCTCCAGCGTCGACAGAGTCTGCATCGTGCGGCTTAGAGAGACACGGAAATACACACGACGAGAAGCACACTCCCGAGCTTTTGCCCGGCCAGCCGTTCCGCTTGCTTTTACCCTGCTATCGCCCTGGGTCTCCACCCCTGCCACGCCAGCGACAGCTTGTGTGAACTTTCGGTGCAGCGGCAGCAGCAGCAACAGTCACCCACAACCACCCGTGTGCCTCTTGACTCACCCCGAACCTTGAGATTTTCGCGCGACGACAATCACAGTAACGATTGCGAAGTTACTTGAGGGGCACGATTTTGGACCGGACGCAGCAGTTATTGTTATATATCCAACATAGCCGGTTCGAACAGTCCTCGCGAAGAGGCTTCCGCACAGCAAACCCGTCACCGCGACCCCGATTGCTGTCACACCCTCAGCCGCCTCGACCGAACCCCAAGACGCCGTTCACTCCGTACATGACCGCATTACGTGCTCGTCACTCCGTGAAATCACGCCGTATCGTGTCTTTTCCGAGGACAGGCGCGATAGCCACGTCATTCTCGAGCGACGTCACCACGAGTGAAGCATCTTCGAGCAGTACGGATTTTCACCTTCCGGGTTCACCTTGACTTTCCCGAGGTCGCCATCTCATATTGGTCGGCCGCTGGAGAAGAGAGGACAGGGTCTGCTTTGTAGCACGAGGATAACCAGAAACCTCTACCTTTGTCGAGACGCAAGAGCCTGCTGAGTCGAAGATTCGTCTGGAACCCTGCATCGCTTTGTTGTCTTTGGATTCTCAGATCGTCGCTGCGCCCCTGCTACGTGGATGAGATCGTCTCTTGATCCCTTTCTGGAAACTTTTTCACGGCTTAGCGTCCAAGACGCGAGTTTTCTTCGTCGGGTTGGCTGCATCGGGCGACCTTGCCTGCACCCCCGGCCGATTCCTCAGTCTCCGGTTGAGACAAGACTAGGCAGCCTGCAGCGGGGTGACGGGCCTTGAATTCCTTGTCAGAACCACCACGACGGAATCACTTGTATTGCTTTCCACTCGCTCACCGATCACAACTCTCATCGCTTCCCCCACCCCCCCTCCTGGCGACGAACCTCCCCGATAACAGACGGTGAGAGGTACAGCGCAGCAGCGCCCGACTCGCCAAGCTCACCGTGCGATCACATCGCAACACTTTAACTCTGGTTTTTACCCCCGACAATTTCGGCGGCAATGGCCGCACCTATGCAACAGATGCCTGGCCAGCTCATGCCACAGCAGCAGAACCGCTTTGGCGTGGGCGGCGGAGGGCAGGGGATGGATTTTGGCCACTATGCTTTCCAATTCATACAGAGTACCCCGTATGTCGGCCCTGGCTGGCAGACAAGCGTGGCAATCACGGAGCGTGTCGGCAAGGCTCAAGACCTGTAAGTTTTGCCCGTTGTGAAATTTCATTGTTTGTCTCATTTTTCCTCAACTCCGTTATAATTGGCTGGGCGGCCGTATTGTTTCCGTTCCGGATAGGTTTTACTTTTATTGTTGCACTCTTCATTGTCTTCTCCATCGACATCTCATCCCTTAGGCTGACACGTCTCTCAACCCAGTATTACTAGCGCTGTCCTTGCAACGCCTAATCAGCCGTGGCAAAGACTCGCTCACCTCTGCGTTCAATTTGAGCAGAACACCTTTAGGGAATCACCAGATAAAGTGAGCCACCCCGAACACAGCATCACCATTGTCATGGGCGTGTACTGACCTTGGCAGACTACATACGATCATAAAATGCGGCAAAAGAGCGCAGAAATGCACGCCAGGCGCCAGGGCCAAGTGCCTCAGCTCCAAGAGTCGATGAACGCCCAGGCAGCGCAGCGACAGCAACAAATGATGATGATGAACCAACGACAACAGCAGGCTGCTCTGATCCAGGCCCAGATGGCCGGCAGGGGTGGTGGGCCTAACCAGGCGGGATTTCAGCACCTGCAGAATCCCATGCAGGTATCTCAACTGCCTCAACAGGCCCCTCAGATGGGTCTCAGCTTGAGCAACGGCATGAACCCGCAGATGAACCAAGGACAGCCAGGTTTTCAAATGCCTCAGGGCCCCCAGCGCGGCCCTGAACAACAGCAGTTGACCGATGCGGACAAGCAGAAGATACAGGCGCTGGCTCAGAACCTGATGCAGCAGGCAAGTGATGCCCAGAAACAACAGATGATGCAAAATGTTGCAAGCCGGCTGCCTCCTCAGAGACTTGCACAAATGCGAGCAGAAGGCCAGAATCCTCTAGCAATGTTGTTCCAACAAGAGGCGACTAAAAGGTTCATGATAGCCCGGCGGCATCAGATGCAGAAGCAAGGAATGCCGCCCAACACGCCTGGCATGCAAATGCAGTCCGGCCAACAGCGCGCAATGAACCCAAACATGATGAACAACATGGGCCAGCAGGGTGGACAACTGGGACCGTACGGCAACAACATGGAGAGCATCATGAACGAACAGAAGCAAGGTCTCCTGGCCGAGCAGGCAGGGCAGCTCGTCGTACCGGCGAGCTCGGGCCCGGGCCGCAACGCTACGCCTCAGCCTCTCTCGGGCATCCAGCCCCAGAACATGTTCTCTCAGGGCCAAAACCAAACCCCGCGGCCGCAGATCCCGAACGGCTTTGACCTGCAGCAGCAGCAACAACAGCTGAAGCAACAGATGGCTGCTTCCCATGCTCAAGCACAGCTCAGGGCGCAGGCTGCGGCAAAGGGCTTGCAGGGTCAGCCAGGAGGGCTCAGCGGTCCGATGCCGGCGTCGCAAAGCCCAGCGATGGACAACTTGAATGCTCCCGTCAGGCAGCCACCCGTCGCCATGGGACAGATGGGTAGTAACCAAGGCCAGCCGGGCAACCCTCAGTTCGGCCAGGGGCTTGATCCTCGCTTCAACCAGGCGGGTGGCCCGGGGCAAATGCCCGGGAACCCAAACATGCCGCAAGACCCGGCCATCAGGGCCATGCTCGCTCAACTTGACCCAGAACAGCGGCAGAAGTTCCGCCAGCTGCCGGCGGACAAGCTCAACGAGTTGTTTTCTAAGTGGAAGCGCACAGGCATGCTGCGTCCAGGGCAACCACAGCAAGGAATGCCCATGAACCCAGCAAACCAAGCGAACCCCGCGAACCCCATGGGCAATACCATGCATCAGCAGCCACAAGGAGGGATGGGCCCTCAGATGCAACAGGGCAACTTCCAGAACCCGATGAATCGATTCCGGGGGGCCAACCCGTTACAGCACCCACAAGCGCAGATGATTATGGACAATATGGACCTGCCTGGCCAGGTGATGCAGATCATTCCTGGTATACCGCCTGATGCCAAGAAATGGGGACAGTTCAAGGCATGGGTTTCGCAGACGAACGCGCCCATACCTGACCAGCAGAAGCATGCGCTGAGGTCACTCCAGCTTAATCAGTTCAAACGCATGGTACAGTCCCACGGCCAGGGCGGAGCCCCACAGCAACCCGGAGCTCCCACTCCGAACGCCATTGCAAATCTGCCACCCAATACCCCGATACCTGAAGTCACGCCTCAAGAGATACAGCAATTCCGAATGTCACAGCAGAATTTCAGGGAAGCCCCAGAGGAGCAGATCAAAATGTTCATTCAGCGACTCAAGATACAGAGAATGCGACAAGCCGCTGCGATGGGAGTGGTCGGTCAACCACCGCCTGGGCAACCCGCAACAACAGCAGTCACGCAGCCAGGAGCCCTCCCGATCTCTTCGGGACCCCAACAAGGTATGCAGCCAGGACAGGGCATCCCGGCGCCCGTCTCTGCCCCAGAGCCCACCCAGACTCCAGTTGCAGCGGGACCCCAAGCCAATCGGCCGCCGCAGCCGAACATGTCTGCGCCGCCGAATCCCTCAGCGGCCTCGCAACCGAAGAATCTCAAACGCCCTGGCGACGACCTCGAGGCCCCCACACAGCCGAATGCCAATGATCAGAGGCCGGCTTCTCAGCCCGTCCAACTTCCTCCAGGTGGTCCAATCCCGATCCTAACGCCGGAGCAGTTGACGAAGATGACTCCAGACCAACGGCAGAAGTACGAGCACATGCGGAACCAACAGCAAGCACCAGAGATGATACGCTTCAGAACTATCGCTCAGGAAGAGTCGAAGGCCTATGAAGCTCAAAGATTCCCCGATGTTCCCATGACTGCAGAGAATCGGAACCAGATGGCAGCTTTCATCGGGAAGATCTCACAGGAATTCGCAAAGCTTACCAAAGCGATAAATCATTGGTTCCGGGTCTCCAGAGATGAGCCACGGCTAAGAGCTTTCGTCAGAACAGTACGTGTGAAATCCCTATATTCATTTTTAATATTGTATGCTAACCATCTCTAATCACTTCAGCGTCTGCGAGTGCTAAGCCAGTTCCAAAGTAACAACAACAACAACACGGAGCAGACCCTGAAAGAGAATCTGACAATGACGCGGCAAGAGTTAATCCAAGCTAAGCAGCTGCTCGACAGCATCATGAAGGATTTGGCGTCCATTCAGAAAGGGACTCGGCCACCTCATCCGGGAGGGCCTGCTACAAACCAGCAGCCCTCACTGCCTCCGCAACCACAACAGCCCCCACCGCCCCAGCGGCCTGAGCAGCCAGGATCTAACCAAGCACCGACCCCTCTTAACGAGGCGAACCTGGCCAAGCAGACCCAAGCTCTGAACAAAGCTCACCAATCTCACCAAAGGTCGAGTAGCAAGAGCGGACAACCACCATCGGCTCCGACCTCGGCTCAGCCGCCATTCCCACTCGGCGCCGCTTCGCCAGACGGCAAGCCTCTCTGGGTTGCCGCAACTCCTCTAACCCAGGAGAAGCTGCAGCTCCCGAATGCGCGGAAGAAGATTAAAACGGCCAATGGTCAAGCTTCGTCGCCTGCGGTTTCAAGCCAAAATGCATCGCCACAGACGAAGGTCACGTCTCCGGACCTAAAGAAGAAGGAGCCCAAGGCAGCACCCAAGCCGGCGTTCATGTGCACAGAGCCCGGATGCGAGATGGCCGAGACGGGGTTCCCGACGGAGGAGGCGCGCAAGCAGCATCATCAGGAAGTCCACGTGCTGCCGTACGAAGACCCGCAGCAGTTCATGCAGCAGTCATTTGCCGCAGCGTTTGGATTGGACGAGCACGGTCTGTCGAAGCCACAGGCTCAAGCTGCGCCTGAAGAAGCGACCCCCATGTCGCGCGAGGCTTCAGCCAAGCAACGAGGAGGTGCGCCTGGAGCCCCGGCAGTACAAGGCACCAGAGCCGGCGACAACAAATCGGTCCCGGCGGCGTCGACTGGCCCGAAGTCTGCGGACAAGAACGTGCCTGAGCAGGCCGCCCCTGGTTTCCAACAGCCCCAGGTGGCCATCGATCCTCTTGCGAACACAACGATCGACCCTCAGAGCTTGATGGCGCCAATGATGCACTTGTTCGACCCAGCGGCTGGGGGTGTGATCTCGGACATGACTCTGTACCAGTCGACAACACCGCCCGAGGACACGCCTGAATCGAGCGCGAGCAAGGACAGCGGGGTTTCTGAGCCCAACAGTGACATACCGGAGACGGCGAACCTTGAAATCGACATGAACTGGCAGAATTTTGACGACTCGACGCTTGTGAACGGGATGGCGGCCTTCGGTATGGACATGGAGCTGAACAGTTTCGAAGGAATGACATCGTTCCCGAACGATGACATGTTGATCACAGAGGACATGCTTGTGGATTTGGACAAGCCGTTCACGGGACTAGACTCGTCGCTCTACGAACTAAACACCTTCTGAGAGAGATGTTAAGCGGTGTGGGCGCAGGAGATGAAAGCAAGCGGGCCACGCCGACAAGCTCATTGATTCACGTCCTCAGCGTTCCTTGATTCAAAAACAAGACACGGAGTTTGCCTGAGATTTGACGGAGTTTACGGATTGGTGGTGACATAGGTTTAGGCGGGTTTTGTCGAGCGCGACAGGTGGATAAAAAGAGGCTTTCAAGGATGTTCATGGGAAGGGAGGGATGGGGGAGGCTTTCAAGGATGATACCCGCCGGCGATTTTGTTTTGAATGCATCTCTCGTTCTAGGGAGGCTTAGTTGCCATGTTGATCGAGGAGGCTGGTCGCATTGGAATATGCAGCGACCAAGTTTTTTGGGGGTTCCAGAACCACATTTGATCAGGTATATAAAGGAAGGGCATTGTGGAGAGACACCTAGGTCATTATTTTTAGGGATGGTGGGGCGGGGGGAGAAACTTGTATGCCATTTGACGACATTTCTACAACATGAATGACATGACAACGATGGTGACGTTGACTTTTGGGTTTGACGGTGATGGTGACGGTGAGAAGTAAAGGTGAATGAGGACTACGTGGGCTATGTGGGCTATGTGGGCTGCATATCTGTGTGATGGACCCGTTGAATTCAGGGGGGTGGGATTCAGGGCTGCAGACGCGAAGTCCCACCACAACATGCATGACCTTGGGCTTGGAATGGCAGAATGGGCACGCCGAACAAAGCCTGTCTTTTCAGGCGCGGGTCCACCAGGGCAACTTGGGCGTGCTGTACGACCGGGGCGGGGTCCTTGGCCGAAAGAGGCAGTCGAGTAAATATGTACAGCAGCAATACACGTAACAGGGGGCCGCTGAACTCGACCGGTACGCGACGTGTCGCCCTGCCCACCCCAGCCCCCAGGTGCCCCCGTCTCCCCCCCCCGTACCTACCACAGTTACAACCCATACAGCGACCCACGTCAGTTCTGTCTGAGCTGCTATTAAGCAGGATAGCATTCATAAATTCACGTCCTGCTCAGAAGCACTGCATTGCTGCACCACACTGCAACAAACACCGCAGACACGTCCTCGTGCCCGTTCTCCATTTCTATATCACGCTGTTCTCTGCGCGTCTCATTAGCTGCTGCATCTTTTGCCTCATCACGCACTCACCGTCTTCTTTTGAGAGAGTTCCGCTGCAGACGCGCCTTGCAACGCAGCACCCTCCCGCCAGGCGTCCTTCGCTGCACCAGCCCGTCTCGCGGTGGCGAATCCACTTCCCAAGTCGCGTTCCCGCAAACACCCAAACAACCCAAACGCCCTACCCAAGATGAGCGCAACCGCGACGCCAACCAAGCGACGCGTCCTCGGCTCGCTGGACGCAAACGTCCAGATGTCGCCGAGGTCGCCGGGGCTCGGTGCCAGCCCGCTCAAGAAGGCCAGCCGCGAGGCCAGCCGCGAGGCCAGCCTGAGCCTCTCCCGCCGCGCGAGCCCCTCCCCTCGCAAGCAGGCGTCAAGGGAGGGTGCCCCCAGGAAGAGGCCGCTGGAGGAGGCGTCGGCGGCGTTGCAGCAGCCGGCTGTCAAGAAGCTGTGCTCTGACGACGCGGCGGCTGCGGTCTCAGCCCCGGAGGCAAATGCTACTGCTCCTGCTGCGGCCGCCTCAGGGAGACAGCAGACGGTGCAGAACAACGACGAGGTACGCATCCCATGTCCACTCGGGCTTTCCTCACGCAGCATGGCCTTTGATCACGCCGGCATGCGACGGACATGATGCTGACCTACCGTACAGAACGACCCACCCGCGTCACAGCCTACCACGACTGGTGACCGAAGATCCGTCTCCCCGGACGCGAGCTCACTCTTTGACGTCTCTGGCATGAATACGTCCCAGGATACCACCATCACGGAACCCGACATCGACGCGCCCATCACTGCTACTGCTACCGCCCCCGCCGCCTCTACCCTTCCCGCCGCTGCCCCTACATCGTCCCTTCCAAACACCCTCGCCTCACCACCACCGCCGCAAACGCGTCGGATCTCGACGCGCGAGGAGCTCAAACAGGTATGGCTCACACTACCGACACATCGCATGGAACGTCGGCTGGAGCAAAGTTGCTCCCTCACAAACACACGCACACATTGAACCTTTACTGACGCGTCAGCGCAGAAGACCGAGATTCTCAAATTAAGGCTCAGCCTGGCCAACTACAAGGTCCAGACAGGCCAGGTCGACGTACCCCTCGACAGGCTGCAGGTCCGGCCCGTGCCGGGCATGACGCGCCGCAGAACACCGCTACCGTCCATGTCAGCTCACACGGTGGAGAGGTCGACGCCGGCGCAGCAGTGGTACCGCCTCGCCAACGACCGCAAGACCACGGCGGCGGCAGCAGTCACATCGCTGCCATCGCAGGCGGGGAGGGAGGCCGGGATGTCGCCGCCGCCGGACAAGCACGTCCTCCCGCGGCTGTCGTCGGCATCCATGTCCATCGTCTCGACCCCCCGGCATAGGCAGCGGGACGCCGACGAGGAGAGCCTGACGTCTAGTGCGCTCAGGGGCGGGGCGGCCAAGGGGCTGTTAAGCCTCTCGCAGGGGTCTGTCGGGCGGTGATGAGGGTGCGCGATGCTGCTGTCTTTATCAGGCAAGCTAGTCTGGGGCTTTTTAAACCCCGCTCTTCGCGCCATAACTCCATTTTTCTTTTGTTTTTCAGGGTTACAATCTGGCCTACACGCGTGCTGGCGGACGCGCGGTGAGGGAGGAAGCATCTGTTCTGCATGATGATATGAATGTCTGGCTGGGTACACACGCATTGGGCTGGGTAGAATGTGGACGGAGCATTGCGGCTGGGAATCTGCTGGGATAGGGAGCAGATATTAAAGGTTCAAGTAGAAGAATAGAAACTTCTTGTAATTTGTTCTCTTTTGCCGAGCGATCAGTCTGGGCCATGGGCATGAGGCACACTGTGCCGGCGGGCATCTCCCTGGTGGTGTCGAGTCCCGCGCCTGCGACTTAGGATTGGTAAGGAACCTTTTCCTCGGCCGGCTGACCGCTGGGAGTGGGTGTTAGGGGCCGACACAATGACTAGAGCGCGATGGAGGGCAGCGATGTTCAGAGTGATGAGTCGCTTTCCCTAGGTGGATCAGCGAAATACCCGACAACAGTAGCCACCGGGAACGGACGGGGTCGGTGCTACCTATATCTTATCTGCCATCTGTGCAGCCTCTCCATTTCTTTGGTGTGTGTGCGTGTGTGTAGGCATACTCTTCTATGCTGTGAGTTCAGGCAAGCCGTCGGCAGTGGGTGGAAGTTGCAAACCACACAGTAGGTTATGACTAAACCAACCTAACAGGTAAGCGGCATAAGTGCCCGTCACTAAAAACAAGAAAACAGGATTGGGAAGGGTGCGCGGGCTCACGCGTGCGCGTATGCACGCAGGGACCGCCAAGCTTCCGCTCCCGCTTTTTTCCTTTCTCTTCTTGTCTCCCCATCCTTGCTGCACGTCATCTTTCCCACCCAAGCTCCTGCGCCAGCCACTCGGCAGCGCTGCCGAGCCACCCCGGATTTTCTGGAATGTGGGGAAGGGGCGAGAAATGATCGACAGCCGCGCTTTCTTTTTTTGTCTCCACGTTCCCACCCACATCGGACGACAGCCGCTGGGGACATCGGACGACACTTTGTGGGTTGGGGGCCGACGATTGTGTCTGCTGGGTGTGAACAACCCGCAAATTCCCTGCAAATCTTTTGTCCCATCCCGTGAATCGCAATACTGGAGCATCGAGGAAAAAACCCTTCTCTGCCAAGCGCTGTGTTTACTTTCTGAGCCCCCAACACGCGGCTGATTGGTTCCTGACGCGCCGTTTTGCGCGCAGTGGGGAGGGCTGGATTACTGCAGACACCAGACACACGGCTTGTACAATCGCAATCAGAGGGACACAGTGCATGCGCGGAATTTTTTTATTTTTTTTTAAAAAAAAAATCTTTTGTCTGCCCGTCAAGGTGCTGCCACACAGGACCGAGCGAGGCTTAGTCGGACTATCCGCGCGAGACCTGCATGAATTGTGTAGGGTCAAAAGCGTTGGCTCAAAGGAATCAGCCCATTTCATTAGCACGTTCCCTCCCGCACTGTATTTGCGCCCGAGACTGAGTGCGGGATTTCTGGCTGCTCACGAGCAGGATCTTCGAGTGCATGGTACACAATATCGATGTCCCTCCGAATTTTGTTCTCTTGCTTCGACTCATGTTCATCATATTTTGGAACTAGAACACCAAAGGCCACAGTGTTTATGCTGGGGATATCAAGCGGGGCTATTGGACTTGCCCAATATTTCCCACTGGTACGAATTAAATAGATGATACTGACCTATGAAGTAAACACACCTCGTCTCATCCCCAGTCATCACATTTTGGCCCAACTTTAAGTGTGTAGAATCGCAGACCAGCATCTAAAATACCTAGCCGCCTACAACCAGTCACCTTTATGAGCACATGAAATATGAACACCCGCTACTCCGTCTAGTTTCGAGAGAACCTTCCTGTCCTCCTTCATGAAATGACTGGCCCGGGGATCAATAGTCGCGCCCTCTACGACACCAGACTCATCTTCACACGGAAGGCAGCTCTAGTTCAACGCGTAGTGTGTGATTTCGCAGACTATTTACCCTGACAAACACACTTTCTATCAGTAGCGGATTTCCATTGCGTTGAATCCAGACACAAAGGTCCTCAGAACCCCAAACTCGCCCATCTCTAGACATCTCTAGATCGCATCCCTCTGGGCCTTGATGGTCCATCTGCTTCATATAAAAGAACAGCCACCCTCCCACCTCGATCGGTTTCGTCCCCGAGCAACTATCCTCCACACAAACTCTCAAGCCTACTTTTGCTGCTAGTCACGAAACCAAACACTGTCATCAACACAAGAAACAAGACGCACTCTGACTATTAGTCACTACCCACACATCTATCTATCTATCCATCATCAGGTACCTCCTCATCCCAACCCTCATCACACTACAATACGACTAACATACGAGAGCAGTCACTCGTAGCACGAGTTGCAAGCACCTCTCACACCTGTGACTACCATCCGTCACAATGTGCATACTCTCTTACACAAGTTACAACAACTGTGGCTGCGCACGGGTTCACGCCACCCTGCCATGCTCCAGGGCCTTCAACCCATCACTGCCGAAGTGCCATCTGATGAGCTACATGCAAAAGGAAGAGGTTGAGGGCGACTGCCCAGAATGCAAGCCAGCATTCGACAACAAGAGCGGACTCAAGTCCCGGATCACGCTGAACTTCACGAGAAAGACGCCCCGCCCCATCATGCAAGAGGTACACCAGCTCATGGGAACCTTCGCCGAGATCGACCAGCAGCACAACCAGTTCAGGTACCTCGACCCACAGGCGCGCGAGAACCACAACTGCAAGCTCTTCCTGGACTGGCTCGACGACCCAGAGCACCCGGGACCCCAGCCAGGCGACCTGGATGAGTACGACCTCGCCTGGTTACGCGAGAAGCGCGAGCTCATGCGCGCAAGCCGCGCCGGACACCAAGACGGCATGGGCAGGATCACACCACCACCTCCCCCCACGCCACCAACCACTATGACCCAGGTCATCTCCGTCTGCGTCAGGGGCGAGTACACCCTCAGGGCCCGCCACCACGTCCTCACCGCCGACCAGCGCGAGGCCATGCGCCGCCTGGGCCACGACAACATCCGCAGGCTCTCCGTCGTCGACCGCCGCCACCATCACCACAGCGACACCAGCAGCGACTAGTTCATCCTGTCAACACGCCGCCACACCCTCTCGGCAAGCCAGCGCGCCGCCCTGCGCCGTCAAGGACATGGCAACGCCCGCAGGCTCTCGGTCATTGCCCGTCGCCGTCGTCAGCCACTCACCTGAGGCGGTCTGCTTCCACCACGGTGGAAAGCTTTTTTTCCCAGAGAAAAAACTTTGGGTTTATTTTTCAGCGTTTGATTTTACTTGAGGTCCTCATGATTTCGACTTTGGTTGTTGGGTTTGGTTTGGACTTTTCGACACTGCCAGATTCGACGCGCACCGACATGAGCACTACTACTAGCTCACACACACACGCCATACCCACTCCGGGCGCACTGGACAGACACAAGCGGGACTTGACTTTTTGGATTGGAAGGGCTGCAAGGGAGATCGAAATCATGAGTCATCTTTTCACTATAGATAGCACGGCGTTTTGGAATTTCGGAAAATTGTAGGAGGCGCATTACGATACCCAACTATACCACGACATTGAGTATTCAGCATCAGAACAACACGACATCACGGCATCATTGCTACACACCATCAACAAATCTCCTTAGATAGACTGAGACAAAGAAAAACCCTTGTTGTTTCACAAACAACTCGTCCTAAAATTTGTTCGCGTGACACTGGCTTGAATTTATTCAAATCTGATTATTGTATGAACCGGGCTCAAGATATCTGTCTTTGGTTATGAAATGTTGTGGCAGAAATAAGACTATACATTATGCCCAAGGGCTCAAGAGAGAAAAGCGTAGTTACAACTGTTCATGGTCTATCTAGGCTCCTCCACATCTTGAGTCTCTCGATTGTTTTATGAGTAAGTTAAGTACTACTATTATTATCCCCAAAGCTTGAATAATGAGGAATTCCTGGGCCATCCACGCGCGTCTTCAGTGCCAAAGACCAGCAGTATGTCACCTCTCTTCGGAAGTGCGAGTCCCTCGAGGACGTCGTCAAGTGCGGCGTGGAGGATACCGGCCTGCAGGATGTTGTACAAACTTATTCTCAGGAATACCCAGCTAGGCATTTAAATTTCAATAATCAATCTGGTTTGATTAACCAACACGATCGTGATCATTTGGTAATTAATTCGACAATATGCAGCTCATGTACAGGGACAAAAACAGCTTCGCTGCATCCCTGTGTGAATGTCAGTATAGCCTTCTGCTTCGATCAATTCGTGAGCTTGGTCAAGTGCGGACTTACGATCTTTTACGAGAAGAATGCTGAGGACGTTGGGTAATAGCCTTGGTTGGGAGGGGGAGGGGCGTATGTGTTGTTTAACCTTCGAGCACGGGTCTGGCAGCAGGCCTTCATTAGCCGCCAGGAAGATGAGAATGGAGCTTCTAATTCCCATCGAACTGAGTCCACCGCCGAAATTGAAGCAGGAGCACACCAGGAGGAGGCTGCTGAGGCTGCACGACGCAAGGCCAAAGACTTGCCGTTTCCTCAGCCTTGCAGAAGAAGAACCCCTCCCCCCCCCCCTTTTTTTTAGATTCACAGCGGCCATTGATGCATAATCGTACGTGCTCCAAAGCGCGCAAACGACTCGTTTCCCATTCATGAGTCGATGCTTCCTGACAACCGAGACAATTCCTTTACGGCTGCGATCGAGTCAAGGGGGTTCCAGCGTTTCGCCCAAGTCCAAAGCGCCAAGGAAGAGGGAAAAGCTTGGTCAGAAGAAGAACCAGAGTGTCAAGTTGCCATCATCCCTGATGCTCACATTGCAGGGGCAGCGCCGTAGTGACGAGGACCTAATAGACACGATTCGTCGGTTGGCCGAGTCAGCAGCTGCGGCAAACCAGGACGAAGAGAAGGCCACTGCGGGCGCCCTGGTGGAGGACCAGTATGGTGAAAATATAGCAGGCCCACCCAGTTAGGAGGGAGACCGAGAAAACCAGGACAAAGGTCAAAGATCGACATAGCTTTTGGTTGTGAGGTGACACGGCAATGGTCAGGCTCGACGAGCACAGCACCTCTTTCCCCTCGACATCCTGGATGGGGAGTCCACCACTATAAACACACATTACAGGCATGCGCCTGAGCGAGGCTCCACGGTATACGAGACGACACGGCACGATTGGGCAGATTCCTGAGTGCTAATGGCCCATACATTGCTGAAGTGCCTATTTGGAACTGATCCCAAGTGCATCTTAGCTAGTTGCATATTAAATACGACGCCGAAAAGACCGCCTTATTCTCTTCGTTCTCAGATGTGACCATACACCATGGTGATGAGACTGGGACACCGAGCCGTCTGAATATGGATTGTCCAACCCTCGGAAGAGTCATATTCGAAGATACCAGTTCTCGCGGACGCCCGGTGTGGCTGTTGGCGAAGATCGCCGTGCAGACTGAGAGACTCCGCCGCACCATACCCACCCACCAGCCGCTGCGCTTGCTATCTGTCATCGGATCCAAGACATCAGAGCCATCAGCGCTGAGGTAGCGCCCCGAACGGCCCAAGCGTTTCTGCCGGTCCGCAGATAAGCATCATGATAAATTGCAGTTGGCAACGCGTACAATTGCCAACCTGGGAGAGAGAGTGAACAACTACGATAAACCGGCCGCGGCTCGCGATCAAAGAGAAGCGACGCATAGTTGCCTGTCCACGGCCAGGCAGACGACCTCGAGCGGCCCCATATACCCGCGAAGTCGACCGGGCGGCAAAGAGCGTCCGCTGCAAGTGACTCCTGCTGCGCTACGTTGAGCTCGAGACACGAATTCGGATTCGAGGCGGCGACGTCATCCCCCAAAGTCTTTGCGTTTTTTTTCAGCGCACAGCGATACATGCATGAGGTACTTTGGCAAATGTGAATAATATTCTATCTTTCCTGACAAGTTATGACGCCGAATGCTGTATCCCAACGCTCGAATGCATATGAATAGCTGCCGAACTCTCTTGTCGGCAGATGCAGCTTGCCTCTGGGGCGTGTGGTGTTCTTGTGTCTCTTTCCAACTTTCCTGCCGTATTCCATGGCTTACATGTGGCCTTGCTTCTCCAGCTCTCTCATATACTTGACGAAAGTCTTCTTGTGTGTCTGTTTTTGAATGTCAGCTTTCGCCGCTACCCCTTGTAAAATCGAGCACAGTAAGGCGATACGAACCATGCCAGCGTACTTGCCGTCACGAAGGACGCAAATATATCTCAAACCGAGTTTCACGAAGCACTCGTATACAAGGTCCATGGAAGAATGTATGTCCAGAGCGACGGGTGCCTATCGAAGCTGTTAGGTTGCGATTCCTGCAAAGTTCACCAATGTACGTACCGGGTCGATGTATCTTGTGAAGTCAGTGGGATCAGGTGAACCGTCATCCGAATCGTCAATGGAAGGCACTTGGGCCATGAGACACAAGTCCGAACTCTCGTCAGAAAGCTGATCCAGGGCGAACTCAAGGTCTGGTGCAGGTATCAATCCGACCAGCACGTCATTCCTAAGAATAGGCAGGCCGCCATCGATTTCTCCAGCAGCATGAAGACGCTCGAGCTTGCCTCTCAGGCTTGTGGCTGAAACGAGAGGGGAGTTGGTTATGTCAATCACCCTCACGCGGCGTACCTTGGGCACAAGGTCTGCGAGGTCCGTCGTGAAGATCGGCTTGTGTTTGTTGTTGAGGAAAGGATATGAGTTCAGCTCCGTCAAAAGATCCTAGCCGCAGTCAGTATGTGCTCTTCACTTTGCTTGTGAATGTCCCACTCACATAGATGCTCAGTGGCTCGATGAAATCTGATGTCCACTTCGCAACCAGAATGGCCAAGGAAAAGGGCAGCACATAGTCAAGGCTTCCAGTTAGCTCGAAGAGGATTACGGCGAGCGTGACAGACAGTCGAGTCACGCCACACATGGTCGAACCGGCGGCGATCAGGGCATATACACCAGGTTGAATACAAGTGGCATCTCCTATCCGTGAGCATCGGTCCCAGACGGGCCATGTGTTGAACGTCATGACGAGCCATTGAACAATATGTCCAATCAATCGGCCCATCAAGCCGCCTACCACCATGGATGGCACGTATATACCAGCTGGAACTTTCTGAATGGTTCGGTCGTGTTAGTTTCTCGTCAGAACTCCTCGCACAGGGGATCAAGCACGATAGGGATGAAGGATCAAACAACTCACAATACCGAACGTAATGACGGTCAAGAAACCTTTGATGAGGAAGGCCACCAACAAGTTCCGCAGTACGGGAGGAATGTCCACCCTTGCCTCTGGGCACAGGCCAAGCTCGTCCAGACTATCATCCTCCGGGTCGCAAGGAGCTGCGAGATTGTAGAGCAGCTTCGCCACAGGCAGCTTTGTAAGCCCGTTCCAGTATCCGATCAACCCTGTGACCATGGCCACCAGGATGACCTCCACGACGGGCACCTTTTTGATGACAGGAATCTTGCGGAAGGTCCTGGCCCAGTACCTGGAGGCCTTGATGAACAAGGCACCGAGAACTCCGCCGAGGATCCCGACAATGACAAAGGAGACGAGCTCGAAGTATTCCCAGTCAACGGCGTAGTGAACTTGGAACATGACAATTTTGTGGGTTCCATATGGATTGAGAAACTTCAAGGTCAAGGCGGCAATGATGCAACAGAAGAAGGTCCTGAAGAGGGTTTTGGCGGGAAAGAAGTAAGCCACCTCCTCCAATCCGAAGAGAACTCCCCCCAGAGGCGCACCGAAAGCAACGGCAACACCTGCTGCTGCGGCTGCTGAAAGCACTTCACGTCGCTTTCCGTCGTTTCGATCGTACTTTTCGAACAAACGACAGGCGATGTTGCCAACACAAGTCGCAATATGGACATAGGGGCCTTCCTTCCCCAGGCTCAAGCCGGATGCCACGCTGAGGATCAGGCCCACCGACTTGATGATGAGGGTTTTGAGGCCCAAGAAACCGTGCAGCACGAAGCCGCTCAGGATGACGCGCACCTCGGCGACTCCGCTGCCAGCAGCCGAGTAGTAGATCATGGGCGGCGCCGTGGGGGAGGGCGAGGTCTCCTGGCGGTTTCGCGGGGGACTGGCGTCGCCGTTCTCGTGCTCAGGCTCGTTGTCTGCTAAAGGAGCAGCCTCGGCTGCCAGATTCTCGTCCAACGTGGAGAGTCTGTAAGCCGAGGGAACGACCGTCTTTGTCGTGAGCGTGAGCAGACACGCAGCCAGTGCGAACAAGCTGACCCAGAGGATGTAGACGAGCCACTCTCTCCACTTGGCAGCAATGGGCAAGTCAACGACAACGTCGGACCAAGACACCCAGTCAGTGCAGTCCCCCAGCGGACAGCATCTCTTCTCGCTCAGGTACCAGCTCGTCTGGCAGTAGCCATCCTTCCAATCGAAGAGCACCTGTTCGGACACGTTGATGGCGTACGCTATAACGGCAACAATAAAGCCAACTACGGCGGAGAGAATCCAGCCCTGTGCGCCGTCGAAAAGGAGGTAGAAACGGCCCCAGAAGTCGGTGCGGCTCCGAAGGGCCTTGGCGCGGTAGGCATCAGCGATGCTGTCGTGTACCCAGTCGGTGGAGGTAAATTGGTCGTACCAGACGCGGTCATCTTGGGAGAAGGATGTTTTGGACTCGGCCATGGGGTCTTGCTGGTGGGAGATGGCATTGATCAGGCGTGTGCCCCATGATCCGGCTCGGCTGTGGTGCTTGGTGGAAGGGGTAGCAGCTGCGAAGGCGAGGACCTCAATGTTAGCTCTGATATGTCAAGCACAGCAGCAACAGCGCAGTAGTGCGAACCTAGAAAGCTACTGCCCGTCGGCAGCTGCACGTTGCGTAGTGTGCGCGGCGTGCGTGGACTGTCGGGCGCATCGGAGATCTTGACGTGGGACCTGGAGCGCCCAAGCAGCGACGTCCGCTCAGTAGGCTCGTCTGACATGGACCCTCGCCGGCTGTGCATGCGCGACGCAGGCCGTGAACGCCTTCTGTGGCTGATGGGCGAGTGGGGCACCGCGAGGTGCGGCCTGTCGTCGTCCTGGTCGTTGTCCATCTTGGGCGGTTGATTATAGAGGCTCTCCTGTCTGATATATCGCTGCTAGCTGGGCGTTGGGTGTTGCCGAGTGGTGCCCTCCCTGCATCACAGAGTCGGACGGGTAAGCATGGCGCGCAGTCGGACGGGTTTGATGGGTGGGTCAGTGCGATTAGGTTCAGGATGGAAGTATCTTGACCGGGTGGGGGAAAGTTTAAGAAGGCGGGAAGAAGAAGATCAAAGGTGGACGAGGGGATGATGAGGGTGGGAGGTGACGAGGGGCCCACTCTTTGCGGCCGGGGCGGACGGTGAGGGACAAGGAACCCAAGGCTCGCGCGGCTGGTGGGCTTGGAGTTTCGGTGGCCGTCAACTGCAGGCCATGGTCGAGCAGCTGCGATGGCTGTGTTTCAAGGAGGAATGAAATATGTCTATATTGGGGCCCAGGTGGCACAGAGCTGGCTGTGCGGTCACTTGCAAGTCTGTCCGCGTATCCGCCTAGAGTCTATGTTCAGGCCAGACGCGGTAGATAGCAGTTCAGTAAACACGAGGTCGAGTCATCGGTGTTCTATGCCGAGAAGGTTGGCTGCATCGACGAGCCTAATCTGCGACAAGCTGTCTCGGGGCTGGCAGATTGCGCAATAGTTGGACGGAGGGCCATCCTGGTAAGGGTCCTGGCTTGAGGGGCTCGCAGCACTGTATGCATCCTCATCAAGGTCACGAGCGCGCAAAGCAAACTGCACAGCATCGATCAAGATGCAGCAGGATGGGGTCACCCTACAACTGCCAGGTGGACGGGTGGATGGGGATGCATTGTGACTTTATTTTGGGGGCACGAGGCTTCGAGCATTGCATCATACCTGGATCCTGGGGGCCCGTCTTAGGACCCCTCCGTCTGATGATTGGAAGAGAGCTGCCCTGCATGAGCTGCCGGTCTGGGGGGCAGCTTTGCCAACTGCAGTAAGGCGCCTAGGTCCCCTAAAATGTGTCACCTGGTCGGTCTTGGTGCTATTCCACCTTGATGGTTCGTGGCGGCATGGGTACCTGACACAACAGTGAGTAGCCTAGAAACAACTCTCACAGCCTCTTGTGGGATACCTGCTGTGGGATAACCTCCTGTGGGATAACCTCCTGTCTCCTGTAGGATGACCTCCTCTGGGCTAACCTGTTACTGGACAATTTCTTGCGTTCTAATGGATACTCTGTCCGTCGTATCTCGGATGGCCTATTGTACTATCGCGTACTCGTCAAGGATACGTGATCACTGCAGGTTGTAGTTCAGAGCAGCATCAAAGACACTTGTGGCGCGTCTCAGTGATACTCCGGGTACGACGTGTTCGGGCGATAATCGCGGTACATACGTACAGGCACACCTCTCCAGGTTTCACCCTGCAAGCTCCCAGCAGAGTCGCAGGGTTGTCCCCTAACCCTGGCATTAGGGGACCCGTATCCAAGCACTCGGGCATTGAGCACTTGCAGTCAGTTTAGTTGTCTTCCAATATGAAGTACACTTGGCGTCCTGCACCCTTCTGATGCCCACAGGCCCACAACGAGAGTTTCTTTATGTCTTGCGATTGCTAAATACGTCACGTCACATCTCAACCTGGATCGATTGGACGATACCCACGCCCCAACAGCACATCAACTTGATCTGGGGCTGACACCGCCGGCCTCTACTCGGACCACCCCGGCATTTACAAGTAGCATTCTTACACTGCACTTGGCACGGTCCGCATCTCTTGACGAGCCTGAGTGACATTGAGCCACACCGCTTGGTCCCTGCCAACGTTGGACAGATCACCGCGATCACCGGCGAGCTGGTCTGTGGAGCTTCCCAAAGCCCGTCATGGACAACAGGCCAGCCGCCCCAAAATTCGCATCTTTCAAGCCCAAGCCTCGAGAACCACCAGCCTCTTCTGAGCCCCTCGTGTCAAACGAGGCCACCGAACCTGAGAAGACCCGACGTGTTCCAAAATTCTCCTCCTTCGCGCCGGTGCCAGAGAGTTCATCAAAGACTTCTAGTTCGGATGCCGCAAAGGCGCTTGAGAAGGACCATGGTAGAGGCGGGCGTGACCACAAGAGCCATGACCAACACCGGAGCAGGCACACGAAATCAACCTCGCACCACCGCCATCGCCGCCATGAGCGGCGACGTTCTCGCAGTGCGGACAGACCGCCATCTCCAGCTCCAGCTCAGGTGAAAACGGCTCCCCAGGGAGAGCCCTTGTTCGTCACGGATAAACGAGGGGATTCCCTAATTGTGAGATACGGGTCAAACGAACGCTCCAAGGTCCCTGCATACCGTCGTTATGGTGCAGGCAGAGTCCTGGGAGCGACGGGTAGGCTTCGCCTCATCTACGATGGCCCCAAGCAGCTTTTCAGCCTCGGAGGCAAGTTGGGAGACGGCCCGTCCGCCTTTCGAGACAGGAACATCTTGGCCAATGCATCCCGGAAGAAGGTGCAGGTCTTCAGGTTGCGCTCGAAACCAGGTCAAGATCAGGCAGAGCTCAATGAAGACTGGTATGATTACATCCCCATGTCAGACTCTCGCAAGCGGAAGAGGGCCAGTGCCGAGCCTGAAGACGTCTCTGGGGATGAGGGGCCGGATTATCGGTCAATCCAAGGCAAGGCCAAGGCCCGTGACTTTTTTGATAGTGATCTCGAGTCTGCCGATACCTCGGATTCCGAGACCGAACCAGCCGTCGACTTGTCTGATCCTGCGAGGCAAAGGTCTGTCGAGCTATCTCGGCAGGTCAAGGATCATCCCGAGGACGTAGATGCCTGGCTGGATCTAATTGATCTGCAAGAGTCACTCCTCCGCCTGGATGAGCACACTCGCCAAGAGAGGAGTGATGATGAAGCTAAAGGTCTAGCAAGCATCAGAGTTTCTCTTCTCGAAGAGGCCCTGCCTCATGCTCGAGACAAGAAAGGCCGTGAAAGATTACTCTTGAGGCTCATGCGCGAAGGCTCTCGAGCGTGGAGCGGTAAAACACTGACGAAACGCTGGTCCGAGGTCAGTCGCGAGGACGACAGCTTCGCTTTGTGGAAAACGCATCTGAATCATAGGCTTTCAAACATGGCAACCTTCACCTACGATGAAATGAAGAAGTTGCACTTTGATCGTTTACAGCTACTGAGGCAACGCTTGGCCCGCATTGAAACGAGCGCCACCAACGCTTCCTTATTAGTTGATATCTGCAACGAACTCGTCTATGTCTTCTTGAGGACCACACGATTCATTTACGACGCTGGCTACTCGGAGCTGGCAGTTGCCGCGTGGCAAGCCACCCTGGAGCTCACGTTTGCTCGACCTAGGGATGCGTCCGACCTAGAGGCCGATGATCTGATGTCGTCGTTCGGGGGACTTTTGGGAGAGCGAAGTCCCTCGTATCGGCGAAGACGGTGCCAAAGGGTGGATGCATTTCGCAGAAGCAGAGGAAATGGCCGACTTGCCAGAGTCGAGATCCTACCCACCACCTGCACCACCTGGTACGAGAGACATGTACAAAGCTTGGGCTGCTTTGGAAACGCACCGAGGTACGAGGGCGAGGCTTCCTGCTCGAACCCTAGATGAAGGGACAGAAGAAGATCCGTTTCGCGTGGTCATGTTCTCCGATCTCAAGCCACTGGTATTCTACCTGCCACCAGCCGTTATTACATCGGTGAAGGAGCCGCTGATTGATGCTTTCTTACTCTTCAACCGATGCCTACCAGCTTCAAAAACGCCCAGCACTGTGATTGAAGAGGCGCTCAGCGACCCGTTCATACATGGCAACGTGGTTGCAATTGAGGAATTGAGTTCTAAGGGGCATCATGAGGCTGAGGAAATAGGAAAGAGAGAGCCCAGGTTCAAACATCCCAATCGGCACATGGCCTTATCTACGGACATCCTCTTCGCCAGCATAACCTGGTTCAGCTATGTCGAGCATACATCATCTTCAGACCTTGACTTGGTTCTGAAGGTCACGACACAACTGGCTTTGAATTTTGATTTTGATTCTGTCGCGGAATACAGCCTGGCCTTGGCGTGGAAGAAGGATCCCGCCGCTGTCAAAAAGGCAGCAAAGACGCTCCTGAAGCGATACCCGTCGAACACGTGTCTGTACAATGCATACGCTCTTGCAGAGTGGCGGCAGGGAAATGAAGATGTGGCGAGGAAAGTTTTTCTGTCTGCGTCAAGTCAAGACTTATCACTGAAGCAGCCCTTGTGGAACACGTTCGCCTGTTTGGAGCTCGAGGCGGGAAACAAGCACAAGGCTCTCGCTCTGTGCGTCTTATCGACCGAAGATCGAAGCGATCAAAGCATGGTTGGCAAACTCCTTGGTACCGAGGATAGTATAGCCCCAAGTCAGCTGCTGAAGACGCGGCAAATGCTCTCCTCACACAGAGACTTCTTGCTCTCCTCCGGTGACCTCAGTCAAGCGTCAGTGTTCGCTCAGACCCTGTCCTTATTCGAGTATCTCTCCACCGAAACCTCGACGGAACCCTTGTCATCCCAACAGGGCAGTATCTCAGCGGCAGTGAGCAGCATCAACGCCTTTACTTCCGACGTCATATCGCGCGGCCATGGGTCATCAGCCGACCTCGAGCGGCTCTTACAGTTCGCAGCACACCTGCTCTATCTTCACGCCAGCAGGGGCCCATTCCGACCACCGTTCGTGAGAGAGCAGCTATACTCATTCCTAATGATCTTCCCTTCTAACACGATCTTCCTGAACCTCTTCGCCTGGGCCGACACCAGCCTCCTCCTCAACGACCCAGTGCGCGAGGCGCTGCGGGTCCTCGTACTGAGAGAACCCCACGACCGCGTGAGCAGCAGAGTGTTTGCCATCCTCCACGAGCTCCACGCAGGGACCGTCCACTCGGCGCGCGCAGCCTTCGAGGCGGCCCTGGACAGCGAGAGCTGCAGAGGCAGCGCCGGCCTGTGGCGGGGCTACGTCCGCTTCTGCCAGCTGCACAAGAAGGAGCTCAGGGGCAAGGCGGCGGAGGCGTTCTACCGGGCCGTCGGCGCCTGCCCGTGGTCCAAGGACCTCGCCATGGAGGCTTTCGGTACACTTGTGAAGGATATGGACTCGGCTGATCTGAGGGGTGTGTTTGGTACGATGGCGGCGAAGGGTTTGAGGATCCACGTGGACTTGGAGGACTTCAGCCGGGAGTGGGCGAGGACGTCGAGGTGGAAGGATTGATGGCTCTTGGCCTACTACATGCGCTGTTGCTCTTGTGAGGTAGCGGTTGATGCGAATAAAGAGCACTTTAGAAAGGCTGTGAATAGCACTATCTCATATGTCCAAATATGCAGCTAGATGGGCGTGTGCATTCACTGGCTCCCCACCCGTGGCGAGTATGTTTTACGGCTAGCCAAGGCGGTCGAATCAAACAGATCAGTCCCTGCAATCTGGGCAACCGCTCACAGTTCCGAACCCTATGTCTTCTGCTTCTTGACATGCCTGTCCATGGGCCCTGTTTTGGAACGCTTGCCGTTGGCTTTCTTGCTGCCCGCTTCTCTGCCGTTACCAGCGTCAGCATTATCCGCGTCTCTGCCATCGTCGCTCTGGTCGGTCAGGCCCATGACCTCCTCGTTGTCACCACCACCCTCGAACAGCTCCCTCCAGCTCCCGTCCAGCACCTTCCTGTCGTTCCCGTGCAGGCCAACGCCATAGGCCTTCTTCAGACTCGCGATGCAGATCGTCCGCCTCTCTGCAAAGTCAAACATCGGCTTCGGGTACGTGCCTTTGCCCATCTCCTCGCCGACACCGGGGAACTCCACCAGCTTCACCCCGGCCTTCTTCAGGTCTGCGATGGGCGCCTTCCACGGCTCGTATATGTACTTCGCGGGCAATCCGTCCAGCTCAGGCACCCACCGCTTCACGAATGCGCCCTCCTTATCCCACTTCTGCGGGAAGCTCACGGGCGAGTAGCAGCGGTAGTACTGCGCGAAAAAGGCCGTGCAGCTGAGCCACTGCCAGTTCCCGCCGTTGCAAGCGGGCTCGTGGTCAAGCAGGAGCTCCTGGAAGACCTCGGCGCCGCGCTCCCAGTGCACGTAGCACCCTCCGCGCGTCAGGAAGCACGCCACCGAGTGGCGGCCCAGGTGGTGTATCCAGCCGTCGTGGCGCAGCTGCCGCATCAGCGCGTCGATCCAGGGGAACCCCGTGGTGCCGGCCTTCCACCGCTGGAACCACTCCTCCGCCTGGGGGCTGTCGACCTTGTACTTGCCCGGGACGGTGGTCTCCTTCGTGGTCTTATCCGTCGGGCTGCTGCTCGCCTCCAGCACTGAGGGAAGGTGCCACGGGATGAACCTCACCACGGGGTTGTAGGCTGTCTGCACCATTGCGTGGCCTAGGGCTGCTTGAGCCGCGAAGTACACTATGATGTGTGTCAGTAACTGAACCCACCTCGTGAGATTTCGACGGGAAGCAAGGATTCCACTTAAAGCTACTTACTATCCCGGAACAGCAGCTGGCCCGTCAAGCTCTCAGGCGGGGACGACGAAGCGCCCTTGTACGAGTCAACGGCCTCCTGGGCACGGTGGTAGAAGAGGCGACAACTCAAGGCGCCAAAGTGCAGGAACGGGCTCAGCAGGGTGGTCGACTGCGGCTCGAACGCGGCGGGGCTGGTGTTCGGCTTTCGGAAAGTGGCCGCGTACTCAACATCGGCCATGACCTCGTCCAGTATCCTGAGCGCGACCGTCTCGCCGCCGCGGTGCGGCGTCGTCGCCTCGGGGAAGCCCAGCTCCGCCATGGTCTCGACGGCGAAGTCCCCGCGCGGGCCCGCGAGCTTGGTGTAGCCCTTGTCCTTGAGGGTGCGCCACGCCGCGTTGAAGTCCGGGTCCGCGGGCGGCTGGTCGTGCTCGTTCGCGAGGTCGTCGGTGGGCATGTCGCCCGGGTCCGGGAGGGACTTTGGCGCCGGGATGGCCTGGGCTATCTTGCCGCACTTGTCGCCCGCGTTCCTGAGCTGGGCCGCGGACATGGTGGGCTTGCCGCCGTTGGCCTTGACGACCTCGTCGCTGTCCCACAGCGTGCGGCCCGACTTGATGATGACCTCGACGCCGGCCTCCTTGGCTGCTTTGGTGACTGCCTCATCGCGGTCTCGGGCGTAGGCGTCGGTGTCCTTCTCGAAGACGAGGTGCGTCACGTTCCAGGCCTTGAAGAGCTTGGGAAACAGGGTCTGGGGCCCCTCGCGCAGGACGAAGAGCTTGGACTTCTTGTTCAGCTTGGTGATGGACGCGGAGAGGTCGTTCTGGCAGTCCAGGAGGAACTGCCATCTGTTGGTCCCTCCCTTGGCGCGGTAGACATAGTGAGGGTCCCACGTGAATATCGGCCAGAGGCATTCCGGGTTCAGGTCCAGGGCTGCTTTGAGTGCTGGGGAGTCGTGGAGACGGAGGTCTGTCCTGAACCCTGCGGATCTGTCAGTTTTATCCTGTGATTCGGGATAGATCATACATGTCTCACAGTAGACGACTCTCGCTGATTTACCCATGATGTACTATGCTGCTGTTGATAGTTATTGCCGTCACACTTGTCCTTGTTCATCTGGCACAGAGAACATTTTGAGTACGGTAGTGAGTTCTGCCGGGGCGGATAGAAACTCTACAGACTCACCCGGAAGCATTCCAGAGAAATCCAAGCTAGAGAGGCTCCGGCAATGATGTCAAAGACTTCGGAGCAGTAGTCGGACCCCTGCTCAGACTTGGCGAACTGCAAGGTACAGATCGATCTGCGACTAATGCAGGGACCTGACAAGGCCAAACCCCCCCTCCTACATGGCGATCTGGATCTGTTGGTCGATCTTTTGTCCGGCCTGCATACTATCTCTTTAGGAAGAAACTATTCTCCGCCTTTCGAAATCCACAACCGGCAGAGAGTGTAATAGCTTAGCACCTCCTTGTGCTGGTCTACGGGTCTTGTTGCATCACGGTCCATTCCCCGCTGCGGGCCGTTCCGAGGCGACACAGATCTGAGATGGGACACGGGTGTACAAGCGAGATCTGGCCATCCTTTTATCCACACCACCCAAGGTTATTGACCCTGGCCTGGTTGGACACCCACTCCTTTAACTGAACAATCAAGGTCTACAGAAGTAGGAGAACATTCGAACCCAGTTCCCTTTCCGCCGGCTAATCAAATCAACGCTGTTATGAACTGTTCGATACACCAACACCTTACCCTCCTCCAATAATCAAAACTCGCTCGCGGGTGTTTGCGGTATAGATTGACCCAGGCGGCCCGGCCCCCAGTTTATACGACTCAGGACAAGCACAAATGACCGTAGCATTTTTGTACATTTGGCTGAATCAACAGACCAGCTAATACCGAAATAGAAAAGACTATAGATGACGCATTTCAACATTGCAGACACAAAACGACTCTGTCTACTCAAGCGTCTTTCACAGGAACCTCTGCCCGTCTACCCAACAGCCCCTGCGCCCGGGTGGGCGGCCCGCGTCCCCGCCGCTCCTTCTTCCCATGGTGAGCCCCTTGTTGCAACTCAACGTTGGACGAGCACTGATCTATGAGGACTCAAGAAATGAGCTCATGTTTCCCCCCGGTTATGCAACCCGTGTGGATTTCTGGCGGTGTTATTTGCGCCTCCCACCTGATCCGGACGAACGGGAGACAGCATGTCTGCGTGCTCCAGGCTCACTAAACGTTTCTTCCACAGCCCCGAGCCCCATCATCCGGCTTCTGACGCTGGCCTCTGATGGAGTCTGAGTGAGCCCTCGCTCACTACTTGTGCTGGCCGTGCTTCGCCCACTCCCGAAGGTCATTCTTCTTGATCTTGCCCGTCGACGTCTTGGGCAGCTCCGACACAATCTCCACCTCCCTGGGGACCATGAACTTGGAGATCTGGCTCTGGTGCTTCGCCCAGTCGACCACGTCCTTGCCTTCCACGTTCTTGCCCGACCTCACCGTCACATAAGCCTTAGGCCTCTCGCCCCAGTGCGAGTCCGCGACTGCCACCACGCCAGCCTCGAGGACGTCGGGGTGCTTGACAAGCATGCTCTCGAGCGCAACCGACGAGATGTTCTCGCCACCCGAGATGATGATATCCTTGGCCCGATCCAGGATCTGGATTGCACCGTCCGGGTGTTGCACGGCCAGGTCGCCTGAGTGCAGCCCGCCGCCCGTGAACAACTTCTTGGTTGCCTCGGGGTCCTTGAAGTAGCCCCTCGAGCAGATATTGCCGAAGAACACGATCTCTCCAATTTCCTTTCCGTCCCTGGCGACGTCGACCAGCACCCCTTCCGGCTGGTCCGTCTTGACCACCCTCACAGGCAGGCTGGCGACGAACCCGTGGCCTTGCCGCGCCATGAGCTGGTACTTCTCCTTGGGGTCCAGGGCGTCCCACTCGGGCATGATGTACCCCTTAGTTATCGGCCCGTACGTCTCCGTCATCCCGTACACGTGCACCGGGTGAAGGTTCAGGTTCGTCATCTGCTCAAACAGGTGACCCGAGGGCGGCGATGCAGCTACGGTGACCTGACAGGGGCGGTCGAGGGGCGCGGCGTTGGGGTCCGCGCACAGCAGCGTGTTGACCGTAGGCGCGGCGTTGAAGTGCGTCACGCCCTCGGACTTGAGAAGCCGCCACACCAGCGGGTAGTCGATCTTGCGGAGGCAGATGTTGGTACCGCGCACAGCTACCACCGACCAGGGGAAGGTCCAGCCGATCGCATGGAATCTTTCCCAGGCCGTTAATTTCGTGACCGCCGCGGTGAGAGATGGTGTGGGTAGTACTTACAAGGGCAGCGTCCAGAGATATTTACACCGTCCACCTTGGCTGTTCAAGCCCGACTCTATCACGTTTCCCATGGCTGCCAGGTAGGAACCTGCGCGTTACTGTCAACTTGCAAGTTCGACTGGATTCGTCTCTGCTGCAACCACGGATAGGGATACGCACCACGGTGAGAATATACGACGCCCTTTGGCCGCGATGTAGTCCCCGACGTGAACGGGATGGCTAGCATTTCATCCTCGTCCTCGGCAGAGATGTAAAGGCCATCCCAGCCTTTACTGCCGTTTTGCCGGTCATACGTCAGACCCTCTGACACAATCTCATCAAAGGGGCCACAGAGCTCCCCTTCAGTAGCATCGGTGTCCGTGTCGACGATGATCTTCACGCCTGGCTTTGTCTTCCTGAAAGATGCCAGCAGGCCCTCAAATTCCCAGTCGGTGATGATGATATCAACCTCAGAGAACTCAAAGATGTAGCTTATGTCGTCCTCCTTGAGCCGGTAGTTCACAGGCACGATGACAGCCCCTCCGGCGACAATCCCGTAGATACACTCCAGGAAGGCAGGGGTGTTTGGCGCCAGCACGCCGACCCGCTTGTAGCCGTGGGTCTTGAGGTAGTACGCGAGCCCCCTGGCGCGGTCCGCGAACTCCTGGTAGGTCCGGCGGAGGACCGAGCCGTTGGCGGTGATGTGGACCATCGCCTCGGCGTGGGGCTCGATAGATGCAGCTCGCGGGAGGAAGAAGGTCGGCGAGAGGGTGTGTATGTGATGACTGTGTTGCCATGTCTCCCCGGTCTTGGAGGATGAGGTCGAGGCCTGGGAGGGAAGGAGGTGCCCAATAATACTGCGGAGGCGAGACGGAGGTCCAGACATGGTGTATTTTGTTTACAATGAGTGTATAACTCAAAGATCTTATATGTAGTACTCAAGGTTCTTGGAATATAAAAATTCACGGTCTATATCTTGTTGTCGACCCAGCCTGGGAATGTTGTTGTCACCGGTGTGAGAGTCCGAGTAGGCGACGGGAGAGGCAGGTGGGGGTGGCGGGGGGGGGATGTAAGACAGCAAAAGCTGTTGTGCGAAAAATACAATCAGATGTACTGCTGCCAAATCAGTGATCAGATGTTAGTATCAAGACGATTAGCCAACCGTGTATGGTCAGTAACGATGTTGTTGCTGGCTCAAGGTCGGGGTAACAGATGGGAATGCAGGAAGTTGGAGATGCAGTGGCTAACGAGAGCAGCTCTCCCCCATCAATTCGACCACCTCCAGCCAAGAAGGCTACTTCGAAACCCCAACACGGTCAGCTCTGCCCCCTCACCCGGTCAATCGGTACCGTCGTCATTTTCCCAATGCCGACTCCACGTTGCCGCCCACCCTCGGGATCGTCGTTGACTCCACTGGCTGCATCTCCCCCTCACAGACCGGGCTAAGGGCCCTCGGTTATAACAAGGGCTTCTTCACCTGCGCAGGGAATCGATGACTTCTCCCCGCCCGGGTTCGGGAGCTCCCGTCACAGAATACACCAACATTGTTTCTAGGTGGCACAAGAGTCTATCATGAAAGGGAGGATAGAAGACCTGCCAATCTTCCAACCAAAAGTTGCCAAGCAACTTTCTCAAGGCCACGAAGATTTTCAGAACACCATCGGGGCAATCTCAATATCCGAGGCCCAAATAAGCCGTTTCTTCTTGGCGAATAAGAAGCAAGAGCCAAACAGAATATGGGTGAGATTTCACATCGCGAGCTTCCTGGCCGGCGGCTCGCCTCCCAAGTGGCCGCTCTTAGGCCGTCCTTGACAGTAGCATTCGTGTGAGAGCCAGACTCATGAGATAGTACCGGACTGGCCCCATTAAGATCTGATGAGACTACGCTGGTAATTCTGCGAATGCTGGCTGAAGTGAGCAGCATGAGAGGCTGGGAATCTACTACAAGGCCCAGTCTAGTCGAGACCGTTGAACAAAAGGATCGGACAGGGCCTCTCATAATGGAGCGTCTACACCCAATCTGGCTTGGGCTTCCTTCTGGTCATCATCGATATTAATACTCTCTGCTGACCCATTTCCCTCCGCTGCTGATGTCTGATATCTGGGCTGGGTATAAGTTCCCCGTTCTCCCAGTCACATCTGTCCTGGAACTCATACTCACAGGCATTGAAGCGTTGGAAGAGACCACATCAAGACCAAGCTCCCTAGCTATTCGAAAGAACACGATGGGTACCAGCCTTCTCACAGACACCCTGGGGAGTATCGCCAGCACACCCCTCCTCCTCCCAGCCCTCCGGGCCATGGTCTCGGTTGTGCTCCTCCTCCTATCAGGTGCGCACTTACCCATTCGCCCCCCCCCCTCCCCACCAGAGTCTCTCCCCCAGGCGAACACCCGTACTAGCCCAAACCGCAGGCATCTCCTTCAGCCTGCGCTACTGGTGCATCCCTATATTGCGACGCTGCCCGCCGTCCCCGACGCAGGTGTCCCAGTTCAGCGTCATCATCGAGCAGGGCCTCGCCATCATGCTCCCCACGAGCCAGCTCCTCGCCGCCTCGCTGCTATCCCTGACTCTCCTGACCGCGTACCACCCCAATCCGGACGTTTCCGGGCTGTGGAGGTGGCATGCCTTCTCCGTGCTGGTGCTCGTGGTCATGGGCAGGTGGGAGAAGCGCGCGATCTTCCCGGTCAACGAGCGGATTCTTGCTTTCGACCATGACGTTGGGATTGGTGAGGGGGCCGGGAAGGGGAAGGGCGGTAGGGAATATACCTTGGAGCAAGCAGCGGAGCTGAAGGGATTGTTGGATGTCTGGGCTGCCAAGCACCCTTGGAGGATTGTTGTGCCTCTGACTTGCGGTTTGATCACTTTTGGGGTGACTATCTCGCAAACCGTGTAATGTGTCAGGCCCGACACGAACCTTGGTGGAAGGAGCGGTCTATGGTGCGCTGGACCCTATCCATCTTCCTCAACTGATACGACGAGCCACAAGGGAGGTATATCGATATCGTTCACCGCGAGAGCAGTCGGCCCGTTGTCAAATTGATGTTGATTTATTCTTCCGCCGGCATGTTGCTGATAATCAGCTTGAAGACTGACTTCCCACTTCGCCTCCCATCTTCTGCGCGTACTGGGCGTGGACGTCTCTCCAGTGTGCTTCTTGCTGGCCTTTCACGGACTCGTACAAGAGCCTCGAACAAAAGATGGTCACATATTCCACGATTCGCAGCCCGTCCTTGTCCTCCACCACAACCCAACGCCTTTCTTGGCTTACCCCCAAAGCAGCCTGGAGGTAAACGAAGATGCCATCCTTGGTGTCTGTAATTTGGTAGTGGTTGGTGATTGTGCCCAACCCAGGAAGCAGCTTTGAGAATAAAGCCACACCGGGGACCTTGTCGATGACCTCGTAGCACCGGGTGTCCCCCTTCTTGATGGCCTGAACAGCCTCGGGAAGTGGGTGCAGCTTGCCGTCCTTGGGCTGCGTATCGTCCTTGGAAGAGATGAGGTTGGGGTCTGTCTCCAGGAAGAACTGATGCTCTTGGAGGACTGCCACGGCTTCGGCCGTCACATTGCCACTGACTTTGGTGATGTATTCGAGTGTCTGGTCTTTGGCCATGGCAAGTACTGAGGAATGTGGCAGAAAGGTTGTCCGCGGGGCTTCTTGCAGTGCAGAAGAGCGTGATTTTGGATTGCTGAAGCCGTGTAGCCGTCTCCGAGGTGCGGGCAGATCCAAGATGGTTAGGGACGAGAGGGCTTGGTTACTTTGTATACCATCGAGCCTTTGAGGTCTGTTCGTGCCCGTGCATGAATCCGCATTTGCCGGCTCCTGGCAAAACGATGCCCGTTTCGACTGTTGATTGCCATAGCAGCTACGGCACATTCGACGTACCCTGGCCGAACTCTAATTGGAAAACTTCGCACCGGATGAACTGATGATCTATCCGGTGGCCACAGCCGTCATCTGCTGGCTTGGCTGGAAGGGATGCTCCAGGCAAAGGAGGGAACATACGAGTTCATTATAGAATTGCATCTTCATGTCAGTCAGCGGTGCATTATTCGGGTGATATCGATTATCCCAGTATCCTGGGCGCGTAAGTGAAATTGGTAGGCTGCAAGCCAGCATCTGTGTTGAGGCTCTATTGTGTTTCGCGTACGTTGACCGATGCTGGTGGGAGCTAGAAGTTTCGACCGCAGACTTCAGGTACCCAGCCATGCAAAGTAACATCATCACAAGCTCATCAGCTCCCGGGAGCCCCATGCGCCCCACGTCTCTGCAGCTAAGCGGGGTAGATCCGACCCCGCACCACCAATCACAGAGCTGACCGCAGGCTGAACGTCCCTGTAGGTTCCTGGCCGTTGACCTGCCAGCTCCTACCAGGCGTACCTGGGTACACCCGTCGCAGAGGCAAACCTCGAGGCATTGAAATTCACCATCACCACCACCTTCACCTTCGTCATCGACTGAGCATAATCGAAAAACAGTATCTGAGAACCTACACTTTCTACACAATCTTGTCCTGTCCTTTACATCTTCACTTGCGGATCCCTCCGTTCCTCCTCTCGTTCTAATTGTCAACACTCGCACAATTGTGACATATTGCGCCTCATTTAACCTGCCTCACTGCCGGTGACACCGAATCACACGCCACCAACATGAGCCTCGCACGATCACTTCGGGGCTCATGTGCCTGCAACAGGAACCAGTACCTCATCAAGGCCCCCCAGGATGCCCGGGAGGTGGCACAGGTGCACTTTGGAACCGACGCTTCTCATCGTAAGCTCGACCTGCACGGGCACCCACAGCCTCACCATGCAGACCACCTAGCTAACACATGACCCCAGGCCTCGCCCAAGCCAGTCTCCTCTCGGCGCACATTCGCATCCCGTTAAACTGGTTCCACTCTGCGACCGTCGCCTACTTCCCGGACGAGACCGCCAGTACGATCCGGCGTGTGTACGAGAATCCGGCCGAGAACCACGCTCGACGCCAGTTCTGTGGCTACTGCGGCACCCCACTTACCTTCTGGACCGAGCAGCCGCGCGGCGAGGCAGACTACATCCACGTCACCCTAGGATCCTTATGTCGAGACGATCTTGGGGATCTAGACGAGCTGGGTTTGATTCCCGAGTCGCCGACTGAGGAAGGCGGCTCGGGGCTTCCTGTCAGAGGGGCCCTGGAGGCGGCCCAGCAGGCGAGCGAGGCGGAACGGGTATCTGCGACACTCTCGAATGCCTCGCAGCCAATCGGCCGGGAGTCGCACGGCATCCCGTGGATTGAGAGCCTCGTGGAGGGTAGCAGCCTGGGCGGCAGGCTGAAGAGAGCCAGTGTGACGCGCCGGAGTGCCGACGGCTCAGCCTGGGCCCAGTGGCATATCGTCGAGTACAGCAACGACGGCCAAGTCGAGAACGAGCCTGGCGGATCATCCGGTAACAACGGGAAGCGGAAGCTGGCTGACAGGGACGATGGCGAGGACAGGGAAGGTGCCGCTCAGCAGTGATCCGAATGGCGCAGGCGCGCTGGCCTACTGCGCAAAGTAATATGGCCTTTACGATACACCACGTCCCGCCACCCAATCAAGGTCGTATTTAAAGTGCCGCACCATGCTGTTGTCCTCGCGAAACAGCACAACGGCCGGCAAATGTTCTGGCGGCTAGTCTCGAGATTGGGCCGACGGCACGACTGTGCCACTGCACATTAAGGAGAGGTTGACATAGCGTAAGCGTGCTCAGGAGAGGTGATACTTGGGGCAGGAAGAAGCCAATTTGGGCTTGATGGCCGTGTTGCGGCTGATGGGCTGAACATTAGTAGTCAGAAAGAAGAAAAAAAGGGAAGGAGCGAGGTGGCATGAGATAGCCGCAGAAAGAATGACAGAGGCATCAGAACGGGCCGGGACACCACAAAACATGTGCGATAGAGCTAGCAGCGACGCCATAATAGCGGAATTCGTTGAGCAGCTGAAGCATGAAAAAATGAAGTAAAAGAAAAAGAAACGATGGAAGCTTGCTACACATCGTGACCGGAACAAGTGCCGCTCTCCGAGCCAAGCTCTGGTTTTATCACCCGAGGTTCACCCGCCGGCATGAGGCCGCGGCGGTGCGACGGGCTGCAAGGGTGGGACACGACGGGCGATGATGCCGGAGGACGGGACGGCGCATGGAGGCTACCGAAGGGCAGCTCGCACCCCAGAGGCGGGCCCCTGGGGCCCCCAAGCAGCCACGCCAGCCCGCTTGTTCCCGAGGTTTAGGCGCCTGAAGAGGTCAAGCGCCGCGACTCACATGTCCACGGTTGGACGGCCCGAAACGCAGGGCCCCACGAGATGTGACGAGATGTGGGAGAAATGGGGGCCTGGTTTCCAAGGGCCTCTCTTCGGCTTCCTGCCAAGCCACGAGGCTTGTCCAGGATGATACGGCGCTGTGTTGTGTTGCGTGCCTCGTGTGTGCCTGGGTCGGACAGAAGGCGGGCATTTGCACCTTCGCCCTGACAGGTACAGGGAGTACAGGCTGGCTGCTGGGGAAAGGGATGTGGGTCTTGGGTGTGGGTGGTGTGGGAGACGAGGGGCCAGCATCGCCGCCTGTCTCCGAAAAATCAATGTAGGCTCTTCAGGCATGTTACCCCGCGTGTAAGTGGGGTTGTTCTGGTGGAGGAGTAGGTTAGGAGGAAGAGCAGGGCTGAGGACAGGGTTCAAGGCGGACCAGGGATGAGAAGACAACCAAGCACGTAAGACGTTTCGTGGGACGAGTATGGAGAGGGCAATCCCGAGACTATGCCTAGCTTTTCTCGGTCGTGACGGTCCGAGGAACGGCAGAATTGGGGGAGGCAGATCCAGCTGTCTACGGACAATCTAAGTCGAACAGGCCAGCACTCGTCCGACCAGTCTACTCATCTGTTTCGACTCTAGAGCAGATCACGTTCTCCAAGGCCCCACGGCCGACGTGAGTGGTTGTTGTAGCCTTCCCAGCAGCAGGCGTGAGTGCATATCCATACAATATATAAAGCCGATATCCTCCCACGTCTCTGTTTGTCACTGCCCTCCGTCCGCCTCAAGGTGGTCACTCCTTTCCAGTGACCGTACCATTCTTATCATAGAGTCTCATTCTTTCCAAGGCATACATAGAGCGAGACCTCACATTTTCCCAGCCCTCCATCAGTTCTCTCTAAGAGCACACCCTAACCCTTAACTGAAATCACCATTCGTGACTAGGAAGGAGTACATAATCCACTGGGAACACCATCATGTCTTTGCCCAAAGACTTCAAGTGGGGCTTTGCTACGGCATCGTAAGTCCAATTAGCCCACTAGCCCATGGGAATCTCCCAGTTTCCAGGGTGGCCTTGAGTGGGCGAAGATTGACGTTCGTGATCAGCTACCAAGTCGAGGGAGCCACCGACGAGGACGGCCGTGGCCCATCCATCTGGGACACCTTCTGCAAGATCCCAGGCAAGATCGCTGACGGTAGCGATGGCTCCGTGGCCTGTGACTCGTACCACCGGACGGCAGAGGACATCGCCCTGCTGAAGTCTCTGGGCGTCAACTCGTACCGCTTCTCCCTCTCGTGGTCCCGCATCATCCCCATTGGCGGCCGCAACGACCCCGTCAACCAGGCTGGCCTCGACCACTACAGGAAGTTCGTGGACGACCTCCTCGACGCCGGCATCGAGCCCTTCATCACGCTGTACCACTGGGACCTGCCCGACGGGCTCGACAAGCGGTACGGCGGCCTGCTGAACAAGCAGGAGTTCCCCCTCGACTTCGAGAACTACGCCCGCGTGGTCTTCAAGGCCATCCCCAGGTGCAAGTACTGGATCACCTTCAACGAGCCCTGGTGCAGCTCCATCCTGGGCTACAGCACCGGCTACTTCGCCCCGGGCCACAGCTCCGACCGCGCAAAGAGCCCCGTCGGCGACAGCTCGCGCGAGCCGTGGCTCGTCGGCCACAACCTGCTGCTCGCCCACGGCCGCGCCGTCAAGGTCTACCGCGAGGAGTTCAAGCCCACCGACAAGGGCGAGATCGGCATCACCCTCAACGGCGACGGCGTCTACCCCTGGGACCCAGAGGACCCGGAGGACGTCGAGGCCGCCGACCGCAAGATCGAGTTCGCCATCAGCTGGTTCGCCGACCCGGTGTACTTCGGAAAGTACCCGGACTCGATGCGCAAGCAGCTGGGCGACCGTTTGCCCGAGTTCACCCCGGAGGAGGCCGCCCTGGTCAAGGGCAGCAACGACTTCTACGGCATGAACCACTACACGGCCAACTACATCAAGCACAAGACCGGCACCCCGCCCGCCGACGACTTCCTCGGCAACCTCGAGACGCTCTTCTACTCCAAGAAGGGCGAGTGCATCGGCCCGGAGACGCAGAGCTTCTGGCTGCGGCCCAACCCGCAGGGCTTCCGCGACCTGCTCGGCTGGCTGTCGAGGCGCTACGGCTACCCCAAGATCTACGTCACCGAGAACGGCACCAGCCTCAAGGGCGAGAACGACATGAAGCTCGAGCAGATCGTCGAGGACGACTTCCGCGTCGAGTACTTTGACGGCTACGTCAAGGCCATGGCCCTCGCCTCAAAGGAGGACGGCGTCGACGTCCGCGGCTACCTGGCCTGGTCGCTCATGGACAACTTCGAGTGGGCCGAGGGCTACGAGACGAGATGTGAGTATATATACATACGACCAAAGTCTTTCCCCTTCCTGCCGGGTGGTGGCTAACAGTTTTCCAGTTGGTGTGACGTACGTCGATTATGTGAATGACCAGAAGCGATATCCGAAGAAGAGCGCAAAGAGTCTGAAGCCGCTGTTTGACAGTCTCATCAAGAAGGATTAATTAGCACTGCGGCACATGGCCATCCTTATATTGTGATCACTGCAGTCCAGGTTCAAAGGGGCCACGGATGAGGAGTCGTGGATGAAGTTTTCATAACTTAGATGGATGGCATACCTATTTTCCTCGGACACCACAAACACTGGATCGGTCGCATCTCAGGCTCTGGGAGTGGCTTTGATACACTCCCAACCTACGTGATAATGACATAAACGTTTTTATAGAAGATTCCACACTCAACTGTGCAATTAAATTCTGTGAATCCTGCACCTACGTAGTACATGAGCGGGCTCCATCGAAGTCAAGAAAAAAAGCGTTCACGCCATCAGTATTGAGACCGATGAACAAGACATAGAGCCACTTCCTGTCACTGATGTGGAACCGTGGGAAAGAGAAACAGCCAGCAGTACTCGTGAAAAAAGGTTGCCCCTGTGTATTATGTTTAGTTCTGTGTACCCGCCTTTCTGCCAGGAAGGATATCTATCAATAAAGAATTGGAAGGGGGGGGGCATCCTTCTCGCCCCGGCCCGGACATTAGCCAAGAGAATAGCCGATAAGTTAGGGATATCCAAACGTGTCCGTGACTCAGTACATATTTATACAAGTCTCCATGGTATCGGCTCCCCATCAGTCCAGCGAGACATCATCAAAGGCCCGCGTCCTCCTCACCCCACCATCACCAGTAAATCTGGTCCCACCTCCGCCGCCGTCGTGGGCCCTCTGATCAACCGCCCCATCAACATCCTCCAGCCGCCGGGGCGGCGCGCCCGCAGCGCCTCCATGTCCATGCTCTCCTTGTGCGTCTCCCCGCGCCGCAGGTACCACCGGAAGACGTAGACGAGGACCTGGGCGAGGAAGACCTGCTCCATGGTGTACAGCAGGACGGGTATCGCGAGGGTGGCCTGGGTGTCGGCGCCCTTGGAGTGCCACATGGCCGCCACGAGCGGGATCCCGACGCTAGTGGTCTTCGCCGCGCCGCAGAAGCACACGGCCACCGTCTGCTCCTTGGACATCTGCTTGGGCGCGACGACCCGCCGGACCGGGCGGGGGATGTACCGCTGCGCCGCGCGCGTCTCGAAGGCGACGACCAGCCTGTGCGGGGGCCGCGCGGCGACGAAGCAGACGCCCGTGAAAAGCGCGTACAGGCCCACGTTCATGAAGACGTTGAAGAGGATCGACTGCGTGGGGAGCCTCTTGATGGCACCTGTCTTAAAGGCGTTGGAGAATGTGGACCTGCATGCAGTCGTTCAGCAGGGGTCTTTTTCGCTGGATTACGAGTGATTGCTAAAGGGGACTTACCACACCAGCGTACACAGGAAGAAGGTCGACACCTTAGCCAGGCAGAACGTGTCCAGCGCCCAGAGGACCCTCTTCTTAAAAAGGATCCTGAGCGTCTGCCCCAGCGCTATCGGGACGAGGACGCTCAGCCCCAGCTGCATGGCGACGTGCCTGTACATCTCGGGGATGCCCGAGGCGTCCGAGGGCGCCCAGTCCCCGAACTCGGCCACGGTCGGGATGAAGATGTAGATGAGGCCCGGGCAGAGGAAGGAGCCGAAGACGTTGCCGATGACGACCTCGATGATGGCCGCGGCGTCGTCGCCGCCCGCGTTACGGGTCATGACGACGTTGGAGGCGATGGTCGTCGGGAGGCAGCTGAGCACGAGCATGCCCACCAGGATGGCCGGCTCGATGGTCTTTGTGCCGTCGGCGGCGATGATGATCCACATGATGGCTATGAGGAAAATTAGGTCAGCGGCGGAGGTCAGCTGGGGGAGAACGGGCGTGCCGTGGTCGTGGTGGTGCTGGGCATACCTAGCCAAATAAGCGGTATCACTATGAAACTGATGCCCTGGGTGAGGATGTGCAGCCTCCAGTTGAAGAGGTTCATGCGGAGCTTCTCTGGCGATAATTGTAGCCCACTGACGAAGAATATGATAGCCACCGAGCCATACAGGACGCTGTACTCGGACCTAATTATTCCACCCTTGGATGCGACATCTACCAAAGGTAACTCCGTCAGTCTTCACATATTCCTCCCTCTGCACAACCGGGACCAGGACTCCTCTTACCGGGCCACAAATACCCAAACAGACAGGCAAGACCGAACCCTATGATCAGCCATTGCTCGGCGATGAATTTGAGGACCTTCAGGGTGGACCCAAGAAAGCCGGTCTGCTGCGCCTCGGCGGAAGGCTCGTCGCCCTCGCTCGGGGGCCGGTCCCGGGCCTTGGCCTCCTGGTCGCCGCGGCCGGGAGGGTCCGGGAGCCCCTTGGTGACAACCATCAGGGGCGAGGCTCTGGTTGCGGTTGTGGTGTTGAGCCAGCAACACCGGCGTCGCGATGAGCTCGGTGTGGGATTGTGTTCATAACAGCAACGATAACCGTGATGTAGTGGTCTGGTACCAGGATATCCAAAATTGAAAGAACAACAAAACTGGAAAAGAGAAAGAGAAAAAAGAAAAAAGGGTGGACTGAAGCGGGCTTTCCTTTGTGCGGGAGTGAGGAGAGGTCTAGTCGTCACCGCCGCTCGAGAAATGTCGGAGGATTGGAGACGCGCTCGATCCTGGCCGCCTTAGTGCCGGAGGGCGAGGATCGGCCACAAATCGGCGGAAGGAAGCGCTATGCTGGAAGCAGACGGTGGAGATATTGTATTATCTGTGGTTGTCTGGAGTTCCTAGTTTATTATCTGGCCTGCAGAAGAAAGTTGTCCTGCTGAGCTCAACAGTCCCCAAGGAGTCTGTCAGTGGTGCAAGCTTGGTATAGGACCAGGGAGCCACAGCCGCCATTGTTTTTTCTCGACGCCCAGTGGATACCACAACAATTCCCACCCAACGGGCAGTCTTTAAGGAGTTTTCTGGTAGTTCCTGATGGTAAAACGCCATTTTCTGCTCAAAAAACGTCATCACCATTTTCTCCAGAAAGAAAGGGAAGGGACTATGGGGATGTGTTCTTCAAATAGCTTCGTTCACTTTAGTAGCATCCAACAAGATAATAGAAGGACAATCGCTCTTCCCCAGACCAAGCCACTGATGAATAGAGCCAGACTCTGCCCATTCCCTTAACGACCTCTCAGTTCAAAGAACCTAGGTACCTAGGTATTTTGTTTTTCTTCAGAAAAATGCACATGCCTCTACCGGCCCACCTCGCTAGCCTCCAAGTCGAATAATGAAAGAACAGTCAAACGCCATGCGCTCATGCGTTGTGGTACAGGTACAAGATCCCATGTTGCAGACAGAGATTAGTAGGGCTGTAGAGAAGAAAATTCGGGGTATATTCATAAGTCGTTCCTGGCCGCTCGATTATTATAATAATTATTAGAGCAGCTTTTGAATGCATTTCAAAGCGTAATCGTCTCAGTCCGCCGTCACCGCAGGCCCTGGCTCAGCTGGCAGGCTGTCGTTCCCTCTCGATTCCGTGCCCCTGGTGCTTTGTGCCGGGAGAATCTCAGGGTCGAAGATTTGGATGTCAAGCTGCGTAGTAGTCAGTCACCGTCCACTCACCAGATGGTCGAACTTGGATAGCACTCACCGTCATGTAAGCCGTTTGCCTTAAAGGGATGATCTTGGGCGGCACAATGTTGTCATCTCCGCCAGCTGTTTTCTCCATCTCCTTGTTCCATCGCTCAAGCCACCTCTCCAACCTGGCAAGCCTGGCCTTCGCGCCCGTGAAACCAAAGTCTTCCCACAGCCATCCTGTTACTAGGCCGAGAATACCATCGACGACATTTCGGGGGTTGTATGGGTTATATGTCGGAACGAGCTCAGAGTTCAGCTTGTCGATAACCCGTCGAAACTCCACCTCAGACAGACCAGCCGGGTCGAGGATCTCGGGATACATGTTCGAAAACGTTGGCGCAAGATCGCCCTCGAGTAGCCAATCCCGTTTTATCCTGATTATTCGAGTGTTCACGTACTCCGGGGAGTCCACAGGTACGTGGGGGTTCAGGTGTGGGAAGCACGGATGTTGAGGTCCCCATTCATCGTCGTCGGCTTGCTCGTCAGGATCGCCTAGGATGGACGAGTTGCTCGATGAGATGGCCGATCCTATCCCGTCGCCTATTGAGCCTGTCGAGTCCCGGCGCTCATGGTCTTCTGGTCCCCGCTCCAGATCCCGATCAAAGGACGTCGGTTGTTGCTGCTCATTCTCATCGCTGGCCGTCATGACTGCCTTGCCCTTGCCCTTGTCAAACTTCTGGAAGCTGGATTGAGAGCTCAGTTCGGTGACCGTCACGTGTGGATTGATCCGCTCGTCGCGCCGTCTGAGCCTGGGAACCGCCCCGGCTTGCGCAGCGTCCACCTCCTGCACCGCCCGAGATGGTCTTGTCGACGGCCCTGCTTCGGCGTCCTCGCCTGATTCCTCGGGGAATGTGGGCGAAGGAGTGAGCGTGCCCTTGCTTTTCCGCTTTTCGTCGTATGAGTGCCTCACAGATCGGGGCAGGCTGACCGTGTCCCCACCAATCTGAAGGCTGTTCCGTGGACCGCCAGAATTATTCCAGCCGTCTCGCTGCTCTGAGAGCGTTAACAGTGGGGTGTCACCGGAAATGGCAAGCGCGCCTCCAAGATTGACGGATGGAAGGGAGACGTCGAGGGCGGGATACGGGATGGGGATCGAAGGCGGCGTGGGAGTCGAGGGACGTCTAGGTCTGGGAGGAGATTCTAGCAGGAAGCGCGGAGTCGAATTGGTAGGATTCCAGAGACGGCCGGCAGAGGCTTGTCGGAGATGCTGCCGGGTGGTGGTGTTAGGGTCGCGGATGCGGAAGGGAGACTGTTGTTGAAGATAGCTTTGGCTTTGGAAGCGCTGGTGGTGGTGCTGGCGTGGGGGTTGGGATAGGGGCGGAGTGCGCGGGAGGGCGGCGGCTGGGGGCGTCAGAACCGGGACAGAAAATTGGACTTGGGCTGGCTGTTCGGGACGGTTGTTGACGGAATCATTCCGTGGGGCGTGGGCATGAGCATGAGCGTGTGCGTGAGGTTGAGCGCGAGCGTGACTGCGAGCATTGACATCTGCGGGATTCAGGGCGGTGAATTCAATTGATCGACGACTATCTCGGAGCGCAGCGTGAGAAGCCGTTGGAACGGATTGGGGGCCGCTGAAACGGCTTTGACGGCCCTGGGCCTCGGCGGGTGGGAGTGGATGGCTGGGACTGTGCCTGTGCCCGTGCCTGTGCCTGTGCCTGCGCCTGTGACCTGCCGTCGGATCAAGCGCTGCGGGGTCAGATCTCCAGATGCTAACAAGGGAGATGGCGCCTGTCCGTGGTGCGGCAGTCGTGGTCCTCGTCCGCGCCCTCGTGCTCGATGATGCTTGGCTGCAAGTTGTGGTTGCAGTTGCAGATGCAGGTGCAAGTGTAATTGCAGGTGCAGACGCAGGCACAGTTGCAGTCGCAGCTTCTTAGCAGCACGAGCGCCTCGCCGTGGGTCCAAGCACCAGCGGCAATGGCGCCAGCAGAGGCCTGGGCGTGAGCACGCGCTGGACACGCCTGAGATTTGCGGCAGTGGAGCAGGCCCGGAAATTGAGATTGGCCTGCAAGCGCAGAGGCACCGGCGCCGACTCAGGGTCAGGATCAGAACCTGGCGATTTCGACCGTGATTCCCACCTGCAACTGTGGTTCGGTAACCCCGTGCGACGGAAAGTTCTGGGTCGGTACGGGCAGCTGAGCGTGCACAAGATTTGGGTTCACGCAGCGAGGACGGACAGGGAGAAGTGGTGGGAGGAGGAGGGGGAGAAGGATGATGGCAGGGCGCCGGCGACGATAGCGGCGGCTCCCGCCCCTCGACCTGCAGTAGCGTCCAGAGGGTCGGATGCACGTCAGAAAAAGGCGTCGTGTGGGAGCTGGCAACGGTACTGGCACGGGTAAAGGTGGTGAGAGTAGTGGCAGTAGGCTGGCAGTCAGATGCAGAACAGCGCTGGCAGATCCAGATCCAGATCCAGATCTGGCTCCCAAGGGTCAGGGGCAGAGTGCAAACGGCCGACTCCAGATGGTCGCGGTCGTCTTCTCCAAATCCAAATGCTACCATGACAGTAGCCTGAGCCGTTGACTGCTTTTCATGCGTTCTGGCTCCGCAGTATCTTTCTTGTCTTGGCCCTCGGTATGGTTCGCCCCAGGAGGGATGCGACGGTCAGAGCCGGAGAGCGTGGGTTCCGCAGAGAAGGGAGGGGAGGGGAAGGAGAGGTAGGGGGAACACGAGCACGAGGACGAGGACGAGGACGAGGACGAGGAGGAGGAGGAGGAGGAGGAGGAGGAGGTGAAAAGATAGAAGAATGATAGTGACGGCTCTGACGGTCACTGGCGACAAGGGTTCACCTCCGACAACGAGCAGAAAGAAGGGATGTCTTCGCTTATGTCTCGTGGCGCAGGATTGTGATCGGGTAATACTGAGGCGCCGGTCCAAGTGAAACTCGAAAGTCTATGAACAGACAGGAGGCCATGTGAGTCGATATCGCGGGTGTTTGGCTTGTTCCCGTGAGCCGCGATCCGACCGCACAGCACACGCAGCAAGCAGGCAGTCGAGCGGGTCCGGCGGCTGTTTGTCAATTGTTTGTCCGGATGTGTAGGAAGATTCTCTGGGTATGCCTTCGTCTTTCCAGAGGATGGTCGCCAGTTAAGGTCAGGTCAGATCAGGTCAGGCCGCTCAGGTCCGCCCTGCTCTCTTGAAAACTCTGTCGCCTTCGCCGTGGTAATATAGCAGCGGCTGCTAGCGTCGGGGGCCAACACTCAGATTGCGCATTTGTTCCTGGATGAATGCTGGGAGAGCTGGACGAGAATAACCTCGCATCCCTGAACATAGGCACGCATCTAAGCTCTGCATGTGCTGTGCCCAGCGTCCATGCATGTTGACGGCCGCCCGTGCTGCACCTTGGGCGTAGGGCTGGCTGGGACCAGCTTGTGCGCAAGGCTCTCATCAGCAGGTGTGCCGATCTCCCCTTGCCCTACGCGGAGGTTTTCTTTGCAGTCATCTCGTCGTCCCCGAGCCTCAATGCGCCCATCATAACGGGATGCTACCCGCCGTGCAGGGCGCTCCCAGAGCCGCAGCATCGTCATCACAGCACACGAGACCACATGCTCCTTGCTGGACATGTCATGCCGATTGAGGGGAGATTTGGCATCTCGAGCCGCTTATTCGACATGACGATTGCAATATGACCGACTGACTGACTGCCTGCCTTGCTGACTGACTCCTTGCGGGCGCTGGGAAGAGCAGCTTGACCCGTCATCGTCGCCTTCCTGATTATCTAGCCCCGTCCTAGCAGGCTGAGACGATTTTTGAGATAAGGGATTCGTAAAAACACGGCCTGGGAAGACGGGCACGCTTGCTGCTCGACCTCCACCCTGGTCTTGGACATGATCTTGCGGGCCACTATCGAAAGCCAAAAAGGATGCAATCTCGAAGGATTCCTTGCGTGGAATCCGGATATCCCTGCCGAATCGGCTCAGGACCCTGGCCAGCTACTAAGCTGGGGCGCATCCGAGCTGTCGGGAACCCACAATAAATAGGTTGACCGCCAGAGCTGACCTGTGCAGTCAGGTGCTGTTCACTGTTTCTCTGCCAGTCGGTGCTGTCATCGCCGATGAAGCTCTCCGCAGCGCGAGTGCCGTCCGGGGCGAGCTGGGCTCTCCAGGGCCCGCGATAATCTCCGGGCTCCAGCTGCAGGGCTGCCAGGGCACAGGGCTGTCGACAGCTCGTCGCTGCCCAGCGGTGGTTAGTTAGTTTTCTTGAGTCTCGTATCCAGAACGAGGCTGCGGTTATCCCGGGCCTGGGGCCACACCCTTGCCTCCTGCTTGCGATTCTCGGCGTGGACCAGTTGTCGCCTCCCGAACAGGATTATGGGTATTTTCCTTCGGCAGTCAAACTCGCAAGCACGGAGATGTTAGTCTGGGTTCTTTGCGTGGCACCCCGAGACTTCCAAGGCGGGCCTTTTCGGCCCATCTCCAACACTCACGCTCGCTGGCACTGCAAGGAACGGGAAGACGGGGGGCATGGTGACGTCGTGATTGGCGCAACCCCCAACTTTTCTCCAACGACTGCATTCCACTGCCACCTTTGCTTGCTTTCCCTTCAGCCCTCCAGCCGCGCAGGATCGCCACTGCCATGTCCTGTTTGAGTAACGTGGCCCACGACTCTGGCTGTGTGTACAACACAACGCGCTCCTGGCCTGGCTGGCTTGCTGCGAGTGCTCTCTGCTGCCCGGGCTAAGGGCGGGACAGCAACAATCAAGCTGTCACCCCTTCGCTCGTCCTGTCACACCATACCCACTCCCACACCCCATCACATACCTCCTGCCCGCAAAACCTCACCGCGTCCGCATCCGCGTCGCACAGCCGCCCCGCCTTTCCGCCTCCATGCCCTGAGCTTCGTCCTATGTCTCCCTTCCCTTCCACCCACCGTCCCCCGAAATGAGGCTCACATAGACTGCCGTCAACGACCCAAGGTGTCCTGTCTTCCGTGGCAAGTCATTATGGAGACCCTCACGGCCCAAGATGTATCGTCATCGTCCCGGTCATCCCCTCCGGGTCGCCCTACCTCTCCCCGTGCGACCACCACATCCTTCTCTTTCCCTTCCAGCTCCGCGACCTCGTCCGGCTCTCCTCCCGGCCCGCCGGGACACACCCTCCGTCGCTCAACAACCATAGACGAGGCCTCGCGGCTCCGTGGCGGAGCCTCCTTCGCCTCCCCCTCTCCATCCGAGCACCTCGACTCGCCCCCGATTGGCCTCCGACGGCGCAGCTCGACCTTCTCCGACTTCAGCATATCCGAAGCTCGGCGATCAATGCGAGATGGCACCCAGGACATCCTGAACCCAAGTGGGGCGAAACATGACATGGGCCAGGATGGCTCAGGTGCCCTGGCCAACTTGCCTATCGCTTTTGCACTGCTGCCAGCACTGGTTGGAGTGCTTTTTGAGGGTGGCAGCCAGCTTATCACCGATATCATGCTGTTGGGCCTGGTATTCGTCTTTCTCCGATATACCGTCACACAGCCATGGCAATGGTATCACTCGGCCCAGGAGCTACGCATCAGGCAGGAAGTTGGGCTGGAGCACGTGTCTGAGGATGGGAGCGAGCTGGACATGGCGCCGAGCAAGAGGGCGTCTATTGTGACGCTGGACGATGTGCCCGAAGAGAATCTCGAGGACGACCAACAACCCTCTCAGCCGAAACACGAAGACTCTGAGACGCGGAGGAAACTGGAGGGAAAATCACCCGCGGGACAGTCCAGTCGCACCAGGTCCCAGGAAGCAGCCGTTAACGAGCTTTACGTCCACGAAGTCCTCGCTCTGTTGGCTTGCTTCCTTAGCCCTGTCATCGGCGCGTACCTTCTCCATGCTATTCGGAACCAGCTTAGCCGGCCCTCTGAAGGACTCCTTACCAACTTCAATATCTCAGTGTTTCTCCTCGCAGCTGAGCTCCGCCCTCTGTCCCACGCTCTCAAGCTCATCCAGGCTCGCACCCTGCACCTTCAAAGAATAGTCAGGCTCACGCCCACCCCGCCTTCGACGACAGCACAGCTCGAGGAAATGCGTCTCCGCCTCGCGCAGCTTGAGCTCCGCGCGGAAGCAGCGGAGGCGGTGACTGCACAAACACTCGAGATCTCAGCTCAGCGGCAGCAACAGCAGCAGCAGAACAGCGGGTTGAAGCAAGGGCCGGCACTTGTCAGAGAAGTACGGAATGCGATCCAGCCCGAACTGGACGCCTTGAATCGTGCGGTCCGGCGGTACGAGAAGAAGGCCACAGTATTGGCCTTGCAGACGGAGTCGCGACTGGGCGCTGTCGACACCCGGCTGAGCGATGCGATAGCACTGGCGGCGGCGGCTGCAAAGCAGAGCAACCAGGCACAGTGGAGCTTCACCGCGCTTTTGAGATGGTGTGCTGAGTCTCTGGTGTCTTTCGTCTTGATCCCTTACCATGTGGTATTGTATCTCGTGATGTGGCCCTTCAGGATGGTGGCAGGGCTGTTGCTCCGGAAGAGAGCGGCAAGAAACGACGGCCGGTCGTCCGGGCCAGGAAGGTCGGGGCGGGGCCACAGTAAGGGCTCGAAACCCGGCTCCGGATCAGAAAGGGACAGGTATAGAGATCGAGTTCCATCGAGACTGTCGAGGAGGTACAGTCCCTGAGGCTACTTCCCTTGTTACTTTCGCTTTACTTCCTATGTTTTCAAAAAAGAACAGCACTTGTTTTGGTTCCTGAAAGACACTTGACATATGATACCAAAAGATACAACACGGGTTGCAGCACCTAGGTGAGAGAACTTCTCCGCAGGTTGGCGCTATGAAGCACGGAGTAAACGGCGCGGAGTGCGCATTCGCTTCCGATGGAGACGGATCAGAACGAAGAGATGTAATTTCAAAGCCAAATTTTGGGCGTCTGCCAGGCGTCTGCTCTTTTTTTTTTCAATCGACCCGCGCTGAGTGGGCTCGAGGACAACACGGCTCACACTTTGCGGCGGGCATATTCAGAGAGTGTATGCAGCAGCCAGCTTCTCGCAGTCTCATTGACCTCAACGTGCGAGGTTGGGCTGGGCCCATGCAATGGAACAGTATTCCTCGATCGATTTCTTTAAAGTGCCGGGACACTGGTCTTGCGACGCCGGGAGGTGGCCGGTATCGAAGGTTAAAAGAACATCTTATGCGTGGGAACTGTCTCAACATATGCAGGTTCGAACCTTACCACGCACGTGAAATCGAGATCTGCGTTCTCCAAACAACTCTGTTCAGTGGTAGTCACACACGTGAGAAGAGGTGTACCGGCTTTAAGTTTTGTTCGCGGTTACCCGCAGGCAGAACGGTCCGTTTCCATCACGATGTCGTGCAGGTCTGGCCTGGCTTGTCTCACATCCGTGTAGACCAAAGCCAGCCTTTTGTGAGACCACGTGTGCGTGTGCCACCGTCGCCTAGATCTTCTCGCACCTTGCCTTGCTGCTCTGTTTCCTACCAACGGGGCGGAGAGACTTCCTGTACTCTCCCACGCATAGGTGTGCAGAGGAGACGCATTTGTCAAGCTTTGCCCGGCGAAGTATATGATATACCGGATGGTTCGGTTTGTCCGTGCACTCGATCACCTCCCTCCAAAACCCAGCCACCACTAACTTAATGCGAGTGGAAGACGAACCTGGTGCATTCATCATTCGGACGGCGAAATCTTGCGACGAACTGCTACCCTCTCCGTTCGTCCCAGGGCGCCGGAGCCGAATGGCACGACGGAGCCATCGTGCTCGCAATTTCGTGCCCCCCTTACCTGCGCCTTGCCGTTCTGCTTGCTGCGTGGATGCTGTGCCGCGTTGACTCACGTAGCCCGCCCCGATGCAGGAATATTGAACGCGAGCTGGCCCTATCAGTATTAGTCTCCCTCCTCAAGAGATGTGGGACTGCAAATTCTCTCCTCGTGTTGCTGGTCGGGTCGTTTACGGCGCGGAGGTCCCCTAAGGTATATCGCACAGCGCCGCTGCGGCCGCGCAGGCCAAGTTTCATGCAGACGAGGGCTTGGGGAGGTCTTGGTTGAGATGCAGGCTGGCAGGCTGGCAGGCTGGCTCAGCCGAGGAGGTGGCTGGCGTCTGTTGGCATAATGAAGCATCCTTCCCCCTTTTACTCGTGCTTATTAAAACTATTTGCTTGAATATTGCGACAGACGTCAAGCCTCGCAGGCTGTCATTTGTTGGGAGGCGAGGTAGACCGAAACCTTGGAGGGCTACAGCCATCATGAGCCGACTACTCGTGCGAGAAACCCAATGCGGTTAATTATTGGTTTATCATCTACTGTACGCAGTGGCCAATATGCCAATTCGTCGCCTATCGAACTCCATCCTCGGGAAGGGGAGAGAGTGGGTCCCCATCTATTCCGGCTCCACAGCCACTGAAGAAAGAAAAAAGTCCAGCACACAGGCGCGTGGGGACCACGCACGAATGTACTGCGGTACAGCTGCTATCAGGAACAAAAGGCCCCATCCTCAAGTGCTCCGCTCCGCTCTGGTTGGCCAAAGCTCTAAAAAGTCGCCGAGGGGGCGCCCTTCAGAAGCCTATTCTGTGTTGCTATTTTTCTTCTGCCTCCCAACCTGAAACTGTAAAACCAGGAACAGCCCGCGAGGCCAGGCCGAGGGGGCGTGGCTGAAGATCTAAAAGGCGGACCCGAGCATGTAGCAAGTTTATGTGTAATTCATGCGCTGCGGCAAGGGAGAAGAAAGGGGGCTCACAGATACTGTTGCCATTTTTGTGATCGAGCCTGTGTTCTCCTGAGCTGTCGTACGCAAGACCAGAGGTGGGGGGGGGGGCGACGCGTGGTTCTTGCGCGACGTGAGAAAAAGAACTTCTGTGCAGGCTGTGGGCTGCCGTCGCAGCCAACCTCGGCTGGGAGGCCAGGAGGCCCACACGAACCGTCACACAGGAGCGGCCGTAAGGCACGACCGGGCACCCCTGGCATCATGAAGAAAAAAACCCCGATGGCTCGCCTCAGAGCTGATCCTATCCAGAATTTCGTCGACGACCTACAGATGTTCGTCTGCCATGAACTGGACGCCGTCGCGACTACCAGCAACATCGGGTAAAGCTAGGTGAAGACGCGTTCTCGGTACCAGAGGGTTCGAGCTCAGCGCCAGAGGTGGGTGGTGTCGACGCGCCAGAGACCCGTCCGTCGCTCCCAAAAGCAAAGCTATACCGCAGTACGTACGTACATGCCAGTACTTCACCGTTCCGATTGGCGCCGGCGGTGCTGCTGCTTGGCTGCAAGCCGCCTGCCTCCAGCCCGCCTGCGTGCAGCAAGTTGCCTGCAAGATAAATTTCGTGATGCATGCCCGTAATGAGGAGAAGACGGCTGGGGCTTCTCACCTCTCTTTCTCGCTCAACGTCTCTGCTCCCTTGTACCGTGTACTGTGTTTACACCAAGCAATGAACTGGTGCGTCTGTGCATCTCGATGTTGGCCGGCCATCCCCTGGGAGGAGTGCGAGGCGTGCACGGTAGTGGTTCGCGCCAGCGTTCCTAGCGGCCCCAGCAGCGCGGAAGGCATTGCGAAGGATAATTTCACTAATGACGACGGACTGACAGTACGACCTCTTGCGATCTCTGCGATCTCGAGCAATCCAGCTCATCAATCAGTCACTCTGACGGAGCGGTGACGGGCGACAGAGGGGAAAATCTTGGAAGCGCAAATGGGGATTTCCGTCGCTGCAGTAGACTACACGGTAGGCGCGTTCCAGAGAGGCGTGATTGACTGAGAGGTGGGACCAAGATTGGCCCGAGTGTGCCCCATCCCTGCCGCCTTGTCAGGTACGGCTGACAAGGGGTTGAGACTGCGATCTGCGATGTACCTCACGCACTGCCCTGCCTATAGAGTGTCTTCCAACGAAGCCAGTCAGGCAGCAGATGTCATTTACGGGTTCTCTCCAATGAAATCCTACATAAGGAACCATTTCAGCTTGATATTGATTCAACGCTCGTTGTTCCATAGAATTAGTGGTAGGCTCTCAGACCTCGACTCTGCCTGCTTCTCGACGACGCTACACTGGTACCTACCTGCCTGCTCGTCCGGCAGTACGGGTAGATCCCGGTCATCCGATCTAAATTAGTGCCAAATGTCAGGCCAGTGGATATGCCACGACCCACAGGTCCAAGCTGACTCAAGCCAGCCCGCCTGCCAGACTGGCCAGTCAAGCCGACCTCATCAAGAGCTGCATCTGGTCGATGACATGTGCCTTCGCTGCGTGGTACGAGTGTGCAGAGACACTTTCTCTCCCGGCACAAAGTACCCGGTGCTCTGTGTCCGGGTACCTGCCGTTGATTCGACCAAACCTTCTTGGGCTACATTCTCGTCCCGATCTGCTGCGAAGTCGTCCGTCGTGAACTGCTGGTGCAATCGCAATCTCCCATCCTCCAGCCGACCAGTCGGATGGCTTTCTGCTTCTTCGCAGCGCCTCAATGGGACTTCATGCTGCGCGCGGCAGACCGGGGGCCACGCCACGAAGAGGAAAGCCCAGACGTTTGACATCGGAACAGCGCTGCAGAAGAGAGATGAGGCCGGCCTTGTGACTGCAACCACCACACTTCACATCCCATCTGGGCTTTCCCATTATTAACGGCAGGGTCCTTTTCATGTGGCCCCCGGCCTGCCGTTGAACGCCTTGGGCTTATTACGACATGCCACTCGCGGTACTCCATGCAGTACATGAGTACATGTTTGTCCCATTTTGGCCCATGATGAGGACCCTCCAATGAAACCTCAACCCATGACCCCCGGCTGCCCCAGAGAAAACCAGGCCCGCGACGACAGAAGGGGGAATTTCTCGTGGCATCACGGATAGGATCTCTCCAGTGATGCACGCCTGCCCACCTTTCTTTTATTCTCCTCCCGCCGCTGCTGTCGTCTAGCCCTTGGTCTCCCAAGGTTTGATCGCCCAACCGCTCCGTCCCTAGCCTAGCCAGCACTCAGTCGGCCTCGTCGTTCCTTACACCGGTATTCCTCTCGTCCACTCATTTATCCACACTTGTTGAAGTCCGGCCTTGCCTTGCGTTGAGTACATGCGGTAACGTCGTACTCGATAGCCTAGACTTATTGCAGCCCGCGTCTTCCTCGCCTCCTTCGCTATCACATCGACAGCCTGGGCCCGTCCTGTCTAGCTCAGACCCGATACCCCTCCGCTGAACTCTGTTTGCTCTGTCCAGCCCTCTTGTTTCTTCGGCCAATATTGTTTGATCTCCCATCTTCAAGCGAGTGATCACACTTCTCGGCCGACTGCCCTCTCCCCCCCTCTCTCCTTCCCAACCTACCCGTCCCCCTTTCCCACTTTTGTTGACGGAGGATGAGTCCCATTCGCCTATACACCTGCTAGACCCGGGGATATCCTCTTTTCTCCAGAGAGCTTCGAGTCTCCTCACGCAGGCATATGGGAAGTGAGGGATCACCTAAGGCACACTAGTAATACCACATCCTCTTCAGTCACACATGATGAGGGCCACTCAGCTACCAAGAATATGGGGGTTAGTCCTTTGCTTCCTCCTGTGCTTCAACATTGTCTTTGCGGGCGTTGCGCAGCCCCTTCCACGGCAGGATGATATAGGTGACGCTCCTGCCACGACTGCTCCTTCATCCACGACTGAAGATGCCGCCTCAGCATCCTTCACATCCTCGGCGGATAGCAAATCAGTTTCTGAAGCGGAGAGCTCCTCGGTACCGTCCTCGGTGTCTGCGACGGGGACGGGCACCGCTCCAGTCCCCACAGTGACAGGCGGTACCAGCGATATTAATTCCACTCTATTTAATGGTAAGCAATTTTTCTGTCGGTGTAAATGTCGATGCGCTCTGTTGACACGGTGCTTAGTTACTATTGCTGCGGGTGATCTGCCTCTGCAGCCTCACGTCACCCCAGGTTTCTCCGTCGCCGGTGTCATTCTGATATTGACAGGCGCCGCCTACACCCTCGTCGGCATCAAGACTCAGTGGTTGCACTGCTTCCTCTCTGCCGGTTTCCTGGCCGCCGTCGGCGTCACGGTGCTCATTATATATGTCATGAATCCGCCCATCTCCGATGGTGTGCAAGGCGCATACGTTGTCGCGGCCACTGGAACGGGGCTACTGCTCGGCGGTGCGGCCCTCGTCTTCAAGGAGGTCACAGAATGCCTTGCGTGCTTGCTGGGTGGCTTCTGCCTGGCCATGTGGCTCTTGACCCTGAAGGAAGGCGGTTTGCTTGGCTCTGGGGGAGCTGGCGTGACGATTTTCATCGCTGTTTTTGCGGCTGCGGGGTTTGCAGGATATTTCAGCCGCTGGACGAGGGCCCAGTTCATGATAACCTGCATTTCCCTCAGCGGAGCGACGGCAGTTGTCATCGGAATCGACTGTTTCAGCCGTGCTGGGCTGAAGGAGTACTGGGCATGGATATGGGACATTAATGATAATTTGTTCCCGTTCGGTGCAAATACGTACCCCTTGACCAGGGGCATCCGAGTTGAGCAAGCCGTTACGATCATCATCGCCATGATCGGGATCGTGTCCCAGAACAAGCTTTGGCTGGTTGTCAAGGCACACCGGGCGAGAAAAGAGGAAGAGCGCATGAGAGCAGAGGCCGAAAACCAAGAACATGAAGCAAACGTGGGCAGGGACGTTGAGAGGGCCACTGCGAGCGAAAGGAAGCAGTGGGAAGCAGTCTATGGCGACAAAGGCCCAATGGGGATACACGCGTCGGAGGATTCCGGTGTTGGTGACATATACAACGAAAGGAAGCATCGCAACAGTGGTACCACGACCACTGCCACAGCAACCCGCCGCTCAACGATCGATGAGAGGGAAGAAATCGAAATGGCCGAAATTCCGATTGCTGAAGAGGAACGGGCGAGCGATGTGATGGAGCTCCCGAGGGATGCGCTCGAGCCACCGCCGAAGCCCAAGACGGCAGCAGAGAAGGTCCTTGATAGGAACGCGGACGGCATGGTCACCGTCCGTGTTGCTGTTGACGACGTTACCGCTGGGTGCCCCGCCGCTGAAGTAGAAGAGGAAGAAAAGATTTGGCTCATCGGCGATGATGGAGAGGCGCGACTCGTGCCCAAGGCGTCTGCAGAATTCAGGGCAAAGGCTTCCACGCCAACGCCGAATCTTGTGTCTCTGCCCTTCAGAGTACCTGCCCAGGCTGCCGAGGCTGGTGCAGCAGTTGACGATGATCAATCGTCCGTAGCTGCAATTGCCGATCACGACGGTGACTTGTTGGAGACACGAAGCAACGCGAGCAAGAGGAGCTCACTTGCAAATCGTCTATCTGTCGGGTCAGCCGACCTGTTCCGGAGGTTATCACAGCGATCGCTGGGAAGAAAAATGGACACTGCTGCTCGAGGTAAGAGCGAGAGTAGAGAGGATCTGACGTCTCCCGTGAAAGAAGACAATGAGTCCATCGCTGCCACTCTTAATGAGTCAGATGGATTCAGTGATAGAGCGGTGACACCCACTGGTGAGAGACCCTTCAGCAAGGAGATCAAGGCCGAGTTGGTAAATGAGGAGACACAAGAGAAGGCTACAAGGAAGAGGCCAACATCGGAAATCACTGTTTCAACCGATATTCTGAACTCACCGGCAACCGACGCCTATACAACCATGTCTCCAGACGGGACGAAATTCCAGCCAAGCCTGGATTCGATGCTCACATCAGAGAAGGCAAGTGGGAAGCAGGTGGAAGAGGCATCACCTGCGGAGGATGAGAGCGTATCGAAAGCGGGCAAGTCGATCGCATCTGAGGCCGACTCTGGCCCGCTGAGCCTGACAAAGGACCGACTTCCTCGTGGGCTGTCCAAGATTGCACTGTCATACCGCACAAATGAATGGGCTAAGCACCTGTCGAATGCTGAGATGCCTTCACCGGCCGAGCTTCGGATCCCTCACGAGCCCGAGCCAGAACTGACCGAGGTCAAAGAGGTTGAGGAGAAGGCAGCGCCGGTGAATGTGGATGAGCTCAAGAAGACAGCTCTGGACGCGACTCCACCTCCTGCCATGCCCAGGTCCGTCTCTGGGATGTCAGTCCAGCGACCAGCGAACCTTGGGCTCCCGGGCAGCAACGTAGCAGTCAAGTCACCGCTGCACTCACCAAACAACCTCGACGCGTCAGTCGCTCCACAGAACCAACTCTTACCAAGCCAGCGAGTGTCTTCGGACACGAGACGGGTTTCCGGGCGGGCTGTGGCGGAGGAAGACGACAACAAATCCGTCATGAGCACCGACAGCAGGAAAGCTGCGAGGAATGCTGCAGCGGCGGCCCTGGCAGGCGAAGCAGTCAGCGGGTCGTCACCCATGTCCTCCAACGGGAACAGCAGCCCTCCTTCAGCAAGGCCCATTTCTTCAAGACCCCCAGTTCCGGGCCTGGTCTCATACGACAGCCCGCAGACCCTGATCGGACAACGCGATCTGCTCATGCGGAAGAAAGCCTCGGTGCTCCGACCAGACTCAGTCCAACCAGGCAAGATCAGCCCTCCCTCGTCCGCCTCGGTATCAGAGTCAGGCTCCGTGCGTGGTGTCGCACCGACGCCGGCGTACGGAACAGTAGCCGCGCTGCCGCCGCCTGCCATGCGGGACCCCAACGCCGCAGGGAGCGCGCCGAACAGCCGCAGGAGCTCCGGGACGGCGGGCATCTCGGGCTCGGCTTTGGTCGACGCGGACGACCTGCCGCTCAGCCAGCGGAGGGCGATGATGCGCCAGGACAGCAGGACGGCTATCAACAGCGGCTCGCTCGTGGGCGGGGCCAACTTCAACTCGCACCAGCCGCAGCGCACGTCCACCATCCCCAGCCAGGCGGTGCGGGAGTCGCAGCTCGCCAGCTTCAGGCAGTCGGTCCAGCAGGACCTCCGCTCCACGCCGTCCGGGATGCCGGCGGTGAACGCGAACGCGCAGCTCGGGTACGGCGCGGGGTACGGCAGCGCGCAGCAGCAGCAGCAGCAGCAGCAGCAGGGCCCGCTGATCAACTCGATCTACGGGGTCCCGGGGACGTCGTCGGCGCACTCGCTACCGCAGCACGTGGTGCGGCAGAGCTACGACGCCGAGGTGCAGCGGGACATCGAGACGCAGCGCAGCTTCATGATGGGCCAGCGGCAGGCGGAGGCGCAGAAGCGGGAGACGCTCCGGACGGAGCGCGAGCGGGCGGGCAGGATGTTCGAGCAGCGCATCCGGTCCGACCGCGACATGATGGAGATGCACCGCGAGGCCCTGCGCAAGATGCAGAGGCGCGCGAGCCAGGCGGACCAGCAGCGGATGCAGTAGTTCGAGTCGGGAAAGTGCTGCCGGTCCGCCGGGCGTAACACACGGCTAGACCTTAATGTTTTTTACGAACTGTATGCTAGTGCTATGTGTGGTTGGTAAAAAGGAGATAGGATGAACTTGTACACATATGATACCCATTACCATATCCGTTGCCGGTGTGTTTTCCATCTTCGTGATGATCAAGAGTCATCGGTTGGTGTGTTGGTTGTGCATGAACTGTGCATGTTATCTTAAATCAATGAAAGACCCAGCATTTGAAAGGACAAATGATCTACAGCCCTGTCTGCATTTTGAACATGCCGTGGACAAGCAGAATGCATTTGTTGACGTCTGGTCCAAGAATAAAGCTTTGGAATGTGTGATGTGGGCTGTCCTGTACCAGTGTCTCAGACCTCTGGGTTACTGAGACAATTTGTGTGGCCATGTCAGTCAAAATGACACGCCAAGCGTGGGAATCACAGCAGGAAGAGAGAGAGGGAGGGGGAGGGGGGCAAAGCCCCAGGAAAAACAGCCACAGGACACCAAGAGACCTTTGACCAAAAATGCAAAAAGATGAAGTCAAGTAGCTACAACTGGTTTCGATCCAGCGACCTCCGGGTTATGAGCCCGGCGCCTGTTTTGGTATTAGCGTGTGTTGGGATTTGCTGTCAAGGTACGATTCAACTCACTCTTCCCCTGAGCTATGTAGCTGTTGGAAAATCGTGAAAAGTAAAAATCATATAGGGATCACAAATGCGATCTTTGGATCGCACTCATGCCGCCAGCAATGTTCCAACAGAAACTAAATTTTCAATTTAGGGGTGTGACATTTCCTCTCGCCTCTGTACTTCCAAAATGCGGTGTTGTTCCAAAGGGGCTGGACTTATTAGGCATTAATATTATCCCAGCTTCTTTCTGGTAAGGATGATGAGAGCCAACATTAATGGTGCATCCTTATGGAAAGCACAATTATTAGCTATATACCTCTTTAAAAGTTCCAATATCTTAGAGAAATATTGGAGATCCAACCTTGTCATAAAAGGGTTGATAAGGTAAGGGACTTAGGTTTCTTTTAAGTCAAGGGGTGCACATTTAGACCACCCCCTAATTCGGACCATATTTCCTACCAAAAAGCCCAATTTTTAGCCTTATAATAATTAATTATAAAGATATAATAAAAATAAAATAATTATATTAAAATTTTATTTAATTTTTATTTATTAATATTTAATTTTTTAATAATTTAAAATATTATTTTAATATTATAAATAAAATAAAAATAAAAAATATTATTAAAAAAATATTTTTCTTATAAAGTTCTTAATTTAAGAGGATTTTTATAATTTTTTACTTTTAACTTATTAACTTTTATTTATTTAATAATATTAAAAGTAAAATAAAATTAATTTTAATATTATTTTATATAAAATTAAAATTAATATTAATATAATTATTTTATTTTTAATATTTTTCTATAATTAATTATTATAAGGCTAAAAATTAAGCTTTTTGGTGGGAAATGTGGTTTGAATCAAGGGGTAGTCCGAATGTGCACCCCATGACTTAGATCTAAACACCTCGAGCTGTATTCTTGCTACACCATATGGAAAATGGGGCCGGGTCTGAGTAGACTTAAAAGTTTTAAGATCATTCTGCAGCGCTCTGCAATAAAATAGCAATTCTAAACGGGAGGGTGGCAGAGATCTCGGTAAGCAAGGACATAGCCGTTGCTCTCTCAACAAGAGGCCTTTCCATAAAGCTATTATTTTATTATAAGCGCCTTTTTTAATAGCCTAAATAATTAAAGACACCATTAAAGCAGATATTATAAACTGGCTATAAAGTTTTCAAATGCCATAAATGCGTATCAGTTCACCACTTGCAACTTCCACTTTAGGAAGACACGTACAAGCTGAGAAGACAAGGCTCCTTCCCATGAAGCAAACTCGACCAAAACCAAGAACATACCAAGAGGGCGTGGATATCGGACAGTCCAAGCCTGTAGAATTGAATATAAACCATGTATCTCACCCTTTTCTCAGAGATAAACCATTTCTGCTTGGGCAGGACACGTAGAGTAGAGCCTTGGGCGGATGCCTTCCCAAGTGGGAACTGGCCGTCCAGGACAAGAAGAACCACGAGCTACAAACCCACATCCCGGATCCAGAGAAATTACTCGCAGAGCCCCAAATCGTCCAAAGAAGCCAAGATGGCGTCCTCCCGGGCCATCAAGTTGATGCATGAGCTGATGCAGGAGGTCGGTGTGGCAGGAGCTCTGCTGCCCACCAAGGACGGAGGACTGGAGGCGCAACTAAGCCTCAATGTCTCTAATATCCCGGAAGAAGTACTTCAGGATATATTTCTCAGCGCCCCAAGTTCGTTGTCCTCGTAGATCATCCACGTCGCGCACATAGCTAATAGTGTTAGCCTATTCGTCCGTCCCGGCCAGCAAGAAGAGGAAGGTGCAGCCAGAAGATGATGAAGACGAAGTCGACCAGGATGGGGATGACAGACAAGAACTCGCGGTCCGGGATGGAGCGAATCTCGACGAGGAAGAGCCCCTCAAAATGTACAACGAGAAGTCCGGGAGGCAATGTTTCAAACACAGGCCCGACATCTTTACCACCAAGGGCAAGCTCAAGAGAGAGTATGCGTACATCGCTGCCGGCAATAAGAAGCCAAAACTCGGCGGCCCGGGCGGGTCGAATGGCCGTATTACAAACCGTCCGTGGGTCAAGGTCATCGACATCGACGGCCTGACCACGGACGTCGCGAGTTTCTCCTGGCTGCACGAGAAGTAGGGGTCCCGGGTCGACATTCACCTCGTCTTTATCGTGCCTGCCCAATTTCCAGGCCCGGTCGCATTATTTCCTGCCCGGCCCAATGGCATCCGATATGGCACCTTTGCTCTCGCGGACGTGGCAGCAGCGGCCAACAAATCTCCGTCCGCGACGCACACTTCTGTAGAGCTGGTGGGGATCGTCCAGATGGTACGGGATAACAAGGAAGAGTCAGTGCTACTGCCCGTCCCGGATGGAGTGTTTCATTTACTAATTTTTCGGCAGCCGCGACAAGGGCTACAAGAGTCTCACGTCCTGGATGGCCGGCCGTGCCAACTTCCGGGTATGCCCCTTGACGAAACATGACTCCGGCGTGGATGAAGACTTCTTTCGCAGAACCCGGACATTGCAGAAGAGTGAGAAGAAACAGCCTGTAAAAAGCGAAGTGGATGACTGATGGAACATCCACAACGGGGATTGAGTGATGTTTGAACCGGGACTGGGAAGCGAAGCGGGTACCTATTGCTAAGAAAAGTGATATCGAATGGAGTTGACGCACGGCCGGGACTGCAGGTTAATGGTACATCTCTGCATCTCGGCTGAGGAGATGATGTGTTACAAAATATCGTGGCTTTTATTGAGACATCGATATATCCAAAGTACTTGCTTACAGCTAGTATTTTCACCCATTTAATCTATTATCTTATGCTTTAACAGTTCTTTGCCTATAATGTCTTTGTTCTTGATACTTCGTATAATTTTTGATACTTTCCCATTCAAAGCAAACCGTCTTAAACCACGTGGCTCAATTAAGCCAAGTGGCTTAAGAAAGCAGACTGTTAGTCCGAGTGAGGGTGAAGATACGGGTGAAGGTGGAAGGTGGAGGGAAGAAGAGGGAAAGGGTCTCTTGAACCACGTGGCTTGAGAAGGACTTCCAGTGAGTTGCAAGAAGAATAAGAGGAAGATGGATTAAGAAACGTGATATCAAGAATGATTTGCAATTTTATGAAGCTAAGTTGGTGGTGTGGACATGTCAAAGAAATATAGCCCGGCACCCAATCGTCGGGGGTTCATATACCAACCAGCGAGCCGCGGGCAGTGTTCCCTCGCCTGCAAAAGTAACTTGGATTTTAAAAACCTCTACATTACATATATCTTCCCCTGAGCTATGTAGCTGTTGAATAATGATGAATTTGCAATATCATAAAGTTGGATGGTGTTGTGGACATGTCCGAGAGATGGTGGGCCGGTACCCACCCGTCCGGCATTCACATACCAACCAGTGAGCCGCGAGTCGTGTTTGCTTGGCTGTACGACTAACTGTGAACGTTTTGAGAAGCTCGCTATCCTATATTTCGTCATTATCAAAAAGGTATGCTGGTTTCCAGGTATGAAATTGGCGGCTTCGTTGAAGCGGGCGATGGCTGACACCGGAGGTGGCGCTGGGGCTAGCCCACAATTCGAGAGGGTATTGCACAACCTCGCCTCCAACTAACCGCTAGCATTGCCGCACTCAGTTGCCACCCAAAAATCCAATGCCGTTCACAGAGTGAATTTGTCCCAGGAAATTTCCAGTCTCACGGATTCTTTGGCAGCATTGGACGGCTTATTCGGGACATGGCCAGGGCGGACGGGAGCGGGATGGGCCTAAACCTTAGACTTGTACCTGGTACCTCCCCTCCTGGGGAGGCACGCAGGCGTGCCTTCCCATTTGCAAGTACGGGCCTGGCTCTGAGTACATATCGTACAGACCGTCTTCGCACCGAATCTCTATTTGCAAATTCATCTTTATTCAACAGCTACATAGCTCAGGGGAAGAGGTAATCGAGTGTCGAGATGCGTTCGCATCTCAATGCAGGCACGGCGACGACTGAAGAAGTGTGGTTCTGTAAGCTTTACCGGGTGCGAGCTGTCAAGAATTTGGTGAGGATTGCATAAGGGGCAAGAGGTACGAGATGAGACGAGCAGCCGGAGTGTCTGGCAAGTCCACTCTGCACCATCAGTCGCCCACGAGCAATACGAGCACAAGGAATGGGAAGGCACCCTGTGCTGGCTGGTGCCGCGTCTCGTGTGCGAAGCTCAGAACGATATGAAGGCATTTCATACGGTAGCTTCTGGGCCATTTTAAATAAGTGTGGCATTGGACGAGCTGGAGCTGAATCATTTTCATGCCCGGTTCTGCAAGTACCAGATTGTGGCAATACAATATGAGAACGAATATTCGCACAGAAAGAAACGGATGGTACACATATGCATTACACCTCTAGTGCACTCACACCCAACACACCCACGCGCAACACGCCCACAACCCACACACCCATACCCAACATACGTACACCCAACTCACATGCCCAAGCCCAATTAATACTAATATAATAAATTACCTAGGTAGGTGTAGGTGTGTAAATTAGGTGTGGGTTTGGAAATCGGGGGTGGGTATTATGCCCTGATTAGCTGGGGGGATATTATTGAAGAGGTATCTGTGTACCCTCCGTTTCCTTCTGTTCGAATATCCGTTTTCTACAGTATTGAGCCACTGAAATAGCTAGGCTCTCCACCCCTCTTCAGGGACCCTACGTGCACTGCCTGGATAATAAGGATTAGATTGCATCGTGATGCGGTGGCAGTGTGCGCGGCGTTCTTGGCAGCCGTTTTCTCACCCTTTGACCAGCCTAGCTCGGAAGAAGATAGGATGCCGTAGTGGAGCCCATAAATCCTCATAACACAAGTCCTTTGATGCCTATAATCCTGGATCCTTTTGCCCCCAATGTGGCCTGACGGACCTAACCACCTTGGAAAAAAGGCAACAATCGGGTGCAAAGCCACAGGCTCCCGAAGGAACATGCACGATGATTATAAAATGTTGACCCCAAGCATGGTGATATAATAATTTCTAATCCGAAGTCCTCCAACGTCAGTCCTTGGGGTAAGTTGATCAATTGCCCTGGATTCCTCATCCATAGCCCAAACATGCTTCTCCAGACAATTATCGCCGTGGCATCATTTATGATCGCCACGGTCAGTGCCGAGGTCATCAGATATGAACGTCCATCAATCTACCAGAAGTCAGCACATTTCGGCCTAATGGTCAACGGCACAGACATGTATACGGTCAGCTATGCCCGCTACGACTATGTGCAGCTCTCCATGGACGAAGGCGAACCGACTGAGTTCCGCATTCGCAAATTGGACAACCAACCTATCAAATCGTACAGCATCACGCCGCGAAAGTTACCCATCGAGGCCAAGGTGGAAGGTGACACGCTCGTGTTCTCCGTCAAACAGGCGCATTACCTTATTGTGAAGATCGACGATAAGAAGGAGTTTGTGATCGTGGCGGACCCCACAGAGGAAGACATCCCCAAGCCGGACGGCCCAGGCGTCTACAATGTGCTCAAATACGGCGCGGACAAGACTGGAAACACGGTCACTGATGGGATCCAAAAGGCGATGGACGAAGCCGCCAAGAGCACGGGCAACACTGTTTATGTCCCTCCGGGCCTTTACACCATCGGCAACCTCCTCCTCCGCAACCGCACCTCGCTGTACCTGGGCCGGCGGGTCGGTGTTGCGCTTTACTGGCAACTCGACAGACTACAAGGCCCTCTTTACCAAGTCGGACCTAAAGATGCAGGGCACATGGTGGATCCAAACCGAGTTCGAATCGACTGATATCAAGGTCTTCGGCCGCGGGACCATTGATGGTAATGGCTTCGACACTCGCCGGAACAAGTTCTTGGCGGACCTGCTGGTCCCGGTGGGCACCAAAAACTTCAAGTGCGACGGCATCCTGGTCCGAGACAGCTCTTTCTGGGCGGTCACGCCCATCCAGTCCGAAGAGGTCACCTTCACCAACCTGAAGATCCTCAATCGCTTCGACGTCACCCAGGACGACGGGTTCGACGCCGTCGAGTCTAGCAAGGTGAGGGTGATCCGCGCCATAGCAATCTCCAAGGACGACAACTTCTCCGCGAAGACGTGGCCGTACAAGACGGGCACCACGGTTCCGTACCCGTTCCCGCCGCGGCCGCTGAGCAACGTCTTCTTTGACGACTGCCTGGGCTGGTCCGACTGCTACGGCTACAAGATCGGGCAGGGCGTCTGGCAGGACCAGGACACGGTCACGTTCCAGAACAGCGTCGTCTACACCGCCGCCGTCGGCATGGGCGTCGACCACAAGTTCGGCTCCGCCGCGGCGGGCCGCATCACCTTCCGGAACATGGACATCGAGGGCCTGCACGGCAACGCCCACGGCCAGGCCGCCTGGCTCACCGTCTACGTGCAGAACACCGGCAGCGGGGTCGGCCCCGTCACGGACCTCCGCGTCGAGAACGTCAGGGCGCGCGCCTCGGGGTACAAGGGGGGCTGGCTCCAGGGCTACAACGCCTCCTCGATGGTGAGCGGGGTGACCCTCCATAACATCATCATGGGCAAGAACACCGAGCCTGCCCGGTCGTTGAAGGATATGAACATCGTCCAGACGGATTTCTCCGAGGGCATCAAAGTCTCCTGGCCCTAATGAAAAGAGAACTGTTGGCCCAGGCCTCCTGGGGCTAGGACAGAGACATTGTTTTGAAAGGCAACGTGCCTGTGTGAATGGAGGGTCTTAACTTGTTTCTCTTTAGTTCTAGTAGCTATATATAACACTATAATCAAATGCAACTACTGTACTGACTAGTTGCTAATGCCCTTGTGTGCACATGAACAGGCCCAGTCAACACCTCCGTCTTTATGAGCTGGCATCGCAGCTCCTCGTTTATAAATGCCTAATACAGTAGCAACCAGATGGTAGCCAGATATACACTTACCTGCTTCTAGCGCTTGCAAGCGCCCTTTGCTCAGACGGCTGTTCTGAAATGATATTTTAGGAAATAGATGCCAAACAGAGTAGGACTCAGTGGCCTATTCTCACCTTAGCGGAGGCGCTCCTAGGATTGATCGAACTGTACATGCAATCCCATAGTAGGTTATCCCACGGCGGATTATCTGTAGCAGGTTACCGTATCTACGGGAGGCTACCCTAGAACCGGTGGGCAATTACAGCCAGGCCACCCCAAGGGTGATTGTACCAGACGAGATCCCCGTCGTGCGATTTTCCCCAGACAGGTCTGTCAAAGGGACCTTGGAAGGCTATCGGCGGAAGAAAGGCCTTGTGTGACTGTCAATAGGATTGAGGACAGAGCACAACGTGCAACTGCCATATTCGGCCTGGTCAACCCATGCTATTTCTCTCAAGTTTTGCAAACCTCCGGAAGACAGCAGCCTGTGCTTGTTATGAGTGCCCAATTTTAAGAATATTCTTATCGATCTCAATAGAGCAGGATGTACCATTCACCACATCTACACCTGTACAGAAAGAGCCAGGAGCTGGGGTATTCAAAGCCTGAGCATATCTACCGCTCCAAATTAGAAACAATGAATAAACGATAGTCGAGCGCTCCCTTGTTTGAATCAGAACAAGCCCCCATCCCCCAACGCCGTCCCAATGCGGTGCCGTCCCTGAAAAACCCGACTCCTGCAATATCAAGCACTCCGCTCCCTCTCAAGCCAGTCACTTTTCTCTAAGGGTTATTACAACGTGTCCGTGCTGGCATCCCCATTCCTCTGGCTGCTCTCTCCGCTTTCGTCCCCCTCGCGCGGTGCCCCGTTGTCACGCTTCCTCCTGACGCCGAAGAGGTCTCCCACCGAGTTCGTCAGGCTCTTGGCTCGGGCCCTGACACCCTTCTTGCCTTGCTGCTGGGCGGAGATCTGCGACTCGTCTGCCGTGCGACTCCTCTCAATTGCGGACATTATCACCCTCTCTTCCTCCTCGCCTATCGGCTCCACCGACAGCTCGTCCTGCGACACGTACAGGCTTGACCGCAGGCTGGGCCTCCTCCGCGATGGCGGTCTTCGCGCTGAGTGGGCGTCTTTGAGCAGGTTTGATGGGACGAGGCCGCTGACGGTCGAGTGGAATGGGGATGGTGAGAACAGCGGCCCGGTAAAATGGTGTGTGTGGGACCTGGATGCTGAGTGCGGCCTTGGTGTATGAGGGCTGCCATCATGGGGAATGTTGATGGCAGGTAGGGTGTTGCTTTGTGGTAAAGGCGTGCCTGGATGTGTGGATGGTTCGGAACTTATTGGTGTGACGCTGGATATCGAGACGGCTGATTCCGATATCGCATGTGCTATTCCTGGGTGGACTGGTGGTGTTGAATGTCGCTCCTGTGAGCGTGTTCTTAACAGAGGCGCAGACTCGCCGGCTTCTGCTGATGGAAGGAGTGACGCTTTTGGCGTTGCAGCAGGCGCCCTTGATGTTGGAACTCCCGACTCTTGAAGGACTGCCAATGGTTTGTTGATGGCGTCAATGAAGCTCACCCGGGAGGACCGTCGTGAGCTCTTTGCGTCACTGCCCCGTCGTCTCTGCTGCACAGGTGATGGAGGGTCATCGGGATCCTGCTCTGCGAGACCGATCGTCTCTTCGATATCTTCGTCATCCGAGAGCATGTCTTCGTCCTCATCTGCCGCATCCCTACCGCTAGTAATGAGGAATACGCCGAAGAAGGTCAGAAAACAGCCACCGGTGAACTTGACGGCCTGTTCACCCGTTGTTCGCTCAAAGTCTCTGTACAGCACTGCGCTTCCTATAATAACGCACAGTGTGAACGAGACAAACTGTATGGGGATGACCTGCGTCGAGTCGAATCTTTGCAGGGCCTTGTTCACATAGCGGACTTGCATGACGGCAGTGCCCAGTAGGATCAGCAGGAGCACGTATGTCACCGGTGTCGTGAAAGCCCGCAGCAGCGTTGAAGACAACATGGACGACACGCCCTTGGTCGAGAGCGCAGTATAACCACCTGAGAGCAATATTAGTCACTCGCACGATGACAAAAATGATGACAAAAATGTCGCTCACCGAACAAGCCCACGAGGCTGAGGTCGATGAGAATGGTACGGTTGCCATATTTAGGACTCAGCCACATGAGAAGGATAATCAGGCCGCAGGTGACACCCATATACACCTCGAATTCCGTGGTGGTGATGGCATCCCAGACGGCATGTGGGTCCAGTTTCGTCTCCTGGGTATTCGCGCTCAGGACAACGGTCACTGCGCCAAACACGGCGATGAGCACGCCCCAAAAATCGCGCTTGCGGAACTTCTCCTTGAACACTATAGGCGCGATGATGCAGTTGGAGACCAGGGCGACCACGCCGAGCGGCGAGACGATGGACGCGGGGGCGAAGCCGTACGCCAGGAAGTTGCCCATCTCGCCCACGGTGATGAGGATCTGGCCGAGCCACCAGGACGGCGACTGGAGATAGTTCGTGGGGTGCTTGGTCGTGTCGTCGTCCGAGCTGTCGGACCAGCGCGAGTCGCCGGACTGGAAGGACTGCGTCAGGGGGTCCGACTCCTGCGCGCCCTGGGCGTCGTCGTCGTCGCCGCCGCCGCCGGGCGTGTGGGCTCCTCCTTGCGGCTCGTCCACGGACCCATAGCCCGCCGGCGACCCAGCGTTTCCGTTCTTTGCATTTTTAAGAGCTTGCTTTGCGCGCTCCCGCACTCGCACTTTTTCTCTGTGTAGTTGGATATGCGCGTATCTTTGGACATTCAAGGCCAGGGCGATGAGGATGTTCCCCACGATGGCGGTGATTATGCCGATCAAGCTCGACCACTCCTCCAGACCCTTCTTAGGCCCATCGGGTTTCCCATCGTCGACGCCTTGACGCAGGTAGTCCTCAGATGTGTAGGCGGGCAGGTACTGGGTGACTGATCTCGCGGGTATCGAGGCAGGTAATAGCGGTATGTACATGGCGACTCAGGGGCCGTCGGTGGCTGCCGACCGGGAGTTCCAACGGCTCGAGGACGCGTGTATCATGGGTAATGTCGAGGGATTTACACAGGCTCGAGTATTCGGAGGGCAGGTACGGAAATCGAATTTGTTCCTACTGGCGACACTGGCTCGAGTTCTGAGGTCTGCCTGGGGTTAGGAAGTCGGCCTGGGGGAGCAAGGTCGCATGCGTGCATGAACCGGTGGTACAGGAGAGAGTCGAGGTTTCGCCGGGGGCCCAGGTAGATAGATAGCGCAGGATTCGCAGGTTGGGGCAGAGGACACGGACAGACAGAAATAGATACAGGGCGAGAAGAGCAACGCTGCGACATGCGAAAGGGTCGGGCGTGAGGAAGAAGCAGCGCAGGCGATGTGGTGTATGATCCTGCTTGCGGAGCCGCGCGGAGCAGCCCTGGGAGCCTGCGAGATTGGTCGCATCTCGCATTGAACCGCTCGCCATGGAAAACCGCGCGAATGCCGTCATATCCACCCTCCACCCTCCTCCACGCGCGGCGGTGGCCCTGAACCCCGAAACGAGCTCCTCCCCGGCCGAGCACAAGAGTCCACCACTTCAACCCCCATATCTGCTAGGCTAATAGTGTGTTACAGCGTCTTGCATACATGGCCTGCCTGGCCCCAGCTCTTTTCACATGCCACCAGGAATAACCATCCACCTCTTTCTCAGCCTGGCCTAGCCTGACCCGCGAACACATCATTCTTTTAGCGTCAACTCTCACCTCGTCTCGAATTTGCTGCCCTCTCTGCTGCTACTGCTGTGGTAGCCTCGCCTGTCTTCAGGTGTGACTGCAAAAGTAATGAGCGGGTCAGATTGCACCGAATAATCGAGCTCCATCTGCACACAAGAGTACATGTGCATAGTATCAGGTGGCGGGGTCGATCGGGGCTCGAGCTTCAATTTCCCTTGTGCAACCCGTCTCCCCCATCCATCTCCCCATCCCCACCTCCTCCCATCGCATCGCCCCATCCTCCATTCTTCCCGAGGATCCCCTGCTACCCGCCGGTCAAGCCGAAAGCTAAGACGGCAAGCATCCACTCATCATCACCACAATGTCCGACGACAATGAGCCGCAAGGCCCGAGCAACCCCTTCATCAGGTTCAAGAATCACGTCAATGCACGCATCGGCACCGGCGTCTCTGTCTTCACCGGCACCACGGATGATCGTGACAGGCCTCTGGGTAATACCCAAGCAAGCAATGTCGATGGACAAAATTCCACAGACCACCACGGTCCCGCTCATACTGCGTCGTTGTCGCCATGGCCAAGCAGGAACCAGTCTCGAGGCAGCTGCAGGAGACGGTCCGGCGTAGTCAATTACTGGGACGACTGGTGCCATGTCGACCCTTACAGCCCACACAACCTGCAACATCTCCCACAGCCCACCCCAAAGGACCTGCCCTCCGGCGCTGACCCGGCCGACTTTGGCTTCCCTGAGGCCTTCGAGGACCTCATGTCTGCGAGCAATCCATTCCGGGGCCACCTGATGGACCTGGGCATGCGAGCAGGTCTGAAGAAGTCCGCCGCGGGGAAGCTCGTCCAGCCAGAGACCCCGTCCGCCTGGGTCAGACGACTCTACGGCGACGCCCTGCTGCCTCCGCCCTTCATCTGGGAACAGCCAAGGCTGGCCGGAGGGATCACATGGGTGGCGCACGGAGAACAGCCGGCGGCCGAAACTGTGCATAGAGCTCAGCACGGCAACGACGACATCGGCGATGTTGCCAGAGCGTATCTGGAGTTTATGCGTCAGATCGATGGTAGAGTTGACGAGTCGTTCTCAAAGTTCGAGGAAATCGTGGGACGGGACATGGCCGAGATGATGCGGAAAGGGCAGAAACTTGCAGAGAAGGCCATGGGAATACTTGCTGGTGAGCGCTCCGAAGATCACGAGGCCGGCAGCAGCCAAGCGAAAACGCATGATGGTGCGAAGCCTGCATCGGCTAGCGAAGAAGACCAGCCCGTTACAGAGGAGGACCTGTTCGAGTTGATCCAGTCCGCTTCGGCTGGGGAGGACAAGTTCCTCAACGACTTCGCGAAGATTAGGGCTAGACGGGCTCCTCCACCATCTGAGCGCACTACGAGAGACACGCCGCCTGCCAAAGAGACCGTCGAGTACGACCCCTCCGGCGGCAAGACAATCAGGACATCTTCCGAGCACGTTGACATGTTTGGGTTTATCCATTCGAGGACTGAAGTCAGGAGACTCAACGCGAAAGGCGAGACAGTGGACTATGATACACGCTACTCCGTTCGCTCTTCTAATGATGGCTCCCGAGGCGATCGTGCGCGCCAAGGGGAGTACAGCCCGCGAGTCGACGCGCCAGTCTCCGTATTGATGACACCGGAGCAGTACACCGCATTCATCGGGAAGTCTTCGGATGAGCAGCTGGAGTCATTCCAAATCTCCATGGCGGAGGCCGACGAAGCAGCCCTGGACCCTGACAACCTGGCCCTCAAGAACCGCCAGATGCAGCTCATACTGCAGGAGCAGCAGAGGAGGGCCAGGTCGAGGAACGAGCCTGCGACAGCGGAGGAGGCACCGCGGCCGAACACGGACGGGGTGGCCCGGGGCGGCCCGAACCACGCCCTTCAGGACTATCAAATGCAACTGATGCTCCTGGAACAGCAGAACAAGAGGCGCCTCAGGCTACGAGCGGAAGCGGGAGAGGCTACAAGTAGCAAACACCAGGATTATCAAACGCAACTGCGACAACTGGAACAGCAGAACAAGGAGAGGCTAATGCGGGCGAGGGAGCAGTCAGCTCATAGCGGCGGGGAGCGCACTCTGCAGGATCATGAAGCGAAAGTGAGGCTCCTGGAAGAACAGAACAGGGAATGGCTGAGGCGGGCGAGAGAGGAAGCGGAGGCTGAGCCGGCTTCTGACAAGCCCCAGGAGGGAACGAAGACCGATTCTTCCTCCGGGTGGTTCTGGCGATGAACAGCCAGGAGCCCGTGTTCGTCACCAACAGGCTGCTGGTGGGTTGGTAGTATCTGGTTTCCCCCTTCTCCCCTCACAGGTTCCGCACAGATTGCTGGTGAAAATTTGCGGGTTTGTACTTGCCTAAGACCCCCTCTCATGAATTATGACCTACTCTCACGACACAACAACCATAATGTCTACGCATGCCATTCATGTAGTACCACAGCTTGTGTGTGTCCTCACTCACTAATCTCTGCCGGTGGCCCACGTGTCGGGTGTAGTGATGCACTCACAGCTGGCCAGAGTGTTCTTCGCTGATAGTGGCCGCCGGAGCATTAACAAAAAAAGAACAAGAAATAAACAGAGACAGTTGCTCGCTGATTGCCAATGATGTTCACCTCAGACTTGGCCGCTACGTCGTCAGGATGTCTGTCATTCAGCCTGTCTTTCCTCCGGAAAACAAGCAGCGTACAAGACACACCAGCCGTGTTTCAAAATAATATTACTAATATCTGCTCATGCGCCTGTCCACATTTGTCCAGCATTACCATGTTACACAGACAACCCCTCGTGATGTGTCTTGTCTTAGGCATGGTGACTTGTCCGACAAATACAAATTGAGGGCAAGACTCGAGTGCTTCCGGTGCTGGCGCTCGTATGTGTGTGCACAACAGTAAAGGCCAGACCCCGTGGTCACTGCCCAACAAACACCCACTATACACTGTCAGCCAAAGGCTGGCCACAATAAATGAATACCTGTGAGATCACGGGCCAAAAGCCCCTATCCTTGTCCGCGGCGGACCAGAAATGCCAGTCCAGGCCTCCACGTGCCCATCAGGAGGTCACAGTCACAGTTTCCTTGTGTATGCTCCAACACCCATGGAACATTGTCGTCCACTTCAGACTTCGATCAGGTCAAGCGGGGGCCTTCGTAGTCAAAGCTCACGGCCAGCTTGAGAAGGCCCGCATGGTGGCAGCCCGAGGGCTGTGACGGGGTGCGCCGGGGAACGCCCTAGATGCCCTTGCGGAGGCACGCGTATGCTTCAGGCATGCGGTTCAATGCCGGGCTGCAGGCAGTTCGTAAGCAATATGCCACTTTTCGCAAAGAGGAAGCGTATGGTCACGAATGGGAGACACAAAACATGTAAGCAGACATCGGCAGTGTGCGTCACGCAAAAGACGCCAAACGGTCCGGTCAGCGTTACATAGGAGCGCTCAACATGCAGTGCGTCCAGCGAGAAGCCATCGGAGAAAGCATCGTATAGATTTCGTCATCGTGACCATCCCACCGAGACGCAAGGTATCTAACTCCTCCCCCTTTCCCCCAAGCTGCCCAGAACCTGTGCCCAGAACGCCACCAATGATCATCATGGGAAGCCATCGCAATGCCAGGAAAAAGAAAAGCAATGCCATGCCAAAGAAAGGATTAGGAAAGTGCCCGAAGGTCATCGGACCGAGCCAAAACAGCCACGGACCTACCACTGCATGCTCCTTTTCTTGGTGATCTTCCTTTCGTCCTTCCTCAGGCCCGAGAAGAAGCCGCTCACTGCGGCAGCCGGGTTCGCCCCGGACAGGTAGGGGCCCTGGTTCGGCTTCGTGCGACCTGGTTTGGAGGGGCCTGCCTGCGGCGGTGGAGTCCCGGACGGCCGGCCGGCGAACAGGTTGTTCAAAGTTGAGCTGTGAAAAGGTCCAGTCCCGGGTCCGACGCTCGTGGGCCGCTGAGGGGGTGGGGCAAAGTTCGGGTGTGGTTGCTGCCGCTGCTGCTGCGGTGGTCTACCCTGGAACTGCGGCCGTGTGGGCAGGGGAGGGCTTCCTTGAGGCTGATGTGCAGGTGGTCGACCCGAAGTGAGATCCTGCCCCTCGGTTCCGTAGAGTTTCTTGAGCCGCTCCGTTTCCTTGGCTATCTCTGCCTCACGCCGGCGCTTCTCCTTCTCCTCCTCGTCAAGCATCTGCTTGATGCGTCTCTGCTCTTCCCGATCCCTCCTCTCACGCTCGAGAGCTTCTCTCTGCTTTTCAGCCTGCCGTTCTTTCTCCTCCCTCTCGACCATCGCCTTCAACCTCTCGGTCTCGGCGTCGATAGCTGCATCGCTTGGTCTGGCTGATGAGGAGGCCGCGATGTTGGCTGTGGACATGACCGGCCGAGGTTGTGGCGCAGACGGGCCTAGAGCACCTGCCATCGTAGGACCAGCCGGGGGCGGGCTGGGCCTAGAGTTCTTGCGCCTGCCGGTCGAGATGGGCAACGGTCCGGAAGCCCCGACGTTGAACAAGTCTGGCCGCTTATCTGGCGCGAGGTACAGATCGCGGATTACTTCAGCCCCAATGACGAGCACAATGTCCAGCCCCTTCCGGTCCTCCATGTCAATACGCTGCAAATTTGGTTCGTACACAGTCACTGCCGTTGCCCGGCCCTGCTTGAAAAGCGCCACTGTGATGTCTGGCTCCTTGCTCTTATGCCTGCCCACACTCTTTCCGACGTTGAAACAGGTCATGTCTTTGCTCAACCTCCCGTCCTTCTTCCACCTGAACATGACCCTGGGGCGGAAATCGGCGACAGGCTCACCATTCTGCGTCTGACGGTCGAGCTGCGAGTTGGAGGGCATCTTGAAGCTCTGGGTCAACATCTCGAACTCCCAGGTGTCGGACTTTGTGAGAGAGCCTGGGATGTATTTGACCGAGACAGCCTGGTCTGGATTGTACAGGTAGATTGTAAAGTTGTCGGGTATCATAGGCTGGGGCGCAAGAGATGCGCCTCCGTTCTGATGCTGCTGCGCCCTGACCTCGGCTGCTGACAGGGTTGGCTGGGACCATTCTGGCTCGACGACTACTTCGGCGTAGACAACGTCGGGAGCGTAGGGGTCAGCCAGGGCAACGGCATACTTCCTGCGCGCCGCTGGGTTGGAGGGGTCGGCCCGCTGAAGACATATTCTGGGGCGGGCTCAGAGCCGTTTTGAGTGAAATAGACAATACTGGAGAGGGGGTTCTCGTTGGACTGTCTGAACTGGAAGGTTGGCAGGTTTTCGTCGAGCATGGTGGGATTCAGGACGTTCCAGGACGAGACTCGGTTTTGCCACCAACACCAGTACAGGTGACAACTCAGCTCATGTGCTGCTGGACCTGGACGAGGCGAAGTGAAGGTTCCTGGTTGAGGTTTGGTCACAGAGGAGGCTGCTAGTGACTGGTTGCCTCGAACAAAGAAGCCGCGGGAGAAGAGAGCTTGACGACTTGACGAGGCGAGTCGACCGAGAATCCCGGCAGGCTTGGAAGACGAAGCGATGCGAGGCGATACGATGCGACTAAACTAGTCTTTGTCTTGTACTCGACCCGCGAATGCTGCAGTTGGAATAGCAGTAGCAGGAGCAGCAACAGGCTGGATACACGATCTTCAGGGGGGAATTGCTCGGTGGTGGAGGTGGAGGTGGAGGGGTAGAGGAGAGAGTTCAAGGCGACGCGCAAGTGGTGTCGAGGCAGCAGAGGAGGAGCTATGCGGTTCAAGCTTGGCGGGAAAGAAGATCTATACACTAAAAGACTAGTATCTGTTGCAAGAATAGAAACGAAACACAACCCCAGTATCATATGAAAGGGAGAAGAGGGCGATGGAGTGGGACGGATGGATCGATGCGATGCACTGCGATGCGATGCGACGGCGGTTGGGCGGCAGGGCAGACAGGGCAGACAGGGCAGACAGGCTCGGGACAGGGAAGCCTGTGCACATGCTTACAGAGCTGAAACCGACTGTCTGGGGGCCGTCATCCTTGAGCCACCCGCTGACTGGCAGCCTGAGCAGAGCTTGTCACGACCAGTGCTGGAGCTCCAATTGGCCACAGCGGAACCCGTCGACGTGACGCCCCTGAGGCTGTGCTCCACGGGCAGCGATTAGTCGTGCAGCCGCTGCGAACCGCACGTTTCCAACCTTGACTACTGCTACTTCAAGTACAGCATCGCAAGGATCTCGGCCTCAGTGGGGATATAAGACAGTTAGTTCATCAATGCTTCCTACGTAGTATCATATGTCTAGGCGTAGTCTTCTCGGTCGCTCTTTACTTACTGTACATATAATAGTCAGTCAGGTGCGAGCTGTGTCTCACTTCCTTAGACAACGCAACCTCACCAAGCATCAGTCACGGTCGTCTGCAGCTTCCCCAAAATGGACCTGTTCGGCCTTCACATGCCCATGCACACCCGCCGATCGGCAGATGTTCTTCACGACAAACACTACTGCCACACCGACGAGTTTCTACCCATCAGACATATTGAACCCCGCAGACCAGATCGCTGACGACTAGCACAGAAAGCACTCAGCTGAAAGATCGCCTGGGACCACATAAAATCCTCCGGGCGCATTACGACTACCATGACTTGGCGCTGCTAGGCAGTGCCAGAAGCCGCGTCCCTAGTCCCAGGCCCGGGCAGACTTGTCAAGGCACACCCTTCACGAGAGCTGTGTGGGCTAATTAGTCTGGACCGTGCTTTTGGACTGCACTCGCTTGGGAACGAGTGCCCATTCATTCAGAAGCTGTCACCCTCGCTGTGTCTCTGTCTATCATCTAGCAAGGGGCAAAAAGAAAAAACGCCCAAGACGCCGGCGGAAAGTGCTCCGTCCATCCACACACCGGTCATCTTGAGCGCCTGCGGTCTTGGTCTCCACACGCAGTGATTCTCGAATCTAGCGGGAGCGGGTGTGCCTCGAAGAAGTCGAGGATCAGAGACGACGCGTTGAAGGAGGCCGGGTGCCGCCCCTCTTGTGAGTTGTCGCTGTTGGGCTGCGTGCTCGGCCAGTCGTGCCCGATGTCCTGTCGGCACAGCATCCATGGTTAGCATCGATGCCTCGGGGCCGTTATTTGTTTGCTCGGCAGCAGCTAGGACTGCCTGCCTGTCTCTTCATCTAGCACTTACCGTCCCGTCCATTATATGGGTCACCAAACCCTTCTGGATCCCCTCTCCAAACTCATACCTGACGGCGCTGCTACCTTCTGGGGCACCGGGCACGGCAGAGGTCTCGTTCTCCCGGCCCAAGCCATCCCTCTCGGCCCAAGTCCGGACCCAGTACGGGATGGAAGGCAGGCAGCCACCCCTCCTCGGGCCGCCGTAGTACGCGATGGTGTCGTCCGCCAGGCCGTGGAAGACCAGCACCGGGATATCGTCCCTGCCCGGGGAGCACGGCTCGATGGGCACCGTCTCCGGCTCGCACACATCCCCGAAGTCGGAGATGTAAAAGGCCCCCGAGACTGGCGCAAACGCTGCGATTCGCTGCGACATGTCCTCGTCGCACGCGAGGGCACCCACGAGCCCGCCGCCCTGGGACTTACCCGTGGCATAGATGCGGTCCGTGTCGATGCAGTACTGCGCCTCAAGCTCGTCAAGGATGGAGCTGGTGAAGCCGACGTCGTCGGTTTCGACGTCCGGGACGCCCTCCCAAGTCTCCTACAGGTCGAGACAGATACGTCGTCAGCTCAGAGCACTGAGTGCGGAGGTGTGAGGGAGAAAGATCCGCCTTTTCTTTCTCTCTCTTTTTTTTTTTTTTGCGAGGGGAGGGGGGAGGGGGAGGATGGGTGGTTGTCCGGCCGTGACTAACGTTGATGCCATTGGGGTATACCACAATGTACTCCTGGTTGAAGTACGCCGTGCTCAAAAGATCCAGTCTCTGCTGCTCCTCAGCGACGCGAGTGCCGCCGTGGTAAGAGAGCACCACCGGCGCCGGAGTGGTGGGCTTATAGTTGGCGGGGAACCAGAGCAGGTATCGGCGGTCGCCCGTTTGGACATTGTACGTTTGTTCGAGGTTGACCTCATGGTCCGTCTGGCAGCCTTCGGAGGGCCGGGCTGCGGCGTGCCGCGAGAGGAGGCCAGCGCCGAGGAGGGGGATGAACGATATGATTCGCATGGCTTGAGGGTTTGCACTCGGTAATAGCAAATCGCTGGGGGTTTACGACGTGGTGCAAGTTCCGTCTTATATTGCTGAGGCTAGACGACGGCCAGCCTTATACGTTTGTTTACTGACCGCCGTTTGTTCGCAGTTGAGGTGAGATGGGATGTGACCACGAGACAAACAGACCCACCGGCGCCCAAGAAGGATGAATATAGGAGTGAAGCACGACGTCAGCAGGCAAGAGGCTGCATTAGCCCATCGTCTATCATTCACCATCATCTCCACCACCAGCCAGGGATGGTGAGCCCTGTCTCGACGCCGCGGCGACCACGTTGTATCAACGACAACTTTTTAGCGGTGAGGTAGCCCACAGGGGCATGTCCCGGTGACGTTTCCCTCTGACTGACTGTTGTTGGCAGCAATGCCACCCAGGCTGTTTTAGCCTCGTCCGGCACGGCATCATACCAAGAAATCAGCTACCTTCCCCGCTGGAACTTGTCATGGGTCCCGAACCCGAGTGGCCCCCAAGCGGGACGGACTACTCCAGCAAGACCCAGCGGGAACGGCCCAAGGACGAGTTTTGTTTCCTCGCCCGGACGGGAATTGTTATGCAAGAGTATGCGGGCACACGTGGGGTGAACCATGCGGGCAGACAGCACACCCCCCGGAAAGGCCTGTCCCTAGTCCGCCTCACGGGAAATGCTGAGCCCGCTCATAGGCTGTACCGGCCGTCTGTCCAACGTCCACGGACAGCAGCGGGCTGCAGCAACAGAGAACATTGTGAACAAAAGAGCCTTTCTGCAGCAGTAATAACAGAAAAGAAATCCAAGCTTGAGAGACATCACATTATCACCCCCCCACAACCCGCATGGACGACGTCGGCAAAGAGAAAGTCTGAGCGCTCACTGACTTTCCTCTTCGGCAGCGATACTTCCGGGATGTAAACGTTGCATCAATGTAGCGCATGTGGCCGCCGCGTCCCTCGTCGCCCCGAGCCCCGGGCCCGGGCCCTGGCTGTTGTAACTTGTAGTGAGTACCAGCACACACGGAAGCATGCGCCCACAGCCAAGACTCCACACATTTTCTCTGGTGTCGGCAAGCTCGAGCCTCAGGCTCGTGTCGATCTAGGCTACAGACTATCTCGACCACTAGTAAGCTGGTTGGTCTAACAGGATTCGGGTCACCGTCGGGGGGAAGAGGCGATGGTGATTTTCGTCGGCGATCAGTTAGGTGCCCCCAGAAAACTTGATAGACTGGTACAGTAATAAGCCGATTGATTGACCGCGCCGGCGCGCGGCCTCGAATACCACACCCTGGATGGAAGCACAGAGACAATCTCCGGTCGAATGCTACGGTGCACAGTGTTGCCGAGACCACCCAATCGGCGGCGCCCGCTCGGGGTCGCACTCGGGTAAGGTGAGGGCGCCCATCAAGATTGATAATGTATGCTTTCTCGATTCATCATTTGAGATTGTATCATCATTTGAGATTGTATTCGCCTTAATTTAAGAAAACCTGCTGGAGGTGCCTTACCTACAGCCAAGATAACCTGGGCGTCAACCTCGCCATTGACCTAGGCGACTGAAAGGTACGCTTATCAAAATAGAAAGCTTTTGGCAACAGTCAGACTGCATAGGGCAAGATTTCCCGAGACAGGGCGCGGAACGAAAGCGATCAGCTCCCTCATTCGTGCTCAATATTTACAAATTAATTTGCGAAACCTTCAAAGCCAGCCAACGCCCCCCGGTCAGCACTCGCGAAAGCGAAACCAAAAAACAAAACCACACTACGCTTTCCATGGCCCTCGAGCCATATATTTGCGCCGAAACCCAGTCTGGAGGGAATGAAGCAGAAGGCAGAAGGCAGATAAACCAGGCAGGGAGCAGCAGCATCTCAGATATTTTGTTGTTGTCTAGAGCGGCCCGCCACCGCCCATGGGGTAGTCGTCCATGGCCATGTAATCCAGGAGGTCGATCCCTCCAACATTGACGCCCTCTGCAGACATGGCGACGTTGTTCTCGCCGGCCGCGCCCACGCTCTGGAAGAAGGCGGGGCCCGCTGGTAGGAACCACATGTCGCTGTTGGCGCCGGCCCAGTCCGTGCCGTCGGCGCCGAACATGTCGGGCATGTTGTTGCCGGCGCCGGCCGCCATCGCGTTCGAGTTGGCGTTGTTGTTGTTGGTGCCGCCGTTGCCGTTCACCGGCATGGCGGTCGATGCCGGCGTCGTGGGCCCGCCGAAGACGCTTGGGATGTGGAAGTCGCTGGGGATGTCGAACGGCATGGCGGAGATGTTGGCCGGTGTCACGGCACGTTCTGTCAGCTGGTTAGCATCCTCGGTCACATACATAGTGGCTAGAGCGGGTTTGTGATCCTTACCCGGCGCGTTCACCCTGGGCCAGCCAATGTGATCATGTCCATTGATGCCCAGGCCCGGGTGCATGACTTGGCCGCCAGTCATGCCGGCCTCCGGCACGGGGCTCCTGACGCCGTCTGCCGAGTTTGCCTGCGTGTTGCCGGGCTGGTGCGCAACGTATATAAAGCGGTTCCTTAGCCGCATGGTGAGATTTTCCAAGAGGTCAGCAAACCGGATGCCGAGGTGCACGTCGTCCACAACGCAGGTGCGCAGTGCCTTGACTGTACTATCCATCAGGCCAATGGACACCTCGACGTCATGTCTTGTCGCACCGAGTGCGAATGTCTTGAGCAGGAACATGGCCCCGCTGATGATCCTGAAATATGTACGCACAGGTGCGTGCTTCAGATAATCATCGGGGAGCAAGCCCTCCACGACAGTCCGTAGCAGGTTCCGACTCCCTTCGACAACTTCCCGTATATACTCCTGATCTGCGGCACTGACACCGCCGATGTTACCAATCGGCATCTTGCCGTAGATGTCCTGAGTCTTGGGGCTGAGTTGATGGCCGGACGCCGTGGAACCTGGCGCATCAGGGGCCGCAGCTGACGTGCCCGACGCGCCCGACGCAATGGTGGCACAACGCTCGACTACAGCCTGTAGCGACAGGGAGTTGACGTAGATCCGGACGTACTCGTACTCGATGGTGAGGATGTGGCGGCTGTACGGGGGCAAGCGGAAGCGGTCGAACTGTGTCCACCAAGCCTGCAGCATTGGCTGGAACTCCTTCAGCAGATCAATGTATTTCCCGCTCTGGATGATTTCCGTGGTGTGCTGTCTTGACCTGAAGAGCCTCTCGTTGCCAGCGTGCATGGCGTTGCTGATGCCCGCCCAGCATTGGATAATCTGGTCGTCTAGTTCCAGGTCAGGGATGTAATTGAACGAAACAGTTGAGATATTGGTTCCAGGCGTAGTACCTTCGACGGACGTCGGACGATTCAGGGAGGCCTGCCGCCTCAAGCTCTCAGGGACCATGTTGGTCCATCCAAGTCGTCCCGCTAGCTGACTCAGATAGATGAGGATGAGGCGCTTGATGCGGTGGGCTCGCAGCCGATATGATTCTTCTTCGTACTCCGGGCGCGAGATGGCCCCCATCTCCAGGAGCTCCTCGATGTTGTCGAACACACCTAGTTCATAGCCGAGGCCCATGGCTGCAGTCAGCAGCATCCAGCACATGCGATCGCTTCTCCAAGCTGGCTCGAGCCAGCTCTCAACCCTCCTGCCGCCAACGCCGACAGCGGGGTTGTTGTTTTCGTCCTGCCCGTCAGCAGGAGGCGCAGAGTCATATGCAGGTATCATCAGCTCGTCGACAGCCTCCGACGGAGGGAAATGCAAGGCTCTGGGGTGCCACTCGGTCAAGATCATCAGCGATTCTATGGTGCCGAAGGTACGCAGACTTCCCTTCCTGAGACCACGCCATGGGGCTGTGCTCGACGTCTGAGACTCGTCTGCGCCTGAGCCGCAGAAGCCACCGCCGAAAGCCTCCTGGCCCCAGATCACTCGCTCGATCATACCTCGCAGATAAGTCCACAGTTGCTCATGGATAGCATTCGCGCGGCTTACGCCTCCTGTGCCAGGCAGCTTTCGGTACCTGGACGCTATGCACAGGAGGGTGACAGTGAGTATGGGCTCCTCAGTCAAGAGTGTCAAGTGGGTGGCAGGGTCCTGGAAGGTTGGCGGTGAGATAGGGGTCAATGGCGAGAGATATTTGTAGTAGCTAGAGAACAATCAGTACGCTGGCAATTTTCATACAGTCGCCTGTGTGCGTGAGAAGGGGGGTCAGCATACTAGTCAATGTAGTCGATGGCTTCCTGGGAAGTGAACCACCCAGCCCTCACGAAGCGGAACCTGGCCCAGGCCTTGAGAGCATCCGCATGGCCTGGTGTCGACTCTGCCTTGGCGTCAGACTCTGTGAGTTGGGGATCGATGGGCGCGTCCATGGGCCCGCGTGGTGCGACGGCATGCTGGGCATAGAGTATGCCATCATTACCCCGTGGCAGGCCCCCGAGAGGAGCGGTCAGTGAGGGGGTCCGCAGGTCAGAAGTCTGCGGACTCAGGGTGTGCGGCTGGGCGACGCCGTCGTGCTTGTTGTCGGTGGCGGCCTTGTACAACAGGTCAGTGCATCGTGCGGGCCGTAGAGCTCCTTCCTCATGACGGTGCGGGCCTCATAGTTCTCGAGGGGCGTGTTTGGCTCGTCGGCCGGGAACTCGGCAGCACTCGGGCCGCGGGTGCCACTGACGCTGCTCCTCGAGTCGGATCGAGTGTGCTCGCCGAGACCTGGCCTTCGCAGCGGCTGTGGGCGGCCTAAGGAGCCGCCGGGGGTCAGAGGAGTGTCGGTATAACCTCTGCGGTCGACTGGCGGCGGCGGGGACTCGCCGGGGTGCAGTCTCTTGCGGCCGTTGCGGATGATGTACTCATCCTCCCTCTCATCCTCGTCGTCGGTCTTCCTCTTGCGGCGGGTGGCACTGAAGTAGCAGTCCTTGGACTCGCGGCGGCAGCGGACGCACGGCGGGTCGTGGGGGTTGTCGACGCTGCCAAGATCGCAGCGGACCTTGCGGCGTCGGCACGGGATACATGCCTGGTAGACCCGCTTATGCTGGGCGGACTGAGGCTGCGAGGCAGCAGAAGCCGCGTTTGAGCCGGGCGCTTGGCCGGAGGAGGAGCCGGGCGCTGGAGCGGTGGGCGAAGACCGGGGCTGCGGATTGTCTCCGCCGCCGGGGCCGGTGCCGCCGCCGTACGGGGCCTGCGTCTGAGCCTCCTGAGCCATGGCGTGCCGATGGCCTCAGGGCTGCAGAATCCCAAGACAGCTAGGGGGGGGAGGGGGGTGTGGCCGGGGTTGCGTCTATTGAAGGTTTGCGAAGGGTGCGCGCGGTCAATGCTGTGCGGCTCGACGGGGCAGCTTGTCGAGAATGCGGTCTTCGTCGGCTTGCGGCGGTTTGGCAAGGAGACGGTTCACGAGGGAGTGGGGGTGGGTGGGAAAGCCTGGGTAGATAACAACGACAGAATCAAGTGCAGCAAAGCAGTAAGCTCTCTTTTTTTCTCCCCCAGCTCCCGATCTTGCTGGATCCCGGTCCAGGCGGCGCTGCAGTGGTAAACGGCTGCGGGGTCTCTGAGCAAGCAAAAAGGCACCAGAGGCACCAGAGGGACACACAAGACTCGTTGGCGTGCAGCCCTTTCCCCTTCTGGAGTTTCCGTTATGTTAATCAAGCAGTCGGACACTACCTGGCGGGCAGACTGGCGGGCAGACTGGCGGGCAGGTCCTCCTGTTGCCGTCAAGGTAGCCTGGTCGGTCAAACAAGCTCTGGCCTCGAGGACTCGAGGGGACTCGGGCGAGACTGGACTGGCGAGAATTGTTCGGTATGTGACAGGTCGAGCCAAGAGAGAGTTTCGAGGAGCAAAGAGTCCGTCCGCCCGTCCGTCCTTCCCGAGACCGCTGCGGAGGGGCAACTACGTATTCGTGGTGTCCATGTGCTGGTGCTCTGCCACAGTATGTTCTGGCGGGATGACCTATCATCAATGGAACCCGCCAGAGCGGGCGTTTTGCTTTGCTTGAACTGCACACAATCCATTCCGTCAACCATGATGCCCCCTGCCTGGCCGTCCATCTGATCAAAGCCCACCCCCTGCGTGCCCACGTAGCATTTTCCCGCTCATCTTCCTTCGTGCACTCGCCGCTTGGTGAGGGTCGACAGGTCCCCGCTTCGTGTTTTGTTCACCGCGCATGTCAATCGGGAAGGTCACTTGCTGTACTGTACACTTCAGTACCTAGCCAAGTCCACACTGCATGCCCCACAGGGACATTTATCTCCGCCCGCAAAAGTCTATCTAATAAAATGCAGATAGTGTAGTAGCCTCCCCGTTATTAGCTCGCTCATGTCCTTCTCACCTGCCACTTCTCGCACTCTAGCGGTGATCGCTGCGCCAAGGTCTTCCCAACCTTCCGCTTCCCTCTCATTTGTGTCCTGGGCTGGGCTGGGCGGAACTTCTCTCTTCTCCCCTGGACCCTGCCTCTTCTCAGCCCTCCTGCCCAACACAAACATGCGGCAGCAAACTTATGCTTTACTAATAAACGAACCCCAAAAGCAATCATCACATGGGGTACACAAACATCTCTCAACAGAGCACGCCCGGTTCAACAACAATAGACTACATGGTGGTAACACAGAGGCTGAAGCTGGGCCGAGCCCGTGCATCAGCCGCCAAGTCCCCAGCTTCCAGCCCGCATCACGCCCGAGGTCACGTTGGCACGTCTGATACGTGTGCCACCCGATCCTTCCAAGGTCGACAGCCACGGGCCTGCCAGCCCTGCCAGGATGCGCCTCTTCCCCCACTGGGGACATGCCTGAGACATAAGCTGACAGCAGTCCGAACTCCGGTATGCCGGCCCCAGCAAAAGTGAGCCTTTGCCAGAGCGTGCATGCTGCCTGCCGTCGAGAGGATCACGAGTCTCGGAAAACCTCCGGTAGGCTCAATACCAGTATCGGCGTATGTATCATGTGCACCGGTGCCTCACTTTAGGCATGAGATCAAAGCAATCGTTTTCATTCCATAACTCCTAGCTGGCCCTGGGTGCATGCAGATGCATTCCATTGTCACAGCTCTTTTTGATTTTGGATTCCATGATCATTACTTAACCCCCGCCTTGCCTGCCTTATGCCTTCTGGGTATCAAGCCACACTTATGACTTCCACCTCGTCCACTCATATTCGTCGCGTAATCGTACACTGCCAATGCGTGGGTTTCGGAAGGTCCGCAAGTAAATTAGTCGGCTGCTCATCTCGCCACCGGTCCCGCAAACATCACATGTGAGCTTCGCGTGTCGTGATGGTGCCGATTGCAAGCAAGGTCTCCGCATCAACAAACAAAGATCGAAGAGGTCGTATCCTGGCCATGTCCTCGAAAAGGGCGGCTGACGGGTGTTCGCAACATCGCAAACGAGTATTAAGATCCCAGATCGTCGGACCAGACCGTCGGACCAGAAACCATCTGAAAGCCTGACCAGCCTGGCAGCTTCATGATCTGGCAAGGACTCGAAGTCAGACTGCCAGTGGGAGATGATACGCCGTTGTGACCTCATCAAGCATTCAGAGCACAACCAATTCTTAAACCTCAATGACCTTCTGCTTGACCTGCATTTGGAAGTCAGACCTACGCGCTTGCTGACATGGCCGAGCAAAAGTACTCACCAGGTAGTCCCAGATCATCTTCCCGAGGTTGTCAGGGATGGTGAACAGGTCGACAGAGAACTCGCCCGCTACCGGATGAATCAGTTAGCCAACATATACCCGTAGCCTTACACAGACAGTGCCGATACGTACCATCGACGTTATTCTGGATGTAGGTGTCGTCCGTCTTGTGGTCGTGGATCATCTGAATGACATGGAGCAGGTCGTCCTCCTCAAGCCGGACCAACGCGTCTGCCATCTTCTCCACGTCGAACGACTTCTTCGCCTTCTTGGACACACCGTCCGCCTTACGTTTGCGGTCGTCGTCCGAAGGAAGAGGGCCAGTGTCGCGAAGAAGGTTCTGGAGCGCCTGGCTGGGGTTCTTGAAGGTCACATCCCGGATGTGCTCGTAGCGGTTCTTCTGGAAGTTGAGGTCGTGCGGGACAGAGATCTTTCCGCTCTTGTCCGTGTAGTACAGGTCGATGACCATCTCGAACTCACCCCATCCCTCATTCTCACACTTGAATGGTGCCTCGGTGAAAGCTATAAAGTAATCAGTAACCCCAATCCTTGGGTGGCGTCCGTGTTGGGCAGAACTCACTCTGGACGGGGTTCTCGAAGGAAGGATGCAGGTTGTAGACAACCTTCTGGAAACAGTCCGCCTTGTGCTGCTTGCCCTGCTGGTCTAGAAGGAAGATCTCGACATTCCACTTTCGCATAGGAAAGCCCTCCTGCATGGCAGGCTTGTCGCTGCACCATGGCGTCAGTTCCAGCCTCATTTAGGGTATCACGGCCATAGGGCTGAGAGGGAGTCACAGGCTCGCCAAAAGCTCACAAACCATTAGATCATACGTACATGATATTCTGCTCAGTGATGAGCTTGATCTTGCGCTGTACATCGCCAGGACCAGGCTTGTCAGCATTGCGCCTTGCGTTGCGAGCTAGCGTTTGACGCGGCATCGTGGGTGATCGCGTTGATGGACGTGGGTGTGCAGCAGGGCCAGAGGGCGATGTGAGTGGATAGAAGGAAGGGTGCAAGGGAAGGAAGGAAGACAAGAGAGCTGCTGTTGAAAGCTGCTTGGGCGGGAGGGGGCGCTCGAAGGGAAGCTTGCTATTTCAACAACAGCAGTCACGACGGAAGGGTGCCTGGTCAAAGAAGTGCAGCCCAGCCCAAGGTTTTGCAGCTCGATAGCTTCCCCCAAACACAAACTGAGCTTAGGAAGTGGCCAACTCAAAGTCAAAGGGGGAAAGGGCAGGAATAAGGGCGGGGGGCTTTCCAGAAGGGCAAAACAACGCGCCCAACTCAACCAACTGCAACGGAATCGAGAAGCGTCGCAAGATAGGACGAACGCACCTCCACAATCATCTTTGCGGCGAATCCACAGATGTTTCCCAAAATATTTTCAAACAAATATCCAAAATATCCCACTGCTGCCTCGCAGCGTTCTGCCAGCCGCCGGTGTCTGCCTTTGCCTCCGCACCCGATGTGTTCGGCCGGGCGAGCGTCGTCGTCAAGTCCGGGATATACGGCAGTCGTGAGGCCGTCCTCTTCGTCGCAGCACCCGCTGGTATACTAGATGCAGTCGTTCTCGTTGGGCCTAGACCTTGGGGACGGTTTGGGACAGGCCAAACGGGTCTCCGTGAAAGTCGTCCTCGTCGTGGGTGGCTGCGGACCGTTTCTCGCCTGAAATCGACGGCTCTCTTGTTGCAATAACCCAAGTGGTTCTTGGTAGATGCCTCCGCTACCGAGTCTCAACGTGGGCCCGTGAGAACGAGCAAGTCGGTGGGTGTAGCAAGAGGGGGACGGGGTTCTCGTCGGCGCCGGCGTGGTAAGACCAAGCTGGATCCGTCCTGCTGCTTCCGGCCTGCGACGAGAACAGGATGCTTGAAGCTTCGAGGGCGGTGATTGGAATGAGGTCTGGCTCTCCGTTCTATAAGGCGTAGCGATGTTGCTCGGTCAGGGAACAGTGTATGTCGTTGGGGTAAGCCGTGATCGATAGAAACCTATGTTGTCACAGGGGAGCAATTGCCAGGCTCCCTTGTGCCAATGCAAGCGGACGGCAATAGCTTATCGAGCTTATCGTGTACAGCTTAGCGCCTAGCGTGAGGTGCTGGTGATGCTACTCCTGGCCAAGGCGAGAGCAGAGAAGTGGCGGTGCATGTGTGGCGCCAATGGCTTGTTTACGAGGAATTACACTCCTGGCCCATCAGAAAAGTATGATGCAGCTCAGCACCCCTCAATAGATGTTAGACTCTCTATGAAATGTCACATGAAGCAGCCAAATAAAGAGGGAAACGCTTGCGTAGGCTTTTGTGACTACAACCCAGCTGTCGTCCATGGATGTGGGCCATGCCTAGTATGCTCTATTCACGTCAATGAATATTTCAACACAGAAACTCCTGGGAATTCATTGTGCCGAATATTGAAGGCCCTCCCATGCCCGAGAAATATATAACCACGTGTGTTTGTCTTGATCACGCGCTTGTCAACAATAATAAACAGTGCAGGAGCACGATTTTCAGGAATATTTAGAGTATATGGTGTAGGGGCTGAGGCAAAGGGATCAGGATATGATTTCATCTATCTACTTTCCACCTTGGCAAGCTCCTGCCCACTCAACATGCGTGCAGCAGTCTAGAACAAGTCAATGGACGGCTTGGTGCTGTATGTGGGGAACATCGTCATCGTATTCATTATTGTCCTCTCCTGCTTCTTCTCTCCACCGCAAATCCTACTTTTGACTTCCCGACAGGCTGCGGCAGTTTGATAGCCGGAGTCGTTCAAGAAACGGAGACGCCACTCGACGACTCCGTACCCGCAATGATACACGGGGTCCTCCGCAGATCAAGCAGGCTCTTCGTCCGCATGAATACGGTCGCCAGGGGGGTTATGGGAATTCTGGTGCTGGGGTATGATGGGGCTGTGTGGGGTTGATGACGACGGGTGGTTCGTGTTGCGTGCGTAGGGTGTTTCCGGGCGAGCACTTGGTGTGCTTGCTCATCTCGCGGCGTCTCGCAGGGAGTCTGCTCCGGTGCAGTATTTGCTAACCGTGATGATCTAGGCAGCCTCAGCCTCCTTGGTCTCCTTGGGCTCGTCATCCTTCGTCTGGACCGCCTCGGCGGGAGCGTCAGCGTCGAAGAGCGCCTCGTTATCCTTTTGGGCTTTAATAAAGGCATCCTTGAAGGCGTTGGCGTCTGCAATGTGTCAGCTGCTTGCAACGAGTTCTTTGGGGCAGGAGAACGCACTCTCAGAGTTGGCGAAGCGGATAGCAAGAGTCACGGCCTCGGCCTCGCCCTCACTCACATCGGCGGCGGCGTTCCACACCCAGCTTCGGTCAGATCCGACGTTGGGGGACAGCTTCATCTCCGGGACGACTGGAAACAGCGTCAGCTTCTATCAGAACACAATCCAGGGCGCGAGAGATCCTCGGCAAGTGGTGCACGCACTGTAGTGGTTGGCGCAGACCTTAAGGGTCTTGTCACGTCGCATGACCAGGCGAGTCTTGCCGTTCTCCTTGTGCTTGAGCAGGCGGACGTCACCAGTACCGCGCTCCTTCCACTCCTGTGCGTCCTTCTTGAAGACAAACAGCTTCGCACGCATCTTGAAGAGCTGCTCCTCGGCCTCCTCGTTTGTCTTCGTCTCGACCTTCTCGGTCAGGCGGATCACCGGCTCGAAGTGGACATCCTCGGACTCGGGGGCATCCTCGCCCTGTAGAGACAAGGGGTACCGGTCAGCAAAGTCCTATATTTTACTGGCCATGGTAGGGCGGCTGTGGGTAGGTGGCAACATCACTCACTTCCTCGCCATCCTTGGCGGCAGCGGCAGCGTCGCGCTGGGCCTTGTTGCTGCCGGAGTTATCGCCGCGGTCCTCCTCGTCGTCCTTCTTCTCTTTCTTTGCGCCACCTCCGAACATGGAGAAGACGGCAGAGGAGGTGACGGTCTTCGTCTCCTAAAGTACGTCCCGTCAGCATCGTAATCCTCCATGGTCATGCAGTCGAGTTCCTGGGGGGGGGGCGTGACTCCGGCGCCTGGCCATGCACCATCCGGCCCTTTCTGTGAATGCGCGCGGCTGCCGCGATGGCCTGTGGCATTGCGAGGCAAAGGCGCCAGACGGGCAGGATAGCGGCAGTATGACCGGCATGTGATGTCGCTCGAAGGCTTCTTCTGTGTGATGACTGACCTCTGCCTTGGTCTCCTCGACAGGCTTCGCGGGGTTCTCGGCGGAAGACATGGCTACAGATTTCTTGGGTGATATCGACTTGCAAGCTTGGAGGACCTAAACAAAAGCAGAGCCCGAATCGTTAGCGGGGTTGTCCAGGGACTTTAGGGACGAGACCGCTCTTGGAGCTCGTGCCTTCCTCGGAAAAGCGTGTGTCAAAGTACCTTGTGACAGAAAATGGGTAGCTCAAACGACAAAGGCTGTTAGATGCCGCTGATGGTTTCGTTGTTGTCAGGAAGAGGTGCAAGTCGACGGCGGTCGAAGGAAATGACTGACTGCCCACGGCTTGGATGCCCCTCACCCATCAGAACTTGCGGTGGGTCCCAGCCTAAAATCGGCGCTACGCTCGAATCTAGGGGCCTGAAGATCTGCTGGAGCTGATTGGCTCCACCGTCAAGCCGCCACAGGCACCTCGAATGTTGCTGCTGCCCAGGCTGCCAGGACCTGCCCGGGCGCTGCTAGGCTGCCAGTCAGTCACCAGTCAGGCTGGCTGGTGGGAGGTACGCACTACGGCATCAATCTCGAGAGATTCCTGCCATTGTTTGTCTTACGAAGCAGCACAAACCCCACAAATACATGACTACATATTTTTACACCATGCAGTTTAAGAATCATTCCTCAGGGGCAGTTGGTGTATTCATAGCACAAGAAAGAAAAACAGAGAGATATCTTGCGTTCCGTCCCTTTCCGTCCGTCCCTTGCCCTCATTCGCCTCTTTCACCCTCTTCGCCAGTCGCCGGCAGGTATCAAAAATGACGGCAGCTCTTCCAATCTCAAAACCGTACGTAAGCGATATGTCTCTGACTGACGGACGATTGCTTCGCTACCGCCACTGTAGTTGTCCATTGAGACCAACCGGGGAAAGATGTGCATGTTTTGCATGAGGGGAATGATATCAACACAAAATAGGCCGACAGCCTGGCTAAAACCAACACCAGTCAAACCGGAAACGCCAGTGTTCTTGATCCACGCCCACACACTGATCTTGTGATATCGAGTCCCTTCCATGCCTGTCTTAGTAAACCATTAAGAGTAAAAGAAAAGGGGGCCGCAGAGAAGATGCAAAGGCAGACAATTGTGTAGGTGTTTACTAGACCTTCCACCGGCTGAGTCCCTTGTTCTTGCACCGGCATGGGCTGTCTCCAGTTCGAGGGCATCTGCTCGACTCGGCACAGGCACCCCGGGACTGCTCGGCCTTGAGTGCCTCCTGGCGGTTCTTGACGAACAAGCGAGCCTGACGCTCGTACTCGTCATGCTCCTCGGACTTGCCCTGCGCCTTCAGCCACCACAGCTTTGATGTGATCTGCGCTTTGAGGACAGCAAGGTCCGCCTCATGACGGATCTTCGCTGAGTCCTCCAGGAGGCGGGCTTGCTTCTCGGTCAAGCTCTGGCGAGCACTATCGAGACTCTGGCGAGCACCATCGAGATACGAGCGCATATCTTCGCGACGGAGAGAGTCCTTGACCCGATCGTACGTCTCTCCAACCCTTTCAGAAGAAAAGGCACGTGCAGACTGGCTGGCGTCTTTGATCGCCTCCCACCAGGACGCTACCTCGTTCCTAACACTCTCCTCTGTTGAAGCGAAGGACGAGGCGTAGTTGTCTTCGACGAGCTTGGCCGCATCATTCGCCCTGTCAACAAACACCTGAGCCATTTCCTCAAAGGTGCCTTTCGCTGCTTCCAAGGCTCCAATGAAGAATGAAGTACCGAAATCGATGGCAAACGTCTCGTTGATCTTGGGCTTCCGCGAGGTGACAACAGACACATTGACTACACCGTACGCATCCTTCTCGTTGATTTCAACAAGGATACCCTCGTCGATACTGGACAATTTGGACTTGACAGGGCTGTTGCCGCGGAAGACATCAACCTCGATTGCGCCCTTGGCCAACCACGAGGCCTTCGTACCAGATGGAAGTTTGAGAAGGATCTCGTTTCCGCTGTACATCTCGACGGTGCAGATGCTGTCCTTCATGCTGGGCTCTAAGCTCACAGTGTGGGCCATGTCAGAGAGTAGCCCGCCGAAGGCAGGGGTCTCCGCAGTTGCGAGCTTGACGGTCTTCGTCGAGGTGTGGCTGACGGTGACTGTCGCAGTTGCTGTTATTATACCTGCTGAGGTTTCTGGAAGGACATTCAGTCCCCGATGTACAGCTGGGTCGTTGATCGAGGTAGGGGTGATGACGTTGATGAGCCAGGCGGACACCGCGACCAGCAGAACCACAGCTATGGAGCAGTGGAGGGAGAAGTAGCGAGAGTCCTCCATCAGCTGTATATAGGGCTCCAAGAACTTTTCAGCATAAGCCTTCCATTCCTTTGAGTCCTCGTCCGGCGAGTCCTTTTGACCGCCAGTCAGCGAAACAGTACCCTTCGCCTTCTCGTCAGCGGCCTGGGTTGGCTCTTGAAGACCCGTCAAATAGGCGAGGTTCTGGTTCATCTGGCGGTTGTCGATGTTAAGGAACGAGGTCAGATCAATCGGGAACCTCTGCTCCGACCAGCTTGCCTCCCGCGATTGGGACTCCCTGGACTCGAGTGAGAGGTGAACAGCGTGCTCGTTTGTATAATTCCGCCACCGTCCCGCAGCAGGGCTTACAAGAGCCGAGTGGTCTGAAATGTAGAGGCACGGAATGGCATGGCGTTTGCAGAATTCCCAAGTTACCTGCTGAGTGCTCACCATCTCCGGATCGTCAACATCGCTGCAGTAGATCACAGCCACATGAGGAAGGCTCCATGCGGGCTGGACCTGAGCACCCTCCGGGCCACCGGCAGGGACTGATTTGTACTTCTTGCCGCCGTTGCCCCCATCCACTGTCAAAGAGTAGATGATGTCATCTCGGAAGAAGCCTCCCTCGATTGGGATTTTATCAGCGTCAACGCAGGTGTCGACTTTGATCTGGAAGGCTGACGCCTCCATCAGCTCGACGTCACGGTCTTTGACAGCGCCGAACGTCACAGGCACTATGTTGTAGACGCCCTCGGTGTTCCTGCGGAGGATTTTGTTTTCATTGTAGTCGACCGAGGATGAGCAAGTAATTGCACGCGAGATCTTGAGTATTATCTCGCCTTTCATGTCCTCATCGCCGAGATAGAGGACCCGGAATGCCTCGTGGGCCGACAAGCATCTCTGAGACATGGTTTGCCGGATGCTTGCGCAGAGGCGACGAGGCACGTCCTCCAAATCCAGGCTACGGAGAAGCACAGTGGCCTCCTCCTCAGTAAACTCTCTGATAGTATGCTTCACGGAGATTTTGTCGATGTGTACGTCGACGTCCTCTGGCTCATTAAACTCGATGGAGCCCGTTGATGTTGGTGGGAATGGCCTGGGAACAGAGGCCTGGGTGAAAGAGCTGCGCAGCAATTCGTCTGCATCGTGATATGAGTGGGAAGAGCCCTCCTCCTGTCCGGAAACAGGGGCTTCTTCCGCAGATGCGTCATCTTCGGGCTCAGAATCCGACTCGAAGGCACTTCCCACGCTGTTGCTCATGGCGTCCAACCCAGGGGGGAGGACCTGGACCTCTTCAGCATTGGGATATCTGTCAAGCTCGGAGAAAGACTCAGACATGGAGTCTGCCCGGCCATCCAGGCTGCCCTCGTCTGTGCTGTCGCGGGGGATAATCTCGAAGGTGGAATCGGACAGACTGCCGTCGTCGTCACCTGAATGTGGCGAGGCCATGATGTCAGGAGAGCTGGACGACACCCAGTTCGCGAGTCTCTGGTTGCCCTGTGGCCTCGGAAATCGCAGAGTCGGTACCGATCTCGAGACCGAAGGGTCAGATGTGGGCTGTGTCGAAGCAGATGCAACAGGAGAGGGTTCGTCCGGAGAGCTGTCAAGTCTGGCCTGCCCTTCCATAACGGAGTATATTTATTAGCCTTGTACGGTTCACGTCATGCTTTCACGACTCAGGCTTTCTGATGACGGAGAGAAGTGACCAGGCAAGTGAGTGAGGCGGTTAGGAAGCTTGTGGTTTAGACCAGAGGCTATCTGATAGTCGGTCGTGCAATGACCTGTAGTTGGTGGGAGGGCGGGGATGAGGGGCTTAGGTGGGAGGTAGCGGACCAAGACGAGGCCCCAACGCAGCGAGTAACCGATCAGACCGCAAGGGGAATGTGTGCGAGTGGAAGGATGAGGTGCAAATAGGACACGGGGGAAGACGAGGAAACCGGGGACTGACTGGAGAGCTCTTGTCCACTCCTGGAGGCTCGGATCTGGTGGTTTCGGGGTGAATCGCCCTTGTTGCCTTGCCGGTGCTGCCTGGTGTGGTCGAGGCAGGGCGAGGTGGGGAAAGCATCCAGCAGCTAGGATAAAGAAGGTCGCGCACACGTAAGTTACGGCCTTGTCGGCAGGGTCGTCTGCCTCGCTAGGCGATGATGCACGAGGGAGAGTTGGCACGCAGGATCGTAAGATGGCAGACGAATCCTAGGTAGACGTGGGTATGCAGTTCAGGGGAGGTGATGAAGCGTGCGATGAAAGTCGGAGACTGGCTGAACTTCCAGTGAGACGATGATGGATGGACGCCGAAAAGGTACCTACCTCCCTGGCAGGCAGGCTGGCAGGCAGGCGTGCGGGCAGCTACTGCGGTCTGATTAGACAGACTATCTGGTCTATGTACCTCGGGTTGGGCGGGCAGAGGAATGGCAGATGCAGCGGTCTAAGGTCAGGGCAAGTCGAGTGTCATACCCCAAAGCTTGAGTTCCGCCGGCTCAAACAAGTGGGTTTAAGTGGTTGCAGGACCGCTGCTGGGTCTGTTCGCGGGTGGCATGTGCAGCACGTATGGGAACGAACGGTCCGTGTCTACCTGTCCAAGTTAATCCCCAGTCGCTTACGAACGCACCTCTAAAGTCCTCTCGTGACTCAAAGTAATCTGCCTAGGTCGCTCAACAAACTCCTTTGGTCTGGTCATCCCGGGTGTTAATGTCTAGCTCAGACGTGAGCTTCGGACGGCGGGGTACTTCAACACTCGTAGAAATCCCCACACCAGCAATGCATCGTCAATGAACAAGACTACCCCACGCCTTATCGTTCCCGTATCAGACTGACCGACTACACGTGTACTTGGGCATCCACCCTGGCACCTACACCCCATACTGAGTGGGGCCACCCCTAATGGCCAGCTCGTTAAATGACATCAACGTCAACCTTGGGTGCGATTGACCTGTCCGAGTACAGAAAACAAATGTTCTACTCTTTGTCTTTGAGATATTTCGAAAATACCTAGACGAAGACTAGGTAGCCTTGTAAGGGAAGCGTTTCTACAGAACACTTGCTCATCTATCGCAGGATAGTCCGTTTAATAAGACTTTCAGTATCATGGACCCTTAAGGTCGCACAGTTCTTTCTTGATCCCTTGGCCCAAATTGATTTCACAAATTGATTTCACAATGCTATCTATGCACATTTTCGAGTCTTGATGTCGCCAAAGATCACTCTTATTGATAGTCCGAGTTTCTGTCCCTAGATCAACCCGCTCCTTCCCATTTTCGGACTTTATGTCTGAGCCTCATTTGCGTCCCATCCGCAGAAACGCCTTCGCCGGTCCCCGAAGCCTATGCAGCAAGCAGGTTGGAAAAAGCACGCACGCACGCACGTAACTCCTTGAATTCGATCAATGCATTCCGTGTCGTAGCCTTCACACCGGCCGATGTAGCCCCCAGGGGAATCATATGCTGTCTCGCATGGCCACCTGCTGCAGCCCGTGCCGAGCCGTCATCAAAGCCATGGCGGGACCAGGCCGAGGCGAGCCGTGGCCTTTTCATGCAGTCTCTCATCAAACAATGCGACGTGCCCGGGCCAAGCAGCCGCCTCCGTGAGATCATCCCAATCATACAAGAAAAATGAACAATATACAGAGCGCTTCATTATAGTATAGTTAAGCTGAAAGGCAGCCATGGAGAGGACCGGGGGCGGGAATGGAATGTGATGCCGCCAGTCCTCGCCTGAGAGGCTATCGCTGGTCTCAGGGGGATCCAGGCTGTAGGGGGTAATGTGGGCCCCGGGCAGCTCTGTCGAGCTGCTCGGTGCCGCTGTTTGAATGCGTCGTGTTCGGTGTGCCCGCCGCCTCAGACGATGCGATGTTCTTGGAATAACTTCTTCAGCGAGTCGCTGTCGAAGTCCTCCTCGTCTGGGATCATGTCGATAAGGGCAGTCAGGTTGGCGAAGAGATCGCCTTGGTTCTTGTACGCCAATACTGCTGGGACGCCTGCCTGGTCGAACTCGATCTCCTCGTAGTGTACTTTTACAAACCGAATCGCTGGATTTGAGCGCACCAAAGGCATCATGGCGGACTCTATTGTGGAAGACACATCCGACTATACACACGGGTTAGCGTTTGAGTGGAAGACACGGGCTGGGAAGGGGCAAGATCACAAACCTCATGATCGTAGACGAAGACGACGACAGTTGTTTCCCTCGACACCTTCTCAATGGCGTCTAGGTATCCCATGGCGTCAACCTCCTCGAAGCGGCCATACATGCGCGCGCTGGGGCTCGTTCTCCTGTTGCGGACTGATGACCTGTCCTCGGACTCGAGCTCCCGCCGCCTTGATTCCCGCCATTGCTTCAGGAATGACTCCTCGTCCTCGGCACCGCTCAGCTCCGAGTCGCTCTTGTCTGAGCCTGATTTCACCGAGGCGAACTCGATGACGCTCCTCCTCGCGTTCCTCATCTTCTCGCTCCACTTGCTCCTCCTGGCGTTCTCATAATTCCTCGCGTCGGCGATGACGCCCTTTACGCCAGTGGCACGGCCCGAGTCGAAGCTCGCGGGCGGCAGCATCAGGTCCGCCGTGGACCGGGTATCGTATGTGGACATGCGCATGGCGGCGTCGACCTTTGCGGCGCGATAACTTTCTTCCTCGTCGTCACTGTTGTCCCTCACGTGGAGATCTCGCTCACGGGCAACTTCCGCTCTGTCTTCTGGGTGGATGCGATCGTCAGGGCCGGTTGAATTCTTTGCGATGAAGTCGTCGAATTCCTCTTGGGCAGCAGTCTTGGACATGATGGGCAGAAGGGGGAAGGCGGGCGCGAGCTTGGGAGCGGGCGGCCGGGCTAAAATATAAATAGACAGGAAGAGGGAAAGGCAAGTCACAGGCAAGGCGATGTGCGGTCGGGTTGCGTGTGGTAGCGTTAGAGGGCAAGGCCTGACAAGGGGGCGCAGGGCTCAGTTTCCAGTCAGGATGGGCCCGGGATGCCCCAGGAACCGTAGTTTTGGGAAAGCGGAGCGGAACCGACGAGGGCGAAGGTCAAATGACTCCCACGTTTCTAGTTTTCCTCGAGCGGTAAGCACAAGGGAGAGCACAACCTGGCACAAGAGCCCAAGCAAGGAGGTGTGAGGAGGGTGTGATATGGGAGTGTGCGTGTATCTGAGTCTGTGGGCAGGGGGAGGATCTGGCTTGATGGACGGGTCCGGTGTCAGATCGCAGGCCTGGGACGTGAGCAGGTAGGGCAGGGTGGTATGGTTTGGGGGGATCGATGCAGCATCAAACGAGGATGTCGCCGCAAAGCAATCGGCCAAGCCGGTTCGTGAGCTGGTGTGGCTGCAAGCAAGTGTGGTGCGGTGTGGGTGTGTGGTTGCGATTTGCGGTAGTGGTGGTACTGTCCTGTCGTCGAGGGAGATGGGCTGGGTTGGTTGCTGCAATGCAAGCCAGGGGAGGACAAGGCAGGGCAGGGCAAGGGAAGCAAGGCAGGGAAGGCAAAGGCAAGGGAGAGGACAAGGAACTGCAGTGCGGAGAATAGAGGGCTTCGAGAAGCGGCAGAGCGCTAAACCTAAAAGAAGGCCTGCCCACCCCCCTGCCTTCGTTCGTGCGTTTCAGGATCCACCCACGCCCCTGGGGGAATGTCGTGTTGTGCTGCCAGCATGCCACTGCCGGGGCTGCGTGGTACGGTAGGCACTGCCATGCGCGTGTGTGTCTTTTTTTTGCGGGCGTGAGCCTGCGTCGGCCGCGACAGTCGTGCTGGCAAGTACGTGATTACTCGTGTGGGCAAATCAGCCGTCATCACGGGGTTTATGCGACTCGCGTGGAAAATGGTAATAGCAGCGGACGCAAGTGCTTCCTTAGTCGGCCATCAGCAAGCATGTCATGTCAGGCAGGCCACGACGTGTTGCAGAGCCAAAACAACAATAGACAAGACTACTACGCTAGCCTGGAGCGAGACGGTGTGAGGTGAGCAGGCGGTCGCTACGCAGATGGAGCCATGGATTGGCGGCAGGAATCCTGTGAGGCTGAAGGATGCGGATGGGAATCGAGATGTACTGCACAGTCATCCTGACCCCGACCGTCTGGGTCACTCTCTCCCTATGTGGCTGCAGGACACTACTGTAAGAAACACATGCTGCATCCATTTTTACCCTTTGGTTTTTTGCCCGGTCCGCCAGTCTGTCTGGTCAGTTGACCTCTCACACGTCGTCGTCGTCGTCGCCGCTCGACGGCATTGGGTTGCGGCCGTCGACAACCACCATCTCACACGCAGCACGACCCGACTCACACCACCTCCCTCGCAAGCACCGCGTGGCTCGACATGGATGCAAGAGACCCATTCCCTGGGCCCTAGGGACTCAAAAGACATACAAGGACCCAAGGATCTACCCCGGTCCGAGCAATCTGTGGAACGATCGCCTGCCTCCTGCTGGCTCCTGCGCGGGAAACATGGGTAAATTCTCAAAAATGGGCCTCTTCTGTCCATTTCAACAAAAATAGAAGAACGGACGGGGCCCCCATCCAGCCAGCCCAGCCATGCGCATGACCGACTTACTGGGCTTGACATCTGCTTTCAGCACCGCCGACGCGTCGACTCATTTCCAGCATTCCTGCACTCCTTTCCCCGCGATGCTGTCTGCTGTCTGATGTCTGACTGTCGGCGGTCTGGTGACTCTGGTCGCCAGAACTGGCCGGTGTCCCGGCCTAACCAAACTCTCTCGGCCCAAGGTCAACAAGGTTCCTGCCCGGGACAAGAGCAAAATCATGTTCACGGACTCGGGCTGAGGAAAAAGCTCTGGCACAGGGCCACTGCGCGCACACAAGGTCTGCGCTAGCGCCCTGCCACGAGAGGCCTGAACGCGGCAACCTCTTGTCTCCTCCCCCTTGGACATCTGCCATGATTTGACTTTGACTGGTTCGCTGGCTGGCTGGCTGTTTGATTGCCTGGTTGCCATCTGGTGGGCCGCACAGCCTCTGCGAGCGTGTTCCACCCCGAGCGGGAGCAAACAGAATTGGGCTCCATGTCTTAGTATAGATAAGGGGGTCGTTCTCACACCATGTCTCTCTCAGAAACCCCCGGACCGAGTCATCAAGGCCAAGGGTGGTGCTTCGGCCTCGGCGATTGACGGGCGGGACCCATCGGGGCAAGATCTCAACCCCATGTGGCTTATATCGGGGTGTGTGTGATGAGACTCAATGCACGCACGTGTGGTGTCTGTCGTCCTGGGCGAGAGTCCCGCTCATGCGACGCCTGTCGCCAGACGCGGCCTTCTCGAAGTCTTCGGCAACCCACGGGGCATGGAGATCCATGTCATGCCATGTCATGCCATATTTCATGCTTGTTGATCCTCGGCTGGGTTTCGACCCCTTCTGAATTCGGTGCGCTGCACACAGGACGAACGGACGGTCCTGTCATCTTCCACACTTCGTCCTGCTTCGGTCCCCTTTCCTGCCGAGCGAGCAAAGAGATGACCCGTCTGATTTGACACCTCTCCCCAGCCTCGGAGAATAAGGACTGTCTGGGCGCGTCTCTTCTGGCAGCACACTAGTATATGCAACCACCAGGATGCGGCTCTCCGTACCCACGACGTCTTTCAACCATGGGACGTGCAGATGCCAGCCCAAGTTGATTCCGCTCTCAGCCAAGTGGCAAAAAGAGCGCGACGTCAGAAAACACACCAAGCGGTGCTAGTCGAAACATATCTCTGTGAAGGGCCGGCATTGTTTCATCAAAGCTTGGTCCTGTCCATCTGCTGTTTCAGCACCTTCTTGCATAACCCTAAACTAAGGTATCAAGAGGTGACGCCGAGGCAGAAGTGACGGTTTCCGGGTTGTCCGTTCCTCGAACGAACCTGTGCGCGGGCTGGTGATCACCGTACCGGGAGATTGATGTGTCTTCCCACGGCTCGTTACTGTGGGAATTCCCTCGGGCAGGGCAGTCAAGGACGTCGTGTGAAATTCAGCTGAGGACGATCATCGCCCACGGACAAGCCACTCACGACGCTAAGGTGTTGCGTCCGTTCCTTAATATGAGCGTCCAAGTACGGCTGCGGGCAGATCGTCATCATTAGATCTGGCAACTTGATCGCTACCTCATATCAACGGGGATACTCTTCTGCACAGCCGGACGTCTCGCAGTTGCTGCGTGGGTGGACTCAGGTCTGGACATTAGCAAAAGTCCCGGAGAAGTGGAGTTTTCCACACTTGGGAAGGCCAAGAAATATCTTGCTTTTGTTTCTCGGACCTGCTGCTAACTGGGCGACGAAAAACGAAGGATATACTCAATGTTTTGCCTGGAACCAAGGCGGCCTCAACGAGTGCCAGTGCAAGTGCATATGCATGTTGACCTGTTGAATCTCAACTGACAATATGCAACCTGCAGGAGAGTCCCAGCCGCTAGGATAATGTCCGAAGGGGACATCAGATCACATTCTGTGCTGTCATCTACTGCGGGATAGCCTGCTATAGTTTGACCTGTGGGATACGGTGTTGGAGATAATCCTCCTTAGTACTGTGGGATATCACAAAAGCAGCGGTGCCATGCTCTCACAGTTCTAGCCCGCTTTGTTACCGCCTATGCTTAATGTGAGCCAAGAGGAGAGGCTCGATCGGGGACGACAGTGAGAGGCTGGGATGCCCTCGAGGTGATTCCTCAGTTCTCTTATTCGAGATGTGCCACTTGCAGACTGCAAGTTGCAGTTAGGTTCACATCCAGTCAAGAAGGAATCACTTCGCACGCCACCACACGACGACAACACGACAGTCACGGACACCGAAGGCTGCAGCAAGACCAAAGGCAGCCAGGTTGACGGACTCTACCACCTTTGATTTCGATCCGATCTCGACATCAATACTGTCCTCACATCTCCACAACGCCCAGGCAAGCGGTGACCAGCTTTCACAGCCTGTCACCTCCCCCGGTCTGGACGCCACGGCCCAGTGCCACCGTACCGTCCTGGCTGGCAGCTCGTTACACAGACGAACACACACCCGCGCGGCACACCCAGCCCTCTTTTCTCCGCAAAAAGACACACCGCGCCACGCAAAAGGAAGCTGGGGGCCCTTTCCTGTGCCACCTCGTGTAACGTTCTTGCCCCCTCCCCCCTGTTCCCTGGGTGAAGTTTCCTCGCCTGCTCCCCCCTCGCCTCCCGCCCTTCCGCCCCGCGACCACCGCGCAGCAGCGCTCTCTTGATCGCTCGTTCCGTCGTTACGCGGGCGTGCCGACCCGGCCTGGAGGGCTGAGCGCGACGTTTTGTGAAGCGTATGGGTAGCGTGGCGGTGTGCCCGATCTTGTTGGGTGATAATTCGGAGAAGGCGTGGTTGCTTTGTCTCGCCCGATTGGAAATGGGCAGTAGCTCCGATGTATTCAAAACACAGAGAGGCTAGGGAGTCGCCGTGTCCTCACGGTTGCAGACTGTCACCGGCGGTATCAGCTGTCAAATTCAGGCCCTCCCTAGTCGGGCGCGCTTCAACGGGCAAGATGCGTATTCTCTCCCCTGGTCTATCCGGCTCATTTACTGGTCGACCAATCTGGCACGTCAGGGGCTGTACCATCTTCGCCCATGCCTCTGGCCATTGAGGACCGCAGTTGTCGTCCCTGCCTGCATGTGGACGGGCCATGATCGATAAACATATCTATCTGGCCGGTATCAGGAGTAGAGATTTTGATGGTTCTTCCTGTTTCACAGGCAAGGATCACCATCTCCCTCATGAGATCAGCATCGCACAGGACCGCCCCAGCTGTCGAATATTGGGACAAGCTGGTGTTGCAAGTCATGTCACGGCATCGACAAAGCCACACACAAGTCTTTCGGCCGTCTCCGTCAGGGCAGCCCGTGCCCAAATTCTCCCGGCGACGGCGAGAGTGGGAGCTAGGATCGCAGTCTCGCGCCGGCCATAGACCCGGATATATCAGATATACGCATTTTGGGCCTACTCGGTCGAGAAAATGTATTCCGGAGTCGCCCGATGAGTTGAAATGGGAGCACTCCGGGGAGCATCCTGGTGGACGGCCACGACAAACGTAAAGACAAGGCACCTGAACGAGGCTGTCCAGGCACGAGCCCTTGTAGAAACTTACTTAGTAGTTGCTTGTCTCGCGAAGATGAAGCAACAAGATTGAAAAACGCGATGTCAGTAACCGGACATGTAAGCACGGGACGGGAAAATCCAAGTAGTAGCCGAATATAGTACACAAAACAGTTGAACAGGCTATGGTTGAGGTATCTCAAGTGGCACCCCATCGTTATCACCACACAACTAAGCCCCTTCACGCACTCTTCTCTCTGCGCCCGCGCCGCCCCCTGCCCCCAGCCTCGAATTCATTCGCAGCCTCGTGGTATTATCAGCTTCTCACTCCCTCTCGGTTCGTGTCTGCCGCCGAAAGACATGGAACGAGAGAGAAAGCAGGGCACCGGTCCGAGACCGTCAGGGTCATGACATACCCTGGGAAAGGAGACATCCCACACAACCCAGTCTCCTCCGCTGTTCCGTTCTTTCCAAGAACGCGCGCATCCTATAAGACACATAAAAAAGGGAAACATATCACTTTGACACCGTTCCTCTGCGTCCCAACCAGAGTTTTTGTAATATCGACAGAGGTAGTGAGAAATTAGCCCAACTCCCACTACCAGCTTCAAGACAGCCATCCACCACCTTTCGAACACGGGCTACTCCTCCGAGCTCGCATCCCCCACAGATAAAAAGGAAATAAGGGGCCGACCCTAATGGCGTTCATTGCTGGCTGCAACTTTTTGTGTGCGGAAATCCGAGCAAAGACTGTGGCCAGCCCAGCTCCTTGGAGTCACAAGCGCACTCGAATGTACGGTTCGGCAGGCTCGGCTCGAATCGACGTGGATACCTCTATTGTATATCCGGAAAGCACTCAAGATTTCCTTGGCACCCCCTGCAGTCCCCCGAGAAAAGGCAGGTCGTCGTTGGTGGAAATGGCGCTGGGTATTTCGAGGTGCGGTTCGAAGGATGGAAGAAAGGAAAGTCGCCAATCGAGTGGGGCCGTCGTAAAATAGGAGAAGCGCATGATAGAGACGAGGAGGGCTCCATTAAAAGCCCGGTCTTAGCCCGCGGCGTCGAGAAAGCCAGATAACAGTCGGCCCACCAGACCAGTATCAGCATCTGCAATCCGGGGTTCTCGGGCTCGGGAGGTATGTTTTCGGGAAAGTTCGTGACTTCGTCCTGTAATGCGCCGGCATCGCGCTCGAATTAAAATGCGTACACATGTGAATTAAGAGCCATATAAAAGCAAGCGAGAACGCGAAGCGGCGTGAATCGGTTTGTGCCCAGACGACAGTCGTGTAGTCATCGAATTGGCAGGCCCTAGTATGCCCAGATTTTGAGCTGCTCATGTGTTAGCGAGAATGCACACCTGGTGTCTCCTGATGCCAACATTATTGTCATCGAGGAGGGAGGGGGCTTACCAATGAGTCCCAGGAGCCTGTGCACAAACTTATGCCATCGTTGCTGACGCCCAAGCAGCTGACGCGGTTCTCGTGGCCGACGAGAGAACCGACCTTCTCGCCTCGAGTGACATCCCAGACCTGTCAGGTATTCGTTAGCCCAGCCTCGAACACGTCTGCGGTGAACTCGTACGTACCTTGCACTCAAAATCATCGTAGCCTGCAAACAGGAGACGACCCGAAACGGACGTGGCGACAGAGGTGATGCCGCACAGAATGGACTCGGACTGGCATTTCAACATGTCAGTAACTGTATTTCTCAGGTTCTTTCGGCATCAGCTGGACTTACGCCGTAGACGTTCAGTTCCCTATCCGCACGGATATCGAATAGGCGGCAGGTTGCGTCGTCCGATCCGGTGACGAAGGAGTGGCCGTCCGGGAAGAATTGGATCGCGTTGATGTCGGACTCGTGACCCGCAAAAGTCTGCACAGCCTTGCCAGCTCGGATATCCCAGAGTTTGGCGAAAGCGTCGCAAGCGCCCGAGATGAATGTGTTCTGGTTCGTTGGGTTGAGGCTGATGCTCATGACATCGCCGAGGTGGTCGGCGAACTCGATTTGCTTCGTCCCAGTTTCGATGTCCCATTTCATGCAGGTCATGTCACCAGAAGAGGTCAGTATGCTCCGGTCATTAATGAAGCGGCAGCAGGATAGGTAGCCAGCGTGGCCGGAGAGTTCGCGTGCCACGCGCGTCGGCCCGTCTCGATTTTGGTTGAGGTTGTAGATGGAGCAGATGTTGTCGAGGCCACCGCAGGCGACGTAGTTACCGCTGGGTGCGTAGGCACATGTCATGACCCATGAGGACCTTAGAGGAATGGCGTGGACCTTGTTGGTTGTGTATGCATCCCAGATAATCAGTTTGCCGTCCTGTGAAGCCGACACTAGATGTCTTCGGTCTGTCGACCAGTGCATAGCATAGATCTTGGCCAAGTGTCCCTTAAGTGTCCTTTTCGTCTTCATCAACTGGTTCTTGGGGATCGCCTCGTGAGCTTGCGCAGCAACCTGGCGGACTGTCGGGGATTGTGTCAGCAGGGGCTGGGCATGGAGAGGCAATTGCATTCCCCCTTATCAATTGCGAGATACGGGTGAGATAGAAGGGAATCTTACGGGTAGTGTCGGCGAGCTCATCCTTCTTCCTCTTGATACGGTCCTTGAGTGTCTCTGCCTCGCGACGCGCTTGTTGGATCCGCGCCTGCATCGCCTCGGGCGACACATCGTTCGGTCGTTGCGAGTCCATCTTGCCGTCGCTCGCTCAGCCGCGGGAATTGAGAGGCGGCCAATGAATCGATCGAGTTGATGGAGTTGAAGGCGATGGTAGATGCCCGTAGAGGCGAGGGAATGGGAGGCCGATAGAGCGGTCGGGTAAATCAATCGAGGGTTGTTGGCGTTGGCTGGTTAATCAGGATGGAGATGGAGAAGTGGCCGATTGAATGGGCTGGGATGTTGTGGGAGAAAATGCACAGAGCAGAACAGCAGCAGGCAGTAGCAGCAGCAGCAGCAGCAGCGGCAGAGCAGCAGCAACCAAAAGCTACCGGTTGATTTCCAGGGGTTAGACCGCTACCAGAGGGCAGCAGGGCAGGACGGACCAGTCAGATTGGGCTAGACGGGCCCCTTAGGAGGAGGTATTATTGCTGGTTGCGACGGCTGGGTGATAGGGTAGCCGGGGCTGGGTGGATGTGGAGAGGCCTCAGAGACGGTCCCAATTTGCAACGCAATTCGACCCCGGCGACGATCCGAGAACTTGGAAAGTTGACCGAAATGGGACTCCTCTCTCGTGGCTCCAGTCGCTGGTTGGCTCGTACAATTCGGTCGAATCCAGGCGACGTTGGGAACTGCGGCGGCGGAAGATGCAGCAGAGTAGAGAGCAGAGAGCTGGGCAGAGTGCGGGCGAGGGCTGGTATTTCCAAGGATGAGACGAGGGATTGGTAATTGGGAAACGGAGGCAATGAAGGACGGACAGGCAGGGTCAGGCAGTCAGTCAGAAGGGGGGGGGGCTGTTGGAGGAGAGAGAGAGGAGAGGGAGAGACAGAGAGAGCCAAGACTTTCAAAAGGCAGACTTGCACCGGGATAGAACCCAGAGGAATGGATTACAGGACAGAACAGGACAGAGCCGACCAGAACTGGACCAGACCCGTGAATTGATTTTGGTAAGCCGTAGACGAAGCTGACGGAAGACAAGACGACAAGTGAACCTTGGGGCAGTGAGAAGAGCAGATCAGTCGACGAGCCCGGCAGACAGGCAACGGGTAAGGAGCAGGGCTGTGGGATGTGAGGAAGGGTGATTGGATTTTCAGGGCGGGAAGGGGCGGACAGGGGTGGTGAAGCCAAATTACAAAGCTGCCCTTGATTTGCGGAAGCTGGGGGAGGAGCGAGGTTCCCTCTTGCAACGACTGACTGGGGGGGATGGTGTGTTCGCTGCCATGACCAACGAGATTGGGCCTGGTCGGCCGTCGCGCACACACTCACACTCTCACATAGGTACGTCCCCTCCCCCCAAAACCCACCCACACATGGACAGGGAGCTGGCCAGAGAGAGAGGGAGCTGGGCATGGGAAGCTTTTCGAACCCTTCCCGGGTGCGGCAGCCAAGCATGACTACTGTCAACTCAGGTCAGTAACAGTTCCCCCGGACTGTGGTCTACAGACAGGCCAAGTATCCGTGGCTGATGACCGAACCTGCGGTCAATTGGCTCACAGCCGATCGGGCCTGCTTGAGTAATTACGCAGGCAGACATTTGCGAGCGCATCTGGATCATGGACATATTGCCGTGGTGGTTGCCCTGGAAGACGACCACAGTAGGCTAGGTACCTCTTTAGACACTAGGCAAGGCACCCTGTCCGGTTTCCCCTACCTGCACCGCACACTGTACCCAGATGGGCTGTCTGCCTGGGGGTCCCAGGAAAGGCCACCTTCTTTCTGGCAATGAGCATCTCCGAAGACCCCCGACTGAGATCGAGTTGTGCAAATTGCACGCAATGAATTCTACGAGGCGAGGTCGTATCCACGCCATGGCCCAGTCCATCCATTCCCACACAGTACGTGCCTTCATCCACCCATCCATCCATCCATCGACCCGTCCTACACAGCATGCGAAAGAGGAGACGGACGGGCCTGATTTGGGGGCGCGAGACAGTCCTGCATGGTCAGAGCGCACGCGTACTGTGCTGCTAGTAAGTGCGGTAGTACCTTGCTCTCTTGGGTCCCTCTCCTCAGGCTTTCTGGTCATCTGTCATCCCCGCCAGGCCCGCCCAGGAGCGACCTCGTCTAATCTCAAAATTGCTACCGTCATGTTAGGCCGTCTCCAGCTGCACCCCACCCCACTTTCCACTTTCTCGCAGCGGGGCCACCCCGACGACTGAGCTGCAAGGTCGATGGACGGGAGAGCTCCATCAACGCCGGGCAGTGCCTGGGACACAGCTCTTTGAAGGTTTGTCCTCGTCTGGCCAGTTTCATCACCCTCCCCCTCCCCGGAGGCACTAGGCGCCACCCGTCCAATCTTGCGGCCAGAGGGAATCCGGACAGGTGACGGCCAAACAGCCTGACAGATTCGGAAACCGCATTGGCGAGGTTGCGTCGTGTGTCGTGCGTCGGTGCATCGAGCGTCGCGCAGGTGCTGGCTCTCGCCTCGCCCGTTGAAACTCATTCGTTCACCGACCGGCCGCCAGAGGCAGGATTTAGAGTTGTGCTTTTGTTCCGACATTCTCCCGCGCCTTCTCCTCTCCCTCGCTCGCTCATTGTCTACCTCTCACTCTCTCACTGTGCAGTCTCTGTCGCATTCTTGAGACGTTTCGGAGACTTTGAAATCCTCTCGTCCGGGCCTGTCAATCACTCCACGCCAGCCGCGGGATCCACGCCTAGCTGCCCATCCGGTCCCGTCCACTCGCAACCTAAATAGACACACGACCACCCGGGCCCTGCGACTCATCCTCATATAATGATGATAAGCATTGTGGGTGCTCCCGTCGGTGGCGTAACCATGACCTGACAAGAGATGAGAGAAACAGGCTCGGTGTTGCGTTTCCCAATGGCCCGAACCCGTACTGGGCCCTCTGGCTGCTACACTCGGGTTACATCCTGGCTGCTTAGGTCCTCTCCACTGTGCCACAAGATTGTCTGGAGTTGCCTGCGACCCGCGACCGCCTCGCAACTCTGATATACTCCAGGCCCTCCCCGGGTAGGCGTCGTGTGACGAGGCGCTTCTTGATAAGTGGTAAACCTAAGCAGCAAGTACACTGGTAGATAGGTAGACTGTTGCTCCCGTGTTTTCCCTCCCCCCGGCATTTTCCAGGGTGACAGTCCTGACTGCCGCGCGTTAAGAGACTGCTCGGCCCAGCCAGCCCTTTTCTGTACAACTGAATTACATGCAAGCGTGTAGACTTAAAATATGCATGATTGCACCCTTAGCTCCCGTGCCCAGTGGCGGAGAAGAAAAAAAAGAGAAGTAAAAACACGTCAAGCTCACTACGACGGTGTGTGCTTTCGTCGTTCGCGGACTTGCCCACCTGTGATCGACTTCGCTTGCATCGCATCCTTCTTGCCCTTGCAGATTCGCTGCGGCTTCCATGCTGGGGTTTGCTGCGCTGCGGTTCGCCGTTGTCCGTTCCCCACGCCCCATCCTGCTCTGCGGGTCCAGCTGTAGCGGGTCTCTCGAGATGGTGACATGGCTCCCGCTGCTTCCGCCGAAATAACCCTGGTCGTGCATCTCCGAAGTACGAGAGTATACCAACCGTGCCTACTAGGTAGGTAAGTAGGAGGTCGGTCAAGCCTTCATTACAGACCCGCAAAGCAGTGAGTGAACAGCGTATCATCATCTCATAGAAGCCGGCATCACGAGTGCCTATGAATTTTCCTCAAAAGCAAAACGATTACTGCCACGACTCGACCTCCGACCTTGTACACTCTGCTGTCCCTTTGACTACCGTGCTTCTGACGCATCTAAACTCCATGGTGCCTCTCTCGGGCTGTCCAATCCAGCTCATTTCAGCCACATGATATTTGGTATTTTCGTCCTGTCCACCAACGCCATGCAATGCCAGAGTGAAGTATCCCTTTCCTCTCCGATAGGTTAAGCCCATAGTGAATCTACCATGGGTCTCAAAATTCAATAAATTACGCCGATCCCGTTTGCACACGGACTGCAGGCTCGTCTTCCTGCCCAGCAACCGTCCTAGCCTAGATACGACGAATAGGCAGACCCGGCACCATACGGCTGTACCTTCTTCCGTGGCGGCTCCGGAGGTTCTTCATCCTCTGACAGCGTCAAATCGATGACTTCCGCATGAGAACGTTTGTTGCCTCCCGATCTCGGCATAAAAGAGCCTTCTCGAGAGGCCGCAGTGACTGGAGTTGGAGTGCTCGTGGTGGGGGCCAGTGTGTTTGGTGTATTTGTCCCGCGGTTGCCGACGTAACTGATCTCCGAAATGACCAAGTCGTCGTCATCGATGGCAAGAGCTTCGTGTTCTGGCTCCGGCTCTGCTTCCTCCTCAACGCTGCCATGGGCCTTCCACTGTCCATTGGGCTCGATGTCGACTTGTTCCACGCTTCGAGAAGTCCTGTCCAAGATGTCCCTCACATACCTGAGCAAAAGTCAGTTGCGTCTTGATGCACCATTCAAACACACACGACTTACTCATCAATTGCAAGCCTGTCGTAAGGTGCACTCTTGCTGCAAACGGGACACAGCCATTGCGGGCCTTGCTGCTGCAGCTGAAGGTACGAGGTTGCATCAAAACACTGTACATGGGTGCATGTGGTCGCGCGGCAGGGCGTGACCAGTCTCATGTACGAAAGAGGACACTTCAGGGAAAGGACCTGGGAAGACATCTCAATCTCGGCGTCATGTGCTTTCCTCGTAACTGCAAAGAAACGTCAGTCAGAGACCAGTGAACTAAAGCTGGGAGACCACACTGTGCTTACGTTCGTGCAAGACGGAGGCCTTTGAGATCCTTTTCCTAGAGATGGTCTGTACGAGGCTTTCGACAGGGGTCGTCTTGCAGACATTGACCACAAGATAGAATCTCTATAGGTTGACAGACACGTGTTAGTATGTACCACCAGGACCTTGACATAAAGACGCCAAAGCAGGGCGAAGACGGGTTCGCCTGACTTGACCGTTACTCTGAGAGGCCTTGTCACCTGCCTTCTGCGTCAACGCGTAGGTAAACTCGATATTGTTGGCATAATTGGGGATCTTGAGACGAAGTAGATCCGTGATATCCACAGGCCTTGTAGAGCCTGGCTTGTTCTTGAGGCCCCTCAAATTGGCCTTGACATCCCCACCATTCACCTTCAGTTCAGACTGATGGGGGAATGCGATATCTTGCGGGCCTGTGTTGCCTCCAGCGCAAAACACCAACACTCTCATGTCCTTCTCAGCGACACATCTGGCGAGAAGTGGGTTGTCTTGAGCCTTGATCTGGATGTTGGTGCAGTTCCTGTGGTTTTGCATGACTGCGGTGGCCGTCAGCTCCGAAGCATGCGTAAAGGAGCTTGGGGCTTACCTTCGCAGGTTTGGACCGGTCCTATCCTGCCCACGACGTGGTAGAAAGGGCTGGAGCGAAAATGAAATCCTTGGACGCTCAGCACGCGATCAGGTCGAAGCGCAGAGGGCCCAGATGAGTTGAACATACCCTGTGGAGGTATCTGATGCGACCGCTGACCGTTGACGCCTCCGTAGCCAGGGTAGCCATTCTGGTAGCCGCCGTAATTCATGTTTGGAGACAGGCTTTGCGCGTTATTGGAAACGGGCAGGGGTGATGGAAGGGCTTCATGTGGTGCAGGGAGACCGCCGGCTTTCTCGCGAAGTATGCTTTGCTCGATGTCGCGGTATGCCCGTGGATCGCCTTGCGTGTAGGCCTTTTCGAGTGCTGTACGAGGGGCCGAGTCAGCTTCGAGTCTGGAAGATCGACAACCCATCTCCCCTTGCTACCTCGTCGCAGAACGATGCGATGCCCAAGTTTATGAATGGCACCCAGCCGAGACTGGCAGTTGTTTCGTATTGGGACAGCGTGAATGGACAGGCGAGCTTACCGTCGAGGATGCGCCTCTGCAGCTCGGCCTTGACTCCCGAAGTCCTTAGTCCGTTTACAAGACAGATGTGCTGTAGTTGTTTGTTCAGGAGATAGTTACTGCTCTGGAGACGCTTTACCAGGGTACGGTATTGGTCAGGCGGAGGCAGCGAAGTGTTCGAATCCATGTTGGCCTCGGGGAGAAAGCGTTCGCGGTGCCTGGAAGGAAAGAGCGTTCACCGGCGCAGAGGGCATTAAAGCGCTACAATAATGGATGGACCGCCGACGGCCATCACCAAGCTGGAAGGCAAGGGACACAAAAGAGTACAGAGGAAAACTTCGGGGTATCTAGCATGGAAACTCTCCGGTCAAGCCTCGACCCAGGCGCTGGAGAGTGAGCATGCTTTTGGACTTCACTCTCCTGGACGTCGAAAGTCCATCCGAGCTTAGAAGGCGGTCAAGGCAGCCAAAAAGATAAGGCGGCTTATCAGCATAGTCCCGAAATCAGCCTCGAGAAATTTCCCGGCATCTTGGACCCGAATTTGAGAGCCTGCATAGACAAACACCTCCCGCAAAGAGTGAAACGGGATCAAACAACTCCAATCACTCCGGTCACAAAGCGAAAATGGCCAAGTCCCAACGATCGAGCGTCACGAAGGCCAACAACCAGCGGCTCAAGAAGAATGTTTTTGGCCCAGTAGAGGCGGCAAGGCAACAGCGCCTGTCGGCGCGCCTTCTCGAGATCGCCTCGCAGCCCAAACCTGTACCTGAGGAGGAAATGAAGGATACAACCGAGCAGGGTATGGAGTACCTCTAAGTTCCCACTCATTTGTGAGGAGACGGGCCTCCAGGCTGACCCTTTTTTCTACAATAGCTGAATCAGAGGAGACTAAGGCTGCTGCTAAGACAAAGCCAGAAGACAGTGAGTTCGATCAGGCGCATATGCCCCGTCCGCCTTGATCATTGAACTAACGTTATATTCTACCCCAGCAGCCATGGAAGTCGACCAGCCGTCAAAGTCCACCAAGTCAAAGAAGGGCAAGATTGTGAAGAGACGAGGCCGAAAATCCAACATTGTCTTCCCCAAATTCGGAGACCGAAACAAGAAGAAGAGGTGAGGGGAACGGGCGACATTGATACCAAGGCATAGGCGTTCCACTCGATTCAGCCAAGTACTTCGTCAAACCAAGCCAGATTGCTTCGTGGTCGTCGTAAAGGGCAGCGCGACTGAGGAGCGCGAAGTCTACCGCACACCTCCCGAGCGAAGGGATTCCAAGCCGTGGCACGTGGATTGAAGAGGTCGACTACGATACTCATTTTGATCTTCTGACTCCTATGGAGTTGCCAGCTGTGGAATAGCCTAGCAAGCCCATGGGACAATCTATAGGCGTTATTGGGCACCAGACCAGGTCCTTTCTTTCAAAGATTCGGGTACTTACCGCTTGGGTTCCTGTGAACATTTTGCCAGTCAAAAAGACGGCAGGCGGTTTGCAAAGCTAGGGGCGTTCGGATAGCGCCCGCTAGGGGCTTGGCCACCCCCACACTGACAGGGGTACAGGTGGGCTTGGGGGCAGCAGTCCGCATGCAAGGCTGATGAAGGATCGCCAATTCAACCAAACTGTCCACAGTCCAGCTGGCCTCGCCTAGCTGCAAAGGATCACAGCTCTCCATGATAATATGAGCCAGTCAATACACAACCTTGCGCAATTATCTCTCAAACCCCTCCTGCTTGCAATGGAGCATCTTTCCGAACCTGCTTAGTGCCACCTCTTTGTAATAATTCCCTCGGTTTCTCTCCTTGCCTGCAGCTGATCTGTCCCGGTTCGCGCCTGAGATGCAGGGCCTTCGAAATGGCTCGACGGCTCTCTTGACAATCCTGCTCGTCGCAGCGAACGTTCTGATCCCGGCTGCGATTATAATCTTTGCGACAGGATTCTTCCCTTACAAGCCATTGCTCCCAGGTCTCGCGGGCTACGATAATAACGAGCATGGGCCGCCACCAACTGCGCCCTTTGACCGGGTCGTTTTCATGGTTGTAGACGCCCTGCGCAGTGACTTCGTCTACTCCCCCAGCTCGGGCTTTCGATATACCCAGTCCCTGATTCGCGATGGCTGCGCGATTCCCTTCACCGCCCATGCGACTTCGCCCACGGTCACGATGCCGCGCATCAAGGCCATCACGACGGGCTCGATCCCCTCCTTCCTGGACGTCATACTGAACATCGACGAGGGTGACGAATCGTCGTCTCTCGCTTCTCAGGATACATGGCTCGCGCAGATGAAGGAAAAAGACACCGGAAAGCTGATCATGTACGGGGACGACACCTGGCTGAAGCTGTTTCCCAACGTCTTTGACCGTGCGGATGGGACGTCGAGCTTCTTCGTCGCTGATTTCACCGAGGTGGACAACAATGTCACAAGGCATGTTGCGGGCGAACTCCAGAACGACGACTGGAATACAATGGTGCTGCATTACCTCGGATTGGATCATATAGGCCACAAAGGGGGGCCACGCAGCTCGAACATGTTTCCAAAGCAGGTCGAGATGGATGGTATAGTCGAACAGATCTACACCGCAATCGAATCGCAGCCCCATCTCCGATCAACCCTCTTCGTGCTACTCGGAGACCACGGTATGAATGACGCCGGAAATCATGGTGGCTCAGCCCCTGGCGAGACCTCTCCTGCATTGGTGTTCATGTCCCCCAAGATGAAGTCACTCAAGGCCACATTTGAAGTGCCACTGGATGTTCAGGAAGACTTCCAATACTACTCTGTTGTGGAACAATCTGATCTCGCACCGACCCTTGGGGCTTTGCTCGGCTTCCCGGTGCCAAAGAACAATCTTGGTGCATTCATTGTGGACTTTCTACCGTTCTGGTCCGGCAAGGGCGACCAGATACAGATTCTCATGCGCAACGCTGAGCAGATCCTGGCCATCATCACGACCACTTTCGGAGGGGATCTGTTTGACGCCAAGGGCAGTGTTGACCCTTGCCTCCAGCAGGACACCGAAGTCCAAAAGCTGGCATGTGGATGGCGCCGAGTCGTCGAGTCAGCTCGAACCATGAAAGGCACGGCCGATGTAGACGATGTATGGATTTCTACAATGTCAGAGTGGCTGAGAGATGCTCAAGGCCTCTTAAGCAGCATGGCCAGTAATTACGATATGACGAGGCTCACCCTGGGCCAAGCAGCTGCCATTTCAGCTACACTACTGGCCGCATACGCGGCGTACTTAAACGCTGGCAGGCTATCAGCAAGAGCTCTGCCCTTGACGGTCATCACTACTGCATATGGTGTGATGATGTTTGCCAGTAGCTACGTGGAAGAGGAGCATCATTTCTGGTACTACGCAACAACAGCTTGGCTCGCATTCATCAGCAGTAAAGGCTTCTATGGAGCCTCAAAGTCTGCAGTAGGGCAAGCAGTGGCAGTCGCTACCGTCGCTACGATCACCCGAATCATCAGGGCCTGGAACCAGACAGGCCAGAAGTTCGCCGGAGAGCCTGACATTGTCAAGTCCTTCATCATCACCGAGCCGGTGCGTCTTTGGGCTCTCATCAGCATCACCTACCTCTGGATCCACCGCGCACTTCTCCAGGGCTTCGACGGCCTGCCCGCCTCCCTCGCCATCTTCGGGAGCACAACCGTCGTCCTCGCCGGCTTCACGTTCAAGCTCGCCTTCACCAACGAAGACGCACCCGAGCTCGTCACCGGCTTCGCCTGGTCCCTTGTGGGCGTCACGGAAGGCATCTCGCTCGCCTCCCGCGCCCAGGCGGTCTTCGTCGGGCTAGGTCTCGGCGCCGCGTGCGTGGTGTACTTCGTCGCCGCAGGGAGGAAGGTGTCGAGGCGCTCCTCTGCCGTCGAGACGCTGCACCATCTCTACACGCTGCTCGCCATGACGCAGTCCCGCGCGACCAACATCCCGCTGTTCCTCCTCTTCGACGTCCAGTACAAATTCCTCGCGGCGCAGAACCTCTCCCTCGCCGAGCTGTCGGTCACCTCCCTCCTGCTCCAGTACATGTCCTTCTTCTCCCTCGGCGGCACGAACGCCATCTCCAGCGTCGACCTGTCCAGCGCGTACAATGGCGTCCGTGACTTTGACGTCTTCACCGTCGGCCTGCTCACCTTTATCAGCAACTGGGCCGGCCCTCTGTACTGGGTATCCGCCACCAACGTGCTGCTGGTGCGGAAGAGGAAGGCTGGTTTCGAGAGGGGCGTGTATAGACGCCATGTGACGCTGTTGACTGTGTTCGCGGCTGCGAGCGTCGGCTCCGTCATGGCGGCGTGTACGGCGCTGAGGACCCATTTGTTCATCTGGACAGTGTTCTCGCCCAAATACCTTTATTGCATGGCATGGAGTCTGGGGCAGCATCTGGTTGTCAATATTGGGCTGGGCGGTCTCTTGTACTGGTTGGGCTCGAGGCAGTAATTTCCTATAACATGAAGACCCAAGCCATAATCGCGACATAGAGGACATGAATCTTGGGCCAGAGATCCAAGTCAGATCAGATCAGTATAGACACCTGGCTCTTAGATTCCTTTATTTGCGGAAGACCATAGATGTTTAATGTGCTCATAAATTCAATTTGCGTTTCTCATCAACACAGTAAAGGATCCGACCTCCGCCCTGAACCAAGTACAGCCACAACCAATCCGTGATCCAGACACCCGTAGGCAGGTATACAAATCGAACCAAGAAAATTCATAAGGACCGTAACGCGAGCTCGCCCAGACTACTTCAGCTCATAATAGTGTCGCCATCGTCGTCTAGCAGCTCGCTCACCAAAGAGTCTCCGTCTCCGTCGCCAGCTTCCGTGACGTCCTCGGACTTTGGCTTGACCGTGTCGTTGCTATCGTCGGCCTCCAGCCTCGACTCGTTATCTTCCTCCTCCTCCTCCTCCTCCTTGATCTGCGGTTCCTGGCCAACCATCGTCCGGTCCTCGGCCGCCGGCTCTGGCGCCAGTGACACGCTACGGCTGGCAGTGGACCTTCGGAAGCCGGCCTCCTTCTGCTGGTCGAGGCTGTTGACGATCTTGCCGAGGCTGACGTGGATCTTGTACAAGGCGTTGCGGCCTGTGGTGTCTGAGATGAGGTTTGTTTCCACGGCATCAGAGACCTCGGCGTAAAGGTCGCGCAGCTTTTCCTCGGTGGAAGCGGGCGAGATGTACAGCTTGCCAAGGAGGGCGGCAACCACTTTCTTCTCGTCCTCTGATGGTAACGGTGTCAGCGGTCTTCTGAAGATGATCTGGGCATGTGTCATGCACTTGGGGCACTTACTGCTGCAGTTGGAGTCCAATCTCTCCAACACATTCCTCGCAAACTCAAGGTGGACGTCACCGTTGACATTCGTCTTCTTTTCCGCGTCGGTACCCACATCAGGAGAGAAACATTTCCGTGGATCCGTCCAATCGACCAAGCAAGCTCCAATTGTCGATAAGCTGACCATCTCGTCGTCGACATCCGCATCATCGTCCTCTAAGCCCTCCCTAACATTGTACAGCGCATGCAAGGCATCGAGTGCCACTGATCGCATGAGATCTTGATTCTCAGGGCGCGAGTAACAGAAGACTGGCAGGAAGTAGTTGAGGGCCTGTCGGACGCTTTGGTTCTGCGAGCTCGCTGGCTCGAAGTAGGCAATAACAAGGGTCTTGAGCAGTTCAGCGGATGCATCGATGTCTGTGACGACACGGCCGAGAAGAAGTTTCGATGCTGCGATGGTGGCGACAGCCTGCACTTCAGGCGATTTCGCGCCTGATCTCAGAGCCTTGACGTAGACTTTGAGGAGATTCGGGTTGTTCGACAGAAGCTGCGACCCATGGACGTTGAGTATATCTGTGAGGATGTGCAACGCTGTGATCTGGAGGGCGGTGTGGCCCTTGCTGAAGAAGTGCATGAAAAGCGTCAGGTTCTCCTCGGCCAGCGACCTATCGAGCAAGGAGCAGAGACCCAAGCATAACAGACCACGCTCACGCACAGGCGCTTCGTGGCTGCGGACGGCTGGAACGACCAAGTTGTTCAGCATAGACACCAAGTGGTCATTCTCCTGCAGGCTACCGGCCACGTTGGTCAGCATGCACTGCACAATATGAAGACACTTCATGTTGATGACGATCTCCTTGACTGCCTTAGCATGAGCTTCCTCTTCTGTTAAGTCATTGTCTTTGTCGTGCTTTCCGCTCTTAGCAGATTCTTCGTCTTCATCAACCTCGGATTGGGCAGAGTGGAAGCTCTCGTCATCGTTGGGTTCGTCCAGGATTGTATCATGCACGTCTGCCACGGCTTCGAGAACGACGCTGCAGAACTCGCGCTCACCCGCATTGTCGGGTGCACAAATGTCCCGGAGGACGTTGACGGTGAGTTTCGTAACCTCGTCCGGGAGTTCGGGGATCGATAGTGTTTGCCTGAGCAATGAGAACATCTTCCTGCGGCCAACTTCGTCGGAATAGTCGAGAGTCAGTGCAATGTGCAGAAGTTGTTCCACGATAAACTCTTGCTCCACGGTATCCTCCTCGTCCTCTTCATCCTCGGGCTCCTCTCGCTGCTCTATTCTCTTCAAAGCATCCGTGAGGACCTTGACATATCGTTCGAGGTAGAATCCCAGCTTGGTGACCTCAGGCAGCTTTTCTTCGATCAAGTCTTCATATTTGCCATTCCCCTCATTTCTGCAGAACTCGTTGAAACTCCGGGCCATGAACACAGACTCGGCGGAAAGAGTATCCCAGAAGTTGTCATCCAACGTGACTGCCTCGCGGTAATCTGGCCGTCCTTCCCAGAAGCCCCTCATAGCCTCCAGGCCAACACCATTCTCGACACCGGAGTTGACTACGTCGATACGCTCAAGAAGCTCAAGCAGGCCTTCGAAGCTTGGCGCAGGTAGCTCAGTGGGCTGTCCATCGTCGTTCAATGGCGGCGCGCCCGCGCAGTCCTCGATCCACCGCTCACGGAAAAGTTTACCTGCCGCCTTGCGGACTGTCTCATCTCGATCCCTAAGACCCCAGCGCAAGAGCTTTTCTCGCATGGAGAGTGACAGATGCCTGAAGTCTCCAAGGGCGGGAAGAAGACGGGAGTATACAGCACGACGTGTCATGGCGTCCTGGTCTCGCGCTCTCTCCAGCAAGAATGGCAACGTGTTCGGCAATATCGGTAGGTTGACAAGCAGAGACCTCCGGACATCTGCACTAGGATCATTTTGAAGCACTTCAAGGAGCTTCTCCAGCAAGCCGCTCGCTTCGTCCCCGTCGCTGTCGGAGTTGGCCTCAGCCTCGATCTGGTTCCCTGCCAAACGGCCGAGACCAAGGACTGCCTGGGCGCGGATCATGGCCTCCTTGTCGCGAATTCTCTTGAGTAATCCATATCGAAGTTTCTGGAAAAGGTCGTCATCGATGGCGTCGAGAGAGTTCACAATGTGAGCGATGAGCTGGGTCGACCGATATCTGACAAACTTGTCCTTGGCCATCATCAGGGGCAGGATGGCGTCCATGAGCCGGGAGGTCAACCTCGTACTCGGTGTCTCGGGCATGGTGCTTGCATCCTCATCGACGTTGCCCGCGAGTTCATTGTCCTTGTCGATGGAGTGCCGCATAAACACACCGACGAAGCGGATTGTCCTCTCGCCGACGGCCTCGCTCTTCCTGACGGGCATGACGCGCAAAACACACCGAATGAACTCTGTGTTGAAGTCATCTTCGTCAAAGTCGCCCGCGGTGGCCTTCTTGGCACTGGTTGGTTCGTAGCAGCATGCCTCCTGCAGCTTGCGCAGCGTGACGGCCGATTTCCTGTGTGTCGCGGTATTCCTCTGAGCCTCGCGAAAAACAGCGGCTACCTGGGTTCGGAGTTCATTGTCTGGGGTTTCCTCAGGGACGTCGAAGGCGGCGGATGATGCACGCGATGCAGCGGTGGATGTGCGTGCGGTCGAGTTGGCGGCCGAGTTCCTCGTCGACGCGCGCGCCGATCGTGTTGACGTGCGAGGGGGCATGGCTGTTGGACTCAAATCGATGAAGTGAAGCTATGCAGGAGTGGAGTGGGCATTCAGTCTGCCGCGGATAGGATGGTCGCTAGACTGGTAAATTGACTAAGTACTGGACGGTAGCACATTTGAGTTGGTCGGATGAGGAGGCGCACGTAAGCAGGGCGGCCTGGAACGGATTCGACACACCCTTCTTTTCTCCTCGGTCTCTCTGGCTCGGAGTCGCGGTCGAGATCTGCTCGTTCTTGTTGTGTCAACATAGAGAATGCGGGCGCGGGTTACCCCGGCAAGTCTCACTCCCGATAAGCTAGCGCAGGTTCTTATCGGGAAAAGTTTCTGGGCCTCGCCCAAGCTTTTCCCTCCCCTCTTGCAGTTGAGCCACCATTTTCGACATAAACCACACGAGAGGTCCAAACGACCCCCAAAATGGCCAAATCAACAGGCCAAAAGAGGCGTAGGGAAGCCGAGGCCGATCTCGAACAGCAGAGCACCGCAACGAAGACTCAGGACGGCCCGCCGTCCAAGAAGAGCCGTGTCGAGGAGCGACGGTCCCTCTTCGTAAGGTCTCTCCCGACCACAGCAACGGCCGAATCCCTGACCGACTTCTTTTCGCAACATTACCCTGTAAAACATGCCACTGTCGTTATCGATCCTAGGACCAAGGAATCCCGTGGCTATGGGTTCGTTACTTTTACCGATGCCGACGATGCTGTCGAGGCTAAGCAGAAGCTCAACAACGAGCTGCTTGGTGGCCGCCGTATGAAACTGGAGGTTGCCGAGCCGCGACACCGTGCAGGCGGTGACAGTGCTGCCAAGTCTCACATCGCAGAAGAGAAGAAGAAGCGAGAGGAGGAAATGGCAGAGGCCAAGAAGGCCCCGAAGCTGATTGTTCGAAACCTGCCCTGGAGCATCAAGAGCTCGGAACAGCTCACCAAGACCTTCTCCAAATATGGCAAGATCAAGTTCGCCGACCTACCAAACAACAAGGGAAAGCTCAAGGGCTTCGGTTTTGTGACCTTCCGTTCAAAGAAGCATGCGGAGCGGGCAATGGAGGAGATGAACGGCAAAGACGTCGATGGGAGGACCATTGCCGTGGACTGGGCGGTTTCGAAGGATGAGTGGCAACAGCAACAGGGTCTGGAGCAGGAGGACGAGGAAAAGGATGAACCGAAACCCAAGTCCAAGAAGTCCAAGAAGGAAAAAGCCGACGTAGACGATGATGAGGACGAGGAGATGAAGGACATGAACGAGGAGGACCGCGACCTTGCCATTTTCATGAAGAAGATGGAAGACTTCGACTCCGAGGACGAAGACGACGACGAAGAGGACGAAGATGAGGACGAGGACGAGGATCTCTCAAGCGACTCGGGAGAAGAAATCGTGGAGGAGAAACCCAAGCGTCTCACGGATAACTCCACGACAGTCTTTATACGCAACCTTCCCTTCACGGCTACGGACGAGTCGCTGAAGGAGCACTTCGAGAAATTCGGCCACATCAGGTACGCCAGGATTGTCAAGGACAGGGCAACTGAGCGGCCCGCTGGCACTGGCTTCGTTTGTTTCGTCAACGAGGACGACTTCAAGGCCTGCTTGAAGAACGCTCCACGACAACGACAACCCGTCAAGACTTCTAGGCACTCGGTACTCCAGGATGAGACTGTCGACACAGATGGTCGCTACACCCTCGACGGACGTGTCCTATCGGTGGCTCATGCAGTGAGCAAAGAAGAGTCGGCTCGATTCACCGAGGCGGGTCCTGCGGCCCGCAAGGGACAAGAAAAGGACAAGCGGCGCCTATACCTTCTCCCCGAAGGCACCATCCCCAGCGGCTCCCCTCTTTACAAGCTGCTCTCCCCGACAGAGGTCAAGCTGCGTGAGCAGAGCTTACAGCAGCGGAAGAAGCAAGTGCAAAGCAACCCCAGTCTGCATTTAAGTATGACGAGACTGGCAATCCGCAACCTGCCCAGGAACATGTCCTCCAAGGAATTAAAGCAACTCGCCCGGCAAGCCATTGTTGGCTTCTCTGCAGATCTCAAGGCAGGCAAGCGCGCTCCGCTTTCCAAAGAGGAGCTTTCGCGAGGAGGAGCTGAGGACCGGGAAGCCGAGCACCGTCGCAAGGAAAAGGGCGTCGGCGTCGTCAAGCAGGCAAAGGTCGTCTTTGAGACGAGGGATGGCAAGAAGGTGGACGAGTCCACCGGTGCAGGTCTCAGCAGGGGCTATGGATTCATCGAATACTCCAGCCATAGGTGGGCGCTCATGGGTCTCCGTTGGCTCAACGGCCACGCACTCAAAAACGAGGCAGGCAGGACGGTGCGACTGATTGTGGAGTTCGCGATCGAGAATGCACAGGTGGTGAGCAGGAGGAAGGCAAATGAGGTGAGGGCGAGGACCAAGCGGGCTGAGGCACAGGACAAGGGGGGGCAAGACAAGAAGCAAGGACGCAAAGACGTCAAGGGCAAGCCGGGCAAGGCACCCCAGGCGTCGGCTGGTGTTGAAGATAGTGAGGGTGAGGGCAAGAAGAAGGATGCCAAGGAGAAGTTGGCGCAGAGGCAGAGGATCATCGGGCGGAAGAGGATGGCTCGGAAGAACAACAAGGGCCGGAAGGGTTAGCTGCATCTTTTGATGTGTGAGGTGTGGACATTCCACGTTCGAACTTTGCTCAAGATACCACCAACAAAAAGCCAATTCTTTAATTTAACTGATGCATTTATATTCTGTCTGCTATCACAACTTTGCCTTTCTTGACTTGGCACTATCGACCCTCTTCCCCTCGTCATCCTGCTCCTTGACAGTCAAATCCGGCAACTCCATCGGCATGATCCTCCTCGGAGTGCTTCCCGGCACGACCGAGTACTTGGAGAAGTCAGACACGCCCGCATGCGCCCTGAGGAAGTCCTCGTCAAGCAGGAGCTGCCCATTCACGACGGGCGCCGGCGCCCCGAGCATGGCCAGTATGGCATCGGAGAAGATGGTGGGCCTGCGCAGGTCCCTCTCCTCGTCGGCGTTGCCCCGCGTGAACTGCGCCGTGGCGGCAGACTCGATCGACACGGCCGGCCAGATGCTCGTGACGGCCATGCCGCCCTCCCCGTCCCTCACCAGCCCCTGCCTCTCAAAGTCCATCGCGAGGCCCTTGGTCAGCACGCTCATGCCCACCTTGCCCATGGCGTACGCCGTCTTGCCCCTGAAGAAACGGCTGTAGATGGGAGGGCTGACGATGACGATCCTGCCCCCTACGGAGCTCTTCTTTAGGTGAGGCAGGGAGGCCTGTACCGCGCCGTAGAGCCCTTCCGGGTTGACGCGCTGCATCAGTTGGAATCGCTTCATGGGGCTGTCTTCGACTGAGGCCCACCATATTGCCCCGGGATTGTATATGAGCACATCAAGGCGGCCATATCGCTGGGTTTTCGCGTGTCAGCTACTTTATCCTGGAGATCTAGGGGCGGGCGATTCAAGCAGACCTTAATGGTCTTGTCGACCAACTCTTGTAAGCTGGCGAAGTCCCGGACATCAACTGCAAAAGCGGCCGCCTCGCCGCCGGCCTCCTTGATTTCTCGTTCTACTGTACTGATGGTGGACTGAGGCGAATTAGGACCTGGTGGAAAGGCAGTCTTGGAAGAGTAGGCATCAGATGTGGACTTGGCGGCTACGACGACTGCAGTTGAAAGAGGAAGAGAGGTGTTAGTTCTTGATTTTTGATATCCATACTTTTTTGAACTCTCAGTCCTTACCAGAATATTCACGTCTTGCCAAATCAATGGCGATCTGCCTTCCAATTCCCCTCGAGGCACCAATCACAAGTGCTACAGGTTTCGCCTTGGACATGGTGATGGATGTCGTGGATGGAAGTGGTCCAGCTTGAGAGGACTAATTTATCTCATCATTCAAGTTCGAGATTTGAGCCACATAGTCTACGATAAACAAGATGGCTCGCACTCCAGAGGCATGTGAATGATAGACATTGTTGAAAGTCAAAGAGGCCCTCGGTATGGTGATCGATTACTGATCACCTTGGGGAGCCGTGGGGTTGCGCTTGGGGAGCTGGGCAGGTGTCCACCGTCCCCCATGAACAGCCGAGGCTCGTCATCCTGGTATACTTGGGCTAACATGCATTCCCTCCGCAACTGCTTGTCAAAATATCAATCACGCAACTCAACCCTAATGATAGACAGGTCTGACAAATCCGAAGTACCTTTCAAGCACCATGGGAGGCCGGATCGATTGCTATATTGACATTGGTAAGAGCCAAGTATTCTGGAGCTGATTACAAAATACTCCGCTCCGTACACCACGCGGTCTGTGACTGACTGACGACATGGCGTCTCGCAGCGTCCTTTTACAGCTACCTCGGTTTCGTATACCTGGTCGAGAACCTGAGAACTCTTGAGTCTCATGGCGTCCAAGTAGAGTAGGTCGACCGATACCCGGCCATATGAATGCGTAGCTCATCACGCTCTCGTTTAGGTTCCACCCCGTCTTGCTCGGCGGCATTATGGCTGGGTCGGGTATGACAGACAAGGAATATGTGTATTGCCATCCCTGAAGCTGACTCCCGTTCCTCTTTAAGGCAATAATCCACCCTGGTTCAACCAAACAAAGGCGAAGTATGGGGTCTTCGAGGGCAGGAGAGCAACAGCCCGCGCAGGGAAACCAGAAATACAGTTCCCCGAGGATCTCATGCCCATGAGCCATACTGTTCTCGTAAGCCTCGAAGTGACGGCTCCTGATCATGGAGAACACATAATCTAACCAGTCTCATAGCCAATGCGAGCTCTACACTATATCAAAGCCAATTATCCTCGTGAGGTGTACCATACCACCTGGGCTCATCTGTTCCAGAAGTTCTGGACGCCTCCGAACCTCAACCTCACCAAGGTTGACGTCTTGGCCGGGGTCCTCTCCGAGTTCAAGGAGTTCTCACCCGAGGAATGCGAGCAAATTTTGGCCGCGGCCAAGTCGCAGGAGGCCAAGAACGCGCTCACCAAGGCCACGCAGTCGGCCCTCGACAAGGGAGCGTTCGGTGCGCCTTGGCTGTGGGTGAGGAACGACAGAGGGGAGGCTGAGCCCTTCTTTGGTAGCGACAGGTATGTGCTCCTCTGCCGCTTATGCTGTGGTTTTCCGTCAAGCGTCCCACCTGACTCCCTGCAAAACAGGTTCCATTTCATATACAAGTACCTGGGTCTGCCTCATCAGGACATCGCCCTCTTGCCGCCAGGGGCCAAGTCCAAGCTGTAGCAAGGATGGTCGGGTTGGCCATGTAGCAATAATCAAGCAATTCTTCTATTTGCAAATTGGGGTATCTCTAACATTTGACAATGTCCTGCGCCGCTTACAATCCCTGACAACCAATACCATTCCCAAACCGTTGCTGTGCACATCGTCCAGAGCCAGTGATACCAGGCACCACCTCTCACACCTTGGAAGCAATCCTGACCCGCCTCGCCTCCTCCTCCCTCCTCGCCTCGCTCCGCGCAAGGAAGTCCTGCCTGTCGGCGAACGCCCCCTTGGCCCTGCCCGCGAGCGCCAGCTCGTCCTTGATACCCTCCTTGTCCACGAACCCGGCCCAGTCCATGCGCGACTTCTCGACCGTGTTGAGCTTCTTCGCCTTCTCCTGCCTCGCCTGCAGCCTCACCGCCATACCCAGGTTTAGGTCCGCCCGCTGGCCCTGCTCCGCGGCGTTAACGATGGGCTCGAAGGCCGAGCGGAAGGCCTTGCGCGGCATGCGCTTGTCCGACTGGTCGTCCTGGGCGTCGGCGTCGGCGTTCGCGTTCTCGCCCTGCGAGGCCAGGTATAGCCTTGCCTCGGCGGAGTCGCGCTGCACGAGCTTCTCCTCGGTGTGGACCTTGCCGGCGAAGTTGTACGTCCGCTTGATCTTGATCATCTCGCTGGGATCGCCGTCCTTGCCAGTTGCTCCCTGGGCATTCGACGAGCCGGTGTCCCCTGGGGCTGTTGAACCATCGCCGTTCTCGCCCTGTGAGGTCGTTTGAGGCTGTTGTTTCGTAGGGACGACCGGCGCGGCTGTCATCGAAGCCCATAGTGCGTCGACGTCGACGGTCACGGGCCCGCTCGCTGCTTGGATCTTGCGTTCTGCTTTTCTGTAGGGGGCGACGAGTCAGTACTTGGATGTGTGGCTGGTGTCCAAAAACAAAGTCCAAATAGACAGAATACAAGTTGGCGGGCACTCACCCTACTGCGCGCATGCTCCGCGTCTTGATCAAGCCGCCCTCGCCGCCTTCATCTTCGTCGCGTTGCGCCTGGCGGCCTTTCTTCTGCTTTTTCTTGCCCCTCCCGATAATCGCCTCATCGCCCGAGTTTTCGAAGCCCGCGTCCTCTGCATCGTCACCACCGCCAGCCTGCGGTTGCCTCTTCCGTTTTACAGGTGCGGGTTCGGCAGCATCGCCGGCAGTTTCGTCTTCGTCGTCCGAGGAAGCGTCGCCTTGCTCGGGTGCCTCATCTGGCGCAAAGTCTGAGTCCTCAGACGAGGCATAATCCTCATCGTCGATCGTAGGTTCATGCGACATCTTGGGGCTGGCGCTGAATTGCGAGTGGTAAGTCGAAGTCGGTCTCGCGTCTCGAAGTTCTGGGCGCGCATCGGATTAGAGATTCTTCGATTTACGCAGACTATCTTGCTTAGAACAGACCCCGTCTGGAAACCCGGCGGAGCTACTGTCACCAACCCTCGGGCTGCTTCAAGCACTTAGTTTCTTCAGCCCCCCGAACCACCACAATCAATCGTCCACGGGTATCACGACTCACGAATCACAACAAAAATGGAACAAAAGAATACATGCAACAGGCAGAATTCGCTGGTCGTCACCGACCCAACTACTAATTGCCCTCTCACAAGCTTGATTACAGGAGAGCGAACGGGATCCGATATTTTCTTGTGGATTTGGTCGCATGTGTTGGATTTGCGTCGATTGCAGCCTCACATCCCCAGGTTCGAGATGTGGGATCGAGGCCAGGCGTGGTGACAGCCAAGCCATATGCGGCTTGATTTTGCGGGCTAAGGAAATGCCATCTTGAGATCTTGAGTGGTCACCCACCGGTTTCATTCCGGTACCTCCCTCAGATATGCAGGACACTGGCAGAACCGACGGTGGCATTGAGTGGCCTGCGAGGACACCTTCTCGAACTGCCCAGACGAAGGTGTCCCCCCACGTTTGTGAGGCCGCTTTGACTCAGATCTTGGCCCACGAAGGGCATCTGTCAGATGCAGAGGGAACTGTAACCCTACCAGCAGTTGTATTCACCCGAAAACGCCATGCACTACTGTGCGCGTCCGTATCACCTTGCATACGATCTGTCGGTGACAGGTTCTTGGCTGCAGTTTGGGAATCAGATAGGCACTGAATGAGCATGTTATACGGATCACTGCAATATTCCCTGCGCATTGCTTTTGATGCCTCGCTGGCACGGAAACGAGAGTGCTGGGCCTCTTGCAGGTGTGCCATTATTGGCACATCGTGCCGTTTGTAGGGATTTGTTCGGCTTGACCACAGATCAGTGTTACTGTCGATCGAAAGACCTGTCTAGATTAGGTCCCTGACAATGCGGATCAAGCGATCCGTCGCATTGTTCGACATGGACTTTCGTGGGAGTCGTTGAATCCCTCTCAGTTATATAAAGATTGAATTTCCCCATCCATCCTCAAGTGCAAAGAAGTTGAGGACAAGGAAGCAAGCATTGGAAGACAGAACTTTGTAAGTGAGCTCTTTTTCAAGACACCTATAGTCCGTGACTGACCTCTTACAAGTATCAAACCAGGAACTACAACGATGGACGAAGAAGTGGATTTTGAGAGTTTCTTGACAACATCGTGGGAACTGTTGTCCGATGCTCCTGGACTTGACACCTACGAAGCTGATGCGTACCTTCATGTCTCTGGCGAGGCTGATGAGGCATTCTTCGAGAGATCACTCGAAACCTGGAACAATGGACCTTCGACTCGTGGTCTCTCTGAGTCCGATGATGTTGATCCCCAGCTGCTTTCTTATGATGGAGCGGGGATGCACATCCCTATTCCAGCTGTTCGGACCCAGGATGTTGCAGGACTAGGCTCGGCCGATGGTCCGCAGGTAGCGACTGAAACTCTTTAGAGTGAGCCACCTGCCCATCACAAGCTGGACTCGATTCAACCTGCCCAAGAGCACACTCTGATGACTCAGGGAGCGTCGTTTTCCCCAGACGTATCTGCAACTCAATCGCCTGGCACTGATGGGGACACGTCCAGTGCCTCCCATGACACTGGCGGCTCCGCCAAACGAAAGTTTGAGGAACTGCCTATGCCGCAGTTAGGGAGGGATGAGTATGTTGTTGGAAACGTCTTCTATTGCCCCGGGTCGGAGTGGTATCCGGACGATGACAAGGGCTGCGACAATGGCTTCCCCTCGGCACGAGACAGGAAGTAAGTCTCCCTCGAATACTCCAAATCGAACGTATCACTGATCAGGCCAAGTAAGCACATTCGGAAACACGTAAAGCCAGTGCTGTGTCCTGAGTGTCAGGTAAGGACAGCTGAGCAAAGGGACATGAAGAAGCACTTCGAGGTTCACAAGCCTCAGACTGATCGGCCGCGATTCCAATGCCCAAACTGTGAGAAACTGTTCACGCGCGAGGACAATATCCCAAGGCACCAAAAAGCCAAGCATGGTGTGGAAGGTCAGGTGTATGGGTTTCGTTGAGACTTTGACTGGAGGTCAGAAAATCGACAGCAGATCAACATTGTTTGTGGTAGTTAGTTCAGATTGAATACAACAACTTGAAGGAAACATTGAGAATTTCCGAGCAACAATTTCTCCATCTACTCCTCTACCCATGTGCAGCAAGTATTACTCTACAGGCGAGCTGACCTGCTGCCTCTGTAGGCAATGATACCAAGCCGAAACTAAAAATCTTTCGAACTGGTCAAGAAAACGAGCAACATATTAAAGTCGAACGCCACCATCGATCCCGGAATCAGACTCAGGATCCACATCGTCATCGTCATCATCATCATCGTCCCACTGTCCATCCTCGGACCCAGAAAGCCTCGCGTCCATCATATAAGTAATACCCGTCAAAGAATCAGGATGGGAAAAGGAGATAGCCTGACGTTGTTCAATAACCATGATAACCTCCTTGCGGATATCGCGGCAGACGCTAGTAAGACACTCGCGTTGCTCGACCCAGCGAGGATCCGCCTGGCCGAGAGGTAGCAGGACCGGCCCCCAAATCGGCCACACCCTCTGGTGGGAGTCAGGCTCCACACACATGGCCGGGTGGTGGCGGAAGTAGATCTTGCAGCAGAGGCAGGCAGGCTTGCTGGTCGCGATGTAGCGGTCGGCCCCCGCGAACGCCAGCCTGTTGTCGTAGAAGTGGTGCAGCATCTGTACCTCTGCGTGCACGATGGGTGCTTTCCGGTCCGGGCTGTGGAAGTCGGACAGCTTGTCCTCGAGGTGCACCTGCTGGTCCATGTGGTACAGATAATCGAGTGAGCTTTCGAAGCGAGTGTCTCTGCTTCCGGACTGGAAAATTCTTGTCATGACACCGCGCAGGTTGGTGTGGGCATCGGCTGGCGGAATGGGCACTGAGGGCGGCACGGGGACCTCGAATACCTCGTACGTCTCAAGGAGATCGGCCATGTGAATACCATCATCCAGCAGCTGCTTTACTGACCGTATGTGAGCTGCCAGGTGCCCGATGATGTGCCGGACTCGGGAGAACGCCACAGAGATGTCATGGGCACGAGTTGCGCTGTGGTATTGGTGGCCGAAATTCTCCATCACCAGCATTTCCGGGTCATTTCGGACCCGGTATGCCTCCTGGCAGGCCTGGTGTAAACCCTGTTCCTGGAATTTGACATTTTGGAACTGGAGCAGCCACTCAGCCAGAGAGGTACCTGTATACTTGTAAGTGACTTGAAGGCGGCACCCCGGCTGAGGGCATTCTCACCCATTTTATTGAAAGGGTTTGCCAGGAGATGATCTCTGCATCTCCGAGCACAGTTCACTAGGCTATGCACCTGAGATCGCATCCTCTTGAGAGAAAAGCGAACGCATTTGCGTGTCAGGTCCAGTTCGACGGCTCGTCGGTCACCCTGAGTGGACCTGACGAAGGCTTTGACGTCCTCCAGCACGGAACGCGAAAACACGAGAGTCCCTTCGGACGGTCCTTTATTAGATGAAACCCAGAAGACGTAGCAATCAGGGCAGTCCTGGATAGCGATTGAAGCAGTGCTGTCGCCGCCTTTGAGATCGTCGCACAGGAAAGCGAGGTTCTGGAGAAAGCGCCTTCGTACGGCAATCAAGCTCGACGGGTCAAAAACGGTGGCGACATGAGGCCCGCGGATGTTGCCCAAGAGGGACAGAAGACATATGGGCTTCGTAGAAGCGGTAGATGAGTCTCTTGTAAGGGTCGAAACGCGGGGTTCTAGCCATGACTGAAGACTCTGATAAGCTGTGTTTTGTTTTGCAAATTCATCTTCAAGATCTCATGTCGGAAGTCTGGGGCAAAACAGAGGCCTTGAAACGGTTGCTGTTTATACTGTGATGAGTTTCTTTCAATAGTCGTCTTCCAACCGAGAGGTGGAAAAGGGGGCCTCCCACATTTGGTCCTCAATATCTCGACCAGTAGAGTAGTTGATAAAGCTTAGATACCCTCAACCATTCGGACCTGGAGACGAGCAAACCTGTACCACCTGCCCGGTTGGTATCCCGGCCGGAGGCCCACCAGTACAACATCGACCAAGTAGATGTGAATCGGACAGACGCAGCCACTAACAGAAAAAAAACTCAAATCCACTAGGAAATTCATGAGTAAAGTTATTTGTCTGGACGAAATAGTCGTGAGCAAAATGAATGGCTATTCTAGGTCTTGGATATGAAATGATATCCCATGGCTAATGGGATCTCCTGGTTTCTTTGCTGCAGAAACATTTGCTGAACTGGCTGGCTGTCAGACCAATCACTTCTTGCTTTTACTCAATCGAAAGTCGGTAAATGGACACCTCCTGTCTAATGCTACAGGGCTCACAATTCTGAATTGGAAGTAGAGAGATTAAACGGGTTAGGTGCAGCTCAAATGGTACTGCCCTGCTCCAGTCAAAGATGCCAAGGCATGTACGTGGTGGCTTACTGATGTACATGCCGGCACAAAAGTTGACAAGCCGACAAGTTACAGTAGAGCCTCGTCCTTCGAAGCGCCGTGGCACCAGGCCAAGCCGTCAGGAGGCATCCAGGACGAAATCCTCGGAATATAACCAATATCAAGCTTACCAGCCGCCCCCAACCAAACTTTGAGATACTGCTGGAGGATTCAGATGCAGCGGCTGTGTCAGAAGGGACGACTCGACCCATACTTATTCGGCATCGAGAACGGCAGAATGGTTGCAAAAGACTCTTGTAAAGACGCCACCACGCAAGTTGCTTACCAGCATTGCGTTGAGGCTCTACGCGGGCATTCCGGCACGGCCCTTCTAAGCCTGACATCCTATTTTTAGCTTCTAATACATACTCTCGGTTTAGGAAGAGTCAGAAGGGTCGAGCGCGACAGTTGGGGTTTTTCAAACTTATTAGCTGGGCTCCCTCAGAGCAGAGCTGCCGGGCTCAGGTTTGGCTCACATGCTATTGCTATGCTCTCTCCCCAGTCTTTTCTTTCATTTTGTTCTGAAATATCTAGTGAGCGTCTCGAGTTGTGGCTTAATGTATTTCTTTTTTTACTTTTGGTCCTATTCCAGAACCTTGATACCCATCCAGCATGGTCGAGACACAGTATTACGAACTCACGGAGGCAGAGGCCCAACCTACTACCAACGGCGGCTGCAAGAAACGACTCAGATTCATGTCAAAACTCTCTAAACCATGGCGAATGGCTCTGTTAGGAGTCACATTTGCCCTTCTCGTCGTTATTGCTGCCTACCTATGCCTCATACTTGCCTACGTCGTCGCAATCCTCTGGAAAGCAAACAGACTCCCAGACCGCAGCGAGTCACATTACAACCTTTACAAAAACACTCGCTTCGAGGCTTGTAGGGCCACGCCATCCCCGCACTTCAACTGTAGCATCTTTACAGACGACTGGACGCAACCCCCAGACGGAGCACACTATTCCTTGTGGAACCACGGTCGTGCTGTGATACACGGCCCTCCTGGCAACTGGTGCGACGCTGCTAGCTGCTTCAACGCGTGGAAGGTGGTGCCGTCGACGCCACGGCACAGCGCCTTTAGCCTGACCACTCTTTTGATCTGGGCACAGCTCTGCTTCACCGCCCTATCCATCCTCTGGGAGCTCTACAAGACCCTGTCACCCCCCAACAAGTGTACCGGTCCAGGGTTCTGGGACTGGTTCTTCCTCATCAAGGATGCCATCACCCTCGGCTTCTGGGTCGGGGGCTTCGCGTCTTTGCTAGGCGACATCTCCTCCGCGGCGCCAGTCTCGATCGTTGCGTGGCTCTCGATCTGCAATCTGTGGATCGACCTTCGCTGCCATCCCTGGTCATGCTGGTCTGTATTTGTTCGCCACCCCAGAATAAAAAAGACCTTGTTCTGGATGCTAAACGTTGTAGTCCTCTCCCATTGGGCAGCAACTGTATACGCACTCCGAGTATACTGGGAATTCTACGATTTCACGGGCGCGCCCGACACTGGCCGCGTCAGGAAGTACAATATCAACAAGTACGACTGTCTCGAGGACCAGTTAAGCTCTGCCCCTGGCACGTCCTCCTGCTCCGCCGAGTCGCTATGTGCCGAAAGCGCATTCTTCACCAGCCCGGACTTTCATTCCCATCGGGCGATGTTAGTCCTGCTGGTTACGTACAGCGCCCCCGCGGCTGCGAGTCTTATATTCTTCGCAGTAGCTATAGTTGCCTTGGTGTTTTTGTTATCCTTACACCGGTGGGCGCCACAAATCATCCAGCGACCCGTGAGAAGTGGATGGCTGCCGAAAAGAAGCAAGACTGGCGAACGGATCGCGTCATTCCAGCTGATTTTTACGTTCTTTTTTGCTCTGGCAGGAGTGGTGTTTGGTGCGTATATCCTCGCTCAGGGATATCTGAACTGGGATCTTGAACGGATCCAGTACGGTGGTGAAGGAACTATCGTTTGGAACCCAAATTGCACAGCAGTTCATGTTGGCATCAGCCCGGAGTGGTATTAATCAGCCTCGTTCTCCCAGCAGTGCCGCAACTAGCACATCGCCGGCGGACTCCCATCACACGTCAACGATTTTGATACTGAGCGGGTAACGTAACTCCCAAATTCAAAATATATACGTAGATACTTGGTTATGACACAAGCGAGAGTTTGGGGTATCTTTGAAAGCAACAGAAAAAATCAAGGCTCAGGCCAGCAGCGACCGTGTCCAACATGCTTTACCACCACATAGCATCGTCATCAACGTTGGGAAAAGTTATCAAGGAAACAACAATGACCTCAGCAAAGAGGCTATCGTGGTGTCATCAGCCATGCAAGGTAACAGTGCCACCAGAGATGCTCATGTCAATCGTGTGCAGGCATCTCAGGTTCGAGTTCGGACAGTTGGCATGGAAGAGCAGGGTGTCCCCCTGCGGCGTGGCCGTGGCCCCGCCGGGGGACTGGAGGCCAAACGCGCCCGAGGCGAGGAGCTGGCCCCTCCGCGTGTAGGGGCCGGCGATGCTGTTAGACGTGGCGTACTTGACGTCGTACTTTGGGTCCGTGAAGCAGTGGCTGCTGTAGAAGAGCACGTAGGGGCCGTCCGGGGTGCCGATGATCTGCGGCGCCTCGACCAGCGGGCCGTCCTCGTCGACCCGGTCCAGGATCTGCACGGGGCCGCCGACCGTTGTCGTCCAGTCGTTGACGTTCATCTCCTGCAGCATGATGGGCGTGCCGTGCAGGGGTGCAACCCCGTTGTTGCAATCACCGCCATTACCAACACTATTACCGTCCCTGCCAACAATCAGCCATGTACATCATGGATAAATGTTCAGCCTTGCTTGGAACTTACTCCTTATAGACGATGTAACGCTTGTTGTTCACCTGGTCGTAGAACGACGAGGAGTCGATAGCCCCACCAGTGCTTGCGATGTCGGGGCAGATCGCAGGGCCGTCCTGTGGCGTGTAGGGGCCCTCGATCTTGTTGGACGTGGCAATACCAACACAGTGGAAGGGCTCATTGCCCTTGAGTGCCCCAGAGTAGGTCATGATGTACCTGTGGTTTTCCTCTGGGGGCATCCGCTTGACGTCAGGCGCCCAGTTGTTGGCGCCCGTGGTCCAAGAGCCGCTGTTGGGCAGGGCATCATGGTTGATGACAGTCCACGGCCCATCTGGTGTGTCGGCCACAGCCACTTGGATGTTGAATCCGTTACCATTGGTTGCAAATGCATACCACTTGCCGCCATCTGACGGCCATGCCTTTATAATAACGTTAGATGAATATGTTTGGCACACGAGGGGGCAGTCACACTCACTTGTTCTAGCGAAGGGTCAGGGAAGTCATAAGTTGCTCCATTAAAGGCTGCACTTATGGCCCTCTTGTTGTGGAACCTGCCTTGGGGCAATATAGGAGAGGCAGTGACATGGTGCAGCAGTGAGGCCAGGAGGCCCAAGGCTGCGAGGCCGCGGAAGGACTGCATGGCAAGGGGAGTGATGGCTGCCGAAGCAGAAGTGCAACAACAGTAATGGGATAAGTGAGACCGTATGAGACGGGGGTGCACAAACTATGGTTTGTGTGATATGTGGAAAGCGAGCCTATTCAACTAAGACGTTCTGGTCATGTCTCGAGGATCTAGACACCCCGTCTGAGGATGCCAGATGAGGACGACACGGCGCCTTTTGTAGCACAGCGCCATCGCCTATTCTCGCAGCCAGACTTGGTCTCGTGAGGCATGTGGTTACTTGTTCAATGACGGCAGGCTTGGGAAAAGGCAGAAAGCCAGCCAGCCCGCCCTCCACTGCCGATCCGACTCTTGTCAGTCAGCCTGCAGGAGGTGGTAGTGATGGCATCGCCCCAGTCCACTGGACCAACGTCCCCTCCAAGCGCACTTGGCCGGATGTGCGCGTGGCCCGGTGCGACTGCCGTCGACGACAAGGGCAATGCGGCCAATGAGGCGGCCATGGCCTTGAGGGAAAAAGACTGTAGCGTGGCTCGCAGGCGTGGACGAAGCGGCCTGGCGGTGGGTCGGCACCCAAGGAAGCCGGGCTTGCCCTCAGGTGCGAGAGGCAGGTAGGTTGCTTCGTTACTCGGCATGCGTCCGCAGAGACTGCAGGACTACTTTTGGCTCGCATAGTCGCGTGGCAGAAGATCTGCTAGTCTCGTGGCTCTCCGCAAATTCAGGACTCGCTAGAGTAGGATTCGCAGGGCTGAGTAGTGTAGCTGCGTTGGATCTGAGCGATGGATGTATGTACTTTGTACACCGGGCTGCCGAGGAAAAACGAACCCACACCCAGCTCTGCCGTCATGGATCCCCAGCGAAACTCGCGGCTGTCGTCCTCGGCCAGGCGGCCGCCGCTGGTAGACTTTGACGCCCACCTCCTCATGCTGTGGACTCAAAATCTGACTGCCTTGCAGAGGTCGACTGCAGAGCTGACACGCGCAGGATTGGGATTCCTTTCCCCCCAAGGCATCCGGCAATGGGCACTGGGCTCTCGGCTGAGTCTGGGCGATGACGGGGTGGACGTCCGCAGAATCAAGCCTCCTGCCCAGTCCGGCGACTAGACGAGGTCCGGCGTGGTGACAGGACGCACAAGGGCGCCTCTCCCGATGAGTGGGCGCGGGAGGGCACAGGCACATGGCAGGCCATGACTTGTCGGATCGCTTTTCGGCACGTCGAATCACAGGCCGTGCCATGCGTCGTACTTCTGCCCGCAAGCCTGCCCACACAACACAGGCCCTGCCCACCTTGGACCTTGCCGTCCCTCGCATCCTGTGCGCGATGCGTCAGAGGGCCCGATGCGACGCTGAGATGCCGTGGGGGCCGCCCAGGTGACTGCCCTGTCGCCGGGCCCCTCTCTCTCCATCTCCCCCCCCCCCCCCAAGAGCCATGTGTCCAGGGTACTCGTGCCGTGCCATGTCGTTGTTGTTGTCGTTGTTGTTGTTGTTAGTGTGTTGGTTCCGGCGTCGCATCCGATGACCTACGCCAAGATTGGCAAGCTGCAAAATTCCCGAAGGCGCCCTGCCCTGCCGGTATTTGGGCCGTTGTCTTGAAAAAAAGCCTAATAGTCTAAGCACCTGCAGTGGGGCCCTTGCCGTGCCGTGCGTGCCATGCCATGCCATGCTTTCCTACTACTGCGCGTAAAATGCTGTGCACTTGGTATTCCCGGTCGCCGGCCGCCTGCTCGGTTGCAGTATTCCCGGTCCCACGTCGCATATAGGACAAGACACATGTTCTCGCTTCCAGATTGTTCTGCAGAAAAATAAATGAATCTTGGTCCATCTTGGTCCATCTTGGTCCTTGACCGCTGACCCGGGAGACGGGGTGACCCCAGCTTGCACATCAACACGTCGATCACTCGGAACAAACACACTTAGGATGAACCCAGACTCCATTTAAGCTTATGCACCCGAACTCACATCTCCAGGCCTCGCCCGGGCCAGTCACGGCCGGTAGACCGCGCTCTGCAGCAAACGGCACTCTCCTCGTCCGGCTAACATGGCCCGATATGTGGGGCCTTTTCTGCAGCCCGGCCTGCAACATGCTCGACCTTGACTCTCCTGCCCCGTCTCCTGCCGTCGAACACCTCCCCTACTCAGGGCACAACAGGTTCTGGAAACTACCCTCGTGCCCTCCTCCAACCATGCTGTGCGCCCCCTTGACTCTTGCCATGTCAGCACCTCTACCCCAACCCGTCTGCCTGTCAACTTCCCCCTCCCCCCTCAAGGCTGCCAATAAGGCGCTGACATATCGACCGCCGATCACTTCAAGCCACTCATGACGGGGGGGATCATCCCTCGTGACATCCTCTTTTGTCAGTTGGGTAGCATTCGAGAGAGACATCGCCTCCATTCCGCCTTTGACTCGAGCACCACATCCCCCATACTGGGTCATTTGTTCAGCCACCCACGGCAACGACTCGGGCCCGCGGATAGGCATGGAAACCCTCTGCAGGAGGAGCACACCGACTTCCGAACCGTCCCCCAAGCAAGCCACTCGCCGAGGTTGCTTGTTGTGACTAAAACCCTCCCGCCCCGTGGCTGTTGGGCACGGCCACCAACCAGCCAGTGGTTTAAAAGTCCCTGCACCAACACCAGGAACCGCAGCAGCCACCTTTGACGGCAGGCCAGACGGGGGGCGTGACCTTGATTCAGGCGTCATAGCGCTGCCGCTGCTACTCTGGCTGCCAGGTCATGAGATGACGAGGAATTCTTTCCAAGGGGCACCGGCGACCGTGCCCGGGTTGAGGGTTGGTATCAAATATCCTTGAACCATGAGTATGCGCCCCTCAGAGGATGCCAGCGTGGCTTACGTTGGTCACTTTGTGGGGATCAGAAGAGCATTACCTGCGTCTCTATTGGAACCGGTGGCAGCTGCGGTCATCATCTCCTCTTCTTGGCCAGGGAGAACTGCTCTTTCTTGCATTCCTCGTTCCGGACGGTCTGCCACCCCGGTCTTCTTTAGAGTAGCAAACACCGAGACAACGCCGATGTGAATTTGTTGTTGCCAGCAACCCGGGGGCTTGAGACAGCGAGTGGAATTGTCGAGTTTTGTGGAGTTGCGGATATTCTGTGCCTGGGCTTTGCAATGTGTGCGGCCCCTGGGCCGATCTCAAATTCTATGAGATTAGGGACATGATCGGCACGTCAAATTTAATTAAATCTATGATAAGGTTGAATATACATCTAAGTGGGTTGTAGCAATGCAATAGAAGAGTTCAGGCTAAATTGGGGGTACGGTGATGTTAGACATTCAGTAAGCTGTAAGGTACCCAAGGATCTAACTAGGCTTATACAAAAGTGACACAAGTATGCAGCAATTCCAGGTCTACCAGACGTGGAATGTAATATAAGAATTGAATCTGAATCTTTGCAAAGCACGTTATACTAAGTCAGTATGATATGGCAAACAATTAGCCTCAGGCCACAAAGGAGAACTATTCGATTCGAACAGTAGATGACTGGGATATACTTGTTCAGAGCCCTGGAGTCTACACTCTAATGTCATTCGCATCAACAAAAGTATCAGGATAGCATATACAGAAGGGTAGCGTTTCATCTACAAAGCACACCAGGTCCTGAGCGGTACACTCCAGGTGTCCGTCACACTTATATCTATGTAAGCGTGGACGGATCTGCAAACCATACCAACTAACAGCGAATCAAGCCATGGTATTATAGGATGTAATCGGAAATTGTGTCACTTGACTGAGAGGACAAGGATCTATGTTGATCATCAGGGAGCAGGAAGTTATCAGCAAAGCACAAACATCGTTACGCGGCATATTGCCTTGCATATACCAGGTTCATGACACTTATCCCCACCTGGGCAAGAACCGCATTCGATAGTGAACGGGTTTAAAGCTGATCTTCTCGCAAGGATGTCCTGTGACTCGGGCAAACGTTGCATAGTTCGAGGTGCTCGACTCCACTCATCTCTTGTGCAGCCCCTTGAACCTCAACTTAGAAGATGACGGCCGACTTGACTCACAACGCTCAAGTTAGGATTGAAGACAATGAGTGTACTTGGCTGTTAGAGTAGTTCAGCTGCATTTCGGCTATAGGATGATTGGTCTAGTTCTGAGACGCATTTATGCTAGGCATATGATTAGCACAACCTTAGTGCTCGACCCTTGCAGTCTCTTGCAGGATGCTGTTTCGGGCAACCACCACCTCCCTCTCCTCTGGAGCCTCAGATTTGGCCTTGTTGACGTCCTACGTTCCAAGCACCCACTCATCAACGTCAAGAGGCTTCAACGCAGGGAACGAAGCACTCAAGCGACCACCCATCGACATCAGCCCCGCCAGCGAGGCCTCCACATCGCCGAGCGTCGCCTCCGCCACACCGCTCCTGCTCTCCTGCTCCTCTACGTAGTGGCAGTCCGCGAGGAAGCTCCCGTGCTCCGCGGTGGGAAGGGGCCGGCTGCGCTCTAGGTCGACGGACGCGAGGGCCGACGCGGGGCGGACCCAGAGACCGTCGGGCCCGCGGTAGTTCTGGTAGGCGACGAGGTTGTTGCGGCGCACGACCACGACGTTTGTGGCGGCGGTGGAGTTGTCGATGAAATCAGCTGCGGCCAGTATCCCATCCTGCACGCACAACGACTGTCAGTCATTTATCTATTGCCTCGAAGGGCGTTGGGTACTTGCATAGGTCTCGTAATGAACCTTCCGAGGCGTCATTCTCAGTGGGATGTTCGCAGACTGGGCCTCGGGCAGTCTCTTGTAGTACCGCACCATGGTGCCCAAGAGACTCAGGCATTCGGGGACGGCCATGAGCGCGACCAGCACGCGATAGCCTGCAGTGTGGAACTCGGAGATCAGAGAGGTGAAGTCTTCCGGGTGGCGGCACGCAGACTCGAGGAGTACATCGACCTTGCGCTGGATGGCCCACTTGCTTGCCAGGTCGAGCCATTTTCGGGCATCTGTGCTCGTGGCAGGGGACGCCAGATGGGGAGCAATCTTGAGGATGGTGGCGTATTCAGGATCTGTTTCAGCGATGAGCGTATTGACAACCACTGACCCCGAGAGGGCGGCCTCATGTGATGATCAGGTGTCTAGAGAACTCACGATAGGTCTTGTAGACGTCGGCGATTACATGTGCTGGTTGACGTCCTTGTATTGCACCAAACAGGTCAGCAGCGAGACGAGTCTTGCCGGCTCCTGTCTGCCCCACGACAAAGATGACAATAGGCTGGACTCCGTCCGTCAAATGACCGACATCCTTGAGGTGCGCGAGCTCCTCTTGGACAATGAGTTGGTCGAAAATCTTCTGATTGACGCTTTCCTCGAGGACGTAGTCGTGTGGTTCCAAGGAAACGGCTGCGAAGTCTTCGACGTTGGTAGCCATAGCTGTCACGGGTGGCGACGGTGAACAAAAACGACTCAGAATTAGCGATATGGTGATTATCGAAGAGTGAGGGTGTAGAGGAGCTTGTTGAGCAAGCAGGAAATGTTAGATAACAACAGCCAAGACTCATGTGCCCGAGGCGAGGCAGATGGTTGGTGACAACTGCCTGTAAGGAATCGGAAGTTATACTACGGTTGCACCTGCAGTTTGTCGATGCCGTTGACATGCTTCAATCGGAAGTGACTTCCTCCACACATGTACCCTGTACCTAGGCACTTTCCGCTTGAATAACTACTTGTGTAAATGTATAGGATCTTCGGAAGTTCCTCAGCCGATGGGGTGATCATCTTGTATCTGTAAGCCTCCGGGCCGCCCGTCTCCTGGATCCTCAATCAGCTACAGTCTTCACCTCGACCAGATGCCACTATAGAGCCGATGTGTGGGAGCAAAAGATTTTGTCTAGAAGCTAGTACCTAATGTATAAGATGGTACGTTCAGTTCCTCTGAGGCGCTCTTGCGACAAGTGGTTTAGTTCAGTTTAGAGTTATGCAGGTGAGATGATAGGGGCCACAAGCTAGCCGTCTTGGGATACCGGTGTATATTTGCGCCAGACTGCAGCACTGTGAATCTATATTTCACTGCGCATGAGTTGTAAACATGGGCTCAGCCAGCAGTGTTTGACTTACTAGAAGCTGTTGGAAAAAGTTGGCCTGCTCGGGAGCCGGTGGAGTACAGGCAGCTCAGAAGAAAGAAGCTAGAAGCATGAAAGGTGACATTTGAAATTGTTGAGATCTCAGGTTTACAATAAAAGGTTACACATATGTTGAATACATGGCTGTCCACGATTTAAAAGTCCATCTCATGAGAACTTTGAGGTGGCAAGTCTTGCCTCCGTCTACCTATGTATTCCGAAGAAAGCCTTTTGCACTCACGTTGCTACCACGACAATTGAATCTGTTCCCCGTAAGATCCTCTACCAATCCCAGCACTGCTAGCTCGTGATTTTGTCGTTAAGGTTGTTCCTGCCGCAGGCTGTCTGGCTCGCAAGATCCAGGTTCGAGCGGCCCGGGCGTGTTATTCATAACGTCTCTGAACCCGACATGGTGAATGACCAGACGATGGCTGGTCTCGGTTAAAAGCTACCTTGGAGGAGAAGGGATGCTCCTCTCAGAGCAGCAAGAATGTGCCAGCCTGGCCTCACCAGATCCAAGTTCACCTGCCTGGGGTCTAGCCCAAGCCTGACTTCTGACGCTGAAGCGGTGAAAATGCTCGCAACATAGCCGCGTTGCCGAAGATGCACTTTTGAAGGAGCACCTAACAGATTCTTGGCACGTGGGGGATGGCAGCAGCTGATTATGGAAGTTTCCCAATTTGGCCATGGCGTCCAAGCGATCTAAAGCCACCTTAAGCCACCTTTTAGTGTATCTCATCACTCGACCTCCGCTGAGGCTGAAATGCAGAAATTGAATGCACACTGCTTCTGTTCAATTTATTTGACATTGTATTTAGTGCCAAGCCTTTGATTCAGACCTTGCTCTCGGAAACAATCTGCACATCACAAGCTTCACCGTGGGTGTCGTTTTCGTCTGGATCCACTTATGTGCATGTTTAGACTGCGGGATTCATGTCGGCGGTAATACGCAAGCGTGTCATTTTGCATTCAATGACATATTTCAAGAAGCCAAGTGGCAATTTCTACCTCAACAGCCTCATAGTATCGTCAGGAAAGGCGGCTCAGATGGGGGTGGCTACATCGAATGCGATCTCTTGGACTGATGGAGTTGCTTTGGTAATCAGATCGGTCAATTACATTGTGGTACGGGTTTTTAATAGCTTGTGATTCTCAAGAAGAATGGGAAAGTCCGCATGTGCTAGGGAAATTGAATTCTACTGAACTCTGCGTGCCACCAGCTGATTCCAAGTCAAGAAGGCTGGGTGGTTTTCAGCAAGCGATCCCTCACTAGAAAAAGATTACTGCTGTCATGTAATTAGCGGGCACTATGTCATTGAGTTCTGAGACGACGGAATCCATTGTGGAAAGAACGTGTATTCATGTACCTACATCATCTTTCGACGATGTTTAGAAGTACAGTTGGGCTTGTGTGACGGCACAGCTATATATGCTACACTGTATTGCCCAGAGCGTTCTGGACAATTCTGACCTATTGGTGTTCTACGCCATAGTGTAGCGTCGCAGGGCGCATGTTAGGAACGCGGATTGTGGCGAACACGACACGACTGAGCGGCAACGGTTGGCGCGTTCCTGTTCTGAGACATCACACCAAGATCCTCTACAACGAACCCACAACTAGCTAAAGCCTGTCTGACTACTCTGCAGACGGTTCTAGTTGCATTCGCGACTTGCGCTTTTATCCTATGATCTTCTGAGATGATAATTTCAATTCGAGTCTAGCACTCTAGCTTCCAATGGTAGGGGAGATTGCCGTGTGTTTGGATCTTAGTCTGCTCGTCGAGAATGATCTGAATCCGAATCATGACATGAAGGACGCCGATCTCATGAGATGTAGTCTTAAGTCCTCCCCCTCCCTTCACGCGTCTTCGTTATTACTGGTATTTATAGAGGGTATATATTGTTCCAATCCCAACTGTGGGTTGTCTCATGGAATGCTGGTTCTGCCTCGTCCTGCTTGCTCCGTGTAGTGTCTTTCACCGAGCGAGCTGTGTTGCCTTCGGTCACTTACTGGTCTCCCCCTCTTCACAATAATTCTGGCCAATATGGTCAGTAGGCACTCACCCTGTTTGTATAGAACATTTCTATGCCTTCCTCTGTTCTGGAAGGCCAGTATTGCATTCGCGGAGCCGGTGTGTGAATGGCCAGCTGGGATCGAGAAATGCTGGGGCTGCCCTACAACAAACCCGGCCGATTTGACTTCAGGAGCCGGCGGCTATGGCTTCGGGCCTGATGGCCTGCCTTGCTTTGGCGACACAGGTCCATACTGGGACCCAGGCCCGTGGTCAAACGGCAACCCTGGTTATGATGGCAACCCTGGTTATAATGGCAACCCCAGTTCTACCCGTCCGCCCACTGCACCAACAGCTACTACCTCGGGTGGCCCACTTGGCCCATCAGGCACTCCGGGTCGTCGTGTCTTCTATTTGACAGTGACCTGGGAGACACGTGCACCAGATGGAAACGCTCGAGAAATATTCGTGATCAATGGTCAATTCCCAGGTCCGAAACTTGAGATAAATCAGGGTGATGACGTCGAGATACACTTGCTAAACCAGTCTCCTTTCAATACGACCATTCATTTCCATGGTGGGTTTCTGACACTATCCTGTCAGTCAGTGGCAGTGGTACAGGCTGACTGTTTCTTGCAGGAATCGAACAACTCCGTACCCCCTGGTCCGACGGCGTACCCGGGATCTCCCAGCGAGGTGTTCGGCCTGGAGAGATGTTCACTTACAGATGGAGAGCAACCCAATACGGTTCCTACTGGTATCATTCACACCAAACGAGCCAAATTGATGATGGCTTCTTCGGCCCCATCGTGATACACCCTTCCAAAGATAAGCCGACACCGTTTAGCCTGATATCGAGCGACCCTAATACGCTGAGTGCCATCCAAAAGGCCGTTGATAACGTGCGCCCCCTCTTGCTATCTGACTGGAGCAAGTATACTGGCCCGCAACGGGTTGCTTTCACCACGAAGTCCGGAATCGTTGACCTGTGCTACGACTCGTTGTTATTCAACGGGAAAGGAAACGTCCGCTGTTACACCCCTGCTGAGTTACAAGCCGTCACTACTCCGGCACAGAGACCCGGATTGTCGCTCGTCAACGCGACGGGCCTCACTGCGAAAGGGTACCCTCCCCATTGGAAATGTGCTCTGCATCAATCAGTGATCTGACACACGTGTTATAGATGTCTTCCTGCGAGAGCTATCGCTCTCCTGGCACCCCGAGTAGTGAAAGACTACTCAGCCTTACCAAGCGATGTGTACGATGTCTGTATTCCTACAACAGGTTCTCGGGAGGTCATCGATGTGGTCAAATCCGGAGATGGCGAGCAGTGGCTGGCGCTGGATCTCATTGCTACATTTGGCGTGCTGGCCATTCAATTCTCAATCGACAGCCACCCAATGTGGATTTACGCCGTCGACGGCTCGTTTGTCGAGCCGATACCCGTGGAGTCCATCCCGATCCAGAACGGGGCGCGATTTTCCGTTCTGATCAGGCTGCAAGATTTGGGCAACTTCAACATCAGGGTGTCCTCCATCGGGGCGTCGCAATCCCTCGGCAACTACGCCACTCTTTCCTACCACGAGGCCGGCCAGCCAGCCCCAAACACGCCATCCATACAATACATCAACGACAACGGAGCCAATGTCACAGCGAATGTCAGGGTCTTCTCGCAGAGACAGATGCGAGCGTTCCCGGCTGTAACGATTCCCCAAACCGCCCAGCAGACTTTCGTTCTCAGCATGATCGTGGCTGGACAGACGTACCTCTGGGCTCTGAACAACACAATTTATCCCCTGACACACCAGATGGACACGCCTGTTCTTTTCAACCCACAGCCTTTCATCAGCAACAACGTCACCATCTCCACGCTGAACAACACCTGGGTCGACCTCGTATTCGTCACCGCGACGTGGCCCCAGCCACAGCACCCAATGCACAAGCACGGGGGCAAGATGTATCTGATCGGGCAGGGCACCGGGCCCTTCCCATGGGCGACCGTGGCCGAGGCGATGCAGGCCGTGCCGGGGAGCTTCAACTTCGCCACACCTCCCAGGAGGGACACGTTCGCCACGGCCGCCACGACCAACCAATCGGCCTGGCTGGCGGTCAGGTACTACAGCAACGACCCGGGCGCGTGGCTCCTGCATTGTCACATCTCGCACTTCGACGGTGGCATGTCCGTGGCCATCCAGGATGGCGTAGATGCCTTCCCTACCGTGCCTCCCGAGTATCTGTACTTTTAAACTCGGCCTGGCTGTTCCAAGTTTCGTTGGAAGCAGGAGGATAAACCAAGTCAACTACTTTGGTGTATGTGTGTGTAGTGATGGTGGTGCTCTTTCCTAGCCGAGCTTGCATGAGTTTATGTGCCCAATGTTTTTATTGTCTTTCTTTTCGTACAAAACTACGAGAGGGGAGTTGTGGGCAGGTTTTAACTGAGGAACGTGGACCCCAGTGATTCTCCCATTTACACATTCTCCCCTCCCTGATTAGAACTCAGCGCCTGCACCTGTTCCACACTGGGGTGTGTTCTCACCCAGGGGGTATTTACATAGGTATAGAGATAGGTAGAGTAGAAAACATTTACATTAGAAGCAAAGCTGTTACCCCGCAACTGCGTTCTTCACGTCGAACGCCTTAAATTCACAGCACAGCTACCTTCAGAGGGACAGGATCTGGTCAACTTCTGGAAGTGTATACTCAAAACAGAACGTACTGTTGCACGACAGAACCTGTCAGTGTAGTCTGGCCTTTATATAACATTTTTCTTGACAATATAGTAATAATTGGTTTCGTGGTGTAGTGGTTATCACGTGACGTTCACATTGTGTGGATTAAAACTCCTGCGACTTGTTCGTAGCGGTCCGTCAAGGTCGCCGGTTCGATCCCGGCCGAAATCACTTTTTGCAATTTTGCATCATCCTACTTCTTTTCTCATTGCTGCTTAGTCTGGCAGGGAGAAACTGTGCAGCAATTCCCGATCCAGCTGGTCTGATTGGGTCATGATCTAACATGTGTGAGAGATGGAATATGCGACGAAGAGGTTGCTCGAGCCCCAGCCTACCCATCCCACTCCCAGTGCTGCGAGTGATTTATAGAGGGACAGAGCTGCTCCTAAAATACGTTACTACTATAGCATCCTCGTCACTTGTGGTGTTTGAAAGATTTTATTATTTAGGAACAGCGCTTCGGTTTTGCATTCACAGCGGCCTGGGGCCAATCGCGGCTCGAGAGAGCTCCTTGGGTTCACCTCAACAAGTAAAATTAAATAGACCGTCGGAGTCACACTTGTCAGAAACTTGGTGGGAAAGTTAGTTGCTACTCTCTGAAGCCTGGGAAAGACTGCCAACCTACCTGGTCCACTGCTTTCATCCCGTTTAAAACCTTTTTTGGCGCAGGAAATACCTGGGCTCATCGTTGACAGTACTAGTAGTATTTTGTCTCTTGACCTCAGCTAGAACATATTGCCTTTGGTGCCAGATATATGAGAACATTCACTGACTGTCCATTGGATTCTAAATCAGTCAATTAAGAATGCATGCCCGCCAGCCCGCTGGAGGCATATCCCAAGGCCAACAAGCTGTCCGCTAGGCCTCCAATGTCTGTACACATCTGGGACTTTGGGACCCTCGAGACCACCTGTCTAGAACGGTACCGGCAGGAATCGGCAGGTGAGCTGTGACTTTGGCAACCTCAGGCTGAGTATCGAATCATTACACAAGGAATAATAAGATCCGAATGTTACTGTGAGTGTAAGGTCAAGAAGACAGATCGGTTAAAGCCCCGACGAAGATTACTATTGTTCGTGGAGGAATGAATCCCTGGGACTTTTGGAAAGCATTCAAACAGTTCAGGACATCTTCATAGTAGCATTGAAGAATCCGAAATTATCAAGACATGTAAGAAACAATTCTAGCCCGGCTCCTCTCTCTCTGCGTTTGCAAAGCTCGGGCTATTCGTCAGTACAGTTCTTATCCCAAGACCACATATTTTCACTCCTTTACAAAGCTGTAATGAGCATGTAAAGTGAGACTCAGGGAATAGCAGCCTACTGGATTCAGCACGAGTCCGATTACCAGGCAAGAACGGAGCTTCCACATTCATCCAACTTGCACACGGCCGTCTATACATGACAACACCGAAGATACGTTCCTTCGCATGGCGAACGAAAGTAGACATGCCGATTACAAAGTCGCAGCAATCCCGATCGTCCGAGTATGGAGAGCACACCCCATGAGATAACATCAAGTAAGGAATTCCGGTGCATCAGTCCTCCCGCTAGGGCCAGAGGAACCCACGAGAGCACGGCAATAAGACGGACGTAGGAGCCCATCGCTCTGCTTGGGTCCGCATCGGCATGGGGCACCCTTTTGCGGGGCGGCCGCCGCGTGGAGCCCCCGAGACACCCGGTTGCGGCTCGGGAGGCTTGTCAGTGGACGTCGATCAGGTTCATCCTTGTCGAGATATCAACGGGGTGGCTTTTGGGGAGAGATGTGCCGACCTCGGCACTCGCGCGTAGTCTCTTTGGGGCCAGTCTAGTCTTCCTCGCCGCCTGGCTCACTTGGGAGCTGAGGTTCATAAACTAGCCGCGACGTTGAAGCTTTCCCAGTTAAAATGGGAGCGTCTGCTGCACCCGAGTTAAATGTGTCTCGTCCTTCTGGCGTACTAAACGCTGTCGAGTGATTCTGGCTTCATCTTTGTCCATCGTGGTCGATCAATTTGCGGTTGATCCTGACCTCAGAATTACGTACAAGACTTGTGTGGATATCTTTACATACGTAGGCCTGTGTTTGCCACGCCTTGACAGACATCTTTATGAAATAAGAGCAGCAACTCACAAACAGTTCATGTGTTGACCAATTCCAGCTCATTGCTCTCAGTTACCATTATCAGCATTCAAGAACTTCACCGAGCCTTCCAAAAATGGTCAACAGAGCAGCAGCCAAGCTCCGAGCACAGCTCGCAGACAAAGACAGCATCATCGTCTGCCCGGGGGTGCAAGATGGCCTGTCGGCGCGCGTGTGCCTCGATGAGGGCTTCAAGAACCTCTACATGGTGAGCCCCTTCGGACCTCAGATCCCGCACACCAGACCTGCGAGACTGACTGAGCCCCCTTACCTGGTCAGACCGGCGCAGGCACAGCAATGAGCGTCCTAGGCATGCCCGACCTAGGCATGACAACCCTAGACGACATGGCCCGCAACGCAGGCATGGTCGCCAGCCTGGACCGCTCCGTCCCCGTCATCGCCGACGCGGACACGGGCTTCGGCGGGCCCCTGATGGTCGCCCGCACGGTCGAGAAGTACGCCGCGGCGGGGGTGGCGGCGCTGCACATCGAGGACCAGGTCGCGGCGAAGCGGTGCGGCCACCTCCTGGGCAAGGAGCTCGCGGGGGTGCCCGAGTACGTGGCGCGGATCAGGGCCGCGGCGGCGGCGCGCGAAGCTCTCGGCGAGGACATCGTCATCATCGCGCGCACCGACGCGCTGCAGTCGCTCGGGTTCGACGAGGCCATCGCGCGGCTGAAGGCGGCCGTCGAGGCTGGGGCGGACGTCGCGTTCCTGGAGGGCATGACCAGCAAGGAACACATGGTCGAGTGCGTAAAGGCTATGGCGCCGACGCCTTGTTTCCTGAATATGGTCGTGGGCGGTGTAACCCCCCTGGTGGACAGCGAGGAGGCGAGGAGGATGGGGTACAGGATCGTGATATGGCCTGTTTTCTCAATGACCGCCGCGCTGCTGGCGTACAGGGAGGCTGCGAAGGAGCTCAAAGAGTTGGGCATGAACAAGGAGAGGAGGAACGAGAAGGGGGAGCTGCTAGGTGGCGTCAGGGAATGTTTCGAAGTCTGTGGCTTGACCAAGTACTCCGAGTTCGACAAGGCGATGGGAGGCCAAGCCTTCTCGAAGGGTGTATGATTAACGATGACTGAGCCTCGTACTGGGGCTCGCCTGGAAATCAAATCAGAAAGTCTCCGGGCACCACAGTTAAGGACTTGTGAGTTACTACCAGTGCCTGAGGGCAGTCACGGCAAACATGTGTGCAGCCTCAAAGCTGTCACTTCCAAGCCAGGAAGAAAGCGCCCAGAGAGCGTGATCATGATGGTCGTCTTAGTGACGATGTATTTGATGCTCATATGCCGAGCTTCTCGGGCATACCTGACCCAATCGCTTGGGCAAATAATGCTATCCAGGAGCGGCGTCAAGAGTCCCTTCCCATCACGCCAGCCAAACGTGGTAACCCTGTGGGTAGACAGTCTAATTTAACACACACCTTGGGAGGACTGTGCCTTAACGATGGGCGCGAAGGCCAACACCCTTTGGTTGCGTCACCAGGCTGGCACCCGATCGATCTCAATCTCTGGTCTGCTGTCCCGCGGTGAATCCAACGGTTCCGTATGCCCTTGATTCCCTTGTCCGTCCCCGTCCCGCAGAAAAGATCCTTGCAACGCAACCCTGTGCCCCCTATTCCAATCTCGAGAATGACCATAGAACGAAAATTTGGTCTTGTGACCAGGGAAAAAGATGAGGAACAAGCTTCTCTACTGCTTGAAAAGTCCAGATGCCCAACCTACCGATCCCACGCCGAGGACTCCTGAAGTACACTGTGCTGACAAAGGAAAAACCCCGTACTGAATAAGATAAAATAATTACAATCAAACATAACATCGAAGCGCAGCATATTGCGTGGCACCATTCGGGAAGGTGACTTCGAAAGAAAATAGGCCAAGTAAAGAGGCCAATCGCGTGTTCAACCGATGAACTCCGAGACCAAATAGCAATGCGGCAGGCCGATGACGGGCCAGGAAGGGGTCTCATGGTATGCGTCGATGCAGTTTCGTCAGTCGTAAGTCCTGTAGCTGTTTGTCTTATGAGGCGTGGGAAGGCACGCTCCTAGGTGTCACATCACCACTGCGACGTCGGACGAGATCTTGCTGCTGCTGCTGTTGCTGGAGCTTTGTTGCACTCGCAATCATCCGCATCTTCTTACGCACAGAACTAAGCCGGCCTGTGATCATGGTGATCACTGTGTCTCTGTCAGCGGGTGCGTAGCGGTAGGCTCGACAACAACACTTACGTTTTTGGACGGCTTGCTGGTCATCCGTGTTGATGTCCGAGGCAAGCTCCTCCTTCGACGCACGCTCCTCCTTAGTAGGCCCAGAGATCCGCCTCTTAGGAAGGTCTTCGTCGTTGTCTATCACGGCCTCTAGCATACGTACCGCTGTGACATAGGATATCTCGCAGCCAGCAAGGTCCTCGTTGGAAATTTCGTCAATCGCTGCCTTGCGGCTCATCTCGACGGCACGGTCGTACATGAGTTTCTCAGCGCTTATCCCAGGCGTGATGACCACCCCGTCGACTGCTGATCCGCTCGTTGACGCGGGGTCCACTGGATGATTGCTGGGGTGGCCGGGGTGGTCTTCTGGCAATGCTTTCTGCGCATCGATGAGCTTCAATCGCACGATCTCGGCTTTCTCCAATACTTCGTTGAATCGCGACCGGACCCACTGCACAGCCGAATTGATTCTGGTAATCACGACTTGGATGTTGCTGGGATCTCGAGCGGATGCTGGCCCACTTGACGATTCCGCTCGTGTCCTCCTTGACCACCACAGGCTGGCGATGTCCATTGACTTGGCAAGGAGAGACAGAGCCTTGACGTACAGCACCAGGGCTTCCTCTGAAAGTGCGACTACTGCATCGACAGTAAGCCCGTCATCATCGTCGGAAGAGGCCTGGTCCGCTGGCAAACCACCAAGACCATGGTTCGTCGACGGCGTAAGGGGCACAAGCTGCTTGTATTTCACCTCAGCAAAGCCGTAGACAACATCACTCCGTGTGGCATAGTCCTCGATGCACTGAGCGACCCTCGAGTCCTCATCGTAAGGTGTACTTTGCTTCCCATCACCAATCAAGCCTACGGGAGCTGACGGCGTGGGATAGGCAGGGAACGCACTATACAGTTGAGGCGGGGAGGCGCCTTTGCCAAGTCCCGGTGGGTATTTGATACCAAGGAGTCGCAGACTGGCGTCTTGTATGGCCTTGGATATAAAAGACGTGGTAGAGCCGGGGCTCGCACTAAGAGAAGACTGCCGCTCATGGGTATTTGGCCGCTGCCTTCCCTGGGCGATTTGCATTGCTCGAGATGGCGATGGCGCCACCGCACCGGTCGTGGAGTCTGGGGCACCCTGCGTTGTCGTCCGCCGCACCATCTGTCCCGCCTTGGGTGACGAGCCCTGTGCATGCACCATACGTCCGTTGGCGGCCAGTTCATCGGCTAGGGCATTTACTGCGACCTGATTCTTGTCAACGAGCACATAATCACGCTCGAACGCAATCTCCTGCCGCGCCTTCTCTTGCTCGTCCGATGGGCCCTTTCCTCGACTTCGCGGAAGTTCCCTCGCACCTCCTGCAGGCGGGGCATCACGGGCGAGTTTTGTTGCCGATGCGTTAGATAGGGCCCGGCGACGTGCTTCGTAGACGGCCGGCCTTGTTGGAGCTGAAGATGACGGCACAGGTTGGGGTCGCCGTATGCCAAGACCCTCTCCAGTCTCCTGGCGGGGTGAGTAGCCAAGTCGAGGAGAAGCAGGACCGAATTTGTCTTCAGCCTCGGTGGGCGTGCCGAGTGGTGAACGTCTGTACGGCTTTTCGATGGGAGACGAAACGGCTTCGGCCCTCCCTTGGTCTTGATCTGTGCCAGGCCGCCGTAATGACAGCCGTCGAGGAGATGCGACAGGCTCATCGGACTTGACAGCAGATCTGGCACCTTGCGGCCTTTTCGGCTCGGCTGGCTTTGGTATGTCATCCTCGACAAGCCCCGGTATTTGACCTACGACGACAGGATGTGCGAAGAAGTTTTCAAAGGTGATGCGCTCATCGGGACTCCTCTTGAGGAGAGCGCGAATCAGAAGCTTCAAATCGGATGAAAGATTACTTTCCCTTGGAAATTTGATCGAGTCGTTTGAAGCCTCTATCTTGCGTAGTAGCTCGACATGGTTGCTTGCACGGAAGGGTGGCCGGCCCGCCGCCATCTCATATAGAACCGTCCCGACGGACCATAGATCAGCGCTGGGACCGTAACGTTCGTAACGCAAAATCTCGGGAGCCATGTAGAGCGGTGAACCGCAGAGCGTTTCGGCGAGCGATGTGGAGGGTAACACGCGGGCGAACCCGAAGTCGGCGAGCTTCAGCATGGGCAGAGAACGCAGCCCAACTGCAGGGATGAGGCTGTCCTGGCTTGCACTGAGGATCTGTGGCACTTCCCTGTTGTTCTCTCGGAAGTCGATGGAGGGGAGTAGGAGCAGGTTCTGAGGTTTCACGTCGCGATGGATCAGGTTCAGCCTCCTCAGGAACTCGAGTGCACTCGACAGTTGCTTGAGGAAATGACGGATAATGACCTCGTTCAGGCCAGCGTTGGGTGTGTTCGGATATTTCCGCGCCATATCGTGGGTAGCCGGATTTGTCGAGAGCATATCCCTCTTCTTGATGAAAAGCGACAGATCGCCGAGAAGGCAGTATTCCATCATCAGGTTGATGTGGGTTGGCGTTTCGACGCATTCGTGGAGGGCAACGATATGAGGATGACGCAGTTTCTCGAGAATTTTGATCTCGGAATAGAGGTTATCCTTCACCTTGCCCTTGAGCTTCCCCAGTTCGACGGATTTGATAGCGACAGCGGCGCCGGAACTCTAAGAGGAACACAGAAAGTCAGTCTCGGATCGCCCTACAGCCTCGGCGAGCGATGGGGACCGCGCGAAGGGCAAGACAGTGACCCAGAACCCAGCTACGACCAAAACAAGAAGCGCTGCCACTCCCGACGGACGGACAGGGACGCAAGCGACAACAGACGCGAGGCGCTGACCTTGCGGGTACCAACGTAGACAGAGGCGAAGCTGCCCTTCCCGATCTTGGAACCGACGGTCCACTGGCTCATGGCATCGGATTGGGGCCGCGAGCGCCCAGAAGCGGAGGGTTGAGAAGCCATATCTTCCTGGAAAGTTGACGAGACAGGAAGACAGCTGTGTTGGGTAGCCCGTGGGCCTAAAGGGGTAGGGACTCGAGGGTAGCTGTGGTTGTCGTCATGTACACATGCAGGGTGTGTGTTGGTGGTATAGGTGTGGATAGGAAGTGCTGGTTCCTGTCTGGGAAGAAGACCCAAGACGGGCGTTAGTTCGAAGAAAAAGGATGGATGAGAAAAAGACGAAAAAGAAAAGAGAAAGGAAAGGCGAGGCAGGGCAAGGCAAGGCGAGGCAAAGCAGAGCGTTTGGATGATGCTGCTGCGAGGTCGATGGGTAGAGCGACGGCGGCAGGCAAGGATCCGATTCGATGCGATGCAATGCAATGCTTCCGACGGAGAGGCGATGGGGGTGGGCACGCACTGGGGGTGAGGTGGAGCTGTCTTGTTGGCGCAGGGCAGGGCAGGACGTGCGTGCAGCGAGACAACAGCAGGTACCTAAGTCCTATGTGGAGTTGAGAGGTGCAGACTAGCAGACAGGGGGCCTAGGGGCCCTTGGGCTGAAGCGTCAGGGCCTTGCCGGATAAGGCAGCCTGGGTAGGCTGGCCAGGCTGGTAGGCGCGCGAGACGGTGAAGGCGATTGCCAAGGCACGCGGTCTGTCTTTTGTGTCCTCGAGACACAGCCGGTCGAGACGAGAGCGTGGGGATCAAGTGGCGGGAGTTGAGAGTCGAAAACGGGGCCTCGACAAAGGGAATCCGGTCGAAGCTGTGACAGCGTCCTGTGACTGTCTGTAGGCCTGCAGAGGTGGGAGGGGGGTCTACAGTTAGCGACGGTGTGGACGGCAATAAACGGAACAGTGCTGGGGGAAGACGTCAGGATGTCGCGACATGGCGCAGAGATGGCACATCCTACCTGCAAATCAATTGGGAAACAGACGTTTGGTGCTAGGCAGATCTCCGAATACAAACGAATGACTCAGAGAGAGAGAGGCGATTGCCCTGGAGGAATGATGCGAAACAGATGACACGCTGGGCGGCCAGCAGTGAAGGACGTGCAGCTGGTGAGTTGATGGGAGGAAGAATCGCGGCGGGTTGAGGAGAAGAAGCAGGAGGGAGCTAGACGGGAGAGGCTCGATTGATCAACTGACCGACCGGCTGGCTGGCGGAATGACTGATTGATGGATGATGGGTGGGTGGAACTGTTAGGGAGTGAGTCCTGAGGATGTCGTAGGTAGACTAGGTCGCACAAATGGAATACTATAGGTCTAAGTATGTACTGTGCTGGCTGGGCTGGAAAGGCGTGCCTTGAGGAGTCATACATCTATCTATCTACACGCGCAGTACACAGCACACAATAGCCTCGGGTGAGGGTACCAGGTGTTTGCCCAGATCTAGTTTGAGGGCATGATAATCTATCTAATCAAGGCATTAATCAGAAATTAGCCCAGCGGCGCAACAGCACCTGAAGAAGCTTAGATAGATGCCCCATCCCGCCCCAGGACTCATTAGAAACAACCGCGCTGAGCTCTGCGGCGGGTGAGCGAGGCAGGTGAAGGTGACCCGGAACCTCGTGATGCGAACGATGGGAGACGGTGGCCAATGCCATCCTTGCATCCACCTGCGCAGAGGTGACTGACTCCCTGGTTTGGCACTGGCCGGGGGGTGGGCGCAAGTGGGCAGGGGGGCGTGGGCAGGGGGGAGGGGGGTCTCTGCTGCACCTTTGCTCCCGTGCCTCCCCTTGTAGAGTTCAGAAGTACCGTTGGCAGTAGACTACGGGCAGAGTGATAATCTGTGCTGTTGCAGTCAAGGAGATGGAGATAACAGACACATGTGGTTCTGTTGGCTGATCAAACATGAGACGGGCGCTAAGCCGCCTGGTCTCAGGCGACCCGGCCTAACTTGGCCTGATCAGAGGATGCCTCCTCCAGAAAGTCAGACAGTCAGACAGTTCAAACAGTCCAGACGGCTAGACAGACAGACAGGCGGGCAGGCGGACCAGTCCAGATCGAGGAGCCTCCAAGTTGCAGGGGCCCACGACGGACGGGGGGAGTCATCGGCTGGGCAGCTGGGGCCGATAAGCCAGCTCCCCCACCCTGCATGTCACGATAAGCTGGCGCGTCCTGCAACCACTGTAGCAACAGCAACACACAGTGCCACTGCCGGCCGACAACTCTCGAGCTTGTTCATCAACAAGCACCAGTATCAGCCCTCTCAGCTCGGTTTCGACTCGAGTGTTTCTCACACACCATTCATTTCATTAATGCTCTCAAACCTTGACGGCTTCTGCCCAAGGGTCTGCTCCTGGCTGTTCCAGACGGTGGGCCTGGCCTCTCCTCCTCCGCTCGACCAACTGACTGTACTGTGCCATTCTTCCGGTCGAGGCTACACATCCATTGTTCAAAGTCATTCCCATTAATCCCACGGTTGTTCTATTATGCTTTCGGCCCACGGCCGACGCTCACCACGCTAGAACTTGGATGTAATGAGGCCGGCTGGGCTGATTCCGTCACGCCTTGGGTGATCTGGGGGCAACCAGGCAAACGGTAGCCCCACACTACAGCCCGGGACCCTGGATGCCCAGCAAAGCAACAGGCGCAACACGGTTGCAGCGATAACGGAGCTCTTCCTCCCCTTGGCTCCCATGCAACCTCAGTCACCTTGATGTCCTCGCCCATGAATCCTCCGAAGCCTTGTCATATGCCACAGTGCTGTACAGGGGGACACAGCGTTGCTGCACTCCGCGGGCTGTCCTCCTACCAGGCCAGAGCACCATGTCCTGCGCCCGGTGACACGGCCACCGCAGTCACTGGCAGCACCTGGGGTAGCGAGATCGCACCTGTTGTGTCCAGCTTCCACCACCCGTATCACCTCAACCCCCGGTTTTCTGATGTCGGGCGCACCGGCTCAGTCAACTGTGCCAGACCGGGAGCCGCCGTATACGAAGCGAAGCTGTCTTCACCGCAACGCCGGCCCCAGGATCGACTGTCAAGGAGACTGCCGTCCCTGCCATGTCTGGCCGGGCTGGGCTGTTGATGTTGTCGCGCCTCTCTCATGCAGCCAGCAGCTAGCTGCCAGCGCGAGCAGCAGACCCCGTCGTGTCCACAGAGGTGCCGAGGTGCCTATCAAGCAAGCATCGCTTCAACGGATGCCTAGTGTCGTGGATCGCTTATTCAATGTCTACATGCTTGTTGGTAGCAGACTAGGCAGGCTGCAGTACAACCTGACAACCCACAACATCTGCAGATCCCTTTCGATGACACAGAGCACTAGCATTACCGCTTTGTACTGCATAGTACACCACCACCACGGCGATCCGGCATTTAGGCGCCGCGCATCTTTCCAGTAGCTCTGCCAAGCGTCAACGGTCTAATCATCTATGATAACAACGGGCACATCATGACTCTCCCTAGCTGACCGCCCAAGAAGCAAGCATGCCCGATGGAGAGTGTGCTCTCTCATCATATCAGCAGAGGCCTGATCCACGAGCGAGCACGGCCAGCGTCCAGCATCACCTACAAGTTTGGCCTCAAGTGTTGTTGCTTCCTGTCGTCATACCTACTGTGGGCCTGACCACCTGATGGGATCCCGGGACGTCTCTCGCGCTATTGGCCTGAGCTGCCCTAGATTCTTAAGACAACTGTCTCTACTTCTTTCCAGGTCGAGGCCCACCTCGCCTCACCGGCACGGGTGCCCCTGGGGTCCTGCAGAAGTGGGTGTTTCAATGTCTCAGTTGCTTTTGTGGTTCCTGCTGGTCTTCTGCACCGATCCGCAGTCAACCAGCATCAGGTCCAACCCCATCCTTGACACCAAAACGGCCAGAATCGACCGTCGGAGGGTTAAAGTCCCCCGTGCCAGCATCCTTCAGTGAATATTGCAACAGCATCCCTCAGACGCCATAATCACTCCTAATCTTCTTGTATTTTATTGAAGCGCCCCCAAGTCCACCAAGCGTATTGAGACAGCCACCCTTAGAGATTCCAGTTGAGCGCGGACACTCTCAGGCACGCAAGCAAGGAGTAAGCCACGGCCACCAAGTTTATCTAAGCTTCGAGAACATTTCGGCAGGACTAGCCAAGTTCTGTTCCGCCTTCGAGTCAGAGTTGAATGCGGCCAGTGCATCAAGGTTTTCACATCAGGAACCTACAAGACCAGCCAGCTTACACAACTTGCGAGTCATTCCCGAATTCTGATGTGCTCTGAAGTTCTCGCCTCCTGAAGAACAGGCCGGGTTGCTGTGATGATCGACGGGTTGACATTGGTGGGTCCCCAACATCAGGTGAAAGAGCTCCGCTAGTACGAGAGTTTGCTGCCGCTGGCAGAGCGTCAGGTTCGCTACATGCCCATGCCGCATATATTTATTGCACCCCATTGCACCCTGAATATGTGTTCGTTCTCCATTGCTCGACGGCGCACCCTCCACGGCCCCTCCGTGCAGGCACCTAGGCGTGCAGACCGTCGACGTGCCATACTTTTACGACGGGCCATACAGGTACTGGCCAGCTTGGCGAACTGTCAAGCCGCCTAGCAAGACTCACGGCAACAAGCACGGCCAACCAGGAGCCACCTAGCCTGCAAGACCTGGAAGCCAACGTGGTGTAAACAAGGAATGGCTTACTGTGTTCGAGGTTCCTGCTCCCAGCTTCCGCCGTGTGTGGAAGTCTTATTATTGTCCTAATGCGAGCCATCCCACCGAAACCATTCCATAGCACACACAAGCGCACCACAAGGGCACATGTACGCACACCCTCCCCCCAGCGCTGTCGTTGTTAGCGAGGCGAGCTACCGTTCCCCGGACTCCGTTACTGGTCTGAAGGAGCACAGCACGTATCTGCATGCACGAAATGCATTGCAGCAATGTCAAACGCCGGTGGATGGGGGGCCCACAGAGGTTCGGCCACCCAGCCAGCCCCCAGCCATCCCGTCGTCAACGTTAACGTTAACAGGCTGAGCAGCAGCCTGCCGCCTGCCGCACACATGTGTGTGTGCGGGCTTGTACATGCAGTACCTGTGATATGCAGCTAGACTAATGT